TTTGATGGGGATGCTCCGCCGGACATCGCAAAATGTTGGAGGAGTGGTCGCTGCCAAAGTGGGGGGGTTATCTTCCCAAGGGCGTTAGTGAGATGTGGGAGCCTGCGCGGGATTTCGCGTGGATCAAAATACCACGAGCGAGTCCAGCAGCGGGCAGTAACAACACAACTGGTCCTCTTCGAAGTGTGGTGGCTATGAGCAACAACACTCCCCAGGTTATGGTTGTGACCAGTGATGGAAATTTTTACGTCTTCAACATTGACTTGTCGAAGGGCGGAGAGGGAACTCTCACCAAGCAATACTCGTGAGTCTAAAAGCCGAGACAGTTAATTGAGAGATGTACTAACAATATTCTAGGGTGATTGATTCGACTGACAGGCTAGGATACCCTGCTGCGGATTACTGAGCACCGGGATTTCTACCCGTCTTCCATTCTAAGGCTGAATAACTTTCCCGTGGATGAGACCGAAACCTCGTAATGATCATGCGTCGATGAAATCCACGGGAAATTCCAGCTTTTGAATGAAGTACGATGCAAATCTCGTTTTACGGAGGCGTTTTTATCGAAGTCTGGCGTTTTCTGTTGTCCCTTGTTCTCCTATAAGTGCCCACGGGTGGTGGCTCTCACTCGGGCTCTCTCTCTTTCGGCCATTATTCCCCTCGTTCCGAGCGTTAGCGTATTGATTTGTTTTGGCACTGGCCATGCTGCAATCTCCTGATTATCTGGCCGTTCTTGCCAGGTTTCCGTCCGGTCTGTTTACTGGTTGCATTTGATACACTCCACTTCCAAATTTGCTTCCACAATAGGTACATATTATCTGTTTCTCGGATCCACTCTTGAAAGGCCATTCTGCATAGTATGAGTACAACAACTCCATTCCCGAGATCATATACCTAGGTAGCCAGATCTTTGGTCAATTTACTCCGTAGATCATCGGAGTTTGGTTGCGGGGTTTTCGAGTGACCAATGATGAACCCTTTTGCCATAGCTTGTGGCATACCTGACTATGAATACGAAAGGCCGTAGGGAGACAACTGAAAAAAAGCTAGCCACATGTGGGATTCAAGTTGTGGATGCCCAAATGCTACTGGGGGAATAGTACACAAATGCCATGGACAAATCCTAAAATCCATGATGGCTGGTGATTGAACCTTGGAAGGTGATGAGGGTTGTTTGCTATATAGCCTTTCGGCGACTGCCAGTGGCTATTTTATAACTTCTAGTGCTCAATGTGCGTCATTTTCGCTCTTCCCATGATCAGCATCGGCATTGCTTAACTACAAGGGCGAGCTACGTATTGTGAAAAAGCCAGTCTTTCATAGATGACCATTGGGATGAGAAATGATCACCATCTTCATCGCAGCTAAAATTTCACTATGCCGGCTATATGTATGTATGTACTTACGTACAAGGATGCACGTCTAACTCTATCTCTTTCGTCTATGTCCATATCTTCACCTCCAGGGCTGCTTTATGTATCTGTTAGTAATGGTTATACAAGAATGTGGTGTCGGGCGGTAATCAATGGCCGCCTCCGGGCGATAAGCCCGTTACGGCGAACTCCGCGTCTCGGTCCAGAGTGGGTCAATGTAGTAAACCAGCCCGTGCCCGATAGAAGCCGCCAGTGGCCCAACCTATGTCAAATTAGCAAAGGTTCTTTCTTGATAGATAAGGCTTGTCGAAGGCTGTGCCAAAAACCCCGGTACGGTCCAACTTACCCAGTGGATCCAATGATAGGTGGGAAACTCCGACGCCACATATGCTCCAAAGCACCGTGCGGGATTAAGACCTGCAGATAAGAACGTTATTTAATGTCCAACCCCTGGCTCGAGATTCTTGCTTCGCCATCTCCTGGTTGTGCCACTTACTCGCACCGATGTATCCCTCGCGAGTGAATGCGGTTCCCCAGCTCACTATACCAAGGACCACGCCAACGAACCAGGGACCAGTGGCTGGGCCAAAGACCTTGCCTTGTCGCGGGTCTAGCGCAACACCAAAGGCTAGGAAAATCAAGATCAAACAGGCCGCAAATTCGATGACCAGGCCATCTTTGGCAGGTACCATGGTGGTATCAATGTGACACCCTCCAACGGTGATTTCCCGATTGCCGTAGGCACTGTTCAACATAAGGCCAGCCAATGCACCGCCGAGAGTCTGGCCAGCTATGTATAGTACCATTCGCGGAAAGGAAATGATACGCGCGAAGAAAGTGGCTAGCGTAATTGTCGGGCTAATGTGGCCTCCACTCGAGGGAGAGAAGGTGTAGATCAACAGCGGAGTCAGAAGGAGATTGGTGATGCCGCCGAACAGTGGGGAGAAGAAGGTGACAGTATGGTAGACGCCGGCTTCGGTCAGCGGCGAAGTCGTCTTTGCTAGTGGGTGGGTAGTCACCCAGGACGAGATGAAGACGTTCATTAAGCTCGCTGTATAAGATCTGGGTCAGCCATCTTCAATTGTGATATCACCACATGGTGAGAGCATCCTAGTGTGAGGACAGAGATTTCTTCCATCCTCGGATATGGAAGGAAAGACGCTCTTACCGATACATTCCAACATGGCGAACTTCCATAGATCAGGACTGAGAAATCCCCGTAGATCGAAGATCTCGGCCAATGTCATGCACGGTGCAGCATCGGGCACTCTTTCCAAGACATCGACATTCTTGGGGTCATTCCGGTCGACGATGAAGTCCTGATTACCACCCAAACGACCCGCGAATGGAGGTATAGCGGGCTCGAGGTACGGATGATCGCCCTCAAGCTCGGTCTGGGGCAAATAAGCTACGACCATTGCGTTTCGATTGAGTTTCACCTGGATCAGGTACCCTTCTGCGCGATTAGGCAATCGGTGATGAAACCTTGCCTTGGCTGCGGTGGTGAAACGTAACGAGCTTCTCGCTCATTGGCTGATGGTGCTGACTCACCCCTGCAAGGTTTTCTCTCGGCGAAATATTGACCGCCGAGCCAATCATCGTTCGTCAAGTGGGACCACTTGGCCGAGTCACCGCCGCAGTTACTCAAAAGTTGAGGTGAATTTGATATCCATTTTCAAACAGCTACAGATGGTGTACCAATCAGCTTGTTGTCTTTTTCAATTGAGATGCGATGGAATCAATTATAGGCCATGTGGGGCCAAGAATAATGAAAATGTGACAGTATTCAATACCCATCACCAATTTCAAATCATCAGGGGCAATATTGCAGGCCATCATTTTGGTCTCAGAATCTAGACCACGGCTGCTTAGAAAAGATCACCAAGATCACTTTCCCACTTGGAGTTGGCCGGCATCCACCTCAGGATTTCCCATGATTAATATTAATCACCACCGGGCCCGCTCTTCTCCCACGCCTTACGTAGGACATACCTCCATACCCCGTACTATGGAGTCGGTGATCCCCGCTAGGTCAACGATCTATTAGTCAAGGAAAATACTACTAGTCTGTTCCTAGTCTTTTTTTACCAGTCGCTCGTGTTGGCTTGATTTATATACATGTTGAAGTCAGTAAGATTTGTTCCTAATCGAACCTGCTTAGTTCAGCTAGTAGTATCAAGGTAAACAGGTGATACCTGATCAGTCGCTCAACGGTTGTTTGACAGCATGAGCAACCATACATTACTACTAACATGTCTTCCAAGCTCCTAGTAGCCCCAATCTTCATTCCCATCATCATGACCAGGTTCAGGAGGCGGTGGCGGTGCCGAGTCGGAATGAAAAGAGTCCATATCGCCAATGAAGCTATGCTGCGCATTGTGCAAACAGGGGTGATTGGCGAAGTATGCCACCTGGGCATCCGCCAAAATCCGCAAGGGGGTTCCTGATCTACTTCAAAGCCATTTCTTTCTTCCTTAAACAGACCCCGGCCAGGCGCGATGCGATGCCTATAGGCATCACGCGTGGAAGTGTCTGAGTGCGATATATTGTGAAACATCACCTTCAAGTTGTGAATACGAAACCTGGGCGAAAAGGTTAGAAATATAACGTGGATTGTCAAAATTAGACACACTCACAAATTGATGAGAGCTTCGCCATCATCAGTGCGGAACAAGAGGAGCATGGTACTCTTATAAGGATCATAGTACATATTCATAAAGCTCCCTATCTACCACAACTTCAAGTAAAGCTCTCGTACTATCTCGTTAACTATCTTCAATCTTGCCAGTAGTATAGCTATTACTCTACTAGTATCCAGCCCTGCACAGTATCTACGACAAAGCATTCTATTATTCGCGTCCTCCCCAGAGAGGTATACTATGGTCTTCTCGCAAAGAAGCAGATCGCCTGCCTTGACGTCGCGAGTGCTAAATAACCCTCTGCCCGTGACATTCACTGGCCTCACCTCAATCGGACCAACTTGAATATATGTGGCGTATTCCAGTATAGACTACTCGTTCAGTACTTCATTCAAATTCTTTGCGTTAGCAGCCCTAAACTTGAAGTTCTCAACAGTGGTCCACGGCTACTGGCTCAGAACAAACAAGGGGAGAAAATATTATTGAATTGTTCAATTGTAGTAAGCACCCATGGCATGTAATTGGGATCATTCATGGGGATCATTCAAAACCTGAAGCGTTCAAATAGACAACATGCAATTGGAAGTACCTTGTATTCCATCGGCCGTCCCTTGGGCAATTCAGAACGACACAACTGGGCAACAGAGTGCTAGAATAACCCAGGTATATTAAATCTAAGCAACTAAGTCTTCAAATAATAGTAAACCTCTCCAAGAGGAAGAAAAAGATAGACAAGTTTGTCAATGGTCTGGGTCACGTGACTTAATCTGTGGGCGATGGCTCGGGATTGCAGAAACTCAGCAACTTGTCCTGGCGATAATGTCACCCTACATTCTGAACATCAAAGAAATGACCAACACACGGTCTACTATGGATTGACAGGAACCGAGTTTGGTATCGAAATTGAAATACATAGTCAAAAAGCACCCGGTTTATGCAGACCTCGGACAATTTAAGACCAGCCGCATAAATTGACGAATACTTGGCAATGGATCAGACAACAAAAAACCAGGATCATGGTTCAAAGGATGGCACAGCAAGGCCAAAATCAAAACGTGACTATCCAAAACGCCCTCGGGCCTCCGAAAATAAATTCAATGCCCTGCAAACGGGGATCAAGGAATTTCTGAATACCCCGCCATCACAATCACTTCTTGCTGATCTCGAGATCTCTTTTGACGCCATCACCGCGTCTCTTCCAAAGCGTTACACGGTCTATGAGCCTCTCGTTCTGCTGCCGGCAAATGCATTTAACGCACCCCCACTCTGGGGCACATTCTGTGCCGCGCTATCACCAGAGCAGAAAGATCTCTTATATACCTCAATAGCGAAGGCCTTCGGACGACTCGGCGCAACCCATGTGGCAGTAAACGCACCCATTGCCATGACCACCCAAGGTCAAGAGAACCGGATGCGAAGTCCCGCCGGCCTGATTCCACTTCACGGCAACTTTGGGAATTCCTCCATAGCCGCGGGGGATGAAAGTGAACAACCCGACGCGGCAGAGCTGGAGCATGCATTCTGGGTGCAGACTGTACAAAATCACGGCATTCAACAAATCTGGGCTCCGCTCTATACGATGTTCTCCCGCGGAAATATTACAGAGAAGGCCCGAATTTTGGGACAAGGTCCCTCTCAAGGAACATTTCCAGGCTTGGATGAGCAATCCTTACGAGGGCAAAAAATCTCGGACATCAGTGTTGTTGACATGTATGCAGGCATTGGTTACTTTGTCTTTTCGTACCTCAAGCGAGGTGTCAAGCGTGTCTGGGGATGGGAACTGAACGGTTGGTCGGTGGAAGGCTTGCGTCGAGGATGCGAAGCTAATCGATGGGGCTGCCGAGTGATTAAGGTCCGGGAAAATGGGGGATTGGACATGACGGTTGAAGAGCTTGTGGACAACCTGACAGCGAATGACCGGGTTGTCATCTTTCATGGAGATAACACATTCGCGGCTCAAATTCTCACAAAGGTCCAACAGGTTATGGAGCAGAGGAATACGTGGAGTCCAGTTCGTCATGTCAACCTGGGCCTTTTGCCTTCCTCAAGACCATCCTGGGACAATGCGTGCAAGGTTCTTGACCGACAGCAAGGTGGCTGGTTCCATGTCCATGAAAATGTGGACATGCGAGAGATTGAAGAAATGAAGGAAAAATTAAGGACCGAGCTGGCAAGACTTCGAAAGATCGTCCACGCCGAGCATGACATACCTGGAGACCCCGTCATAGACTGCCATCATGTCGAAAATGTTAAGACATATGCTCCAGGTGTCATGCATTGCGTCTTCGATATTCAAGTTGCGCCTTTTGAAGCGTCTCTCGGTCTTGCAGAATGACAGAGATGAGATTATAAGCTGACTCATGCTTAATGCAATGTTAATCATGACAGAAGCCTGTTTGATACCTTGGACCCTTTCTTCAAACAGTACGCCCCAGAATATAAGCTTCGAATATGGGTAATGCCATCACACGTCTATTCATAGCCTGAAATGGCTCGCCAGTTCATATCATTAGAGTCCGCACAAGGCATAACCATGAGACATTTCACCCCACCAAAGTCCTATATGTGAATGTTTATGTACATTAAGAAAATAATATTCAACCCAAAAACACACTAGAAGTTGCGACGGAATTTCGAGGGGATGTTGACCTCGACAACCTCCATGCGCTCTAGCTTCTCGAGTCGGATCTGGGCAAGTTCTTCCTCATCGTGGCGTCGGAAATGTTCGATATCCTCAGGATGCGTGAGGTCTTCCTCGGTGGTATCATCTCCATGGAACTTTTCGAAGTGATGAATCTCGTACTCATACTCCATGTCGCCATGGTGTCCGGGGCCGAAGCCGAGGTCGGGCAGCCGGGTGCCAGCAGCGACTGCCTTCAACCAGGCGTCACGGGTGATAGTACCGGTGTTTTGTGGATCGAAAAGGTCAAAGACTTGACGGACAGCAGCATCTTTGCGTGACTGGTCCACGCCCTTATTGGATTCGTCGTCGATACCGTAGGTCTTGCGTACTTCGTCGGTAGTCCATGCCCCGGATGCATCGTAGTCGTGGAGTGTGAAGAACGAGGGCGCATCAAATCCATCGATGTGATGTTCCTCTAGAGAGTATATTAGCAGTCATTCAAGACCCATTGAGTATCTTGGACTTCATCGTACCCATCATATGTCTGGTGGCCCAGTCGTCCGACTGCGGTTGATCATTTGAGTGTGAGCCATGGGCACTGGCTAAACCGCTGCTCAGTGCGAGCACTCCGGCGACGAAGCAAACCAATCGCGCGACCATTATTGAAAGATAAAAGGATATGCTGTACTCTGTACTGGAAAAAGAACAGCAAGTCGATTGCGGCCAACTTCTCCCCCGGGCGCCACAGGAGAACCCCGGGCCTGAGCTTGTTTGCATTGTTTGCACCATCGTGAAATTCCGGCGACGCCAAAACTGTAAAGAATCCCACGCATCACCCCATATCAACAGCGGACTCCGTGGGGAGTCCAATTGGCCGATTTCACCTATTCCACCTTCCTCACTCAACTACCGTGATCTATTGCTTGACGGAGATGCTTTGATAATGCAAAGTTTGTGGTCCCGTGCCGGCCGCTCGCAGACGTCCTGTCGTTGCGTTTCGTGCTTAAGCACGACCGCCAACGGGGTCGCTTCGCGATCGGCAGGTGCTGCCAGCAAGAAACGTCTTCGCATAGGCAATTCCGTCACCGCATTGTACACGAGCATATTCGCCGCCGCCGCCCTAGCCGATGCGAGAGCCAAGACTCAACGACGAAATGACTGGGAGGAAAAGATTGCCGCGGTCAAGGCCGAGGTAGATGTATTGGTGGATGAAGAACAACGCATTCTCGAGTCTTTACAAAGTCGACGGAAATCCCGAGGAGTTCAGCGATTGCTACAACCCGGGGGATTGGGCACAACCTCGAACTTTACATCCGCACCGAAGCAACGAGCGACCTTGGCCCGGCCCACAAGGTCCTACCATACTACCCAACGCGGTCTCGCCAATGCGACCGCTGCGGAGATCCAGGACAAATTGCTGGAGGAGATGGACGTCTTCGACCCGGAAGAGGAGGATCTGGTTTTGGAACAGCAACCACTACCCAACTGGATTTTGAAAGAGCCACTCCGGATGAAGGCTATTCAACTATTAGCGTTGAAGCAATTTGCGATTCGCCTTTTGCTGAGGCCAGCCGTCGCACACCGATACTCGGGAGTCAAAATGAACTACGCCCCGGATTTCGAAGTCCCTAAGATCAACGTGGACAGACTTCTAGACGAGTTGAACAACATCCGCCGTCGCATGAAACATTTACGAGAGGACAAAAATGCGCATTACGAAGATTTGACACAGGGGCTTACCAAGAATATGTCGGACCAAGACCAACAGGATAGGACCTTGAGATTTCGTGAGCGGCTAGATGACGAGCTTGATCAGGATATTCATCTTTACATGTGTCAGGAGATGTTTCTCCAAGAGCTACTGCTACGCATCTCTCAAAATCTCATGGTTTCCAAGGAGCCTGATCGCACAGCAGCATTCCGAGCCATTCTCATTGCTTTCACCCGCACCCGACAGAATGATCTATGCGATATGCTCTTGAAAATGCTCATTCCGAACCAATTCTATCTCAGCACATCCCTGGTCATCACAATACTGGCTTTCTTCCGCAAGTCTAAGAACCTCAAAGACTTTGACTTGTTCCTCCAAATGCTCAGTGGAGAAGGATATGACATTAACATTGGGTTCCTTGGCTATTACCGAACGATGAAGATCAATGGTGTTGATATTGTCGTTCCGCCAATGGACAGCAATAACCCTGTCCTCTATACCGAGCTGATCGCAGCCTCTTTACGGTTCGATCAGCCAGACAGGGCGGATGCCTATCTTCAAGCCGCACGCAGAGCTGGTTTCTTCGATAACTATCATACTGTCGCAATTTACCTCCGATTTTACAGCATCAGACAGGATTGGGAAAAGGGATCGTCTGCACTGAAGAGAGCCATCACCCACCTCGTGTCATCAACGGATCCCGTAGAAAGCCACGTCCCGCGGCTTCTTGTGCGGATGGTTCAACTATGCGATGCATGCAATCGAAAAGAGGTGTCGCAAGCTTTGATTGATGCTGCTGTACACAGCGGCTTTGACCCGAACATCCCGCTGCAACAAGATGAACTCACCCCCATCTATGACCCTGCGGGCAAACGGTGGAAAGAGGCGGCCAAGTCGGCATCATCGAGAGAGAATGCCCATAATCCTCTTTGGCAAAAATGCTACGACTTTGCAAGCATATTTGGTGAATACTTGAGCAGGCTCGAGACATCAGAGAATGCTAGTAAAATCCAGCAATTTGATCAGTTCTCTGCTCAATATGCGCATAATTCCATGGTCGCCTCACTTGCCCATGTTCCAGGACAGACCGGGCACACGATGGTGTCCAATTTGTCGCCAATCGGACAGCCAGAGGTTGATCTTTCACAAAAGACGCAACCGCAAAACCAACAGTCGGAAGAGCTCGCATCAATGAAGATTGAACTAGCCCAGCTTCGACAGCTAGTCTTCCAGATGCGCGAGCATCATATTGAATCATCATTCAAGGATGATGAGTTCCAGGAAGACCATGTCAAACCGAGTCTACAGAACCTTGAGACTGGCCCCAAACCCGCCAATGATATCGAGGACCCGCACATGAGCATCGAATTCGAGCGGAAATCTACACCCACCGAGGAGAAAAGACATCCTTCGTCTGGGAAAAGGAGACGCGCAGTTTCAAAGTCAATACAATGACCATGAAGACTTTCAATTCTTCGTTGGTTATTTTGAAGATTTCTACAAACTCGTTTCGGTAGACCAAATCTCGTTTGTGGTTGAGAAGGCGACTTGGTAGCCCGTGTATACATTACAGAAAAATTGGGGTTTGGCGCTTTGATGAATGGTTATAAATTTTGTACATTACCCCAGCATGTCTATGAGTATAGACTCAATAACAAGAAAGAACATGTATCATATTATACAATGAGCTTTCGTTAAAAACTTTGCCCCCTACTATTAGTTACGACTACTAGTATGTATAATCGGGAAAAGAACTGCAAAGGACTCGGAGATGCACCGAATATAATACAATGATTGAACTTCTACCTGAAGACTTTTAGGCATTTACCGGAAATTTTTGACAAAAGGGAATCTAAAACGAGGACATTGAGCCGTGAAGATCTAACACAAAAAGAGACAATGGTCTATCGGCGCTCGGAGCGCATCTTTTCCTTGCGAGCGAGTCGGTCGGCGGCACGCTGGAGAGATGATCGGATATCGCCTTTAGGGAACGAGTTGACATCATAGTATGTGGGCGCAATATCCTGCTTCGGTATTAGCAAATGTAAATAGTGGTGGATCAAGAATACTGAACGTACCAATAGCCACTCGGGCTTAATAGCGACTACCGTACGAATGTAGTTCTTGGTAGTAAGAACGAATTCGTTGTATAAGACCCATTCCGCATCGTGGGCCAAGACAGTGGACGGGTGCAGAAGAACACTTTGGTTGTCCTTGATGGTGGTGTATACACTCTTGCCTTGAGACTCCTTCTTGGCAACTTGCATGAAGAATCCGGCACACAGAGCGCGACGGATGTTCTCGTAATACTTCTTGTCGTCGAAGGGGGTCGACACCATGTCGAGTTCTTCGCGCTCCATAATTCGGAGCAATTGCATGCGAACGTTGTCCGCGGACTGCAGGGAACGAAGGGAGAGGAAATGGTCGTGGCACCACTGCTTGGGGTTTGCTTGCGCCTCAGCACCCTTGAATGCGTGATAGACGTTCAAAAGGGTCAACTGATCACCATGCTCGTGAGAGAAGAGAGCCTTCATCTCATCGGCGCGCTTCCGCTGGGATGCAGGGCGAACGAACACATTAGGAACGGAGAGGAGAGCAGTGATGGAAAGAATTTCGTTAGAGCAGTAAAACTCGGGAGAGCTGATCAGCATGACTGCCAGAACCGGATCAAGCGGGAAGTCAGATGCCAGGCGACCAAGTTGGGTGAGTTCACCCTCATCGTCCAGACAAGCCAAATAGTTGAGCTCCTCCAACGCTCTCATCAAAGTCTCTGGCGCGGGGGGGGTCCATCAGATCAAAATGAACCAGGTCATCAATTCCAAGCTTCTTCAATTCGAGCACGGTAGAGGACAAGTTCGACCGAAGAATCTCAGGGTATGTCTGCTCGATAAGCTCTTTCTTGAAAGCCTCCTCGGTGTAAAGACGGAAGCACTTTCCAGGACGCGTACGACCCGCACGACCAGCTCGCTGTTGCGCGGAAGCCTTGGAGATGGGTGAGACCAGCAGAGATTCGACACGGATACGGGGGTTGTAGATCTTTTGCTTGGAGAAACCGGGATCCACCACATACACGATTCCGTCGATGGTAAGAGATGTTTCGGCAATGTTGGTGGAGATGATGACTTTCCTACCGGGGCGGCCACCGGGACGACGAGCCGGAGGTGCAGGGTCGAAGATGCGTTGTTGCATGTGGGGAGGCAGACTACCGTAAAGCGGATACACCTTGAGAGGGCCAGCATCGGCTTCCCTGACCATTTCGTCACCCTCAAGTGCAATCTTGCGCGCGGCATCTTCAATCTCTTCTTCACCAGTTAAGAAAACCAAAATATCTCCTTCATCTTCGGTGGCGTGAATCTGTAGGACAGTCCGAATGGCGGCCTCAACGTAGTCCTGCTCCGGCTCGGGGGTGTAGAAAATCTCGACGGGATGGGTTCGTCCAGGCACTGCGAGAAGCGGCGCATCCAAAAAGTAGCGCTGGAACTTTTGCGCATCAAGGGTGGCAGACATGATGATGATCTTGAGGTCAGCCCGGCGCGCCACAACTTCTTTCAAAAGACCCATGAGAACATCAGTAGCCATTGTCCGTTCGTGAGCCTCGTCAAGGATGATGGTGCTGTAGCGCGACAGATTGTGATCGTTCATGGCCTCTCGCAAGAGCATACCATCAGTCATATATTTCAACAGAGTCTTCGAGCTCGTCTTGTCTTCGAAACGAATACTATAACCGACTTCATCGCCAAGCTTGACATCCATCTCCTCAGCGACACGTTGGGCAACGGACATGGCCGCAACACGACGAGGCTGGGTACAGGCGACCATCTTGCGCTGGGTCTGGGGGAGGTCATCGAAGAGGACGAATTGCGGGATCTGGGTGGTCTTTCCGGAACCGGTTTCACCAACGAAGACAAGGATTTGGGATTGCTGGTAGAGCTGCAGGAATTCATCGCTGGAAGAACAGAAAAATGTATATGTTAGTATGACTGAATAATGGCGACGAGAGGGACGGAGGGCTTCAGCTTACCGCTGCTGGTGAACGGGCAGATCACGACGACCCTTCAAGATGGAGAAGTATTTGCTGGAAAAAGGCTGACCATTGAACGGATTCGCATCACCATCCTCGGCCTTTTTGGCCAGCGCCGCCGTAGTCTGATGGCGCTTGAACTTGGCAAAGGCCGAGCTGGAGTCGACCTTGGAGTGATTATCCTCGTACATGTGGGCGAGGTATGGGTTATTCTTGGGGTCTCCGGCCTCCATCTTCTGACGCTTTGCTCGCGAACCGTCCTCCGGGTCTGAACGACGATCAACCATAGTGCGCAATGCTCTCAAGTCGGGGAAAGGTGGTAAAAAGTCGGGCGAGATAAAAAAAATCTCGGATCGGCCTGGACGAGGGCGATAGAGAAAGCCTATCGCCGCATTCACCGCCTGTATTATTCTGCCTCGCCGCTCCCCACAATCAAGCGAAAGGGATTCCCTGATTCATATCTCGTATATCAGAGCTTGAGACAAGCCCCAGAGCTTTGATCAAGATGGAAAACTACGCCTCTGATGACCCAGGTCCAGCCTTCCTTATCGGTCACCATGAAAGTAACCGATCTATGGCCGTGACCACCGATACCATCTTCAAGGTTCACGAATCTAACGTGGGTAGCCCCCTCCTGTGCTATTCTTATTCTCATACATCAGTACGCATATTGACGAATTTTAGTATGATATGTTGACGGCACCTATCACAACCCCTCACTTTCATTCACGGGTCTTGGGGCTGCTCTCTTCTTATCTGTCCAACCTCCAGTCACCAACATATGACTCCATTGGGACTATGGGAACGTCTCAGAACACCCGTCCACTGATTGTGCCAGCCCTGTCCAAACTGGATACTCATCTCACCCCCCAATGATGCTACTAGCCAGATCGTAGGAGTGATTAGTAGCTGGATTGACCTGTGCTCGCCAGATCCTTTGATCGCAGACTTGTCGCGCCAGGTGCTGCTTTTGGAGGTTGCATACGCCGCTTTCTGTGGTATTGGGTATCTTTTGGTCCCTAGCCCCAAACTACACCATGGTGATCTTCATTCAGAGGGTGTGGTTTACTATGCTCGGGCTATTCAGGATGCGATCAACCTTGGTCCCTACATCCAGTTTCATATCTGGCTTCAAATGACTGATAGCCCCGAGTTGGAGGTTGATACGATTGGAGATTTGGCTCCCCTTGCCCGCGCAGAATACCTGCTACCCGAAGAAGGCGTGTCCCCAAAATTGGATCTCTTTGGTACTTGGGATGCCTGGGATTTGATTCGCAAGACTTGTAAATACCATACAAGGTTGCTCGTAGGTAAGATGCGCTTAGGCCCCCCCCCCCCCCTTGTCCCCTCCTAGAATCATCTTTTGCTAAATTATATGACAGCCCTGGTGATGCCAAGACAGCTACCCCCTCTGACCGTGCAATCGCGCTGGCACTCGGAACCCGTGCATCTCTTGACCATTGATGGCTCATGCTTTTTGAAAAACCAGAAGGGATATCCGGTTCTATCCAAGGCCCACCAGTCTTTGATTGCAAAGATGATGCGTCTCCGAACCGTACCTTGGATCCTTCTCTGTGACGTGGGATCCATTCCTGGCATCGAGGACACGGAAGTGGATGGGGACGAGGAAAATAAGTCTCCACTCTCCGGCTCCGAGTATCCCAGCTTGTCTCAGGTGGCGGGATCAACCAAGAAGCATTTTGATCCCACCCCACATCTCTCCTATATTCGGAATCTGCAACAGCGCCAACCTGCACGAACCCCCATCGAGCGATTTGGCGTGGGGTATCAAGATTATTTGCAGGCTCCTTTGCAACCGCTTACTGTCAATTTGGAGAGTATCACTTATGAAGTTTTTGAAAAGGATCCGATCAAATATGAATGGTATGAGCGTGCAATCACAAAGGCACTAAGAGACTGGGCCGATCAAAAGAAGCCAACATCTCACCCGGATGGAAAGGTGATTCTTGCCGTCGTCGGTGCTGGGCGTGGACCACTTGTGACTCGAGCACTCAAGGCCAGTGAAGAGGCTGGGGTTGAACTTGATCTATGGGTCGTTGAAAAGAACGAAAATGCATTTGTTTTGTTGCAGCGACATAACGAGACTACCTGGGGTGGCAAGGCCACATTGGTCAAATCTGACATGCGGAGCTGGAAAGGACCGCTTGTGCGGCGTCAAGCAGGAGGAAAGGCCGGTCAGGACCTTGTCGGTGAATCGTTGGGCATCGAGGACTCCCTATTATATGACCCGAAGAAGGGCGATAATGACCCCGGTCGAGCATCTGATGTACCCGAAAAAAATGCCGCTGACCTCTCGTACACCCACGTCGACATAGTGGTTTCTGAGTTGCTTGGGTCGTTTGCCGATAACGAGCTGTCCCCTGAGTGCTTGGATGGAATTAACGATCTCATCAATCCTGTGCATGGAATTTCCATTCCGGCTTCATACTCGGCCCATTTTACGCCAGTCTCAGCCCCCAAATTGCACTCAGATGTGATGAACCAGACCGTCTCTAACCCGGCCGCCCCGGAGACGCCTTACGTGGTCATGCTACACGCTATCGATTTCCTGTCTTCGCATGAAACCCCGATTAACCCTGATGCCGGAAGCCAAAACCCTACAAATCGCTCTTCTGGCTCAAGCGCACCCATTACGGCCACCGAATTTCAAACCCCTTTCGTCCAAACAGCATGGTCCTTTTCTCACCCGAACCGGAACATTCCAGACCAAGCGCCATCCTCGTCCACCATCTCAAATGCCCACAACGTACGACAGACCCGTCTGTCATTCCCTGCCCAAAACCGCGGTGCATGCCACGGCCTGGCTGGGTACTTTGAAACCGTTCTGTACGGAGACGTAGAACTGTCTACCAATCCGGTAACCATGGAAGAGAAGAGCGCTAGCATGATCAGCTGGTTCCCTATATACTTTCCGTTGAAGGTAAGTTTTCTCCTCCGGTGATATTTTACTCCCGCTTTTCGATCGGGCCATTTTTAATGCGACGTGTGCTAATATCTACAAAAACAGACACCCTTGAATGTCCCTGACAACGGTGAGATTGTTGTCACAATGTACCGTCAAACAGACGACCGTAAGGTCTGGTATGAGTGGATGGTTGAGGTTTTTGCCCTGGAGCCTACCCCCGCAGCAGCGAGCAAGCGTGCCGTGCCGATGATGAGCGGCGCCCAGTCTGTATCACCCAGCGTTGAAAGCCTCAAAATCAAGGAAAACAACCAAAGAAGACCTGGAAGCACACCTGGATATCGTCGCGTGCGGGTTGGCATGAGTGACCTACATTCAAGCATCAAGGATGGCTGTCTGATGTGAGAGTATACCAGCTGACGATGAAGACTTATCCTGTGTCTGCTATATCTTTCACTGCATAAATTACAAAAAAAAAAAGCCCACTGGGGCCAATAGAATGATGACCTAGAACCAAAATTCCGCTTATCAGGTATTCGACTCGCCTGGCAATTATCAATACAACTCTTCTTTTGTAAAAATCCCACAAAAACCACCAGAACTGTACATTTCCAAGGTTCATGATACAAGGATAAGACTCATGACCATGACCACCTGGGCATGGCCATAACTACAGGCTTCCCAAGGGGAACCTGATGATTTTCACATGCTTTTGATAAATTTGATGGGATTAAATTGGTGGTATAATGTGTTCAAGGTTTCTCGTGAGTGATATTTGAATCTGCCTCCAATATGGGCCGCGTTGCAGCAACTTCTGCGACCGATAGTGATCTGTCGATCTCCGATGTACCTTTCACTGCTAGAGGGGTCCGCGAATCTGCCTCCACTGGGCGCTCCGATCTCCTGATGATCATGGTACGTACAGGCGCATCTTCCAAATCGTCGTTTAACTTCGCTGGAAACCTCCAGGCGCATAACCCAAGTCCAAGATAAGTGCCCATACAAAAAAAGAATTGAACAACCTCGCGAGCAGCAATTGCCACCTGTGTCGGGTAGATGTGTGCGAGGTAGGAGTTAATGCTCCAAATAGCCCAGAGTCCGTTCAGAGCGAAGAAAAATCCACTCGCAGTGAAGGTAAGGTATGTGGACATCTTCAATGTGGACATTAGTTAACTGTAGAGTGGAATAGAAATCCTCTTTCAACTTACTCTCATATGAGGTGCCTGGGATGAAGTCCGCATGCCCATGAAAATCATGGCCCCCAGGATCTCCCAAGATCCCACCCAGAATAAAATCCACTTGACCGACATAATTTTTGACCATATCTGGTAGTGGTCAAGTTGCAGAGTGTATTTGGGTCGGATATACTGCATTTGGCCCAGAATATTATAGACATACCAGGCAAAGTCAACAATGCTTATAGCGACAAATATTCCCATAAGAACCCAATGAAACCTGTTTAAGCGAGGCCAAAAGCTACTCTGACCCATAATTTCCTGTCCAAAGGTGTAGATAGTTGCATAAAATATGTAGAACAGAAGGTTGACTGCGATCAACATCAAGCCTTCGCTAATCGGCTCTGCGGAGGGATAAGTGTCCTTCAGGTGAACGCCTGCGAGACGTATGGAATTGTAAACGCCGACAGATATCTCAGCTCTAACAAAGTAGAGCACCATTAGCAGTATTCCAAGGCTAATGACGATATAGCAAGATATTTAGTTGAAATATTCTCACACTTACCCGAGGTAAAAAACCATGGATGCCAATAAAGCCTTGAAAGGCAGTGGGTTCAGGACATTGCCCCTCTTTCTTTGGAGAATGATATATAACGTAACCAGAATTGCTAGGCCTAGGGCGAGTAGGAGCTCAAAGACCGCATAGCAGATTCTAAAAACAGCGCTACTTTCACCGTCGAAAGAGAACCTCATGCTGGGTTCGCTCCTGTCTAGCGACGCGACTAGAGCTTGAAGATGTCGACATAAGATCTCGGTTGAAGTGCAGACAAAAGATTCAGAATCAAGAAGAAAACACGTCTTTTAGTGATTTCAGAGCATTGAGAGGACAAAGGCAGTGTTAGGGATTCCGATCGCAGGCAAGACCAAGGCAGAATTGACGACGCATGTCCCTTGAGGCGAGCCGAGAAGCTCCAATGAACAAGTCTGATTTGCCGCCTGGATATGGGATCGGCGCCTGGCAAACGCCTGGGCACCCCTGGTGAAACTTGGAAATTGCCAGTGGGCGTCCGTGAGTTCAGCCTTGAACATCAACGAGAAATATTAACCTTCGGGTCGCTTAGTACTGGTCGCTTAAATCATAATGAAAAGGCTGATCCATTTAGGCGCGAAATTAAACTATGCTGGCAAAATCGCTCAGGCTGAGCTTCTATTCTCATTTTTCAAGATTCTTGGCCCCTGTATTTCTTCCTGGTGAGCGTTTCACCTTGACCTACACAAGTAATGATCGGCGTAATGCACAAGGCAGTGAGCATTTCAATGCAAACCAATTTGAAAGCCCAAGGTATCTCACATCAGACCTGATGCGCAAATACTCCATATATTAATCGTTTCTACATCAAAGCCAAATATAGACGAGGCGTTTAATCTCAGTGTCCACGGCAACATTTGCTGGTTTTACCTGGTATCTCCAACTTCCAAGGATTTGACAGATATACATTCCATGGGCAAAAGGTAATGTTTTAAAATATTGCGTAAAATTATTTTGCGCGAAATGAGAAACCAGAACTTGTGCTGGTAGGAAAATGGATATTAAAGGACTTTCTCGGGCCAGATATCATCTTTGAAGACTACCCCAGACCCTTTAAGAAAAGTTTAGTCACCATTCATTAATAGCCACATGACGTCGACAGATGTAGGCCATTTTTTCTACATAATGGGGACAACGCTCAAGCACGTTCACATCTTCAAGTTAGAACTTGAACCTCGGATCAGATTGCGCAGCTGAGGGCGCCGGGGTTATCATACATTCCGAGAGTGGGTCAGGTCCCGATCACGAATTGAATTTTAATTAATTTGTGTTCCCATTCTCCAAGTCGGACCCGCCTTTGCAGATTGAATACTAAGTGAATGAACAGGTCAGCCGATGCTCGCCGAGACCTGTTCCTGTAATCCCTGTCATGCAACCTCGGCATAGTTCCTTCAAGATGAACTGAAATGCGGACGAATTAATCTGGAAGCAAGCCCAGCGATCTTGGATTGGCTGGCTGTCATTGGGCAGAAGAATTCTTGCCCGCATGCGTTCGGTGGCGGATTTAGCCTGTCCTACCTTAATCGCCAAGGTGTTCGTCACTCGAAGCCACTGTTAGCTGCTAGTTGCTAGTTGCTAACTAGGCTTTCACTTTCGGGCCAAGAACATTCGTTCTACCCCGTAAATCATCCAAAGTCAGCGAACGGCAGAAATTCGGTAATCCATCTTTCCATTCCCATGTGGTCGCCTTCAATCTCGATGATCATCGCCGGTCTCATCGCTTGTCTCAAATCCTCCCCGGACCAGTCCCCCGGAAAGAGTTAGACGCCCGCGGAGCCCCATCTTCATCCACGGTCCATCTATCGCCAAGCTCTAACAATCGCTCCAAATGGGTCCGCATCAGGCTGCCTTAACCACTGATTGACGATGTGATCTTCACAGATCGAATGTTAACAGGTAAGTACACCGATGCACCGAGGTAATTCTACTCGTTGGAAAGCCGATATGACTGGCAATCACTGCCAGTCTCGTCTGATCATGCATCCAATTCGTCGTTCATTGCATGGTACGCAACGTTCCTGGTGGATAATCAAGCAGGAACCGGGCTATCCTCCTGCGTGGAACTGAAATGGCCTCAGCTGAATATAAAGGGCCGGCGACGGTCCTGGGGATCACTTCAATCAGCGAAACCCTTGTACCAAATAATCATGCGTTTCTCAATCCTGACAGCAGTGTCCGCCGTTGTTGCCCTTGGGCATGCTCTGCCAAATAACCTGCAGGCTCGAGGTACGATGACATAGAAGGATCTCACTTTGTTTCTACCACTCATGTATTTGCAGATATCCCAGCCAACGAATTATCGCAGTTCAAGTTCTGGGTGGAGTATGCGGCTGCATCCTACTGCTACGACAATTATGCTTCTAAGCCTGGCCACAAGTTGACCTGCTCGGCTCACAACTGTCCCCAAGTGGAAAAGAGTGACACTAGTATTGTGTATGACTTTTCCAAGTGAGTATACCACAATTCCAGAGACACGATAGACCTCGTCACTAATTGACATAGCACCACCTTAACCGATACCGCCGGCTACATTGCACTAGATAACACCAACAAGGCTATCGTCCTGGCCTTCCGTGGCTCCTATTCGGTTCGCAACTGGATCGCCGACGCTTCATTCTTCTACACCGACCCGAAACTCTGTGATGGCTGCTCTGCAGAGCTGGGCTTCTGGAGCTCGTGGACTAACGTCCGCGATCCCATCTCAAAGGTCCTGAATGAAACCGTTACTGAGAACCCCGACTACGAATTGATCGTCGTCGGTCATAGCTTAGGCGCCGGAGTTGCTACCCTCGCTGCTGCTGATCTTCGTGTCAAGGGTCATCCCTCGACTAAGCTATACGCATACGCATCTCCTCGTGTGGCCAACCCAGCCTTGGCCAAGTATATCTCCGCACAGCCAAATAACTACCGCTTCACCCACATCGACGATCCCGTTCCCAAACTGCCTTTGATTGCTATGGGATATGTTCATGTCAGCCCCGAGTACTACATTACTGCACCAAACAACGCAACTGTATCGGCTAGCGAGGTCCAGGTTCTCAAGGGGGATATCAACTGGGAAGGAAACACTGGTACTGGCGTACCATCATTGACTGCATTCGATGCCCACCATTGGTACTTCAACGAAGCAGACGGCTGTCTCGGAGCTGGTTTGCCTCTTAAATAGATACAGACTTAATGTGGCGTGATGTTCTTTGAATCTGGCTGGAATTGTGATAGTTTAGTTGATAGAAGTACAATAATAGATGATAATTTTATGTGTATTCTTATTTTTGCATTGTTTTATTCTCTTTCCGACGTCCAACCATAGTAATAGTACGGTGCAATTTATCAAATCCAATTGATTGACGAAATCGTTCAAATTTCCGAAATAGTTATAGCCAGAGCAACCAGATGTCTAAAAGCTTGACTCGGACAACGCGCTTCAATTTCACTACGCCATCATGGATCTAACCATGGCAAAGAGTAGGTAGTATAGTCCAAATTTCCAACCAATTCAATATATTCACCACTACCTAGGTATCTCGTAAGTTGAAGGAGATAATCAGAGGGTCTCATGCCAATGAGAAGCATTCTATTCCGGTGCAATCTCAACAACCACCTTTTTCGCCGAGACACCCCTCTTGAGAAGATCTATACCTTCCTGCACTTTACCAAGACCTCCATTTATAATGACAGGATCTGGTTTTGCCTGGAATATTCCCTTCGCGAAAGCTGACGGGATGTATTGGCGCCAAACTGCGTCCCCGACCTCGGGATTCGTGAATCCAGGGGCTAGACCGTTCACTTCAAAGTATCAGCAAAAGTTTCATCATGGAGGATAAGAATCTTACCAAATACTCGTTCCACATTTTCAAAGACCGATCCGTTGGGAGAATTCAAGACTGGTAGTTTGCCACCGCCAATTCGCGACAAAATCTCTCCACATTTGACCTGAGTGTCCTCGCCGCTAATACAGTCGATGACCAAATCACCTGGTCTTAGAAGATTGGAGATCCTATCAACAGTATCGGGATCTTTGTGGTCAAAAACTTCGGTTGCCCCGAGTTCCTTGACCTGAGCATGGTTAGCACTGCTAGCGGTGGTGATAACTTCAAGACCCGCAGCGCGCGCAAGTTGAATGGCGGAAGTCCCGACAGAGGAGCTGCCTCCCCATACAAGAATTTTCTTTCCTGTCAACTGGGGGTTCAGCGTGGGAAGAGGCGCCTTGAGCTGGACGAAAAGCGCACTGGAAGCCGTGCTTATAGAGATTGGGAGGACGACGGCATTAGCCAATGGCAGAGAATCCGGTACCGCTGCAACTAAGATTTCGCGACAAGTAGTGTATAGTTGGAATGCAGAGTTGGATGCCTTTCCAGACACAAAACCATCACAATGACTAGAAGATTTATTAGCAACTATCCAGGGGGGGCCCATAATCTAGTCAAGGCTATATGGAGTAGACCTACCCAATAACTCTTTGTCCGAGTTTAAATCGAGTAACGCCGGAGCCCAGTTGAACAATGGTTCCCGCGACATCAGTTCCAAGGATGAAGGGATACTTCAGCTCGAAAATGGCTTCTTCTTGCAGCTTTACAGATGTTAGATTCTTCTACTTTAGGTAACGTATTCTATCCACAGGATATTGGGGCTGACCTGACCTTCCAGTCTACTGGATTGACAGCCGCGTATGCGACTTTGATGACAATTTCATTTTCTTGTGGAATTGGTGTCGGTGCAGGCCCAATCTGCAGAGGCTTCGATTTCGCGGAGGCAATCCACGCTGCTTCGTTGATAAATGGAGACATTTTTTGCTATTATCTCGTTGCCGGATTGAATTGCAATGAAGGTTATGCACTGAAGTGTACGCAGAAAGTTCGAAGGAATGAAGTTGGCTTTAAGTCCTTTTACATCATGATGCCACACCCAATCTATGAGCGCATTTGTTTAATGTCTCTATTGATTTTTACATGTTGGTAATCAATATTAATTACTAAGATGATTTGTAGTTGAGGGTTGGTCACATAATGAGTGTCGCCATTTGTCAGGACTATTTGTAACTTGGTTTCCCCCAGCATTGTCGGCTCCCACCTATCCCACCTATCCCACCGACCCTATGATCACGATTTTTCATTGCTACTGAGGCAATTGGTGCCTCAGGCATGAAGATCACATTGCCGGATTTATCATTTCCGGTTTAGGTAGCCTTCTCCGATTCTCTCTCTCACACCCACCACCATTAAGAGTTTCCAGTTCAAATAACCAGGCAATTAATTTTTCCGATTTATCTGTTTTTGATTAAAGGGGCAACGAACTTATTAGTCTGCCATAGATTATATGCCGGGTCAAAAAGCGTCACAACCAGCTATTCTAGATTGAATTTCATGATCTCTGCCTCTGCCTCCGACATCCGGATGATCGCTTAGATACCCTCAAGCTGTCCCATTTACCGTTGGATATGAACTTATTTGCCGCTAACATCAAAATCGCAACGAGTAAAAGGTAATAGCCAGATTAGCCCAATTAATCATGTTTCTTACCTAGTGTCAACGATCCATGAAGAGAGGGCCTTGGCGTTCTATTCTATGGCAAGCATAGTAAATAATAAAGATGTGGAATCTCAACACTACTAGTATTAATTCTAATAATGATAGAAATAACTACTAGCCACCGCTGGAAGGCTGAAAACCGCCAAAATGCTTGTTCGTCGCCATGGTTTCATGGGTTGCCAACGAATCGGATCCCCCACTCAACAAGACCCGATTTGTTTAGCTCTGCTCCGGTCAATTAGTGAAAATGAGCAGGTGAATGCATTGGCCCGATTGAATGAGCTCCTCGCAAATATTTCAAATCAATTGGAGTAGTTCTGTCTTTAGGGGGGGGGTTTTTTGAAAAAAGAAAAGAAAACTTCCAAGGTTGAAAAAGAAAAAAAGGGATGATGGAATGCAATAAGGGCGAGTGTACAGAGTATATTTGTCCGGGACTTTTGGTCAACTTGAAGTACTCCGAAGTAGCTGAGTTAACGCGAGTCAATTGGGTTTTGCTAGTATGAAATACCATCAACCTCCGGGCTCAATTATTGGTTGGGATAAAACAATAACAGCTGCGTCGTGGCCAGTGGGTCTTCTTGGTGAGAAGCGACCACAATCCACCGAATGCTGCCTGCGCTTCCAGGGCACAAGAGTTCTACCATGGGAGAGACATCCTATTTTTGCTTTGCTCTCAAGTTGCCTCCCACGAAGAGAAGACTGGGGCTTCAAGTACTCGGCATTGCGTATTGATAAAAAATGTGTTCGCCGAGGTGTACGTAGGTCGCCCGGTTAGATCCGCCGCGCCAGGCCAACCACGCAAGCTGCTACCGTCATCCGCCATCGCCCAAGCTTTTCTGGTGGAGCCACCAGATTGCTCGATTCAAGCTGAATTCGAGATAAGTCTTTGCTTTTTCGCTTGTTCTTCCCCACTCAAATGGCTCTGTAGACCAATCATCCAATCATGATGTCTCTACTCCTGAATCATTGTCTGTGCCGGTGGAGGTGCTGCCCCATGGCGGAGGAGAATGGCGTACTCAGTTCGTGGCAGATGGAGTCGCTTAATATAAATAGATATTTTGAAGACAATGATTGCCTGGTTTCCTGGTCTACGATACGTTTGCTTCGAGCCCTATAAACTAAAGGATCCGCCGTTGTCGTCTCTTCACTCGTTTTGGACTCACCTCGCTAGTATTCCATTCACCAGGGCATATATCATCCAACCTCTCGAAAAAAAATTGCAATTCACAGTCATCATGTTTGTCGACTCTTACCTGAAATGGGCTGCGATTGGCCTGGCTACTGCCCAGCTTGGTGCTGCCCAAACTTATACAACCTGCAACCCGCTGAAGAGTTAGTCGATGCCCTCTCCTCAATTGAATGATAGTCTCTCGATATCTAACACTTTCCTTTCTAGAAACCTGCGCTGCGGACACCGGTCTGGACAAATGGCAATTCGATACCGACTTCACTTCGGGCACTTCTTCCTTCAGCAAGTGGAATGTCACCGCGGGCACCGTTGAGAGCACTTCTCTGGGCGCCAAGTTCACCATCTCCGAGCAGGGAGATGCACCCACCATCGAGAGTGAATTCTATATCTTCTTCGGTCGCGTCGATGTCAAGTTCAGAGCTGCCAACGGTACTGGCATCATCAGCACCATGGTTATGGAGTCTGATGATCTTGATGAGATTGACTGGGTAAGTGACTCGTAGATCCTATATTTTCCAAGGTTTCGACCAACGTTAAGGCCTGTCTAACACATGATATAGGAGCAAATCAGTACCTACGATACCTCCATCGAGACCGACTATTTCGGCAAGGGCAACACTACCTCCTACGATCGCGCCACAACCGTCACTGTTTCCACCCCTGAAGAGACTTTCCACACCTACAGTGTTGACTGGACCTCCAGCCGTATCGAGTGGCTGCTAGACGGCACTGTCGTCCGCACCTTGGAGTATGCCGATGCTGTCTCCGGCAAGAATTACCCCCAGACTCCCATGCGCGTCAAGATCGGTATCTGGGCCGGTGGTGACTCTGACAACTCCGAGGGAACAATTGAGTGGGCCGGTGGTGAGACTGTCTACACCGACGGTCCCTTCTCCATGTACGTCGAGTCCGTCAACATCACCAACTACAACCCCGCCCAGGCCTACAAGTACACCGACAAGACTGGCGCCTACACTAGCATTAAGGCTTCCAATGGTACTACTTCGACCAACCTGTCCGGCACTACATCGAGCTCTATCTCTAGCAGCGCATCAGCCAGCTCTTCTTCCAAGGCCTCTAGCTCTTCTGCTGCTAGCGCATCCGCGTCGTCTTACATGACCTCTGCCGCATCGATCTCGATGTATTCCTCAATTTTTGCCACTGCCATGGTCGTCCTTGCTGCTGGTGCCCTCCAACTATAGATGAGCATTGCCTACCACTGTGATAATGCCTGTACGCCTTACGTGATGGTATATTTGTGATTATAGACCAGTCAAACATTTCAAGCTTTCGCTCCTTTCAAGCTTTCGCTCCTTTCAATTATCAAGTTCAGCTTGCACTTCTCACCCCCAATTACTACTATTACTATATAGCATAGTCGGTGTCCCTCTTGAAAATGATACGGCAACAGGTAATACCAGTGGACGCGGAGAAAGTTGTCGAGTTGGGGAGTATGATTCGTTAGGTCGTTGTATTTTTCCGTTATTGTGATGCCCCAAAGTACCGAGTACGTATAAGGATAGCACAAGCAACTCTTGGGCTTGGTCTGCTCCATGGTGCCACCTGCAACCCGAAAATCAGGGCCTGGATTGGGGCATCAGCCGATGGCGCCGAGAAATGACGGGTCGCCAACTTTCCCGAAGAAGCTAGGCACGCTTCCCCAGCCAAGACTTAAATTTCGGTGATCCTGCGACCCTTCATCAGTTCCCATAACCTGGAGAAAGATATGGAGAAAGCGGGGGAATGCGGGGCCCCGTTTAAATATAAGAAAGATTAGCTATCCACTATGATTATTTCAAAATGTAACTTCACCCTCCGAGGTATTTCCTCTGAAACTTGAGAAAAGAAAATGGGAACCGAAACCAATCTCAGTGTCGACCAGTCCGGCAAGAATGCCGCATCTGAAGAAGTGGCCACTTTTCGCCAGGATGAAAACAAGATTCCAGAGGTGGTAGTGACTAATTTGCTTATTCCCAATCGTGATGAATTTGAGAAAAAGTTTGTCCGCAAGCTTGATCTTCGACTTTTGCCATTGATGATGTTGATCTGTATGTATTATGCGAATTGCATCATGTGTTGAATGAATCAAACACGTTGACTATTAGAAATTAGATGTTTTGAATTATCTAGATCGAAACAACATTGCAACGGCCCGTCTAGGGACGCTCGAGAAGGATCTGGGGATTCATGGCAACCAGTATAATACCATCATCAGTGAGACCTTGCCTGCATTTGTTTTCCAGTTGGAGAGAAGGTAGAGCTAATTGCTTGAAGGTTTGTTCTTTGTCGGATACATTCTCACCCAAATCCCTACGAACATGATTTTGAATAAGATGAGACCATCGCTGTTTCTAGTGAGTTAATAGTGGATTTAGTAAGATAAGACCTGAGACGAATCGTAACTAATTCTACTTACCAGCCTGCTGTGATGTGTGGATGGGCCATTGTTAGTGCGGCTACAGGAGCTGTTCAGAACTACCGAGGTCTTCTAGCTTTGCGGTTCATACTCGGTTTTGTAGAGGCACCATTTTTTCGTGAGTGATTCGATGATGTCTTTTCGTAACGAAAGCTGCTAACTCTTACATTTAGCTGGTGCATTGTTTCTCTTCTCTTCGTGGTACACAAAAAAAGAGCTAGCTGCTCGTATTTCGATCCTTTACGTTGCTGCACAAATATCAGGTGCATTCGGTGGTCTCTTGGGCAGTGCCATTATGTCGGGAATGGATGGAAAGGCCGGAATTCCTGCGTGGAGATGGCTGTGTATGTTAACACCCATGATTTCCTTATTGGTATTTACCTATCCTTGCTCCAGGGCTGACTTTCACAATATCAAGTTATCATCGAAGGGAGCGCCACAATACCTGTTGCCATTCTCGCGATATTCACTTTGCCTGATTACCCAGCGACCACGAAATGGCTTACAGATGAGGAACGTATTTTGGCTATTGCACGTCTAGCAGAAGATGCAAGTGAAAACGATAATGATGAAACAAATAGCAACTGGGAGGGGCTGAAACTCGCTTTCACTGATCCGGTTCTCTACATAATATGGCTGATGCAGCTGGGTCTCAATACTGCAGCTTGCTTTACGAACTTTTTCCCAACAATTGTTGCAACACTAGGTTATGATACCACCAAGACTTTACTACTCTCAGCACCGCCTTACATCTTCGCCGCTATTCTCAGCGTCTCCAATTCCTTCCACAGCGATCGTGTCAGCGAACGATGGTTACACATTGTTTGGCCACAAGTCTTCAGTATGATTGGATTCATCCTGAGTGCTGTGACCCTCAATGTCCCAACTCGATACATATCCACTTTCATGATGATGTCGATTTATGGCTCTTTTGGCTGTATCCTTTCTTGGGTGTCCACTTCGCTTCCGAGGCCACGCTCAAAGCGCGCGGTCGCATATGCAGTGGTCAATGCAGGATCTAATTTCGCCTCGATTTACGCCAGCTACTTCTATCCCGAATCACAAGGACCTAGGTACTGGCAAGCTAATGTAGCTAACGTTGCTTTCTCGGGGATGTGTATTTTGATGGCTACGGTGCTAAAGTTTACTCTGCGATGGAGAAATAATCGACTAGACAAAGCTGCAGATGCAGATGTGGCTGCTGGGATGGACCCAACAACCGAAGGCTCGGAGAGTCACCAGCTGGCGATGAGATGGAATTGTCATCCTATCTATCGATATATCACTTGATAAACTTGTCGGGTCTATGATATACCGTCACTAACGTAACTCAAGCTCCTTCATCTAGCAATTCTTCCGAATTCCGGAACAAATTGAGTGCTCGGGGTAGATGTATGCCAAGTCAAACATAGAACCACTCGAAATTGATATTTCAATATCATACTGCTCATACTGTACGGAGTAATCTCGTCGCGATCATCTCTTAAAGAATATGGATAAGTGGATAGTAACACACCACAATTCCTGTGCCTGGTTAGTGGCTGCATATCATGTGAAACAGTTTCACAGCCGCGAGAGAGATAGAGAGATAGAGAGAAAAGAGAGAGAGAGAGAGAAAGAGAGAGAGCAAAATGGGAGATCGTGCTCCAGTGAAGCTCAATATAAGTCTCCCTAACCTAAATAATTCGACGGAACATGAATTAATTTTGTAACTTTTTTTTTTTTCGATTCACATGCATGAACAATGAAAAAAAAAAATGAAAAACAAAAGGTGTATCCTTGCGTTTTAAAGGTGGAGCTAGGCTTTAGGGGATGTAACATCGTGAATCACCCGCCGAGGCCAAGGTTTAGGCTGATCGTGGAAGGCCTGACGGATCTCCTCAAGGAAATGGCGCATCAGGCTGGGGGATATTCTTTGGAATGCAGGGAGGTGAATACTCAGGTGGCTGGGCGATCTTGTTAGTAACGACTCTCAGTATCAACTTCCCACAACAACAAGGTAAAAAGCTCTTCAAGTTGGTGATCACATATCAAAGTTTATTTGTCTCCTATTGAGGAGACTTCGTTTAGTAGCCCATTTCGCGTGCATTAGTTAGTCTGGGCAATTAATCAACTCGTGGCCCCCCAACTTTGACATGGTTACACCATCTCTCCTTTTTTACATACACTCGCCTCGCAAAACCAGTTCGCATCCTGAGTTCCGATCGTCGCGGGATCTTAGTATTTTCCCAATTTGAGCCGGGCCGTCATGTACTCGCAGGGGCTGAAGCAAGAAAATGCGACCGAAGTGCGTGGGATTGATCTTCCCCCACTCGAGATCGACGATGCAAAATTGGCCCAGATGGGCAAGCGACCTGTGCTGAAGGTAGGAGAGCATCGATTTGCCGAATAATGCGATCAAGGTGGCTAAATAATAACAGCGAAATTTCGGGCTATGGTCGATTTTGGGATTTAGCTGTACGATTTTAATTACTTGGGAGGGAATCGTTGTGTAAGTCGAATATGCCACCGCAGCCTATTTGATGCGATCGGAAACTCACTTTATTTTAGACTATTCTTGCAGGCATATGAGAAGTTTGAGCCCCATCATTCACCATTTCACGAATTCTATGCATCCGCGTATACTGACAACTCCAAGTGGTGGGCCAGCAGGCGCTGTGTATGGTTTCATCTTCGTCTGGCTTGGTGTCGCATCCACATTTGCAGTTCTATCCGAGTTGGCGTCAATGTATCAATCAATCCCTAGAATTAAGCTGGTTTAAGTTAATGCTAACAAATCACCAGGGCTCCCACCTCAGGCGGGCAATATCACTGGTGCTCAATGCTGGCTTCAAAATCCACAATGAAAATGGTCAGCTATTTGACAGGTACGTCTATACTTTGCTCAGAATAGGAGCATAAAAGGGCTTACTCGAAAATAAAAAAACATATAGGCTGGCTTACTGTCATTGGATGGCAGGCAACGTTTGCAACCTCATGCTATCTAGTCGGCACTCTCATCCAAGGTCTCATCGCCCTGACTCATAGCAATTACCAGCCTCAAAATTGGCATGGAACACTCCTATTCTGGGCCATTGCTGTCTTCTCTCTGGCTATCAACCTGGTTGGTGGTAATTTATTGCCACGACTTGAAGTCTTCATTCTTGTGCTTCATATTTTGGGCTTCTTCGCCATCCTTATCCCTTTAGTCACGACGGCTGATCATGGGAGCGGGAATGAAGTTTTCACTGAGTTTCTTAACCTTGGGGGCTTCCCCTCGCAAGGCTTGTCATTCTTTGTTGGGATGGTCGGGTGTATATTTGCCTTTGCTGGAGGCGATGCTGCTGTTCATGTATGTTTGACCTGTCACCATATTCAAAGCCGGAAAGTTTGCTAATTTTGGAAATCAATCTGCTAGATGTCCGAGGAAATCAAAAATGCATCCACTGCTGTACCTACCTCGATCATGCTGAGCGTTCTCATCAATGGATCCCTTGGTTTTGGGATGCTGATTGCTATGCTCTTCTGTCTCGGGGACATTGAAGCTGCCCTCGATTCTCCAACAGGTTACCCATTCATGTCGATATTCCTCCAAGCCACCAGATCTGTCGCAGGCACAGCTATAATGGGCTCTATTATTACCACTATGGGTATCAGCACATCGGTTGGTATGCTGGCAACAACATCGCGTCAATTTTGGTCCTTCGCCCGCGATCGAGGTATTCCGGGCTGGCGACTCTGGAGTCAGGTAGGTTTTAATAATTGTTCAGCTTTTCTTTCAGGAAGGCCTGTCCTTGAATTATGCTCATGGTAAACCTCAGGTTCGCGGTAAAAATGCAGTGCCGGTTTATTCAATCATACTTTCAGCATGTGTTGCTTGTTTGCTTGCCCTCATCAATATTGGCTCATCGGTCGCCTTCAATGATCTCGTCGCGATGTCCATTTCTGGTCTCTACCTGTCATACATGACTGTGGCAGGCTTACTTCTCTACCGTCGCTGTACTGGAGAAATCAGTTCCGATGATGGCAGCGCTCAGACGGTGAATACAGCTGGCGCGAAGCTGGTTTGGGGGCCGTTCCACATTCCTGGTATTTGGGGCGTCCTTGTCAACATCTTTGCGCTCATCTACATGAGTATCGCGATATTTTTCAGCTTCTGGCCCCCATCTTGGCTGGTCACTGTCGATTCAATGAATTTTAGCGTTGTTGGGACGGTGGGCGTGGTACTTCTCAGTTTGATCTACTACTTTGTACGGGCACGCCACATTTATGACGGCCCTAGGGTGGAAATTCGGTAAAACCTAAGCGTTGTGAGGAGTTGATTATCTTGGGAAACCGTCTCGAATCCAGTCAAATGGCGACCTAGTTGGTCCTACTATATTTAGTTCTTTTTTGAAGTTGCACTTCCGGTGGGGAGGGTCGCGAACGAGTTTCACAAGGATCAGGATGGCTGAAACTAGTATGCTATCTGTCATGAAAGTACTAATACTAGTAGTATACCTCCAACTATTGAGATGATATTTCAAATTATGTGCAACGAGAAACAAAAACAACATTACTGTTAATTTGAAATTCACTTTACCAATTGCAAATAAACCATTTGCCAGTCACTGCCACCTCCAGATCTTCGCTGGGGTTCGGCAGTGCGGGCGGACATTCGCGGGACGGTGGATCTGCATATGGCGCCGGCGTTTCAGAATCGAGCCTATATTATTTTTAGCAGAATTCGCACTTGGAAGCCTAGTTCAGGATAGATCTGCATTTTTGGACGTGTTTTCATCGATCAACATTATTCAAAATTTAACCTAGACTTATGCAGACAACTAACTCCATAATGTGCAAAATGCCGCATGGTTGAGTCAAATTATAATTTCTCACTTCTTTTCCCGAAGCGGTTCATGCAGAATAAAACTAGATTCTTAGATATGATGATGAAATTATTGGCCAATGGGATCGATTTCTTCAATACTTGAAGTAGTATGGCCCCCAATAAGCTCGTGGTCCGACCTTTACATTCAAAGCTTATAGACTGACGTCTAAGAAAGTCGGCAGCCGCATTCGTATTCGCAGTCACGCCGCTGTTTTAGTTAATACTAGTAAATTCGCAAAATACTAGTAGAGGTGTATCCTTCTGAAATAGATTCAAGAGAGAAATTCTTATTCTCAAACCTTGGAGCTGAAGCATAAAGGTAATACTAGTAGTAGTAAATTCGAAATCATATCTAACTCCTATGGTATAAAGTGGTATATAGTACGGTAGCCCGCCCGTGGTCATTTGCCATGAATCATCCATAAAACGAGAGGAACGAGAGGAATAAGAGGAAGCAAAAATGAAAGACCAGCTTGGAAGAAAAGTATACAAGCATAATGCTGGTTTATAAGCTCCTTGAATACTGTGTAGTATCTGCCAGATCCCTTATTGACTGGACAGGGGAGGCAGTGGGATGCTTTCGGCACCAGAATTCCATGGGTAAGAGGTGGGATTTTCAAACACCTATAGAGGAGTTAGTAGAGAACATAGTTTGCTTTCTCGTTCGAGAAGTATCGATTTCGTCACGCACCATTGAATTCAAGGAAGGAAGTTGTGGGTCGATGTTTGGGGACCAGTATGAAGGACTGATCGTCTCTGGTGATTGTGGTGGAATTGATTGGGAAGATGTAAGGAAAGCATCGGGCCTGAGAACGCTGCGCAGGTATTGATCGATTATGTTCTCGAAACCGGCGGGCATTTGCGAGGCCGCACATTGTGGAGAAATAAGAGGAGCACTTGAGAGAGCTGCCTGGCCCGTATTACAATAGGAATACATGGGCTGATCATTTGTGCAAGGTCCACTGCCGCTCTGACAGCTGAAGCAGTTTGAACACGCAGCTAGAGGAGATCCCGGCGTACTCCTTGATTCCACTTGGGTGTTTTCCTCAATAGACTGGAAGATAGGTGGCAGGGAACATTCAGAAGACCCAGGTGGATATTGAGAGGGGGATGAGGCCGAGTTGTAACGAGCAGATGGTGTTCTAATCGCTGACGCTTGGGTCTCACTGCTTTCTGGTCAGCTATCACATTATTTTATTCAGCAAAATGGTCGATATACTTACTGTCTCGACATATGCTGAGCGAGGTAGTCTGAACGGTGGAACGCCTTTGAGCAACCTTCAAACGTGCATGCATAAAACCTTTTGTTTTTGTGGCTCAGCTCATGCCTCCGGCGATGCTCAGCTCTTGTAAAAATCTGTTCTTATATTAGCATGGAGATTACCAATGTATTTTTGTCCACCCGAAGATGGCCATTTTAACTTACCTTGTTACATCCAGGAAACTCGCACTCATGTACACGCTTGCCCTTTTTCGCTTTGCTCACACGGTGAGATCCCGTTGAAGAAGAAGGAGAAGGGGGGAAGCCCTGATAGCTAACACGGCCGACGTCCATCGGAGAAGAAAAAGAGCCGTTCATTGTAGACGTTGGTCCGGATGCAACGTATTGCGAGTCCATATATGGCGCCACGGAGGTCGTGAATGGAAAGTTGTATTCTGACATGTTGCAGGTAATCGACATGACTTGCACAAAAGCCTCTCAGGGATCAGGCGAAGGTAAAGCGAGATCTTATATGGTGCGACAGATGGAAGAGGGGGGACTGAAAAGGAGATTCGGCAGGATGGGACACTAGTGGGTTATTGTTGCAGGATGAGGTGCGCGATGCAATTTCAAGGGTCGAATCTTGCGGGGAACGGTCTCTATAAATGTTCTGTCATTGATCATTGAGATCGGCGGAAATGAATTAAGAATAATTTGAACTATGCACGCTCGACTGTAGATAAAAATAAAATATCTGAAACGACCGTAGAAGACCGCTGGGTGCAAGTAGGGTATCCGGAGTGCCATGCTGATCGACCACATCCGCCCCCATCTTCATGAGTTTGCGACCCCACCACCAATTTCAAGTTGTAAACTGACAGGTGGAAATCCCGTAAACTATTTCACACGCACGGAGAGGAAAAAAAACCGAACTTTTATACACTCAAATGGCAATACTATCTGAATGTTTTTATTCTACAGGCCAGCGCAGCTTTCAACGTCGCGATTTCGATAGTTCTAGATGCCAGAGCGCAACTACGGCATTTAATGGGGTAGAACTTCAGCGCTGCTTTGGGGTTTCAGGTTTGAACCAGTCGAGGAAGCAGCTGGAGTGTTGGTTTTTAGTTTTCGAGTGTATTTATTTTTATTACTTCGTGGACTTCCCAAAAAGGCTCTGAAGTGAGAAACTTACCGGATAAATCGGCGAATCAGTGCAAAAGAGAATGACAAGCCATTATGGAGCTCCCAGTCTCTTCATTAAAAGTGCCCGACCCAATGGGAAACTGAGACGAGGATTGCCCCTAGGAATAGGGTCGGTTTGGGTGGGGGCGGGATCAGGACGAATCAACCCCCGCGAGAAAACCAACTTAAACAGCTAATGTCAAAAATGACCTGCACATGGCAAGCCGTTGCGGTGAGGTTGAGGAATATGTCCGAGCTTGTTGGTTCCAGCCCTGACCCCTGACATGAGTGGGAAAAAGTGGATATCTTGAGCGGATCGAGGACTAACCAATCCTCACCTCCGTTGAAAATGAACCACTCCCTTCCAAGGTTTCCCTGTTCTCAAGTGGAGCTCTGACCGCTCGGATGAGGAGCGAGCACTGATCAGGTCCGCCCACTTCGAGTCACGATCAATGGCTTGATAGCTGCATCGGGTTAGAAGTGCGTCATGCACTTGAATCCTAGGAACCACTAGTAGTTGCATAGCGAATGGCAGAACAAAGCTATTCTCTTATTCGAGATGATCGGCGGAGAAGACTACTTTTCACCTGCAATCTCCTGTCCGACCACCCGCCCTATAATGCCCCGGCATGGTGATCAGAGGCTCTCGCTTCCCAAGTGCTCGGGTCCAGAGCTCGCTTCTACACCCTGTGCATTTTCATTCGGATGCAACACTGTTCACTATTGTTGGCCGATTCTTGATCGAGTCGGTCTCTTTCTTCACCAATTTCAATCATTCTGTACGCAACGTCATGAGCTTACTTCGTACCTGGCAATGGTATCGAGCATTATTGCACTGGATCATAAAGCCTCTCCTCATAACAACATATACAGTAAAGTGAATATTTCCTTTCCACATATGCAGTTCATACAGAGCACGGGGCACATGAGAAAGAGATGTAAATAGTTTGAGCCCAGTATGGGGTAAAGTTTCCGGCCAACCCAGATTCTTCTCGCGAATTTGAAATGCGTAAACAGCCTCCTCCACTTTGTTTTCACGCGATCTAGTATACATGTGGGGATTGTGATTGGTGGGTTCAATCTCTTCAGGTGTTCTGGGTCGGTTCATTTTGAAAATGATTCAGAACGATTCAGAACGATCGTCAGGTTGTATAATTTGATACGACTCTTCAGTGTGATTTTCATCCCACGTTGACACTTGTTCTGAGCAAAGTGTCCTCATCAGCCTCAAGCATGTGCAGGCATCTGCTTGCATATGCAATCTTATGAACTCCCAGTTCGTTCAAAGAGAGTGCTGATGGCCCCCACCTATTCCTACCTAAAATAGTAGGGTATCTTCCAAGCCAGGAAGGCCAGTGCAGCACGGGATGAATTTCACTACATTTAAGGCTCGGTGTTCTCGGTGGGTACGCTCTACTAGTAACTGGGTTGACCCATCCTCCAAATGGACTGTGCTCAACATTCTCCTAGTTAGTTGATGGCGAAATTCGTCACGTCTCACACTAAAAATATCCGCAAAATAAAGCGCGACCGGTAGAAACTTGCTTTGCGGAAAGCTCGGACCGAAAGGGATTATGTGAACCGATCTTCGTAGCTCTTCAACTTCAAATTTTTTCAATACAAAAGATTTTCTGAACACGCGGACATTCTCCGGCAGTAATCAATCCCCGCCGTTTGCCACTAGGCTTTCGTTTTAAAATGCCCAATCATATTGGATGACGCACGGGAAAACGTTCCCTCCTGTAGTATTTTTGATTAATCGAAGGATCCGACTAGTCCATACATTCTTCCCTTTTACAACATCAGGATTTAGTCTAACCAAGATTCTGGGAACCAATAAGGGCAGACCCCCAACCAACAATACCAAACCTCAGTCCAAAATCATTAGGGGGCATTCGGCTCGAAGAATCCATTTTAGGGGGTCAAGGCTCACATTCTAATTTCCGTCGTCTAGCTGCAATGCTAGTCATGGAAATCTGCCGATCAAATTATGAGAGTGCGAACTACTAGTACCTATCGTGATGCGAATTGCCCAGCTTCATCAGTTTCGGGCTGGCCCCCGGCCGAACTGGAGGATTCCAAAAATAGGCACAATAAGGACAACGCCAACCACAAACGCATGATGTGCTTCAAATTCGCAGCCTTGAGATCCTTTCATTTCCAGACCCTGTCACAGAGGTTGTAGACTAGCCACCATCGTAACATCAAGGATATAGCGCTCCTTTACCCTCACGACTCGAAGCAGCAGGCATCCGCATGCCGCATGTCCAATCAGCCTGAGTTTCAGCATCTTGGCCGCTGCAAAAGAAAGGATTTTGAATGACTCTTTCACTCGGGCACTGTATCCATAATTTCCACATACGTCATGAAAGCTGTAGAATTTGCTCAGATGACGAGAATAGAACATCAATCGACATCTACTTGGCTATTCGGAGGATGAAGGATTCACCACACTATTGCAGATCGTAGTCCATTTCTTCCTTATAATGCATGTAAGATTTGAGAACGCCACACCTGGATACTCTTGGCTGGATGGTGGATGACGCTCTGAACGTTATTCCCTGGGCGTTGCAATGCCCCAGATCGCTGGCCTAGGCTACGATCCTTATCTCTTGTCCATTTTCCCCACCAGAAATCTTGGGGGTATCATACAATTCTATTTTTGAGCATACATCTACTACTTTTTTAATTTTAATCTTGGAGCTTAACCCACTTCTAGAGATATTTCGCGAGGGGGGGGGGTTTGCATTCTCAATGGCGTCGGGGGAGTTACACACCGACATCATGTCATGGCTCTGAATTAAGCCTCACGGAGTTTGAGGCAAGTTTGCCGCAGCATGCTCGATTCTGAATAATCTCGGGATTTTGCTAACTGGCCAGGATACAGTGATGGTGTACCATGTCTGCCTTATGATAAGACCAGTATTTACTAGGGAATCCGCCATTTTTTTTTAAGTTTATCTGGTAGAAGTATTCCCTTCAATTTAAGGTGTTCTCTCACTTGGGCTGTCTACTATGTGTCGTACACAGCCTTTCTAATTTTCAAATTTGGCAATCCAAGAGATTTTTAGTTTTCAATTCCATCTTGAGCGACGGTAGTTAGTATCATACGGCTTTTTTATTCAACGATCGAGACTGATCAAATCTTCGGAAACGGATGGTCTGGATGACTCAAGATTAACCATAGTATGATATCTGTTTATTTTACGGGTTAAGCTTGGAGATGTCGCTCTGCTTATTGAATCTGTAGCAGAAAAACTGGTTCGTTATCCATACTTGGACCAACACAACTCGATGACATGCACATCCATAATCTTGGTGAACTTGAAGATCAAAGAGTTTCAGCATTCCACGTCAAGCTCACGGTGAGACTGACTATCTTAAGATAACTTGAAAAGTTTCATATGTGAGAGGCGTCTATATTGTTGCCCTTAAAGATCAGTTGAAATTGGAAAGCATCTAACAAATAAGAACTCGAAATCTCTTGGAAGGCTTCCAACAACATTAATCTACAATTCGGCATGTTGGATTGTAGATGGAGCAGAAAGTCACACCTTATTATATCCCTTCTTAAACTTCACACTAGCTGTCTTGAATGATTGAGACACAACATAATTGCCCTACCCATTTCCGCAAAATTTCCGATGAGGTGATGCAGGACGAGAGGTTCAAGTTCGAGTTGATCGTTTGTGAGGGCGGAATACTCACGGACGGTATAGTTATATTATAATATCCATCGATGTCTAGAATTCCATATAAGAAATCAAACGGTACTAGTATTAATAGACCAGGTAGTTCTACTACATGAATTTGTTACTACACATAAACAACTATACTAGTAATTTATTTGAATTCTCGGTGTAGTGAAGTATTGATATAAAGAATTTAGTGTTTATTGAACAATTACGTCAGCCACTTCATGCGCCACCGTGGCTGATTTTTGTCTTCCGCTTCTCCGCCCTGCTTCGTTCGTTCATTAACTTGGCAATAATCACCGCAATCAATTGATTTAGGAGAGCTGGGCTCATTCATCCTGCTTGGCCGTCACGTCTTCTCCTATATCACCACTCCATCCCCTCATTACAGTCGGTCTAATTTTACAGACCACCGCATAGCCATCAAACTCTCCACCTGGCCTGATATCCGTCCGTCCTTTGTTGGCTGTTCTGGTCACCAGCTAGATATTCTGTGATCGTTCTTTTCAATCTCGTGGTAGATCGGGCTTGAGGTTTATATGAGCTTGCGCCCAGATACACACGCCTCGCAGTCACCCCCTATCAGCTTCGCATTTTCGCGGCTCGTCATGTCTACTGCTCCATCTGCTTCGTTGCCCGCCTCAGGGACTACCGCACCCAATAGCGACACGACTAAATTAGAACATTCAAATCAAAAACTCCAAGATCTAGGCTCTAACAAGAGTGATACGCAACAAGTCAATTGGGAGTCTGAGCTTCAGCTTGTATCATCCCTAGCGAAACTTCAAGAACTTGAACGAAAAGTGAGTTTCGACGCCCGGTCAACCTTTATCATAGTTGGGACTTGTTTCATTTTCCCACTGTTGTTATATCGGTCGAACCAACTGACAAGTTCCAGGTCCATGAGCTACGTCAATTTCTGCCCGAGGGGCTTCTAGAACCCCTGGTTCCAGAAAAGCCTGCGCCAGACTCGCCAGCTCAGCTACGCAATGATTTAGAACAGGCGACTCGCGCCCGATTGGCCGGAATTGAGAGCTTCCAGTCTCTCTGGCGTGGCACGGAAATGAAACCCGTATGGAACCACGTGGAATCCCGCATCAAAGAGTCTAACGGCGACCTCATTCAGCCAACAGGCATGTGGGAAAAGGACTACGATGTACTACTGAAAGAGCTTATCAAGACTGGAAAGACGGAAGAAGAAAAAGTCGAGAAGGAGGAAGAACAAATTGAGCGCTCCAAGGCGCAAGCATCAGATGGAGAATGGCAAGTCGTCGTTGAGAGATTTACTCAGCGCGACATGCCCGGTATGCGTGTCGTGAAGGGACAGGATCCATTCTCGCTGTCGGCAATTCTTGCAAAGGCGGGGATGATCTTCTCAATTAAAGGCATTCAAGAGCCTGGTATACCAGGTGTCTGTGAATGGCAGGTGTCCAGTCAATCACCCCCGGGTCGATCCCCGTCGAAACTTCAACATGCCATTCAAGATTGTCTGAATTTAAGAACAAGGAAATGGGACCTTGAATTCTTACTGGTATGATGGCCGCTCTATTCTATTTTGTGAATTAGAACACTCACATTTCTACAGGACATGGTATCCTCATATGCAGACATTAAGCAAACAACATGCGTTACGTGCAACCGCTTGACCGACAATTCTGCACAGCTCCCTACCATCCGCCGGATACAATCAACCCAGCTATCGCAGAGCGATACTCGTAGATTCGCATTTGATGCACTGCACCCCTCTTGCGCTTGAAAATCCAAAAGAAATCGCAACGACTATAATGTACTCATTGAAGTGCTCCAAAGAAAAACTGCATTGCATCTATAGAAAAGGAAAACAACGAACTTTACTTCCCACAACACCTCTCATCTCTCCCAGGCCTTTTCTGGTCTTCGTGCGCCCCATAGAAAGCGTCATGCCATTCGTTTGCCGGATACAATTCCCCATTCTTATCCCAAAACCAACGAGGTATAGCATGTCGCTCTTCCTTCCCTAACACCCACTTCCCCTCAACCTTTCTCCGACCATCACAATACTCGACCCGACTCCAGGTCCCATGGTCCGGGACGGCGTATTTCCGCCTGCGAAAGTCGTATCTCTCGGCTCCACGTCGGGCCCAGCGGAACGGCGTCTCATTTGCATCCAACTCTTCCTCCCATCGCGCCCAGTTCGTTCTCAACGAGACTTTCGCATTGGTGGTTGTGCTCTTTGCAGGCCGCACGGCGCCAACGTATATATCTGGCCCTTTGTTGCGAAGCACGTCGAAGAAACGCCAGCGTTTTGGCCAGTGGGATGGGTTCCCCGGTCGTGGGTCTTTGGGCCAGATCCAGCCCAGTACTGGATCTGATGGCATTCTTTGTTTTGTTTATAATGCCAGAGATTTTGTTTCCGGGTTTCGAGGGACTTGGTGAGCCTGGGTAGAATTATCTCCCGATGATAAGTTATTGAGACAAGTTTGGACGATGCTTTGGTGCTGGTTGGAAGGGAATCAACCTTGGTTTTATATTGGTATATTTGGATTTCAATTTGACCTGCCTTTCTGTTTCCAACCTGAAGGTTGATTGCTTTCCTCTCCGCTGTCTAAACCCGAATGCGCCTTTGCTGCAGCCCCTATTGTTTTTTCTCATTCAAATTGAGATGATGGGATATGCCTAGGTCTTCATGCTGTGGTATGTAGTATCATTCATTCATTGACATCCGTTTGCATGGCAAACTTGCAAGGTTGAAGTAGAGTGTGATTGGAAAATTCTCCTTGAATCAAAATCAAACACCGCATTGTGCTGCAAAGGACCTAAAATCGGGATTTTCCGAGATAGCTCTTTTCCTGATACCTTATTTAGGTAGCAATGCTTTTGGAACTCTACTTTGAGATATTTAGATCTTGAAACATGGGATTCTAAAGGATCGTGACTGTAAGGCCCAGCTGGTAAATAATACTACCTACTTATAACTACTGGGCTCTCCTCAGTCTGATAATGAAGAAAACCTTGCTAGGATCAATTGGTACTAGGTGTTTATTCAAATTCATTCATTGGATTACTATCAAGGAGAGCCTCTTCCAACATCGGAACTATGGGAGCTGAGGAGCCTCAAAGCTCGCCCAGAAGGTACCTCCAGCTAGTGGATGTCTTGCCTGCAGAATGCCCTGCATTTCACCCGAGACATGAGCCTCAATTAAAAAGAACCCTGAAGCTCACAGATCACTACCCAGGTAGACGTTTTGTTTGTCTTTGAAATACAATCAATTAAAGCATGGTACCTAAGTACCGATCCGAAAGTACAGATTATCAAAGCCCTTTGACGGTTTTCAGCAACCGGCTGGTCACATGAAAAATATCAAATGCCAATAAAATAATATGAAATGAAAATGATGAAAAGAAGAGCCCAGAAAAGATGATTCAGTCAATACCTATGTCCGCAAAATACCAAAGAAAACGCCATTTTTCTTGCTTATTATCGTAAAATCCAGTTTCGCTTGCAAACAATGAACTCCGTTTGTGTCAAATATATCCATGAGAATGATCAATCGCTTCCGTCCCATTTCAGGGGTGAGTTTGCTCGTTAATTGAAGAGTCCCAAGCCGCCGACAAACCAAGTAAATGAAACTACCGTGATGGCGGCCATACCGACGGCAAACTTGAGACCCTGGCGTTGAACATCTGACAATGCCCCGCTGCATGTTGCGCATTTGAATTCTGTAGATTATAGCAGGTAAGCGAATGAACGGAATGAGTGACACTGAACGGGCTCCGTTAGGGACTTACCATTTAGTGGAGTGTAGCCTTGGGACAAGTACATGCCAAAGTTGTACCCGATGTTGGAGCTCAGGTGGCCTGCACTGGCAGTGTCGTCGAGGTCCTTTTCCGAATCAACGACGAACAGGGTATAGGTCGCGGAAAGGAGTGGGACGGTCTGGGTTGCGTTGGTATCCCACACGACCTTTCCTGTTTCCTTGACAGTCATGTTGTGGGTGATGGTGTAGGTGGCACTGTTCAGACTACAAGAGGCGACAACGTTCACGTGCGAGGGTGTCACGGACAGCGAGGTGTAGTTCCAGACGAAAGTCGCATTCTGTCCGATCCGGAAGTATGTTGTGGATGTACTGGCCGGGGTGATCATGGAGATGCCACCGGCACCGGCGGCAGGGTTGATCGAGATGGAAGTAGTCGCGGTTGTCTTGCTCTTCGTCTTACTGGTGCTCTTGGTGTTGGTGTTGGTGCCAGTGGTGTCGGTGTTGGTATTGGTGTCAGTGGTATCGGTGTTGGTGTCGGTAGTCTTGGCGTCCTTTCCGGTCTCGGTCTCGGAGGTGCTGTCGGAGGCAGTGGTAGAGGGGGCTGTTTCGGTCGCGGTGGTTTCGGTGGTTTTGTCTGGAATAAGAGGTTAGCTTGGACAGGGTAGACAAAGGCGAGAGGGGTTAGCTACCTGCACGCTTGTCAAGAGAATCTCTGGCAACCGCGACGTTGTTGTCCCATGACCAAGCCGAGGTGATAGTGCCCAGCAGTAGCAGGGTGCACAGAACGCTGAATACAAAGAACCGCATGGTGAACGTCGATGTCGATTTCGATGTCGGTCGTTGTCGAGGAGTCGTGGGGAGTGGCGGATTGAAGATGAGGAGAACTCAGATCCCCTGGTCGGATAAAAAAAGGCGTATCAACAAACCCCCTTGCACAGACGGATGGAGTGGAGTCGCCGAGGGAAGTGACAGAGCACCTCTGTGAGCAGCCGGTGTATCTCAGGGGCGATTCTTGCCACGAAAGGGCGTTCAGGAAAACCTTATGAGAAGGATAAGAAGAACCAGAACGCGGTGGAATGCTAGAAAATGTCACCCGGTGTCTGTTGACCAGTCTGGACCCTTAGGTCTGCAGATCACGGGAATGTGGGTTCGTCGGGGACTGGGGAGGAGTTGAGGGGCTGGTCGGGTCTTGAATGAAGGCAAACAAGAGAATCTGTCAAGCAATACAGTCAAACGAGCGACGTGAAGCAAGAGCAAGAGCAAAAGCAAAAGGACAGGTGATAGCGAGAGGATTGTTGAGGGGAAGGCAAAAGTTGAGATGAAGAGAGTCTGCCGACCTGGTGGTTTGAGATGTATTGATACGCTAAGCCCTTTTAGGACTGGCGCAATGGCAATCACTGAGACATCCCGCCTATTTTTAGTCTTCCTTCCCTGTGATAGTACATATAATGTCAGATTAGGCCAGACTTTACATTCTGCATGGTGGTAAGAAAAAAGAGAGAAGACCGAGCATTTGGTTGAGATTAACAATCCTTGATTGAAGCACTTTTTTTCAAACAGTCCCCAAACATGGCCTACGGAATAGTTAGTTACTAACTAGTATACTTACTAGATAGCCACTGTTTAGAACATTAACCAGGTCATTGGCTTTCTATTGTAGCAAATCACACTACTCAATATGGTGAATATATCAACTTGAATCTATCTCAGAAAGGCCGGGGTCGGTTACTATCTGGCACGATGTTGCTTTGCTCTTTGATCGAGTTAGACAACTACCGCCTTGTCTCAGCCATATCGGTGGGGCCTTCCAAGGTTCCTTCTTTTCTTTCTGCTGTGACTCTGTTGTGTCTCTACTGTCTGCTAGGTAGGTAGTAAAGGAGAACCTTGTGACATCCATGGATTGGATTCGAATTTAGTAGTATTCGAGTCCACTAGCATAGAGATAACCACGACCTGTGTAAATACTATAATCAACCCACCGTGACCTCGCTGCGAAATTAAAGTCACTTGGAACCAGAACATACTACTCAGAACATACTACCCGTTAGCTCAATCATGGATTAGATTTCAAGTAAGAGGCAGTAAAAAGAGTGTTGTCAAATTGTTGTTGATGTACAAAGAACTTTTCGGGCCAAGGAAAATATACGGCCGGATCTTAATATCGGCACAAACCGAGACAATCCATTCTTCTGATGTGCAATCCTTTATAGAGCAAACGAGGAGATGATATGATTCGAGAAAGAGAATAACGAGAATGATGAAGCGGTAGATCCTGTCTCGTATCCTTTATGATTCTTTGTGACCGAATTTCGCGCTTTCAATAATGTCCTGCTTGAAGACATACATCTGGACACCTCCAGGGCTTGACATATAAAATAACCTGCATGAACCGGAATAGTTAAAAATCAAGTCAGAATTTCTACTACATTCACGACTTACTATCATTCAGCAAGTTTCTGATTTTACAATGGCACCGACTTCAAACGACGGAAGTGGTTCCTTCCAAACCCCTACCGACTCATGCTAGCAGCTCGGGATGTGATACCGAGCGAGGTACTGGCACTCCTGACACCATCATAGACACGTGCAGCCTTTTTCAGAGAGAAGGTTTTCCGTGTATGTTCTTCTCTTTCAATAGAGCGGAAATGAAATCCCCAATTGCGAAATGCCCCAGTCCCAACCCCCTGGCAGTCGGGACATAGGCCGTCCTCGCACAGCGTGCGAGACCTGTGCACTGAAGCACGGAAAATGTGACCCGGTGAGCCGAAATATTCACAATCACTAACCATCTCTTGCTGATGTGAATAACCTCTGCATAGTTCCCCAAGGAACTCTACGAATTTGTTTGGAGAGCCATCAATTGCCTTCCTATAAACTTGGATCAAATGTACCATATTGTGTCTGAAATCGAGCAGCATGTTGGAGACGAAAAGCGCCAATTGGAATCCCGGAGGGCTATGATAAAATTTCAGCAGTACATTGACCAGCAGCACCATGGACAGCAGGACTATGAACAGCAGGTGAAATTCTCCGGAACATATTTCTATTTTCTTCAGTTATAGCCAACAAAATTCCTCTAGGAAAATTCTAAATTGGGGACTAAGAACTTCATGGCTTGGGCAGCTTTCCTTCAGCTTCTAGTTGAATTTGGACGCTGGTTTTCAGTATCTGCGTCGTGATTGAAATAAATGTTTTCCTTGGTTAGAAATGAAATTTCCTTTCGACGATCCAACATTCCATTTCGAGTATCTCTCACATATATCCTCAACCCGTAACTTTTTGATACGCGTTTTCGCGTTTTGTCCCTTAGTGGTTCCAACTTCCCAATCTAGACAGCCTCTGTATATGGCAGTTTAGCCGCCCGGAAAAGGGTTAACCCTAATTCCCTCCGCTTCCAATTTGGCAGCTGTAACCCTCACCAGCAAGAGCCGAGTTCGGCAGCTGCGCGTGAGTTGCCAAATGCAATGGTTGCCCCGTCGAAGTGGAGCCCATCGCCTCCTCGACGCCATCACTCTGGCCCAGATTCCGTGCTGATGGCAGCGCCCGGGGACCCCAGATTCCGGTTTCGCATGGCAGGTCCCGCCGTGGACCCTGTATCCATGGCACTTATTGGCTTGCACCACAACCTCATCGCCAGGGATGATGCAGGCTGGCTCAGGACACCACGGATCGAAGCGCGGACGACGCTTCTCATAAGCCGGCACAGTTACTTATAAGCGAGCGGCTCCCGCTTAAGCAAATAGCTGGCTTTGCAAATACTACACTTGATCTTATCGCAAGCTATTCCATCATGCGTTCTTGGTATGGTAGGGGGCGCTCCCTTCAAGCGGCTGTCACTGCTTGCTGCTTGGCGGCTTTCATTCTGTATGTGTTATTGATTATCACTCGAGTTAAGCATCTTGCTGACCTACTTCCACTCAATATACCAAGCTCAATCCTTGCGAGGTGATTGCAGGATTGTGTTTCGTATATCGAGTGGCGGGCCGAGCAGGTTTGGTTACGATCAAGGTGTTTTCAGTGGAATTGTTGGAAATGAGGACTGGATGAAGCAGTTTGGTTACCCCAATGACTCCGAGGAGGGCATCATCGTCAGCTGTTACAACCTAGGATGTTTGCTAGGATGCTTGAGTTTGTGATCCTGCATCGAAGATTGAGCGTCCACTGATAATGATGCGTAGTCAGTTTCTTCATCGGCGAATATCTCGGCCGCCGGAAGACGATTTGGTTGGCAATGGGCGTGGTAATTGTCGGTGCTGTTTTGCAAACCACTGCTTTCACGGTGCCTCATCTCATCATCGGCCGATTGGTAACGGGAGCCGGCACCGGCCTGAAGACATCGACTGTGCCGATGTAAGCCCCTTTTCTTGACCCCAGATGATCCGTGTGATGCTGACTCCTTGGTTCCAGGTATCAAGCCGAGATGTGTGATGGAAAAACACGCGGTCGCCTCATCGCTTCCGAGGTCTTATTTGTTGCCGTGGGCATTGTTGTGGCATACTGGTTCGACTTTGGCATGTCTTTTGTTGGAGGCCCCATTGCCTGGCGGCTTCCTATCGCCATGCAAATCGTCTTTGCAATTTTTGTCATCATTCTAGTATTCGGTCTTCCCGAGTCTCCTCGTTGGCTCATGAATCATGGCCAAGAGAAGGAGGCTATAGAGGTTCTCTGTGCTGTTTATGACAAACAGGAACATGAAGAATACATCGTCAACGAGCACCGAGCCATTGTTTCTGCCATTGAACTGGAGAGCAAGGCGAGCAAGAAATCTTTATTTTCAATCTTCCGCAACGATGAAGTGAAGACCGGCCAGCGAGTTCTTCTTGCTTGGGGCATGCAGCTTATGAACCAGGTTGGCGGTATTAACTTGGTGGTATATTTCGTGCCGAGTACGTCTTTGATCCACTCCTACCTAAGTATCTTCCAGTCTTGATTTCGATTTCTGAGACTGACTGGATTCTCCCAACAGCTGTTCTGAAACGAAATGTTGGCCTTGATAGCCAACTGTCGCAAATCCTCGGCGGATGCATTCAAATAATGTTTATGCTTGGTTCTCTCCTTCCAGCATTCATGCTCGATCGTATGGGCCGTCGTCGCACTATGATGATTGGCTCTTTTGGCTTGGGTGTTTGCATGATGATGGTTGCAGCGCTGTTGTCGCAGGTCGATAAACCCAACGGAACAGCGTACGCCTCCGCATCAGTATCCTTTTTCTTCCTTTTCATGCTCATCCACGGCATGTCGATTAACTCGGTACCATGGGTGTACGTACCGGAGATTCTACCCCTCGAGGCCCGTACCAGGGGCACAGCTATTGGTATCAGCTCCAACTGGCTTTGGAACTTCACCGTGGTCATGATCACGCCGGTTATCATTAATCGTCTTCAATGGAAGGCGTATCTGATCTTTATGATTACGAACTTTCTTTTCATCCCTGTCGTTTATTTCTTCTACCCCGAAACTGGAAACCTGCGCCTCGAGGATGTTGACTTGATTTTCTCTCGTGGCGGAGACCCAGTTAAGCAGGCCCGTTTAATGGCCGCCGAGATCAAAGCTCACGGCTACCTTATCTCGGAGCAGCCAGGCGATGAGAAAGAAGGGTCCAGCCTTGCAGTGGAACATGTCTAGGAGCGAACAGAAATGAAGGTTTATATGGCTTCAAGATTGACTGTTTTCTATTTGTACCCTTGGACAGAATCAACCGCAGCTAGTCATGGTCCAGCCGATTGCCTGACCAAGTCGAACATAGATGTCACTAGCAATAGATGGAACGAAATAATCATTTTTACTTGAACAAACCCGAGGGATCTTCTCCTTGAGGCATCGTTTAAAAAAGCAATATTAGATGTTTGATCTTAACAGCTTAAACTCGTAGTACTAAACCCTTCACCCCCACAGCGCCGATTCACCAACCACCATGCCATGCAACCACATCATCCGAGTCGCCCGCACGCAGAACGCAGGAACTGAAACTCAAAGGATGGAACAGCCTTGTAGTCAGGCGTTCTGTGCAGCCTTGGGAGGGTATTTCTTTCCCTCTCTCTCAACCTGAGGCTCACAAGAGCACCACTCGGACTCGGGAATCGAGTCCATCACGGAAGGAATGTGGCTTCCACAGCCCCACCAGGTGGTTTTGTCTGATACGATCAGCAAATGAATGGATGCCAGGACTGAGGTCTAGGACTCGATATGACTTACGGCAGGTAGAACACTGGGCTTTCATACACATGATGGGTGATTGATATTTTTCGGGTCAGGGGAGGAACTTGAACGCGTGTGTTTTGAGTTGGGGTTGGGGTTGGAAGGGTTCAAAGTTCGTGGGTGGTTGCTTTCCGAGGTTTATATGCTTTTTTGCAGCTTCAGCGCGGGGGCCCCTAGCCCCGGGGTATTAGTCATTCACGCCCAGAACGAACAGCAATTTTTGAACTTCACGCTTGGTCGGCGACCATATGCGATTGTGCATAAATTAACAGAAAAAATCAGTATTACCTATCTATTATTTCTAGACTGCTTCGAAGATTACTAGAACCGGAATTGATCTATATTTATCTTTGGGGAATTTGTGCCTGCAATTATTCTCGGACAAATGATAAATATGCTGTGCTCTAGAAATTCATCTCACATTTGACGAAGTTGGCGGGGTCTTTCGGCTGGACAAAGCCGAGAGATTTAAAGTGAAGCCCGAAAGCCCGATAAGGCTCGGTATCTACTTATTTTGGTTAAAAATTGCAAAAATTTACATTTGACTAATATCTGCAGGTACCTATACACAACATTTGAATAAGCAAATCCTGGATATGCTACATCAACTTTGGAAATTCAGTGGTGCTGGTCGATTAGATCTCGGGCCTTAAGACACAACGAAGCGGGGCTCCAAGCTTGCAAGATCGTGGAGAATTCACCCAACTTGCACCTTTCACATCAATGGGTAACCAGCCAGGTCACAGCACTACATTGCCACACGGTTTTGACTTGATTACATTAGATTATTTCATCTCTAATTTACATTGAGATTCATCGCTATGACTACTGTCGCCGTGGCCGGAGGTACCGGAGGTGTGGGTAAAACTCTTGTGGAAACCCTTGAGCAACAATCCAAGTTTCGCGTCGTCGTGCTGTCACGCAATGTGAGTGATCTTCACAAATAATGTCAAATGCAAGCTTGCTGATGAACCAGAAGCAAACGAAAGAGAAACCTGCGACCGACACCTCCTATGTGCAAATTGATTACAATGATATTCCGGCACTTACAAGACAACTTGAGCTCTACAAGATTCACACCATCATCTCCGCAATCGGTCTTATCTCCGAAGAAACCAGCAATTCTCAAATGAATCTCATAGAAGCAGCAGAAAACTCAAAAGTAACGGAGCGATTCATTCCTAGCGAATATTCATTTATTCAAACGGCCGAGTGAGTGCAACACCTAACAGGAGTATCCATCCAGATACAATAACTAATCGCCGTATCCGTCTGAACAGCCTTCTTCCGATTGATCCTAGTATACAATTCTGGCTCGATGCAGCGAATCGGTTAAAAGGTAGCTCGCTCAAGTACACCCGAGTTATCCCCGGTTTCTTCATGGACTACTGGGGAATGCCACATGTCAAAACCAATCTTCAGCCATACAGGTTCGGTATTGACATTTCGAGCCGCATAGCTGCCATCCCTGGAGACGGGAACGATGTGATATGTATGACCTACACATACGACATGGCTCAGTATATGATCAAAGCACTTGATCTTGACGAGTGGCCGGAATTCAGCGTCGTTGTTGGGGATCAAATCACCTATAACCAAATTTTGGCAATCGTCGAGAATATTCTCGGTGAGTGATATGCCATTATTCAGAGCATTCTTATGTCTCGGATGTATATTAATGGGGTCATCAAATAGGGGGAAAATTCCAGGTGACTTACGACAGCGTCGACCAGATCGCAGTGGGAAATGTGACCAACCCGCCCATGCCGAGCGATGTGGATTACTCACAAGAGGAGATTACAGAGGTCACTGCTCTAGTCAGTCGTCTTACGGTGAACGGAGTCTTTGAATTGCCAAAGGAGAACCGACTGAATGACAAATTTCCCGACATCCAGCCCATTACGATGAAGAAGCTTTTGGAGGACTCTTGGGGAGGAGCCAATATTCACCTCAAATAGATTAATTAGATACTTCCAAGCATCCACAATGAACGACAATACTCGATAAGTCCCAAAGAAGCCTCCGAGATTACACATCATTAATGGAGAACATTACTTCCAAGCAGTTTGCCAACGTGTGTGCTCCTTGTCGAAAACCCCCCCGTTTGTGGGTTGATAGCCGCAGATGATCCTAGCATGTAGTAGGGTAGGCAACCCCCACACAGATATTTCGGCCGGGAATGAGGTTCGTGCAGTGCTGGTTGATATTGGGGTTCCAGCAAAGAAGTTGATTAATGGTGAAAGTATTCTTGCTTTGGGTGATTATGTCCCAGCAGGTGTCACCAATTTGAACCTCATAAAAAAGGTCGCCTTTTTGTTTTACATATTAGCGTCATGAAAGTTTTCTGGGATTCTTTGACTTACAAGCGGGATTCATTTGAAGCTTGTCCTGTGTCGAGACCTTGGATGTTGGAACAGTATGTTCCAGTGGAGCGGCCGCGCTCAAAGATGCAAGGCCTAGGCCCCAAATGATAATGCTGGAGTAGAATGCGGGCATTTTGGTATTTGGTCGAGAAATTTGATTAGCGAATGTGAGTCTTTAGATTGTGGAATTGGAAGAAATAAGTTCTACCTGGCTGTGACCACGGGTATTTATATCCAAGTTCTATTCAAGTTCCCTCCAGTAAATCACAAGGCTAGATATAACTTCGGGTGATAGCGTAGTGGCTTGAGACAAATTGAAGTGAGCTTGTAATACCGTTGCAAGAAGATAGTTGCCACTCTAATCGAAAGTAGCTCTTGGTAAACATCATGTCGGCGTTCCTTGACTGCGGTTGCATTCAGCCACATGTTGCATTGTAACCCTCTAATGCTAAATCAGTAGGAGAGTCTTCGAAGGTGCTGACCGAGCGAAGCAAAAACGAAGGCCAGCAAAGACACAAGAATGCTGTATATCGTCAATCTTCTTCATTTAGAGTATCATGGCTGCAGATGTCTCAGTTTCTGCACTCAGTGGTTTGCTGTTTGGTCTATAGTTACATTGCGCGTATTATGCGTGATTGCATGGCCGTGGTTATCCATAGAATAAGATGCTACTTTCTGCAGGGGAACCTGGTCCTTGATGCATGGTGCTGGTATGACCGTCGACCACATTGAAATTATCGTTGTGGGGTAGTTCGAGACCCAGCTATCCTGCAAAGTAGATTTGTGTAACCAACCTACCTCTTGCCTGCAGGCAAACAGCCTAAAAATAATATTCTTATGCGAGAGAATTCGGCAATTTTTCAACTCAGATAAACCTGCAGACGCTCCCTATCGGGTCACTGCACAGGGTGGGATTGCTTGGAAGTTGTTACATCAAGACCATTTGGAACTAGATACAGAGTGCATCGGCCCAGTGAGCAGGTTTGTGCTTCTGGTCTCCTTCTAAATATAGCTTTGATTTGATGATTTAAAGATCAAAATATTGAGCAAAGAGTCGAACGAAGTTGAATCTAAGTGTTGTACGTTGTCTATAGAAAATTTAAAGGAAACCTACTGCTCGGCCGGCTCTTCCCGCCAGTCTGTGCATCCAAAGTCAGGCCACAAGTAAACCTAATTAAGTCGCTAGCACGCTGAATTACCTCCAATATGCCCTTAATCTCGCCATAAAATCCCGAATTTGACACGGACTCGAATTCTGTGGTTGTTTTCATCGCGCAATTTTCTCGTTGGGCAATTGGTAGACTGACTGAAGGTTCGTCTTGAGTCAACCGACAACTGAAAACTAAAACCATAGGTATAGACTGGTTCCCGTTTCCAAGGGAAAGGAGTATAACATGGTGCAAGGACGACGTGTCGGCTCATGGTGAAAGTGAGGTCGAACTGGTCACACCTCGAAGCTTTGAACCAAGGAATGATTCACTCAAGTGCAATTTTCACACCTCCGAATTGGATGTGCGTGTCGTTCATATTCAACCTGCGATGAAATGAAAGCATAGGCGGGGTTAGGATCAAATGTCAAAGAGAGACATGGTGGTGGGGCAAGACTTGCCTACACCCCCTTAGCAATCAAAGTGAGCTGGCCAGAATCCAAATCCATGTAACCTCTTTCAATTTCTTTCTATCCCAGAATGTCATCCTTACCCACAGTTATCCTAGTTCACGGTGCCTGGCATACCCCACCAAATTACAAAAGCTACGCCGATGCTTTGCGGATACAGGGATTCAAAGTCCACTGCCCCCACCTTCCGACATGCAGCGGCACTTCACCTCCAACCGCCTCCCTTGCTGACGATGTTGCCCATGTTCAAAAAATTGTCCAATCTACGGTCGAAGCGGGCGAGCATGTTTTGATGATCATGCATTCGTACGGGGGGGGCTGTTGGGACCGGGGCTGTCGAAGGTCTGTCGTTGTCCGATAGAAGAGCGGCTGGGCTTGCAGGTGGAGTTATACACCTCCTCTATCTCTGCGCCTACATACTCGCACCGGGATCTACAATTTGGGAAATCGTACAAGAGGCTGGTTTCGATAAACTCTGGGATCTGTACATCGATACAGCTCCCGATGGTTCGACAGCTATCAAGGACCCGGGACTCGGATTTTTCAGCGGCAACGCAGATCAAGCTGTCATTGACAAGGCACTTCGAACTTTGGTTCGTTTCCCCTCGTCGGTTTTCTATGAGAAAACAACAGGTTCTGCGTGGCAGACTGTCCCGACAACCTATATCAGCACTCTCAAAGACTACGCTGTGCCCAAGAGCTACCAAGATATCATGCTTGCAAAAGTAAGGAGCCAGGGTGCTGAAGTGAAGGTTGAGGAATATGATGCAGATCATAGCTTGTTCATCACAATGCAAAGCGACATGGTCCGCACGGCCTTGAAAGCGGCCGTCGATGAGAGAAATTCCATCTAGCTTTCTAGCTCGGCTCTAGATCGTTCCTATCAGCCAACTCAGTGCACATGGCATACAAACAAAGATCTAAGAACTGTTATATTGAGTGACCATTCTGAATAGTCACTTTTCTTGCAATTGGCTATCCAAAATGGCCATTGCCATTTACCCACTGGACAATGATATTTTGAGTCCGTGATGGGTTCCCCATCTCCAGCTTGATGCCTAGCTATTTTGCGTTCATGTTTACAAATTATGTTATTTGGGGCTAGTAATACAATCAGATCTTTGCTGACAATCATGAAGTTGTGCAACTAGATTTAAGATGTTCATTCGGCACAAAGCCTCTCCTCGAAATTCGCCAATGCTCCTGTGTAATATACCCAACAAAGACCCTTTCCCGACAACCAAGGACCTTAATAGAAACATACCACCGAATCAGATAAGAATGACGGCCGTTGACCCTCCCCGGAGTTCATCGCACCACATTGATGGGATACAGTCCAACCCTATGATTGGCCAAAAGCGGTATCTCCTGCCACGAGTGAATTGACAATGTGATACGATCCTCTATCTTGTGCACACTCGCAAAGACGCAGTGTTATCGTCAATTTGCCGAGTATATCCGCTGCTATTATACCGGAGATCGGTAGAAATAGTAAAACGTCTGTCCGTTCACCGGACCCAATGATCTCTGCCGTCGGGTACGAGGCTCTGGAGCTAGCACGGGAGTTTTTTTGAGAGTCGTGCATTTCCGTGAAAGACCTGAGCTTTGGAAAATTGACATAAATGCAGAACTTTCAATTTAAGTAGCGTGTATGTCAAGTAATGGCGGAGGACAAGGCCCTACGGCACAGGGATGTCAAACGCGGAATACATTGAGCCCCTTTTAGAGCTTCTTTAAGCCTTACATGCCATTATTTGAATAAGCTTCCGATTGCACTGAGTTTACTGCCTCTTGAGTGAATCGAGTCTCTCATTCCCATCGCTATTGACAAAGACTATAGAAGACTGTAGTAAACTCGGATTCTAGCCCTCCAGTTTACTGCATTTATCGCGGATAACTTCGGCGCTAAATGAAGTCAACGTAGTACAAGCCATATTTCAAGCAATGAAGCGCACATTCTCAGGACTGTATGTTAGTGGTTGGGGTTCTGATGAGGAAGGTAGGAAGTGACACAGCCATCGTTAGCGACGCCTCATAGTCTTGGGTGTCGCTGACCAAATGGTGTTCGGCAATTCACTTTGATATCTAGGATTTCTGAGTACAGAACAAGTATTATAGAAAGAAGTTTAATTTATTAAATTCCCGAACCACCAACCGGGGATAGTATATGATAGCTTTTTCTGCCGAGTTTCAATGCGAATGCCTTGTTTGAAGCTTTGACTCAATAATGCCGACAAATCGTCGTTTACTATTGCAAAGGCCGGAATACTTAGTCCATATGAAACGCCATGAGCCTCGAGTCGAGTTATATTAATAGATTTATGGACTTTCTAGTATCTTTTTTTCTCTCCCTCTCTCTCCTCTAAATAGAATGCTGTTCAAACGCCAGGCTTCCCACGGTTTCGTGGCTCCCGAAGTATGCCTGGACCGACGCGCCTTGTTAAATACCAATCACCCGAGCCGGAGGCACTTTGGAGCTCCGAGGCTAGAATTATACCAATCATATTGATTTTCTTGGATCAGGGCAGTTTTCGAAATTTAATCCAGGCTCGGTCAACTGACACCCCTGATCGCAAAGACCAAATTCAATTTGGGAAATTCTGTCCTCGACGTCATGACTCTCGGGAAGAGCCCCACGGCATCAATTTCGCCCACCAGGCACCCGAGTATTGTGTCATGACAAATTGAAAGCTCAGGGTCTAGTGAGTAACATCTCCGTGGCCCTGATCAAGCTTTCCGGAAGCGTTGATTATCCGGACATGTGCCAACAATGTTCCACCTATTCGCTTGGTACTTTTTTAGGACCTGACCATAATTCTGGAAAACCTCTTAAAGCAGGGTAGGTGACATACTGATCGATCTTTCTATCTTCTTCTCAAAAATTGCCTGGAAGCATCACCATTCAGGCTTCAAATTCCTCAGGTGACATACTTCCTATCAGTCTATTCTACTATCGTCCATTGAGTTCAGACTCAGACTGGTCTCCGCTACAGATCCCATGCCTCCAAGTTTGAAAAAAGCGATATGGATCGCAGCAACATGTATATTCACAGAAGCTATTTCAGATAAATCCATATCTGAGCCGGTGACTTTGGAAGTATCAAGAGATGGTGGAAACAAGTCCAGTCCGTTATTGTACGGAATAATGTTCGAGGTCATTCCCAACACCCCTCCTTCTCAAAACTCTAGCTAATTTATCAAAATAGGAGATGGACCATTCAGGTGACGGAGGTATACATGGGCAGCTGCTTCAGAACAATGGATTTCAAGGGTCCAGTCTAGAGATGACTTCCTATGCGCCCGTAGGCAATGTCACCATATCTCGCGATACTTCAAAGCCCGTCAGCGAGGCTATCAAGTCCTCACTGCGAGTGGATGTACCTCAAAATTCTACCGGGTATTTTGGGTTTGCAAATACGGGGTACAATGGTGTCCCAGTCACAAATAGCACCTACAACAGCTCGTTCTGGATGATGGGCAAATACTCGGGAATGATTAACCTACAGCTTATTGGATCACATAACGGGATCGTCTACGCCGATCATAATTTGACTGTTCACAGCACGGCTTCCAAATTTCTTCAGTTTCATACATCTTTCAACTCGACTCGATCCCATGACGGAGAAAATGAGTGGCACATCACCTTCGACGGCTCAAAGGTTGCTGGCAATTCGTTGAATTTTGGATACATACAACTTTTTCCACCGACGTTTCATGGAAGAGAGAATGGGCTTCGAGAAGATCTTGCGACCATGCTTGACAAAACCAATTTAACATTCCTTCGATTTCCAGGAGGAAATAACCTTGAGGGTCTTCAAGTTGAAACCCGTTGGAAATGGAACACAACAATCGGCCCACTTGTTAGCCGACCAGGAAGGGAAAGTGATTGGTTTTATCCAAATACAGACGCACTTGGATTGGATGAGTACCTCTGGTGGTGCGAAGATATGAAGATGTCGCCTGTTCTGGCTGTTTGGGCCGGAAAGTCATATGGCAAAATCATTTCAGGATCAGAGCTTCATCCATATGTTGAAGATATCATGAACGAACTGGAATACCTGCTTGGGGACTCAAATACTACCACACTTGGAAAAGTTCGAGCTGAAAACGGCCGCAAGAAACCCTGGAAAATCGACTACTTGGAAATCGGAAACGAGGACGATCTCACTGGCGGATGCGATACGTATCCAAACCGCTTCAATCAGATATACAAAGCTGTTCATGAGAAATATCCGCACATGACAATCATCGCATCAAACGGAGAGTCGTCATGTCTCCCGTCACCGGTTCCCAAAGGCGTCATTCTAGATCTTCACTTGTACCGCAAGCCAGATGACTTTGTCGACTTATTTGATCAATTTGATAACCAGCCTCGAGATCAGCCTGTTATGGTCGGCGAATATGGATGTCGCAATACCTCAAGTGCCAAAGGGACATATTGGTCATTTATGCAGTGCAGTTGCAGTGAGGCAGTGTATATGATGGGCATGGAGAGAAATAGCGATATTGTGCAAATGGCTGCTTATGCACCCATGCTAGAACATTTCGGATATGATACCTGGTCGGTCAGTATAGCCATCCCCTTGAAGGACTTGAATGCACTTGATGTCTGACGTTGAACTTTCATCTAGCCAACTATGTACGGGTTTGACTCAAGTCCAGAATCAATCACACCCTCAACATCATACTTTGTTCAGCAGATGTTTGCATCAAACAAAGGGAATACTGTCCTCCCTGTCAACTCGTCAGCTGAATTTGGTCCATTGTATTGGGTAGCCACAAAGGAAGGTACCCAGTACTATGTTAAATTAGCGAACTACGGACCAGATGAGCAAAATGTGACTGTGAAGATTCCGAAAACCAAGTCCGGAAAACTAGAGATGCTATCAGCATCTCGTTATGAAGGAAATAAGCCATATTCGGTCAATGTGAAACCTGAACATGCTGAGGTTGAGCAAGGAAAAGGTGACTACAATGTCACGATGCCGCCTTGGGCTGTTGCTGTTCTGGCAGTCGAGTGAAGTATGAAAATTACCATACATAGTCCTCTCTCTGAAGAGAATTCAACAATCTGATTTCCCAATAAGTGAATTCATTATCTCTTGGAACTTGAAGACTGTACTAGTAGTAATTGTTGGGCTCACGTGATATGTACCTGGCAATGTTGTCAGCCATGGAGAGTTGGGATCCAAATAGATAGATACTGGTATCTATTTGAGCGGGGTATGTATGAGACACAATTTTAATCTTCGAATAGTTGATTTGAATGTGTAGATTGTGAGTGATGCAGTTCGATGCAGTGAAGTGTATACAATGTCCAATTCACTAGTAACCTACCAACCTCGGGAGGAGTCAGCAAAGCAAACCACCCCACCGATCCGCGTTTCATGCGGTTAAACGTGGGGCCCAAACGAATTTCCACCTCTTTCCACTCACCTCCGTCAACTACCCTACCCATAATCATCATTGGACATGTCGGACTCCCAGGATAAGGGCAAGGGCAAGGGCAAGGCCCCCCCAGAACCCCAACGAGGGCGAGAGTATGCCCCCCTCCCCCACCCCGCGCAATGCAGCGCGACCTCACAACGAAGCTGATTCCGAATGACGCAGGCTCCTCCGATAAACCCTCCTCCGGAACGAAGAATGTACCCCGCAAGGCCGTCGAGGCAGCTCTCGAGATGAACCCTGCTCTCAAGGCCGAACTTGCATCGATGGACCCCGCAAAGGCTGCGCAAGCCCTCACCCAGATGGATATCTCACAATTGCTGACCGGACTTTCGGTGGGTGGAAAGAACCAGAAGGACATGGCCTCATACAAGTTCTGGCAGACACAACCGGTTCCTGGCTTTGGTGACAACGCCAGCAAGAAGCCCATTGAGCAGGGCCCGATCAAGAGAATTGATCCCGACCAAGTCTCCAAGACCCCGGACAACCTTATCGAGGGGTTTGAGTGGTGCACTCTGGACCTGACCGATCCCGCCGAGCTGCAAGAGTTGTACGAGCTATTGAATAATCATTATGTGGAGGATGATAATGCCATGTTCCGCTTCGCCTATTCGCAGTCTTTCTTGCACTGGTATGATGACCCAATCCCAATCCCAATTCCCTCGCCCTCCCCGTACCGGACCTTAGCTGACCATTGCAAATTACAATCTGATACAGGGCCCTTATGTCTCCCGGTTGGCAGAAGGAGTGGCACGTCGGTGTTCGTGCCACCAAGTCGCGCAAGCTGGTCGCATCAATCTGCGGTGTCCCTACCCATATCCGTGTTCGCGGCGAGCGACTCAAGGTGACGGAGATCAACTTCCTGTGCATCCACAAGAAGCTGCGCTCTAAGCGTCTGGCCCCTGTCCTGATCAAGGAGATCACCCGTCGCTGCTACGTCAAGGGCATCTTCCAGGCCATTTACACTGGCGGTATTATCCTGCCTACCCCCGTCAGCTCATGCCGCTACTACCACCGTTCGTTGGACTGGTTGAAGCTGTACGAATGCGGTTTCTCGCCTCTCCCCCATGGCTCGACCAAGGCCCGTCAGGTAACCAAGAACCACCTGCCTGCCAACACTGCTACCCCTGGCCTGCGACCGATGGAAGAAAAGGATATTGATGCTGTCTTCGACTTGCTGGAGCGCTACCTGCTCCGTTACGATATGAACCAAGCTTTCGACCGCGAGGAGATAGAGCACTGGTTGGTCTACAAGGAGGAGCCCGGCAAGGACCAAGTCGTGTGGTCTTATGTTGTTGAAGATCCGCAGACTCACAAGATCACCGACTTCGTTTCCTTTTACAACCTCGAGTCTACTGTGATTGATAACCCCAAGCACGACAAGGTTCGTGCCGCATACCTCTACTATTATGCGACCGAGACTGCCTTCACTGGTGACCAGAAGGCCCTCAAGGACCGTCTGCTCGTCTTGATGAACGATGCCCTCATCTGTGCTAAGCAGGTAAGCACTACCCCAGAAGCATGTTCATGAGAAGACATTTCCCCCTAACTTTATTCTTAGGCCAAGTTCGATGTCTTCAACGCCCTCACTCTGCAAGACAACCCGCTCTTCCTTGAGCAGCTCAAGTTCGGCGCCGGTGACGGACAGCTTCACTTTTACCTGTACAACTACCGCTGTGCCCCTGTTCCCGGTGGAATTAACGAGAAGAACCTGCCCGATGAGAAGCAAATGGGTGGAGTTGGTGTTGTCATGTTGTAGGTTAAAAAGTGTTAGCCACTCTACTTCTGTCTCTATTCGCGATGGATATTGAGAATACCCCGGGGAACGAATTCCAATACTGAATTGGAACTATCATTTTTAACAAAAAAAAAAGAACTACCAAAAACATTTAAAATCAAACCCCAAATTACTCCCCAACCCAGAACTGTTCGTAATCCGAGATAAATGCGTCCATCCCGCATTGTTTTTGTTGTCAACTTGGAAGTCTAGAATATGTCGACACCTTATAATCCAGGCGCAAATATCTGACGTCGTCATCTGAAACGTCGCTCCTCTCTCCACTTTCCCTTCGCGTCCTGACTTGTTGGGGTCTTCGGTTCAAGTTGTTATCATCCTTTTCGGTTTTCGAATCACCCCCGTTACATCTTTCGCTGAGTCAAGTTGTAGTTTATCGAGTACGTCGAGGCAGTTTGTTAATCCCCCCCCGCATTTACATCCTCCACAACAATGGGCGCGGGTCAGTCGAGCGAGTATAGCGGAGCATCTCCAGGTTAGTATGTTTATTTTCCCCGGTTGAATAGCCTGTTCAGTGGGAATCCTCTGGCTGTGCTTGAACATCAACAACTGTACCTGTCGTCTCCGGGCTATTTTCTACGCATCTTACCAGACATTATCTGACCCTCTCAATAGAAGAGCTAAGCTACGTGCTTGCGGAGCGGTTTGCAACAAAATGCTTCACCCCGCTAGAGCTCACCCATTTCAAAGACAACTTTTACTCCCGTGCTGCGGAGCAGGGGGGCTTCCGATACTGGAATGAAAAAATACTCTCCGATTTCCTTGGTATCCCAGACGGCAGCTTTGCGGCAACCCACGAAAACCCCTTGGATGCGGGGCCAGTCATCTTCCGCATGGTCTCGTATTTGGGAGCATTTCCGTTCCAAAATACCCTTGCTCCGAGCGTTTTGACGTTTGAAGCAATGGTAAAAGTGGTTGTGTTGCTGACGGAGCGTTATGGCAAAGCACTCCGACGAGGGCGGAAGGACCGGATTAAATTGCTATTCGGGAGTCTTGCGGATGTTGGAAGAAAACCGATTGTTCAGCAAGACACTGGGGAAGGTGAGGATTTTCCAAAGGATGAAGAGACCGAAGCTCGACATCTGAACTCGCATGTTCCTGGCTTTACAATAGATGAGCCCGCAAACGACGACTACGATGAAGACGAAGACGACGACCTTGCGCTCGCCGCATTGGAGTCACTTGATGCGATTGAGGTGTTTAAACATGATCACCGAGTGGATCGGACTGTCTACGAGACTAGCATCTCGCTTGATACATTCCGTCGACTTGTAATGCTGCTACTTGTCATTTCGCCTTTGAAGTCTTTAGAGTCTGTCAAGACATACACGTCTGAACTTAGCAACGAGAAGGTAGTCGAGATTCAGAAGGAGGCAGATTGGGTCATTTCAGCATTTTCTCCGGAAGAAAACAGTGGCGGTATCTCATACAGAGCATTCGCTCGCACGATATCCTCGTCTTTGCCATACCTCTTTGACCCCCTGACACCGCTATTCGAACATATGCTCTTTAGCAGGAATCTGAATCTCTCGCAAAAACGAAATAGCAACGCTGTTCTTGAGCAACAAACCAGCGAGAAGGCCCAGGAGACCCCTCCGCCAACTTCAATCATGTTGCCGGGAAGTTTCGAGTCCTCTATTCTCAATTCAACCCTCATCTCCCACATTTCCTTCTTCCTGCCAGCTTCATCTCCCTCAATCGATCTATTTCGCAGCGGCGTCCGCCTACACCCGGTATTCTCAACAGCCGCACACGGCTCTTCGCTAACCTCCTTCTCCCACAACGTGATGACCTGGCAATCACCATCTCTCCTCCTCCTACAAGGAGCCCCCCGAAGACTCGGACTCTGAGAAAGACCTGATAACGCTGGGCGCTTATATCCCCCACGCTTGGAAATCGCCTTCCTCGCACGGCTCGTCGTCCTCATATTCATCCTCCACCCCTCTTCCATGCCTCTTCCAATTATACCCGCAGCACAAAGTCCTACCAGGAAACCCGTCCCCATCCATAGAGAAGCAACCAAACACCCCAGCAGCCTGGTTCTCAACAACATCTGGCATCGCGCTGGGCTGCCAAATTCCGCCATCTTCACGCACGACCCACACAGTTCCAAAACCACATGGTGCGGGCAGCCTACTCATAGACGTGAATCTTGAAACGGCGCAATTCTACACCGAGCCTGTCGGGCATGAGGGTGTTTTCTTGCCGTGTACGACGGCTTCGGCGAATGAGCTTTCGACAAGGGTCGAGATTGATATTTATACCCTTGAGATCTGGGGTGTTGTCCCGGGTCCAGAGAACGAGCAGGGATCCGGTGCTGAGGATGATGCGGTGAAAATCCAGCGTGCGAAGTGGGAATTTGAGGCTAGAGAGGCGGAGCGCAGGAGAAATGTTAATATCAACACTGGGGGTGGAGATTCGGCGAAGGAGAGCGCGAGGTGGTTGTTGGAGACGGCGGGGATTATTACGGATCATGGACAGCATGATGGCTAGATAACTCCTGGTAACTACTTGTGCTACCTAGGTAGTAACTAATCGACGTGATAGTTGTTGGTGAGTAGCTAGACCAGACGGAATTGGGTGCTTTTGTTGTTTACAGGCGAAACTCTTTGAATACTAATAACCTCATGCTCATTTCTTCTTGCTTGGGTTTCGTTCAACTCGTAAATTTTGATGTAGGGACAGATTAATGCTCGATCAAGCAGGAAAACATGGGTTATATAACTTCTTGTTCCTGGATATAATAGTACAATTGATTGATCTAACTTGATTTACCAGGCCGCCGCGGCCTAGACACGCAGAGGAGGAAGTCCACTAGGCGCACCATAAAACTCCAAAAGATCCTCTTCCTCCTCGACCTCGACAAGGTTTTCAACCTCGGATTCCTCTTCCTTGACGGGAGCCGCCCGTGAAGGGCGACTGCGGCCTGCAGCGCCATTGGTCCCCGAAGCAGGGGTGCCTTCTGATTCAAATGCTTCACGCGCCTCTTCGCGCGGCAAACGCAGAGCGGGGAATCCATCTGGAGCACGCTCCGCCCGGTCCATGATTTCGTTCATGTACTTGCGCACCTCCTCCGCCGGCTTGACGACTCGAGTCAATGGCTCGAGGATCTTGGGATTGGGAGCATGGATGCGGAAAGTGACTGGCTGCCAGTATTCTTTGAGGTTCGCTTCATTCACGGCGGGCTGGTTGGGGGTGCCAGGGGTATCTGTCGAGGCGGCGTTGGCTTTGACATCCGGCTTGTCAGAGGGCTCTTGCTTCTGAGGTGTGTCCGTAACGGCAGGTTGGGCAGGTGTCGGGGTTCCAGGGGCTTCTTTGGAGTCTTTTCCACCCTCGACTTTCTTCTTGGACTTGGACTTAGATGTACCCTTGCCTTTGCTGCGGCTCGTGGTATTGTCTGTTGCAGACTCAATAGGGAAAGGAGTATTTGGATCAACCTTGCGAACAACTAGGAAGGAAGCTAGAATGGTGCATTCATTTGGAAGCCATTCAAGAATTGTATGCTCTGGGAAGAGATAGCGATCACCAGATCCAGCGTGGCCTGAGGTGCTGCTTCCGTAAGGAGTCAAGGGTGATGTAAACTCAAACACGACGGACTTGTAACCAACGCGCGCGGGAGGCGGGGGCGGTCCCGGTGGACGATAATAAGGCGCGGGCGAGCTGTATTGAGGCGGCCGTGACTGAAGAGGGGCCTGGGCTCCCCCAGGGGTGTACGGCGTCTGTTGATGAGGTGGATATGGCGGTCCCGCACGCGGCGGCTGCTGGTAGTTTGCAGGAGGTTGGGGAGGGCGGGCTGAGGGGGGTTTGCTGTTGAGGCGTCCCTACCAACGTGGAATTGGGAGCCGGAGTTTGAGCAACAGATGAAGTAGATGCTGCAGGTGGTGGTTGTGCTGTCCCTGCAGGGATAGCCTGGGGATTACTCGGACCAGTTACAGCTGGTTCTTGTTTCACCACAGGCGTGGCAGCCGGGGTGTGGGAAGCATTCGCGGCTTGGCCATTTTCATTTTGGCTCGGTTTCTGAGGCTCAGCGCTAGCTTGCGGTGTGCCTTTCAGTGCGGGCTTGGGTGTAGTTGTGGTGGTCGGCTCTGGGGCTTTGGGTGCTGATGGTATTTGCTGAGGCTCTTTGGAGGGAGTTTGCGATGGAGCAGGTGGTTGTGATTTGGGTATTACTACCTGAGGTTGTGGATGGGCGGCCGCAGCAGACTTGGGTTGGGAGTTGGGTGGCGCTGGGGTAGGCTTGCTTTGGGGTGCGGGTGTCGCGGGTGTCGCGGGCGTTGCGGGTTGCGTTGCTGCCGCCTGCGGTCGTCCTTGTGTACCAATGGAACCTTGATGCCTTTGTTCCTGTTGCTCTCTTGCCTTGATAATCGCATTGAGTTCATCAATGTGGGCCTGGAAAGCGCGCAGTTGGTCCTGAGAAGCCTGGCTGGAAGCAACCACTCTCATCAAAGCCTTGAGTTCGGGATCTGCTGCCGCCCTAGTAGCAAGCATCTGAATGACAGGATCTGGACTTGCTTTCGCGGGCTGCCCGGGCTGGCCATTTTGTGTCTGTGGAGGCCGCTGTCCCGATTGATTTGGGGGATGTTGCGGGCCACGTTGCTGACTAGGCGGTTGATGGTTTCCCGGGTATCCTTGCGCAGGTCGACCGGTCGGAGTAGAGGGATAAGGGGGGCGTTTTTGTGTATTCGGATATGGTTGGTATTGTTGGAATGAGTTTGGGTGTCCATAATGGACCATAGGCCGCTGCGGAGGTGCATATTGGATCTGCGGGGGTGCAGTTGGGTCTTTCACAGTATATATCATTGCGTCGAAGAGATGGGGCCCAATGGTGACATCGCAGGGCCCGATTCTAGTCATGGATTCTTTCCGGGGGGTTGTTCTTCTCGATTTGCTCGCGTTTCGTCTTCTTCGGTTTCGTGTAGTATCTCACCAATATTCCTTCGCTAAGCCATTTCTTCTTCGATCGTTCCAGGGAAATGAGGAGGACGGCGCTGTAGGTTATGAGCTTACGTTAGTCTTCGTAGGTTTGATATGAGTTGTGCAATATAGGGTTCTAACCTTTCTGCAATAGATTGATATTCCTTGTCCGATAAGTTGTCGGGCTGGCGCACGCGCGTAACCGGCAAGACTTCCGCATCCTTCACTTTTGTAGGTAATGGCGGTTCGACTGGCTCTGGTGGTGGTGGTGGTGGAGATGGAGCTCGAGGCGTAGGTGCCTTCTTCTTTTGCGACTGAGGTGTTGCTGTGACGGCTTCGGAGACTCTTCGTTTGGCCGCGGGCTCGCGCCCGGCGCGTGGTGGCAGCTTGCGCTTCTCGGCCATTGAGACTAGTCCATGCAAGGCTGGAACCGAAGATTTAGAGGCCAGTGAATGGAATGAAGGAGGCGGTGATGGCGGTAGTGGAGGTAGTGAGGGTGGTGGTGTAGTCAAGTAGCGGAGGTGGAAGGGGGAAAAAGCGTGACGCGATAAAGTCGCGGCTTATCAGCAACTCCGCCGAGTTAAATACTACCTTTACCCCGACAGCACTTCCTCCTCTCCAACTCCCCTAGGGAAATTGGGAAATTGGCAGTCATGGTCGAACTAAAGCCCATATTCAAAAAGGCCTATTGGTCTCTCGCAGCTGGCGGGCTGGTCTATGTGCTTTTCATCTACTCTCTGACCTATACTCAAGTCCAGCGACTGTACGTACTGATACTACTCTTTATCTTGGGCGGGTGCTTGCGCTGACATGTAACTGTCAGCTTCCTTTACGCCAACAAGATCAACCCGACTTTGTGGCAGGATGTGAACCAGGTCGAACAATTCGGTTTCCTGAGTATGCCATCCATGTTCCCGATGGCGAGCAGTTGTTGACTTCTCCTAGATACCCAGGTCCAGCCATTCAATCTGGAGACTCCAGATAACGAGACCATATATGGTTGGCACCTGTTGCCTCTGCACCTTTGCTACCAACATGAGAAGGAGCTTTCCGAAACCCCGCCTTCTGGCCCCGCTGCGGACTATACACAAACAGCTGCATTCAAACTATTGGCCAACGACGCGAATGCTCGAGTAGTGGTCTATTGTACGTGGAGGACAGACGTCTTTGAGAGGGTTCCAGAAGTCCACATGAACTAACTGACATTATAGTTCACGGAAATGCCGCTCATCTTGCGTCCGCCTCGCGACCTCAGATATATAGCTCTATGTTGGCCCTTTCCACTCCGTCTAATCCCGTCCATGTCTTTGTTATCGACTACCGCGGCTTTGGCCTTTCGACCGGAAGCCCGACGGAAGAGGGCGTCATCACCGACGCTGTATCGCTTCTGAATTATCTCACAGCTGGCCCTTACAAAATTCCCCCTTCTCAGATTGTGATTGCAGGGCAAAGCCTAGGCACCGCCGTGACTGCGGCTGTGGCCGAACGATTTGCGTTCGGGTCCCCTGACCCAAATGCCATCCAGCCAGCTATTAAAGATGCCGAACCCTTCGCAGGTGTCATCTTAATAGCATCTTTCAGCAGCTTGCCGAATCTGATCCAATCATATAGTATCAAAGGTCTCACTCCTCCCATGCTATCGCCGCTAGTTGGCTATCCTCGCTTCCAGAACTGGGTTATGGGCCATGTAGTGGACTACTGGGATACGGCTGCAAGAGTTGCACGACTCACGGGTATTGGCTCTGTGAAGCCGGATGCATCCGGCTTGGAATACTCTCAGAAGAATCTTGACCTAACCGTGGTCCATGCCCTCAACGATTTTGAAATTCCGTGGTATGAGGGTCGACGTGTCTGGGCTGCCGCTACCGGCGAGGGTACCCCAAATGCCCCCGGGGCTCTAATCTACGAGAATATTGAAGCGGGGCGGAGCAAGGAGGTGAAGGTTTGGGAAAGCAAAGTGGCTGGAAAGAAGGGCAAATATGCGGTCAAGACGGTCAGATGGGAGCGTGTGCTATACGGCGGTATGTTATTACCAATACTTCCGGCATTGAGGCTTTTGCAAGACCAAACTAACAATGAATAGGACATAATCATGTCGCACAATTTTCAGCCGCAGGTATTGCGGTTCTTCGTGCGTTCGAAAACTAACACCCCCCTTCACATTCTCTACGACACAGGCCTTATCCAGGCAGGAGGCAGCTTTGGCTATGGTATCTCTAAATGTATGATAGACCGACGACCTTTTAACATTTGGTTGTATATTGGAACTGTATATAACACTTTCGCATTTTCCAAAACACATATCCTCTTATCGAATTCTCAGGCCACATGCTCTATCTCTGTCTTGCTCGGCAATTTCGCCTTTTGAGGGAAGGCCTGTTTCTCATAGTCGAACCTCGACGTCAGCGGCGCAGAATCACCATCAAAGACAACGGCAATTTCCTCCAGGGTGCGACCTTTCGTCTCTGGAAACAGGAAATAGATGATGAAGAGAAACACAGCGAGGCAGGCCACATAAACAAAATAGAACTTCCAGGCAAGAGCAGCGAAGGCGATTGGATTGACATATTGGTTAAAGAAGCCGGCAGCAAATACCACAGTCAAGCAAAGAGACAATCCTTTGGCTCGCAGGTGGTACGGCAAAATTTCCACCGGGTAGGCGATGGAGAGAGGAGTGTAGGCCAGGGCATAAGAGCCAAAGAACAGGAACAGCATTGCCACGGAAGCGCTACCGGCAGCCTTGATATGTTTTTCCGCAAATATCCCTGACAAGGCTGTGACTAATCCGAAAAAGACGAGCATCATGACAGTCGATAGCAGCCATAGTGGCCTGCGCCCAAATTTCTCCGTTGCGAAAGCACCTCCCAGAGCGGACAGGCCATTCCAGGCCTGTAAAGCGAGATTAATTCCTGCTTGCTGACTTGAGCTCGTGATTCCAACAGTTTTGAGAATCGGCGCGAGGTAATATGAAACAATTCCTACTCGGAACATTAGCAATATTCTTGATTTACGGATTGTTGCATGATGTCGACTACTAGGTATTAACTTACCATTGCCAGCCCATTGGATCATGAAGCCAACCAGAACACAAATTGTTAAGCGATGGATAGCACCGCGAGTAGCAAAGAATGCCGACCATCCGCTGCTCTCCGCTATCGAGTTTTCGTGGTCAATGGCTTCACATATCTCACGATATTCAAATAGAACGAGCTCATCAGTCTGATCACCATTCGCATGATAACGAGCCAAAATCTCCAGGGCCTCCTCTTGTCGTCCTTTAGATATAAGCCAACGCGGGCTTTCCGGAACAACAAGCAATCCAATTAGTTGAAGAAGGGGGAAGAAAGCTTGCATTAGGCATGGAATTCTCCAGGACCAAGAGCTAGAAAGGTATAGGGTTGCAAGGGTGACGATTGCAGAGAGTACCGCACCACAATACCAAGTGGATTGAAATATAGCCGTGATCGTACCACGATGGCGTGGATGGGCAATCTCCGTAGTCAGAGGAGGAGCTGCTGTTTGTGCAAATCCCAAGCCAACGCCCATCATAAGACGTGTTCCAAAGAATGCCCAATGACCGTTTGTAGCGGCCTGGATAACCGCGGCACATATCATTATTGTCGAACCCAGGGCGACACATTTCTTTCGCCCAAAGGCATCTGCAAAGTAAGAAGCCGGGATGAAGCTCGGGGTGCCCCCGAGAGAAACACCAGCAATTATGAGCCCTTCCAGATTTGAATCGATGTCACCGAGGTCCTTCAAGACTGTAGGATGGTCAGCGGGGGGGGTTGAGAGAAGTATATTTCCAGACACCCACATAATGGTAAGGCCAATAGACCATTCATCAAGCTCCCATCATACCCATTGGCAGCAGCCGATGTGAACATCAACCCAACGCCCAAGTTCAGACGACGAAGACCAGCATCCTTGGTCCACTGCTCATGGGTATTGTTTGATAGTGAATTATATACATCCTCACCAGAGGTTGTCACAACTGTATTTGCAACCATGATGTTGAACAAGACAGAATGACGAACAAAAGAGAAGACTGGAAGATCTCGAATGCTCAGCTAAGAACAACTGGGTGATTGAGATGTTCCTGACTGACGAGGAAGACTCGGAGGTTTGTAGAAACCATGAAGCGCTTTATATACGCGCGATTGAACTGACAACGTCTGGGGTAAAATTGAGGCATTGATGGGGTCATTGAAGCCGAAAAACTGTAATTGGTAGTAGAAACCCCCATTCAGCCTTCGCTAGGCTTGACCTCCTTGGTTTTCCGGGGTCAGCCCAGATGTTGGGGTTGGAGCTATTCAAAGTGGGGAAATTCTCGGCCAGATTGTCGGGAGAATTATCGGCGAGATGATTTTGACCCCTCTTCACATTCTCGGAAATACAGACTATTAGAGTTGAATACTATCCAATTTCGAACCGGGTTCCCCGCCGCGCGCAATGACTCTCGGAGAAATAGTCGGGGGAAATATCGGGTTTTGGGCTCTAGGCTCTGAGACATTGCACGCATGTGCAATTCGGCATTATTATAAATTGTTGGCTTCTGTTCACAAGCCATGGCGTAAATTAACTCGGTTTTCTAAGAAATTATAACCCAATTTCCGACGCTTGAAATGACTACCACCGAGACACAAGTTCAATCCCGCTCCCCTGAACAACTGGCGAGCGGGAGGGCTTGGTGGAAGGAATCTTCAGTCTATCAAATTTATCCTGCCTCCTTCAAAGATTCAAATGGCGATGGGATTGGTGATATTCCGGGTATCATATCAAAGCTTGACTATATCAAAGCCCTAGGTGTTGACATAATCTGGCTTTCCCCTATTTCCCAATCCCCTCAGGTGGATATGGGGTATGATGTCTCCGACTATTACGCCATTCATCCCCCATATGGAACCCTGGAGGATGTTGAGATGCTCATTAAAGGCATTCGGGCTCGTGGCATGAAATATGTCATGGATCTTGTCGTAAATCATACATCCGATCAAGTATGTCTCCAAGCTTGACTGTCTTTGTCGAGAAATCCTCGTCTAATGATCAAATTAGCATGAGTGGTTTAAACAATCGCGAACTTCGAAAACAAACGAGTTTCGTGATTGGTACATCTGGAAAAAGCCAAGATACACAGCGGATGGTGTCAGACACCCACCAAATAACTGGGGCTCCTACTTCTCAGGTTTGTCTTATTCTGCCTTCTCATTAAGCCCTACCATGCCCCTAATCACTAAATTTTCATTCTAGGACCTGCTTGGACATATGATGAGCAAACAGATGAATATTACCTCCATCTCTTTGCTTCAGAGCAGCCTGATCTCAATTGGGAGAACCCAAAGGTTCGTGAAGCTGTTCACAAAATCATGCGTTATTGGCTTGACAAGGGCGCCAGCGGATTCAGGTTAGACGTCATCAACTTCATCAGCAAAGACCAACGTTTTCCCGACGTCCCCATTACCGATCCATCTAAGCCATATCCCGAAGGCGCAGAGTATTACGCCTGTGGACCAAGAATTCATGAATACCTACAAGAGCTTGGAAGCATTCTGAAGGAGTATGATGCATTTTCCGTGGGCGAGATGCCTTCCGTCTATGATCCCAAGGAGATCTTGAAAGCGGTCGAGTTCGAAAGACAGGAGCTCGGTATGGCATTTCAATTCGAGATTATGGACATTGACCATGGGCCTCAAGGTAAATTTTCTCCCGGGAATTTCCAGTTGAAAAATTTGAAGTCCGTCGTCAGCAAGTGGCAATCATTTATGTACGACAATAACGGATGGAATGCCCTATATCTGGAAAACCACGACCAAGGGCGTAGCATCTCTCGGTTTGGATCTGAAAAGCCTGAATTTCGCTCCCTTTCTGGAAAAATGCTAGCCACCTTCCTGGGGCTCCAGAGTGGGACTCCATTCATTTACCAGGGACAGGAAATTGGAATGACGAACCTGCCTGAAACTTGGAAGGTTGAGAAGCTCAGAGACCTCGAAGCTATCAATTACTGGAATGAGCTCACTCAAAGAACTCCCGGAGATACAAAGCTCCATAGCCAGACGATGACAGAAATGCGCCTCAAGTCTCGAGATAACGGGCGCCTTCCGATGCAATGGGGGCCAGGAAAGTTCGCCGATTTCTCCGCCGGCAGTACTGAGCCTTGGATTGATACCAATGATGACTATGAAAAGTGGAACGCCTCATCTCAAGTATCTGACCCGACCAGTATCTTCAACTACTGGGCGAGTATCTTGAATATTCGAAAGACTTGTATTGATGTTTTTGTTTATGGGTCATATACTCTTATTGATGAGAGCAACGAGGATCTTTTCGTCTATGCCAGGGAATTTGGAGGGAGCAAAGCTGTGGTGGTCTCGAATTTCTCCGAGGAACATGTGAAATGGAGTATTCCAGCAGAGGTGAAATCGGTATTCGCTGCTGGAAAGCTCCTGGTGGGCAACTATGAAAAGCTTCATGTCGCAGATATCCGGGGAGAGACTATCACGCTGAGACCGTTCGAGGCTTTTGTGGTTCACATGGGCGAAAAAGACATTTCTGCTTAAGCCGCCCGGGCGATGTCATTTAGTACAGACTGCTTTCTCCATTGTGAGAAATATTTTCCTTGTCGTTGATAAGTTCATCCTCGTCGTAGTGCAATTCAGATATTTCTCGGAGCTCGAGAACTGGCTCAACCATCAAATTCGACTCGATCAATCTCTTTCGGATCTGTACCAAGCCCTCCTGGCTTCCATTCAGCTTCGCAAGATAGCAGCAAAATTGGTGAAGGATTTGACGCGTTTGAATGAACATATCCGGTGGTAGCGAATGCACACATGTAATTACGTCAAGAAGTGTGTTAGTGATGTCGCATATTTTAACTTGCTGTAGTGCAATTGGTCAGCATCCAATGAAAGCACTCTAGTTTTATGGCGGTTTCTGGTACTTACCATTCCCGGGCCGTGTGCAATTAAAGCATCGAAGGAAACGGTTGATATAGAGCGCAGTGCATCTCTTGACACATGAGCTGGGTAAGCAAAGGACATACTATCGTCCCCTGGCTCGCTTGACATCGTGACATTGCTGAGAGAAAGTTGCCAAACCAGCATCCTCAACCATTGCTGCGTAATTGAAACATCACTCCTTTGGGTTTCATTCCACTCCATGGGCCACTGGTCGTTTCGTCGCAGTTCATGCTGTATTCGGACAAGTCTTTCTCTACTGCATCGATTATCATGCTTCTGAGAAGCCGCATCAGAATCCACCAGTACGCCGTCAACAGAAGCAAATAGTTGAACCAGACTGTGGAAAGCCTCCAACACCTGCGAACTCTGTGTGTCATTTGAGGGGAGAGAAATGGATTTCGTGAGACATATCGGCGTTCCATGCTGCATTGCATGTCCCCTCTCGGTCACATATAAAAGCCAGAAGGTACGTCGTCTGTAGCTTTCCTCTGAAATGTTTAAATGTCGATAGGTGTCTTCTTTATCCATCCCATTTATCTGGCACAGCGACACGGATTCACGTAATAGGAAAGAAGCCGTCTGCCTCTTCTCCTTTGCTCCGTAGTAGAAATGAAGAAATAGAGGAACCAATATAGACTCGATAGTTGAGCTTTCACGATAGTCATATCTGGACCGACATCTTTCAGCCTCGGCAGCAAATCTGTCCGCCAGGGCAATCGGACTCATTTCTCCGGAGAGGTTGAACGTGTTCCATTCTTGCGTGGTCGACTTTGGTTGCAATTGTGCACCCGTTCCAGCGCATACTGCGAAAGCTAACGCATACGCTTCGTGGTCATTCTCATTTGCACCGATAGCGCAACTCAGCTTCTCGCTGTCAATAACTGGCCATACTGGATACATTTTTTGTCTGTATATCTCCAGATAAGCAAATACATCGTTTATCGAGAAGGGGAACTTCCATGTCCCGTGTGGCGAACTGTAAGATGATAAAGGTGAATTCGAAAAGTGCCCGTCCCTCCAATCATTACCCTCATTTGGTGCAGAAGGTGGTAGGAAAGGAGATGGGGTACTGTTTATCTCTTTGTCCAGACTCTGCAAATGCGCACTCACACGAGCCCGAGTTGCATGACGAGGCCCCTTTGGTCCCGATTTTCTGGGAGTCTTTGCAAAGGAACATTTGAATCCGGTCTTTGAACAATTCGGACAAGGTAGTGACCCTGTGCACCGGACTTTGCGAAGAGAGCATGCGTCACACGCTCGTGGTCTCGCCATTTAGAGCAAGTGGATCTCGACCCGGGGGCCCCCTTCTGTGTAAGGTATAATTAGTTTGATTGGCAGTGTATCAATGAAACCGAAGCCTGAACGATTTAGTCAATGCGAATAGGAATTAGTTGGGGTGATGTTTCTCGGCTGGATTGTCGGGCGAATTTGCGGGGGAACTGGTCGGAGAAATCTCGGGGTTTTTAAACTTTCCTTGGGAATCACAGGGGGGGCTTTATTGCCATTTAAACAAAAATTGCCAGAGAGAAAGTATAAATAGAGCATTGGTGATGAAGAGAATCAATGCACTCAGGTGATAGAAAGCCTTCTTGGGAAATAACGTGATAAAAAGGACCAGTTGCTGTATTTGATTTGTTAAGAGGCAAACAACACTCCCCCAGAGAGCACATCTCTCACCAGACTACCAAGATATTCGAGTTCCGCAAATAGAAACGCATGATAAAATTGGAATATCTTGTATATATAACTTCAAATATCGAGCAAATTTCAATGGAGGGAATACCTAGGTAACTTAAGGCTTCTATAAAAGTTAGGAACATAGATGATACTGTACATCATTTCCAGTGCTGACGGGTGCTTCTGCCCGAGAAGACGCTGGACAGATTTCCAGATTTTGATCCCATCAATCCTTCTTAGTACTCAGGAGGCCAAGCTGCTCTCGAATGCTCCTTAATTCCTCCAGTCGGTTCTTTTCACCCTCCTGCAATAACCGGAGATGCTCGGTTTTCAGTTGTTTAAACTCATCGTCCAATTGGTGATGCCAAGGGTACAGAACAAAAACTTGAAAGCAAAATGCTGAGCTTGCGATCACAAAATTTGTTAAAGAAAAGCCGCGAGTTATAATCATTGTGTCGGTCCCGCTCGGAATCAGAGACTTGGAAAATGAAGTTGGCTGTACTGGCTGCAGCTTGTTAGTTATGTCGACGGAAAGATTATTATGTTTGCGAGGATAAATACCTGGGAACCCGATGAGATGCACCTTGGGTGATAAATTTCCAAGGTCATAGGCTGAATAATCTGAAAACCGAGGCGACAAATGGAAGAAGAGACAAGTAGCAAATTGACTTGATTTTAGGATTTAAAACATAAGAAATTTCAAGCCTAACGGTATTTCTTTGTCAGGCTAGCTAGTCAAAATCCGCCCAATACCCAGAAACTCGGCATTTCGGGGCAAACTAATCTCGGGGGTATTCTGGCATCGGCATTATGAAACATGCTGTCGATGAATGAAATGAAGCCTTACTCAGGCTGGTATCAAAATGACTGCTACTAGACATCATATGTAGCATCTTATCTACCCCATTTATATCCGAATGGCATTGAAATATGGGAATATTCTCTCTCCACTCACTTTTTAAATGAACATTGACTGATTCCTACGAGTCGGGTTGTGTCGTGATGTTTGGGGTATCTTGCCCGAACTCCCGAGGCCGGGGAAGCAAACCTTCGGCCGAGACGGCAATTTCTCGGAAACGAGAATCGGCTGCGGCTGCGGCTGTTCACCCGAAAATCAGGGTCTATCTTATACTAACGGATTTTTATAAAAACTCAATAATTCTGCTGAGGCAAAATCTATGAATCGTGAACCGATAAATATATATCACTTTATGCTAATGTCGGCATTTGATCATGAGAAGACATGACAGCATCCAGCATATCAATATATTCCATCCCTTTCTCGTCTGACGATAAGTCTCTTTGTATCCATACTGACTCAACCATGCCTTGGACAGAATGAAGCCTGCGTTGGCTTGATATTTTTTGGGTCTTTTCGAACAAAGAGAGAATCATTTCTCGCTGGGTATCCGTGTGCGCTTCGCATGCGATGAAGAATAGTGGGAACGGCCGCTCGCAGATTTCCAGCCTTTCGATAATCTCGAAGGCTTCCGTAATCCATCTCGCCAGCCTGCCACTGTTGAAAGATTTCTTCAAAGCCCGTTCGAAGTATACCAGCCCTGCTAGTCGGTAAAGCTGAGATATCTTGCTCCCATGTTCTACCTCCTCCGCCGAATTATTTTCGCCGAGAAACGTGGTGTCCTGCTCGATCGTCATCAAGTGATGCTCAATGGAATCGATTTTTTGTTGATCTGTGTACTGAGCATCATTGATACTAAGCTCTGATATCTCAGCAATAAGGTCTATCATTTCTATTGAGCATCCAGAAATCCCTAGAACCTGCAAACTCTAGTTGGCATACTTTTCTATTCATCAACAGTTGTGTGGACTTTTGTAACTCACCTGATCGTTCGCTATCGAGGAAACCAATGTTGAAGCACATCCCGGTACTTTGAATAAAGATGCATTTTCCACCGAATCAACTCGCCAATGCCGAGATGTAAACTTTCCCAGGATATCATGATAGTGTAACCAGATTATAAGATGGTCAACCTCCATCAACTTGGGATGTCCACCTTCGCAGATATTATGGAGCATGCCCTTGGCTCCAGAGAGATACAACGGCCATTGGAAAGAGCTCTCCGATGGTAAAAATAGCTAAAATTATCAGTCCTTTGTCCCGGTCGCTGAGTTGAAGAAAACGGTTACCTCAAAAGCACAAAGCAGCATTCCAACCGCGACATGTTGGTAAATCTCTCTTGTCCCCGTAACATTCTCTTTCATAGCTAGGCCCAAGGAGTTGAGAGCAGCTACTTTGAGTCGAAGAGCCTCATTGCCATGTCCGTGTCGATATAAGTACGCCAGTGATAACATTGCGCGTAAGACGGCCATTGATGCGGGTGAATCATCTGAGAACGAAAGCTTGAACAAAAGTTCCCAGAGCTTATAACCATCGGTTCGAATGAGGGTTAATGATCCTACAACTGTGCTCATAACTAGATATCGATTTAGTCAATCTCGGCATACTACCGGATAGAGGGGTGCTTATCCATCCATACAAAATGTCATAAGGTGATTTCCGTCGCCGACAACTGACCACGCCTTTGCCAAGTTTGATCGTGGAAGAGGTCCCAGATCACGAACTGGTAATTTTCCTATTAAAATAGACACCAAATTCAGTCAGCAATGCACCGGTTATCCAAGCAGAAAGATCAGCACAGGGGAACTACCGACCAGCAAACTGCGGGTCCTGCAGGTAAAACAGCTCGATATCTGCCATGAACGCATTGATGAAGCGGGTATATGTTGTCCCGCCTGGCCCAGAGTTCGCATATTGTTGAATTAAATGTTCAATCGATCTGCGGGATCCATGTGCTGGCCAACTCAAACGGAGACCATATCCCTCGCATCTGCGGGTCGAGGCTTCGCATTTGCGGCATCCCGGCCTACGCATGTCGCACGATATTTTCCGATCTAAGCGAAGTGAGGTCAGGATTTGCGTGAGCTGAACTCGCAACCGTTTCTGAGTCAGATAAATTGGTTATGCTTCATCCTACCGCGACATGTCCAACATCCCCGCTGTGACGGAAGCCCTACACGATAGGGACCTCGTTGTTTTGTTTTTGGCATTTTGATGCGGAGATAGCTGTCTCAATATGGATGGACGGGGAGAATAGATCGTCAAAGAAAATAAAATAAGCTCAAAGAAGCTCACAAAATAAGCGGAAAAGAGGGGTAGACTTTGTATTGTCAAGTATCATGATGGTATGGGGCGGGGCTGCAGTAGCTCTTTGTATTCCACGGCTGAAATACATCCACATAATATCCACCTCCTAAAAAGGTAAATAGTCTTCTAAATGAGATTCATTTCGAAATTATTGACAAGATCCCATTTTATTTCAAAGCCACTGTTTGTTTCCCAAATGCGAAATAAACGCGCCACCATCGCCCTTCTCGATCGAGGCGTTGTTCATAACCGAAAGAACAGCAGCAACCGACTCCTTGGGGGTTATGGGGCGCTGGAAGTGCGGTGCATACTCGACAAATTTCTTAACAAGAACTGCTATCTTTTCGACATCTTCGGGTGAGGGTTCTTCTATACATAATAGTAAGTACAGTCCTATGCCATTATTTTTTTTAGTCTCCGGGGATCCTTTGGCCTACCTGTATTTCGCTCCGTTGTCACATAACCAGGGCTAACAGCAAGGAACAAGATACCCTCTTTATTATAAAGGGCATTGTATTTGGCAATTGCGACATTAACCGCACCCTTACTGATGGCGTAGGGACTGGCAAAGGTCACTTCGGTCGAATTGATCAAGTCTAGATCTGCCATTCCGGTTGAGATCGTTATGACCTTTTTGGCCTTGCCATTGCGAATCAGAGGCACAAAAGCGTGTATTGATTTTATGACGGCTAGCAGGTTGATCTCCAGTGATTCAAGGATATCTCTCTCCATGGCATCGAAGTCATCGTCACTGTCATCGGTCAGCACTTTTTCCTTCTCTGCCCCGTGATCGACACGTACAAGTCACCGAGGGTCTTGAATTCGCTAACATGGGACACAACCGCGGCATTGTTAATTAGATAGTCAAGACTGCCTCCGGTGATGCCTTTCACCACCTCCGCAGCTGCCTATAAAGTGTTAGTCTAGGAATTCATTTAAATCATGGCAGTTTCCTTACTTTCAGAGACTTGATGTCAGTGTATTGGCCCTCAACGAAATGGACTTTATCCAGTGCCTCTTCCTTAGCCTTTGCTTCGGCTGCGGCCTTGTTGCGGACGAGACCAATGACAGTATTATTTTCGTCCTGGGAAAGCGTCCGAACAAATTCGAACTAGAAATAATATTTTCATGTTAGATTGCGGTGACAAGTCAATCAGTCAATATAAGGTACTGACTCCGAGCCCACGGCTGGCACCTGTGACAAGATAAGAAGGCATGTCTACTTCTGACGGCTCTTATATTGGATATGGTAGGATGTGAGGCAGTGAAATGAGTTGGTTAGAAAAGAGGGGGTCATTGTTCCCTATTTATGCTTTCAAATCTCCTTGATTTATTGCTTCGTGATGGGTGTATAGAGTGCAGGGCTGGTTGCTTACTTCTCCGACTCATTTGGTATTGTATCGATTGCGTTGATTGGGTGTTTCCTCCGGCAGGTCATGTATTTGCGAGCCAATAGGAGGAATGTACAAGGAGCGGGGCATCCTCATGTAGTTAGTACTACTAGTATACAACTTGTCAAACCTGAGTTACTGCATAATCTCCCGTCACAAATGAAAGCCACTCGACGTGGCCTATTCTACTCCGTATCTCAAAAGGGCCTCGTTCTAATCGCTTACGGCGGTCTAACTTGAAGTTAGGAAAATAGAAAGATACGTTTCTGATTCCGACTAGTGTCGATGCGGGTCAAACAACTTGATGGTCATCCTCACCCCACACACATACAAGCCATAAAACATTTCCGTTATACGTGGGTAAATACTTTGTATTATATAGGAATCTCGATTGTTGAAATCCACAAAACACCTCTATTTAACCGCCTCCATGTATTGAATCAGATGGCAAGTGTTGATACAAGAACCAGAATGGGCACGAAGCTCCAGGCCGCCCGTCAGATAAATTCAAAAATTTAAGCCTAAAATTCGTCATCGGCTAATCATGCCGTTTCAACGAACGGCTTTGTCTCGACCACATCGAGGAATCCACCAACAAGGTGCAAGCTACCAGTGACAAATGTCATGACCGGCGCCTCATCCTTCTGCAGGACCTTGCGTTCCTCTGCGGCTACATTCCGCGCAAAATCAACAGCCTCCTCGATCGTGCCGAAGACTTGCGTTTGCGCATGGGGGTCAATCGAGTTCCAGGCCTCGGCGAGAGATTTCTGCACGCTGAGACGTTCGATATCATCCGCATTGGTATTCATGCTGACCAAGTCGGGCCGGTAGCCGGCTTGTTTGTAGGTAATGTTGGTACAGAATAGAGCGTGTGTGAAGGGGACTTCGGCGCCGAGTGCTTTAGCCAGTGTCTCGTGGAGAGCGCGTGCTAGAGCAGTGCTGTCGCGGGTTTGCTGGTTGAAGATCAAGATTCGGGGCTTCTTCGTGGCAATGTCGCTGGAGGATGAGTCTGCTTGGATTCTGGAGGCAAACCACTGGCCGGCTAGTCGGATACTTTCCAATGTGTGCCCACCGTCAATGTACCATGAGACATTCTTCTCGAATCGAGTCTCGCAGCGGCCACCCAGACGTGTCTTCTCGAGCCCGGCTGTAAACTTGGCTGGTAGGGGTTCCGACATGACATTTTCAGAAATGTCGGCGACTCCGGTCTTTCTCAAGACCTCTGCAGCTGTTGCAACTGCCAGGGACGCATTGGTATACTGGAAGTCACCTGCCAACCCGAGCTTGACTTGACTAGTACCAGGACGGAGATCAGGATGATCTGCAATTATGTCCAGCTTTGTGGACTTTTCTTCGGCCCGCTTCGCCAATACCTCTTCTGCGCTTGGGGGCTGAGGAGCGGCGAATCCCCTCACACCAGACTTGATGATACCACCCTTGTGCCATGCGATCTGTTCAATTGTAGTCCCCAGCATTGCAGTATGGTCAATTCCAAGACTAGTGATGGCGGTCGCCTTGGGCTTCTCAATCACATTGGTGCAATCGTATTGTCCTCCGATACCGCACTCGATCACCGAGGCGTTTACACCCTCACTCAAGTATGTGTGGAACGCCATCAACGTCAAGTAACGGAAATATTGGGGCTTTGTCCCCGGCGACGTGGGGTCCTCGCCTGCAATCTTAGCAGAATCCTCCAGGCGGTCCCAGACTTCGAAAAAGTAGCGGGCAAATTGCTCTTCGGAAAGCGGGGCATTATTGATCTGGATGCGTTCGCGCGCAAAGCGGAGGTGCGGGGAAGTGTAGAGACCGATCTTGTGAAGACCGGGCGAGGATTCGGCGTACTGGGAGAGGATCGAGGAGATAAAAGCAGAAGTCGAGCCCTTTCCCTTGGTTCCTGCGACGTGGACGGCATTTAATTGATTGAGGTCGGAGGGCTAATCGGCGCGGGGAAGCTTCAAAGTCAGTCCATTGAGTCCAGTATAGCCATTCCCAATGGCTAACAAGGAGTACTACGAACCGTATAGCCAATGCGACGAAGCCATTCCACCGTCTCTGGCAGTGAGCGTTCATTCATCTCCTGCCGAGAGGTAGACCTCCGGAGCTCCTCGACGATCGCATAGTTTGTTTGCAAGGAATTGAGCGCCGTGATGGCAGCCTAAGGAGCATTAGATGTTAGATATGGTGATAAATAGACCGCGCAAAGGTTTATCTCTCGCGGAATGCTTGCCGCAGAGCTAGCCTAGAGTTCGAACGCATACCTCATATGAGCGAGTCATGGCGGGCGAGTGAGTCGAGACTCGCCGCCGTGGATTGGACCAGCGAAGAGATGTCCAGATCCTTCTCATGGACAAGGGATACCCGTTCCTACGAGATTCAAATGAGCAGGCGAGGGATAATCGCAACGAAACCCCGGCGGCTCAAAGATATAAGGTTGTCTGGTTCTGCTCTACCGAAGTGCCGCTCTCCTCGGGAAACCGTTCGGTCTGCGGGAATATCACGTGCCTTATCTATGGTGGAGCTTATCTGAGGCTAACATGAAGTATGAACTATAAGTATCCTAGGATGTACAGAGTACAGCACTACTAGTGCTACTTTGGATTTTGAAGAATATGCAGCATCGAATTCAATTGTAAATTACGCCACCACCCCCGACGTGGTCTACCACGACAAGTAGAAATGTATCATGCAGCGATAGGTAGCAAAGCCAATGCCAGCAGAAAAAGAAGGGAACAAAAGAGAAAAAAATGGCTAGGTAGTAGGAGCCTGTGGAGAAGCAATAGTAGTTAAAACATACAGCCATGAAGTGTAGGGTTGTGTAAAGTATTGGGGTTCAAGGGTAAAGATAGAGATAAAGAAAATGGTGGGGAGGTGAGCGTGAGAAAGAAGCAAATTTATTCAACCCTGGTCTTTCCTTCCTCGAGAAAGACCAGGCGGGCATTGCTAACACCTCGTTGGTGTCTCTTGGACGGGAGCCACTGGCCAATGACAGGGTCGGTGCGTGCCTTGATCATAGCGTCTTGGAATCCCTCGGCGCCGGCAACGGGAGTATTGAGCTTGGGCCAGTTCACATAGAGCATACCATGCTCGAACATGAAGCGGAAGCAGTAAGCGGTGACGACGAACCAGAATACCATAAACAGACGGAGCGGCCAGGCAGATGAGTCAGGTGACTGTCTCGTAAATAGAGCAAGCAGGGCCAAAAACAAACTCGCCAAGAAGACGTAAGGAACAGCTTGGATCACAACCGGTCGTCGGTCCAGGAACATTTGAATACTCGATGGCAGTGTATCCGATGGGAGGTAGGTACCCAAGAAGACATCGAAGCCATCCTGGCGGGGACCATCCAAGAAATTGTTTCGCACATATCGAGTGATGGAATTGTTTAAATCTTGAAGAGCACCGGCTCGTGTGCGTTTGCCCGTGCGAGTGAAGTCGGTCTTTAAAGCGCCGGTGCCGGAGTAGGATTTAGAAACGACATCAGCGTTGTCGGCCCAAATATTACGGAACAGATCCTCAAACTCGCGGTCGTCGTTCGCTGTTTCACCGTGGCGCAGAACACCAGCATCAATGAGCTGGTGAGTGACGGCCCAACGGCCAAGCATGCTTTGGACTACATTGGTTCGGTCAAGGCAATCCATACAATTGGTTCGGACCACACTGGATTGAGTCGAACGGATATCCAATTGTCCGCTGGGAGAACCTGGATGCTCGACTCCACGGAAGTAGCCACCTTGGTTCAGTCCATCATTGAGTCGACCCATGAGCAATTCGGCGCGATGCCACTTAAGACCCTTGGTCTCGTTGTGGAAATCAAAATACACGTAGTGCAAGCGATCCATCTCTTTTTGCTTCGAACCTGATTCCAAGACGTGCATCTTTTCGGGAGTTCTTTTATCAGTCTCGATACGTTCGTTGGAAGAGGAAATCAGGAGTCGGACCAGTTGTTCGTAGGCGTTTTTGACGCGTTCCTCGCGGCCTTTTTGATTGACCAAGTTGACCATATAGTTCTCTCCGTACAGGCGAATCTGCTCCGCAAAATGCTTGCGAGCAGCCTCGACGGCAGTCTCGACCCCCCGCACTTGAAGCCTAGGGGTATACTTGAGATTGTTGACCTCGGCCCAAAACACAGGAACGCTGCCGCGAGTTTGAACGAATGAGTACACCTGGAGGTCCTGCGGTGTCTTCTCGTTGGCCATCGATTGGCCTCCAGCGAAACCTGAGAGACCACCTGTAGCATCATTCAAAATAACGACCTGTTCTGTTTCATTATAGTTCGAGACATTGCCTTGCTCGTCGATTCCCCGGGAGAAGTATCTAGTTCCAGCGCGGTGTCTCGATCGTCGAGTAATCAGGGCGAATGTGAAAGATGTTGACTTGACACGGGCCGGGGTGATACGCATCATACCAAACATGACTGGAAGGATGTATGGGTCGACACCTGGTTGCGGGCCATAGCGAACGCCACTGGTCTCCTGTTGTCCCAGGCTGAAGTTGATCAGGTCGGACTGGATAAATCGGTTCCAGAAGAATCGATCGTCAGCTCCCTTCCACATAGGGGTGTTGGCGGGGCCTTGCGATTGACGTTGGAAGCTGTTGGTGAGATCGAGAGAGTATGAGAAGTACATGGGACCGGTTCGGAGCAGCTCCTTGACGAGCGCAATGTAGGTGTCTTCATCTCGATCGTGGAGAGGGCGTTCTCGCATGGGTAGGAATTCAGTAGCGGCGACCTTGTAGACCATGTGGCCGCGGAGTCGGCCCATAGGCTGTGCCTTGGTGATGACGACGATGTATTTGTCTGTTGTGGTCAGCAGAGGTTGTTGGGGGTGGCCACATCGCCATGGCAATCGCAATGGTAGCTTGTCGCAACTTACCGAGCTTCAATTTCAAAATTCCCAAAATGCCGGCAATACTTGAAATGCGCTTTGCGCCCGAGAGGGGGCCATCGTTCAAGCGCAGGTCACCCGTCGGCCTGTCCACCACGAGGGTTGGAGCCTGGGGGGGGATGAGGGCGAGGTGAAGGCATAGTGGGAGGGTGAGGCATGTAAATTGATGTCCCTAAATGGGATAAGAGTGGGAGCCATGATTGGACAACCCAGAAAGAAGAAAGGAGAGAAATGGGTGTGAGGAACGTGTAGGGGGAGGAGGGGAAAGGAGGAAGCGCAACGATGGCATAATCTCGGGACACATGATCGCGGGCAGGCACAGGCACATCACAAGCTGCCGAGTGGTACTAGAGTAATAGTAGGAATACTAGTACTGTTTACAATATAGTATTATTTTGGGAAGTCAAGTAGAATATATATTCTGTATCTGATTTTATATTTTCAGAGTCCTTTAAACAAATGAATATACAAAAAAAGACTATGCTTATTGATCATACCTCTACAGTTTTCTGTATACTCCTTCCTAATAATTGTACTGCCTGCGGCAGGCGGTGATACAGCGGGGCGCTCAACTGCGTCAGGCGCCTGACCTTCTGAACTTCCAACTCTGAACTCCTCCATCTACAACCTCCCCACCCCTTCGCTCTTCTTGAGGACCTCTTGCCTCCCGTTCAATCTTACCGGCTACGACTCATCCTTCTCTTGCATCTCAACTCCTCAACCCCTTTCATTCCAGTCGCCTCCCCGATCCGGCCATGGCCTCCCGACCAGCAGCAGGAGCCCGCCCCGGGGCGAAATTCGCTCAGTTCAAGCTTGTCTTGCTCGGTAGGTAACCTCTTGACGGAACTTGCCTCGGAACTTTCGGAGAACAAGAACTAATCACTATCCGTATTTATAGGAGAATCAGCAGTCGGAAAGGTTCGAGATCCAGCTGGTTTCATCCTTTATCAAGAGCTAACCTAACCGCTATCCAGAGTTCCCTTGTGTTGAGATTCGTCAAGGTGAGTTTCTCATGGGCGCACTCTATTCGCTTTGTGCAACAAATCCACGCTTCATCATCAAAGAATGGTTCAACTAACTATTGTCCTTGCCGCCCAGGATCAATTCGACGATTACCGCGAGTCCACAATCGGCGCCGCCTTCCTGACACAGACCATCGCCCTCGATGAGAGCACCACAGTCAAGTTCGAGATCTGGGATACAGCTGGCCAGGAGAGATATAAGTCTTTGGCCCCGATGTATTATCGGAATGCCAATTGCGCCGTCGTAGTCTATGACATCACTCAGGCTGTATGTTAGACCTTTGCGGTTGCTTTCCCATTGACGCATCTAACTAATCCTTTTTTTGGTGCCTATAGTCATCTCTGGATAAAGCCAAGTCTTGGGTGAAGGAGCTTCAACGACAAGCAAATGAGAACATTGTGATTGCCCTGGCAGGCAACAAGCTCGATCTCGTCACTGAAAGCCCCGATAAGCGAGCAATTTCCGCCGCCGACGCTGAGGCATACGCCCGCGAGGCTGGCCTCCTCTTCTTCGAAACCTCCGCCAAGTCCTCGACGAATGTGCGCGAGTTGTTCACAGCCATCGCCAAGAAGCTGCCCCTCGACCAGGCTGGTCCCCGGAACCTGAGGACAGCCCCACGACCCGGCGTCGACCTCCGACCCGAGGCCCCAGGCACTCAGGGTGCTGGTGCCTGCAACTGCTAGATTATCACCTTGGATTATCTCCGAACTGCCCTCCGGTGATCCGAAACATCTCCTCCGTTCGCACGTACGGTCCCAACCCAGGCGCGGCCAGCATGGCCGTTCAGTTGCAATGGTTATCACCACCTCTCCTTTTTTGCTATTATTACACACACCAATGCCAGGATAACTCTGTCGGCTCGCCGTCCGCCTGGTCATTCTCCTCGGATTTCTTTCTCGTTTGTTGGTCCTTTGCTCTTCTCCGATGGGTGCGCCAGGCTTACCGACAATCGGAGAATTCGCCAGCTCTCCACCAACGCATCTGGAATTTTGGCTTTAGACATGCTGTTGCAGGACTCGCCTGCGCTCCTTTCCGCTTTCCTTGTACCTCTTTCCCTTTTCAACCCGGCGTCAGCATATGCTTTTTACCTGATTCTGTTGGACTAAATTCCTCCACGTATTACCCTCCGTTCGTCCACCTTTTGTCAGACTCTTTTTCTAGTATGCTATGCCCAGATAATACATTTCTTCAGATTGTATCTATTTAAGAAGTTCTATTGTAGGACCCATGCTCTGTTAGTACTAGTAATGCGACTACTAATTAGCAGTACTACTTGTTAGTAGTTAATTAATAGGCACCTAGGTATATTTCCGGTGTACTACTATAGGAGTATGACATTAGACATGATCATGATCACCGGCAGAACGATAGCCCCAATCTTGCTCGAACTTCGAATTGAAATTCAGAATGCAAATCTCTACTAAAATATCTCATCTCGGCCATTTAATTCTAAATTATCTAGGTAGTAACAAGCTCTCGTACTAATACTAGTAGTATTTATACTACTAACAACTTCGCGGGACTGGCCAGTCCGGCTGAACTGACCGCCTGCAGGATCATCGGGGCGGATCGCGACCGAACCTCCAACTTGAACTTCCCCGTTTCTACACATCCGTTGCCAAACACTTCCCTCGGCGATTGTGCGGCTCGTCATGCTGCGCTCCTCAATTGCTCCGGGTCGGCAGCTACTGTCGGCCCCTGTTCGCCAACGGATCCCCTCCCAATGGCTGTCCAAGGCCGGTGCTAGCAGCCGACTCTCGGGTCAGGTACGAAAGAGCACCACCCTGCCAATCCACCCACCAACCTCAATCCCAGCTAACGTAGATTGTCTCCATAGCGATTCTTCGCCGACTCGAAGCCTCCTACCCCTGCCACCCCTTCCTCTGAATCCGCCATTCCTATCGAGACCATCCCAAAGCCCGCCAGCCAAGGTACCACCACCAACCTCTCTTCGGCATCGAATCACTTCCGGGTATAGGCTAATCCAGAATCTCTTCAGAATCCAAGGCTGCTCCTGCTTCACCCGCGATTGCGCCTCGAAAGACTGGCCGCTTCCGTCGTTTCCTGCTCTACCTCATCCTGACCTCCGGCTTTGCTTATGGTGGTAGCATCTTCCTGGCTCTCAAGTCCGATAACTTCCACGACTTCTTCACCGAGTACGTCCCCTACGGCGAAGAATGCGTGCTTTACTTCGAGGAGCGTGACTTCTACCGACGATTCCCCAACGCTTCCCGCCAGTCCAACCGCATCCAGGGTACTCCCCGCGATGAGGGCAAGTCCGTCACAATCCCTAGCAAGAGCGGCCTGTCTTGGAATGTCACCAAGGAGGAGTCTGGCAGTGACGTCTCCAAGAGTGGCCCCCACATGAGCTCCAAGGCCCATGATGCTCAGGTTAAGACCGAGGCCGCCAAGCCCGAGGAGAAGAACGCCGCTGTCATCAAGGCAAAGGAGGACAAGGCCGCCAAGGAGACCAAGAACGAGGACAAGAAGCCCGTCTCTCTTGATGAGCCTCGTCAGCCTGCTGTTGCCTCCAGCACCATTGAATTGCTGCAGACCCAGGCTGGTGACGACGGTGTCGTGCAGGAGCTGGTCAAGACCTTTAACGACATTGTTACTGTGATCAGCGCCGACGAGAACTCTAGCAAGTACTCTGCCCCCGTCGCTAAGGCTAAGGAGGAGCTGCTCAAAATTGGCGAGAAGATTGGTGCTATCCGCACCGAGGCTGCCAATGCTGCTCAAGATGAGATCAACAAGGCCCACGCCACCTTCGACGAATCCGCACGAGAGCTGATCCGCCGATTCGACCAAATGCGCGAGACCGATGTCGCTCAGTTCCGCGAAGAATTCGAGTCTGAGCGCGAGAAGCTGGCCGGTGCCTACCAGGAGAAGATCAACACCGAGCTCCAACGTGCACAGCAACTTGCCGAGCAGCGCCTGCAGAACGAGCTTGTTGAGCAGGCTATCGAGCTCAACCGCAAATACATCCACGAGGTTCAGGGTCTGGTCGAGCGTGAGCGCGAGGGCCGTCTCAGCAAGCTGAACGAGTTGACCGCCAGCATCACCGAGCTGGAGAACCTGACTACCGGCTGGAGCAACGTCATTGACACTAACCTGAAGACCCAGCAACTCCAGGTTGCAGTGGACGCCGTCCGCTCTACTCTTGAGCGCGCCGAGGTCCCCCGCCCCTTTGTTCGCGAGTTGGTCGCTGTTAAGGAGCTGGCTGCCGAGGACCCCGTTGTCGAGGCCGCCATTGCCTCTATCAACCCCACCGCTTACCAACGCGGTATCCCCTCGACTACCATGATCATTGAGCGTTTCCGTCGTGTCGCGAGTGAGGTCCGCAAGGCTAGCCTTTTGCCCGAGGACGCCGGTATTGCCAGCCACGCTGCCAGCATGGTTTTGAGTAAGGTCATGTTTAAGAAGGAGGGCCTTCCCGAGGGTGATGATGTTGAGAGCATCCTCATCCGCACCGAGCACCTTCTTGAGGAGGGTAAGGTTGATGCTGCTGCCCGTGAGATGAACGGTCTGCAGGGATGGGCTAAGATTCTGAGCAAGGATTGGTTGGGTGATGTGCGAAGGGTTCTTGAAGTTAAGCAGGCTCTTGAGGTGAGTACAATAACCCTAATTAATTTCCCCCGGTACATATGCTAACTTGCTTTCTAGGTCATCGAGACCCAGGCCCGGCTCCAGTGCTTGCGCGTGGAGTAAGCGCATATTTCGAGCGATGCTGATTTCAAATTGTCCTGTATATCTTCGTCATGTCTACAGGAATGTACCTCTAGTTGTATTTTCTGCTCTAGACCCAAATGCTAGAATCTTTCCTTTGTTCAATTGTGAAGCCCTGCGATAGTCATGGCTTGATTTCCGTAAAGGCATACAAGGGGCTGTTCTCCAACCAAGCGGACTCCGCCCTGGTGGAATTCGTACGTATCAGGAACAGGGGCTCCTCTGCCAAGGGAAGAAAAAGTATTTGAATCCAATGAAACTTGAAATTAAGCACTACGGTCCTCCACTTTCTGTATTTCTGCAGGGAAATAAACTACCTGCACCTAAAGAAGGTGCTTAATAAGCCCCGCTGCCTGACGCGCAACTCCGCAGATCAGCCAGGTTGACGTCGTGCAACTTCCAGGACACACGAAACGTATACCTCTCCTGCTCTTTGTGCGAACTCGAATCCCTCTGCCAGTATCCATGCTTGTATGACATTGACTGGCAATGCCTGTTGCCTCCTTGATGGGCGTGGCCATCTAGTTCCCCCGCCCTTTCCCCGGCCCCGACAACGCAACAGCGTGAGATCCAATGCCTCCGGCAAATGACACCCCGCACGAGACGCCTCAGAAGCACAACTTTCCAGCGAACTATTCAGATGGCGGCTCATACCGGCGAAGGGGCGTCGCAGTGAGCGATGGTCGACCGAGTGGGGAGCTGGAGGGGAGTACGTTGGGGAGTGGCTCTCGCGATGGAGATCGAAGGACTCCAGCTCAGCGCAGGACCCAAAGCTCTGGTGGATTCTTGCTGGACTCGTTACCTCGTTCAAAGAGCTTGAGAATACCCTCGCACCACGCCAGGTCATCAGAGTCACCCACGGAGAAACGAAGCGTCCCCGAACCCGATATCGTGGTAGCTAAGAAGCGATCGCGCTTCCCATGGAGTCGACATAAGAACTCGCCTTCTGAGCCGGCGAACGCTGCTGCTGACAGCTCAGAACCAGCATCCAAACAACAAGCTTCCACGACCTCCAACGATGACCGACAATCTAGAACCTCGTCGCAGGCCGAGTCCGGCCCAAATGAAACTGCTGAACAGGCTGCGCCGGGGTTGGATAGGGACTCTATACAAATTGTCAACCTGGCATTGAATCTCAATGAATCTAGAAGGCGGAATGTATCCGGGTTGCCCTTGGCGTCAGGAGGGCGGAAACCACTATCTATAGCTCAACCAGCTCCAGGGCCTATCGCTCAACACATGCCACTGCCGGGAACACATGGGTCTCAGCGGGATTCTTCATACCATGATCATAAACAATCATCTGCCACTGATCTTTCGCCAAAACCCGGTCAATCACCAGTCATTAATTTATTGCCCGCCGCAGTGCGGAATGACCGCCGTGCCTACGAGTTCTCCGAGAGCACTCTCGCTCGTGCAGAACGAGCTCGGCGTCATTTTGAACTATTTGATCAGTACTTGCGATTGTTGCCTTCGTTACCCCCGCTTCGAACTCCTTCAGCTGCAAAGGAAAGCGACTCTCTACACTCCATGAGTTCTACCACCACACCCATGAACCGAGACTATAATCCGCTGCAAATGATTCGCAACAGGAGGGTCCGCTATCGCGAAAAGTGCCCAATTGACGCGGAGGCAGAGGGCTGGCATAATGTTGAAAAAGTCCACGACTGGGTTAGTGCCATTGAGGACAAATATAGTCATAGGACACTCGACTCAACACAGTCTGTTAAGCTCCCTTCTTTTCAACATGGCCAAAGAAGAGCCTCTCACTGCCAGAATGAGGATTGGGATGTGACTACCTCTCCCTCTGCCAGTCTACGACGCGTCAGTCGCACCAATAGCATCAAGGCTCCTCGACTGCGTATGGATTGGAGAGTTACCCCAGAGGAACTTCTGGCCGATGCGGCCTGGGCAGAAGATATTGAAAACAAGACGAAGATTGTCGATAAAGATGGCAACCGGCTCTACCCAGATTTGACCGAGCTGGAGGTGGTGGATCCCAGTGCAGAGAGACAACGACTGTCGGTCGAAACCGGACATACCCAAGAAGATGGGCAGGCATCGCGTCAAACCTCGTGGTCAAGTTCTCGCCCTGCACAAGCACACGAGTTCAAAAGTGTTGGACGAGGCCGCAACAGAAGTAGATTTCACACCCACTCCCATGGCGCACGCAGCCGAAGCGGCTCAAGCTCGCGCAAGCATTCACGCTGGGATAAGGTGCGGCTACGCTCGGGCAGTGCTTCAAGTGATTCTAGTCCTGACCGGCGCAAGTCTTCGGAACGCAAACATCGGATTTGGGATCACACACGCAAAAGCTCAGAGTTATTTTCCGAAAGAGACAAACGAAACTCCTCCGGCTCGCGGGTATCTCGGGGCAAATCACCAGCAGCCGGTCTGCACTCCGAAAAGAACAAATCCCACATGTCCGACCCTCTTTCCATTAATACAAAATCAAGTCGGCCGCACAGGAAATCCTCATTCTCTTCGGTCGGCAGTATAGATGATCGAATCAATCCCAGAATGTCGATGGAAGGAATGGATAGCACTGCTCCTAATTCTCCAGCCAATGCCAGCTACTTCCCCAGCATAGCTGTCAATCTATCTCCTCCTTCTAGCCGGTCCCCCTCACCAGCCAAAAAGGGCCTTCGACACAAGATTGTGGCTCGGCACGAGCGAAGCAAGAGCAAACACGGTGACAGAGAGCTCCGAGAACACGGCGATGAGAGCCTAGATGTGATCTCTGAATCGCATCACGTCCTGACACCACCTTCCGAGTATGCCGAGCACGCTGCGAGTTCATCAAAGCTAGAGCCCAGTCCACTGCCAGATGTTGTATCCTCCTCGTACTTTGACGAGCATGGTATGACCGACGGCCAACGCACTGACAGTTTCCCCAGAGGAAGAAAGGGCCAACACCTCCCAGAATCCAAGCTGCGCGGCATTTTCAAGGGACCAGGTCGGATAGCTGAGCTTGTCGGCAACGAAGTCTCCAAGGTTGGTGATCTTGTATTCAAGAAGGACCAGGGCATGGACTCTCGCAAGTCATCATCTGCATCCACCATTGCTTCAGACTCCAGCGATTCCGAGGACGATGGAAAGAAAATGGACAAGCGATATGGTCCGAAGGGACTGCTACGACGCTTGCCAAACATTGGCGATGAACCTGGCCGCCTTGCTCGCCGTGACTCTGATAAGGGCACGCCTAATAGAAGTTTCATGGGTTCGCTGCCAAATTTCACGTCGCCTTTGCGACAGGATGAGCGGAATGAATCGGCCGATGCCATTGAGTATGGCACTAGCTCACACGAGCGTGCCTCCGCGTCCCGAAAAGAAGATGACCAAGATACTCCACGAAGACCCGGTCTCACTCGAAGCAGAACATTGGACTTCAGCCCGACACTGGGCTCAAACCGCAGTCGTGTGAAGCGACATGATATCAGAGATCAATCTGTTCCCTACAGCCTCACCCGACCACCCGTAACTGGCCTCGCGCAAGCGCGAGCATCACCAGGGCCTGCAAAGGCCGGACGGCCCAGCCTTTCAAGCGCGACTCGCGCGTGGAGTATATCAGATCGCAGTCTGTGCACACTGAATGACTCCGGCGTTCCTGGCAAAACCGAAGTGGAACGTACCAGAGCTCTCCTCTTATCCTCTGGTATCAAAGCCCGAGAGATCGCGCGACGAGCCCACAGCGTCCGCGACCCACCTCCACACTGGCTTCAAAATGCCTTCGGCCCTAATGCATCTGTCCCCCGCGTCGTCCGGATCGGCGAATTTGACCTCGCTGCGCAAACTCTCCTCCGCCGCTTTGAAAACACACAGTATTCTTTCCAACAATCGATGCACCACTTCACCACATCCACCTCGGCCCCTCTCCGCTCCCAACTCAAAGAACTCGAGACCTTGGTCAATCAGTCCCTCACTCCGCGCGTCCGAGCAACAGCCGATGATGCAGAGAACATGTGCGTCCAACTGAACACTACCAGCACCCTTGCCGTGAAGTCACTCAGCGACGCGCTAGACCGTGGTCTTCGAAAGCGCCGCCGCCGCTTCCGCTGGTTGCGTCGGACTGGCTTTGTGGTCCTGGAGTGGACGCTCGTTGGTGTTTTGTGGTGGGTGTGGTTGATTGTCATGGCATTCAAGCTCTTGCGTGGTGTCTTCCGCGGAACCATTTCCAGTGCGAGGTGGATTCTGTGGCTGTAGTTGGTGCGTACAGGTATGCGTGCACGCATGCACGCGGGATTACATCTCGTCTTTCTTTTCTTCCTTTCTTTTTTCATGCTCTTCCGTTGGCACCTCTGCTCAGCCTCACATAGCGTGCGCATATACCCTGTTTTCAGCCTGTTGATGCCGGCTACCCATTCTCCTCTTCAAGGTCGATTCTTATGTATTTTAATCAGCACTTCATTTTACGGGTACGTGCGTGTAACTATAACTAATGACATAATTACTGCTAAGCAGGTTACAATTTATTTGGTCCTTACTTTCGCTTGAGTCTTTGCTCGCTTCTATTGGGCGGTGGTATGTATGCAAATCCACGAATTGCTCAAGTAGTCGGCCTACTTATTCATCAAAATGCTTCTAGTATCTCTTAGGACTCGGACCATATTCAAGGCTTTTTGCGCCCATTTCCATAAGAGCCCGTGGACATCGCCATTTATTCGCGATGCTCGTTGACTCAAAGTTCCCCAGGGCTTGTTCTTTGTGCGAGATCTATCTACCAACTTGCGGAATCGTACAGGTATCAAAGGGTCAGTTTCAAAACCAAGAGGCATTCATCTACATCTGCGGATCCTCATGCGACACTGAGAGAGAGAAAGAGAGATATTCATTTTACTCTGCTTCTCAACTCCGAAAAGAGGTTCTTCAGAGTCGCTGACGGCCGCTGAGATCGCCGTTCAGATGTCTAATGTACATGAATTGCTTCCAACACTCGCCTTGTGCCCACATTTTCCAAGTCCGTCAGTCCCCAGAAAGCTCCCCTCCCCATTGTATTGCCGTCACTGCCACGCCAGATGTGAGATCGATGACAACTTCCTGCGTTGAATTCGACTCATTCCACCAAAGCCGGGTCTCCTTCGGAGGAGACCGCACAGATGGAAAATGTTCGGATATGCGTTCACGAATTAGCAGATGCCCAGGTCAAAATTAAGTATGAGGATCAAGTGAACTTACCCTCGAGAAACGCCAAAAGCTTCCTTCTTTTCCCACCGTCGCGTCTCTGGGTACTCATGCGGATCGAGGACACCTTCCTTCCACGGGGCTAGGACTTTCAACCCGACAGGATCAACCTCAGGGAACCATCTTTCGCGTGGCGGAGATACAAGCAGACGTCAGGGGCACCTTGCGATGCGGGCGATCGGGAATCCCTTCTGAGAGATCCCCCTGGAATCTGGAGCTCCAGATTCCAGTGGGACTTGACAGAAGCGACGAGTTTCTCCCCTCTCAACGACGGTGTTCCCACCCACCCCCCCAGTAGTCCCATTCGAACCTGCCACCTACTTCCGGGACCAAAGCAGGGACATCCCCTCCACGAGCATGCTAGCTTGCTTCTCGCTTTGGAACTCGGGTGCACGAGGCACCACTGGTTCAGGTCTTTGGATCCTGCCAATTCAGCCAACGCCCACAAGACAACCTTTGGTAAGGAAGTCCAACCCCCAGAACCCATGAGACTACCTTTGGAAAGCAGTCAATGCCCCAGAGCCACAAGTAACCGAAATCCTTTTGAGGGGAAGTCGGGTGGGGGAGAGAAGAAGAGAAGGAAGTGAGAAAAGTGAGAGTATCATTTTATAGAGAATGCGCGGCCCTGTGATTGGCCCGTGATTGGCGAGTGAATAGCGTGGGTGCCTGCCAGCCCTGAGCCCTGGAGCCCGAGGCAAACATTGACAAACATTGACAAACGGAGTGCATTCGAGGTGGGATACTACTAGAATACCAATTACATGGGACCCTGTGGGACATGGGTGAGATGGGATTCTCTTAGGTCGTGCTTTGAGGGCGAATATGCAGCCACGGGATACCGTCGAAGACCCCGGACCCACCTGCACCTTAAAATAATTTCTTAGTTACCTTAAGACAAAGACAATGCATCCTCCTTTTCTCACGGCAATTGCCAAATAATTCTATTAACTCTTTGTTGGCTTCAATACGGTTTGATCTATTCCTAGACTCTTTGTCAACAGTGCTCCTTGCCAATGGGACAAAGCGCGTCCAACCCGGCCAAATGTATGAATCATTCGTAAATGCCATAGTTCCCCATTCCGAACTTGATCAAGAGGCCAACTGACTGGACGGGCAGCAAAAGAATACTACTCACAGCAACAGACCCCACTGGCAGTAGCTGTGCGAAAATGAGCGAGGTAAGTCCTCGTCCTTTTCCTTGATTGAATTGGAAACCGACATACGCACACAGCAGAGAAGAGAAGAGACCATGTCTCCAACGGATCATTGCGAGGAAACCTCTCTTGTGTGGTCCTATAACCAGGTCCTGATCTTAATGCAGATCCTCCGTTGGTGGGTCGAGAAGGAAGTCCCTGCCAGCCAGATCGGAATCTTCCTCGTCGAGGCTCTCTACCGAATGGACACGCACATGAATCACCGCGCGACGAAGTTGGTCGATAGTGGTGGGACTTATGGAAACGTCGCAAAGGTTGTGCTTCAATATTACCAGATTCGCGGTGAGAGATATCGCCCGCTTTGGATAGATTTTCTCCCCGGTGATCCAAATCTTCGTCCTGAACTCGAACATGCTCCTCTACATAATAGCAGCTCTTCAGGGAGACATTCTCAGAGGCCTGGAATATTGCATATCCATAATGAATTGACTCTTTTTGCTCGAAAGCCTATTCGACGTGTTCGCTGGCCGTTCTGGCCTAGCGAGGCGGAATTAGAATCCGCCCCCGAGTATCAACAACGATACAAGAGAAAATTTTGCAAGGAGGAGGACTCTTGGGATAGTCATTTGGAGTGGGTGCAAAAGGTCACTAGTAATCTAGCTAGGGAGTACTCAAGGAATAGTCAATTCCAAAATTCCGTAGGAGTGGCCGACAATCGCAAGGCTGAACGAGACATGGAATTAACTCGCGGCCATGGATTGATTCAGAATTATTCAAAAGGGCTCCGGCAGTGGGATGTCACCTGCTACTGAAATATCTAAGCATTATTATAATAAACTGTCCGTTTATTTGTCGATATTACTCTACGAGTCTGGCTGCTCATAAGTTCGACAGGAGACAGCCGGATAGTGCTAGGTATGGTATTGCGGCCCGCTTGTCTAGGATTGGACTTGTTAGTCCTTCCTCCCTCGGCTCTAGATGTATACTAGTAGATTCTGCATGAAACTGAAATTTGAAGAAATATCGATGAATATATTTATTACTTAACGAGTATAAAAGTAGTACTGTTAACACTGTCGGAGAATCTTGCGTGGGGAATATTCAAACCGAACTTCCATCCGAGTCCTAGCTTTACTTCATGTTTCTAACCTAGTAGCATAATTAGCCCTATACTCGTCCATCTCTACTACCTAGGTAGTTACTAACTAGTTAATACTTAGGTACTGTCGGGTAGGTAACTGAGTACGTACTAGTACTAGTATTTTTACTACCTAGGTATTGTTATGGCACCTTCCTAATCCAGATGGCATCCACTCCGGCACCTGCCCCCAATATCAAGCTCCTTCTAATTTAGATTTCCTTTTGTCTCTTCTTCTTCTTCTTCTTCTCCCCACCACCCCTCCTCCTATTGTCTGCGACCACGTTGCCTGGGCTTCTCGCTATGTGAGTTATATCACAGGATGCATCTGTAAGATTTATTACTGACAGTTGATTTCAGTTGCTTCTGCAGAAGCTCTCTCGCAATAAACGCCGCAAGGCAAACCTGGCCGCGCTTTTCCCCTAGGAACAGGCCTAGGAGAAAGCTGAGAAGAGACTTCGCAAGAAGGCGAAGAAGGAGGAGGCTCCCAGCACTGTTCCCGGTGGCTCATATCGTGGTCGTGATGGCCGTGGTGGTGGCAACCGCCAGAGCCATGGGCATCTCATTGCCCACAGATCCGGGTCTGTGGTAGGTAATACCTACCACCCTACCACAACGTTTTCAATGTTGCCTCGCTGGCAATATTGCCTCGCTGGCCGATCTCGTAAGTTGTCTTACTCACGGATGCACAGATATATGATGAATACATGTCTAACAAGTATATAGCCACTCGGCGCTCTCCCCTAAGGCTTCTCTGGAAGCGCTGGACCCCAGGGCTCGTCGATGCCCGCCACCTCTTGCGGCGATGTCCCTCTCCACCTTCGTGAGTTACCAGTTTTACCCAGCCCTTCTATAACATGTTTTATACAGATCAGCTAATATACAATAGGGGTGGCAAAGCCAAGCAGTGGCATGATAAGGGACAGCTGAGCTCTCCTTAACGCATTCCAGCCTATAATATATGCGCAGAAATGCGGTCTTCTCTCAATCTTCAAGTTCTCATGACTTGTAGGCTCCAAATGTCGCCCCGAACGCCAAGGCCGTCGCAGCCTGGGCCATGAAGAACAAAAGTCTTGCAAGATTACGGGGTTCACTCGTCGGAAAGGAACTGTGTCATGGAGTCGCAGAGCAGATGGACCTGACAGATATCCTGTCACATTCAGGGATGTACAGGGACATTCGAAATTGGCTTCCATTTTTAGATAGATTCTGGAACCCCAAATCGAAATACACTACGCTGGATACAGTCTCGGACATAGGGGCTGGTTCACCAAGCTTACATTGTAAGGTCCTTTCAAGACGTCATTATGCGAGCTGTAAGTTACAAGTACAGAAAAACACAGGGTCCTCAAGTACATAAGATAAATAGGGTCGTTAGTATGATCAGGGACGAAAATGTGTACCTTTTGTTCTGAAAAATTAATTGATAAGCTGCATAAGTAATACATGACTATCACCAAGTAGATAATTAAGCGAGAATTATGCTAGTGCAGATATCCGTGAGGATATGGTATATGACCCAATATCCAATGGAGAGGACATACCCCTGTCTACCTGTCTGCTTGTCAGACTGCCATTTAGAAAATCTCTTGAATAGGTAGCTAATCCAAGACCCAGAGTTGAAGTGAGGAGCATTTGGCGTATATTAAGAGAAAGAAATCAATCCCAGTATGCGGGGTTAGAAGGCGACATTGTTATCCTCTCCCCCTTGTAAAGAAAATCCCGATCTGGCCAAGGGCCTCGACTGGTAGTAGCCCTGGCCCTATCATGCAAACCATTTTGGTTTATAGCCTTCTTTGCTGAAGCTGGTTGCTCCTTTAACTTTTCTGGGTAATATCTTCGAACCAACTCTTGAAATAACGCCAGAGGATCCTCATTCCATAATCTCTCTGCCCATTCCATCGGCGAAACCGACCCTAGGAATGGATCTGCTCCATGTTCGACTAGCAAACGAACGACCTTGCCGTGACCATTATACACTGCCCTATGGAGTGCGGTATATCCCATATTATCGGTTGCGTTTGCGTCCACGCCATCCTGCAGGAGCAGAAGAACCACATCTGCGTGACCATTACTGGATGCTGCACGCAAGGACTGTGAAGGTTCTTGGATAGATTCATGTTTGCTGAGTATGCGCTGCACAGCGGATACATCGCCTCGGCGTGCGGCATCGTAGAGCGATATATTTCTGTACGACACACCCTTTTGATGTAAGTTGTCTGTGTTCCTATCGAACCTTGGCTTCAGTTTGGAGAAAATGTTCCTCAGTCTTCTGAATTTAGGCATATTGTAATACCTTTTGCTGCAGTTATTTGGTTCTAATTGTCCACAGAGGGAAAGAAAAACGAAAAACAGAGGTCGCGTGCGACGCTACGTTGCCTTGGGTTTTGTCCGAATACGAAGTCCGACGGCACAAACAAGTACTAGCTCATAATGGTTCCACCCAATACGAGTTTATAAATCATAGTCTACGCCATATACGGAGTATACTAGTCAATATCCGCCATATAGCGCATTGAACGTACTGTACTAAGGAAAACGTGTTCGGAGGTGCAGCCACCTCGGGAGAGGCAATTTCAGCAGAAAGCGTATTGTTGAAACTCATGATTACAAAATCAATGATGTATTAACCTTGTCAGATATTTTACTGTTTTTAACTGACGTGCACGCTGAGATAATTTCTCAGTATAAAATTTGGAAGCCAATTTCGAATCTCAGTGTAAGGGCAAACGGGAAGCGGGAAGCATTACGCTTCACATTTCATTTTTTCCAGCTTTGTTTTCTGGCGCACGAGAACGCGGCACTTGTCATAGTCAGTTTTCAGTCAGGCAGCGCGCCTGGCCGAACCCATATCATCTCATTTTTCCGTAGAGAATGAGAATCATGTTCCAGCGTCTTACCGATCAGTATATTCGCCTAGTGCTTCACAGAGCCTTCAATATTTTTAATGTCACCAGATACCGAGAACCCGGGAACTGAAAAATATCTACAAAACATATGTGCCTGGGAGAAGAAGCAATATTGTTTCCTTGCCGTACCATATTTCGGGGTTCCTGACCCATACTATGTGACAATGGTTATCTATTAGTATTCGTTTTGCGCGGATGGCACCCGCTCCGGCACCCCATCCGAGCTGATTATAACTTTTGCCCTTTAGTAGTGGTGTTCCGGCCGTCTGTCCATCAACTAGAATCCAGGTGTAGATAGCACAAACGTGAAGCAGGAATTTTACACCACTAATTTCGGATGTGGCTCAAAAAATGTAGGCTCTAGGCCAGTGGAGTGCGGGGGAAAAAAAAGAAACAAGCACCGAGGGCGATTTGAACGCCCGACCTAGGACACTGCAAATCCTCGCGCTAACCCCTGCGCCATCGGTGCCATAGTTGATATTAGCCGAGGCTGCTTTAGCAACAATAGACTGTGAGCATTTTGCAAAGCATTCGGCTTTAGTTATTGCGACAATACCACCATCATTAATCATGGAAATACTCAACTGCTCGTCATTTTCAAATAATTGTTTCATAATACTTGCAGTGTCCTAGGTCAGGCGTTCAAATCGCCTTCAATGCCCAGGTACTTAATTTTTTTTTCTTCCCGCACTGGCCAAGAGCCTACATTTTTTGAGCCACGTCCGAAATTAGTGGTGTAAAAGTCCTGCTTCACGTTTGTGAAGAAATGGAGCGCGTCATCCAAAACTCCGCTCGGCACGAAGAACACATTCGCGGTCTAACCTTCTTGAGTGGAAACAGTCCAGGAGTTCGGCTGCCTGAAAGGAACAGAGGAATATCACTAAGTTTGAAGAAGAACCCAAATGATAGGCTTTTTTTGTACATCATGCCGACCCAAAATGTGAGTTTCTCGATAAGCGAGCGGTCAAAATTATTGCATGAAAGATCTGTCTCTTCTCGCGGAGGAAGAGGAGTGGATTTTCAACATTTGAAGGTCTTCCTGATTTTCCATGCGGTGGGGACTCCGTCTTTGCAGCATGTTAGGCTCTAGGCTAGGGTATACTAGAACTCACTAGTACGTAGTAAGTATACACTCTGACCCTGCCTTTTTCATTGCGCTGTTCGGAGAAATATTGCTTTCCAACTATCCCCGGTGGTTTTCTAGACTCGGAAGAGTGGCATCACTCCGAATCTCATCCAAACTTGAAGGGGTTTGAATCGGGCATGAATGTATGCAATGACTCCCGAGTTCCGGAGCTCTTGTATATATTTTATTGATGCACAATATCCTCTCCAGTCCTCTCACCCATGAGGTTTCTTTTGGAACAATCGATCTTGAGCTTTCCCCTTAGCTGTGCTTGGAGACATTTGCATCTCCAAATTTCCGCTTCTCAAAGACGAGGATGTGTCCATTTAGAATGATGCTCGTAGAAATGGGAGTTACTAGTACTAAGTGGACCCCCCTTTGGTTATCTGAACACCCTATCCTCAGGCTGTCTACTATTTAGAAAAGGTGCTGTATGTGTATTACCACGAACTACAGTAGGAGGCCATTGCCTACCTTCTCGTCACCAGGTAGATAACCGAGTATGTACTAGTGCTGACTATCTTAGTAACTAATAATGTACCTTGAAGCCAGAATAGGTAGTCATCCGATGGTCCTACCACTAGTAGAAGCCACAATACCTAGGTACCAGCTATTTTCACTAGTACATTATAACTACTCCTTCGGGCCAAAAAGTGTGTATCAATTACTACATTGTTTTGAGTTGGACTGACCCGTGGTAATACACATACATCACCTTTCCTGGATAGAGAGGATAGCGTGTTCAGATGGCCAAAAGGATGTCCACTTAGTAGTGCCTGTAGAATTTCTTCTAGATAAATTCGGAGATAACAACTAATCTACTCGTAGGCCAGAGCGCCGAGTCTTGAATACTGACTCCTGAAGATCTGATGTCTCATCTCTTCTCGGTAGAAAAAGGACGGGGATGTCGAACTGGAAAGACGAAGCGTTCAACCCTTCATTCTTCCATCTCAAGGAAAACTTGATATCCTTTAAGCGACCCTGTAGGAGAAACTACACAAGCATGCATACTTTCTTCAGTTTCCGCCAAGATTGACCCCTCCAAGCAGATCTCAACAATGGTAGACATGTTTATTCGAAGATCACGCACGATTTCATCGTTAGGTTTCTGCAGGTCTTGTCCAGAGAAAGAGACAGTCCTCCATTCTTTCTCAGCAATAAAGCTAGTCGAAAATAATGAAATTGGCCAATCAGAATCCGTGTTTTAGGTTTGAAGGGCCCGGGACGTAAAAATTTGGGTTGATGATGGCGGGCCGAAAAGGTGAAATGCCCCGCCATGCAGATTGAATTTTTCAAAAACACAAAAACTCAAGCACCGAAGGCGATTTGAACGCCTGACCTAGGACACTGCAAATCCTCGCTCTACCCCTGAGCTATCGGTGCTGATTTGTTGAATAATTCTCTCTTTTTCAATATACAAATCAGAAATGCTGATATCCGTCAACTTCGGCCGCGATGACCTCATGTATATCCCCACAACAAATCGACAATTAACAAGCTAAAAAAAGATCAGAATGATGTTGCTGATTAAGGAGTAGCCATTAAATGTCCTGTGAGACACTGGAGTTTCGCCCTCGTGTTAAATAGATTTTTCGGGGTCAGTTCAAGTTGCTTCACTGAGCCGCTCGGTTCACTCTCGACTCTCTCCAGGCTCTTGTTTGGAATTCAGCATATTTTTGGGATAGCAAACAACAATAAGGGATGGTTGCAATTTACGAGTCCATCAAGTTGAATAAATTTTGAGACTACTACCTAGGTAGTAGGTATCCTGGAATAAAGAATTTTTTTTTTTTTTCAAATATTTCCAAAATTCGGTCTGCAAAATCTTTCAAGCTCGGTTTATGTACCTACCTACAGGTAGACTAGATATCTCAGTAGTCACATCAGAACTTGAACTTGAAACAACTAGTAGTAACATTCACGGTATTATGATAATACTGGTAGTAGTAGTACTATGTACATAGGTATGGAAAAGTGGCTGCAAAATAGTGTTAGTAGTAGATGCCTGACCGGCGGAAGTTCGACCGTCTCGGCGACATTTTCAGCAGTGGGGCTCAAATCAGACAAACGATTTACTCACATAAAGTTACCGGTGTTGATGAGTAAACTTCAACTCTTTTGTGAGCAAGCCGTCGCGGTCTCGGTGACATTCCCAGCCGTGGAGCGGCTATTGCGGAATAGATCACTTCCAAGGTTTTTGCCACGCGGATTCGAAGCCTGAGTAACTCTAGATCCCTGTAGTCACCAGTGTGCACCATTACTGGACACTCCAATGAATGTTGGGTAGTACATGTGTCATATAAATAGGCGTCTCTTTCATGGAATGGAATCTCAAGTTCAATCTGGCTCGTATCGCCCCAAAGAATCTTGAACATCATGTCTGTTACCCCAAATCGCACCATCATCATCGTCGGCGTGGGATCGACCATGTCCCGGTCGCTTGCTCTTTGGCTCGCCAATCTGGGATGGAACATCGCTCTGGTCTCTCGCTCCGAAAATAGCTTATCCAAGATTGCCGACGAGGTCAAAGCCGCCCGGACAAGCGCTGACGCAAAAGTGATATACCGCACTGCCGACGCTGGTAATCCTAGCAGCCTTACTACCGCCCTAGACTGGTGTGCCCTGCAATTTGACGGCAAGGTGGACGTTTTGAACTATAATGCTGCCCATGTTGCTGAATCACACGTCTCCGAGCTCAGCATAGAGATGCTGGAGCTTGATCTCCGGGTTTCTGCTATTGGTACTCTTGTCGCAGGCCAGTGGTTCACCCGCAACGCCAACTCCGACTATATCTCCAATGGAGAGTGGCCACTCTTCCTTGTTACTGGTGGTGTACTTGACAAAGAGCCACAGGTCACTTTCTCCTCACTTTCTGCTTCCAAGGCGGCATCGCAAACTCTTAGTCGCCTCTTTGCGCAGACGCTCCCCGAAGCTTCTCATATTGTGGTCGGTATGCCGCTGATCAAAGCACGTATCGACGATCCAGAAACTGGCGGCTACGCTGAGGGCTACAATCCTGACACCATCATCCAGAAGGTTTTTAGGCCTTTCTTTGAGGACCGCGAGAAGCTGCAGAATGGAGTGGAAAATTGGACGGTGGAGCGGGTTATTTGATAGATGAAACAGGACTTCACAACTGTTGCTTGCACCATGCACTTTTACGGAGGGATGTACTATACGGAAAATTGTAACTTTGGTCTTATTTGGAGATCTGGTGATTAAACTCATTTTCCCCGGCCCTTTTTTATTAATTGACAACAGTTCTTTCACTTGGATTTTTCCTTAATAGTCGGTAGTGATCAGTATTAAAACGATCCTGATATTTATGCAGTGAGATTTATTGAGGGAAACATCATAAGAGTACTAGTAGCGATAGCTTTATTAAAGCTTCAAGGTGCCTGATAATCTACTTTGTGTAACTAGTTGCATATCAGCAAGGTCCTTCGCGGGAGCAGCACGCCGAGACTTGAGAGCATCGCCACCTGGTCTCCATCTCCACGAATAGGTGAGTGGCTGGGATAGAGTGCCCTCGATCAACTCGACGATATGTTTCCCAATGTTTGGAAGAAGCTTGAAAGAATGGCTGTGATAGAGAATTAGCCAGTAATCCAGTTGAAAAGAGTTCTTTATTTCCACCTACCCACTGTCGCCAGTAGCTAGAATAAAGTTTTTCCATCGAGGGTGCTCGCAAATCAATAAATTGGCATCGGCAGTATCCGTGCACCAGCACATAGACCGGTTAAAAAGTTCCTTGTCTTTGAACTGTGGTAGGAATCTCGCGATGGCTTTCCGAATGGTCACCTCGGAAGCTTCGGGGTAAGTATCCGTGGGGTGTTTGGCGTGTGATCGTGGAACGGAGATGAGTTTTGGAGAGGCAGCACCGAATGGCTGGTGCTTCTTGAAGCGTGTGAATCCTGGGAACTCGTCACAGACCTTGATTACGCCGTGTCTAGTGATATTTCGTTAGTTTCAAGTCAGTGGTTGATGACCGGACCGGAAATCCTTGCTCACTCGTTTGGTTCGAAGAAGAATCCGTATTCGCCGTCATATACCACCGGCATGTTCTTATAATGAGCCGCTACTTCGGGTGTGAGTTTGATGTGAGCAAATACCCAGGCCTGGATGCAGTTTGTATCAGCCAAGAAGCAATATGGAAACCGAGTTTATTTTAATATTTCATTAGTCCGGAACATCGAGGGGACTCATTTACCTTTGAAACACATTGATCGTCTAAATCAACCAAGGTCGGACTCCATGCACCAGCAGCCAGAACAACCTTGTCTGCAAAATATTTGGTTCCATCCACCGTCTCAACGCCGATGCAGGTGACTTCATCATCGGTGAATAGAGGCTTTTTGAAACTGCCAGCACTAGAAGATTGCGCCAATCAGGCACTGGAATCTCATGAAAGTGAAACTGCATCATTTCTCTCACTCACCGACCAAAGCCAAAGTTCACACCATGCTTCTTCAGATGCTGGCCAATAGCATTGATGGCTTTTGCTGCCGCAAGCCAGCCTCCATCACCGCAAAGTAAGCCTTTCCATCCCTATTCGTTCTATTCAGCACTTGATTTTCATAATTTTGTTTATCGACTTTTACCTTGACCTGTTCTTTCGTAAACTGAGGAAGTTTTTGCAAGATTTCCTCTTCACTTCCTAGCCAGAAATTTGTCTTTTCGAGTCCGACATTCGCATCAAGGAGAGACTGGAGCTTTTTCCTGAGATTTGCAATGCCATCCCCTGAAGAAGAACAATCAATCTGGGACCCTGTTAGTATAAAATGCTCTGAAATATAGATAAAAGGTAATTCTATTACTCACCATGCCCACATTATGAAAGAATGGTTTGAACAAATCATCATTTCTCCACATATCGAGCGCCTCCAAGGAAAGTTGCAAATCGACTTTATTGCGCAAGCGGATGCTCATGATCTTGTTTAGATCGTAGCCAGCAGACTGTGCTGACGGGATTGGATATTCATCAAGGACGGTGATATTTGAGGGGTGTATCCAGATCGAAGCAGATGTAATGCGGTTGAAGAGCCCATCGTGCCGCCGCCGCCGACAACGATGACTTTGGTTTGTGTCCGTGAGTGAGCCATTTTCGCACTTCCGATGAGCACAGCGAGTGTTTTTACTTCAGTTAACTTGGAATAATGTCAAAGCCAAGTCCGGACCGAAAGGACTGTCTAGGCTGCCCGGGTCTTGAAGAATGAACAAATAATAAAAGCAGCCGAGAAACCTTCGTTTAGCGGATCATGCCATGTCATGTGAATTGTTGGGATGATATTGGACCTGCAGTAATTACAGCTTCACAAGATCAAAAGGACTAGCTGGCGCCACTAGTCTGATCTCCAACGATAACGAAAGTCGGACATGACGCTGATTGTTGGTGACTCACCCAGCCAATGGGCGAATAGTGCCAGTGCCTCAATCCGCCAATGTATCGCCGAAGTTTGTGGAGTGGGACGCGCTAGCGTCTTCCTTTCGCGTGGACCTTCAAGTCGACTCCAACCCCGAAAACCCCATGGCACGCAATCGGGAATTTTGAGGGGAACGTGGGGAATTCTTCCCATGCTCCACTTGGCCTGCTTGCGACTCCGGATAAATCAGATCAAGATAAACTAACCGCTTCATGATAACAATGGACTTTTTTTTTATTTTCATTTTCAATACTGACCTTTATCTTCAGAAAAACCTGTCTCATTCAGTAGCAATCTTCGCTAATTAAGAACAAAGATAGTAGTGATAGTGCTTAGCGAGTGAAAACCAACTAGGAAGAACGAAAACTATAAATGTGATTAGATTAAATTCATAGCCCATGGGATAGCAAGATATTCATCAGCCGAGCCATCGTCTGGACCTTCACACCCCCAGGAATGGGCGCTAGAGATTGACTGATCTTGGACAGACCGTGGGGAAATGTTGATTCAGCCGGAACTCGGCTGGCGACAGACTCCAGTCTTAAGTTTAGCGCGGAGAAGATAAGCGAACTTGGCTTGAATCTAGTACTAAGTGTCTGAGTATAAAGGACCATGCAGACGGCACGCTCCTGGAAAGTCATTTCAAATTTAATCCCTCACTCGATCGTCGTACAAAAATTACATGCCGTTTGAGTCAACAGGATGGCTGACGTGAAGAATCCCGTCTCTAGTCCCCATGATGTTGAAACCAGAGACCCTGAGACACAGCAGGCGGAATTAACCGATCTTCCCCACGGGATCGACGTCGAGCAATACAGGGCTACAGTACCGCGATGGAAGCGAATTTGGCATCACAGTTTGACACAGATGATACTTCTCAGTATCCAAGCGTTTTGTGGACCGGCCATGTCAGATGCAATCACTGGTGAGTCGGTAACCAAATTCAACACCGCGCGCCCCAGTTGAACTAACAATTATTCAAGGCTTGGGTGGGGGTGGTCTTGCTACTCCACAGGTGTCTAATATTTCAACGGCAATTCGATATGCCATGCTTGCTGTCGGTATGCATTTGGATTTTCCAACTCTCAACGACAGCTTCCCGTACTGACCAGGAAACCCCCTCTATCAGTTTGTTTCCTAGGTGGTCCCATCGTCAATAAGATTGGTGTCAAGTGGGCCCTTGTTATCGGGTCGATGTCTTTCCCCATTCAAGGATCTGCATATTATTGTAACAGCAAATTTGGAAACCAGTGGGTAAGTAGTTGAATCCCTGCTTCGTCGGGCGTGAACTATGCATGTCTAATCCGAATGTTTGGCTTAGTATCTTATTCTGAGCGGTGCTATCAGTGGAATCGGGACTGCGTGTTGGTATGTTGCCGAAGCTGGAGCTATCATGACACTTGCGCCTTCTGGCGCTCGTGGAAAGTATTTGGCCTTGTGGATTGTGTCGCGGAATTTAGGACAACTCGTTGGAGGTGCTATCAAGTAGGTTTTCTCGAGGAAAATCTCGCCAAAAGCTTTGTCAATTATTTCCCTGATATTAATTTCTCCCGGGCAGTCTTGCAAAGAATCACGAGAAGGGTACTGAAGGTGGAATTTCTCCCGATACTTATGTCGCTTTTGTGATAATCGAGAGTCTTGCGTGAGTAAACCACGCCATGTAATCATGATGTCAAACATCCATGGATCAAACTTATTCTAATTTTACATTATAGTTTGCCTTTCGCCCTCTTGATCATTCCTTTCGAGCGTGTGGTCCGTTCCGATGGTACGAAGATTGTCACGGCCGAGACACTCTCCACGAAGCAGGAATTAAGACGAATCGCGAAGACCGTGACATCAAGATTGATCATGCTTTCTTCTCTGTGGGCATTATGGTCCTTCTTCTACAGGTATGATAAAACCTCATCAATTTCACATAACAAGGGGAATAAAAGAATAGCTAACAAACCTGAAAAGCGGTTCTTGGTCCACATATCTAGGAATCTACTTCTCTGTGCGTGCCCGCGCCCTCTCATCTCTAGTATCGCCATTTTTCTGCATGTAAGTCAGCCTTACTCTCCCTAAAACTGACCCTCACTGACACCTCTCGCAATCAGCGTCGGCTGTTTCGGCCTCGGCTTCATACTCGACATGAAAAGTCTCAGTCAGCGCCGCCGGGCCCAAATTGGACTATACACTGTCATAATCCTCAATGTCGGCGTCTACATCTGGTCTATCATCATGCAGGTCAAATTTGACCACCACAATCCTGGCCATATTGACTGGGACGATGGAATTTACGCCAAGTCGTTTCTGCCGTATTTCTTCGTGCAGACGACGGGCCCACTGTCGCAGTCGTATATGTATTGGCTTTTGTCGTCTTTTGCGACCGATGCTCAAGGTAAGCTCAAGTCTAGGTATTTTTGACGGATTCTGGTTGGTGGTATTAACATATCTTTAGAAAATGTGCGTAATGGCGCTGCGTTTAGATGCATCGAAGCTGTTGGCCAGGCTGTTGCCTATGGTATGAATACTCAGACGACAAGTGACCCTATAATTGGATTGTACGTTTTACCTCGATTTGCGCCCTGCAAGCTTGCCAATTTTTGGAGATTTGTGATGATCTAATTTTGAGATACTATAGTGGCGTGACGTTCGGGTTGCTTGGTGCTGCTATTATTCCCATGATTATGCTAGTAAATTCGACGCCAGATCAGATCCCCGCGGATGTTGTCGCTGAGCAGCAGAAAGCGGCCGAAGAAAAGCTCGAGGGTGCTTAGGAGAGACAGCACCAGTAGATGAGACTACAGATTTGCAGGATAGTACGGAGTGAATTCTATAACTAGGTATTTGATCATCTTATCCGATAGTCGACAAGACGTCCTTCGTTATTAGACATGTGCCCAGGTGCCCAGATGAAAAATCTATTTCAATGCTTGATATTCAGAAGAAAAGGGCAGAGTCCAAGAAAATAGTGTATTGTTAGACAGGAGAGTGGAAAAAATAAAAATCTTAAATCTTTAATATACATATGCCCAGAATTGACGCAAGATGATATGGTGCCAAAAAGTACACGGGGTTTGAATTCTGCGCTAACCACACGTAAAGGAAAACGGAAGCGAAGTGGGCGTGACGCTGAACTCGATCTCTATTTTGAGATTGCATCTAGTAGACAGCCGCCGAAGGCCGGTTAAAGGGTAACAAGTTGATGGAGGAAATGGTACAGGGCGAAGAGTGAGAATAGGCCGGCTGGGGGGGTTCGACGGTGTCGGAAGCTGTGGTCATGCTGTTTATTTCTTATTACGAGCAGCCTGCTCCTTGACGTATCTGGCAATGAGCTCCTTCCTATTAAGTGAGATATCAATTAGTATTTTGGTTGAAATGAGTAACAATGAGTGGGGCAGGGGCTGGGGAAAACATACTGGACCTGCGGAGGAGCCTTCTCGTAGTGGCTGAACTCCATGGTGTATTCACCCTTACCCTGGGTGGCAGCACGGAGGTTGGAGCTGAAGCCGAACATGCCGTTCAGACTGCAGTCGGCGTAGATGGTGAACTCGTCGACACCAGTCTCAGTGTCGTTGATGGTGGCACCGCGCTTGTTCAGCAGGGCAATAACATCACCCTGGAACTCGGAGGGAGCAGTGACAACAGTCTTCATCAGGGGCTCAAGGACAGCCGGCTGGCTGTCTGCGAAGGCCTTGCGGAAGGCCTGCTGGGTAGCGTTCTTGAAAGCCATTTCGGACGAATCAGTCATGTGAGTAGCACCATCGTTGACAACCATGCGTGTACCCAGGACCTTGTGGCCAATCAGGGGACCCTTCTCACAAGAAAGGTTGAAACCCTTCTCGCAAGCGTACAGGAACTTCTCCGAGATGGAACCTCCGACAATTTGCTCTTCGAACTTGTTCTCCTCGAGGGAACCGGTAGGCTCCATCCATCCCATGACACGGGCGTAATCACCAGCACCGCCAGTCTGCTTCTTCAGCAGGTGGTCGAAGTCGACACGGTTACCGATGGTCTCACGGTAGGCGACCTGAGGCTGGCCGGTCTCGCAGTCGACGCGGTACTCACGGCGCATACGCTCGACGTAGATGTCCAAGTGCAGCTCACCCATTCCGGAAATGATGGTTTGCTCACTCTCGCTATCGTAGCTGACGCGGAAGGTGGGGTCCTCACGCTGGAAGCGGGCCATGGCCTTGGAGAAGTTGGCGGCATCCTTGGCTTGCTTGGGCTTGATGGACAGGGAAATGACAGGCTCAGGGACGAACATGGACGACATGCTGTAGCCGAGCTGGCCATCAGTGAAGGTATCACCGGAGGCACACTCGACACCAAACACAGCGCAGATCTCACCAGCACCAATCTCATTGACTTCCTCCATCTCGTTGGAGTGCATGCGCACAATACGGGGAATCTTGACCTTCTTGTTGTTGCGGGCGTTGAAGACGTTGGCACTCTTACGGAGAGTACCCTGGTACACACGGATGTAGGTCAGCTGGCCGAAGTTGCTCTCCTCGAGCTTGAAGGCCAGACCGACGAATGGGAGGGAGTTGTAAGGGACGAGCTTGACAGAGGCTTCGTTACGCTTCTGATCCAGGGCAAGGTTCTCAACCTCGGCGGGGTTGGGTAGGTAGTCAATGACACCGTCCAGCATGGGTTGAACAGACTTGTTGGCAAGCGCAGAGCCCATGAAGACGGGGGTGAACTTCAGGTTGATAGTGGAGCGGCGGATGGCGGCCTTGAGCTGGTCGGGAGTAGGCTCCTTCTCATCAAGGAAGAGCTCGGCGATCTCATCATCGACATCAGCCAGAGTCTCGATAAGCATGGCCTTGCGCTCCGCGACAACGTCCAGCAGTCGCTCGGGGATCTCCCTCACGGAGAGCTCCTCACCACTCTCACCAACATTGTAGATAGCCTTCATGGTGATCAGATCCACAACACCCTCGAACTCATCCTCGGCACCGATGGGGACCTGGACAGCAGCCGCAGGCATCTTGAGCTTCGAGTTGATCTGGTCAACCGCCTTGAAGGGGTTGGCGCCCATACGGTCCATCTTGTTGACGAAGGAGATACGGGGAACGTTGTAGCGGCGCATTTGCCGATCCACAGTAATGGTCTGAGACTGGACACCGGACACGGCACACAGAATGAGAACTGCACCGTCGAGAACGCGCAGCGCTCTCTCGACCTCGATGGTGAAATCAATGTGACCGGGGGTATCAATCAGGTTGACGTGGTACTTCTGGTCAACGCCATTCTCGTCCTTCTTGACCCAGTCACAGAAGGTAGCAGCGGACTGGATAGTAATACCCTTCTCACGCTCCAGATCCATAGAGTCCATCTTAGCACCGACGCTGTCACGGCCACGGACCTCGTGGATGGCCTTGATACGACCGGTGTAGAAGAGGACTCGCTCGGTACAGGTGGTCTTTCCGCTGTCGATATGGGCCTGTGAGAGATGACTTCGTTAGCCTTTGGAAATCATATAGCAGGCGGAAAAGGATGTAATTACCGCAATACCGATGTTGCGGACCTTGTCCAGGCGAGCAGCCTCAACGGGGTCAAGGTTGTCGATAATGGCGGCTTGCGACAGGGTCTCCGGGTTGGCCGCAGCGGCCTCAAGACTATAGACAAGGAATTAGACGAAGGCGTACATATAATGATATCTTCATGGAGTAAAAACCTACACCGCAGATGCAGTAGCAGAGGCATTGCGTCGCTGCTCCCATTGCTTCAGAACCGACTGATAAGCCGGAGCGCCGATGGGCCGCATAGCGGTCGTGGATACACATCGCGAGCGCAGAAGGGTCTGAGACTGAAGACGGGGGGGCTCTGGTTAAACCAGACACCGCACGGTACTGTAGCCGTGCAAGAGAAGGAGACCTCATAGCGACAATCGACTCACACCGGAATTGATCGAGTCGAGACGGAGTGACGGCGCGCTTGTTTTCGCGGCGAAAAAAAAGTTCGGGGAAGCCAGGAACAGTCACGTGCACGCCAGCCTGTCAGGGTGGGCGCATTACAATTGAGCAGAACAGAAGAAAAAAAATAAGTCAATGGCAATTAAAATAGAGGGGAACGATAGATTATGGATTAAGCCAAGTATTGGACATATTGAGACAATCATACAGTTCTGCAGAATGCAGTATATAGTATCATGCACATGCACCACGCACCAAGAATCAGGATCAGAGTTGGATTGGATATAAAGACCAAGATCAGGTCCAAGCTAATGTACAAGTATAAAACACAGGCGCCGTTATTTTCCCATAATATCCGAGCTGGAAACAAGTATGCAAAGACGCCACCATCGATCCACAGAGGAGCAAAAGGCGCGCATCGAACGAAAAGCGGTTTCTACCCACTTATTTGCCTTGTCGTTGCTTGTGCTTGGGGTTCTTGGAGCTGCAGAGGAGAAAAATAGATTAGAACTCGCCCTTTGACAGCTGAACGATTGTAGAGAATGGCTTCTCTAACTCGCATCAAGACGAAGACTCACCAGATAATGTAAACACGGTTCTTTCGACGAACGGGCTAAATATCCATAATTAGCACCCAAGCCCATGATTCTCTCTAGAGACCTAATCCTCTTCTAACAGAAAAAGATCCGAAGTTCCGGTATCATACCTTGCAACCATCACACAGCCGCTTCACCGAGGACCGGGTCTTCATTCCGCGGACCTGCTCGATCTGCCGGGAGGCGCCAACAGTCGCCGCAACTGCATTGTTGTTCTGCTTAGAAGCCGCCCGCAACCTCGTGAGGCTGTTCTGGATCATGTGCGAAAAGGGCCGGAGGGAGATAGCTCCAGGGAGAGATCGACGAGAGACGGAGGGGAGGAGTTGGCGGAGGGCGGCCGGGGCTCCCAGGACGGAGCGGAGAGAGAACATGATGGTGGGAGGTAAGTAACCGGTCGTGAATCTGGAATTATGAGGCTCGACCTCGCGTTCCCTGGTCGGTAGATCGTAAAGGGATCGGAATCGGTGTTCGATGCTGTCTCCCCGGGTGCTCGCGCTCAGAAGATTGTTGCTCGGGTTTTTAGTTTTGCCGGGGCCGTACATAATATGTGGGTCCGGAAGTATGAAAGTACAAGCATGAGAGTACAATTCAAGAGACATGGGAAATTGTAGTGTATGCAATTAAAAATGATTTAAGAATATGGAAAAGATATGTAAGGCAATGTATTAGCAGGGAGCTATGATACAGTCGAAACAAACTCCCACTCTATATCGGGACCCAACGCCAAACGGGGAAAGCACTTCAAATGGGGTTGCACTTTTAAACCGCTAAAACAAAAAGAACACTAGTCATCAACCGTTTGACTCTCACTGTTCGAGATTCACATATTTATAAATAGTTCACGTTCAACATTCACATTCAACTCCAGCCATCTACGACCGCAGGAAGGTCTGGTAGGTGGGGGAGTCAGTTTGTTCGCTGAACGGGTAGCCCAGGTCACGGAGGAAGGATTCTAGGTCCTCCTTCTCCGGAGAGGGGCATTGGATAGCAGCCAGAACCTTGCCAACATCACCACCGTAGTTACGGTAGTGGAACAAAGAGATGTTCTGCTTCGGACGGAGAGTGGCAAGGAACTTGGCCAGAGCACCTGGTCGCTCGGGGAACTCGAACATGAACAATCGCTCGTCAGCGACATCGGAGCGGCCGCCGACAAGGAATCGGATGTGACGCTTAGCCAGCTCGTCTTCGCTCAGATCGCGAACGTTCATGCCGGATTTCTCAAGCTCCTCCATGATCTTGGCCAGATCCTCGCGGCCGGTCACCGCGGACAGAGAAATTCCCATGAGGACATCGGCAGAGTCGTCACGAGCGTAGCGGTAGCTGAAAGCAGTCACAGCCTGAGGCAGAATAACCTCGACAAGCTTGGCGAATGCACCGGGAGTCTCGGGGATCTTAACACTGAGAAGAGCCTCTTTGCGCTCGCCGAGAGCAGCACGCTCGGCAACGAAGCGCAGGCGGTCGAAGTCCATGTTGGCACCGGAAGTGATGGCGACGAGTTCACGGCTGGGGTCGGGGCTGGGGTACTTGGCGACGTACTTCTTGAGACCGGCGAGGGAGAGCGCACCGGCGGGCTCAACAACGGATCGGGTATCCATGAAAACATCTTTAATAGCAGCACAGACTTCATCCGTAGAGACTTGAATAACTTCGTCGATGACATCCCGGCAGACACGGTAGTTCTCCTCACCCACGGACTTGACGGCAGCGCCATCCACGAAGAGGCCGACCTCCTTCAAGAACACTCGCTTGCCATCGTCAAGGGACTGGGCCATGGCGTTAGCATCGTAAGCCTCGACACCGATGACCTTGACTTGGGGCGCAATGCGCTTGAGATAGACACCAATACCACCAATCAGGCCGCCACCACCAACACCGCAGAAGACCGCCTCTAGCTTGTCGAGGTTGGCTTGACGCAAAAGTTCCATGCCGATAGTACCTTGACCAGCAATGACGTACGGGTCGTCGAATGGCGGGATACTGGTGAGACCGTGCTGCTTCTCCAACCGGTGGGCCTCATCCTTGGCCGCATCGAAATCGTCTCCGTGGAGAACAACGCTACCACCCAAGCGGGCGACGTTCAGGTGCTTGATAGCCGGAGTTCCGGCAGGCATGACAATGGTCGCGGGGATTCTAAGCTTGCGGGCAGAGTACGCAACACCTTGAGCATGGTTACCAGCAGAGCAAGCAATGACACCCTTCCACCGTTGCTCGTTGTTCAGGTGAGCCATCTTGTTATAGGCGCCACGAAGCTTAAAGCTGAAAACAGGGAGAAGATCCTCTCGCTTAAGAAGCACTCGGCTTTCAAGACGGTTGCTCAGGTTGACGGCATGGTGTAGTGGGGTTTCATCAATAACATCGTAAACGCGGGAAGTCAAGATCAATCGGAGATACTGCAAAAGCACCGAAGGCGTCAGCCAGGTATTGGGGGGAAATTTGAATAAGTGACCATAGTTCTCACATCTGGGTATCCATTGGGAAGCAAAAAAGCCTCTGGGATGCCCCAGTTGGGGGGGCAATCCGGGGATGCGGTCTGCGCGTTCGGAGGGGGAGTGGGAGCGGCGGTATACTCGGTCAAAGCCAGACCACTCCGCTTGGGAGTGGTAGGTGTTGTGACACCGTTGACGGAGGGTTCGTCGGACATGACCAAGGATATGGAGATCGACCCACGAGACCTTGAAGAAAGAGAAAAAAGATCAATTGCTCAGAAAGGAGGGGAGGGAATCTTTTGCCTCTGACTCTTTTCTTTTTTCTGGCGGGACGAGATCGGAGCATCTTAGTCATCAGCCCCAGAGCAAATGCCCTAACATAAGTTGGATTGGAGATGAAGAGGTTACGTTTGATTTTTAATTGAAGAGCAATTACGAATTATTAGCTAACTATATACTTATGTTCTTGTGTATCACATTTCCAAAGCTATCTGGAGGGTTAAGAAATGCTATCTCTAGCCTTAGTATCTACGAGTACTCTCTAGTATACAATGGCGGTCAGGGAGGATTACGTGCTAGACTATTAGTTACTAACTTGAACAGATAGGGATACTATAGAGAAATACTACTAGTACTAGTCGTATGTAGATGTAAATGTCCGGTAGAATTAAATTCAAATAGTATATAGTAGAGTATATATCTAATAACTAGCAGCCATTTAATATGTGTCTAGTATATGTGCTGCCACTGTCAAAGTACTGCCTCTGCTCTGCCCTCAAGAGGCCGCGCTTAACTTTGGAGAAAACTCCCGCGACGTCATGCCCGATCACCTCTCCTCTCCCCGCAACCCGCCATCTCGACCTTGAAACGCCGATATTCCAAGGCTCCCTTGATTCTACACATAGGACGAGAATTGTCCCATTCTCGCTCGCCCACAATCAGCCCTAGGGCCCCTCGCTCATCACTCCACCCGACCATCGTGCCACCCTTCTTCACCACCTCATCTCCCCATCAGAGCTCAACCACCCATCATGAGCGGCGAGTCTGTACCATCGTCTTTTGACGATCACCCGTACGTCCAAATTCACTCCACAGAAACCCGCGACCCTCCGCGCCGCAAAGGATCCCGCCATTGCGAAAGCAATCAGCGCCGCGTCGAGGGGGGAAAAATACTGCTTGCTAACAATACATCTTCTCTAGACAATTCCGCGAGGAATCTGGCGCCCAAAAATTCACCCGACGAATCAAGGAAGAGCCCCTCATCCCACTCGGTACATCTCTCTACAATCAACCCAAAAAAACAATCAAACCCACTTACCAATTCTACAACAGGCTGCGCCGCTACATGTTACGCCCTCTACCGTGCCTACCGATCAATGCGAGCCGGCGACTCGGCTGAAATGAACCGCATGTTCCGCGCCCGTATCTACGCGCAGGCATTTACTCTCGTCGCACTCGTGGCTGGCGGAATGTACTACAAGGCGGAGCGGAAGCAACGGCGGGAATTCGACCAGGCGGTGGAAGAGCGCAAGGGCCAGGAAAAGCGCGATGCCTGGCTGCGTGAGCTGGAGATTCGTGATGAGGAGGATCGCGAATGGCGCGAGCGTCATGCGGCTATTGAGGCCGCGGCCAAGGATGGTGGGAAGAAGGTTGAGAAGAAGGTTGAGCAGCCTGATGCGGCTCGTGCGGCGATTGAGCCTGCGGATGAGAAATCTGTGGGCGTGCTGGATGCTGTGAAGGTTTTGCTGGCCAGTCGGAAGTAGGATGTACTACTTCTAGTATGATGGTAGTTGTTGGCATGAGGTGGAATCCTCTTTGTGTTTTGCACGTGTAAAATAGTAGTCAGCGATGTCGGATTGTCTAAGGTTGTCTTGTTATGTTGTGCTGTAGTATTTGTATATAGAATGCGCCACCCCCATCTCCGCACATGTGTTTTCTGAAGTCATTATTTTGTCACAGCGATCATGGCCAACATTAAGAGTGTCTAGAACCGGGTTAGAATCTTGTTGAGTCAGAATCGTAGCTTTTCGGAAGCAGACAAGGCGGCGGGATTCCTAAGATGCAGCTCGATATGCAGCACGGCACAGCCCAGGGCACACGGTGTACTAGTATACACAGCACACTATACCATCTAGGTTAGGCGAACATGGAACCAACGGCAAAGGCTCAGCAAATCACTCCCCTTGCCCTGAATAATTTAGAAGATTTTACGGAGGGTCCGAAGATCGACGTTGGCCTGCCGATTTGGGTGGCCTCGGATTTCACATGTGAGATCGACCACCGAGCGTCATTGACTCGACAAAGTTCGCCCTACTGCCAGTTTGTACCGTCTGCTGATTTTTGAGATTTGTTCAAAGTACTGTCAGAGTGGAACGAGAAGAAAAAAACGCGAAGTTTGGGGAAGATTGTTCATGTTGACTGCGCAGTATTCACTGTTTCTATGGGGAAACGCACGCAAGCATTTCCCCAGGTCGTCTCCGTTCTGATATCTCGGCGTGCCGAGGTGGTTCCGCCGCATCAGAATCCATCCTGATCCTCCCAATGGGACCTTACCTAGGAGCCCCCTTTCGAGGGTTCATGGCCCACTCCACCGGGTTGTTTCCGTAACTTTGTACTAATGCTAAGCAGTTAGCCCTGCAGGGGTCTGCCCGTGTCCGACTCCGAGGCTGCTCTCCCATGACGTCTCGCCACAGGTTCGCGAGGCCTCGGCTGAGGAACTATCGAATTTTTAGTTCGAATACAGAATTTTAAGATTTTCAATCCAGCTGCCACTATATAACTCAGTGGACACCCAGTGGGCAGCAGTGGATCTGGATTTCCTCTCTCCATTCTAGTTCTCAGCACCCACCGCCACTACTACAACCCTCGACGAGGTTCCTGACCTGACCCAACAAAGTCAATTGACAGACAAACACAAGCATTTACTCAAATCAAATACATACAACACTTATATACACACCATGCTATCCTGGGTCTACCCTCTCCGAATCGTCCAAGCACTCTTCGCCTTGGCAACCATCGGCTTAAGCGCATATGGTTCGTCGCAATCCAACAAAAGGAGAAAAAGAAAAACAACTAACAAAACACAGTCATCGGCACTCTCTACGATTCATGGTCCTTCTCCAACCTGAACTACTTTTTGCTCTTCAACGGCTGCTGGACCACCGTCGTCGCAGTCCCCTACCTCGGCCTCGCCCCACTCTGGTTCTCGCGCATCTCTCATGAACTCGTCATTCCCTTCGTCGAAGTTGTTACCATGCTGCTCTGGCTCAGCGGCTGGATTGCCCTTTCGGCCATGATCCCCAAGCCCGGCGCCTGCAACTACCCCAGCTGCCACGGGCTGCAGGCACTGATCGTTGTCGCAGCGGTTGAGTGGTGAGTTTCTTCCTACATCTTCTTTACTGGACTTGTTTCCATTATCGTTATTGCTCGAGTATAAATGCTCATCATTGTGACACTGCAGGGCTCTTTTCGTCTTCACCAACTACTTCGCCCTTGTGGATCTTAAGAACTCCCGACAGAACCACAAGAACCACCATGCGCAGGACCAGCAACAGCAGCCTCCCGTCTCGGAGGTGACTGGTGCATCGGAGGAAGTCTAAGCGCTCCTCGACCACCTTAATCATTAATTGCATTGCACTTGGTGCGGTGTTGTACAAATTTACCTACCCTAATGCTGGACCTGATAACGGGTTCAAATCTGTTGATACCCGGTTGGCACTTCGATTCACGAATATATGAATATGGACATACGGCTGTTTCGATTAGAATCGTTCGTTGGTGTTTGCTCGAAGCTTGAAGCCTGGAAGTTCGTTTTGTCTGGTCATCGGCGCAGTTTTTAATTACACAATTCTTTTTGCGTGGATTCCCTTTTATAATCGATCGTGCTTAATGATATCGACGTATTACATATAATAACATAATTTCATATTGATGAATGTCTGAATTTCTGAATAGATGTGAAAATTGGAGTAACTTAACAACGTAAAATTTTCAATTGAACTAAACTCAACCAGAGGGGGATATCACAGGCAAATGAGCATATCAAAGTGGAATTCCAAAGGGAAAAGAACCCGAAGAGAAATTGAGAAGAAGGAAAAGAAAAGAATCAACACTCATAAATGCTCGCCTGTAAAACGCTAATATGTTGAAAGAACTTGAACCCAAAGATCTACTACCCCAACTTGAAGTACTAGTAGAAGAAATATAGCATAGATGGATGGATAGATCATCTCAAGTGCCGACAGTCCAATCCATGCCACCCCCTTGAAGTTGATCGGGTAATTGTAGTTTTCCATCAACCGGTAGTTGTGGCATGAGCCTAGTCGTCATCGAGCTAGATCCACTTCCTTTCTCATGATATCGCAAGACTTCCGCATACATGACAGTCTTCCACATGTCGGCGGGCAGATCAGCTTCCAGGAAGGCCCAGTCGCATTTTTCTGTTGCGGAGGGCTCGTCATCTGGGTCGTGGTATGGCTCCAGATATTCAGACTTGAGACAGTCTGCTGCAGAGATTCTTTCGTCTGGGTCGAGTTGGAGCATTTTGTCCAGGAGTGCGATTGCTGGCTCGCGTTAGTTGGGATCGTCTGGGATGGTCGGTATAGTATTTGGGTGGTATTTTCCGATTTGGTTTGGTGTTAACTTACTCGCTGTATCGGCCTTGGGTAAGACCTTTGATAATGACTGGCGAGGTTTGTCCGGTAAGGATCGGAGGAAAGTCAAAGTCTGGAATTTGGTGTTAGTTTCTGATATTTCGCTTTTATTTTTACCCGGGGGGTTTTTGGCCGTTTCCTTGTAGATTTGACGACGGTGAGAGACTTACATTTTCACTGGTAATATTGTTAATGACGGCCTCGGGAGGACTGCCCAACATCTGTGTGATGACCATGAACTGATTGATATGATTTTTGCCCGGGAATATAGGGCTGCCCAAGATCATTTCGGCGAAGATGCAGCCTGCGCTCCAGATGTCGACTTTTTCATTATACCTCCTCCACGTGAGCATTATTTCTGGCGCGCGGTAATACCTTGTCGAGACATAGCCGGTCATTTGAATCTCTTGGACGCGGGCTAGGCCAAAGTCGCATATTTTTAGATCGCAATTTTCGTTGATGAGAATATTGCTTGGTTTAAGATCGCGGTGGACCACGCCCGCGGAGTGCACATATTTCAGACCACGCTGGCGAGTGTTAGTAATTGGGTTGGTTTGTGGGTGGCATGTTGAGGCGTATTGATTGTTTTCCATACCATCAATTGATATATAAAGTATTGGGTGAATTGCTCGTCCACTTTCTTTGTTTTCAAAAGTGTGTTGAGATCTGTTGCCATGAGATCCGTGACAAGGTAGCTATGAAGGCCGATGAGTATTGTTTCCCGAGGAAAGCATAAGAAGAGACTCGGACGAAACTCACATATCTTCAGATGGTGAAATAAAGATATCTTTTAAGTGAATGATCTGTACATTGGTTAGGGTTTAATGTCCCAACAGGGAGTGATGACAAACATTCTCGTGCTGCAGTTGCTTTAACAGCTTGACTTCGCGGTACATGTGTTTGGCGATATTGTCCGTCTTGAAAGGCTCGCTGAGCTTTTTCACGGCAACTGTTTGTTGACCAATCTGATCTTTAGCAGAACTAAAGAATGCGAAAAACAGAAACGAAATGGTCAGCGAATTCTTCGCCTGCAAAACCACACCCACCCCCGGTGATAATTTTGGGGATCATACCAGACTAGCCCCGAGACGCCCATTCCCACTGGGGTCAAATCAGTATATCTAGAATGAGATTTAGTAATTTCGCTTTAGTTTAGTCGTTTTAAGAACCGCATACCGGTCGGTTGTTTCGAATGGCGCGCCCATAATAATATTCTCGGAGAACTGGGCCATTTCCCGGCCTGGGGTTATCGTTTTGCCCGACATGGCGGATGCAGGGAACGATGAAAGCAGTATTAATATACACTTGAGAGATCACGCTATATCAGGGATATGATTATAAACGATATGAAGCAAAAATGAAGTAAATCAGCTAATTCTCGAGGAGATGAAGAGTTTGATGGGATGGATAGTGGATGGTAGACGAGGGAAACTAAAGTGGCAAATAACGGGAACGTGTTTGCATCGGAAATGGATCAATTTTATAAAGAAAATGTGTTATGATCTCCACTCACGCACCCGTTTTTAGTGGCGATGGGGGTTGCAGCTAGGCGGAAGGAATACCTAACGAGGGCTGTGTTTACATCAGCGGCTGGGGTCACAAGAAACGCCTTCGACGAAGCACATCGAAGGAATTGGGAGCACGTTCAAGCCGCAATGGCATGTTGTTCGCTATGCATTTCTGCAGACCCACCCGATCGCCAGGCCCTGCACCATTTGACTGGTCGGTAAATTTTGCCGAACGAATGACGTTGTGTATGACTTTCTCTCACCCCGCGCCTTCCGATGCCCTGCTAGAATGACCTAGGAGGGGAATACTTTACCATGATGATTTGAATGGTTGGACAGAGCCGTATAGATCATTGTGGGATTTGACCTTTTGGTGTATATACATACGTAGACTGTGGAGCGATCAGCCCTGTGGCGTTTACCTTGGGAGCTCCGCCGTGGAAATATCAATATGAGGTGTACTCCGTATTTTACTAATATTTAGGATGCGGCCCAAGCTCCTGCAGCAAAAAATGCCAGTGGGACACTGTGGAATATTTGAACTTTAGCCTGTTCCATCCGGATTTCGAGTCCAGCTCGAATTATTGTTATTTTGGTCGAATATAAGACATCAAGAAAGTTATCGTGACAAAACGAACCCTTTCAACCCCAACGCCAAACAAAACCCGATCGCAAGCTAATTTGAAAATCATAATGGACACACCAATATCAACCTCCCCCAAGCTAAAGATTTTCCATATCAATGAGCCGGTCAAATCCAAACTCTGGGGTCCCGACCCCATTATAAGTCTGATCAAAAAGCGCCGGATCCATCAATGGTAAAGGCCCCGAGCCATCCGAAGAGAAAGACGAAGACGCAAGGACATTCGGCTCAACAGCCCCAGACTCCACTGCGGATGCATCTGAACAACTCTGAGATGAAAAGGTCGGGGAAGGTAATTGAGCATGAAGCTGCTCCGGGCTACTGCCGGTGAGACTTTCGCTCATGCTAGCTAATTTTCGATTAATGTGCCAGTCGTTGCAGCTAGCGTGTGCGAAAACGGTATTCTTCAAGGTCCAGACCTCCTCGCGGAGGCTGTTTAATTCGGCCATGAGAGAATCGTGTCGGGCGGTCTCGTCATGGAGGGAATTTTGGATTTTCTGGTGTTCCTTCTTTTTTTTTTGTCGGCATTTGTTTGCGGCGATGCGGTTTCGCTCGAGGTGTTTTGAGCGGCCTGGACTGATGTTCTCGCTGTGGTCGCGTGCCATGGTGATTGCCAGTGGTCGGTCGGTATGAACCCAAGGGGTAGAATTTGAAGGAGTTGGGTCAAGACGAGAAAAGTCCGAAGGTAGGAAGGTTGATCAAGTCGTAGACGCGGTGTAAATCGATGTGGTGAACCCTTGGAAGTTGAATCGGATATGTGGAGTAAGGTTGGAAACTGGCAAGGTAGAATTGACTGTCGGTCAAAGCAGCCTCGATTTCACAGGATATCAACAGAGGGTGATTAAATATTATATGGACACCTGGGCAGGCTGTGGCACCGTAAAGTTCAAAATGTAGGACGTTATAAATCTGCAAGGAACGAGGGAAACCCCTCCCCGACGCAGTTAAACAGCGTATATATCCTTAGAAGCGATCTCTGAGCATATTCAAACAAGAAAGTTGGAGGTCAGTATCGACTACGTCACCATATCAAGATCTAGACTGGGCAGGGTTCCCATCGCCACTCCGCCCCTGACCGGAAAATGCAGCCGCTAGGCTAGCAGCAGTTAGTAGGGGTTTAAGAAGGGGGATCCGGGGGGAGAAACCGCTAGAAGTCGAGGTAAAATAGTCAGTCTCCAGTTCTGAGTGGTCGGATACTGAGCCGGAAAGTGCTAGACTCGTTTTATTCCCAGTCCACTCGGATCAAGCAGAGGGGTCTGTGATGGATAGAACTGCGGGGCCCAGATGATCCAGATGATCCCAAGAGTCTTAATCAAGACGTGACACGCAGCACCTGGACAGATGAACGATGAGTAATTGTGCCTGTGGCAAATAAATTGATAAGGAGGGCTATGTATCAGTCAGAAAACGTACATACTGTTCTCGTGGAGGGCAGGATTTCTTGGTCTGTTGTTGGTCTAGAATTTAAGAAAAACGCGATGATGTCATCGACAATCTGATATCCCGTTGTCATCCAGCCCTGCAGTTATGTATCCTACAGAGATGCTGTACTTGTAGTACCTACTAAGTTCTAACTACTTAGTACACTGTACTCCGTATGAACATACACCTGTGATAGCACGATGCATAGTCGATCTCGGCTTGAAAGGGCCAGTGTCACATTGTCTGACCCAGACCGGCCCACGTGACAAAGTACGAAATAAACACACGTCAAGTTCTCAACAGTGTAAATCCAAAGTGTATCATGATGGTAGTACATACTATACTCTCTATACATTGAGTCCACGATAACAAACACAAGCTCCAAATATTTAACAATGCTGCTGGCCCATGCTGAACCTTTGAACCCCAGACTTACGCCGGAGCATGCCATCTATAAATCAGTCCGAAATTTCCCCAACAACCTTGGAACCCCCTCTAATAATCTCATTAAACAACCTGCTCCTCTATATACCGCTTCATGGTATCGAACTCGGCCTTCCCTGTCTATAAAAAAATCAGTCTCGAAACCAAAACTGCAAGGCAAGCGAAGCGAAGAAAAGAAAGGAGCCAATCATACCGATAACAAGTACCGAATATGGCCCTGGTAAATTGTTAGCAATGATCAATGATTCCCTGCGAATGAGGTAAAAAAAATAGGGATGGACAGAAAGAAGGGAGGAACGCACCAGATCTGAGACCTCACGATGTCGCTCAAATTCTTGACGCGCATAGCTGTGCAATTCATCTCGCGTTGAAGAAGGCGGGATCTCTGTAAAAAAGAAAAAAAAACGAAAGGTATCGCGGTTAGATATACTGTCTTGAACCTTCAGAGCGTATGTGAAGAAACGTACTATGTAGGGCCCGTACGATCTCTCGCCAGAACGTCAGAGTGCGCTGTCTTTGGATGAACTGCGGAACATTAGTTGGAAAGGTTCTTGTCACAGTCGATATTGATTCATTCGTCGGGCGCGTGCATTGGATATTCACTCCAAGGGTAGGTGGTTCGGGAAGTTGATCTGGTCTGGTTGTACTTACATGATCGAGACTGACGGCGGGTTTCCTCAATTTTGACGCTGGCCGGCGCGAGACCGCGGCGAGGAGACTGAGTGATTGGCGCATTAGGGTTCGATCATGTCATTTCTGACTGGATCGATGGGAAATCGCAGGTTTGGTTTTAACCGTTGTGATTGGAGTGCGTGAATGATGAGGCGAGAGTGAAAGCGGTCGGGTTTGCTGTGATGGTATACGTATTACACGTAAATAGCATCACGTGATAATCAACCCACTATAATGTTTATAATCATGCGTAAGATATTGTAAGAGAAGATGAAGTTAGTGAAGGTGGCATGATGCGTTCATCAGAAGATTATTCTATAATTCAATTGTAATGTTTTTCAAATAACTGGTATACATATTCCATCATATCCGTTGCGAGGAAGTCTTATGCCTGCAGAGGCTCCCCCATACCGCCAAAAGTAACGCTCTTGATAACCATGAACTCATCAATACCATACTTGCTGCCCTCGCGGCCGAAACCGCTCTGCTTGACACCACCGAAGCTGTCGCAAAGTTAGTAAAATGCCATTATACGATTTGAATTTGGGCGAATGGGTCATAACTTACGGAGAAGCAACATCACTGATCAAACCAGTGTTGGCGCCAACCATGCCAACCTCAAGGGCCTCAGCAACGCGGAAGATACGGCGAACATTACCGCTGAAGAAGTAGCCGGCAAGACCAACCTCGGCCTTGTTAGCCAGATCCACGACCTCCTTCTCAGTCTCGAAGGGGAAGAGACCCGCAACAGGGCCGAAGGTCTCCTCGGACGCGATAAGCATGTCCTTGGTCATACCGGACAGAACAGTGGGCTCATAGAAGTTCGGGCCCAGGGCAGAAGCCTTCTGTCCGCCAATAAGCACCTTGGCGCCCTTGGAGGTGGCGTCCTGGACGTGCTCGTGCACCTTCTCAGCGGCACGCTCGTGGATCACAGGACCGTGGGTAATACCCTCCTCGAAGCCGGCTCCGAGCTTGAAGTCCTTGACCTTGGCAGCGAAGCGCTTGGAGAACTCATCATATACGCCCTTCTGAACATAGATCCGGTTAGCGCAGACGCAGGTCTGGCCCGAGCTACGGAACTTGGAAGCGATAGCGCCGTTGACGGCTGCATCGAGGTCCTCCACATCATCGAAGACAATGAACGGCGCGTTGCCACCCAATTCCCAAGAAACCTTCTTAATGGTCGATGAAGCCTGCTTCATCAACAAGCGGCCAACGTTTGTCGAGCCGGTGAAGGAAACCTTGCGTACATCCGGGTGTGTGGTGATCAGCTCGCCGACAGCGGGGGTGTTCTTCGAGGCGGTGACAATGTTGACCACACCCTTAGGGATACCAGCACGGTGAGCCAGCTCAGCAAGGGCGTTGGCAGTGAAAGGGGTCTCGCAGGGGGACTTGGCGACAACGGTGCAGCCGGCGGCGAGGGCAGGTCCGATCTTACGGGTGATCATGGCTGCGGGGAAGTTCCATGGTGTAATCAGACCGCACACACCGACCGGTTGCTTCAGGGTCATGACCCGGTTACCGGGGACGGTAGCTGGGATGACATCGCCGTATGTGCGGGGAGCTTCCTCGCTGAACCACTCGAAGAAGCTGGCGGCGTAGTTCACCTCGCCCTTAGCGTCGGCCAATGGCTTACCGTTCTCCCAGGTAATCAGCTTGGCGAGGTCATCGGCATTATCCACCATCAGCTGGTACCAGCGGCGCAGCATGCGCGCGCGCTCGCGGGCGAGGGTTGTGCGGAATTTGGGGAAGGCTTCGGAGGCGGCTTGGATGGCCTTTTCGACGTCGGCGGTGCCGAGCTCGGGGCATGTTCCGATCAATTTGCCAGTGGCAGGGTCTGTAATAGGCGAGTTTAGTTGAGCTGTTCCCTCCTAGCTTGGTGGGAGCGATGGTGATGATATTACCGTGAACTTCAAAGGTCTCGCCCGACTGAGCGCCAACCCACTCGCCATTGATGTATGACTTCTCAATAAAGAGCGACTTGTCTTTGAGCTATGGAACCAGGTAAGTCAGCGTAATGCGTCTTGTTGAGACGGGCAAATATCTCACTCACATCAGGCTTGTCGTGTCCCATGGTGTAGAGTCTCTTTGCGGCGGGTGGGGGAGGAATGGAGAAGGGATAGCGAAGACGAGGTCGCAACAATTGTCGAGAGACAGGACGGATAAGGCGGTCCATTCTAATAAGAGGCAACTAACTCTCTGCGAGGGGAGCGAGAGGAGAAACCGAGGAGCGGGGAAGACAGGAAAAGCGAACGATACTGGGCAAACAAAAGCGCGGAGCGGATCAGACTGCGGGGGAGTTTGAATTTAAAGTGCCTTCGGAGATCAATTCGAGAAAGGCGATGACTGAACGATGATTGCACTGGAGGGCCGAGAAGCACCGAAGGAGATTCGGGATTCGCTGCGGAGTGGAAAGTGGAGGGAAGCTCCCCGCTCAGAAGGGAAGCTCGATGCTAACCTTAGAAATGCGCCATGCGGGGGATTTTATCCGGGGCATTTTGCCTGCTTCTGGTCTATATCTGTTTACACCTGTGTTTACGGATGCATTCCCCTTGATCCTAGAGGAATATCTCTTTTCCCACTCCAATAGAGGTATTCTAGCTGATTTGAGGATATTTTCTGTTCTCTCCCATGACGGTTTACAGTTGGAGTTGTTAGTCACTGATCCATCCTGGTCCACTCGCGGTGTGTTTCTGGTTATGTAATTACAGAGATTACAGTGTTCGGTATTATTGACCAATAATGACTGAGAGAGCAATACTTCTCGGTAGAGTTGACCAATCAAAGCCACAACGCGACCTTCGAATCGCAGATAGAGTATTCCAAATACTTTATCAATACTCCATTGGTATGAACTAGGAAGGACCAGCCGATCGATGCTTCAGCTTTACTTACACAAGCAGATTGTATATTAGTACTTCATAGTTTTAACATAATTGTAGGTATCTGGGTATCACAATTAACACGCGAGCCATTGTCTACTACTAAATACTACTACCAGTATGTATACTGTATAGTATCACACTAATGATAGCCTTGAAGTATACATCAATCAATCTGAATAGCTGCCTTCCGCTGCAAGCCATCAGTCTTCTCCCTCTCCAGCCCGTGAGTTTTCCGTAGATGCAGCGTCAAATTCCAAGTCCGCGAAAATCCATCCGTATGCCGGGGACATGTAGCAATTGGACAAAGAATATCCCCACGCCGATGATCGCCCTTACCCTTAGGTTTAGGCGCCGCCAGCGGAGCCTTACGTTTCTTCCTATAGGTTCTCTTTTGAGGCACCGTGGGGATATTCTCACCCTCCGTCTCGCTTTCCATGTACTCCGTACGTGACTGTTCGTGGTCCAGGGCCTCGGTCTTATGCATGCGTCCCTCGTGGAATCGTCGGAAGGTCATGTCTTGCCCGAATAGCTCGGCGCATCGCTTTGATGCGCGCATTACGGCGTCGGTGGGCAGTCCGGACATGGCGGCGATGCCCATTACTTCGCTCCAGTCGCGCTGCTCACCTCGTTGGAAGATGTAATGGCCGGATTTTGGCTTCTTATCAGGACCTTGCCTTGATGTTTCGTCCTCGTCGGATGAATGTTGGCTCCGCTGGCGGCGTTTGTTATTGGCGCTTGAAGAAGTGTGGCTGGGATTTTTGCCCTTTTGACGGCCGCAGTGGTGTGAGTGTGATTGTGATGCTTCGTCCTCGTCGTCCGAGCTGATTTCGCCGTCTTTCTGCTGCTGATCCCGGGTCCGGCCCTGCATAGCATGATGTAGACCCATCAAGACTCGATCGAGGTTTGAAATGACATTTCGAGATAGCGGTCGTAATTGCCGTCTGGATCTGTCGTCGTCGGCTTGGAATACCGGGCGAAGTGGTTCTTGGTCAACGTCACTACCGTACGCGGGCTCGTAGTTTTTCATTTCGTCTTCCGTGTCCATTTTGTAATCTTCTTCTTCTTCTTCCTGCGGCCGAGGAGGGCGATGGTTTCTAATTTCCTCCTCATCCCATTCACTAGCCATGAATTTTTCCTTCGCGTTTTTCAGCATGCTCGCGATGATGGATTCCTCGAGGTCTGCGCTCGGACGCGGATCAGGCGCCATTCGGTAGGTGTCTGGGTCATCTAGTTGTCGCCGAATATACTCGTCAGAACGAGGAACATTACTCGCAAGCATCGGCCATCCAACCCAGACTTTTTTAACCGCTGCCGGGTCCTCGCTTTCGTCTTCGGGTCCTAACGGCTCCCCGGCCTTTTGGTTTTGATTGCGAAGCACGAAGGAATCGTAAAGGTGACCTGCAAGGTCCATAGATCGATTCGCTAATATGGCATCATATGCACCCTTCTCATCTGAGATGAGCTGTCTGTACGTCCTAGGAGCTCCAGTCCATCGATTCGGACGTGGAACACCAGGCGGGAGGTCCAGACCGCGGTCAAGAATGTAGGTGGTTGGCGGCGGTGGTAGTGACGCCGACTTGCTGGGTGAATAGGAATTTGTGCGAGACTGTGTCTTCTTTTGTGGCAAATCTGGTTCAGACTCGAGGCCTACTCCATCCTCGCCATCAGAACTTCCTTGAAAACTCTCCCCCTCAGAGTTATAATCAGCGAAAAGGGGTCGGTCTCGCAAAAGGGCTTCAAATCCATCATCCTCTGGTTCCTCGCTCATGGGGTCCAGCCGTGAAGTAACATGACTGCTGCTTCTAGGACCTCCGAAGATTGACCTTCGAGATGGTCCCGGCTGGGGTGATGAAAGTGGTGGACCCGCATCACTGCTAGGGCCACCGAAAATTGAGCGGTAAGGCTGTGCGGACTCTGGAGGTACGAACTGTGACGATGATGGAGGGTCGATCTGATCTGAATGTGAGGACATGCCTCAGTGTTGTGTTTGGTTTGCGGGTACTATGTGATACTGCCGAATGGCCCGCTCATATCACGTAAATAGTGTTCTTCGATTCTTAGAATGCTGGTCAGGTGGTGGATTTGGTTTCAGCATTACGCAGTGTCTTTTATAACTCGGTTTCGCGTCACTTCGGACATAGCCCGTACAGGTCTGGCAAAGGTTGGTGGTTTTCTCCTTCATCAAAAATTCCGTCGGGTGGAGATCTGCGACAAGTCACGTGACCTATAGATCGCGCGCAGTGGGCCTGGGTGGTCTTGGATTCATCAGGGTTGTATCTTCTTGCTGTTCTTTCAAGTTAAGACATTTTTACTCAAAGCTCCCTACTACGCATATACATTGCAGTAAACCATTAAATTCGATTGACATAGATTTTTGGGTCATGCATATACAGGGGACTATCCAGCCGCAAACGCCAGTATAAAAAAAAGCACTCCTAATTTTGACATACTTCTTCCAGTTTATTTCTTCTCGGCACCCTTCTCGATCTTGCGGCGCTTGGAACGAAGCTTGGCAGCCTCTTCGGACTGCTTCTTGTTCGAGTGCATCATCTTCTCGAGCAGCTTGCGCTTCTTGCGACTCATCATCATCTTTTGTCTCTCGAGCTCTTCCTCCTCCTTCTGCTTCTTGGCAGCCATCTTCTTGGTCTTGGAACCCTTCTTCTTGGAGGCCGCATCGGCAGCGTCGCTAGCAGAGAAAGGCAGACCGGCGGCTTCAGCCTCCAATTCACGTTGGTGCTGAGTGCGAACAGCCTCGTCGTCATCTTCAGACTCGGAGGCGGCATCTTGATCCATTCCGTCGAGGGCCTCATCGGCCTCTTCAGACTCGTCTTCCTCGCTCTCATCATCATCAGTACCGGCAACATCCATGCCACCGTCAACGGACTCCTCCTCGGATTCCTCGGCGGTCTTCTCCTCAACGACGGCCTCGTCCTCCATCTCCTCATCGCTGTCCTCGACCTCCTCAGCGACCTCAGCCTCACCCTCCTCTTCCTGCTCGGCCAGGGAAGCGCGGGGGTCGTAACCACCACGAGAAGCCTTGACCCAAGGGCTCAAGTGGGGAGGAAGAGTAGCGCCAGGTCCATACAGATCAGCGCGAATCAGCTTGCCATCATTGACACAGTCCCAAACCCATTGGGGCTGGACGTAGGTGCGACCGGGGATACGAGTACCGGGCTTCACCTTCTGAACGGCGTCGTTGGCGGCAGGAATGGCGGGGAGAGATTCGGCAGGGAGTTGTGGGCGATCAACGATCTGGTGAGTGATGCGGGGGTCGGTCTCATCATTAGTGAAAGCTCCGTCACCCAGGACAACATCCCAACCAATGCGCTTGCAGCCGAAGGAACGCAGAATAAACTCGAGAGGCGCCTTGGGGGCTTCACGGGAGATGTAGAAAACGAATGGGGCGAAAAGGGAGCCGGCCTCATTACCGCTCATATCGGGCTGGGGGAGGGTGTCGGCTTCGGGAGCAGCGGGCTCGAATCGATCAATAGCGTCAGTGGACTCCTCAGTGGTGTCCATGGGCTGCTCGTCGGTGGCCTGGTCCAATCCGGCGGACTTGATCACCTTGTCGACCTTGGCTTGCATCTCCTTGGAAACTTCCTTGTTAGAACCGTTGGCCTGGGTCTTGCTGGACTCGATAGCCTTGGGCTTGTCGCCCACAGTGCGGCCCTCGAGGGTGAAGGCAGCCAGTTCGGCACCGTTCTCATCGCTGCGGGTATCGAACTTCGGGGGGTATCTAATGCCGATGGTGGAGTAAAGGCGGAAGTTGACGAAGCCCAGCAGGGTAGTGTAGAAGTCGACGAATGTGGCCATGATACGGTAGTCGACATCGCCATTGACGCGTTGCACGAAACGGTAAGGGACCAACCACATAATGTCTTGACCCTGGATGGTAGCCTGGTAGTAGATACCCTTGATCGAAAGGAAAGATTTGCGCAGGGAGTTGGTGACGATCAAGTAGTGCTGGAACTCGTGGCACAGGCGCTGGCAGAGAGCAATGGTCTTGGGGGGAACGTGCTTGTCGGAAGGGAGAGTGGCGAACAGGAACAACAGAGAGAGAGCATCATCTAAGTCGCGAAGAGCGTCAATGAAAGTGGGATAGCGCTCCTTGATGACATGGTCGAGGGTGAGCTTAGGAGCGTGGTTCTTCTCGAGGCGCGCAGCGTCGCTGACTTCACCACGACCGAGGGAGCGAGCGATCTTCTTGGAAAGAGCCTTCTGGTCACGGAACTTGTTCAACAGAGGCTCATGAAGCAGATACTGGATATCCTTGGTGTAATAGAAGGTGGTGTTGGGGGTGGCAGTCTTGGAGGCCTTCTTCTTGTTGCGAGGCTCACGGGGGTAGATTCCTTCAATCGAGATTTCTCATTAGCTTCACATTTCACCAAGCCAATCGATTCTCAATGCAACCTACCCTTGAAAATACATAGGCGACGGAAATCGGGCAGAGAAATCTGCAGCTTTCGCACGGCCTGGGTACGAGTGATATAGTTTTTGGCCTGGCCGGAGGTACCTTCAATTGAATATTAGCGGAGATATTTCACGAGGTTAATCGGCAGACAAAACATACCCTTCTTCTTAATCTTCGCCATGATGTCTGCTACTGTTGGGGGGGATAGGTAGTAGAAAGATCTAAAGCAAAAGCCCGATAAGAGCCAGCGGGAAAAAAAAAGATATCGAGAATTTTTTTTTCCGCTGGGAAGGCGGTCAGCTGGCCCGTGCCCCCGGTTGGACTGGGCCTTCCTCTCCGCCTTGGGGGGGAACAACATTACTCTACTCCACTCCTCAGCTTAGTTCACACTACACAACATGGCGGTCGACAGACGCATGATTGGCGTATTTGGCGTGGCCTTTGTCCTGCGACTGCTTTTAATATGTCTGTTTCCGTCATTACCAGATCTACTGACTGGTCGAGTTGAGGTGTCGACTCCAGTCAACAGCTTCAAGCGATGTAAGTATCCCGGAAGCAAGGTGATTGAATTATAAGAACATATGGGCTGACCTTCAATTGTATAGTACAAGAGGGATTGTATCTCTATACTCGAAATGTTTCGCCCTACGATGGTGGTGTCTTTCACCAGGTACGCCATCCTCCGTGATTGCTCCGCAGCACCTCCTCGATTAACCCCATAATATAGGCACCGCTTCTCCTTCCTCTTTTCTCCCTCCTCCCAGATATACACAGCAATCCCGTTCCGACTGCGATATTCTATTTTATAGTCGATCTCGTGAATGCCTATGCCCTGGTCACAATCTCCGAGTCCGGGCAGTCTATCCAAAGTCGACTTCACTCCGCCGTTCGGAAGCATATTCAATGGGACGGGGTGTCGGTCGCGGCTTGGTACACTCAATGGCACCTATCGGGCTGGATAAGAACTTGGCTGATAATTTTTATAGGTTCCTTTTCAATCCCTTCACGATTGCTACCTGCTTAGCGCGGTCGACTAGCGTGTTCACTACCTCGGGAATTCTGTTTGCCGTGTCCAATGCCGTTGGTGGAAATAGCGTCAACGCGATGCTTGCTCTCGGTTTCGCTTCCTACCTGTCTCTTTACCCGGCGCTCTTGTTTATTCCCCTCGTTTTGGTGTGCTATGATCGACATCTCCAATATTCCAACAAATCATCAAAGGCTGTCGGTTATGTCTTGCAACACGCTGCCATCCTTGCAGCAAGCGTGGTCGGCCTTCTCGCGCTGTCATACCTTATCACTGGAAACTTTTGGGAGTTCATTTCGGCAACTTATGGCTTCCACCTGCTGGTCCCTGACTTGACCCCCAATGTGGGCCTCTGGTGGTACTTCTTCATCGAAATGTTCGACTCTTTCCGCGAGTTCTTCATTGGGGTCTTTTGGCTTCATTTGGCAAGCTATGTCGGAGGACTCACTGCGCGTCTACGACGACAGCCACTGTTCGTTATCGCATCATTACTGGGCGTCTTCGCAATCTTCAAGCCGTATCCCAGCATTTCCGACGCATCGTTGTACTTTGCGATGCTACCTTTGTACCGCCATCTTTTCCCTTGTGAGCCTTGCATTCATTACCCTAACCAACCATTTGACACTCTCACTAACTATGACCAGTGATGCGGTACACATTCTTCGCCGTCTCCGCCATACTCTACTCCAGTCTTCTCGGACCCGCATTTTACCACCTCTGGATCTACGCCGGATCTGGAAATGCCAACTTCTTCTACGCCATTACCCTTGTCTGGAGTCTGGGTCTCTCCATTCTGCTGGCTGATAGCATCTTCTCCGCCCTACATGACGAATGGGAACAAGACCATCCAGACGAACAAGGCGTCGAAGTTAAACAAGTGTAATGTATATCTAAACAACCTTGCATTTTCTTTCTTTCTTTCTACATTTCCCCAAGCGCTTGCATTTTCTACCAAGTAAAGAAACAAATCCAGGAAACAACTTGAACTTGAATCTACTATATTACACCCATCACCTCAACCTCTTGGACAAAATCTCATAATCCCACTCCTTCACCGTCCCATTCCTCAATGTCCTCGGCTGGGGCGAATTCTCATCAACTTCATACCCACCTTTCCTATAAAACTCCCTCGCAGCAACATTGGACTTGAAAACAGTCAACATAGCCTTCTCCAACCCAATCAACCTCCCAATCCCCTCCATCCGACCCATCAAGAGACCACCCAACCCCCTCCCCCGCGCCATCGGCGACATGTGGATCTCGTAGCAGTAAACAACCTCTTTCCCATCCTCATACGTAACCATGAACGACAAGAAGCCGAGAATCCGAGCCGAGTTTGAACTGGGCCGTTGACTTCCGTCTCCATTTTCATTTCCATTTCCCGAATTCAACTCGCGTCCCGGCTCGTCGGGTACGACTACTTGCGCATCGTCGGCTGATAGCAGTGGTCCCTCCGACTCAGCCCGCACAAGCAGGTACTTCATATCGGGCAATTTCATCTCCTTGCGCTTCTTCGGACGCGACCAGCCTATTCCAGACGCGGCGTACGCGTCACTGGAGGTTTGCTCGATGAGATCGAGACATGCTTCTAGGTCTAGTGGGGGGATTGTTGATGAGGAGTAGACGGCTAGTGGGGTCGGAGTTGTTGTGGGCGCGTTCAAGTTTTTGTGTTGTTGGGATGGCGGGGTTGGCAATGTATGATTCAAGTTGTTTATTTGGGATTCTTTTTTCTGTTCATTTCCGGTAGTCGAACCTGTAATGCTAGCATCGACACTGGCTGTAGCTGTGGCTGTAGGCGTGGCTATAGGCGTAGCTAGTGGAGTCACATATTGCGAGATAAACTGGTCCGTTGAGAGGGCGTTGGTGCGTTCGACTAAGGGGAGTTCTGTGTTATGCAGTTGTGAGACGCGTTGGATCTTCTTAAAACATTCTGAGTTACGGAATAGAGGTCTTCTGGGCTGTCTTTGTAACGGGACAAGTCTAGAGGATTCAATTTCACTTACGGGGTTGGGGTTGGACGCGTCGCTGCGCGCCAGACTTGCGGGTCGAATTTTTCGTGATGCGGCCCTCCTTGGTAGGCATGAGGTATAACTATGTACTAGTAATGTAGAAAGCTGTCACTTGATGTAGCTGTCGGAGGGTAAACTTGAAGGTCTTAAGTATATCAATGCACGTGGGTTAGACAAGGTTGGAACTTTGGAACTTGAATTGAAAGTTGGGCCAGTTCGGATGTTCCATTTGGGTTGCTCGGAAAAGTTTCGGGTTTGTTGTCGACGTTTACTTCATCCATGGATTACTTCTCAACATGGTTATCGGTCACTCAAATGATTTTTATATTATGATGATTCTTTTAAATTAGTTCAATTGGTTGATTTTCAAGTTATTCAATGCAATACTATACTGGTTCTATTACTGGGTGCATTCTTGCTGGTAATACTGTACTACTAGTCACTAGTATACGAATTTAAGAGCTCTATCTCAGCTCAGCAGCATGTTCCTCAGCTCGTCTCTCAGCCTCAGCAGCTCCCAATTCTTCAAAAACATCCACACCCCAGCGGAAGGGGTAGTTGTACCGCTCGTTCTTGTCAAGCTGGTTCAGAGCCTCAAACTCGGCGTCCGAAATCACAAAGTCTAGTTCGGTCCGAGTATTAGTTGAGATACAGATACCACTACTACTAGTATACAGTAGTATTGGAGAACTTGAATGCATTGACAAACTCACCTTGGAAGTTACTCTCAATTCGCGATGGAGTCACACTCTTTGGCAGAACTGCCGATCCCCGCTGAATAGCCCACGAGATCAGCAAGACCGCCGGGTCTTTGTTCAGCTTCTTAGCAACTTCCACGACTGTCGGGTCGTCGACAACGCTGCGATCGGATCCGAGTTAGTCTAGTTCATGCACGACTCGGAGGTAAGGTGGGTCGGGTTGGGGTAAACTCTACCGAGGCAGGTTATAGATATTGTTTCCGAGAGGGCTATAAGCCACAGGAAGAATGTTCTGTACACCCCAAGAAAGACAAGATCAGTACCTAATAATACCTAGGTATCCAAATCATTATGGTAGTAATGAATGGCTTGGGAGATATTCATGGATAGATCACTTACGCTCTCCTTGAGATACTTGAACAGTTCCGGCTGGAGAAGGTAAGGATGAGCCTCGATCTGATTCACAGCTGGAGGAATCTTGGCTGTCTTCAGTAGATCCTTGGTTGCCTGGATCGTGAAGTTGCTAATGCCGATACTCCGGATCTTACCCGCCTCGACGAATTTCTCCAAGACGGCCCAAGTGTCGGAGACCGGGACGTCGGCTATCTGGAAACGCTTGGTTACCGGATCGGTCGGGGTGAGGGTTTCGTTAGTGTGGGCGAAGGCGACGGGCCAGTGGATCTATAAAACTTGATTAGTTTATTGCCTATAGTTGATCGTTGATAAATTGAGGGAATTGTTGTACTAGGTAAAGGTCCAGATAATCGGTTTGGAGGTCTGCGAGGGTCTTGTTGATGGCTTCTTCGATGTGGTCAGGGTGGTGGTGGGTGTTCCACAGCTTGCTGGTAATCTTGAAAGTAGGCGATTTATTGTTAAATGAGATATTCAGAATAATAGTATAATGGAGTATGCATCACTTACAAAAAACTGATCGCGAGGCACGCCCGACTTCTTCCAGCCGTTTCCGACCTCGTTCTCGTTCTGGTAGCATGCTGCCGCATCTATATGACGATAACCTTTGCGAAGGGCAGTCTCAACGGCATTTTCGACCTCATTGGGCTTGGAGAGCTAATCGTGCACACATTCAATTGTTAGCTTCAAGTTATACCCATCATCTTGTACCAAGTCATGATCTAGCAGTTACTTACCCAAGTACCGAGACCAACGGCGGGGATCTCGTAGCCCGAGTTCAGCTTAAAGGTGCGACCAAGAGACATGGCGACTGCGCAGTGAGAGTAGAAGAATTAATAATAAACAGAGCAAAGACGTTTCCAATGCGATAGTACTGAATCAATTCAAATATGGAAGGTATCCGAGGGGTCTTGCGCGTATTTATCCCCCTCCTCAGAATTACCCCTCCCCCTCCACGCAGATCGGAAATCTCACCATTGCCCTCGCCGACACGCGATCCGATGCAATGCGCTTTTCCGGACATCTGGGTCTTCGTCCATTGCGTGGATCTCGGAGTTGATGCGTAATTTTAGCTTTGTATTGCACAATTGCCGGGCCCCTCAGTGGGTACCTTGTACTCTCAGTCTGATCCAGGTACGGGTGCTATGTAGTTTACTAGCAGGTGCAAAATGAGTGAAATCCAAGTATGGCGCGAGGTATTACGAATAACTTTGATTGTGCAAATTGTCTGGCTCTATTTAATACTCCTTCAACCATTCAACCCTTGTAAAGGTATGAAATTGTCTCAACCCTCGTACAACTAACCTACGAAGACCTGAATGAGCGCCTCGTTGCTCCACCCACTATCCAACTTCATACACTTCCAAGCACCAAGCACATCAATTGCTAGCACCTTCGAGTTCTCTCCACCGTCCTTCCACACCGTCCTTGGTGGAATTGGTTTCCCTAGAATCATCACCATGAAGTTGCGGTTAATATTCAGGTCTTTGAGATTGGAAAAGTAAACCCCCAATGTCCCCAATGCCTTCAGGTGAATATCGAATCGCAACCGGCCATTCTCCACCAGGTAAATATCAGAACTGACCACTGCAGCCGCGCCTGTCATTTTCCCAAGGAGGCCTAGCACAGCCACATTTGTCAGTGCACCTTCTGACCCAATAGATCGAATTCTCTTATTCAGAGTGAAGGAATAGGTCGGATACGCCGTGAGAATTTCCCATCCCTTATCCTGCAAAACGACCGATACAACTGAGTTATGGTCAGCTAGGTGCATTGGCTCAGTGACCTTGCCACTGGTATGGGCGCGAGTCACATATTGACTGTCGGAGTCTTTGTGGATTCCCGGGAAATCAAGTAAGGAGACCATGCAAGATGTTTCATCGGATTTAAGGTTGAAGAGGCCTAATATTCCGCTGCCGGTCTTTGCCCAGCCTGTATAGCTTCCAACACGCAGGATCTGTCCCTCATTGTAGTCATTGTAGACGTCTATCGTACGGCCGGTGACACTGGGACGCAGAATTACAGTGGTATCTTGGACAGTTGGTGCTGTGATTTGATCCAGAAGCTTTAAATTGTGCTTGCCGGGTTCATCGGTGATGTAGACTGGTCCACCGGATATACATCGTGCAGCAGCGTGGAAGGACGCGTAGGGATGGTCAGTTTGGAACATGTCCCAGTCTGGAAGGGCATTTAGATATCTCGTAAGCAACGAGTTGTGTGCGTTGCAAAAAATATGCCATGGGTGAGAAGCTGGGACCTCTGGGAAGAAGTCGTCTGAGTTTCGGAGCGAAATTGTTGGCTTGTTGTTTGGGAGTTGGGAGTGGAACATTATCTGCGGAACGAGCGACATGGAGGATGTTGATCGACTATTGAAGTGCTTAAGTGAGGCGATTGACCATGCATCTTGATACGAGGTTGTAAATCTCTTCCGATCTTCTGGGTTCACGAGGAGGTCGAGGAAGAATTGGGCGTCCGCTTTCACGGAATCGACGCCGACGGTGTTGAGATAACTATAGAATTCCTCGTAGAATCGTCCAATATCATCGGGATCGATGGCAAGAATCTTGCCCTCAGGGATGTTTTGTGCAATTGGGCCATTGGAGCTGGGGTCTTTGATTTGCACTTCTTTGGTCTTGTACTTTTGAGCGAGATCGCCGTCGGGACTGATTCCACCCCAATACCCGAACAAGGCATGCCAAACCGCCACGTGCTGAATGTTAGGGTGTTTCTGGCGAATCTCGTCGACTGTTCGTTTCAGACCGCGTGGAAAAGCCTTTTCGTTCGCCTCAAACCGCTGCCACCGTCTTCTGAATTGAGACTCGCCTTCGTTGTCGAGACTCTGCCAGTTGTCGTCGATAATCAGATTCGAGATGCTGATACCATGAGACTTCAAAGAATCCAATGATTGGAGCAGTTTTTTCTCTGTTAAATCCTGTCCTAGGCTATTCCAAGTACAGAATGTCAAGCCATCAAACCACTCAGCCAGCCATTGTATCTCTGGATCCTTCTCAACAATGACAATATCATCACCAAGAGGAGATATCGGAGACGTCTCTTCCCAATCATCCATTGAGGATGACTCTGAAAATGGCTTGAGCATCTTTCGCGATTCATAGATTAAAGCACTCATGGCGACTTCGAATTCTTCCGCAACAGCAGCCAACACATTGAATTGAGTGGGGTTAGTATTATCATTCTTGGCTTTGATCACGACCTCGCCGTTATTGCCAGACTGAAAAACCGTCAAGACATCATTGATACCCGAAACTGCTAGCAAAACGAGATTGAGACCATCCTTGCGCAGGAAAGAGCTTAGAATCGCATCTTCTGTCAAGTCAAACCAGTCCCTACCATGTCGCGGCCCAAGCCATGGGCTCCATACCCGCACCAAGGAAAAGTTCCTCATTGTTGACGAAGGGGTTCCGAGGGGGAGAGTACTGATTCCAGATGTCCCATTTGCTGCTGCAGATATATTTCCTGATATTGACCATAACAGAGAACCGGGGGCCTCGCTGGCCCGTGACTCGACCTGGATATCGGGTGAAAGGTTGCTGATATATTTTGCCAGCTCCTCTTTCCGAACTCGAGAGGGGAAATAAGGCGATAGCGCTTTCGTGATCTCGGATTCACGGGCAGTGTATACGATTTCCCCGTCACCAACCGAGTGATGTGGATTTGCCCATTGCCAGCCAGTGTCGGGGCTTGTGCGAAAGCGCACCGTGAATTGTGCATGGCCACCGACTGAGGGGAGTTCAATCTGCCCTGTGAAGATATGGCGATGGCAGCTATATTCTGCGCTGCTCCCACTTAGCAAAGGCACGGCCGACGGTTTGGTTTTGCACAGTGGCAGATCTGTCCAGTCTGGACCGGAGATGTTATGCCAGATTTGTGCTTCCCAAGGTTGATCTGGTAGACATCTGCTTGATTCGATGGTGACTGTGAAGCGCACCTAGTCCGGCCGTTAGTATATTATCTTTTTTTTTTTAATTGTACCAAGGATAGTTGATAGTACTCACCGTATCATCAGGGTCCTTCTCCGACCGTAACTTGTTTTGAGTTCTGGGAAGGCAGGTTAATTGACCCAGTGGTGGGTAGCACGTCACACGGGCGAACAGACCCATCTGGACCGGACGAGCAAAGGTTGTGCTCTAATTTTGCTTAGAATGGCCAAGTCCGATGATGGGGAGATTGGAGGTATTTCTGTCAATCTGCTCACGCATGATCGGATGGGAGGGGTAAGCTCCCCAGAGGATGGAGGACCCAGAGCTCTCGGGTGCAGGGATTAGATTAGCTGTAGCTAGCCGAGTAGTGCTGAGTTGAGAAATCAGCCAGACCAGTCCCGATAGCTGTGAAGTTGACGAATGAGAAAGGTGAGAACTTGAAGGAGAGAGGATCTTGTGATGTGAGGGAAGCAACAGCGGGGAAGCTTCCTCAACGGCTTCGGCTTCTTTGCGCTACACTGCATACATTGCATACACTGAGGGTACCTTACGACCTTCTATCTTCTTTGTAACATGCACATACATTCCAAGGTTTAAAACAGGGTAACTTTTTCCTTTCGATTATTCAATTTGCACTCCCTAATCAATTCCTAGTTGATCTTGACCGCCAGCTTGCCGAAGTGCTTTTGAGCCCACTATTTTACAGTTAGTATATCATGATATCCCCAACAATGATAGAATGGAAGAATCCGAAAGAGTTCGCTCGCTCTGCTTACCATATATTCGTAGGCATCCCGGGTTTCAGCCAGAGTAAAGACCTTTTTGTCCACAACAGGGTGAATATCGTTGGCTTCGATCGCACGAATCATATCCCGCATCAGCTCCTTACTCCCAACATAAACACCGCGAACCGTGCAGATTTTGCTCAGTGTGTCTAAAACGCTGGGCTGATCAGCAGGGCTGACACCGCCCAGGAATCCAATCACACTGATCACTCCCTCAAACTTGATCGCATTGAAGCTTTGCTTCAGGGTTCCGCTTCCGCCGACTTCAATGATGTGATCCACGCCTGCACCCTCTGGGGTCAACGCGCGAGCAGTCTCGCCCCAGTTCGAGTCGGTCTTGTAGTTGATGATGTGATCTGCGCCCAGTTCCTTAAGTTTCTTAGCTTTCTCGTCGGATGAGGTCGTGGCAATCACGGTCGCACCCGCAGCTTTGGCAAACTATTCCCACCAATATCGATTAGCCACTCTCCTCTCTTTAACAACTGGTTGTCAAACTGATATGGGACAAAACATTACTTACCTGAAGAGCGAAAATGCTCACACCGCCAGTTCCCTGGACCAGAACAACCTGACCAGGCTTCAATTGCTTCAGGCCGTACAGCGCATTCCAGCTTGTCAAAGCCGCGCAGGTCAGGGTGCTGTTCTCGATTGGCGATAAGTTCTTCGCGGCCTTGACAAGACCCTTCTCGTTGAAAGTGCCATATTCACGAATGGTGCCGTCGATTACGCCGCCTAGTCCAGTATGTGCTGCGGGGATATCGATCGGGCCATATTGGTGACCCTGGTTAAAGATCGTCGCAACTTGATCGCCTTTCTTGAACTCGGTGACCTTGGAGCCTACCTCAACGACCTCGCCAGCGCCGTCGGAGCCAGGGACCACAGGGAACCCGCAAGGGAAGGGATATTTACCCTGTATTATCAGGTGCCGCAATTAGTGAATCGTCAATCTGGGTTGCTCGATCACGCTGGCCTTCTTACCAAGGGAATGATCAGGTCTCGGTAGTTGAGCGAGGCAGCTTGAAGCTTGACCAACACCTCTGACTCACCGACAGTTGGGATGGGCGCGTCCTTGAAGGCAAGGCCGTCGAAGCCATTGTCCTTGTTCTCGACTACCCATTGCTTCATAGTTGAGGGGGCCATTGTTTCATGCGGTAAGAGATTGTGTGTGAAGAAGTTGGCAATTGCGATGTGTCAAGGAAGGTGAATTGGAATAGGAGGGGCATATGAAGCCTTCTATAAATGCCCGCATATTGACGTAGGCGATCGCCACCGTCACTTCGGACTCGGGCGGATGATTAACTTGAATTCGGGAGTTAGGGATTGTTCCACTGCTGACTACCCAGGTAAGACAGTGTTCGGGCAAAGGAGATGCCGCTCTCGGACACATTTCAATGCTGATCAATCTGGTTCACCCTCACTTTCATCTTCATCTTGGCCATAAACTTTGTTCTTCTATGGCTCATGACGTAAGGAGTATAGTATACCGACATTGAGAAAGAGATAAAGTGATCTACTAGTAGAACTTATGACTAGATACTACTAGTACGAGCATTGCAATAAATAGAGACATAGTATAAGTCAGTAAAATCACGCTTATATCATCTCCACTCTCTCTTATCTCTATACCTACCTAGATAGGTACTAACTAACTAGTAGTATGTTGCTTGGACTCTGTGATGTTGCAATTGTGGTCCCATTCGGCGTTCGGCTTTTGAAAACCTTGGTCGGATTGAACTTACCCGTGCAGAATATCAAAACACAGATTACTTTGGAGATTTCGCTTTTGCTTTGACTTTTTGTTCTCATTATCCTCTTCATTCGGCGGAGCGAAGCTCCGGGGTCTGAAAACATGGGCCCACTGGGATTTCTCTTGGCGGTAAGAGTTACCCCATAGGAAGTTCAAGTTGCAGGATGAGAAATGCTGGCAGTAAGTATAGAGGGCTTTTTGACAAATTATAGCCATTGGATATACTTCACAAAATATCTCAAACAATTCTAGATCTACTAGTTAGTTAGTATACCTATTGTATAGGATGCAGGGTCAAATGGATTAACGATGATCCGCTTATCGCGACAATCTCGGAGTTGGCCTGATCGCCGGTCATTTTTGGTGTCCGCGACTCAGCCCTTCCATTCAAACGCTCTTCCTCCTAACTCGTTTCACATCAACCGGTCCCATGCGGCCTCGGTCAACACCTCTGGTCCGCGCGACTTGTCGCAACGCGCCACTCCCTCGAATTGCGACATGCGGAGCACGTAGCTTCGCCGCAGCATCGCAAACAAATCCGCTCCGCTGCGAGACCCGTCGCCCGGCTCTGTTTTTTCAGCAATCCCAGTGCACACCACAGCAAAAGAGGTTGATCACGCAACAATGGCTGAAGCGTGTTCAAGATGGGAAGGATGAGTGGGCTCGGCATGCGGAGGAGATTAAGGAAGGCAAGAGGAAGAACTTTGCGGCCCACCTGGAAGAACGCGGGTTGATTCATGATGTTGTTGGGTATGTTGCAAGCTGGAATTTGGCCAGGATTCCCTTCTACATGACTGGATTGGAAAACAAGTACTAATTGATCGTTCCTATATCTCTAGAGAGCGCGATTTGCTTCATCAAGTGTTCACCGAGAAGAGGGCCGGTATCTATGTCGGAATTGACCCTACGGCGCCCTCTATGCACGTTGGACATATGTTGCCGTTCATGGTTCTGGCTTGGGGATATGTTTGGGGCTTGCCTGTCACATTTTTGGTAAGTTTCCTTTTACCCCATAGTCCCTTGAAATGCCCGGCTGACGTATAATAGTTGGGCGGTGCTACATCTCGAGTTGGTGACCCTACAGGTCGACTGAAGGGCCGCGAAAAGGTCCACACCTCGATTCGCAAGGCAAACATGGCTAGCATGCACATGCAATTGAAGAAGCTGGGCACTAGCATTGAGCACTACGGCAAGAGACATGGTTATCAGAAAAAGGCTATCTGGAGGCGAGCCTTGGTCAACAATAACACATGGTGGAACTCAATGCCTTTCATTGAGGTCCTGCGCGATCTGGGCGCCTTCACCAGGCTGGGGCCCATGCTCGGTCGAGACACGTGAGTCTAAACTCTGGAATTTGGTTATTTGGGTTATTCAGTTGAACTAACAATTTTATTCAGTGTCAAGAACCGAATGAACCAGGGTGATGGTATGTCTTTTGCTGAGTTCTCCTACCCCCTTCTCCAGGGCTGGGACTGGTGGAACCTGTTCCAGAAGGGTACTCAAGTGCAAGTCGGTGGATCTGATCAGTATGGAAACATCCTGTTCGGTATGGATGCCGTCAAGTCAATTAGTCGCAACACTGCCGATGAACAAGTCCGTAATCCTTTGGACTCGGAATTGGACCGACCCATTGGCTTTACAACGCCTCTTTTGACGGCTTCGTCTGGAGAGAAGTTCGGAAAGTCTGCCGGTAATGCTATTTGGCTCGACAAGAGCATGACTACCACCTTTGAGCTTTACCAGGTTAGTTAACTTGTTCCATCCAGCTTCTATTTTCTCTAGAGCTAACTATTTACCAGTTCTTTGTCCGCACCCCTGATGACACTGTGGAACGCTACCTGAAGTTGTTCACCTTCATCCCCCTGCCTGAGATCGCCTCCCTCATGGCCGAGCAAAACGCCGATCCGTCAAAGCGCCTCGCACAGCACAAGCTAGCCTACGAGTTTGTCGAGCTGGTCCACGGCAAGGAGGAGGCTGATGCCGTATCTCTCCAACATCGCCAGTTATTCCGCCCTCGGTCCTCGATCGGCGAACCCTCGCCTATGCCCAAGACATCGACCCAAGGTGGCAACCCCCAATCGCCCTTGACCGGAATGACGACCCCCCAGTCGGGAAACCCCTACGCCTCGCAGACCAACTTTGCCAACATGCCCAATGCCAAGGTTACCCTCCCGCGATCTTTGGTGTACAACCAGACCTTTAACAAGGTTCTGTGGTCCGCCGGCCTTGTCTCTTCCAAGGGCGAGGGCCACCGCGTTATCACGAATAACGGTGCCTACGTCGGAAGCCGTCCTGGAGACAGTGGTCCGATGTCTGACGACCTTGCCTTCACTCCTATCCGTGTCTGGCCTGCCGAGAAGACCAAGGAGTTTGTTCTCAATGATGATCTGATCATGTTGAAGCTTGGCAAGTGGAAGTTCAAGATGGTTCAGATCATCAGCGACGAAGAGTTCCGTGCCCAGGGTCTGACTGCGCCTGGTTGGGAAGAGGCTGAAGCTGTGGCTGAGCCGACTGAGCCGACTGAGCCGACCGAGCCCACCGAGCCCACCAAATGAGGCAAACACAGGGATTATTCCATCTCCACTTCATACTTGTATCATAATCATGTACAATAATCGATCTGTATAGTAAAAGTATTATCAATAAAGCGCCCAGCATGTTGGGCCCACCCAAGAACTATGCCTCGATAGATATTGATTATTTGGTTCCGAATCAAATACTTGACATATTACACTAAAACTTGAAGTCATAGTAGTACTAGTACTAGTACTAGGGTCACACCCCAGGGCTAGGGATACCAAGCCCTGGAGCGCAAGGCTGTGGGGGCCGTATCTATGGATCCCACTGCGGCTCGGACCGTTCAAACATGCTGGGAACTTCCCTTCCGTCCACCTTGACAGCTTCATCACCCGGGCGCTAACCTTGCATAACTAGGTAACCGCCACGCTAAAAATAGCTTCCATGGTGGCGGAGGAAAGTATTCTGTTGTCTAACTCCTGCCACCAGTGTTGGTAGTTACTAGTGTCGGCGATAGTATGTTTCAGCCCAGGTTGAGCTCAGCCACTTACACAGCTACTGCTAGGTAGATCCGTTCCTTCTGGCAGTTTGGTCAGGCCAAAAAATGACAGATGAAACATTATTTAGGAGCCATTATTGGTAAGATCGGCCGCAAATTAACCAAGGTTGCCCAGGTGGTAACAGACACTAAGGCGGCTGTAAGCGAGGTTTCTCAAGCCAGCAACCCGGATTTTACAACCTCTCTCCTCTAGGTCCAGAATTCTTCTGGAAGACTATGATTTACACCTTCATACTCTGTATATCAGGGCTTCAAAGTCATGCTAGGTCCACTCTTCCCCGCCTCTTTGGTCTTTTTTGTTTTGATCTGTGGCTCTCTGGCGGTGGTCCTTCCGCAACGAAATAAAACCATCACGGTTCCGGAGGATGTCACCTATCACCAGGAGTCAGGGAATATTTGCACACCAGCCTCCTGGACCGATTTTGTTTCGTTTTTCTTTGGCAACTATATATCTCATGCCGCGACAGTGGTCACGTTTCCAGGGGAGCCCACACGCATTAAAACCATCAACATGGTGCTGGCGGTCTTCTTTCCCTGTATTGGGGCAGGCCGCGGCCTTATGGCCATTTTGAGACGCACAGTCTTCCTAAAGAATCCTCTTCAGCGAGCACTCCATTCGCAAGCCTTGTGTATGGTAGTTCGCTCGCGTGACTGGACACCAATGCCTGGCGATTCAGTGCGCTCAATATCATTCATGCCTGGTGTATCACCCGTAAAAGAGATATACATGAATCTTTATCATCAACTTGGTATGCTTTACAATGAGTTTACAGATTTCATCTCGCTGATCCCGATTAGATGCTAATCGCAAATCATACGATAAATATATCAAAAAACTGTGAGATACAAACATCATCCGGGTTGTCAATACCCTCCGAGTCTCTAATATTCTTCTCAGTGAAAATTATCGAGGACTTTTCAGAGTAAGCATTGAATCACCTCCCTGGATGATTTGGCCATCTTCCAAAACGCATTGGTTCCTGAATCTTATCCCGCCGGGTTACAAAGTCTGTGCAAATTACGATTTGCCCACTGGCTATGCGTTAGCTTATGTGCCGCCGAATGCCATTGTACAACCTACCTCTTCTGGAGATGGAAACGAATCTCCACACTGGAAGTCAAATATAGTGTCCTCTACTAGTCTTGCATCTCCATTGATCGCCATCGCACAAATTTTCTATGCATCGGCCACTCTCTATCAGTCTCGAGGTGACCAAATTGCTCGATATGGATACGCTGCCTTTGGTTTCACCGTATTGCCATATCTAATCATGTCATTCGTCAATCTCCTTGGTCGTGTTCTCACTCCCACATATTCAGACCTCTATCTGGTTCAAACTGAAATCATGGATGAGGCCATTCAACGCGGGGGACATTTTGAAAACATAGTGGGCTCGCTCTTGAGTGATCCTTTGCCAGTCAAAGATTTGTTTGTGTTTTCTGGAGTTTTCAAAAACCAGCACCATGGTCTGTGGGAATTTCAACTATCGTCTAAGGTTTACTCTTCCGGTGAGATTGAGCCATCTACCAAGGAGAGGTTGAGATCAGCACCAACGAATGATACAATGAACCAAGTGGCAAAGGGAGACACCCACCCCCATCGAAACTGTCCTCGGAGGATACAGCTACATCTTCTGCCGAATCAAAAAAGGAAGACGATGAAGAAGATGAAAATGTCCTTATTTGCCCGAGATGCTACAACTTCCAAGTTTCGGAGAACAAGGAACTGCCTCGCGTTCTCAAAGGGAAGAAAATTCGCTCAGGCTACATTCTGTTTTCCATTTCTTTACTGATCATTGTCACAACGCCTCTTCTGGTCATTGGCGTGATGTCCCGTTTCGAGCCTGGTGGAAGCACAATAGCTCAGAGAGTTTGGATCTTGGGCTGGCTTTTGGTGGGAATGGCGGCAATCAACAATCCCTTTTGCGTTGATTTGATTTTCATTGGAATCGATAACGTTAAATCCCGTCTGATTCATAGACGATATCTGAAAGCTCGCGAGTCAGGCCCTAGCCACCGAGAAAGAAGACACTACCGGCAGGGAATCAAGATCTACCTCAGCTTGGTAATGTGGATCTGCGTATATCTTGGGCTTCTGGCCACACCAGCTATTGGCCGGTTTGTTGTGGTTGGCCAAATGCTCCGTGAATATGGTTCGTGTATCAGCCTTGAATGACCTCACACAACGTTCCCAATATGATTCACTCCATCTCCAACCTTTAGTATCTACTAGTCGATAGAGGTGTCGTCGACGTTCCAGGAATCTTCCGCCCTGTTCTCCTTGGTCAAGCCATCAACTTGAGTATAATTTCATCCACTCTATCCTCAGTTCAACGAAAGCACTAGGATTTATTAGGCGGTGCTTTGGTGTCCCTACGTAGTGAGAATTATCGGGGGCTCATTATGAATTTCGAGCGGGAGCACCCATTCCCTCCAAGCGATGCTGGTAAAATGGCTGTGGCTGTGGCGGTGAGCTTGGGTAAGTAGTATATACGCTTGATTCCTAACAAAACAGGCTAGTATATGCAAAACCTGAAGGAGTAGGGGTTTGCGCTAGTCCACAATTTCCTCGCGGGTAGACTATTCTTAGTATGTCGCTAAGTGCGAGATCTTAAAAACCTGGCACTTGCACTTGCACTTTTCCGGCTGTGTGCCTCGGATTTTCTCAACATTTCAAGTTGTTTTAAATGTCGCTCCACTTGATTCAAAGGGCGAGTTCACTCAACTCCAAGGCTAGTGACGAAGACCCGCTACCCAGGTGGGATGGATTTCCCTGCCAAGATATAAATTTTTATTATCAAGTCACCTACAACCGTGGAACACTCTCGAAAGTTATACTACCCATAGCACAGGGGTATTTACGGGAAATTAAATTGCCCATCTATTGATCTGCCTGATATGACTAATGCATTTTGCCCTCATGTTGAACCTCGGCGGGGGCGCCGATTCCCTCTAAGCGATGCTGATAACCCGGCTGTGGCGGTCAAGGTGCAGCTGAGCTTGGGTAGTATACGGCACAGGGGCTGATGGAATGTTTCAGAGCCTATGCACTATCAATTCGCTTATCTCCACCATTGCCTCATTGAACGTGGAGCATCGTACTCAAATCCTGCAAGATTCCGCCTCAGACAACCGATCAAACGGGGCAACTTCAACGTCTTTCAGCCCTAACAGTAGGAAGATCGGAAATCGGACACTACGCAATGCCCTGTCCCTCAAAAATGTGGAGAGAATCAAGATTCCATATTTCCAGCCCCGCCATAGCAAGATTACCTCACGTAAGAGAAACGGTGTCAGCGAATCCGCAGCGGGTGTGCTGTCTAGCCCTATAATCGGCCAGGGACCACCAAGCTTTTCGGCTCCACCTATGACGTGGCTTGGCGCACGAGTTTCCAGGCAGCCAAGATTAAGTATACTAATTTGCTGACCATGTGGTTTTCCCCTATTTATTTGTCGTGGTTGAGCTACGGATCTCTCTTCTTCTCCTTTGATTCCTTTCTTTCCAGTTAATTACTAGTGTCAACATTCAACCTCCAAACCCCCTTACTTGAACCTATAAGACTCCATCATGTTCGACGCTATCAAGAACTGGTTCTCCCCGGCCAATGAGTCGGCCCCTGAATCTCAGTGGGATGCCCGCACTGTCCAGGTTCAGCAGCCCGGCAGCCCTGCCGCTATGAACGAGGCCGTCAGCCAACAGCCGGTACGCTCTATCATCAAAAACAATCTAAACCGTCTGGAAAGCAAAATACTGACGTCCAACAGCAAGGTCCTGAGGGCATGAGCCAAGTCCACATGCGCGGTGGCGGTGAAGAGGGTGATGTCTGCTGTGGAGTGTGAGTAGTACCATCTCTATTCCAGGCACCGGGAGCTACCGGATGCTACCGGGTTGTAAAGTCGCACTGTTTACTAACAAAGAGTTGTTTAGCTGCGCCGGTCTCTGCTGCTTCGAGTGCTGCGAGTGCTGCTGCTAGATTTAGAAATCCTATTTTTAGGGCTCGCTTCTGATCCTCTTCAGTCTTTTTTACTATGAGTCTTTTTTTTTTTTGCATCGATTCCGAAATTATGAGCAAGTGCGCTGTGGAGCACGGCTGTTTATATCCCATTTTTATTTCAATGTGAATACAATCCTGTTAGAAATGTACCGTTTTTCTACAATTTTGTTGTACTTTTCTTCCAGACCTTCTCAATGAGCCTTCAGAAACCCAGTGGGGTGGGGTATAAGGGGTGTGTGGGTTCCCAGCCCTTTGGATTATTTCGGCAAGGGTGGGCCTCCGTTTCTGGTGCATATTTTCTTATGTACCCCATAGTATTATGTATACTATTATAATAGCAGCAGTTATCTGAGATAGGTTGAACACCATGACTGCACAGTATATCATTCTAGCAAGATCTTTCCCGGTGGATTGATACGAAGCAGCTACGAACAAAAGCAACAGCATAACCATTTATACAATAAGTGGGACAAGAGTGTCACCGTCATCGACTTGGACATTCTGATTGAAATTTACTCTGTTCCCTAGACCTTTCATTTATAGTACACAAAAAGCACCACGTGAATCATGCCCAAGCAAGAAACTGGGAACGTCGGTGGAATTTGAGGCGAAGAAGCAATTGAAACGCGCGGGTACCCAATGCGGGGAAACAATCTGACGGGTTCGTGGGGGCCATGTGCAGTCAGCGACTCAAAGCACTTTGCACAGTCAGTCAGTCACTTCATATCGAAGCCTCTCCAAGGACCCCGGGAAAGAGCTTGAAATTGTCTTGATTTGTTCACTATAACTGAGAAGAGGTAATCGATTGATACGTTAAGAGATATGCCAAGTGGCATCTGGGTTTGTTGTTCTTGTGGTGGAACTGGAAATGAAGATCTGGCGCCGGAACGATGTCCAATTTGCAGTCATAGTCGATGTGATAGCTGCTTCGACGAGGTCAGCACTTTGTAACCCTGGAATCCTACACCCCGAAGCAACCAGCTGACGGTTGATTCATCGCAGTTGAGGCCGTTTGATACATATGAAAATAACCTTACTTTAGACTTGGAAGATCAATCCCTACGTTTGGCAGTGCAACACACGGCACACAGGGAGAGATTTACGAACTGTATTGCTTTTGAAAGAGTTGCAGACTGCATGGAGAATATTTTGATATTCCACGGACAACGGTGGCAGGTAATCTTTGCTCTAAACTGGAACATATGGAGTTTTGTGGAGTCGCAGCTTCGCGGCTCCTGGGACTTGAAAAATGTTCTTGTTTTGAGCGGAGAAGTCAATGCAGCGTATGCAACAACATGTGAGGAATACATCAGGTTTGCATGGGGAGAATGGGGATTGGATATCTTCCGATCTCTTGTTGATATATGTCAGAATTCTGGTAAGCCGTCTGTTTTTTCTAGAGCTCATTTCTGGCTCTGCTATCAGCGATGCTTGGTGCATTGTGTGATTATAAGCCATAGTTGATGGGAAAGTCATTCTCCAGCATACATCAAGTATCGACTGTTTGACTGCATTTTGCTTAGCTTACGCCATATAGGATCAACTGGAACTCGAGTACACAATAATCTTGTATGCGAGATGAGCTGCACACAGGATTCTTACCCAGTGATAATTGCGGAAGGAAGAGGTGAAGATGTCTGTTTGTTGGCCACTTTGATGACATGGGTAGTTGCAGCCTTTCAAGAGCACCCAGAGGGGGTATTCAGGCTACCTATAGTACATTACTCGCAGTCTTTGGTGATGGAAAATCCCGAGCTTTCAGCGAGACTCAATGAAGGACATATTTCCGATTTTCCAGAAAATCGAAAGGTTGGATATACCATCTCACACCAGGAAATAACGCCTGTCAGGTCTCAGCAAGGCTCTTGTTGGATTGCTTTATTCAAAAATTGTCTTATGGCTCAAGGGTATCCTGTGCCTGAAAGAACAAAAGAGCTTGGGGTGGAGATCCCTTTGGAGATTCTGATCCAACTCAGCAGGATATCTTATTCATTGGAGTTACCACAAGGGATGATTCTCAAAGGCTATTCCACGATGCTCATACCCACCTGGGCCCTCGGGCAAGGCAACGACAGCCTCCAGTGGCACTTCATGGGATCTCAAAGGCCTGGGGAATATATATCTGCAGATTCTATACCTCCAGATCTCAGACGGACCATACGCGACCTCGAAGTCAGTAGTATCCACGACCGGCGAACCTTTGTGGGATATTGTAGCGAAGCATACATTCACGTGGGTACACGAGATTCAGGATTCGAAAATATTACCTTGTCACAGGCGGAATGCAGCTCGACAGCCGTACGCATTGGTCGAGAGATAAACCCTACAATTGGTACGGGAGGTCTGGGTATCCTTAGAGGTGGGATTGGCGCCAAAGTCATTTTCACGAAGGGGTTGTTCGCCCCGATCGAAGAAGAGGAGACTTGTTTAGAAGATAGGGTGCTCAACTCAAAGGATAACGGCTGCATCATCTATGACACAGAGAAGAAAACCGGTTTCATGATCCCAGAGTTGAATTCTGTCCTTCTCATTGCTCACATGTGGGCCTCGAGACAATCAAACAGCAATCAACTTTTAAAAATCATGCCCTTTATTCCACCCACTACAACGGGTGGACAAGCTGCGTTAAAGATAGTGATGGAAAATTCAAATCTAATCCTGCGCGAAGAGTATGCCGACGAAAAGAAGTTATTTTTCATCACCAAACTGAAAGACGTATTTCGCGCACTGGAGAGGAGAAAAGAACAGCAGAGAATCGTGCAGGAAAATACGATTCGCATAATTGAGCGACATTGGGTTCGAGGCTGGGAAATCTGTGATATTGCTGCCTGCAAACCATCAAATGAGAAGAGAGTCAAACTGCCACTTAGTGCGGACGATTCATGGCATAAGATTCCTCGTGACAATCCCGATATGATTGTTCTGCTATGCAAGGGCATGGCCGATGCGATTCGACCGGGCCCAAACACAGTCTGTCAAGCATGGTACCCTCTTCCTCAAGAAAATTATCTCATGGCAAGTGCGGAATGCGTCAAGTTGCTATCTGAGAAGCACGGAGGTACGAAGGGGAAGCCGAGACTCGCGGCGAAGCTTTACTTGAAGGTCCCAAAGAGCAATAGTATCTTGGGTGATTGCGAGGCTAGTGTTGACGGTGGGTGCAATCATGCCCAGTCCCTGAGTAAAAATCCACCGGATAATGAAGTGTTCTTGAAGAATGGCGCCATCATTTTTGGGAAGAGCATGGGCCGGAAGTACCGTAGCTGATAGGGAGGAATTGGATTGATTCAAGGGTAGCTAGATGAAGATTTACATCCTGGAATTTTCACTACCAGAATAACGCTTGATGGGACTATTGACACTGCTCATGAAGATATAATTTCTTTTAATCGTAGATATATTTTGGCATCTGATGGGCTATAGTAGCATGGTGTTCTCGTCGGGTTTAAAGCCACTAGGTGCACTGAGCAATCAGGATAGTAAAATATTTGATCAAGTATATTTAATTTCAACCGAATATCATTATCCTTATACACAGTATCGCTCTGTCTCTCCCAGAAAGCTGTGACATGATGTGATTATAATAATGAAATGTGATAGATCAGCTGAAAAGAGGCTGACTAACCCTCACCGCGAGCACCCTGCTTTACGCGTCGACGCGATGCGCGATCTTATCGTCTCCGACTTAATTTCCCATCGCTTCCACTGGGTATCCCCTTTCAAAGTCTTACAGTCCCAGCCATTCCCTTTTAATTCATACTATACCAGCATGCCCTGAGCCCTTCTTTACAGCGACAAGTCCCTCTTTATATCAAATCGCCTCCAATTGACCACAATGGCCAAAGGAGACGCCTCCTCGCCAACTGGCCCACCATCCTCCGCGTTGAAACGAACCACCCCGAGTGCCCAGAACATGAAAAGCCAGAAGTCTATTCTGGGATTTTTCCAGAAGTCATCTCCCGCGACACCCTCTAGTGCTAAAGCGAAACCCCGCGAGCCCGCCTCCTCTCCAGCCCAACGAGCCTCCGAACAACGTAGTGCTAGTACTACAAAACCTAAAGAAAAGAGAAGCTTCTCTAGCTTTGCACAGGACTTGACTCCTGTGCCGAGTAGTGATTTGCCCATCCCGGACGAAGATGAGGAAAATGCGGATGTTGTCAAGGTGCGTTTGTTTGCATTTTGCACCCGTTGCTCCATCCTCCGCATCACTGACACTTGCTCCTGTTAGACTGGAGGCGACACAGCCCCGGATGCAATAATGACCCCTTCACGTCGCGTATGTCTATTTCTCAAATTCGTCAAGATAAAGTCTTCTCGTACTAACAATCGTGTCTGACTAGACCAAGAAGAAGCAGGTCAGCTATAAGGAATCTGACTCTGAAGGCGAGGACGATGATGAAGCTATCTTCCGTCCCAGCCGAAGGAACGGCGCCGGAGGTCGTGCCGCGAAGCGCCAAAAGACTGTGGTAGAAAGTGAAGATGAGTTCGAAGCTGGCGCAGAGGATGGTGGATACTCGGACGATGGTTTGTTTCTACCCTGCCCAGGGATACCTCATGTATATTGCTGACCATGACCAGAGATGGACGACTTTGTTGTTGCCGATGACTCCGACGAAGACGTTGCCCCCGCGAAGAAACGAAAGCGATCAGCTCCCCAATCTGCGCGCAAGAGCTCCAATCAATCCTCCTCGCTTCCACCACCCCCGCCGGCCGACGAGGACCTTGACATTGAGCTCCCCGAAAGCTCGGGGGGAACTGCTCTTAAGTGGAAATTTGACCCCGAAAGTACAGAGCCTCGGAAAGAGCGTGAAAAGATCACCAAAGCTCCCGCGAGCACGAAGAAGGAAAAGGCTCATGTCAGAGACCCCGAGGAGCGATACCCTTGGCTTGCCAACCCAATGGATATCGACAAGAACCCCCCTGGTCATCCCGATTTCGATCCTCGAACAATCTACATTCCTCCTCTCGCCTGGTCCCGCTTCTCACCGTTCGAGAAGCAATACTGGGAAATCAAGCAGAAGTTCTGGGATACTGTTGTCTTTTTCAAGAAGGGAAAATTTTACGAGCTTTACGAGAATGATGCTACCATTGGCCATCAATTGTTTGACCTCAAACTTACGGACAGAGTGAACATGCGCATGGTCGGTGTTCCCGAAATGAGCTTGGCTCACTGGGCGAACCAATTTGTTGCCAAAGGCTACAAGATTGCTCGTGTAGATCAGTCCGAGTCCGCACTGGGCAAAGAGATGCGTGAGCGGGATGGAAAGAAACCTGGCAAGGAAGACAAGATCATCAAGCGCGAACTGGCATGTGTCCTCACTGCTGGTACACTTGTTGAAGGCTCTATGCTTCAGGATGATATGTCCACATACTGCGTTGCCATCAAGGAAGCCATTGTTGATGATCTGCCTGCATTCGGCCTATCTTTTGTCGATACGGCGACGGGTCAGTTCTTCATCTCCGAGTTTGTTGACGATGTGGACATGACCAAGTTCGAGACCTTCGTCGCACAAACTCGCCCGCAAGAACTATTGCTCGAAAAAGGTTGCGTCTCGCACAAGATGTTGCGCATTCTGAAAAACAACACCGGTCCCACCACCCTATGGAACTACATGAAACCCGGCAGAGAGTTTTGGGAAGCAGACATTACACTAAAGGAGCTGGATGCTAGCGATTATTTTGTGTCTCAAGATGATGATAATATTAAGGCTTGGCCGGAGACTTTACGTCAAGCACGCGAGAAGGAGCTTCTCATGTCTGCATTTGGTGCTCTGACTCAATACCTGCGCCTCTTGAAGATCGAACGAGACCTGATTACCATTGGCAACTTCACATGGTATGATCCGATCAAGAAGTCTTCCAGCTTGGTGTTGGACGGTCAAACTTTGATCAACATGGAGATCTTTGCCAATTCATTCGATGGAGGTGTGGATGGTACACTATTCCAACTCCTCAACAAGTGTATCACGCCCTTTGGCAAGCGCCTGTTCAAACAATGGGTCTGCCACCCATTGATGGACTCGAAGAGAATCAATGCGAGATTGGATGCTGTCGACTCTTTGAACGCGGACCCCAGTGTCCGGGACCAATTCTCCTCGCAACTGACTAAGATGCCTGATCTAGAGCGGCTGATTTCTCGTGTTCACGCGGGAGTCTGCAAGGCTCAAGATTTTGTCCGTGTTCTCGAGGGATTCGAACAGATCGATTATACTATGGGTCTTCTGAAAGATAGTGGTTCTGGCGAGGGAATCATCGGTCAATTGATCTCAGCTATGCCCGACATGACCGAGCTGCTGGAATACTGGAAGACCGCATTCGATCGTCCCAAGGCCAAGGAGAATGGAGTCCTTGTTCCAGAGACTGGCGTGGAAAGTGATTTCGACCAATCGCAAGAAACAATCGATCAGCTTCATAAGGATCTCGATAACATTCTGAAGAAAGCACGCCGTGATCTGGGGTCAACTGCCATTTGCTACCGTGACAATGGCAAGGAGATCTACCAGCTTGAGGTCCCAATCAAGGTCAAGAATATTCCGAAGGACTGGAATCAGATGTCTGCCACCAAGCAGGTCAAGCGTTACTATTACCCCGAGCTTCGAAGTGCCATCCGTAAACTCCAGGAGGCCCAAGAAACGCACGGCCAAATCGTGAAAGAAGTTGCCGGTCGTTTCCATGCCCGATTCGATGAACATTATGGTACATGGCTGGCCGCTGTTCGCGTCATTTCCCAACTGAGACTGTCTGATCAGTCTAGCCAAGGCCTCCGCATCCCTGGGCCAACCAAGCTGCCGTCCAGTGTTTGTCGATGAGGAGCGAAGCGTCTTGGAATTCGAGGAGTTGCGCCACCCCTGCCTTCTTTCTTCCGTTGAAGACTTCATCCCCAACGATGTTCAGCTCGGCGGCAACCGTGCCAATATTGACTTATTGACCGGAGCCAACGCTGCCGGCAAGTCAACACTTCTCCGAATGGTAACTACTGGCCCCCCTACCCCATTTATTCCGATAAAAACGGACTAACAAAAAACCCCTCCAGACTTGCGTCGCCGTGATCATGGCCCAGATCGGTTGCTACCTCCCCTGTCAATCCGCCCGACTGACTCCAGTGGACCGAATCATGTCACGCCTAGGAGCCAACGACAACATTTTCGCCGCACAATCAACCTTCTTCGTCGAGCTCTCGGAGACGAAAAAGATTCTCTCCGAAGCAACGCCGCGCTCGCTGGTTATCCTCGACGAGCTTGGTCGTGGAACCAGCTCCTACGATGGTGTCGCAGTCGCACAGGCCGTCCTGCACCACATCGCCACCCACATCGGCGCGATGGGTTTCTTCGCAACGCACTACCACTCCCTCGCAACCGAATTCGAGGGCCACCCAGAAATCACTCCGAAGCGTATGGCCATCCAAGTCGATGAGGCCGAGCGTCGCGTGACCTTCCTTTACAAGCTCGAGGACGGTGTTGCAGAGGGTAGTTTCGGTATGCACTGCGCGGCTATGTGTGGCATTTCAAATAAGGTCATCGAGTGTGCCGAGCAGGCAGCTAAGCAATGGGAGCATACGAGTAGACTTAAGGAGAGTCTCGAGCGCCGGAAGGGCGGTGGGTATGTTGGTCTCGGGTGGTGGAGCGATGTTGCCTGGGCTCTGCGCGAGTCTTCGGGCGAGGATGATGCTGCTATTGCCGATCATGGTCTGGAGGTGCTGCGAAAAGCTATTGAGGCTTTGTGAGGTGCTTCGTGATTTACTTCACGCTATGCTGTTGTCCTTGTTTTACAATTTCTCACCACTCTATTTTTCTCATTGTCAGATATCTCGGTTAAATGGCGTTCTTAATGGGTGTTATTTGTTAAATTCATGACATTATTCTCAATTATTCATACAATCTAAAGTTGATGCTCCGTATGTGCTGTGTTAATCAAATCCAACCTGGTTACCTTCTCCACCGATAAATCCCCATGGGTGCCTTGACTAGCAAGGACGGCCCCCTCGGTACTAGTATAAAAAGCAAACTTTCACGACAAAACTCACCTCGACCTACGATACACCTGGGCATGTCGTTTCCTAGGTCTCTTGAAGACCAGAAGAAAGGCTTGTATATATCGAGATCTCTAATAATACAAAGGTGAGGTAGATGCAAAGTATCATACAATCATAGAAACAACCAAATCAACTCCCCGGGGTCGGAGACTCTCCCAATCCCCTACGACAATGCTAGCGTCTTGAAGTCTGGCTCTGAATCCGCTTATAGATAGCCGGCCATAACTCAGGGTAAAAAGCCGTAGTCTGTCGCCCTGGTTGACTCTGCTCCGCCGTGAAGAACTGAGCCGGAGCCTTCGTTCGATACCAGGGTAATGGGGTGGATTTTGTGTTGAGGAAAGTAACGGGCCGAACGGGGTGTTTGTCTGTGATCAAGTCACCTAGACGGACGGTTGTTTGGCGGGGATGGTGTTCCATCGCATTGTGTTCATGTACAGGATTGCATTGGGCGGGAGATCCTTCGCATAGTGCACGGCCATTTCTCGTGATTTCCGTGCGAAGGCGGGTAAGGCTAGATGCACGAAATTGACATAGGGAGCGGAGACGTATGCGAATGAGAGCATGGGGATTGCGCCGCCAATTATGACTTTGGGATTCTGTTAGTACTAGCACAGAGTTGGGGAAGAGCTGTGCAGTGTAGACGGCATTCGGCACTCACCTAGTGGGGTCATCCATTGCTGGCTCTCATCGGCCCAGCAAGCCGGAGCTACAATAAAGCATGCAGCGCCGAAGAGAAAAATTGTGGTTACTCGAAGCATTCCCAGAAACATGGATCGGCCGGTTCCTCCATAGTAAACCAGAATACGCTCCGGTGGCCCTGTAACCCCAGAGTTAGCATATCGACCTCGTCTCGCGGCCATGAAACCTTTCTGTCCCACCTTTTCGAATAGTTGTTTTGACGGACTCCGCGGAAGATGTTATTGTGGTTGATTGAGGGGTGGTGCCTGCGACGGTCTTCGGCACAGGTGCTTTTGGGGCATTGCGCTGGGATGGAAGCGGGGCTTGAGTCTTGAAGCGTAGCCAGACTCGACTGCGCAGGTCGCGCTGAGCTGATCTGGGCAAAGCGCGCAGTGCTGGATGTAGAAGAATGCGCATTGAATGAGTGGATTGAATTGAGGTCAACTATTTGGAGAAGAAGGTAAACTATATGAGAGCAAGTCTAGCCACTTTCTGGCAGCTCAGACCGCCCGCCGATCTCCCCGGGCTTTGTTGCTTCTCTCCGCTCCTCCGTTTCCTCATGTTTTTGAGTCTCTCCTGGTTTCGGTTTCAATTCTGTACTTATATTGCTCATCCCAGCCGGTCTGGTTTCTTTGTCACCTCCCATGAAGTCATGAACAGCTAGGTGACTTCTCCTCTTATCGCCATTGACGCCATGTCTCCGGCTTATCGTGGCTTCATCGGCCACTTCTTCCTCGCTCTCTGCTTGTTCCTCCTGCTACTCCCCGGATATGCCTATGAGAAACTCTCCGATGAGTCTTTGAACTCCCTTCCTCGCGCCAGTGAAGATTACGACATCCATAAAGGCCCCCTCCTCTCCCCGATCCTCCGCACTCGCGTTCCAGGCACAGAAGGCCACGAAGCTGTCCTCGAACACTTCGCCAACTTCTTTCGAACAACATTACCGAAATGGAACATTGAACTACAGAACTCGACTTCCACAACCCCGATATCTGAGGGCAAGGAAGTCCCCTTTGTCAATTTCATTGCCTCGCGCGATCCGCCAGGCACCCCGATTGGAGATGTCGGACGGTTGACATTGGTCGCGCATTACGATAGCAAACTCACGCCCACGGGATTTATCGGTGCCATTGATAGCGCGGCCCCATGTGCAATTCTCATGCATGCCATGCGCACCATTGATGTGGCCCTGGATGCCAAATGGGCCGCGATGCGTGCCGAGGGACTGGACCCGTCTCTTGAGGACGAACATGGCATCCAGGTCCTCTTCCTGGATGGTGAAGAAGCTTTCGACCACTGGACGGATACAGACTCTCTATACGGTGCGCGTGCTCTGGCCTCGAACTGGAGTTCGGAATTCTACCCGGCGATGTCAACCTACAAAACACCTCTTTCATCCATCGAACTTTTCGTTCTCCTTGACCTCCTTGGCTCCAAAGCCCCTAATATCCAATCGTATTACCAGACCACCCACTGGGCATATCAAAGCCTTGCCCAGGCCGAGGCGCGTTTACGTTCTCTGGGCCGGATGAAGACCACTTCAGATCAGCATTGGTTCCCTGATGCAAAGAAGAACTCGCATGATGTTATCCCCCTTGGCGGAATCTCGGATGACCATCTTCCATTTTTGGCGCGCGGCGTGGAAGTTCTGCATATCATTGACTTCGCTCCCTTCAAGGGCTTTCCGCCTGTTTGGCATACTCTTGACGATGACGCGGAGCATCTTGATATGGCCACGGTGGAAGACTGGGGTCTAATCATCACTGCTTTTGCGGCCGAGTGGATGGAGTTGGAAGGGTACTTGGAATTTGGGCAGCAGACGGAATCGCAATCGAAATCGCGCCGAGACGAAGATCTTGAGCTTGAGGCAGAGGCTATCCGTCTCAACAAGAAGACCGAGTTGTAAGCCTTCTCCATATTTCCATTGTCATGTCCGCTCGCTGCTTTGCGAGATTTTACCTCGCGATTTTGTTTTATACCCAGTAAATCATTTTGAGCCACTATAGCACTGCATTGCTTGACTATCTTATTCGCATCGCATACCCATGCTGATTTCGCCTCCCACAGCCTATGATTAAAACGATTCACGTCTTATTTTCAGCGACGAAGTGCTTTTCTTTATTACTAGTTTGACCTAGTATCCAACTACTAATACAATACATATCTATCTTCTATGGGGCTTTAATCATACTTGTATCCCACTGGCATGTCTATGCCATCTCCTCATCTGGTATCCACCCCCTTCACTGTCTAGAAGAGATTGCCCAGCATATATCCACTCATCGACACCAACCCCCAACTAGGCTGAAGAACTGTTCTCAAAAGAGCTGGACCAGGACAAACTCCTCTTAACCCCCCACGCCACGCCAAAAGCCAGTGCGCCAGCCACAAATCGCCAGTCAATATCCGCCACCGTCGCAGTAGGCAATCTCCAACGCTCAGCTAGCGTCGGCTTTGCGACATCTGTATCCTTCCCCAACGATCGACCCGGTTTCAATGACAGATACGTCACAAGTGAAGGACCAAGACCAAAGGCAATGATAAGAGCCAAGGAGGGATCAAAGCGAGACGGATCGGTGGGTAGAGCAAAGAACCGCAAGACCTTAGCCGAGTCCGCCATTCCTGAGATCAAGAGGCCGAGGCCGAACTCAAGTCCGGCGATGTAGGCAAAAATAGCTCGACATATTTCGGTCCGGGAGAAGGATTCGGGAATAATGAAGAAATTCGCGAGCGTTGATAGTATCACCGCACCGGATATAAAGGCTAGTTCGGGTGTGGAGGGATATGTGGGTGTGTAGCATGGTGTGTTGAGGCCGCAGGATGGAATGTTTGAGCCTCCCCCGACGACATTAGCGGTTATGAGAGCTGTCGTGAAGAATATAGCTGTTGCAATTATTGAGCGTCGTGATAATCGTGATATGCCGCAGAGCATGTGTCCGGAAGTGCATCCTCGGCCATTCTGATTCGTTGTAGATACATTAGCTTTAGATATTTCGGATTTGGATACCAGCATACTTTGTGCACATTCTCGAAGGAATGTTTGCTCCATTGGCATTTTAAAGCCGCTAGTACTTAGAGGATATCACGTCACGCACCTTTGTACCCCAACCTAGGAGAAGTCCGACTCCAAACGTTGTCGCCGCCGTCGCCAATGAATCCGGGGCCGCAGGATAGCTCGGGAGTAGAGATGGAGCGAGCAGATAGACTGGTAGAATGCTCGAGACCAAGCCAGTGATGATAGGAACGTTATCCCTTGAGGGATTGAAAACGGAGCCCGAAATAAGGGAGGATATACCGAAGACAGCGCCGTTATGAACGAGTAGGCCTGAGGAGCCCTGAAATAGAAGCCAGGCTCCGAGGGATGTTTGAATGGGTGTGAACATGACTGTTTACGACGTTATGGCGCAACAGAGATGAAGAGGACGAGGGAGAAAGGCTGTTTCTTTGTGAAGTTGCGGGTAATGAGGACATGAAAGTTTATTTGATGTCATGGATATCGGACCCGGATATGGGGTTGAAATGATAGATCCAAAGGGCACGAGGCCTGGGGTGAAATCGGTAAGGCCGGAGGAGGAATAAAGAAGAAATTAGGGGCCAGGAAGTTGAGAAGTTCAGATTGCAATTGTCCAATGGAAGAATAGTCATGTTCCTGACGATCAATGCCGACTCAAACTCATGAAAGAAGCCGGGGACCCATAGGTCCCCGGCCCAAAGCGTCCCCGAGTGGAGTGCAAAGGGGAGGAACTTGGAATTGCCCGAAGCCGGATCCATATCGGGGTCTTCTTGCCATTTGTAATTGGTTAGCTCAAGATGCATACCGATAAACCGAGTTGTATTTATTCAGTTATTCAAGGGATGTTGTTGGCCTGGGGAATGGGTCCCACTTCAAGTTAGGGCTTACGCGACCACGGGAGACATCAGTGCTGCCCAATTCTGAATATAGTGCTCATAGATGCATCATTCTTCCATTGATTCAGAACATGTTCAAGTTTGAAGTTTTAGTATTACTATAATTCTAGCAATGAAGAAGTACTCTAGTATTCTATAGTACTATAAATATATTAGAGTGACCCGAGGCTCAGTTTAGGTTTTCCAGCATTCCGGTTCTTTCAGTCGCGCCTTCCTCGCGATGTACTACACTCGTGTCTGCACCTGCCTAGTCGGAACAGTTTGAACTTGCTGCGGAAACTTCTTCTTTCTCTTTCTCTTCCGAGGACCTCTTCTCTTCATTTACTTCTCTTCTCTCCATTCTTCACCTTTTCCGCCCTTCTTGATTGGACATCCACTTCTTTCATTATGGGGAACTCCCAGAGCATTTTCGGCCACGCCTGTTTTCTTGCAGCTGTCAGCAATGATGCCAGTAGAGTCGCCTTTCGAGGCTCACTTCAATTACCCCCCGTCTACAATCTGGACATTCCAGTTGTTCCGGCTGCTATTACATACCCGAAGAGCACCGATGAGGTTGCGGACATTGTACGATGCGCCGTGCAGCACGACTACAAGGTCCAAGCTCGTAGTGGCGGCCACAGCTACGCTAATCACGGTATGTCGCATTTGTATTCTCCACTCCTTCTGGCATCGAATAAGATTTAAAGATCGCGGTATCAGGACTTGGTGGGGTCGATGGCGCTATCGTCGTTGATATGCAGCATTTTCAGCATTTCTCGATGCACCCGTTCACCCACATCGCGACCATTGGCTCGGGAACTCTGCTTGGAGACTTGACAACTCGTCTGTATGATTCTGGAGGACGCGCTGTCGCCCATGGCACCTGTCCACAAGTTGGCACTGGTGGCCATTTGACAATTGGTGGTCTTGGTCCGAAATCCCGAGAATGGGGCATGGCCTTGGATCACGTCGAAGAAGCGACAGTTGTTTTGGCCAACTCTTCCATTGTTCAAGCCTCCAAAGATCATAATGACGATTTGTTCTTTGCTATCAAGGGTGCCGCGGCGAGCTTCGGCGTCGTCACCGAGTTCAAGCTTCACACTTATCCCGCACCGACGGAAGCCTACCAATATTCGTTCACTTGGAGTATAGGCGATGCACAGGCCAAGGCAGCGGTCTTCAAACAATGGCAGAAACTGATCTCGACCGAAACTTTGACTCGGAAATTTTCATCGGAGCTCCTGGTCTCAGAAGCTGGGATCATCGTCTCTGGTACCTATTTTGGATCCCGGGAGGAGTTCGAGTCATTCAAGTTTGAGAATCATTTCCCGGGAAGCACTTCCTCGGTTGGATTGACCTTGAGTAACTGGCTCGGCATGGTTGGGAGTCAGGCTGAAGAACTCATTGAGCGGGTGGTTGGTGGTATTCCCGCCAACTTCTACTCTAAGTCTCTGCCTTTCACCAACGAGACAATCATTCCGGACCACGGTGTCGATGCATTATTCGAGTACATCGACCAGACTAAGAAGGGTACTCTCGCCTGGTTTATTATTTTTGACCTGGAGGGTGGTGCGACCAACGATGTTCCCACTAATGCTACTGCGTATGCTCACCGAAATGCCTTCATGTGGATGCAGTCATACGCGATAAGCCTTCTTGGCCCAGTATCACGAGAGACAAAAGACTTCCTTCAAGGCATGAATGACATTATTCTTGGCTCGGAACCCCCAACCGCACGCTTCGGTGCATACCCCGGCTACGTGGATCCGTACATGGAGAATGCTCAGCTCGCCTACTGGGGAAGCAATCTCCCTCGACTGGAGACCATCAAGGCGGAAGTTGATCCCAAGGATATTTTTCACAACCCACAGAGTGTTCGGGTCGGTCCAAAGCACCGATGAGAGATGGGACTATGACTCCCTAGCGGAATTGATTGTCCTGCTCCAAGGTTGGGGGCTTTCACTAATGACTCGATGACACTCGATACCCTAGCATATTTTCAGACTATTAGCTGTATTTGCATAATTGAATCAAAAAAAAAAACTTCAGACATTGCTGTCATTGCTCACAGAGCTGATTAACGCTAATTTTTCGAACAAGTGTTGCCCAGGTGGGAAATATCAGTTAAATGGCATGAAGATCTAATAGCCGCCCGGGGCATATTTGTGACGCTAGCGTCAGCAAGTCCTATTCCCTCATATAATGTCATGTGACCTTTAGAAAGCAAGTAAAAATACCCCCTGACTCCGACCTGCAACATCTTGGCCTTCCACTCTTACCGCAAATATTTTACCTCTCAGTGAAGGGTGATGCTGACATTGTGGTTGTTCTGCGGAATGCTCGATATATTGATGGAAATGGAAGAATGAGAGACCCGACGAGGAAGGTACGTGGAAAAGAAATAAAACACACCAATGGCATTCGCACTGAGCCACTCGTTACGCTTTAGTAAACTTTGAACTAGTATACTCTTGGTTCGATATATGGTCTAGCTCCAGGTGCCAAGATATCATGGTTTTGTTCAGGCTCATGTGCCTCAGGCATCGAAAATACCTGCCAGTCGTTCCCTGTTTTATGGCTAGTAGATCGGAAATTCACATCCTGATCCGAGTCGGTTGGGGTTGCACGTGTTCATGCACCTGGGCATGAAGAGTCCGAGTGGTAAAGCCAAGTTAATTCTAGCGCCTTACAATCCTGCCAGTGGCTGTGGCCGATAAACCCACCCAGGAAGTGAACTATACACCTAATTAATAGTAGTTAATAGGGCCCGGGCCAGGCCCAGGCCCAGGTTTTAGGATAGGATAGGATCGTCAGATGGTGGCAAAGGGTAAGGGGTCAAAGAAAACCAGAAGTCAAAAGTCATGAACCACTTTCGAATTACCTTGAAATGTGGCGAGTAAACATGTGGCTGGCTACTGTACATACACACAGACAATATGCACGGCTTGCCGAACCGGGACTGCCTTTCGCCTTTTGGCAGAAATCAAGAATAACTTGCATTCCGACCATGAAAGCTATTGGGTCCTGGTACTCTATAATACAAGGCAGCACCGAGTTCAGGCCGCGACCGTCACAGTCGACAGGGATTCAAGCACAATCATTATTCGATGACTGGCTGGATTTTGAGATGACGGTAGCGTGCAGCATATTTGAAACTTGCAAGCCATTGAAGCAGGAATTCAAACGAAAGAGGTGATCTTTCATCATACTGAGCTAGAAGGTGTAAGCGACGAGAGGGAAGCTCTAATGTTATCCAGTGTACTACTATGTACTGTACCGTAGGAGCTTGTGGATCCCACATGGAGCTCATACTGAGACATCGAGCTGTTTCGGAAGGGAATACAGATCTCATCCTCTGACATCTCACCATTTTCTATTGCGATCTTCACTGGCGACTCCCAATTACGTACCTGATCCGGTTGGAAAGTGCTCTAAATTTAATTTAGAACTCTGGTCGACGTGGTGGTACTCAGATGCCTGGCGATCAGCGATTAGCCGGTTTCCGGACGTTTTGGAGATGACGCAAAAGGATTGAGATCGACTCCCAACCCACTGTTTACCCCAAATTAATGCAGTGATAAACGTATATGCTCCTATGATACGATCGATCGGGGAAATTCTATTCTTATTCCATGCAGAACATAAGGCTGATGAGGGATCAACGCTGTCCCGAGGTCAGTGGCGTTTGTAGTATGACGGGTCGGCAACGTCATGCTGCCCGGTTTGGGATCCTCCACCACCTTCAACAAGGTTGACTGGGGATCTCACCAATAACTTAGTACGGTAACTTTGATTGATTTTGATATCCACGTTCGAAACTGACACTGCGGGGATAGCACGTCATGCCATGTCTTTGTTGGCATTGGCGTTGGCGCGTTTGTACACATGGCGTCATGCGCCAACATTTGGAACATTTGCTACTGACTGGCTTCAAGTTGGTGGTATATAAACCTCCTTAAAGAAGCAGAGGAATCATTCTATTTCACTATCAACAATCTCTCAAAAATACTCACTCTCATCAATCTCCTCATCTACTTTCTCCAAACTTCATTCATATCATCCAATTTTACCATCCATCAACATGTCGAACATCATCAACAAGGTCAAGGACGCTGTCGCCCATCACGGCGACAAGAACCACAAGTCCACTGGTACTTCTAGTGATGCCAACGCCTATGACTCTACCCAATCATCCAACTATGGTCCCCACGATAGCAATGTTGCCAACACCGCCGACCCCCGTGTCGATAGCGACCGCTCAGCCTACAACACTTCCACTTCTACCAACTATGGTCCTCATGACACCAACACTGCCAACGCCGTTGACCCTCGTGTCGATAGCGACCGCAGCTCCTATGGCACCTCTGGTGTGACTGGATCTACTGGCACCCATGGCACTACTGGTCTGACTGGATCTACTGGCGCCCATGGCACTACTGGTCTGACTGGATCTACTGGCGCCCATGGCACTACTGGATCTACCGGTACCAACACTCTCGATACTTATGACCTGAACCGATCCACCAACCACGGTCACCACGACAGCAACATCGCCAACAAGGCCGATCCTCGCCTCGACAGCGACCGTGATGGCCGTGCTTCATATGGCACTACTGGCACCACCGGCTCGACTGGCTTCGCTCCTACTACCCACACTTCTACCCACTCCTCTGCCCAGCCTATCTCCACCGGTGCTGGCTCTACCGGCGCATACGGTACTACTGGAACTACTGGAACTACTGGCACCACCGGTGCTTATGGTACCACTGGTACTGGCAATGTTGCCGACACTTTCGACTCAAGCCGATCGACCAACCACGGTCACCACGACAGCAACATTGCTAACAAGGCTGATCCTCGCCTCGACAGCGACCGTGATGGACGTGCTTCTTACGGCACCACCGGTACCTCTGGTACCACCGGTGCTTACGGTTCGACTGGTGCTTCCGGTACTACTGGAGCCTATGACTCTGTTCCCTCCACCCGCTCTGCTGCCAGCGGCCCTGCCAGCTCTACCGCAGGTCCCCACAGCAGCAACATCGCCAACGAGGCTGATCCCCGTGTGGACAGCGACCAGAGCAAGCAGAAGAAGGAACACATTGCTGGCCAATTCTCTGGCGTCGACCGCTTCGACAATGACGTTCACAAGGGCAGCATTGCTGGCGGCAACCAGGTCATCGGCCTGCACGGCAGCAAGGGACCTACCACCACCAAGAATTTCGACCAGTCTCAGACCGAGAGCACTGCCGGTAGCAGCTACAGCACCGGTGGCCCTACCACTGCTGGTCCTCACAAGAGCGACACTCTGAACAAGCTCGACCCTCGCGTTGACTCCGATCTTGATGGCTCCAAGACCGTCGGTGGTAACCAGACTGGTGCTCAGACTCAGACTCAGACTCAGCGATTCTAAGAAGTTGTATGATACCTATCTAGCGATTTTCCTTATACTTAACGAGTAAACGATCAATTGATACACTCTGATATTCTTTACTATCTATTTTTTTTCTTCCGCTACCTTCGTAGAATAGTAAAAACTGGACAACAATGTTTCAAATTGTAGTTCGAAGACCTGAACGACAAATATTAGTATAGATATTAAAAGGGGAAATCCAAGACAAAGCAATCCGGTCCTTCCAAGGTTTAAGCTAATGGCTTTGCGTCATCATGAAAACATTTCCGTGGTTGAAGATAGTATTCATCTGACAAGTGTTTGCCACGACAAAGTAAAAGTACAAAATACCCCGCATCATCCATGTGGCCAACTTGAAGGGACCTACCTGCCAGTGATTTCTTCAAATATTCGAACTTGCTTGAGCATCAAATACTATGTCATTCCAAAAAAGCGCCTGCAATTTTCATCTCGATGCCCAACCCGGAGCAACCTCTTTAGTTGCGACGTGCAACAATGATGAGGGAAGTGGGCTAGAAAATGCTCTAGTTCTAGATGACTATCTGGGAAATGAGGACGGTACGTCGTGACACAAGTGGTTGGTGACATCTACTAGCTTCCTGGTCTCATTAACATTAGGCCACTTAACCTGGGGCGGGCAAGGGTTCAGCAAGAAAGCTCGAAAAATGAGTATCTCTTCTGATGGACCTGATCATGACCCTGTCCTCCACGTCGACCTTGCTGGTCCAGATGGAAAATATATACAGAGTGAAATTGACCTGGCAGAGCATATTGCAAATATCGATGGGGAATTGGTGGTTTTGCCTCTGTGAAACTGAAAAGCAGCAATTCGAATGGATTAAACCAACGAGTATATGGTATTTCTCTTTAATTTCTATCTAATTTTTGAAGGTTTAATGGGCTTCTTTAAAAGTTCTTATTATTCACTAGTACTAATAATAAGTGCTATGCCATTATGAATAGCAAAGATAGGGAACTAGACAAGAGTAAAATAGCTTCACTTACGCGAGTGAAATTAGTAGCTCCAATTGGATTCTGAATGAATTGAGCAAAAGACAAATAATATCTTCTTGGTTCTGCACATGACATCTAGGAAAATGGTGATGTCATCTTGTCGCACCAAGATTATTTGTAGCCTCAACAACATAATTTATTCCTGATGTTAAAGGGTCCTCAAGATCACTCAGATTATCTCCAGTTTGACCCCTACGGAATATTCAAATCTAATCCGAAGATGACCTGCCTTCATCTGCTGAAACACCGTCCGATCGGGGTGCTTCTTCGCTCTAAAGCCGTACTCGCGTCGACTTCGATACGATCGATACAGACATACATAGAGCCGAGTTACGAGCAGTGGATTCTTGACAGACAACTCCTCAGACCAGATAGAGCCGAGACTTGTCAATCAGGAACGGATGATGAAGTCGGACATCACAAATCTCCTTATGATGGATCCAATACAGCCGTCGATAAAGAAGTTTCGGCACTAAGAGACGAATACAAGTCCGAAGGGGACCTCCACGATCCGTTGCTGGTTAGCCCCGCAAATCTTGACGTGAGCCTCATATTAGATCCGATGGTCAGAGGGGCATTTCACAGTTCACCAACTTTGAGGAGTTGCAAGGGGTGGAGCAATAAGCATAAGATGGTGCTAATGCGAACCGAACCTTATGAAATGAGAAAATACGAGGACGTCTTCTTCCGTTTCATATTTGCACATCAAAAGGTTTGACCTTGATATTGTGGTGAACAGTATACCATTGGATGATACTGACCTAGTATGCCACAGAAGATGTGAGAATGATCTAAGCGACGGACTCGGAATGTATGAATGTGGCGAAAAGGGAACTTGAAATATGATTGATGTTTCATGGAGACATCTGTGTGCTGTATGACTTTGTACCACAGCGTTGAATAAGATTCTAAGGTTATGACTTTTAGTCCCACTTGATGTTCAAGTCCGCCGTGATTTATTCGCAATGGAGTGATGAGAACCGGATTTATAATTATCCTACAAGTTCCGAAATTGGCCCATAATTTGAACTGTTCGACTATCTCATGTAATCCCGTCATCGATGGTGTTTATTGGGTGCTTTGCAATCCGAGATGCGTAATACTCCGAGATGAGAATAGACTGCAGCCTAAGGTTTGACAGCGTTGGAATCCGAGCGTTGCTGCTTGAATCAGCTTTTTAGGTATCAGAAAGTTGGAGATCAAGTCTTGTTGACACGGCCAATGAGTTGAGGAGGATTGTGTAGATTATTCAAGTATGTATCATTGTCGCTATTCAAGTCTTGGCAACGATCACCAAGGTCAACCCGTCACAACATCCACTTTACCCCTTGAAGCTTCTCGATTGCCCGGCCCACTCAGGCCTTGTTTGCTCCATCTCACTACTCCCCATCTTGACTAGTGGAGGCCAAATATACTGTTTCCATTCAGTACTCCGTATGGTGCATGGAAAACAAAACTTGCGACATGAAAGTATGAAAGGTCCCCCCATCTCCTCCACAACGGGGTCCACTGCAGGCACAGGCACGTTGGCGTGTGCGTCCCGGACTTCCTGAAAAGGTGCCCGCCACAAGCAGAGAAAATGTGAGTTGCAACGAGTCGGAAGCGTGAGTCATGATTACCCCCGAGAAGGACCAATGGGCACCGATGGCGCTTCACCGTTTCTTGATCGTTCCTCCACCACTCCGTGCAGATTCGACACTCGGACTCTCAGACCGCCGAATGACTCCACGTCTAGATGCCTCCCGGCGCGCATATCAGAGGAAATCTTGTTCTGTCTGGCCTTTTGGGGTGATCGGATCGGACGTTCCTTAGGTCGATCGTCTCTTGTTATTGCCCCCTCCTCTCCCCTTACCATTGGATTTATGCTTCCGCGTCCATACGAGGCTCGTGATTTTACCAATTCTGCGAAATCGGCACTGAGTCACCGAGTTCTCCCAGGCAGATTATCGATTTCCCCGCTCGGCACGCCTCGATGTGACCTTGACTCTTAGTATGAGACCCGCTCTGACCGAACTACTTTTGCGACTAGGATTGAGATAAGCCCGAATAATATGCATTATGGAGTTGCAGCTCCACTACTTTTCTTCTGCCTCTCATATCTCTTCTCTCCTTCATTTTCTCTCACCCATTTCGAAAAAAAGTGACGTTGAGGTCGTACACGAGGAATGCCCCCAACCACCCAGGTCGTCTCCATCGTGACGGGGTCGGTCGCCTTGTTCATAGTCGGCTTGGATAGCATCCCTGCTCTTCAGAGTATCACCGATCGGATCTGTCGCAAATCGCCCCCGGCGGAGGAACATACCCTAGCAAAAACCGCATATCGTGATGAGGATGGCGAGGCGTCAGAGGAATCTCTCCGCGCTTTCTCCGATAAGTGGCAGAGAATTGCGATAGCATTTTTTTCAGCGACTGGATCTCTGTCCACGTTGGGCCTCGCAGTGTTTACAACGTTTGAATATGGCGAGGTCCTGATCCTAAATTGGTTACAATTTGGAATTTGGGTATGTAGAGATCGATATGAAAATGGCCAGGAATTTCTGGCTAACTATGTGTATCATCTGATTGACATGCAAAGTAGATTCTGCTCTCCATCCAAGCTATTGCTCTCTTCGCAGAACCCCGGCCAGTTCGACGATTTGACCTGGGGCAATATGCTTTTGTCGGTAGTATTGTTGCGCTCGCCGTCATCGGGATAGAGGTGCAACTTACATGGTCTTCGCGAGCCCTGAGCATCCTATTTACACAACAGATTTGGATTGGCCTTGTAATCACCCAGGCCGCCAGTGTATTTCTTCGTGGACTATTCACCGTTCTCTTGCCACGAAAACCAGATCTCTTTCTTAATGGAAAACTCGTAGACCGAGAACTCTCAGTCTCAGCCCTCGGTCGATTCACATTCTCCTGGGCCAATAGTCTCCTGGCTTTCGCTGTCAAGAACAAAACGCTTTCCCTTACTGATTTGCCAAAACTCCGAGCAGAGAAGCGCACTGATCGTCTTCGGGAGCATTTCGAAAATTCACGAGGAAATCTCAAAATCTGGAAAGCCCTTGTTGTCGCGCACTGGAGGTCTCTATTGTTCCAACTTGTCCTGACGTTCGTCCTCTGTGTTCTCAGCTTTGGACCACAGACAGCTTTGTTCAACATTCTGAGGTCGCTTGAAGCCCGTGATCTCGATTCGTGGCACCCAGTGCAAGCTTTGATATGGGTGTTTGCACTTGGAGGCTTGATGCTTCTGCAATCCAGTATTGAAGCATGGGTCTTCTGGTCAGTGTGCTCGAAATTGTTCGTTCCAATCTATGCAGAGCTATCGGCTACTGTCTTTGCCAAGTCGATGCGCAGAAAGGACGCAAAGCATGCCAAGAAGGCCAAGAAAGCCGATGATGCTCGTGCATCGACCAAAGCATTGCTTGCAGCAGACCTGGAGGATGAAGAGGAGGACGATGAGGCGAGCCTGAAGAAAAGCCGACAAAGTATTATCAACCTTGCCGCTGTTGACGCGCGTCGGATTTCGGATTTCACCTCTTTCTCCTACCTCATCCCCTTGTCGGTGATGAAGGTAGTCATAGGCTGTACTTTCCTAGTGCAGATTTTAGGATGGAAACCAGCCTTTTCTGGGATGGCTGTCTCGGTCCTCATTACGCCACTGAATATTTACGCAGCCAAGAGGTTTACCAACGCCCAGGACCGGTTGATGAAATTGCGAGACTCGAAAATGGCTATTGTCACGGAAGTCCTGCAGGGTATCCGCCAGATCAAATTCTCTGCTTTAGAAGAACAGTGGCAGAAAAAGATCGGACAGGCACGAGAGTCGGAACTCAACGCTCTTTGGATATCCTTCCTCTTCGATGTTGTCCTAATGGCTATTTGGATTCTAGGTCCACTGGGCTTGTCCGCGGTTTCACTGACTGTCTACGCCCTGATACATGGTGGCCTTTCTGCTTCGGTCGCCTTCACGGCTATGTCGATTTTCGGATCCTTGGAATTGTCACTTGCCATTCTACCTGAGATCATTGCGGACGGACTGGAGGCTAAGATTAGTGCTGACCGCATTGGAGTCTACATGGCCTCCGAAGAGAAGATTGTCAACACTGTTCCCGCCGATACAATTTCGTTCGAGGCCGCTTCTGTGGCGTGGCCAGCCGACCAGAGCCAGCTTGTCGATGATGACCAGGAAGATCGGTTTACTCTACGGGAATTGGATATCAAGTTTCCTCCAAAAGGCTTGAGCGTCATTTCTGGACGAACAGGATCTGGAAAAAGTTTGCTCCTTTCGTCTATCCTGGGAGAGTGTGATGTTCTCCAAGGCACTATCAAAGTCCCCGTCCCCCCTCCAATCAAAGCTCGTTTCGACCATCTCGCGAATAGCGAAAACTGGATCATTGATACTGCGATCGCTTATGTGGCTCAGATTCCGTGGATTGAGAATGCAACGATCCGAAGCAACATCCTTTTCGGATTACCCTACAATCAAGTTCGATATCAGAATGTTCTTATTGCTTGTGCTTTAAAGAAGGACCTGGAAATGCTGCCCGATGGTGATTTAACCGACATTGGTGCCAATGGCGTTAACCTGAGTGGTGGTCAGCGATGGAGAGTCTCATTTGCGCGAGCTTTGTACTCAAGAGCTGGTATATTGGTCATGGATGATATTTTCAGTGCTCTTGATGCGCACACCGGTCGATATGTCTATCAGAATGCGCTTACTGGCGAGCTTGGTAAAGGTCGCACTCGTATCCTAGTTACTCACCACGTCGAGCTTTGCCTTCCTCGAACCGACTATTCCATACTGCTTGAGAATGGCTGTGTGAAATATGCGGGTACCCTTGATGAGCTACGCAAGTCAAATCACCTTGATGATATCCTGCGAGAAGAGCAGGCGGCTGCACAGCAGGATAAGAATATTGAAGCCGAAGAGACAGATCATCTGCTTGACCCGGAGGAAAGTGGTCTACAAAAAGTCATTTCGAATAATCCACCTCAGCCGGAACAAGATCAAACACCAAACAATGAACAAGCGGCAACGAAAGCGAGCCCTAAAAAGTTTGTTGAGGATGAGAGACGAGAGGTTGGCAACATCAGTCTTGCTGTCTACAAGCAGTATTTTGCTATGGCTTTCAACCCCTTTGCATTTTTACTTACAACATCCATCTTCCTCGGCTACGCCTCACTCATGATTGCGCGAGTAAGTATAAGCCCTCTTTGATAGCACTTCTGTCACTCTTTGAATCTAACAAATTTGCTTATTGAATTAGGGTTATTGGATCAATGTCTGGGCCAGTGACTCCTCAAGCACTCAAATCCACCCGGAACAATTCCACACCCTCTTGCAACAGTCGATGACAACAACCAATCCTATACGACACGAAGATAACCTCATGATGTACCTCGGTGTATACATCGGCATCTCACTTGCTGCTACTATCCTCGGCACCGCTCGATACTTCTTTGTGTTCTCAGCCAGCATTCGGGCCTCCAGGAACTTCTTCAATAACTTGACATTCGCTGTCCTTCGAGCTCCATTGAGATGGCTAGACACCGTTCCACTTGGCCGTATTCTCAACCGATTTACATCCGACTTCCACTTGATTGATTCACGCATCGGGTACGATCTAGCGTTCTTTGTTGGCTCAATACTGGAAGTTTGCGGTGTTATGGTTGCTGGCGTCCTTGTCTCCCCACTTGTGATTGTATTTGCTGCCATTTTGCTGATCTTCTGCCTCAAACTCTCCTTAACTTATCTCGCCGGGGCTCGTGAGATCAAGCGCCTGGAAAGCACTGCCAAGAGCCCGGTCTTTGAACAATTCGGATCAAGCTTGGCTGGCCTCATCACCATTCGAGCCTTCAGCAAAAGTGATACCTTCATCGATATCATCTATGATAAGATCAACGATCATGCTCAGGCCTGGTGGGTTATGTGGCTGTTTAACCGTTGGCTTGGTGTCCGCATGAATATCGTCGGTGCAATTTTCTCAACCATGACTGCAGCACTTGTCGTCTTCCTTCCAGGCATTTCGGCACCTCTCGCAGGGTTCGCGCTCAGCTTTGCCTTGCAATGCAACACGGCCATCGCTTTTGCCCTACGACACTATGCCAACATCGAACTTAACATGAATGCTACGGAGCGTGTGATGGAATTCTCCAGTATCGAGCTTGAGAATCAAGGTGGTGTTGATGCACCCGCTGCTTGGCCAACAGAGGGACGCCTGGAGGTCTGTGATCTCGTCGTCGGATACGCCCCGGATCTCCCTCCCATCCTCAAGGGCCTCAGCTTTACCGTCGAAAAAAACCAGCGAGTTGGTGTAGTTGGCCGGACTGGCGCAGGAAAATCATCCTTAACGCTGGCATTGTTCCGCTTCCTGGAAGCTCGCGAGGGAAAAATTCTCATCGATGGCCTGGATGTCTCGAAGATCAAGCTGCACGATCTTCGGAGCCGACTCGCCATTATTCCGCAAGATCCAGTGCTCTTCTCGGGTACAGTGAGGACCAACCTGGATCCATTCGACGAATACGATGATGGCGAGCTGTACGATGCACTTGCTCGTGTGCATCTCATTGCTTCATCTGACGACGAGGCTACTTTGACCTCCCAGGCTGCTTCGCCACGTCAACCAAGTGGAACTGGCTCGACGACACCTGACACTGCCACAGGCCAGCAATACAATGCGAACATCTTCACATCCCTCGCCGCGCCTATCTCTGAAGGAGGCCTTAATCTCTCTCAAGGCCAACGACAGCTTCTCTGTCTGGCACGCGCTATCGTTGCTCAGCCCAAGCTTATGGTTCTGGATGAGGCTACCTCGGCTGTGGACATGGAGACCGATGCGTTGATCCAGCAGTCGATTCGGGCCGAGTTTGGCCGCAATGCCACGACTCTACTTGTCATCGCTCACCGACTGAGTACGATTGCCGACTTCGATCGTATCTTGGTGATGGATGCGGGCAAAGCAGTTGAATTTGGACCTCCCAAGGAGCTGATGGGGATTGAGAATGGTGTGTTTAAGAATCTGGTGGACAACAGCGGCGAGAAGGCGGTGCTGGAGAAAATGATTTTTGCGTAAAAATTTGGTTGTTATTATTGTTATTATTATTATTTGAGTTGTGAAGAACTTGTATAGAATGCCAGATTGTGAATACCAATAAAGATATGACACCGTGATAGTTCTGTACAAGACATCCTCGAGCTACCTAAAGTAGGGGGGTTTTCATGAATATTAGATATCTCTAATATACCATGTTGTCAAGGGCAAAGATCCGAGAAAGGTTAATGTCACCGAGGTAATCCAGTCAGCGATATACCACTTGATTGAAAGAACCGAGAATGCACTCGTCCTCAACAGATGGCATGCCGAAGACATTGCAGAAAACCTCTCGATGCCCGCTCCTCGATCCCTATTCACCCATTCCCCACTCGTATGACACCGGCCAAGTTTGTAAAAAGGGTCAGAGATGCATGTAGCGTCCGTAAATTAACAAGGTGGTGTGCCGAACGCCGTTATCACCCTCCCGCCTCTCGAATCAGGAAGCCCTTAAGCCCTCCGAAAAGGGAGAGCCGCCCGTTTCAGAGAGGAAAGATCGATCAAATGGAACACACTAAGCTTTCATCATCTAAGATAACGGTCAGTCTGTGATGCAAAAAGAGGAGAAATGTAGGACTCACGAGTATAAAACTTGGAAGGATGAAGAAGAAAGAAAAAAATGTGAAAGGCGGGCGCGTTTTATGCGGGCCACGCTAGACTCCTTTGGGCATCGATCTTTTGTTGCGGCCGCATCGGACAATGTCTTTGCTTCTTTGCTTCCTCCTCGCTTTAGCTTGGAGCCCCCTCATCTTCAAGAATGATACTCAGTGTGGGAGTGCGACTTCGCTCGAGCTTGTTGCTCAATAGTCTGCGCAGCTCACGATCCATACCATGTCTGCCCCAGCCCTCGTTGCGGCGCTTTCATCGCCCGGCTTGTCTCCGCCAGTCCACTACACCCGAGCTTCCTGCTTTCCTGCAGACATATAAGAAGGCTGGTATGGATAATTGTTCATGCAAATAATTCAATTGCTAAGATGTGCCTTACTCGGTAGTCGAATTCCCTCCTGCCACCCACGATTTCGAGTCCTTTCTCTCGCAAGCCGAGCCCAATACCCAGGTCGTTCTCCATGGCTATCTTGGACAAAGAGCAGATCTGTCTAAGAAGCTCTCTTTCGTCCGTCTGTCAGATCCTACCATGAAGCACAGCCTACAGGTGGTAGCGTTCGCCAAAAATGACGCCTTCGAACAGCTCAAGGGTCTCAATACGCATAGTCCTGTCGCGGTGCGAGGCACTGCCCAACGGAAGAAACAAAAAGCATCCGACACAGCTGAACAAGCCCCAGAGGATATGTGGGAGATTGCATTGGAGGAAATCCACCCATTGAATGACTTCCCAAAGGAGCTCATCATGACTCCGGAGACCGTTTTTGCGCCAGAGCAACGATACCTGCAACTGCGCTCCGACGCGGAGCTGAGAGAAGCATTGGCATTCCGCGCAGAGGCGCGTAATATCTGTAAGAAAGAGCTGGATGAAGGCAGCGACCGCTTCTTAGAGATTGAGACACCTGTGCTATTCAAATCTACACCGGAGGGCGCCCGCGAATTTTTGGTTCCGACGCGTCGCCCTGGGCTAGCATATGCATTACCGCAGAGCCCCCAACAATATAAGCAGATTTTGATGGCGAGTGGCATTCCACGATACTATCAATTCGCACGCTGCTTCCGTGATGAGGATCTCCGGGCTGACCGACAGCCGGAATTTACGCAACTTGATATGGAGATGTCGTTCGCGACCGGACAGGATGTTATGCGCACCATTGAAGGTGTTATCCGCCGTCTGTGGTCTACTCTGATGAAAGACCCTGCACCCGACGGCCCCTTTAAAAAGGTTTCCTATCAGGAGGTCATGGCCAAATATGGTTCCGACAAGCCGGACACGCGCTATGGCATGGAGATTATGCGGATCGATCATCTTCTACCAGTTGACCTTGTTGGCAAAATCTCTGATCTGGATGACCCCATAGTGGAGGCCTTCAAGCTCGAAGCGAACGACAACGATCCTCAAGACACTCATAAATTCATCTCTCAATTCCTCGAATCCCCAGCAGGGGCCCAATTCAACAGCAACCCCGACGGAGGGCCGGGGGTGTTTGTTTATAACGGAAAGCAGCCCCTTTGTGGCCTCCAACCCTTCGGCTTCGAAGCCGCCGAGCAAGTGGAAGAAGTTCTCGATCCTGACCATGGTGACCTAATCATCCTACAAGCTCGTCCCCGGGCCCCATTCTCTGGCGGCTCCACCCCAATTGGCGATTTACGACGAGCCATGCATGCCTATGCAGTTTCTACAGGCTTCAAGCCTGCGCCGACCGGGTTTGACTTCATGTGGGTTGTTGATTTCCCACTCTTCTCGCCCTCCTCTGAAACCGAACCCGGCCAAGGCGGTGCTGCGGGTATCTCATCCACTCATCACCCCTTCACGGCCCCCAAAACAGCCGCCGACGTCGACATGCTCCTCATTGACCCAACACAAGCTGTCGCAGACCATTACGATCTCGTGGTGAACGGTGTCGAGCTTGGCGGGGGAAGTCGACGTATCCATGACGCCGCCGTTCAGGAATTTATTCTCCGTGATATTCTGAAGATGCCAGTTGAACGTTTGGCTGATTTCTCGCATCTTCTTGATGCTTTGCGGGCTGGGTGTCCCCCACATGCTGGTCTAGCGCTGGGATTTGATCGTCTCGTCGCTGTCATGTTGGGCAAAGAGTCAGTGCGAGATGTCATTGCGTTCCCGAAGACTGGAAAGGGAGGCGATGATGCTATGGTCAAGGCGCCAAGCCCTATCACCGAGCAAGCATTGGAGACGTATCATCTGCGGCTGAGAGAGTAGGTGGTGCACAGTCTTTATCCACCTTTATCACGCTCGCCCTAAAAATTTGTACTATAATTGTATCATACTACATCACGATACCCGGCCAATCTCCGATCCATTATATGTTTGGTTTTGAATTAACCTTGAATTCCCCAGGCGCAGAACCAAGCCGGTTCATCTTACCAGTATTCTTTTTTTTAAAAAAAATAAACCATAGGTTAGAATCCACGAATGTAGGAACCTTGGAAGCCAATCAGGAAACTTGAAGTTCAAGTTGTATAGCCAACTTCGGGTGGTTGGAGTGATTCCAGCTGGTCCACCGCCCTGGCTCTGGTACAAACCAGAACTTAATCCCCGCAACCACAAGTATCTCGAGATTGAATGTTAAAGTCTACCAAATTATGGAGGACCTCTTGCAAAAATTAAATAAGCAGTCTATGCAATAGGCCTTGTAGCCTCCGTACATGGCCGAAGGACCCGCGGACGATGCCCCCCATCCGACGGAACCGCGCGGCCGCTGCGTGCCTCTTCTGCCGCCAAAAGAAGGTATGCACTACTCTCCAGTGCTCCAGAGGCTTGCGATGTGCCAGGGTGCTAATCGAACATCATAAAAAGCTAAAATGTGATGCACAACGACCAGCCTGTGGAAGCTGCGCGTCAAAGGGCATCGACTGTCAATTTGGCGTTACTCGGCACAAGCCTAGGTTGGTTAAACCAGCCCCTGCATTCCAAATTGTGATAGCTGGTTCTGACAACTTTTCCAAGGCCAACGAATCATCGCATTGCACAATTAGAACTTGAAAATGCAAGGCTGCGAGACAGCCAGCTTGCTGGAAGCGATGATTCATTTCTGACGCAGTCCACGAGCTCTCTGAGCCCGACCAGCCCCAGGCAAACCCGGGTAGCTTCTTCCACGCCTCAGGATGGCGAATCTTTGAGAAGCAATTCTCATCCAGAAGTGCCTGATAGCGACCACAACCGAAGGGCCACATCGCTGTATCATGGCCCCACAAGTGCGGCTTACGATGATAGGGCACGGTCTGGCGAGGGTGTTGGCAATATTGATTTACCAAATGACCCTGCTAGTGAAGACTGGTCCAGAAATCTTCTCTTTGTACAGACGGCAAGGCAGAGTAGGCAAGAGACCTTTCAATAGAAGCGAGACATTACTGACATCCATACTACAGGGCAACTAGAACCTCTCAATCTATCCACCGGAAAATTAGACTTTGATGGCCTCGATTCTGAAATCGGCATGCATTTACTATCCATCTATTGGAGTCGACAGCTTTATACCGCACAGATAATATACCGACCAGTGTTCATGCGTGATATGGCTTGCGCAGGTCCATATTTCTCCAAGCTTTTGCTGAACGCGATCTTGTTTACTGTTTCCAAACACAGTCCCCGAAGTGAGATCCGTTCGAATCCAGAGGATATAACCACGGCCGGATGGAGATTTCGCCAGCGATTTACCGACCTTTTACGAGATAATTTTGACAAAAGCAAGGTCACAACCATTCAAGCTTTGCTCATCATGTCCAATTCACTCTTTTCGCGTTGCGACGAGCGAAGCTTGTCCTGGCTGTATGCTGGAAATGCTTTTAATATGATTATTGATCTGGGCTTGCATGTAGCTGCTTCAGGTGATAACATGTCTGCGGAGGAGCTTGAGATTCGGAAGAGAGTATTGTGGGGTGCATACTGTGAGTCTATTAATTTCGATTTGCCCAGCACGGTACATTGACTAGTAATAACAGCGATTGATAAGATCCAATGCCTTTTACAAGGAAGACCCCCACTTCTTCGCCATAATAACATCAAAGCATCTTTGAAATTCCTTGATGAATATGACGAGCTCGATCCTTTCCAGGCCCTCACCTATAAACAGCTCAGTCCTACGCCAGCTGTTCCTTCTCTCAATGTATCACTACTGACGAAGCTGTGTGAACTATCCGTCATAATCGATCGCATCTTGTGCGAACTCTACTCCGAATCCGCGCAGATGATGCGTGGCCAGAGCGAAGGGATATCCGACAAAATAAACTCGGAATTATGCAGATGGCGGCAAAATCTTCCGCCAGAGCTTGATTATCTCTACCATCCATCTCAAGCAGTTCTTCTACCTCAAGCATTTTGCCTGTTGTATGTTTTCCGTCCATGTGTTGCAAAACACCATGACTCTGACAATTTATTTTTAGGGCTCTTTTCAATGTCTTGATAATTCTATCCAAACGTCCACTGTTTACAGGCAATGATGAACGCCCAAACAATCCAGCTGCCGCCTTCGAATCAATAAACACATGTACAGCTGCTGCGAACCAAATCGTCCAAATACTTCGTGATTATTCTCAGCACTTCGCGATTAGCTCTGCTCCTTATATGTTATCATACGCAACTTACATCAGTGCTACGATCCATGCCCGCATAGTTGCGCAAAAGGGCAAATCATCAACATCCTTTCAATCTCTTACACTCTGCCGGAGCGTGTTACAGGAGCATCAGTGTCTCTACGGTGCGGCGGGAAAGGCGAAAGAAAGTCTTGAACGTCTATGCGATCATCTCAGTATCGATTCTGCAGAGGATTGTGCGCAAACTCATGTTTTCACGGAAGCCGTGCCTCGAGAGCCCATGGTCACGAACGGTCCTTCGCAAAGTTTGAATGCATCGAGTATTCCAGACCAGCCTATTGAAATCACTTCGCAGATCAATTGGGGCTTGTCGGATCTTGATCTTGAGGCAATTGCCCAAGGCTTCCGTTTTGATGGCGAGTTGGATTATCTTATGCACCCCGTCGGAATGTAAAAGCCAGATACCCAAGGGCGCATCTTAGAATGTACCATATTCTACTCTTATCCTGATACTGGGATATTGGATATATGAAAAACGTATGTCCAGTTTATTTCTTTCCTTGATATGTGCATATCAGCTTTCGTAGTACTTCTGCCATGGGTGGTTTTGTCGAAAACCCAGCAATTCCTTGATTTTTCGGTTTGTCACCGGAGCTTCACGTGGCCCCATCTCCCGGGTTAAAGGCGAGTTTGGCGACACCTTTGAAACAAATTCCGCAGAGGAGGAAGTATAGTTGGTAATTTCATCATTCACAGCATTGAAGATCTGAAACCCGAGCCCGTCCTTTTGCACTGCCAAATCACACATCTTCCCGAGGTCGCGTGCATCGGTATATGACCAGGCATGGGCTGCCCATTTCTCTGGCTGCTTGACATAGCTATCGAACATGGGTTCCTTGTACTCATCCGGAGCGACGATTCGGCCAATCCGCAACGCATAGATATCTTTTTGGAAACGACGGGCAAAGCCACGCGCGACACGTTCCGCACACACCTTCGCAATGGCATATGTGTCCATAGGGTTGGCGTCAACTTCTTCGTCGACTGGGAAAGATGGATAGTCAACATCGCCCTCTGCATAACTGACACCATAGACAGTAATCGAGCTAGCGATGATAATCTTTTTAATGTTCAACTTGCATGCCGCCTCGATAACATTATAGTTCGACATAGTATTGCTTCGAAATGTTTCATTGTCAGGGGCGATCATGTTCCGTGAATAGCCAGCCATGTGGATGACTGCATCCGGCACCAAGTTTAAGGGCTCTCTGAAGGGTTCGGTGAGGTGGAAATGAGAGCTCAAAGCACAAAAGACTTGCCCGCTATCTGCAAGGTCGACGATCATGGTGTGGACGCGGTCTGAGAATTCTGCTGGAAGGGCGACCAGATCGAGATTGAGAACATCGTGGCCTTGTTGAAGCAAGTACCTGATGATATGCTGACCGGCCTTACCGGAGCCACCAGTAACGATGATCCGCTTGCCCATGTTGGAAACGAACTGGACCTGATGGAAAGTAGTGTCCTCGGCGGGAGATGGTAAGAAAGAATGTCGAGAGCTGATACCGCAAGATCGAAGCTCTTCCTATTCAGTTGACTTGCTATTGCCAGAGACGTTTTATTAATCGGAAACTAGACCGGGACAAAATTCATAGCTGACCTTATCGGTGTCTAATATGTGTGGGGGTGGGGCATGGGGTTCGGAATGAGACTTTCCGGGCCTTGGGTTGACATCATTGTAGCAAGCTAGTTAACTAATCGTGGAACAGTTCGAATTAAGCGAATAGCGAATCAATGAATGATTAATTCTAAGCTGCCAGAATAACTCTGGGTTGGTCTGGTAAATAATCTCAGAAAAGGTTGGAATGGTATAATATCCATTCCCGAACATTTCCGAGCGGGAGAAGCAACCCTGGAAGCTTCACCTGCAACCTTCAAGTTGGAAGTAATTTTACGATCAAGGCACCTGGATAGGTTCAATCTCTGGAGGTACTAGTGATGAACGATTTTGAAATATCTGAATTATCTGAGTCAAAATATTTCTTGTATTTTCTATCCCAGAACTGGTATCATCAAGTGCAAATATTTACTATCACAGGTATATCAACGGAAGCTGCAAAGCTTCATCAGTGATTATGTCTCGGCGCAAGTTCTTTTTGCGCCAGACGCTGGAATTGTACCGCATTTTTCAACACCATGCCGTTTGATAATTGCTCCGTCTCACGGCGGAAGATGTCTTGCCAAGGGGTACCGGTGGGAACCATGGGGTACCCATCGGTGAGCTTTTGTCGACGATCCTTCAGCTCATCGTCAGTGATGAGAATATCAACTCGTCGCTTACGCAGATCAATGCGAAGTCTGTCACCATTCTTCAGCAGCGCCAGATTTCCCCCGGCAGCTGCTTCGGGACTGGCATTCAGGATGGATGGAGATGCTGAAGTTCCTGATTGCCTTCCATCGCCGATGCAGAACAAACCATCTAGGCCTTGCTTGATCAGCTTGCTCGGAGGGTGCATGTTAACGACTTCTGCCGCTCCCGGATATCCTAATGGCCCAACACCGCGCATGACGAGGATAGTCTGGTCAGTGATCTCCGGTAACTTCTCCAGTCGTTCCTCATAGTCTTCTGGACCATCAAAGACCACCACAGGTCCCTCAAATGCCTCGGGGTCATCTGGATTTGATAGGTATCGCTTTCTAAAAGCGGGTGAAATGACGCATGTTTTCATGATAGCGGAATCAAACAATGTACCCTTGAGATTGATGAATCCTGCATCCTTCATCAAAGGATCATCGTAGGGGCGAATAATACGACGATCCCATGAGTGCTTTCCGCGCACATTTTCACCCATTGTCTTTCCGTTGGCAGCAAGAACATTCAAGTGCAATTTGCCTTGATCAAGTAGTTCCGCCATAATGGCAGGAAGGCCACCAGCACGGAAGTATTCTTCTCCGAGGTACTCCCCTGACGGCTGCATATTCAGAAGGAGGGGAATCTTTGAGCCGATAGTATCCCAATCATCCATTGATAGCTCAATGCCCGCATGCTGGGCGATGGCGCTCAAATGAATGGGAGCATTTGTACTTCCACCAATTGCAGCGTTTGCAACGATTGCGTTCTCAAAGGCTTCTCTGGTTAAGATGTCGCTGGGTTTGCGATCAGCTTCAACCATTTCGACGATTTGTTTCCCGGTTTCATAGGCACATTGAGCCCTGTGGCGATACGCGGCAGGGATGGCAGCAGATCCAGGAAGAGCCATACCGAGTGCCTCCGCCAAGGCATTCATAGTGGAGGCTGTCCCCATTGTATTGCAATGGCCGACTGACGGTGTGCTATTCGGAGTTAATAAATCATCGTGGTCCTGTCCGAAACGAGCCCTCCAAGCTGACATGCCAGAGCAGATTTCCTGGGTCAGGACTCACCTTCGAGAAATGTAATCCATAAATTCGTTCTCATTGATATCACCTGCTGCGTACATCTCTCTTCCCTTCCATAAAACGGCCCCAGAGCCGACCAAGGTGGACTTGTCATAGCCATTAAGCATAGGACCCACATTCATGCATATGGCTGGGATATTCTGCATTTGCTAGTCAGTGTATGTTAAAATTGCTTCGGAATGCCAGTACCTACTACTGTAGCAGCAGCCATTAAGCAAGCGGGGGTTGTCTTGTCACATCCCGTCAAAAGAACAACGCCGTCAAGGAAGTAGCTAGTCAAGACTTCAACCATACTCAGATAGGCAAGGTTGCGATCGAGCGTGGCAGTAGGGCGTCTTGATGTCTCTTGGATCGGGTGAGTCGGGAACTCGAAGGCGATACCACCAGCAGTCCTAATTCCCTCCCGTACGCGCTTTGACAGCTCAATGTGGTGGCGGTTACAAGGTGCGATGTCAGATCCCGTTTGTGCGATTCCGATCATGGGTTTGCCGGACATCAACTCTTCTTGAGTGATGCCGAAGTTGAAATACCGCTCCATGTAAATCGCCGTCATCCCCGGGTTGCTGCGACAATCAAACCATGCCGATGAGCGCAGGGTTCGACCTGGCTGGCGCACTACGTTCGGTGCGCCATTCTCTTTCTCGAGCCCGAGTCTTGTCTCGAGCTCTTGGTTGCGTCTTTTCAGCGCGGCCAATTCATTGATGCAGTCTTCGATCTGGATTTGCTGTGGGGGGGGTGTCATTGCTGCATGAACACCCCTCGCAGGATTTACCTGTTGAACAACCCATGTTTAGATCGTTATGTCGGTGCTTTTGATTTCGTTCAAAAGCCTTAAGGGTCCACTCAATTGTTTTGTCAGGGTTACTCTTGCTTTTGTATCTGCCCACTATTCAATCAGCTAATTTGGATTGATCATGCGTCAAGACTTCTCGGGAACGAATCTTCCTATTGGCGAATCTCGCTCCATTTCAGGGTCCTCCACCCGAATTTGTAAATTTTCAACCAATGATATTCTTCTTTTTTTTACACTTCTCCAATTTCTGGACGCGGGGTTGACTTTCGGAAACTCATCATCCGAACCCGGCTAAAGAGTTTCGCGATAGACCCCCACCCGATCGGTCATATTAGATGCTATTCTATATCCCAAACAGATTTGTCAAACTTCAGTTCTAAGGAAAATAATGCGTATGATGAAAACAATTTTATCTTTCATACTTAGTAGAAACATGTCAAATATTTACCCAACACTACCAGTGACGTAACTATGCCCTGAGTCCGGTCCGGGCCCAATGATATCATCCCCTTAGTTCAAGTTTTATGTCAGAAGCGTTATTGAAAGGTGAGATTAGAAGCGACCTAAGAGCGTTGCTTTATCAACTTCTTCCGACCGAATTTCAAATAACCTTGTCCTCTATGAATATGGTTCGCGTCTTTATTACCGGCTCCACCGATGGCATCGGCCAAGCAGCTGCCAAAATTCTCATCGACCAGGGCCATGAAGTGACCCTTCATGCACGAAACGCCGATCGAGCGGCTTCTGTTCAAGCAGCCTTGCCAAAAGCCAAACAAGTTCTGATTGGAGACCTCAAGTCCATTGCAGAAACCAAACAGCTCGCACGGGATGCGAATGCCGTTGGGCCTTTCGACGCCATCGTTCACAATGCAGGAATCGGATACGGCTCGACATCATCCAAAGAGGTGACAGCAGATAAAATTTCAGCCGTATTTGCGGTAAATACTCTGGCGCCATATATTCTTACATGTCTTATGGAGAAGCCCACTACGCGCCTTCTCTTTATGAGCTCCGATAGCCACTGGGGCGGAGATGGCTCGCTTCGCAACGCAGAACATTCAAACTCCTACGGTAATAGTAAGCTCCATGATGTAATGCTTGCTAAAGCATTCGCAAGGAGATGGGATGATATTCAAATCATCAGTATGCATCCTGGGTGGGTGAGAACCAAGATGGGTGGTATGGCTGCTCCAGGGAGCGTTAGCACATCAGCAAAGGCCCTGGCTGGCTGGTGCAGTGGTGAAAGCCCCTTGGCCAAGGTCAAAAGCGGCGCTTTTGTTACTACTGGAGGGGAAAGTTCGCCGCATTCGGGGTCTGAAGTTGTGGATAAACAAGAAGAGCTTCTCGACATTTGCAAGAGAATTTCCAACTGTTTTGTCCCAGGGGAGAACTGAAACTGTGCTTTATGCAGTTGATGGAAGGGGATTTTTAAATTTGGGTGTGCTTTAGGACAATGAAGCTTTGGAATCTTTTTCCCCTCGAAGGTAAATGCTGTATATATTCATCTGTTTTTTGAATACTAGAAAACAGTAAGAATTTGGCCATGGGCATGTTCGAACCAACTGCTCCACAAGCAAGATAGCTTTCATCGATAACTCAATTATTTCATTTCTAAGCCTGTCTATACTGCTCAAACACAATTACCTCAAGCTGGATGAATAAATATGATACATTCAAGTTGGACTCAAAGTAGTTCGTTGTCTGTATCCGGTGCATCACAAGTCATGCCAGGTAGTAGAGAAATGTCAAGATCATGTGAAATCCCTGGGGCGTAATCTTGGTGCCATGTTGATGATATGTGCGCACAAATGAGCCTTTTGCCAGCTCCATCGAGGGCCTTGGTGCCAGTAGGGCCTTTCAACTCTGCTTGACTTCCACCACTGGTCCCTCGTACTCCTTTCTTCCTTTTAGACCATACATCACGAGACTTAGGATAAATATTGCAACAAAGATCACAATACTCCAATTGAAGTTCTCGGCTGTGATGGGTAGTTCTGTTGGCCAAAAAGACCAGAACATCGCAAAGAAACAATACAGCACCCCGATGATATTAATGGGTAAACCAAGGGGGCCCAGATCCCACCGACGAGCAGGGAGAGTGTCAGGATACCAGATCTTCCTGTAGATAACACATGAAATAGAGATCTGATAAGTGAACATGAGTGCGGCTGTGTTCAAAGAGATAATAGCGTTGAATGCAGTGCTGGAGCCAATATTAATCAGGGATAGAAGACAACTGATGACGCATGATAGGATGATAGCATTGACAGGGATCTTGCGTTTGGGATCTATTTTCGAGATCCAGTTGGAAAATGGAAGGCCCTTATCCCGAGCGAAAGCCCATGTTTGTCGTGAGGTTGATGCGTTAAACATGATATTGCTGAAGATCACGGGTAATATGATGATCGCTGTGAGTCCGTTCACTCCTGCGGTAGAGGTCATCTGCTTGAATACATAAAGCAACGGGAAGCCCGATGCATCATCCAGCGAGTCCTCCACCGACGGGGTGGCAAATAGATAGGCGACTAGTAGAATAGCAGCCATGATTCCGTTCGAAAAGTAGCCCCAATACATGGCAATTGGGACATTTCGACCGGCATCTTTGATTTCTTCAGACATGTGGGCACACGCATCAGAGCCTGGAACAGATATTAGTATTGGTTTCTGAAATAGACCAAACACTACCTAGGTAGGCAATAAGAACACGTACTCAGACAACCATAAATAGCCGAAATCTGCCCTACCATGACACTGACGCCCATAGTCGGCAACCCTCCTATGTTCTTCCAGTCTGTGACAAAAACATCCCGAGCTGACCGGTGAGGAGCCATAGCCCAAAGCATGATCAAGATGACAGCCCACGATATAATATGAAAAAGCATCAGAAGATTGCTCATGACAGGCATCAGCTCCGATGCATACACATTGAACAAATAGATTACTAAAACCATTGAGAACACAAGCAAGGTACCCTGCCAGCCCGGAGCAGTGTAATCTGGGTTGCGGACTGTGATCAAGCCTTGAATCAAAGTGCCCGTAAGAAATGACCCAGACGCGGTTCCGGCTTGCCATGCTAGTACTGACATCCAGCCTATATTTTCATAGACTTATGAGCTCAATCATTCTGCCTCGGAGTTTCTTGTGGGTGCTATAATACCAGAGAGGCTTACCGGTGACATAGCTCAAGAACTTCTGGTGTCGAGGAGAGCAAAACTCTGACACCCAATGGTATTGGCCTCCATCGGTGGGGGCCATTGATGCCATTTCTGCGAGTGAGGCAATAATGAATCCAAATCCAATGAAGGTCCAGATGTATGACCAGAAAAGTCCAGCCAGCCCGCCGTCCTCCAAGCCCGTATAGTTCGACCTGCTGTCAATTAGAGGATCACCCAGATACGCCTAGTTCTGGCAAAACATTCATTGATTTCACTTACAGAATGAGATATTCCCAAGTTGCTTGAAGGACAGAAGCGAAACTCAATGCTGCCAGTGGTCGCATGTTTCTCTAATCGAGCCAAAATGGACCTGGTCAGCTATGAAGTCTTCCAAAATCGACGAGAGTGGAATGCGCATCGTCACCTTAAATTCTTGAACTTTTCCCATGCGAGTCATTTCATCGTCGTCCCCGCAGTTCCATTTTCCTGAAAGATGTTTGGGTCCCTGCGATTGACCTCCATGTCCATCGTTTCAAGGGCGGTCGTTTTGCCGGAAGCCTCCATGACGATGGGTTGAGGCAGTTGAAGAAGGATGGAACAAGGGGCCACGCGTTGTTAATATGGGAAGTTCGCGCTAGAAAATCAACTAAGCTTTTCACAGTCCAAGATGGTCGCACAAAATAGCCTTATCTCGAGAAGCGGGGCTTGCGGTCTTGGACCAGCCCCCTGCACGGTGGTGGATCCACGCTACGGCCATCCTTTCACAGGAGGAGGACCGGAATTCCTGGTGTAAGACTGTCCCCTTGAACCGAGGCGGACTACGGATTAATCAGACCATAATGTGATGCGACTTCCTGTCTTTGAATCTCGCTGCCCGACCCTATAACGTTAGCCCACCCTCCGCATCACTCACAGGGACCTCAACTGGTTTTTCACTGATTTCATGAGGCGAAAGGGATGGTGCTTCGATTGAACCATTCGAAGGATCCTAAGCTAACATCCCTTTGCGCTCGGGCGGGCGCTTGAACCTTGGCAGGCCCCCGAGTAACCAGGCGATTAAAACTACTAATTAGTAACTACTACTAGTAGTAACTTGAAAATATCATGATGTTGAACCACTGGGCACCTGCGCTGCGCTCTATTTCTATAATAAATTCTGCGAACTCACAAAGATCAAAAAGGTTGCTTCAGATATCTTGTGCCCCGCACTATAAGCTACCACTGCAACCCTCAGGGCCATGGCAATTGCGCACGGGGAACGATTTCGGGATCATTAGAACCGAAAGTGCGGGGGGTCTGTTGAAAAGAAATTCCTATTCGTGTCAAAACTTCCTTCCATCAGTCGATCACTCGACACGGATATTTAGTTTCGGTTTACATAGCACCGAATATCATGTTTCAGCATTTCGACATGCGCCGCTCAAAATACTAGACGCTATATTATGATTCGGATGCTTCTGTTTGTGACTTAAATTTGGTACAGCATCTAGTCAATCAAACCTTCAATCCAATATTGAATTTTCCTTTTGCTGAGGATATTTCAGTATGGCTTCATCGGTTCTTACGATAATTGCTATACTAGCATGTGCATTCAGTTTTGTTGACGCCAACCCCAATCGGAAAATCTGCGTTGTCAAAGGCGGGCAAAGCAAGGATATAGATGATGCTCCGGCAATCTTGCATGCCTTCAAAGAATGCGGTCAGCATGGAAAGGTTCTTTTCAACCCTCAAACCTACTATGTCAACTCGGTCATGAATGTATCTTGGCTGAAGGATGTTGATATTGATATCCATGGGACGCTTGAAGTATGTAGCTTACTGGTTCCAACTTGAAGGTTAACATCGTATTTCTCCAAGAATTGATGGCTAACCCACTGTACCTCCAAACAGTGGAGCACGAACATAACGTACTGGTTGAACAACTCGATGCAAGTTGGCTATCAGAATCAGTCAACAGCATTTATAATTGGTGGTGATAATGTGCGAATAAATGCCTTTGGAACGGGTACATTCAATGGAAACGGTGACGACTGGTACAAATGGATTAGACAACAGGAAAACACGTCCAATTACCCAGGTCGTCCTCATGCTTTGACGTTGAGCCGCCTCACAAATTCGGCCATTCACGGGCTCAGATTCCTGCGAAGCCAGATGTGGTATGTCAAAGCACTATACTATGATCTAAAAGTTCACTTTCGGATGCTAATTATTGTTTTGATTTCCAAGGACAATGTCGATCATCCACTCTCACAACTTGGTTCTCGATAGTATCTTTATTAACAATACGGGTAATTCAGCGCAGAGCTGTGAGGACTCCAAGATGCTCTCCTGGGTTGATAAAGTTGCTGACGCTATTTAGCGAATACCGATGGTGCCGATACCATTTACTCGTCTCATGTTGTTTTCAATAACTGGACCGTTTACAATGGCGATGACAGCATTTCTCTGAAAGCAAATAGTACTGATATAACGATAAGAAATTGCAAATTCAGGAATGGTCTCGGCATTGCCATAGGAAGCATTGGGCAATACAACGATCAATTCGAAACCATTGAGAGAGTTTCTGTCAACAATATTGACTACGAAAATACATTGCATGCGGTGAGAGATTTGAATTATGGTCCACTGGTTTGAAGATATAGATACTAATATTGAGTATGTAGTTCTATGTGAAAACATGGACAGATGACCAGAATGGTTATCCACCCAATGGAGGTGGGGGTGGATTGGGCTGTACGTCTAAACAAATATTCTCTGTTTCATTTTCTCCGCCAGAATTTCATGCTGAGTATCGATCATCGAAGTGCTAACAAGATTGAATAGACCTATCTGGCGTGGAAGTCACAAATCTGAATGCAACGGGACTTCGCGGAGCTGCATTTGCTGTTTCGCAATGCACACGGTTTTCTGGAGCACCAGGTGTAGGCAATTGCACAAACTCCCAATTCCAGATCAAGAACGTGGCGATCAAAAATCTTTCCGGTACTACCAAGTCGACAAGAGTGGCTAGTCTTCAATGCAGTGCCGTTGCTCCGTGTTCCAACATTACCATCGCCGACGTGGACCTTCGCCTCGCCAATAGCACGCTGGCAAGTGACTACCTATGCGGAAACTTGATCAATCCGATGGGTTTCACATGTACGGGAGATGTTTGTGTGGGTGGCAGTGCTACGGGAGAGTGCTAACAGCACTGATGGTCTCGCAAGCTCGTTACCCATGTCCAATAGATAAATCTCGCCTCCAGACGAGAGGACATTGATCCTCATCGTGGTATGCTCTACAGATGCCGTGTTTCTTTATAGGTACACATAAAAGTCGACATATGTCGTTCGGGGATTGACTTGGAGCCAAGCAAAAGCAAAATTTGAAATGCGAGCGAAACTCAAAAATGAATCATCCATGCTGCATGACACATAGCCATTGCTACGACAGATTTATAAACGAAATACTATGAGATGGGTGAAAGCATTGAGCATCTAGTCTACACATTAGTCTTTAGATATGCACACGGGAGCAAATAAAGGGTTAGTCTCTCGATGAGATAGTTAATGCTTTCAGAGTGTATGTGCTAAAGCTTTCCTTGATCAACTTAAAGATCAATCATACACCCCCTCAAAGACAAAATATTAAGATTTGAACAATATGAAGTTTTCTCGGTCAGAGCTGGAAGGCGGAAATGTGATGCATTCAACAAGGGGAACCAGTCGTCAAGATACGCTTGGCCTCTTGGGCATAGGTGCAGTCATTGTTGACATTGGTGTCAGACCACCCAGCAGACCAAGACGTCACACCCCCGAAAGCGGGGTTTCCTTTGTATCGACTGACAAGCGAAGCCAAGGCGTGAGGATCCATGTAGTATCTCGCCCCCGACATGGTACCAGTCGAGGCCAGGGGTGAAGCAGGAACGCCGAGGAAGATTTTCGCATTTGCGGACAGAGTGCCAGCAATGTTGGAGACCCAAGCTTCAAAGTTGATATTTCCGCCATTGGAACAGTACGGATTGTTGTAGAACTGCACCCAAAGGTAGTCGAAGACTGAATATTGGATGATCGCTTGCATCAAAGGCTCGGGAATGGGGCACTGCGGAGCGCCTGTGATGTAGTACTTGTTGGCGGGATCAGAGGCGAAGTTAGACCGCAGTTTGGCAATCAGGTAATGATAGTAGTTATTGCTGGTCCAAGCTTCGATGTCAAAGTCCCATCCGTTCACGAAAGTTGTGCCGAATGGCCGCGGCACGCCTCCGTGAGTGTTGCCGTATGCCTCCCACAAGTTCTGACCAATGGCTTCGGCCTCAGCCTGCGATGATATGGAGTACGCACCAATGGAGCCACCAACAGAGACGATGACTTTGATTCCCTGCGACTTGCAAGTATCGATAGCAGTTGCTAGGCCCTGGCAGTCGTGCGACTGGCCATTGGGAGCGATTTGGCAGTAGTTACCGAGTTCGCCGGAGGGAATGGTGTTGCCATTTCCAAATCGATACAAGAAAGACAAAAGGATGATATCGATCCCAGATGAAGGGTTGCAATACTCGATCAAGTGCCGGACGTGGCCATCTTGGCCCCAGTAGGCCACATTTTGAGCGCCGTTAGCCCAAGCTCTCTCGTGAGGAATGGCCGTGGTAAATCCAAAAATGAGGAGAATAAAGTGCAGGGAATAGGCGAGGCAATTCATATTGACTGGGCCTGTCAACAACTTGAAATTGAGGTAAAGACCGTGAGGTAAGAACAGTGAGGCGAGAACAGCGAGGTAAAGAACGTCGGGCAATATTCGCAAAGTAACGAGTGCAAGGCAGTCTTGTGAAGAGTGCTCGGGGAGATTCAAAAGATTGTAGAGGTTGAGAAAGGACAAAAGAAAGAAAGGAAAGTGAAGGCAGAAGGTTAGAGGACTCGGAGGGGGGGGGATGATGTCGCACTTTTGTTCGTTCACTAACTATAGGCTCGCTCATTCCTGTTTCGCATTCTACTATACACATATCATACCAATTACTATAATATGTACTCCGTTATGTGTAGAATTTAGCCAGCTCGAATAATTACTAATATCACTGGGTATGCGAAGAAGAGGGTGAATCAAAGTGGTGATGGGATGAGAGGGGAGAAGTCCGGAAGAGAGTGAAGCTATTTTGAGACAGAAGTACGGTATGAGCTGGATGTCCGAGGCACTCAGTACGATCTATCAGGCTTCTGGTATGCCTTCCCTGGTACTCAGATGAAACCAATTCTTTATCTTGAACATGAATGGTGGTTTTGAGCTAATACATTCTGGGACTCCGAGGGCGTGTATAAGATAGATACTGCTATTCTACCAAATATCACCATCCTTCGGACTCTATTTGCTGCGAGTTTTGGGATGATTATTAAGCTCTTTTCCCGATCCCCGGGAGGCATCTTTTCTTCCTCCACTATGGGTCTTGGATCCCCTCTCTGCTTTTGACCCCTTTGATGATTGATGCTGTGACGGTCCAGGATGCTCCAGCTCTCGCGTTCGAGGGCTTACCCCTTGAGCAAGCGGGTCCTTCCCATGTGAATCAACAGAATCATCGCCATATCCAGTGGACGAGTATCTCAGGTGTGCATGCGTAGGACTCGGTCGAAACTCGAAGGAATTTGGTTTAAGGTGTAACGACTGGGCTATGGCTCGACACAACAGCAGGCGAAATCCGAGGTGATGCATCATTCGCGCGGCTTTTTGAGGCGTGATAAGCGAGGTAGCACAGGATATGCTTTTATTTGAGTAGGTATAGACTCTTGAGTGCAAAGATGTCTTACTAGTAGTTGCTGAGCGGCAAAGGAATTAAGATGGTTGTTTTCAATTTTATAGAGCGGCAAATACTTACATCATGATATCGTAACGTGCCTATAGAGCGTATACACTTCACTTAATTAAAACAACGCTCATCTCTCGGAATATGCAAATCTCAGCATTGAGCCATTGCACATGGCTGCAGCTAAGGACACTTACTACTAATTATCGTCATGCTGATAAGAAATGAATATCCGCGAAATGAGCGAGCTGCCATTGATGTATAGTACCTCACTCACTCCGCTGTCGACGTCTTTCCTTCTCCAAAAGCCCAAGACCTGTAATGAAAACCATTGTATCAAAAGATTTCCCATGATCAACCTCAATCTGAAACTTGCCAGATTTCTTCCAGCTCTTTGCCCCCGCACTCAAATAAACAGCGATAACATTTCCAGTCTCTTCATCTTGGAGTTTGAAATTCCTAGAGCTCAGCTTCGACGGTTTATCTTCTCCAATTCCGACGCTGTTGGTTCGCTTCCAAACGAAAGCTTTCCTCCTCGGTAACCCCGAGCCATTATCTTGTAGTGTGATTTCGAATCGATAATGTGTGGTAAGTTTGTGGCGTGTTAGATCTTCCCAGGCGATATTTGGGTCATCTGCACGGCCGAGTCCTATTTTGCAGTGTCGGGAGAAGTTCACGAATTTACAAACTGCTGTGATGGGGCCCTCCTCGTTTTCACCGGCGTGGTATGTGAGGTCTGGTTTGCCGATGGTAAATGATGAACAACGCACGTATGCGAGAGGAGTCTTTTCCGCGGTAAATATGGCGAAATCGGATCTTCGTCGCCTATTATAAACGTGAAAGAGGCGGGAAGTTGAGGTTATTGGTAGGATGTCGTTGACAAATGAGAATTCGTCGGATCTTTCGCTACCTGGGCGAGTTGGATTTGCAAAATCGGGGCCAGCTTGGGAAGGCATTTTAATGCGATGACTCGAATGGACTTAGGGTTAGTGAGAGATCACAATCACATCTGGAAATACTAGCTCTCAAGAAGAATATAAACATATTTTAAGTTGGTCAGAGAATTGAGGCTGAGCTGCCTTTAACCCTCGTGTTTGGGCGGAGGCTAATCTTGGCTTCGTATAGACACAACCATCACATCCAATCAGCTCTCCGTGGACCCGGATGCACTGCCCAGGTGACTCCCGGGCGTCGATTCCAATACGAATTTACCTCATTCGGTTGTGGGCTCCGAGTAGGACATAAAGGCAATGCCTCGAGACGCAGACCCATACCGCATTTGTCACGATCGAAAGCATTCATCCCTTTCATGACTAGGCGATTACTGTTCAGCTATGTCTCTCTTGCGCCAGGATGGGAGTCCACATGAAGGACAAAATCATCTACCCAGTAAATTGAGATAAAAGGTGATTTAAAAGATATCGTGCTGAGATAATCTATAAGCTGATTCAATATGAACATGTTATACAAGAAGTGAATTCAAACGCCATCCCAAACCGCTGTATAAGACAGTACCATGGAGATAAACACAAAGGTAAGAAAACAAGAGATAATTGAGAGGTATGCATTGAGACTGGGTTCAAACAAACCCTAATCACGCAGTGGACAGAGCGCTTTCTCGACTTGACGTTGAGCGGGGTTTATCGCCAGCCTCTACTGCACCCTCTTCCTCCTCGTCGTCATAATACACATACTCGTCGTCATCCTCTTCCGGTTGGCCAAAGATGTTGCGCCAAACACCATCCCACAACCCCTTCTTAGTGACAAGACCGCCAACAAGGAGAATGGGCAGTTGCCAAATACTGGCCCAGAAAAGACCACGCGCAGTTCCCTGGGCACCCTGGTGCTTCCAGAAACCGTAGGCTTCACGAACGAGCCAGCCGTTGGCGAACGTACTTCCAACAAGGAAGCCGTGGCCGACGACGCCGACCCACCACAAGCCAATGGAAATAGGGAACATGAAGATAGAGTAGCGAAGGGCGACGCGAGCATTCTGCGCGGGGTTCACCCAAGCGAGCATGCGATAGCCGGCGCCCTTGTATTCCTCACGAATGGTGTGGGAGAGAGCGTTGAAGTGGGGGAATTGCCAGGCGAAAAGAATAGCTCCCAGCAACCAACCACCAATGCTGTCTTCACTGAATAGCATGTCGCGCCATGTGTCATGTCCAGTCGTCGCGGTCTGGCCTGCCGCCGCAACCCAACCCATCAGAGGTGGAATTCCACCAACGACGGCACCGACCCAGGTGTTGATGACAGAGATTCGCTTAAGCGGGGTATAGACGAAGGCATAAAGGAAAATATTGGCGGCAGAAAGAGCGGTGGTTGTTGGGTTGGTTCCGATATAGAGCAGACCCAAACCTGTAGCAGCGGTTGCAACTGCAAAGAGCAGAGCTCCACGGCGCGAGACCAGCCCGCGGACCAGGGGGCGATTCCGCGTGCGTGACATCAATGCGTCATATTTGGGCTCGAACATCATGTTCAACGTGTTGGCGCTGCAGCATGATAGAAACGTACCCGCTGTTAAGTATATAAAGGTCAAGGTCGAGGTTGAGAGAGTCGGAAGTGGAGTCATGGCTGGGTCGAGGGCGAGAAGAGAGGAGATCGGGTACATTCCGTATGCAGACGTAGTGCTGAGAACAATGAGGAAGGACAGTCGAGGTTTAGTCAAGGCAAAGTAGGCCGCCAGCTTTCGCCTGAGAGAGGTGGTGGGGGGGGGTGGACGATAGGTTTGACAATTGCGCGGATGCATCGGGTGGTATGACGGGCTCTGCTTGACCATTGTCGGAGCCCTCATCCCTCAATCGTTTCCTCCGTCGGTGTGGGAGTTCATCCGGTGTATTTTGCGTCGCAATGGACTCGGAGGTCACTGTTTCGGTTGAACCGGCCGGGTTTGCGGAGGTTTGGTTGGTGGGCTGAGAGGTGGAAGATTGCCCAGGTTGGTCGGAATTGAGCGAGGCAAAGGAGGAAATAAATCCACCCTTGAGTCCTGTACCATCGTACAAACTATTCCGGGAGAAATATGTCTTCTGGAGAAGGGAAGATGCTTGGTTCTCCGCGATGCCAGTGCGACGGTGTGATGACGACCAGAACCGCCGAACGCTGGATGATTGAGTTCCGGATCTCCCTAAACATGAACAAAGGAGCACATCTCGAGGCGCGGGCCTCAAAATGGCAGACCGTAAAGGGAGCATGGCGCGTCGGGGTCGATCTCTCGTCAAGAGGGAAGAAGGAAGAGAAGTGGTGGATGAAGTCGAAGTTTCCCCGGTGGCCGCACGGACCAAACCCGCACTTTCTGTTGTTGACATTCCATTACTCTGTACTCTGTATCTATCTACTTCAACTTCTACCTCTCCCTCCACCTCCCTCTATACTCCCGGGAATACACCATGGATGTCCTTCAAAGCTCCCTCGTGGCTCCCCTCCAGCCTCTCCTCCGTCCCATCGTCGATGCGATCCCCGAGCCTGTCCATGATGCTGTCATCTCGCTGATCGGCTCGCCCTGCCACAGCGCACTCCTCCTCGATCTCGATCTCACCAAGGATCCCGCCTGCACATCTCTCGCAATCTCCAAGGCCCTTGGTATTGCTATTGTCGGCGCTAGTGCGGTTGTGAAGGTCCCTCAAATCCTGAAGCTGATTAGCTCGCGCTCTTCCGCCGGTGTCTCCTTCGTCTCATACGCCCTGGAAACCGCCAGTCTGCTCATTACCCTTTCCTACGGCGTGCGCAACCAGTTCCCCTTCAGCACATACGGCGAGTCGGCTCTCATTGCCATCCAAGATGTTGCTGTTGGTGTTCTCGTTTTGACCTTCGCTGGTCGGTCCGCCGCAGCTGCAACCTTCGTGGCTGTTGTCGCGGCCGCCGTGTATGCTCTCCTCTTTGACCAGACTCTCGTGGATGCCCAGACTATGTCGTACTTGCAAGCCGGTGCTGGAATTCTCGGCGTTGCCAGCAAGGCCCCTCAAATTTATACCATTTGGAGCCAAGGTGGAACTGGCCAGTTGAGCGCATTTGCGGTACGTTTGCGCAGATTCCTCCCCGCACCTCTGCAGATGGGACTGAGACTAACCTTTTTTGATTCCACTATAGGTCTTCAACTACCTCGCCGGTTCCCTCTCTCGCATCTTCACTACTCTCCAAGAAGTCGATGACAAGCTGATCCTTTACGGTTTCATTGCCGGCTTCACCCTCAACGTGATCCTCGCCACCCAGATGTTGTACTACTGGAACAGCCCCGCGACGCCGCAGAAGAAGGCTACTCGCGGCAAGATTACCGAGAAAGCTTCAGTTGCCCAGAGCACGGGGGCATCGCCCAGGCCCGGCTCCAAGACGCCCACTACGCGCCGACGGGGTTAGAGGGATATCAAGTTGGAATTGGCTGCGCTTTCTTTCTGAAACCATTTAATACTCCTTCTAATGCTTCGCAATTCATTCAATTGGCTCTCCGAGCCAGATCCAGCCACCCACTCCATGATCTCACTCGGCGCATGTAGCTGCATGACTGTAGAAAGGTACAGATGCCCAAAGATACCTCATATACCAAGAATCACCAGAGCAGGTAGGTAACTAGGCCATCCGACCCGTAGTCATATACCGCAAGATATCACTCAACGGCACAACCGGCTGGACGGGATGCGCATGATGAGGCGCAATATCGAACTCGACCCCATTTCCCCCAGATTTCCGATGGACACCCACAATCTCCATCTCGTCCTCGCCCTCCTCCTCATCTTCATCATCTTCATCCTCATCCTCCTCATCATCTTCCAACTGCTTCCTCAACCCCGTAACAACATTCTGGATCCCCGCTTCCCGCTCCTCAAGCGTGAAATTCCCACCCCAGTTCCTTCGCCTAGCCTCCTCGTTCGCTTCGATCGGCGCCCACTCCCACAGCTTGGCGAGATCGGCCTCCGTCAACTTTTTCTGTGCCGCACTTGCTGCGAGACTTGGCGCGATTGCAAAGGTATCCGTTGGCTGGTGCTCTGTTCCTGCGATACGGCCGCGTTCGACCCAGTCTTCGACTCGGGGGTCGAGCTTTGTGCGGAGGAGTTGTTCGAGAGTGTTGGCTTGGGTGCGGCCGGGGTATTCGGGGCCGGGGTAGGCTACCAGTGTTGAGAGGAGGTCGCGGTGGTCGGAGAGTTGTTCGGAGACGCTGATTAGGTTGTTTGAGATGATGCTTGCTTGCGATTGAAGGGAAGACCTGTGGATTTTTGAGTTCCTTTTGTTAGAGACTCGGACTGTGTGTTTGCTGCCGCCTTGCTTGTCATGGAGGGATGCGCACCAGGGTGGGAGTGGGTCGCTTTGGTTTAGGCTTGCGATTAGAGAGCCCAGTGAGCGGGTGAGTTGGGCTAGTCGCTGCCTGGATTGCTCGAGGACTTTTATTTGGTCGTTGGTTAGGGTCGCCATGATGTAGTGTGGTCAAAGGAAGTTGAATGGAGTGCGGTGAAATGAATTGGAGGTCTGCGGAGATGGAAGCTTCCGTGGATCCACTCTAACAGGCACATCAACTTTAGCAGTTAAACTTATATTTAATACTGTATTATTCAAGTTTCCACAATACTCTCACGTTACATATTTTACATATGTAATTACTGTAGTATTTCTAATTACTAGTAAAAAGCTGTGGGCTACTACTCACCTGAGTAGACTCAAAACTTGACCTTGGACCTGAACTTGGAACTATAGCCATGGGTACTCCGTAGCGTTTCCCGATTGGGTACTACAACGGCATAAATTGAATCCTCTGAATTAGGGTGAGCAGCTTGAAGTACTTCAATTCCAATGGTTAGGATTATCAAGGAAGACTAAGCAACGGAAGTGTCCAAAAATTACTCCATTTCCGCCAACGCATAACCCAAACTCAACTCATTGGACCCTGAGCCCTTGGCGGTGCTTGCTGAAACACAGCCAGACCCGTCCAACCAGTACGAGAAAGCGCCTGAGCACCTCAAATCCCCTTAAACCCTCACCGTAACGGGCCCTCCCATCTTGTGTGAACTCTATTTGTGCTATACGCCATGTTGATCTGTTTATTTTGGGAACTTGGGCTGTTTTATTGATGTTTCTGCATGGGATGGAGGAGCGGGGAGGCTCCTGACATAAATAGGCTTGCTGGTCCCGTCTGTGGTAGACTCTACTCTCTGCTACTATTACTCCATGGCCTTTGTTGTGTTCAGAAATATTCGAATCCTTCAAGTTCTTCATTCAAATTTTTCTACTTCAATTCTCATTCAGATCCTTCCTAATCCTCTCCTTATACACCATGCAGTTGAAGGACAAAATTTTTGATATAAGAATTGGTTTTTGAAAGCTAGGTAGTATTCAAAAGCACCGACGATGCTGAGACTGGGATATATGGAAAGCCAAGACAAACGCCATGGAAAACACCAACAAAATCCAATCATTAAGTTATCCGGATCCCATCAAAAGGCCTAAGCAATAGGGCCACGTCCACGGGTATTTTGCCAAAGATCCATTGCGACACAAACCGATGCGATAAACAAGTCGACTCGGCCAACAGCCAGCAGCTAGCTTGAGCCTCACTCACTCTCATTTACAACGGCCGCTTCTGATCAGGGTCATATGTCTCCAACCCACCCTGCATCCCATAAGGCTGAGGAATAGGCGGCGACTGCAATCCACCCTGCATCGAGTAAGACTGAGGAATGGGTGGTGACTGCAAAGGAATATCCTCAGTAATCTGCTGCTGAGCAGCACCCTTCGAATATTCAGAATAACTCGTATGATCCGCATACTGCTGCGGAAAATGCTGGTGGCTCGCTGAGGGCTGATCGGAATAATCATATCCATATCCAACCTCGTGTCCGCGACCATCCGTGTCCACAAAGCCCAGCCCATGGGAAACGCCTCCTCCAAAACCTGCGGCATACATCTCCTCCGCCGCCCAGGATCGCTGGTTCGATTGAGGTGTGTTCCACATGCTTTGGTGCCGGCCACGATTGTTTCTCTTGCGCCGCGATCGAATGAAGAAGAAACAGCATACGGCGAGCCCGATGAGAATTATGAGAAATCCGATGATGGGGAGGGCTATTACGAGAGCAAGACTCACGCCCGATTTGCTGGGGGTGGATGTGCTGAGCGACATGCTTGAAGGGAGGAGGACGGAGGTGAAGATTCGCGATGGGGCGATGTCGAATGGGCTACCTGTTACGGTTTCAAAGTGGCAGTTGTAACGGATGGATTCAAGATCTGAGGAACATAAGATCGGTCAGTTTTCTGATTCAGTTCGCATTTTCGGCGGTATAGTCCCCCGTGCCTTTTGCAACTTACAGTTGGCTAGGTAAACCTGTTTTTGGTTTTGGGTAGCGGTCAAATTATAGCAGAACTCGCACGAGTTCACGACATTATCGGCGAATGTCGATGTTCCGCACCACGAATTGAAGTTCTCTGGAGATGGGTCTTTGATGTTTGTCTCAACGGCCGGACGGATCGCATCGCAGGATACCGGACAGGGCGAGGAGATATTTGAGAATGAGTCGGGATATCCAAAAACGCACTCTGACACTGCGTAACGTAGATTATCTAGGAAATGCAGGTTAGCTTTCATCGTCGCGCTTTGTACCGACAGACGCAGGCGGGTCAACATACAAAGCCCCCAGTTCACATCGGTATTTCCAGTTGTTCGATCCGCATAGCTACTCTTCAGCAAGCAGCTAACGCAGGTTTCAAACGCTTGGCCTTTTTTCTGGCTATACTGAGAGTCCAGACAGGCGATTTCGGACGATGTCGTCGTGTTGGTCGATGTGCCGCAGACATCAGCGCATGGTGAATAGGGCGAGGTTCTTAATCCAAGAACAGTGGGGAAGACATTGGCAAGACAGACGATCGCGACAAATGTAGTCAGCGAGCTTGAGGATCGTGACTTATCGGATCGACGCATATTGAACCGGCTGAAAGGGACGAGAGCCCGGCAGCTTCAGGACTGCTGCGGCCGCCACTGGAGACGAGAGAGATGGAATGGCCTAATGCCGGGAATTGGCGATTACACTTTCATAGAAGGAGGAGATTAAAGCAATAGCGGATGGTAATGATTTAACTCCAGGACGCGGGGATAAGTAGACAGGAGGGCGAGAGGAAGAGCTTCTTTTTTCAGTCAAGCTGCTTTCTCGATATGGGTGGGATGATCGAGTGGAGAGGCCCAGCGCCCGACACTCCGTTCGTGACAAGGGGAGGGAAAGAGAGAGGAATTCCTCTTCCTGCAGCGTGAACAAGCTTAGTGCTGGCCAAGACGAAGTGTGCCGAATCACCGTCGGCCCCCGCACGTTGCAATGTCGGCGCTTAAAGTAGCTCGCCCAGTGGCTGTAGTTCGACTAGGGAGGGTCCCATCGAGCTGGACGAGACAGGCCTAGCCATTGTCGTAGTGGATTACATTGGGGCGTAACGAGTGTGATGGGGTTGGCGATGTGATTGGCACTAGTCGATTGTGACTGTGACTCGGACTGCAGCAAGCTGCAGCACGGACGGGTGTTCGCTACAGCCCCACCGCTAGTCGTTGGTGGCTGGGCAAAATGGAGAAAATGAGGACGGAAGGCAGATTCCATGACGCAAAGCAGACCTGTAGACGAGCAGTAGAAACTAAGCACCAAAGTGTTTGTGAGGGGGGGGATGCTGTGGGACAGTGGAGTCGGAGTGTACAAAGTACAAACTAGGGAGATGATACTGAATTCCAAATACCCTGGTAGTACCCTAGGCCTAAGTGCGATGTTGGGGTTCCACGGTTATTCCGCTTTTTTTTCTTTCTCTCTCATTTTTCTTTCGCATGCCAGTTCTTTGCTCATATAGTCAAAATAATAAATTATAGTTTATGGTAGAGGTACGGAGTAACTACGGAGTATGCAGGTCAGAACTTGAACTCATTCGTGCGAGGCCTGAGCAGAAAAGAGCCTTGGGGAACGCCGGAGGGACCCGGCGCTAGTAGACAAGTAGCCAATGAATACATGTGTGAGAAGATGTAGGAAATAAATCACTTTCATATTTGTGAACTGGATAGTATTAATGAGCCCCGGCAGAGGGTAAAGAGTGGTCGTGACGAGACCTACGAGGCCCGCAAAGCTCCCCACCTAGACAGGAGAAGAGAAACTCGAAGAAGAGGAGAAGGAACGAAAAAGCGCAAAACGCAAAGTAACCGCCCACACAAAAAAACAATTCTCTAAGCACATTACCACCAAATCAAGAGAAACAATTGTGAATATATGTAATAAGGAAAATGTGGCCCGTTAGCCGTATAGTTCATCATAAGAGGGCACCATGCCTTGACCTACGCCCACTGCTGGGGCAGGCTCAGTTCGATATCTGGGGCGAGGAGCAACTCGTTTTTCAAATTGTGCGTGTACTGCGTACCGCGGCGTGTCAGGGGGTAGAGAGGGTGCGGAGACCGAAGATGCGGCTGTATAGCTCGTTCTTCTCGAGCTGGCAGGGCCAATAATTGAGGAGTGTTCTGTCATCGAGCTTTGAGTGCTGATGCGGCGCATGCGAGAGGTAACGGATAGTGGTGGGGATTTGGCTGGGTGGTCTGGACAAGAATCGTAGTCGTCTCGATATGGCAGACGTGATGCATCACCGGTAGCATAATTGCGATGGGTTGCGGTTTCTTTGGGATCACCCAAAGTGTCTCGCTCTTCATCATCTCCATCGCAGGACTCGTCATCGTCGACCGCAACATCATGACAGTCGGGCTCATTTCGATCATGTCGGGTCCCTGCGATCCCCAATCCCAAGGCTGGCGATCTATGACCCTTTTCGCGATGCCGGATGTTCTCGTTGAAGTAGCCCTTGGGAATCACAGAATCAACGCGACTTGTGTCATTTGGGGTATGTTGAGGAGTAGGGTTATTTGAATCATGACTTTTACTATGGTCTAATGAGACAAGATGTTGTTGTTGTTGTTGTTGTTGTTGTTTTTGTTCTGCAGGACGAGGACTCTGAGGTAACCCAGTTGGGGCGTTGACGAAAAAGCTCGGTGACTGACTTGGTTGATTCCATGATCCTTGAGTCGGATAGCTGATGGAAGGATCGCCCCAACGGGAATGAAGTTCAGACGAAAGTCTGCGTTTCCGCTTAAACTTTTTCATGAAACTCGCCATGGCCTTAAGGAGATTCTTCATCGAAGGAGCCCAGAGCGGGGCAAAAGCCGTCCTGATCAGAGAAAAGACAGACAAAGAATGCCTATTCACGAATCACAGGGAGGACTGACCACTCCCCGATGCGGTGCTCATCTCAAATCAAAGCAAACTCCCTCCGCAGGGAACACGCGATTTCACTGTCAGAGATAATAAACCTGATTCAGAGACAAAAGTAGGTTGACGAGGGAAAATGGAAGAACAGGCAAGATGCCCACATGAGTCAAAGTTATATCAAGTAAATAGATGTGTGAAGAAAGACTAGCCAACCGCCGCATGTCTGGAGCCCCGAGAAAAACGGGAAAGATCTTCTGAAGATGCTTCGCAGGTTGGGTTGGTGTTGGGAGATCCAAATCGTCCAGCAAGCAAAAAAGGACCAGGGCCCGATGGGATGGTTCAACCCCTCTGGCGGTGGTCCCAAGACCGCCACTTGGGACGAAGGAAAATGTGTGCTCTTTTCTTTTCCGGCGCAGTCAACAGCGCTTCTCCAGTCATCCAACAGGCTAGCTGCAAGCGCGAGAGAGCAGGACGGAAGAATGAGGCTGGCGGGTCACAAGTGGGATGGAGTTTGGGGGGCTATTCTGTGGCTGCAGATGTTGGATGTGCTGTGTACAGTTTGCAGCAGACTAAGAGGGGGTACGGCCAAAAGGAGTGGACGATGCGGGACAAAATCCCTGTCCTGGTTTGTCTCTATGACATGAAATGCCAGTTTTTTCCTCGGCGGCCCGGGATGCAGTCAAAGAGAAGAGAACATGGATGGCGAGTCAGGCATAGGTTGCACATATTATCGACGCACGGCGCCCACCGTCGTCTTGGCATGGCGCTTGCCCTGGGATCTGCGCCTGTATACGACGCTTCTAAAAGCCCCCAAACTCGGCCGATGCGAAGAGGCAGTGACGATCAGGCTTTGGTCGGAACCACCAGTAGCAAGGTTGACAGGGTGGCTGAGTATTGGTGGTGAGATAGTCCCTTTCCCTTCCGATCTCCGCAGGACCACGGCATGTGCAACGACAAAGCTCACGAGCGACAAGGCGCAGGCACAGGTCTCGGGATAATTGCCAATCATGCCCTCTACACGATGAGCCTCTTAGAGAGAGAGAGAAACAAAAGGTCCGCTCGTTGACAGGGATCAAAAGAGGGGGCGGGGCGAATAGAGGATCCCGCCGTCGACGTTAACGAAAAAGCATCCATGTTTCACTAATGGCGCAGTTTAATCCCTGCAACGGAGTGGATTTAGGAGCCGGTGAGTGGAGATCAAGTCGAGCGAGAGATTCGTGTGCAGAGGATCGCTCTCATTTTGGGTTCTTTGTCTAGTGTATACTCCGTAGGTCAAGTGGAATATCCCCAGTGCCACCGTGCACAGTCCCTGCCTTGGTCAACGGGCATCTTGGTTCGGAAGACAACAAGGTTAGATCGTCCCGTTAATCCTCGTGGCAGGTCTTCCGGGAGCTTATCTTTAGGCGCCGGGGGGTGGAGGGTTGCAGCGAGGAGAGGGGTTTAGATGCATAGGGTTCTCACGGGGAAACAAGGGAAGTGGGAAAGGGCAAGTGACAAGCTGGATGTCACGATCGACAGAGGCACAGTCTCGATCTTTCGCATTGCGGGGATCGACGGTGGGAAGAGTGGAGATGCTGCGTTTTGATTTGACAGATGAAGCTCCCGTGGAGTCGAGGTTTCACTTTAGATTGCTCGTCTGATGCACGGAGCAGCTCGGTCGACAAGCGCCAGGCTAAACGATGCAATCCTTATGGAGAGCGGACTTTTTCTGTCTAGTTTCTTTTATTTGAAATAAATATTCATTTCCGTTTTGAGTTTCGTCATGTAAATCCCGATGAGAATAATAATGATACCTTTCCAGGGATTACGCCCAACGCCTTCTTGCTCATGACAGTCGTAAAAAGGAAGAGAAGAAGTAGAGTCCATCTTAGGAAGATAACTACCCCTGTCCCTCCCTTATCCTCATTATCCATGGATCCCACCATACCATCGCTCCATCACCCTATCACTCTCCCAGGGGCTATCACTCCATCACTCAATTCAACCAAAATTCGTGACAAGTCGCGACAGCACCGGCTTCGCCCGGCGGGGTCCCCGTGTGCCCCCCTGCAGTGGCATTGGCTCTGAAGCACTTCGCTCTCTTCCTTCGCCTGGACGGGACCGCGATTCAGAGACATGGGCCTGAAAGGGCATGCCAGACTGCCGTCGTGCATTCAAAGTGGAGTACCCAGACTGATCGGCCGTTCGTTGAATTGTGATTGATGATCGGCCATCGTTGTAATGAACATTGCTAAGACGGGACGGTTGAACCCTAGATGGCATATTATATGACGTGTGGGGATCGGCGCTAGAGGTCGAGATAGGTCTTATTGGTTGGTACTTGGACGGATCGTACGTTGGCAGTGACGGCTGATCCATCGAGGCTCGCGGCAAATACTGCGACTGGCGATAGTCTGGGGCAAACGAAGAGAGCGGCCGGGGATGGGCCGATCGTGGGTGATCATGATAGTTGTTTCTTCGGCTATATGCAGGGGGAACCTGGACTTCTGCGGCGCGCTCCGCTTGTTGGTTCTTTCTTTTGGCTCGCTCCTTCTTGGAGAAAAGGTACAGAAGGCCCGTCACTAGTTTGGGGATGGAAAATGTTAGTGTGCATTATCACCTTCCTCCAAGTGGTGAGGCGATGCCGGGTACCTACTGGCAAGACTGCGATTACCCGCTTACCAAGAAATCGAATTGGCGAGGGGGAAAGGGGCACCGGGGAAATTAGGTGTGATGAGTGTCGAGCTACTAAGACTCATGTCCCGATCTAGAGAGAACTAGTGATAATGCGGAGTTGAGAATGAAGCCGATGCAGGGATTCGCGCACGCCCAACAAGTACCAGCCTGCGTTCCCAACCGTGGGCCAGCCCTAGGGATCTGTAAGAATTAAAGGAGAAGCTTCCTCAAGGTCTGGTCATTGTGGGATTGATATATGATATATGCTTCCCAGGCTACATGCTTATCTGCCACTTATACGAGGTTGCCCGCGCGCGAAGCTCTAGCTACCACACAGGAACTGGTTTCAAGTGAGATGTCTAAATCCAATTTCAGTAACAGAATTAAAGATAGTAATTTACGGACTATAGATAGATCAAAAAGGCCCATAATTAGCCAGCATTAGTCTCGATTAGGCCTTGCTTTTCACACCGAGTCCAACCCCCTCTGTGCATCGCGTACCGCTGCAGCAGGCATCTCCTGCATGCCAACCAACCACAATCAACCAACACTTAACGGCGCTTCTCACTGGTCCAGGGGTAAGCGCCTCGGGAATGAGTCGAATCAGCCCCGGTAACACAATCCAACACCAACTGCCATCATTTCCGGTTTATACTCCGGTGGGGTCGGACCATGCTACTGCTGCGCCGTGTGTCCCACGATGATTCGAGCGGAATGCAGGTATACAGAAAGGAAAACAAACCAGCACGCAAATTATCTGCAACATGACCAACTTCATGCTGCACTCCCAACCCAAAGGGCCTAGGCAGCGGTAACTAATCAATCGATGTGGATCTTTTTGAAATGCTTCCATACTTTTCCCGTCAACTCCATATATCGCTTCGCATGCTTGTTGGTTTATTCCGCGTATGCGCGGTAGACCGCCAGCCCCTTGTCGGTGCCAAAGTCCAACGCAACACCCTGCCCAACAAAAAACACATATCCCTCTTTCAGTTCGACCTTTTGATTCCCAGGGATTTTCATGGTCCCGCACCCCTTCGTTACGATCATCAAGCTAGGACCGAGAATGGCTTTGTGCGTCTCCTTCTCGCCCGCCCCTAGACAAGTGCACAAGATTACGAATTCACTTATCGGGGGCGCGTAGACGTCCGTCTTGCCGTACATTCCCTTGTCGCTCTTCTTCCGAGGTAGGAGAGCACCCTGGGCATCATGTGGGATGAATGACAGCGCTTTTCCGAAAAGCTCGACGCTATCGCGATCCGTAGCTGGGCAAAAGCCAGTGTTGATAACATTGTCTGATCGGGCCATGCATTCAACAACATCGCCTTCTAAATATGCATGAATGCTGTCAGCTGGGACGAAGACTGAGTCCCCAGGTCCTAGGGTCAGATAATTCATGAGTAGAGCTGCGACAAGATTACCATTGTCGCATTCAGTGTATTGCTTGCTGAGTCGGTCTAAGAGACCTGGGATGTACGGATCCGGTCCGAAATGGGCCTCGGGAATTGCTTGCAGTTCTTTGATGGTCGTTGCGACCGTGCTTGGGGGTACACTGAGTAGTTTAATGCACACCTGTCGAAGCGTTTCATCATTGAACTCTCCCGGTGGAACAAACTTCTCCAGCGGGTTAAGTTTGAACAATGTTTGGATGTCTTTGAGTGGTTTCCAGCCTGCGAACAGCTCAAACTTGGACAACGCAATAGCAATCTCGGGCTTGTGATTGGTATCGCCGTACTTCTTAGGGTCTTCTCCGTGTAGCTTTGCGGCAAGTGTCAAGTCAGGATGGATTTGCAGCGGCAATGCTTTATTGAATGATAAGATCTGTCTTTTTAGTTGGATTTAATTTTGGCTTGGGGTTATATGCCATTTTACCTTAGGTAGAAATGGGATTTCTGGTCCAAATCGATCTAGGACTGATTTACCCACTAGCTGGGGGTTTTTCTTCAAGTAATCTCCAAGTTGTTCACCGGTAGAAAGTAGATAATTTGGGTTGGATGGATATGTTCCCATCCACATCTAGAGTCATATTAGAGCCCGTTACCAGTGTGGATGGGGCCACAACTTGAAGGGAAAGTTGACCTCGGAGTATGTTTGAGATTCATCGATCTGTCCTGAGCCTGGAGTCTTAGACCACAACTGAGCCACTACAGACTCCTTTCCTTTTTTTCCCCAGTCATCATTCTGTTGAGCAAAGAATTAGCACGGCCCATGATTCCTTTGCTATGACCGTGAGGACGTCAATACCTTCACTCCACATCGGAGTTGGACTACAGCATCCGCCATGACAGCTTTTGATGAGATGGAGATTTATCCGATTTCAAGAAATGAGCCCTGCTTTTTCTAGGAAGAGGAACTGCTCAAAATTGAAGATGAGTGTTGCAGAGGTAGCACTTTGGTGCCATGAGGCAAATTCCATTCTGCCGTCATGGTGACCATCTAACACCTACTGTAGCTAAAGCCCGCAAGGCATTCTGTCAATACCTTACTGAGACTTTCAAAGGTTTCCAGAGGGACATTCAGTCCACCAATCAATTCCAGGGGAGAAAATACACAGTGATGTTTCATTCATAGAAATATGATCAGATTGACGTCAGCTGTGGAAGCAAAGATAAATGTGAAGACAGGTGGTGTGAAGTACGCTCCGTTCGGCCAGCGAGTTGAGTCCAATTATATTAATTGAATTTTATGATAAGTGATGCTTCATGAATAATTCAATTTGTGATCTGCATGTTGAAATGGATTCCTCGGTGAAGCCGAAGAATATGAAAAGCCCACCAAACGCCTCTTAATGCCGACATTCTGTACTCCCACGCCATGATAAAAGAAAAATAATAAACACAACAAGTGAAAGGAAAACTGTCGATCTCTTCGGTATTCATATATTTTCTGAAGATATTCTGATCCATTATTCGTAAAGATCCTCAGGGTCGGGAACCATAGCCATAGTCATGGGCTTCAATGAGGAAGACCTTTTCCGATCGGCCGCCACAAAGGGAGAGGTGCGCCTTCTGGGAGGCAGTCCAAAGCTTGAACTCAGCCGGGAGCCAGACCCGTCAGAGCTCCCTCCAATACTAGACCGCAGGCTGAGACGATCATCTTCCTGATATGCAGGCCATTTCTCAGAGGGTTCTTTGCTTAGACTCGATTTGCGACCACGGTCTCTTCCTTCAAAGGGGTCTGAGAAAGAGTCTGGTCGTTCGTGAGGACTGTAAAAAGATTGTGCTGATTGACTTCGCGGAGATGGGATATCCTCGAGGTACGTGCCGTTCGTGGGGATGTACCGAAAGCGATTACTGGTATGCCCCGGCTGATCGATGACCTCAGCAGTATAATCTTTTCGGATTGGCTTGTAGGCAAAGTCTCGTCGCTTTTGATCATCTCGGATCTCTCTTTCGGACGCGCTTTCTCCCTCGAGCGGCTTCGGGCGAGATGCCAACCGCACGGAAAGTCGACCAGGTCGCAAGGCTCCCAGAGATAGTGAGCTTCGTCTAGAGACGGAACTTTTCTCAGGGGCAACCTCCTCCCTTTGATCCTCAGTATTGTCATCTTTCAATGAATTTCGGGTTTGATCAGATGGGGAGATATCTGGGATAAAGCCGGGTCCGTATAGTTGGCGTCCCTTGGCTGGCCGATGAGGATTGTCGTATTGGTTCCATGAGCCATCGGTGGGAACAGAGATGGCCACATCGCCCCAACGAGTATGAAGAGGCTTGGGGTTCTCCGGTTTGCGGAAGATGGCGAGGGGCTTCGTGACGGCACTGCTCATTCTGGTGGATGAGAGGGCAATGAGTGTCGATGATATGCAGTGGCTCCTCTTTAGGGGCAGCAAATAACATCCGTGCACTTTATTATTGACAAATTGTAGCGCCAAAAGGCAAGAGAGGGAGGAACTCGGCCAAATATCTCAGAACTCGCGAACCACCAAGGGTAACGAACGCCAGGGAAGCCACCGACGTCGAGAGATCAGCTCAAGACCTTCTTACCGACCCTAGACCTTCACTTCCTCGACTGCACGAATGACTGCATGTACAGGACAGGTCAAAACAACGGAGAGCGAGGTGTAAACTCGGATTGGGCACACCAGGATTTTGGTGAGCAATGATGTTCAAGGTGGTGGATGGGTGGCGACCCAATAAATGCAGCAGAAGAGTTGAGCTGGAAGAGCAAAAGCAAACAGAGCTGGAGGCAAAGACGTAATCAAAGAGAAACACAAGAAAGTCAAAGGGTGGGCATCTGACTTCGTCTGAAACTAGACAAGAGAAAGAGAAACTGGCTTGACAAAAAGTGTCTGGGCTTTGGAAGGCGCTCTGATATAAAGCTTGTTCATGAACGAGTTTCGTGCACTACTAGTTGCGTGGCTGATGAAGCATAAGTCCGAATGCATGTTGCGGTGCATCGCAGCTGATACTAGCCAGTTCACCAATACATCAAGTGCATTGCCGCCGGGACGGATGCAGTGGAGCGGGGCGATCGGCAGGTTTACAAGAGACTTGTTCCTTAATTAGTAGCAATTAGCTGCACCAATCTAGGATCTGGCCCCCCAGAATAGAATATTACTCTACATTAATTGCCCCGCTTTGCGTTGTAACCCTACATTATGCAGGCTAATTAAGGATATTTTTAGCCATTTCAACTTTGACAGCTCGCTGAACACTGCTAAATTATTCTGTGTTTAGTCTAGACTGAAAGCTTCGGCCGAATGAGTTAAATGACTTTTGACGTACCGAGAATGTTGACTGTCCTCATATTTGTCATAGTTCGAGTCGCATTGCTCTACACGCCCGTTCTAGCAGGGTTCCAAAAAGAACTAGCTGGGGAGAAGCGGGGTTGATACTACTGGGACGCGTCCCACGCCGAGAGAGCGGGGGGAAATGGAGAGATGGAGAACCGAGGGGCAGGCATAATGTAAATTGATTTCACGAAATTTGTACATTGCTTCTCAGCTCTAGAATCTCAATCGTAGCCATATTTTGTTCCTAACTACTAGGGGCCGATGACTACAACAGGCGTTCAGCCAAGCCACCCCGGTAGATCATGCCGCGGGTCATCATCGTTGTGGAAGATGAAGTGATGCGTCAAAGTGCACTCCCAGAAACCTTTGGTCACACGGATAGCTGCAGATTAGAGCTAGGCTGTAAATTTGATATATGATAAATCTGTTGCCAGCAAGATTTTATGACTTCGAGACTGTGATAGTTCTGGATTGGTAGCTAAAATAGAGTCATAGATTGGCTAGGAGAGCAGAAAAATCATACTCATTCGACCTCAGCGCCCTCTTGAATATGTCCGAATATATCTAGTCTTGGGCGAACCTTCCAGAGCCTGTAGTAGATGAGGACATTCCGATGTCAGCAGGTCAAGGTGGGCAAGTTGTGGTCCATGGGTGATGAGAAGAAGCAGATATGGATCCAGCCATCATTGTGAAAGCCCAGATACAATACGCGTGTAGGCGAGTTGTAGTAGCAGATAACGAGATTGATTGAATTGAGGAGAGAAAGAAGAAGAGAGGGAAGCGACGGAAGGAAGGAACTAGATACACATGGTGTGGATGCCTAAGCAGATGACTAAGGTGTCCACGCAGGCAGTAGTAATGACCTTAGTTCGTTACAATCATTTGGATGGAGCATCGTGCGAAGCGGGAATGGATCCAGAATGCACGCAATCCAGATCGATATCACCAAAGAGGGGTTTCTGCACTGTTGAGGACGGGTGCCACCCAGGCACCCGTGCCTCAGGCATTCATGTCAGAGGCACACTACTAGGAGATGAAGCAGATAGCACGAAACTGCCTCAAGGTGGTGATGAGATGAAGAAAGGAGAGAGAGAGAGAAGCTATCTAAACATGGCAGGGGCGGCCTGGGTGCCTGAGGCACGAGTGCCCAACCACTGTCTCATGTTCTAATCTTCATGGCCGCCTCGATAAACGAAATGACGAAAAGTCACCAAGAAATTACATATAGAGTATGACATTACAAGGAAACAGCCCTAATAGAGCCAAGTCCGTCTGATCTTGAGTCAAGATAAGGCTTATATTGCGAGGTTCTTGCATCAACATAGGGTTTGGATCTGAAACGGTGATCTGCAGGGCGCTCGTTTCTCCAACCACCCAAATTTAGGGAACTCCAGAACAATCATTCCAGGGCTGGTGGACCATTTTCGCCACTTCTTTTCAAAAATACTGTTTTGTTCCGTGGAAGATTCCTGGAAGGTCCAAAGTGGAGGCAGTTTCCAGCCATTCGGTCTCAATTAATACAAGTTCACATTTCAGTGCCTTGACGATGACGTATCCGACTAGCATGTACCATCTTCCAATTTTCTAGGAATGCCAAGAAAGGTACGGAGTACCTAGGTATATCTATGTTTTACAGCGGAGCATTTTTACGGTAGCAACATACGATAATCACAATGCAAAGAATCGAGAAATTTGGAATTGCCGTAGCAAAAAGAAGGTATTGAAGATGAGTCAACAAAAACAATGAGGTCCACGTGCACTGGCGGCTGTCATTGAGAATTCCAATCAAACATCCAATCCATTTGTACCCGTAGCCCGTAGCCCGTAGCCCGTAGCCCGTAGCCCGTAGCCCGTAGCCCGTATGTCGTACATGAGAATAGATAAGCCAGAAAAAAAAAGAAAATTCGACCTGATCTTGAATACAGATCACCCGCATTGCAATCTAGGCCAAAGAATAACACTGTACAACGATTGCAGTCTAGAGATCCTTCTCAAGAACGGCGTTCAGCTGCAGCTCCCGTATCCGTTCTGCAATCCCCGTCCGGCGTTTGCACAGATATCAGATACCGTGCAGTCATTTAAACGCGGGGGGTGGGGAAGGGAGGGACTCCGGTAGGGAATCCGCTAGGGGGAGGGCCCGAGGGGGTAGGGAATCCACTGGGGGGGAGGGCCCGATGGGGTAGGGAAGCCAGAGGGCTCACCGAACTGGCGCTTGCCGAAGGGAAGGCCGGTGGGGAGGCCAGATGGGATAGAGAAGCTGGGGAAGCCGGAAGGAATGGGGAGGTCGGAGGGGATACCGAACTGACGGGCCTCAATGTCGGGAGGAGGGCCAGAAGGAGTCGGGAAGCCGGTAGGGATGGGGCCTGAGGGAGTAGGGAAGCTGGTAGGGAAGCCGGATGGCTCGCCGAACTGACGCTTCTCACCGGGGAAGCCAGTAGGGAAACCGGTAGGAATGGGGAAACCGGAGGGAGTGCCAGAAGGCGCTCCGGTAGGGAAGCCGAATTGACGGGCCTCAATGCTGCTAGCAGGTGGCGGGGGAGGACCAGAGGGAGTTGGGAATCCCGATGGGATAGGACCCGATGGAGCAGGCAGGCCGGAGGCCGGAGGAGGAGGACCCTGGGGCAAAGCGAGGGCACAGCCCATCAAGCCCATAGCGGCGACACCAGTGTACTTCATTGTGGTTGTATATTAGATTTTGCTGTTGACTTGTTTAAAAGAGCGGAAGTTTATCGTGATCAAACTCGATAACGACGTAGAGATTGGGTATAATAAAGTTAAGACAAGGAAAGAGGAGCCCAAGAATGATAGCAAGGCGGATTAAGGATCTCCTTTATAGGGCTATATTCGGGTGGCTGAACAGATTGACCCGCAAGTCTGTTTAGGCAGCTGGGTCCTCAAACATGATGGAGACTCCGTGATCGGGCAATGAGCTCAACAATTCGCCTCTCTGAAGGCTGGGCCGCGATATGGCACGGGAGACGTAGAAGGCGGGATGTCGATCTCTAGACCAGAGGACCCAGAAGGGACAAGTCCTCATCGGCCTTGACCAGAAAAGAACTAGGGCGCCAAAGAAATAGCGGAGTCATGTCCCTGAGGGTCCTGTCAGGAACAAGGGACCGAAAGGGACTTGTCCATCTATTTTCTGAGCCTGATCAATTGCCCACCAGTGCTTTCGAGCCTGATACGTGTACGGAGTACATAGCAAGCCTTTGCCATGGAGACCGCTGAGCACTCCATAGAAAGCCGCAAGTGCCGCACCAGCGGAGATGGGGCAAGTATCGACATTCGCTTGCAATGCTCGAACGGGTAGCCCATACGAAGAGAAGGTAGAGTGACGATCATGTTCCATGTATATTCAAATGCCGGGGTGGTCTGACCGTATCATATTCCGCCCTGCTAACAGATGTTCAAGGCAGGTGCCAGATGTGGATCTTTATCCAGAGGACCAGCATTGATGGGTCCGGCCAAGAGTAGGAATGAGGCCGGCGAGCTTAATTTCGGGCCAAGAAGAGCTTTGATTCGGCTTGTTAACTAGGCTGAAGTTGTATAGAACTCAGCCTAAAGCATCGGCAATTCCGAAGTGTCCCTTTTCCAAAAGGGACAAAAAACGGGATATCAATTGGAGTATCAAGATCCCCTGCATGCGTGACCAGGATTATCAGAACTCTATTTTATTTCTGGGCTTCCTAAGCTGGCCAGCGGCGGCTGCTGGAATCCTTTCATCATGAAATCCACAATCGCCACACTGGCTGATACGGTTCATGTATCAGGGCAGAGAGGAATTGTGGGTTCTCCCATGGGTAAAGTGGACATGAGAGTCGCGCGCGGCAGGCAAAAAGGCTGACGATCGCAAACTGATTGATAACGTGCTGGCCAATTGCTCGCGATGGATCGGCAGGTGGACCAATTCGGTTCCAAAGTTGTACGGAGTACAATATCTCGCGTTTCGCCTCGGGGCTGGGCATCTCAAGTTGGAATCGGAGATGTGGCCCTGGTAACGCGGCTTGTTGTTTACGGAACATAAATCCTCCGTCGTTGTTGCACGAACAGGGTACACCGACTCGGACGTGTCCAAAGCCCCTCCCATATCCATATCCGTGACAACCTTGGAAATTAAATGTGATCATCAATGGTGATCTTCGGCATCCAACAGCGCGCTCAGCAGTTCAAAAACGGATGAAACATGGCGCTGATTTGAGCGGGAGAGGCGTTTCACCCTCAGTGCTGGTCAGTTCCAGGCCCTTGTCCTCTCGGCTTCGGCCACGGCAAAGGACTGGGGGAAAGTCTGGAATGTCGCGAGTCTGTAGCAAACGTGAATGGGTTCCCACCACGCGTCGTCAGCCCAAGACCAAACCGGCAAAGAGTACGGAGGGCCCTAACAGTCCAACTCCACCCAAGGAACGTTTAGTGGCAGGTGTGGAGCCCATGACTTAAGGATCGCCATCCCCTGAGTTTTGCTAAAGAAGGGCTGTGAAATTCTTTGAAAGATGAAGAATCGTGCGAGGTGCTGGGCTCAAATCAGACGTTGGATACGAAGCACTTGGTTGGAACTCTGTAACTACCTCCTGCAGGTACGAAATTTTAGACGACGTGTATGCCTTCATGCTATACCATTCCAGGCAAGGGAGTGACATCGTGCAGCAGCATGCAGCAATCCAGAAACCCTTCACGACCATCACCGCCGATGATTCCCGCTCGTGGTTTGCCAACCTCCACCCCTTAGGACCCAATGACCCCGTTGGCTGCTCACACACACCCACCAGGTTCCCTTGTGGAGAAGGTGGACAATGCAGAACGGTTTACAGACGGGCTAACATGTACGGAGTAATAAATCCCATCTCTCCTCAACTCGGAGACGATAGAAGAAAAGGGTTTAGCTCCACGAATAACCTTTGGAAGAACGGTGCGCCAAGGGCGGAATTCGTATTGTTGACTGGGAATGTAGATACTGTCGATCTCATACTCAGTGGGTAAATGTCAGTACACATTCATACTTAGTCACCTAATTTGTGAAGTCATGTGATAACCCAATGACCAATCATTGTTGCTCGGTGTTTGCTTGGCGGTCAGTGATCACTAAGCCACTGATTACGTAAGGTTCCACTAGGACGTATCATCCAATCAGTGGTGATTCTTTTCCCGCACCCCAATGTATGTACTCTGTGATACCTGGTGCGTCAATGGCACCCTCGAGGCCCTCTCATTCTAGAGGTCTCCATCTTATGAAAACTGGCCCAAACAACAAAATTAAGGTGGGCCTCTTCTATTCAAGATTATGTAATTTAGAGCGCCTTTTGCATTCTCATATGTTCTGTGACCCAAAATATATATGGAGACCTTGTCCCCTCCATGGCCCTGTTAAAACCTTAGAAGCCACCTCCATGGATCATGATAAATCTCACTATCCATTGCCTACCTGGAGGTGCCAGTGGTACTATCACAATTAACTCCTAGGAGCAATACTCACGTAGTAGGAGATGGGTTTTCTCCGGGTCTCCTTTCTCTAGGGATGCTTCAGGTTTATAAGTTAGTACGATTGAAGCATTTTCCGCTCAACACTATTGTTCTCCTCTTCTCGCCAAGCGGGCATCCATGGAGTGCATTTTTCTTGGCATATTCTATGGCCAGGTGACTTTATTTCATATAATACCTACTAGTAGTTTTCTTTCGACCCACCTAGTTAAGGTCCTTTACCTTGATACTAGTAGGTTCCTTCCCAGTGCTGGATAGTCTAGAGTCTCTCCGTCCCTTTAGTTGAACTTCTAAGGTTTCTACTAAACTCTAGAGAGTTAATACTGATAGGGAATCATAAACGACTAGCTTGAAATTATAATTTTCATTAGCTAGGGAATTAGAGAATCACGATAAAAGATCTATTCGGTTTAGAAATACTTAGTGCTAGTAGAGGTAATAAGAGCTTTATCCTATTTATGTACTAGCAGTTCTTTTAATCTAAGTTTATCGGAAACTTCTCTCGGATCAATTGTCCATACCGAGTGAAAATAATTGGAACAGGAACAAAAGCAAGTGCAATAAATCCGAGCAAAGTGTTTCCCCAGCCTAGACCAAGGCGGTCGTAGAGTTTTGGTCCCGCCAAGGGTAGTAGCGCACCAACTAGCGATCGTGCCATAGTCAGCAAAGCATTTGCAGACGCTGCATAGGCCAAGTGACTGTCAATAACATAGGTTTGGACAGGGAGATATAGACCCATGAGACCGAAGCCAAACGGCACCATGCCGAGAATGGGAACGATCCAAAACACTTCGTTCTCGGCAGACCATCCATACCAGAAGAAGCTGACGGGAATAAAACAGGCATAGAATATCATAGTCGGGAGACGCATTTCAGGCTGGTATTTGCCATTATTCCGGGCGATTGCCTTCACGATGATGCGATCACTAGTGCGTGCTTGGACGACGAAGCCGATAAGAAATCCGAGTCCGATACCTAGATATGCTAGCCCACTGATACCTGTGGACCAATGATAGGTATTGCCGAAGACGCTCGGGATTGTGGTGAAAAATAGATACAGGAAACCATAAATTATGGCTAGGTAGGTTGAGAGGAGCAGAACAATCGGCGACCTGACATAAAGTATGAGTGGTCGTTTAAGGCCGCGTAATAGCATGGTTTGCAATGAGTCCTGAATTTGTTTTGGCTCATACACGCTGCGAAGATCAGCACGGCCAAGCTCCTTGGAAAGAAGCTCTGTCTTTCGACGGATGAGGACAACGGCATAGGTCTCCTGGTTCAAGAATTCGATACCTAGGGAGACCACCCCACCTAGGATCATTAACAACCAGAAGATCCATCTCCAGCCGATAGTCTCACCCATAAAACCTCCAGCAACAGGTCCAATGGATGGGCCAACCAACGGACCTAAACTCCAAAGCGAGGTGGCTAAACCACGTCGTTCAAGGGGAAATAGGTCGGCGATTACGCCTGCTCCCAGTGTCAGAGGACCAGATCCTCCGATGCCAGCGAAAAACCGGCAGACAATCAAGGTTTCAACGTTTGTTGCGAGAGCACATCCAATTTGCCAAACGATGAAGAACCAGTTTGAACCGCTCAGAACGATTCGGCGGCCGTATATTTCACTTAGAGGAGCCAGAAGAAGGGGACCGGCCTATAGAGTGAATCAGAACACGAACTGTGAAACTCACAACAACACGGAAGCTCTGTCTAGGTGGTTGAGAGAGGGACTGGAAAAAACTTACAACATATCCAATTAAATACACACTGACAGTGAATGATAGCAAAGTTTCATTCTCAATATGCAAGTCCTTTCCAACATAGCTAACGGCCGGCGAGAACATACTTGATGCTAACGGGGAAACAAAGGTCACGGCTGATATGAGAAATAGCAGAGTCCACTTCTTTGCCGACGAAAAGTTTTGTGGATTCTGGGGATCATCTTGGCCATCCCAGCCCACCAGTCCCTGATCGAGGTCGGTTTCAGGGTATTCTGTCAGTTGTGCAGGCTGTGCCGACTGGGGGTGATCGGACTCTGTTTTCTCAGAGCGTGGATTCACCCTCCCATGTGTTACTGTTATCGTTGAATCTGCGACCGACGTTTGTGACGATATGTTTTCGCTAGTGCTCATCCTAGACAGAGGTCCCACGGCCGCGAAATTGGTGAGCGGTCTTTCTGGTGTTTTTGACTTGGGTTCGCTCATACTGGGTGGGTGTATTTTGCAGGTGAATATGTTAACTTCAATGTCTCGACGAATCTAAAGACTGGGCAGTATCTAACTCATTGATTTGTAGGACGAACCCGGACACCTGCAAGAGCCCTGGAGAGAACTGATAATTCAAAGAGAAAACCAGGCCGAAACTTGGGGTCCAAAACTATTTATCTTCTCTGATACCTCGACTTGATGCATGAAAATCCGGTCAGACGACTATCCGTGCACAGCTGAAACTGAGATAATTTGGCCCCCAAATTCATAAGAACTCATTTTAAACCCCATTCCGCCCCCGGACCGTCACGAACTCCGCCGCCGGAGAGACTACAAATATCGCCTCAGGGCACTGAAAATGTACGCCTTACCCGGGGTCGGCGTTCAACAAGTTTCGTGATATCGTCAGCTGAAGCCATATCCTTGCTCTTGATACAGCCGTATGTTAGCTGTGTTGCAAACAAGTGAAGCCGAAACATATCCGACTTATCATATTGCAATGTCCCCTTTTGGCCCTTGCTCCACTATCTGCAGTAGATTCCGGTCTTTAATGCGACCACGGTGATAGCGGCTTTAACGGGGATAATATAGCCTATCTGAGATGCTTTACTCTATGAAAATAACGTATGTGCATAAGCGGGAAACGATAACCTTGGAAGTGGCTGGTTTTGCTTAAGGTCCACATTGACTCTTTTATTTCCCATCAATCCCGAAGAGGGGACATAAAAGTCGAGATCCTGACATTTGAATTAGCCAAGCTATGAGAGATATTTTTGTAACTCCAGGTTGGATCTTGAAGCCTTAGGTTTGATCAGCCACCCGACCTTGGGATCGACGTTCCAGCGGATGATCAGCCCTGGTGCATGATATAGGCATATCGTAGCTTTTGATGAAACCGAATGCATTATCCATTTCTCGCCATGTTATAGTATCTGGCAAAAATGGGTTAAAGTTGAACAATCGTTGACTAAATTGGCATTTGCCCGAGTATGATCTTCAATGCTGATAACATCAATATTAGGCATAGTCTTAATTTTATTCATGTAGCTATCTCATAGGTAAAGGGCATGCATGTATCTTCTGATTATTGTCCGCTTTGCCAAAGGAACGAGTCAGTTACGGTGACAATCAAATTTGCAGTTCCACCGTTCATATAGGTGATCAAGATGGATGTATTTCACAGTTCAATTGCGTGGTCACTAATATCTACATTTCTACCATAAGATCAAGGTTAAGACAACCGAGCATTCTTCTAGTTTAAATCCAAGCGTTAAGCAGCTAGGAACCCAGTCGCCTTCCAATGCCGAATATAGCTTCCAGCGGTCTCGTTGCTCACAGATCCCAGTGACGCAAGTGTAGGTGAGTGTTGCTGCGTATGAACGGTGTCCAATAGCAAACCACCACAGGACATGCGTAGGAAGTTGTCGTCCAGGAAGTCAATGAGCTTGAACGCGGGATTGTCTTTCTCGACAGATCCAGGGAAGTGTCTCACACGAGACACCCATTCTGTGAAAGGAAGAATTTTGGTCTGTGGAATTTTAAGGGCAGCTGCTAGGACTGGGACCATGTGGCTCCAGGCCTGACGAACGGGATTGTCGATGTGGTAGATAGGATAGACAGTGCTTGCGGCGGAGAAATCAGAGGCACTGTAGGAAACCAGATCTGCCAAAGTCGATGCAACAGCATCCACCGGAGTCCATGACAGCTCGCCCTTGAAGTCTGGGAATGCGCGAAGGGTTTGGGAAGACTTGATCAAAAAACTCAGATGCTCCAGCGAGTTCCAGTAGCCAGTTTTGCTACTTCCAGCTACCTGGCCTAGACGGACACACATGGGGCGGAAATATTCTGGATACTTGTGCAATGTAGCGTCAAGCATACGTTCGCAGACATACTTTGCGTCTCCGTATCCATTTGGTAGTATCGATTCAATACCAACGTTCTCGCGTTCTCGGACATTTGGATTACCGCTCCAGAGCGGATAGTGGCCAACGACAGCAATGGAGGAGATGAATTGGAAAGTGATTGTCTGGGATACGTAGGCTGCATCGCGCGCAAGATCAATCATGTTGCGCATGGTTGCAAATTGCGCTTCGAAACCTCGAATTGGTCGGGCGCCACTCATGGGCCACGCGTTGTGTACGACAGCAGTAACCATCCCGGTAAGCTCTCGATAGCGTTCGGCAGTGAGGCCCAATTGAGGCTTCGATGTATCGGTTTCGATGATGCGAAGCTTGGAAAACTGATAAGACGAACCTAGTTCCAGTCCCTTTTCCTCCATCGATCTCTGTTGTCGTTGCTCGGGGTTATTCCCGCGACTGAGGCGGTTGAGGCAGATCACTGTCTCAACGTCGGGTCTGCCCAGAAATTCCATCACCAGGTGTGCACCGAGACTACCTGTTGCCCCAGTCACGAGGACACATTGTGCACGAACTCCCTTGCTATTGACTTGGGGTGATGCCGGTGGTTGCATAGCAAAGCCGGAAGTGAATCTCTCCAGGTAGTCATTTACAGCGGCCGCTCTCTCAGTAGTGTTGAAATTTGACTGTATTGTTTGCTTCGGAGGAAGACGAAGTCGATCGAATCTACAGCAGCATTCAGGTCAGCCGAGGTATTAGGGCTATGATGGTACAGCGGAAATGTAATCATACTGCGGACCAGAAGCCATGGCAATGATGATGCGCTGTAGCTTGTTTTCTGGTAGGTGACCATCCGTCCACTCTACATGACCATAGCCAACTGAATGCAACTCCGTCTCCCACCGGGATTCATGAGTGATCGCATGTTTACGACCGTCATCAAATAACCACCAGCCCTCGAGGAGGCCGAAAATAATATCCACCCATGGAACAGTTTGAGTCATTTCAAGCATCATCAGGAAGCCGTCTGATCGGAGCATCTTGCGCATATTCCTCAATGAAATAGTCAAGCTGTGGGTAGCATGAACAGCGTTGCTGGCTATGACGAGATGTTGCGTTCCGATGAGATCTTCTGCGGGCTCTTTCTCAATATCATGGACGCGGAAATTCATGAATGGGTAGGCCTTATACTGTCGGCGAGCAGCCGCAACGAATGATGGTGCAAGATCAGTGAACGTATACTCAACAGGCGCTCCAAGGTTTGCTAGCAGTGGTACAAGATATTTCGTCGTTCCACCTGTACCAGCACCCATCTCAAGGATTTTAAGAGGACCGGAACCCTGCGGGATGCGGGAGATCAGACGAGTCAAAATATCCTCCATTTGTTTATAGAAGATCTTGTTGAGCTGAGTGTCTCCGTATAGCCCCGAAACAAGTTGTCGACCCTCTTCATTACCAAAAATCAACTTCACTCCGTCAAGCTTTCCTTCAAGCACTTCGACCAAGCGTGTACCGCAGAAGAAAGCCAGACGATTAGCGCAGCTGTGCTCTGGGAATGCAGCTTCTAAGCTAGCCAGTATCTCCTTGCTAGATTTGTGCGTTACGGAGACAGCTGTTCGCACGATTTTGCCGTCATCAACGTCGATCAATCGCCCTTCGTTCTCAAGCATGTCGTAGAGATATTGCGTCAACCGTTCATGCTGCGGAGCATGGCTGATGAGAGGCAAGGTCTCACCAGCTTTGGCCGTCCGCAGATTGCAACCAAGCTTCTCAAAGGCATCGATAGTAAGGGAAATGCAGAGTTGAGTTTGCTTTGGGTTGACATTATCCATGTAGCCAGAACAATTGAAATCTGTGATGAATTGATCGGTAAGTTTCTTTGCTTCTTCGAAAGTTTCGAGCACGTCTGAAGCAGAGAGCTTGAGTTCACGTGCCGAGTCCTTCTTAGACAGTTGATCAATGTCTGAAAAGCTTGATTCGGAGACTGGGGCGGTACGTGGGCTCTGAGTGCAACTTGAAGGTGTGAGGTTGCTGTCATCATCTTGTCCTTCAAATCCTCCTTCGATACCGAGTGTTTTGTGAATGCATTGCACAACGTCTTCCGCTGTGACCACTTCTGCCATCATATCCATATCTAATGAGCATTCACACTTAGACTCCAAATCATGAACCATCTCCATGCCAACTAGTGAGTCTATCCCAATGTCCGCAAGCTTCGTTGACATCTTGATGGCGTCGGGCTCCACACCAGACAACTCCGCAAGGACTTCAACGACAATGCTAGGGATCTTCGAATTGAAGCCTTCCCCAGAGCTTGGCGCTGAAACAGAGACTGGTTCTCTTCCTTGTGCTTCCGGCTTGACTGTTGCCGGCCCCGATGAGCTAGGAGGTGCAGTGATTGATGGAGCCATGGACGGCGACTCAATCTCAACTTTCTTCACTCCCGGGCCAGTCAGCTTCGTCAGCATCTTGGCCATTAAAGACTTTGGTAGTTTCGAATAGTTAATGCCAAGGATGACCTCACAAAGAACACCACTCGTGGCATCAAAGATGAAGATATCGGTAGTGTATGCCTTTTCTGACGCCTTGAAGTGATACGCCACAATGTCCCATATAGAAGCCTTTACGGAATCATCGGGTGAGGTTGTACTTCCCGGCCTGCGAATCCAGGATTCAAAGCCAGCCGCAATATACATGTCGGAGGCCGAGCGATCAGTCATACAGTTCACCCAGAACCCTCCTATCTGACTGAAGCAGTCTGAAAGATGAGTATCGAGCCAAGTCTCTCCCAAATGCTGCTTGACAACTCGACCAGCGGAGGTGGTCCCTTTCCCAACAAGCTTTTGAAGGCCGCGATAAGGCTCAGAGTAGTCCACAATCTCAGCGAAAACTTTGTACATGTTCCTCCCCTGGAGAACATCATCCGGATCTGAGGCGTTGAGTACCTCTGTGCATCTATGGTGGGGAACAAGACGGTCGTAACGGGAGAACTCCGCTTGAGCATCAGATGTAGACTGAAATATGATCTGGCCTTTCACGTGTGTTGATTTTGATTCCCCGCTTTCACTTGTGCTGACCATTTGCCATTCCCAGTTTTTAAAGTCAGACCCAGTTGCTACGAGGTCTAGCCAGAGGACACGAGAGGGGTCAACACATATCGGGACCATATTTTCAACATTTGCGATCTGTGGTTGTAGGCCAGCAGCTTTGAAGTCGGGACACAAATAGAAAAGTGCCTCGATTGCGATGGAAACCTCCAACGTTGCTGGGCAAATTGGAGCATTTTGCACGATCAAATGACCGGAAACAAAGTCCTCATAAGCTTGGATCATTGTATTGATCCTGAAGCGTGCCTTCTGCTTCGCTTCGTCTTCGTAACCAATGAATGTGTATAGTTGTGTTGGAAGGTCTTCAAGTTGGGTCTTTGACGACTCGATTGGTTGGATTGCCTGGGGCTTCTTGAGCTCGAGCCAATGGCGTGACTTCTCAAACTGATATGGGGGAAGTAGAAGTGTTGAATAGGTCTTCGCCTGACTGTGATGATGGGCCCAGTGTGGAATAGCAAGTCCCTCCTTCCACATATTTACAAAGCTATCCGACAACGCTTGCATGCTAGACTCGGAAGTGATGTTGATATCAGCGAAATAAGAGTCAGAAGGGAAGCCGAGGGCTTTATTGGCCATTTTTGTGATGGTTGAGTTTGATCCAGCCTCCAGCCAGATTGCAGAGGGGAATTCTTGATGAAGTCTCTGGAAGGCATGGTTGGCGTAAACTGGATCTCGCATGTGCGATGCGAAGAACTCTGGCCCGACGCAAGAAGAGGAAGGATTCTCAGTGGCCCTCTCCCACCGATATCTTGGCTCTCCGAAAATCACACCTTCAGCTAGCTTTCCAAGCTGGTCTCTGAGTGGTTCAACAAGAGTAGAGTGAAACGCGTTGGATACTGAAAGTTTCTTGCCACGAACTCCGGGAGCCGAGGAGATGCATTCACCTACTGCGTCGATAGCTTTGGTGGATCCAGCCAGCGTGAAGCTTGTGGGCCCATTGTAGCAGGCCACAGTGGCAGGTGTTTCCTTGGGGCATCGGCTTTCGGCAGTTCTTAGTAGAGTGTCTACGTCGTTCAAATTACCCTCCACTGCCATCATAGCCCCTGGTTCAGTACCCCAGCTAGTATTGATAAGCTGAGCTCGCCCAGCGACCACTTGAAGCGAGTCCTTGAGAGTGAGCACACCGGCGATACACAGAGCAACAAGCTCTCCGAAGCTGTGTCCAACAACCGCCACAGGCTTGATGCCACATTCAATCCAGCATTTTGCACATGAGTACTGCAAAGCAAAAAGCATAGTCTGGAGCTTGACAGGGTCATCAACCTGGCTCTTCTTGAAAATCGTGGGATATAATCCATCGAGACTGAGTGCCTCGAGAGTTGCACTGCAGCGATCAAGGTATGTGCGCAGTAAGCCAATGGAATCGTAGACTCTTTTGTCCAACCCAACAAATTTGGAGGTTTGGCCTCCGAAGCAAAGTATGACTGGACGAGCTGGCTTTCGCATCGTGGCAGTCAGTCTCCCCTCTCCCTGGGCAAAGTCACTCAATTGAATCTGTAGCTCTTCAATTGAACCCGAGCTGAAAATCAGACCTTGCGACAAAGCTCGATTTGACTGGCGGGATGCATTAAAGGACAAACTAGCAAGCGATGAAATTGTTCGAGATGCAACGAAGCTACTCAATCTGCTCGCATAATCGCGAAGACTCCGTTCATCAGACCCAGTGAGCCAGAATACATGCTTTTCAAGATCGCTGGAAGTGGGAAATGATCCGTTGCTGAGGGCCTTCGGTGGCTGTGTCACAATCATTGATGCATTAGACCCGGAGGCTCCGTAATTGTTGATGAGCGCAGCGCGAAAGTCAACATTCCAAGGTGTCTGTCTTGTGCAAATTTGAAGCATATCATCCGCAGTAGCTTTCAAACCAGGGCTCAATTTTTCGAAGCTTGCCTGGGGTGGAATTACACCATAATGAATGAGCAAGAGGACCTTAATCAAGGCCACCACACCAGAAGTGCATTCGGTGTGTCCAATCAATCCCTTTACAGATCCAACAGGCATGGGAACTGATCGTACAGATCTTCCACCTAAAGACTTCCGGATACTATCCCACTCGGCTGGGTCTAAATACCGATGTTAGACTGGCTGGAGATATGATGGGCATTGATCAGGGGCTTTATACATACCACCGACAGGGGTGCCAGTCCCATGAGCTTCGACAAGACTGATATCTTTAGGAGAGAGGCCAGACTTCTGTATAACATCATCGAAGAGACCGGAAAGAGACGGTGCGTTTGGAACAAATATGGGCGTGCAATTGTCATTTTGATACACAGCCGTACTCCGAATGGATCCAATGATCAGGTCGCCCTTTCACTTGGGGTCAGCTGGAATCGTCGTAGAGAATACTCGGTAGTCGGAACTCACGTCCTCAATAGCCTTGGTCATCTTTTTCAGGAACACGCACGCAACACCTTCTCCACGACAGTAACCATCTGCCTTCGCATCGAAGGCCTTGCATGGACCTGTCTGACTCAAGAATGAAGCACCTGCGAGGTTTTGGAACCAGAGTGGGGATGTCATGACATTAGTGCCTCCAGCCAAGGCTGCTGTACACTCCCCAGTCTGAATCGCTTTACATGCTTGATGAACTGCAACCGCAGAGGCCGAACATGCGGTATCGATCGTCAACCCAGGCCTGTAGTATAATCATATCAGCACTGATATCTTGATCTATGAAATCAGAGTCAGGTTGGGAGGCTCCACATACCCATGCCATCCAAAATAATGACTTATCTTCCCTGCGATGAAACTCTTCAAATTTCCCGTGGCTGAGAACGCGTTCGGGGGATAGCAGGCGATGTTCGCTTCGTAATCGGCGGCACATACTCCCACGAACACTCCCACATCTCTATCTGCATGGGGAGAATTGAAATAACCCGACTGCTCCACCGCCTGGTAAGCAGATTGAAGGAAAAGTCGTTGCTGAGGATCTTGGGTAGTTGCTTCACGGGGAGACTTTTGGAAGAACCTGGGATTCAGAAAGAAAGGTTGAGTCAGATTATAAATGATCGAAAAAGGAGAATCCGATTACTCTTCTGGGTAAACTTACTTGTGGTCAAATGCATCGTGGTCTCGCAAAAAGTTACCATACCACTTTCTCGTGGGGTCTGCGGTGCGCCACTGGGTATCAAAGGTAAACCGTTCTTCTGGAACCTCCTTGTGTTGTGACTCTCCTGTGAGATTCAAATCCCAGAACTCATCGGAATCGTCGGCCCCAGCAACCTTAATGGCCATTCCGATGACCGCAATTTCGTCTTCGGAGACTGTTTCGGCGGTTGTCTTGAGAGCTGAGAGTCTTGAGCTCGCCTCTCGCTGATCCGTCATGTAGATGACTTGTCCAATCACCTGGGGCATGGCAGTAGGAGGAACGCACTTTTCGGAACCGAACAAAACGACCAAGGATTGTTTGTTGACAAGGCTTGATCGCAACATGTTATCAAACGTCTTGCCCCATTGCGATTGCTCGACGAGAATTTCTCGAAGGGCAATATGATGCAACCTTCCTTTGGTAATCAGTTCACCACCGGAAAGTGAACTCAGTGGGATGACTGTATCAGCAACCTCTGGAAGTTGAAGCTCAGGCGTAGAATCGCATATTTCTATCAAGCGTGCAAGGTCTTTCTCGTAATCTGGATAATGGAATCGACCTCGGAGACCGATGGCCTGAGCCGTTATGCCTGTTTCTCGGAGTCGTTGTTGGAGTACTTGCGCAGTACTCTTGGAAGTTGTGATGGTTGCTCGACTTTCATCGTAACTGACAGAAATATACGCCTAAAGATTCATTTTGGATATCAATACATGCAAAGATGTACTAGTAGCAGATTGTGTTGGTTTGCTTACCTCGGGAAACTCTTGCAGTATGTTTTTCAGATGCATTTCTTGCTGAGAATAATGATACACAGCAGAAAAACTCTTTGATTCGCCGTATTGGCCAATTGCATCCTCTGCATCCACCAGAGCCCCAATCACAGCAGCCAGGCGAACCGCTACCATAGCGTATCTTTCAAATTCGGCCTTGTTTGAGGCACTGGAAACAACAATCGCACTCAAGAGGCCGGTGCAGAAGCCCAGGCTTCGGATGCGACGAGGCTGAGGACCATATCGATCTGCACCAAGCCCTGTCTCGACATGAGCTAGTTTTACATACTGTGAATACTGTGCCAGTTGATCAAGAACAACGAGAGGTGTGAGGAGAGCATTTGGAAGGCTCTTGGAAGTAGCTGGGACCATGCACTCCTCAATCTTCAGCCAGTCCTTTAAGCCGTCCTGTAGCCTGGCTGCCGGAGTGGCCTCAAGCCTGGGAAGTTTCTTAGCAACCTGATTAGTGTATTCCGGGAGCTGCTCAACAACTTGGCGCATCCAGGCATTTTCAGCGGTATCGCTCAACGCAACTCGCACTCGTTGAAGAGATTCTTCAGTGAATGACAAAGCCTGGGGCCCAAATAGAAGAACTGTCGTGGCTTCTGCGTCGTTTCGATTGGAAGCCATAATTTTAGGTCTTATTGCCGGAATGACCGTGGTGAAAAGATGACTATTTCGGTGTCTGGATAATAATACAATAATTTGATAGTCTGGTGTAAGGGAAAGGGAACGTTCAAAATATTCATTCCAAGGTTCTTCCTGACATGCAACGACCCCGACGCTTCACTTTGTCTTCGCATCAAGAAAGCATAGACATGCCGATGTCCGAGCTTCATGCATATTCGGCACGAAGAATAGAACAATTACGGCCTCAGCCGGACAAACATCCGATTGAGTGGCTAAGAAGTGTGGGTGAGATTCTCCGAGCAAGGGCCGTAAAGACGGAGTTCGACATGTCAGAACCTTGAATCCTTCCAAGTTCAACAAATCATGCCCCACCTCGGACCTACACAATTGCCCGAACATCTGACCTAACGCACGGCTTCAGTCTTGGCACTAAGCGGCTCATGTTTATTTTCCTGAACAAATCGACCGGAAAGTTCTATGTTGTGCCCCTGAATTGTCAACAAGAAATCTTTGGTATAGGCGCATCACAATGGTAGCTTTCTCCGCCATCTTCCAAACGGTCTTAGGTCTGAGCGCGACCAAAAATCTTGAATTGCTATTTGGCCCATATCTGTCACCACAGGCAGAAATTATCCCCGGGGCCGATACCAATTTCTCTGCTAAGTTACAACAGCGATGGACGGACTACAAAGCCCCTTCGTATGGTGCTGGAGCAATCAAACCGGCGACTGCCTATGATGTCCAAAGAATTGTGCAAATCGCCAACGAAAACTATATCCCATTTTTTGTGACTGGGGGTGGCCATGGTATCTCTGATTATCACGATTTTGACGGTCTCTCCATCGACTTGGGCAAGTTCAATACAGTTGAAAGCAATGCCGAAGGAGATCGTTTGACCATTGGCGGAGCTGTAAAGATACACCAACTCATAAAGCCTCTGGCTGAACTGGGCAGGGAGCTTCCACTTGGATCTTGCGCGTGTGTTGGGGTGGTAGGTGCAACCCTGGGCGGAGGTATTGGCAGTCTTCATGGCCACCGCGGCCTTCTCGTGGATTTTCTTGATGAGGTCGAAGTTGTTACCGCATCTGGTGATCTCATCAAAGCATCGGAATCACAAAATGCAGATCTCTTCTGGGCGCTGCGTGGAGCAGGTAGTAATTTTGGAATCGTGACGTCAGCAACGTACAGACTTCCGAAAGTTTCGAACAATGGAAAATACGTGAACGCAGACTATGTCTATCCCGTTAGCACCAATCAATCCTTTTTTGAAGTGATGGAGAAGTTCGATGAGACTCTACCATCTCGGCTTTCAATTACCGGCGCTTCATTCTTTGATCGCATAAACAACAAGGTAAGCAATCCGGAAAGGAATGTTCAACTGCACGATTGGATCTTTAACTTCGGTACAGCCAGTTATCATTGTGAACGCTGTTTTCTTCGGCTCACTTGAGGAAGCAGCCCCTTTTTTGCAGCCGTTTGAATCTTTGCAGCCAGAAATGAGAAATGTCTCCAGCATTCCAGCGGAACAGATGATGGATGCTGCTTTTTTCAACTTCTTTGGAATGGACAATGGCGCTTGCACCCCAAATCAGCACATCAACATTTATACCGTTGCCCTTAGGCAATTTCATGCTTCCACATTCGAATCCTTCTATTCCAAACTGGTCGACTTTTGGACTGCCAATCCAACCTATCAAGGCCGTTTGCTCATTCAGCGCTATTCGAACGAGGGCCCGATGGCAGTTCCGGATCATGCAACTGCCTACGCCTACCGCGATGTGAAAACCTACATGTGAGTAAGATGAAGAGAATCGTGGTAATCTAGGTCACTCACGTGTTTTTGAATCAAAGGAACATCGAGGGCTTCTATCCCGATAGTAGTCTCGATGATGCTGTTAATAAATTTGCTACCTTGAGTCGACAAGATTTCGCAAAAACGAGTGGCTTCGACCGGCTGGCGGTTTATTCCAACGTGAGCAAAAACGAAAAAACAGGCAACCTGAAGCTTTGAAACTGACTGAATCTACTAAACAGTACGCTCGTGGTGATGAGGGTCCAATAGCTTGGTATGGTGATCGGAAGCTGCCCAAGTTGTCGGCCCTGAAGCGCAAATGGGACCCTGAACAACGGTTTAGTGTGAATAACCCCGTTCCACTTCAATGGGAAACAGAACTGTAATTAGCTACGATTGAGGTCTTTGGTATAGAAGATGAGGAGACTGATTATTGAGCTAAATGGCTAGGACATCTCATCTTTGTCTATGAATTAAGCTATGTTCAGATCTACTTCAAGCCCCTCTTTCAAATGCCATGCAACTCGAGACACAACTTCGCTCGCCATTGAGTCAGAGTAGTAGGCTTCATTATAGTTGAGCGAAAGACTCAGTCGTCCTTTGAATGTCCAGGCATACAAGATCGTTTGTCTGGTCATCATGCTAACGCCAAACCGAAACTTGTCAATCTGAAGTTTTGGTCCATAATCGCTTCGAAGATTCCGATCTATGATGCCAAGGCTACTCAGCGTCACGCCACTTGGAGGCTTCCCAGGAGCTCCATTCACACGTGGCGCCGAAACTTTGGCAAGGTGATACACATAGATCCACCAAAGTGACCGCATGAATTCGGCACTCCCCCAATTATGATATTCGTCGGTTAAGGCACGCGCAGATTCCACAAATCCGCTGTCATAATGTACGGTCGGCGTGATGCTTGCCACGAATGTCTGACATGCGTGTTTCCTACCATCAAAGGGAGGAGGCAGGAATGGTCTCATGTTGACAGCCATCACTGTTGTATAGCCTGCCTGGCACTCCTTCTGGGTCAGGTATGAGAATACAGTTCGTGCCAGAGCCGTGTGGACTGCCGCGGTAACACTTATTTTCTTGTTCTTGCAGGCGTTCATGATGACATTCGTATCGTCCGCCGAGAATTCCAAGTCCCGGTGCGTGGAGCGGGAGGGTGGTGTGGTTGCTCCTCCTTGAAACGGCAATCCTCCAGCATTGACGGCCTTCTGATGAAAAGTATTGATGTATTCACGAGCATACGCTTGTACCCCTGCATCCTCAGTCTTCAAGGCTCCTGCGGCGGATTCGAAACTCGGTGTGGGCAGATTTTGCCGGACTTCATCGTGCAGTGTGGAATGATCATTCGATCCGGCCATGATCTCAAACAGTCTATCCAATAACATACAAGCCCCCAGAGCGTCTACTCGCCAATGTTGAATGGAAAGCAAAATTTCAGATGAGGCGGGAATCCAATATAAACTCGGTAGATCTTTTGGCTTGGCTTCGCTGATGATTGTATCAGCGCACAGATGGCCCGTTTCGAAGAATGTATTCTCTGCCCATGACTGTATACCAGTATCATCTAGTCTGGAGTATTTCTTCTGCAGTCCAACTGGGATCATGCTCAGTCCGGGATACTCGACTAGTAACTGCATCCAAGCTGTGCGGAGAGACTCGCTGAATGTCGACCGGTTTGGCGCTTGCTGAGCCACTGAGCAGACGCAATGAATGCCCCAGTGCTCTTTTTCCAGGTGACTGAAAGCTCTAGACATTTTGAGATAGACTTGTTCATAGTTACTAAATTGTCCGTCCGGAAACTCATGATGGCGGGTAGTGGAGCTCATTGTGCAAATGGTATCCAAAACTGAGAAGTCGATTTTGACCTCAATGACTATAGGCGAAATTTTAGGGTTGCTGCTCCCTTGTAAGAGCCGGTGAAGGAGACTTGCATTCCAAGGTTGCAAGATTGTGGCCTCGGAATATGACTTCAAACTCAACTAGAACTTGAACATAAAAATGACTAACTTAACTTGAAGGGGACAATAAACCACAAAATCTGCAACCTTGGAACTTGAAAGGTCCGGGCCTTGAAGAACCAAAAACTCCGACTTGGAGATCCTCCAGGGCTGTACCTCGGACTTACCTACTAGTATAGCGATCTCTCAAGATACATACATCCGATCACTCAAGTTGTACTACTATTAGTAGTATATGTCTAAGAAACGGCTCTAAAAATATACTTTCGCTACCTACTAGTACTAGTTCTAAGGTTCCGACGTTTTCCATCCGGCATTCCTTTATACACTTCAGTCTTCCAGATACTACCTTTACAATGTCCTCAAGCTGGGTAGAAAAAAAACCAGGGCTCTGGCAGAGGCCAATTGGTGAAAATGAGAAGTTCATCAAGTTTATTGGTGATCGATCTCATCTAATCGGCCGTGAGCACTGGTCTATCACCTCTGGGGCGAAGTTCACTCTGAATACAGGCTGGAACATTTCGGAACTTTCAAGGAACAGTTTTGACGCTTGGTGCAAAGTCCGGTTTTACCATCCCAGCATTGCTTGCACGGCCGAAGCGGACATCTTGAGCTACCAAACGGGTTCGAACGACTCTGTATTCTCTTGGGCAAATGAGACATTCAAGGTACATGATTCGGATGTCACAGCGGAGGATGTAATTGCAAATCTTAGGCCATCTCGTTATATGACAGCTCATTTACTGCCTGGTGAAAATATGATTCTTCTTCATGCAGCTCATTGGAGAACAGATGGTTATGGAGCCTTGCAGCTTGTTCATGCGTTCTTGAACAGCCTGTGCGAGGTGGTCAGCGGCAACCAAAAGGAAATCCAATGGGGTGAGGAGTGGCGTCGCTTAACACCGAGCATTGAGGAAGTCCTCGATATACCTGTCACGGCAACACCCAAAATTCTCGAAGCTACCAGGGAATGTATGAAGACATTGGCGCATGCAAGAGGGGCCGTAGGTGTTGCGTTCACGGGCGATAAACAGGCAGCGCCTGCTGGAACACGAAGCACACGTTTCTGTTTGACCGAGACTGAAACCAGCGCTGTCGCTGCCGCTTGCACCGAGCGAAACATTAGCCTCACCTCTGCCGTACATGCATCATGTGCTATACTTACGCACATGCAAGCTTCACCAGACGACCGAGATAAGCATTACACAAGTACAATGCGATTCACCCTGCGTCCTCATCTTCTCCCACCATATTCGGGTCCAGGCTTTGCCGCGGCTTTGTATACAGCTGGCTACATGTTTCCAGTACCAGCCTCGAAATCGTGGATTGAGAATGCGAGGGCGTACGAAAGGGAATATCGAACCGGAATTACCCAAGACTTTTTGCAATGTCGTCGCCAGTATGCAGAAGAGGTCTTAGGCCTACTAAAGCGAGGTGTACCACCTGCTGATCCGCCACCAAGTGAGGTCGACATCTCCAGTGTGGGCGATGCCGAGGCTCTCGTTGCCCCACGGTTTACGAATGATGGAACTGTTCTAGAAGTGCAAGATTTGAACATTGGGGTCGAAATTTTAACTCGTCAAACTTATTGTTTCATGTGGACGTTTCGAGGTCGATTGCAGCTGCAGTTAGTCTACAACGAGGCATACTATGAGAAAGACCATGCTGAACGGATGGTGAAAATTATTGCGGAAACTCTGAAGGCCGAATTGGGATTATGGGGCAAATCATAGGTCGGAGTTCGGGACCTCTCGGAGTTTTCCTCGGACTTCTTTGCCATAACTGCACAGTGCAGCTGTCAGCGCACACTTTGATACTTTTTCTGTGTTGTGCCCAGAGTGTTCTATTACTTAGAAATAGGTGATAGTCCCAGTATGCTTCATGGATACGTTGGATATCTAGCCACCTATCGAAAACTTATTATCATTTCCTCCCTCGTATTCAATGCAACCACAATTTCCGAATGCCTCCACCTGCTAGAATCAATGGCGAGACAAGACCTCTACTCGATCGGCAACACGAGTCCGAGCTCGTTGATCTGAGCAGCTTGGACCATCCACTCAATCCCGTGAATATACCTGCCTGGAGAAAATGGGCCGGTGCAAGCGTTTTGGGTGCCATGACATTTGTCGTGGCTTTTGCCAGTGCCGCCTTCAATGCAGCCATCCCGGTGGCTGCCGTCGAGTTTCACGTTAAGCCCGAAACAATGGCTTTGGGCACATCGCTTTTTGTCTTTGGTTTCGCGACCGGTCCAATTGTAATGGGTCCAGCTTCTGAGGTGTATGGGCGCAAACTGCCATTTTTCCTAGGTTATGTGTTGTTTGTCCTGAGTCAAATCCCAGTTGCATTGGGGCATGATGCTCACACCGTTCTCATTTTCCGATTCCTCGGTGGCGTCACGTCTTCTGTCTGCCCTGCTATCACTGGTGGATGGTTGGCCGATTTTCTCTTACCCGTTGAACGTGGAGTTGCCGTCGCCATCTTTGCCGCCACAACCCTGGTCGGACCGAGCATGGGTGCCATTATCAGCCAGATTCAGTTGCAGACCGTCATGGGGTGGCGTTTGACTGCTTGGACAACAATGATCCTGGGTATCTTTTGTGGTCTTGCCGGGTTCATTATTCTTCCCGAGACATATTTGCCAGTTGTTGAAAAGCAGTATGCCCACAGACTACGGCAACAAACAAAAAATTGGGCTTTACATTCTAGAATGGATGAGAAGCCCGTGAGTATTCGCGATTTTCTCACCAGATACCTCACGTTGCCGATTTCCATGCTCATTTTAGAGCCCATCCTCTTCTCAATGACAGTTTACATATCATTCACATTCGGATTGATCTATCTTCTATTTGTTGTAAGTGAAAATTTGGCTCATTTCCATTAGCTTGAGCTAAGTCTTTCCAGGCTTATCCCATAAGCTTTGTTCAAGAAAGAGGGTATGGTGCAGTAGAAGGCACATTGCCACTCTTGTCTATCTGCCTAGGAATTATAATTGGCGCTTTCTACGCCTCGTGGTATACACTTACGACGGTTCAAAAGAAAGCAGCCGGTGGAAACACTCTGATTCCGGAGGATCGCTTGCGCCCTATGATTGTCGGCGCACTCTCACTTGCGATTGGCCTGTTCTGGTTTGCTTGGACATCTTCTCCTGACATAAGTCCGTGGCCTCAGACTTTAGCCGGTATCCCCATTGGCATCGGAGTTCAGGTTATTCTTTTGCAATCGTTGGCGTACCTGATTGACATATATACAACCGGAGCAGCTTCCGCTATTTCAGGTACTATGATTGTGCGTTCGCTTGTCGGAGGAACATTCCCACTTTTCGCACCTGAGATGTACCACAAATTTGGTGTGAGTACCCAATGGCATGTTTCCCGGTTCCTATCAAAGTTACTCACTCAGGATAGGTCTTCTGGGCCACAAATATGCTCGGTATCTTTGCTCTTGCGCTTGTACCCATCCCGGTGGCCTTTTTATTCTATGGCGCAAAAATAAGGTCTATGGGTAGGTACAGCAGTTGAGTTTAAATCGTCAAGGCTATATGGATAGATACGAGGACACTTGCATTTTGCGCCTTTGCTAGTATTTGAAGGCTTAAAAAGTCACCGATCATGAACAGGGTAGTTGGATATCAATAAATGGAAATTTTTCCCATAGAACCCTAGATTGGTTGAAGGAAACGTTGAAGATAACCCATGGTGTTATTGTGCCATATTTAGGTATGCGTACTACTACTAGTAGTTGCTATTATACCTAGTTAATCTTGGGATAGTACTTTTTGTCAGTTGAGCCTCTGACATATTTATATTCAAATCAAACTTGAAGAATACCTACGTACACCAACCTTGAAATTTCGAAGGATGAAAATATCTACTACTAGTACCCAGGTACGGCATACTACTAGTAATTTCCAAGGTTGAACTGCATGTGATATGATGGTACGTATATACTTTCAAGTTTGTACTGAGGGCTAGATACTGCCTACTAACTAGGTACTAGAATTTAGGTATTTCGCGTAATGATGCCCACCTGCAGAGCTGGGCACAAGGGCAGGTGGTCCGCTCAACCAATATCTACTCCAATACCTTAGCAAAATATCCACTTCTAGCTTCGCCTTCCAAGATTGGCTTTGCGTACCTAAGGTGGCCAATGCCCAGGTTACATAAAAGAAATAACACTCGGAAAATGAAAATTATAAACCTTGGAATGGGGAGAACCTTCCCTTTCAACCTTCCATAAATGTAACAAGTTCCAAGGGCTTTTTTCTATTACAAAAAAAGAATATTACAAAAAAAGAAAGAAAGAAAGGAATGTGCCCTCTAATATACCAGTAAAAGTCCAAATACTCAAAGAAACCGCCATAGAGAGGGAGGTCATATTGGAGGGAAAATAACCCCTGTTATCTTCGCCAGATGCAAAATCTCGTGAACGAGAGGAACAATGTCCTTCGTTTTAATGGGTACTCTGTGTTCCCCATCCCATTCAACCAGCCTCGCATTTTTAGAGCAGTATTCTCGCAGAAATATTTGATGCAGCATTAAACCGGGGTCTTGAAGCCCATGAACATGAATGGTGGGTAGGTGTAGTACGTGCTCTTTGTTTCGGAGGTCCTCAAATGTAACAGGCCAATTCAACGAAATCTGTGATGCGTCAAGCAGAGCCGAGTTCATCACCAGATCCGGATCCATGGAAACCAGTGGACCTCTTCCATTCATCAGAACCCCAAATCTGAAGTTCGTACCACTCATGGCTTTTCCAAGCTTCTCGGCGCGGGCTTGCTGCCGAAAAAGCAAGCTTCCCGCAAGCTTAGCACCCTGACTGAAGCCCATGACAGCGACATATTCTCCTGTACCTCCTTGTAAATCGTCACGATCCATGGCCTCATATATCGATTCCTCGATGAATTCAACTGCGTCTTTCGGGTCAATAATTGGATGCTGAGGTCCGGATCTGAACCATCGTCGAAATGGGCCGAACTTCGCGTAAGTCGATGTGATATCTGGCCCGGGTTCGGAGTCAAAAGGAGCCTCGACAAACACAAATCGGAAGTGGTTTGAAAGTTCGTAACGTAGCGCACGGGTCTGAGCCTTGAAAATTCTTGAGTTTGAACCACCACCATGGAGACACAAGATACGCGGCAACGCAGCCGTTGGAGAATTATCTAATGTGCCTCGCATTTTCCGTGACTGGGTTGATCAACAGCGATTTTGATTCTCGTGAATATGTTGATTTAGATAGATTGTAACTCCAAAAAAGTACTGTATTCCACTAGTCTTTGAGCTCGAAATGAACTTACAGTGCATCCTTTCGCAGTTATGGATTCCAGATACAAGATGGATATTGATTACGGTCCAGATTGCCTTCAGGTGGAAGGATCTAGACCTACTTGCCCCGTCAGCCATTAGGCATCAGACTGCCAATCATATCAGACGAGGAACTGCCTGGACGACGAGGTGGGAGACCAAACTCCGAGCCCTCCCGTATTACTTTCGCCTTTTTCCCTTTTCCTTTTTCTTTGAGACTTGAGAAAGAAATAACTCCGAAAACAATACTACATGTCAGACTCCGAAAGCCAATCAGTGTGATGCTTGATGGCATTCCAAAAATACTAAGATAATCTGATGACAGAAGACTACCACAGAAGGTAAAATGATTGAAAACAGTAGAAAACAAGAGAAAAGAAGAGCAGAAAAAAAGGAAATTGACAGTGGGGGAGACCTAGTGGTGTATGAGGCTCACTTCATCACTACCGGTGGATGTATCTCAATATTCAATATTCAATGATTTAGGCGCCTTTTAGTAGCACTATGAGACTCCGTCTCATCACTCCGGGGCTGTGGGAGGCATCATGATATCTAGGTGCTACCTAACGCCCTTCCCTTCTACGAAACCATTGTATCTCACACCTGTTTAAAAGATATACTGGCAAGATAATTCGGCCCATATCGCAAATGAACCACTGTTGATTATCCATCCATCGAAAATGCCCCCCTCTCAGGATCTGCCGAACATTCTCCGTGGTCCAGGTCTGCTTACACTCACTGAACATATGCGGAAATCATACTTACCAATTGATGCAGGTGATTATGAGGTTACAACTCGCTTGCACAACGATACCTACCCTGAGATTGACCCTTGTCAATTGAATCTCAAGGGCAAAAGTGTATTCATCACTGGGGGATCACGCGGGATTGGCTGGTCCATGGCACTGTCCTTTGCCAAGGCTGGTATATCTAGAATTGCCGTTGGGGCACGTTCACCATTGGACGGCCTGGAGAAAGCGATTGCGGAAGCTTGTTTGAACTCAGCAGAATTTCTGCCCGTAAGATTGGACGTCACAGATGAAGCTAGCGTTGCTGCAGCAGCGGCAGAGGTGGAACAAAAGTTCGGCAAGCTCAATTTTCTGGTCAACAATGCCGGAATATTAGGAAAGTATGGTCTCATTGCCGACTCGAATCCCGACGAATGGTGGAATGTGTTGAATGTCAACCTCCGAGGCCCTTATCTGGTTACACGCGCTTTTTTACCCCTTCTTCTCAAGGCCGGTGAAGAGGAGAAGTACATCGTGAATGTTTGCAGCGTGGGTGCCCATCTGACCAATCCGACATTGAGTAGCTATCAGGTGGCAAAGAATGCTGTGCTGAAGCTCACGGCATTGACAAATGCGGAATATGGCCCTGAAGTTATCACGTTCGCTATTCACCCTGGAAATATTCCGACAGATATCATGGGAGGGCCAGATGCGATTCCACCGCATCACAAGCATGGTAAGTCATTAGTATTGTCAGGACAAAAATTCATTTGAAGCTAACATCCCCCAAAGTCTTTGTTGAAACACCGGAGCTCAGTGGAGATTCTGTGGCATTCTTGGTGTCTGAGAAGCGGGAATGGCTTGGGGGCAGATACATCAATTGCACCTGGGATTTGCCGGAACTGATTTCGAAAGAGGCTGAAATTGTGCGAGGAGACAAGTTGAAGACCAAATTCGACTTTGTCATTGGCATCTAAGCAATGGTTCTACCTGCACCTTGGGGCGCTGAATGTTAGTTACTGAGAGAAACTTTGATATGATCTTCTACCCAATAAGCTCTGTGTGCTCACTCCATTCTACATCGGCCCGTAATTCATTCCAATCCGCCTCTATTAAACAAAGTAGTGCATCGACGTGCCCCTCCACTGTCTGTGTCCATAGGTAAACACAGCTTTCGAGAGGCGAAAATAAGGGACGCCTGAACAAGCTCGGCTTGCCTAGGTCGCCAAAGTCAACGTTGTTGAAATTGGCATGGAGAATAGAGGAAATTCCGATATCTTTATCAGGATTAAAAGAACCGCCAAACATGATTCTTGCCTTGTTAGGCTCGTTGGCAATCAAAGTTGCCCAGCTACGAGCGGCATAATTGGTGTTAACCTCGCGAACTGCCTGGCGCAGGAAAACCCCGATCTGCCCCACAGACATAGTTTCAAGCTCTCTGAAAGTCAGGAAGCAGGTCGCGTTATATCCCATTTGACCAAGATATTCTCGCGGAATCTCAAGAGCACGACGGGCATCCAATGCGCGAGAGAACTTTGACAAGTCATCGGGTCTCTTTCGGCGCTTGAGTCGAGCAGCGGAAACACGCTTCCATATAAAAGCGCTCAAGGTGTCATTTGTAGAAATGAACAGCTCATCTCCGCCTTCGATCTCTTTGTTCGCGCGCTCTTTGAGGATATTCCTTTTCTGGACCGGAAATCGCACATAACGCCACTGCGCCTTCGGGCGACCCCCTGGCGGTTTGGAAGCTCCATGGGGGTCGAGGATTAAATGGCTGTGGTCCAGCATTGGCTCGTCGGACTGGAGTAATCGAATGAGTTTGGTTCGGTCGCGGTTTCCATGTTCGATTTCCTCCGCGGAGAATTGTTCTCCTCTCATCGATTTCGCGAGAAGGTCCAAAATACGCATCAGACTTCCTCCATCCACGATATTGTGTTGCGCAGCAATATCAAGCAGCAAGCCTCCTTTGATCACGGTGACTTGAATGGCGAGAACAGGCGCAGGATTGAGCTTGGAATCGTCGTAGATATGGGGAAATGCGGGGAGTGGTGCTAGGATGTTCCCATCCAGCATCGCCACCGGGCCGTGGGCATCGATTATCTCTTGATATGTTGGAAAATTGTCTGTACAGTCTTTTCTGCGCACCACTGGATTTGGAAATGCGAATTCGGGGCACGTTGCCAGTTTAAACACGCCCGAGTTCCCAGGCCCTCTACCTTCATGCAGAACCCGACACGCAAGCCAAGGAAAAGCATTCCTCACTTCTTGTGCTGCACTTTCAATTGAGTCAATTAGAGGGTCTGGGCATCGGTCACCAAGAAGAGGGAAGACCAGAAGCAAATGGGAATACGTCTTGAGCCGAGGCAGTTGCCCAAGAACATCCTCGTAATGAGCCAAATTCAACTCCGCCATCGTGGAAGAAAATGTGGGATTCAATTCCATAGACCTCTTGCTATTCAGGATTGAAAGATTTCACACGCTGAAGTAGGTTGATGTGTGGCGTAATTTCTTTGTAGATCTAGGATCGCGGAGTTTCCGGTGGGAGTGTTATGCAGGTAAAACGCACCGCGGAGTTTTGAGATAGCACTGGGTCCACAACGCCCCGCAAGAAGTGTCAGATTCTCTGAGGTAAATGTTTGAAGCATCAGTATCAAGTCGATGGAGTTATCCATGCTCCGCGGAGGAACTCCACAAAACTCCATTGGAGGTAATGGCTGATAGATTTCCCATGTATCTCATTGCGAAGGAAAAACATGAGGCATCTCAATTAACCATAGTCTAGAAAAAGTGTCAACTGGCTATAGAACATATAAGTTAGGAAAGTTCAAAACTTAGACCTCATAATCCGAACTTTGTACTCGCGCATTGTTACCCAACGCTAAAACATTCAAGATGACTTCCCTCCAAGGTCTCGCAGACCAAGTCCAGCTTCAGACATCTGAGTTAAGCAGGCTTTTGGCCGAAGCAAATCTACCATCTCCATCCTTTGCCCCCGACGCACCTCCAGCGCCACCCCATGGCAAGGAATTCGAGAAGGTCCAAGCAGCTCGCATGTCACTAATTGAGTCGGCGAATGCAATCCGAGATCTGGCTCTTGGACCCGAAGACTGCATCACTGCATTTTCAGATGGGGTATGCTTCTATGTGACCGAAGGAACCACCAAGCATTGAGAAGCTAATTACGGATGAAAACATAGATCAAGCACGATCTCGCAGCACTGCACGTCATCGTCGACTTCAACATCCCACAGCTAGTTCCCCTCCATGGCGAGGTCTCCTATGCTGAAATCGCTAGCAAAGTTGGAATCCCAGAGTACCGTGTGCATCGCATTCTCCGACATGCCATGACCTCTCGTATCTTCCGCGAGCCCCGTCCAGGCTACGTAGCTCATACCGGGCCTTCGGCAGCCTTCCTCCGCAACCCCGTCCTCAGAGACTGGGTTTCCTTCAATCTGGATGAGGTCTGGAAAGCTGATACTCAGCTCGTGGAGACTTTGCGAAATTATGGCGATAGCGAGGAGCCTGCCGACTCCGCCATTGGGCGTGCATTCGGCTTCCCCAAAGGTCACACATACTGGGACTTTGTTGCCAATGATGGCGAAGGCGAGAACAAGGGTTGGCGGCAGAGGCGCTTTGCTGAGGGCATGAGGTTCCGGGCTGCGGGTAACCCGCAGACGCACCACCACTTGCACGCAGCGTTTGACTGGGCTGGACTTGGAAAGGCTAAGGTGGTTGATGTGAGTGATTGGAACCTCTTTTTTTCTTCTGTATTGTGGTTGTACTGACTTGGATGTGATGCACAGGTGGGTGGCTCCGCAGGCCATGTCTCGATCGAGTTGGCCAAGGCCTTCCCTGAGTTGGAATTCGTTGTCCAGGACTTTGAGGGCCTCAAGTCCTTCCATGATGGCGTTCCTGATGATCTTAAGCCGCGGATCACTTTCGAAGCGCAGGATATCCTGCAGCCAAACAAGCACCAGAATGGAGATGTCTACCTGCTCCGCTCTATTTTGCACGACTGGTCGGACAAATACGCCATCTTAATTCTGAGCAATCTAGTGCCAGTACTCAAGGATGGTGCACGGGTATTGATCGCGGACTTCATCGGACCCGAGACGACTCAATCCGGACCCATGTGGTTGGAGCGTCTTTCGACTATCAGGTCTATGCAGATGATGACAGTGGTGAACGCACCGGAGCGATCTGAGAACGATTGGATTTCCGTGGTTAAACGGGCTGATTCGCGCTATTCTGTCAAGGCAGTCGTGACGCCTCTTGGGACAGCTATGTCTGTTATCGAGATTGTTTTCAACGCAAGCGGATAGAACACTGTCTGCTTGTCAGCACGCCGCCAGGGGTCAGATGCAACTTGATAGACCAGAAGTTATAGAATAGCCCCATCTATTGTCTCTTGCCATACACCTGGATATTTTATGAGAACCTCTTTTGACCCCATTACTTTTTGTGTCTGCTATTCTCGATTGGAATTCACCTTGAGTTGGGGTGTTTGGTTTGTGGGGTGTACTGTGAGAGCTCGGATACGATATCGCGCGCAGGCGAGGCGTAGTAGGAAGTAAAAAAAGTAATCGAATCGGAGAAGAGGAAGAAGAAGACGAAGACAGGACGGAAGGAACAACATAGTACATGGGGCGTGGGCGCCTAACCTTGGAAGTAAATGCCTAAGGCATCTTCGCCAATAGTAGACGATAACCATCCGGTTCATTACAGGTACGCGAGCGACGCCTTCTTGCGAAATCTGGCATCCACATGGCAATTTTCAACCTGAGGGCAGAGGTGACCACCATTCAGTTATTTCCATGTGAAAATTTGTATGGTGATTCCAACCTCTTGCTAGGGTGGCGTTTACAGGTGCGGACAATAACAAGCTGTACTAGTGTACTGTAGATGAAAGATCTTAGACATCAAGTTATAATGAATGGATAAATTCCAAATGGATAGTATTTATAGAGGTCAAAGGGTTGCATTTCCGTACTGTATCCCTTCTCGAGTGCTTTAGTTGAGTATTGAAACTGGGATGAGATCTGTGACCTACATCATACGGGATGACCGGATTAAAAAGGAGACAAAATATTGACACGCATTGATCAAGTTCATTACCAGCTATTCAAGAAAATCTTGGAACGTTTTGGTTCATCATTCTAATCTTGTCATGGCCCTAGCATGACATAAAATAGCTAAAAATGGACGTCTCGGACATTGAAGAGTATTCGTAAGAGTAATATGTCTTGGAGGTAATCTATCAGACTGGGACAACGATCTTAGTACCACTGACCCCCGCCTTGAGCTTGTCCAATGCCGCGTGGATTCCTCCAAGGCCACCGCCCTCAATCTGGATGTTGGGGCTGGGAACGACTTTGCCGGACTCCAGGCCAGGCTTCAGCCATCCATTGAAAACTTCGTTAATGTGCTTGCTTCTTGCTACCTCGTCCATAGATGGGAAGTTGAAAGTAATCTGCGTGTTGTCGAGTGTAGGGTGACCTTCTGGGAGAAGGGGGAGTGTGCGACCTTGGCAGGGGCATCTCCCTTGGTCTCCTTGAGAATGTCCAATGTTGGCTGCAAAGCTCCATCGACAACACAGTGCGCAGTGTGTAGCTTCACACCATCCTTCTTCACGGCACTAACGATTTGAGAGACGACATCGCTTGCCCGGTAATCGAAAACCGCATCGGCTCCGATCTTTTTGACCAGGTCATGGTGTTTAGGACTGGCGGTGGTATACACGGTGAAGCCCAGTGTCTTAGCCGATTGGACAGCAAAGGTCCCCACACTGCTCGATGCGCCCCAGATCAGAACTGCCTGTTTGTCGGCGGGGGTGTACTTGGTGTCAAGCGGAATGCCAATCGTGGTCCACGCAGTCAAGGCAGTCAAAACGGCCAAAGGGAATACTGCGCCTTCTTCAAAGGAGAGACTCTCGGGGAGTGGGATGACAGCTTCGGACTGGGCCAAAGTGTATTTCTGGAAGGAACCGTGATCGGGGGAGCCGTTCTGATAGAATGATGAGGCAAAGGCAATGACTCGAGACCCTGGTCCAGGGGCTGTCTTGACATTGGAGCCCAGCTTAGTGACAATGCCAGCAGTGTCGGATCCAATGATAGCGGGGTAGATAGGCACAGGAGGCATGCCATAGTCACGCTGGAAATGATCGCAGGGGTTCAAGGCAACGGCCTTGACTTCGATAAGAACATCGTTTGGGCCAGGCTCGGGGGTGGGACGCTTTCCAAGAGACAAAGGACCGCCCTGCTGGGGGAGAATGGCAGCTTCGTGTTGTGCGGCCATGGTGGATGAGCGACGAGCTGAGGTGGAACTTGAAATTGCTGTTGCGGGTTTCTTTGTAATGAAAAGACGGTTTGCTCTTAGCACGCGAAGCATGTAGGAGGTCTGAGTGGTAGAAGTTGAAATATTGATGGGATGAATACGAGAGGGCTTTATATTTTAGAAGGTGATTGTGACGTACCTGCATATGAAGTGAAGCGCCTTCCAAGGCTTGCATTAAATCCGAGGTATCCCCAAAGCCCGATTCTAAGAGAATTTTCTTTCTTTGTCCCTGCTCGCAGAGTATTGGATAAGAGCTAAGTGGTGACCAGAATTGTCGAATCAGAGTGACAAACGGCGCAAACGGCGCATTCAGCCCAGCTCCTAATCTCTCGGCGTTACAAGCATTCGTTAAATCCGGAGTCCGCACGATTTGTTTACGATCTGCAGCTAAGTCAGTTGGGGTTAGTGTCCGGCTTGACGTGGGCCCGGGGAGACCGTCCCGTCCCAAAACAAGCAACGGCCCACATCGGGTGAGTTCGGTGGATCGGGCTCGGAGTTTTACACTTTCCTCTGTACCCTAGTTCTTACACAGGGTTTTCGGACATTGAACTGCCACCTCTGCGTGAGGTAACTTTGTGGAGTAAGAGCTGATGGTGTCATCCTTAGGCCCTGTCTTGGGTGTTTAATGATGCAAACTTGAAAAGGCACGATTTCAGTGCTATACAGGCTGTTGTAGCATTCAACATGCAAACATACTGAACTATACTACCACCAGGTAAACGATGTCTCTAGCCTGGAATGTATTGTTCAGTAATGCATGAAGTAGACAGATAGCCCATTCTGATCGGACGGAATATCTCAAGTACCACAAGTTTCAAACCTGGATCGTAATGAAGATGTGTACATCACAAAGGAACTCAATCAATTACTCGGGTGCTGTGTCTCAAACTTGAAATTTCCCATATTTCTAGAGATAACCGGTGCGGAAGGCACATATTCTTAATTCTATAAGCATTAGGATCACGTAGACCGCTTCAAAAGTTCTCTTTCCTTCTCTTCCAGAGCCGTACGTCGCGACAAAAACGGACTCCCTGATCCTACACTGGAGTAGTGATTAGCGTCCAAGCAGGCCTCTCGAGCCTTCACGGTGGCTGGTCGTGATCTCTGAATCATTTCCTCCTCATAGACGCTCACAACCTCTCGTAAATCAATGTCATTGCTGCTACTAGGTGCTAAGAGTGCGAGCAATTTAGCCACATCAACCACTCCGTGGTTAGCATTCTCCCCGCGAACTATTGGATCCCACAGTCAGTCATTCGAAAAGAAAGCAAACAAAGCTTTTAATGCACTTACAAGACGTCATCAGGTGAGCTGCATCGCCAACCGTGGTGATCCTTCCGTCGGTCTGACGCCGGTTCGTGTCATTTGGCATCCACTCTTGGACGGCGATGACACGGACAATACTATCATCTGGCATACCTTGGATCAAGTCATACACGGGATTCTCCCAGTGCTCTGCCATGCGTTTCAACCAAGCTAACTGATCCGGAAGGTTGGTTGGCGCATCTGACGGTTCTTTTTCGTCAAGATACCCCGATTCATAGGGCCAGCTTATAGTTAATTGGACCCCCGCTTTGCCCTCCTTCGATTCCGGAGATGGCATGTCAAGGAAGGCGAACATGAAATAGCCATTCTGCACGGGATCACCGGCATGGAAGAGGTGCGGATCAATTCTCAAACAAGCCTCAAGTTCCTTGAGAGAGTAATTCGAACGGCAATTGAGCATGCGCACGGGCAGCTGAGTATTCTTTGAATTCTCAGTGCCATACATAAAGCGACGGACCACTGAATTTGCTCCATCTGCGCCAACCAGAAGATCTCCAGTTACTTGGTGACCGTTTTCGAAATGGGCGCGGACCGTATCCTTTGTCGGGAACGTGATTTCGGAAAGACGATTCGAATATTGAATGTCAAGATCGGTCATCAGCAGTTTCAGGAACCTAACACGAGACATGCGCGCCCCTTTCCACCCTGGGGGAAGAGATGTTTGGAAAGCAGGATTTCCTGTCCGGAGATTCAGAAAGGTGAATGATCCCATATGTCCATTTTTAATTGCCTCTGGATTACCGACGCATTCGAAAATCCGTGCTGAAAGTTCCTCGGGGAGGATGTCATAGAGTTGCTGGAGCGCCCAGTGTATTGTGAGGCTAAAACCACCGCCGCGGTAGAAAGCCGACTCGTCGCGCTCGTGGATACTGTACGTAAACTGGATCGGTTGGCCTTGTGCCTCAAGTTTGAGGTTCAGCTTTCGTAAACCCTGCGCAAGCAAGAGTCCTGTGAGGCCTGCACCAATGATGATAACATGTATCTGTTTCGGCTTCTCTTGTTGTTCTCGGTTTCCATTCAGTACCCCTTTCAAAAGGTCCAAAATATACATGCTGGTAAACTAGCTTTGGAAGACACTTCCAGGATTATTTCCAAGGTTGGTAGGTATGAAGAATTGTGAAGATTTTGAAATTTGTTTGATTATACGTTATCTAAGTTCCAGATGAGAGGTTGGAACTTCTTATGAAATTATGAACACCCAAAGATTCAAAATTTTACTTCTTATGACCTAATACTCCGGGCAGAGCTCGAATACCACTGCGTGGACATTACTGTGGTATGATGTGAGGTAGATGCTGGTCACTAATGTATGAGATTGTATGATACCTGTAGGATCGGAATATCGGCGTATCTGAATAACAATCACCACCGGCCTTGGAAAGTACAAGAGAAGATAACCATAGGTACACTTCTTGATGTGAGGGCTTTCTGAGTTATTCCGAAAATACGGTGTACAAGATTCTATGTAATATCGATTGAACGCGCCACTGGCACATAACACCATAAAATGGAGTACCCGAAACTCCGAGATTCTAAGACTGCAATACGAGGCTGATTTCAGCACTCCGACACAGCCCTTCTATTGGATCTGCGAGATAGCAAATTAAAAATAGATTCAAGTGGGTAGCTGTGAATGTGGCGCCTTCCTACGGAGTGGCGTTTGACATGAACGCTGATCGAACAATCTAACGAATTTTGTGGCTCGGCCACACAACGTGCACTCCTTTTGGCTCTCCTATCGCAATGCTTACTATTTTGACTTTCTTAGCCCTTTCAACCCCTTTATTCTGAAACAATAGGCTACACGACATGGAATCCTTCAAAGTGGTTCCTGGGACTGAGGCTCCTTTAGCGAGCTCGGAGTTTGGTTGCTAAAATCATCACAGGACCTGGTTCCCAGGCACCCACGAATAACACCGTGAGGCTTGGAACCGTAAGATTGTGCAAATTCAAGGGCCTAGTATTTGCTCTTAAAGGTGAAGGTATCGCGGCAATTTCTTTCACTTTTTATACATCCTTTGGTCTGCAACCAATCAAAAGGCTCAAAGCGTATCAAGCTAGCCAATATGCGTCACGTTTACGCGGCGGTTCTCGCTATCTTCCCGTTGTTGGCTGCTGCTCGGTCGACCTCTAGCACTCGCAGCGCAAATGTGAATTACTCGAGGATCTTCGGTGGGCTGTCTGCAAATGCCAGTATTCATTATCCTGGACAGGCCGATTACAACACTACAACAGTCCAGCGCTGGTCGACTTGGGATGAGCCGACTTTTGCTGTGACAATCAAGCCGGCAACTGACGAAGATGTGCAGTATATCGTAAGTGATCCAAAGCCCTCGGTGCAACTTGCGTATTTCGAGTCTAATAATTGAAACAGATTAAAACAGCCAACCACCATAACCTATCCTTCTTTGCTACTGGTGGTGGCCATGGCGGCGAAACTGGTTTTGCCAGTGTGAAACAAGCAGTCAATATTGACTTATCGAACTTCAAGGAAAATGTCCTGGATTTGAAGGCAAACACACTTACCGTCGGTCCCGGAAACCCTTTTTCTGCCTTCGAGACCAATTTGTACAACGCAGGCAAAGTGGTTCGTGAGTATTGTTCTTTCCTCCCTGCAATCTTGCTTCGCGATGTCACACTGACATGTCTGTCTTTAGCTGTTGGTAATGCCTTCTGTGTCAACATGATTGGGGCTACAATTGGCGCCGGTGTAGGACCATTCCAGGGTCTTCACGGTTTGGTCATCGATGCCTTGCGCTCCGTCCGCCTAGTCACTGCTAGTGGGAAAATTGTCACGGCCTCTGAATCCGAAAACCCAGACCTTTTTTGGGCCGTTCGAGGCGCTGGTGCCAACTTTGGCGTTATCACCTCGGCTACCTATGAGATCTATGATGCCCCCAATAATGGCAATCTAATTGAAGCCGACTTCACCTACCCAGGATCCACGAATGGTTCTCTTTGGCAACTGCTGGAATCGTGGGACGAAACTTATCCCAAGGAGATGGGTCTGACTGTCGACGCAACTTACGATCAAACGACGGGAGAAGTGCGTGTTACTCATCATGAATGACTTGGGTACCTTTCATAGTGAATCTGCTAACCCAAATTCCTGAATCTTAGACATCTGCGGCGGCAAGTTTGACTTACTTTGGCACCCAAGAAGCCGCACAGCCATGGATCGATCAGTTTCTCGCTTTGAATCCCACCAGGTGGCGGAACATCACCGTTCCCTGGAGTAAAGCGAGTGAGTCTGCCAGCTATGGGGAAGCGGCCGCGGTTTGTAACACGGGAGTGTATAACAATCACCCTCGGTTGGCGCCAAGAAGACCTCTGCTTCAACCTATACCGAGGTGTACAACAACTATGTGGAGATAATGAAGTCGCGACCGTGGCTCACTGGTGCCCTTGTTGTCCAACGTTTCAACACCACGGCTACTCTTGCAGTCCCAGAGTCCAAGCGCGGTGTCTATCCCGGTCGTGAAATTAGCTCTCTAATGTAAGTAGTCACCATTTTGTGTCCTCAAACTCTCACCCGTCTCTTCCCTCTAGACTTTCGCGGACATGATTCGGATTCGCAAAATCTCGTTCACTTTGAACTGACTTGGAGCCACAGTATTCTCGAAAACTACTACGATGGCCCTGCTCACGACGCTGAAGTCTACAGCATCAGCAAGAAGCTGCGTGACCAGCTTGTCCCGACGAGTGGTTTTGACAGTCTGACCACTTATATCAACTACGCACATGGTGATGAAGGCCCTGAGGTTTGGTATGGTAAGGACAACCTTCCCCGCTTGGTGCAGTTGAAGAAAAAGTGGGATCCAGAGGGCAAGTTTGGCGCAGGAAACCCAATTCCTCGATCTTAAAGAAGCTCATTTAAAGATATCTTGCATCAATTGAATGCATTAAACAATGTACATAATTGAAAGCTGTGTTTGGTATGTGCTACAATCTACTTGCACAAGGGAGGGATATCGGAGTTTTTCGCTCGTTGCTTGATCCACTTAGTTCTCCTTGGTCAATTCTCCATTTATTAAATGCAATTAGGGTCAATCCCCGATATCATCACCCTCATAAGCCCTAGAAACATCACCACAGTCCGTAGAGTAACCCCGAACCTTGGCTCTCCTAGAATTCCCCTTTTTGCTACTTTTTACTCGCATAAAATGTTCCTGTTCCTGCTCAACCTTTCTCCCCTAAGAGACAATCCATCGTCTTTCGCATTGATCTACTCTTTTTCCAAAATTTACCTATCAATCATGAAAGCCATCAAGACGATCGCAAATCATCAGGCGCAAATTCAAGATGTGCCCCTTCCTACATTGCGAGATGGCTACATTCTGGTGAAAGTTAACGCTATAGCCCTGAACCCAACAGACTGGTGAAACCCCTTCTCACCCAGAAGCCTAACGCGGTTTCCAATGGTCAAGCCTAACATGTTATAGGAAGCATATTGACGTGGTCGCTCCACCTGGGACAACGATCGGCTGCGATTTCGCTGGCGTGATTGAAAAAGTCGGATCAAATGTAGGAGCAGAATGGCAGCCAGGCAACAGAATTGCAGGCTTCACGCATGGCGGCAGCGAGGTTCAGCCGGAAGACGGATGCGCCGCAGAGTACTGCGTGGCAAAGGCCGGCGTGGGCATGAAGGTTTATAAAATCATCATCAAGTTCTTTAAAATTCCAAGTTAACCGTTTTTTTTTCTACTACGCCCCAGATCCCTGATGGTATGCTGGACGAGGAAGCGTGCACTCTGGGGGTTGGCGTGACCACTGTGGGACAGGGTCTTTACCAATCACTTGGTCTACCGCTTCCTGAGGCTCAATCGAAAGCAAATTTCCCAATTCTCATCTATGGAGGGAGTACGGCAACGGGAAGCCTTGCTATTCAGTATGCTCGTCTTTCTGGTTGCACGAAAATCATCACGACGTGTTCTCCACATCACTTTGAATTGGTCAAGTCCCTTGGCGCAGACGCCGCCTTCGACTACAGAGACCCAGACTGCGTGCAGAAGATCAAGAATTATACCACAGACTCTCTAGCACATGCATTCGACTGTGTTTCTACGAGCGCGAGCGCCACGTTCTGTGCTGCTGCGATTGGTCCAAATGGAGGTGCGGTATCTTATCTTCTGCCCCTGAAACATGACCGAGAGGATGTTGTGGCGAAATATACACTAGCTTATACCGCCATGGGGAGGTACTTCAGCATCGCGGGAGGTAGAGAATTCGGGCCACGGGACCAGGATCTGGAGTTTGCGAAGATGTTCTGGAAGCTCAGCGCCGGGCTCTTTGCAGATGGCGTGATTCGAGTACACCAGCCCCGGGTGGGCAAGGATGGGCTGGAAGGAGTTTTCGCTGGGTATCAGGCTATGAGAGAGGGAAAAGTGAGCGGACAGAAACTAGTTTACCGCATCGGAGATACTCCGTAATCGGTGGAGGACTAAAATAGAGGGTGAAAGGTGGAGCTCTGTCGAGTTGAAGAAACCAAAGTCGGAGTATCATGCGTGTCGATGGATGGATTGGGGGCCGTGGAAACTCCGATCTCCGAGACTCCTCCGAGTCTCAGTTACTCTCTGGTAGTATTACTCGAGCCTGAGGTAACTCCTTCCAAGGTTTTCCATTACCAACAGTGGCAGAGGTATTATTTTACATATTTTAGATTCAAGAAATAAACAAATTTACTTCAAGTTTAGCACACTTTACAATTAAGTTCTCATTGGAACTAAAGCCGGAGTGTTTCCAAGGTTGTCAGGGTATTCAGATCAATATATATACTTTTGGCTTTAGTATCGAGCCTTTCTTCGCCGGTTCTAAACTATCACCTGGGCAGTCAATATGGGAACCTACATCCCAGATCAAAATACCACAAGCGGTTTGGATGTCGCCATCATCGGCGGTGGCATCGCCGGCTTGACTCTCGCCCTCGGTTTACTCGATCGCGGTATCAAACCAACCATCTACGAGCGTGGTCAAAGTTTCCGCGAAATAGGTGCTGGCATAGGCTTCACACCAAACGCAGAATGGGCGATGAAAGTACTTAATCCGAAGATTCATGCGGCATTCAAGCAAGTCACAGTGCAGAATGGAACAGACTGGTTCATATGGATGGACGGTAGCCAGGAGGACGAGGCACTGGTTCACAAAATGTATCTTGGTGAAAGAGGTTTTGAGGGATGCGCACGAGCAGACTTCCTAGACGAATTGGTGAAGAGCCTACCACCGGATACCGTGAAATTCTCAAAAAACCTGGTTGAGATTTCTGACGCAGATGGGCTTGATGAAGTCGAATTGAAGTTTTCGGATGGGAGTACAACAAGTACGAATGTCGGTATGTCATACTCGCAAATCCCGGCTAGTTTACCAATTGAAAGCTATTTGCTCATCATTTCCATCGGATGGTAGTCATTGGCTGTGACGGGATTCGATCCAAAGTGCGGCAATTCGTGATTGGGGGGGGGACAATAATCCTGCTCACCATGCGCACTACACTCACAAATATGCGTTCCGCGGCTTGGTCCCAATGGACAAGGCGTACGCTGCCCTTGGCCAAGAGAAAACAGAAACGCGCCACATGTATCTGGGACCTGACGCCCATGCCCTCACCTTCCCAGTTGCTGGTGGTAAGCTTTTGAATGTTGTGGCCTTCGTCACCGACACCGATCAATGGCCAGACAGCGAGAAGTTCACACTCCCTGCCAGCAAGGCCGATGCAGTCAAGGCATTTGCGAGTTTCAATTCAACAGTCAAGGCCATAATTGACATGCTGCCGGACGAGCTCAGCAAGTGGGCTGTATTCGATACCTATGATAACCCAGCGCCGAATTTTGTTCGTGGTCGCGTATGTGTCACCGGGGATGCGGCACATGCGGCTGCACCTTACCATGGCGCTGGGGCTGGCTTTGCCGTGGAAGACGCAGCGGTTCTTGCACAGCTCCTTTCCGCCGTGAACGATTATAGAAAATCGCATGATGTTGAGAGCCGCAAAATTTCGACGCCAGATTTGATACGCAAGGCTCTCAAGACCTACAACACTATTCGCCTCGAACGAGCGCACTGGCTGGTGATAACGAGTAGGCATATAGGCGAGATTTACCAAGGTCAAAATGCGGAGGTTGGATTGGATTCTACAAAATGTGCAGAAGAGATTGATTGGCGTTGTCGAAAGATTTGGCACTATGATGTTGATGAAATGATGAGGGAATCGAAGGAGTTGTTCGAAAAACAGTTAGAAATTGTGTGACATGTATCATACCAACTGATGTGTTACTCGCCGGTGATCTTGAACTTTCTACAGAAATAAATGAGCTTCATACTACAATCCACGGTCTTATTATCTCTGGTATTCTAGTTATCTATCAAGCACCGATGACCTTTTGGGGACACAAGGAAGTACATGTGCTGATACATATCATCGTCGGTAAAACCTTCCTTACTCGACACCTTGGGGCTAGTAAAGCGACGGAAGAAATGCGCCGTTGCGAGACGTAGTTCCATACGCGCAAGATGCATACCAATGCAGGCTATGTAAAAATGTAAGTCTCGAAGGGGACAGAATATTAACAAGCCGATTGATGAAATACTCACTCCGGGAGCCGCCTCCAAAAGGCATGAAGGACTCTTTCATCTCTTTTGTGGGGTTGATCCATCTATCAGGGTCGAAACTAAAATGATTGTGATCAGTTTCCATATATCCCTAAATTTCATTCGCTGAACTTGAAAGTGCCTCACCTTTCAGGATTGGGAAAAATCTCTGGATCTCGATGAAGACTGTATACCTGCGTTGAAACAGTCACTCCCCCTGGAATGAAATGATTGACCAGTTTCGCGCCCTCTGGCGGCACCGCTCGTGGCAACGCCCCTGGCACAGCCGGGTATAGTCTCAATGTCTCATCGATGACCCTGCGTGTGTAAGATAAAAGACGCAAGTCCTCGTCTGTGAAATCATCCTGGAGTGTCGCAATTTCGGCAACCAGCGATTCTCGAATATAATGGTTTTTGCAGACAGCCCAGACCAAGTAGGTTAAAGATATAGCTGAGGTGTCACTGCCAGCTACAATGTATCCCCCTGCTTCCAGTCTGATCTCAGCCTCTGTCAAACTACCTTCGTGGTGGCCCTTGTTGATCAAGTTGGTAAATAGGGTGGGTTTTACATTATCGCCATGTATCTCGACATGCTTCTTGTACCGTTGGATAGACTCCGCAGTATATCCGCCCATCCTTTTTCCACACTGAGCAGCTTGCTTGAAGTATGGCAGTGGCACATATTCTGCAACCCGAGACAGGAATGGAAATGTCGTACGAATAATCATCAGAGTCGAAACCTTCTCAAGGTCTAGTGAGTATTGACTTTTCTGTGGAATATCTGTCAGCCAAGGGATCTAGCGGCCTTTGCTCTCTTCGAATCGACTGACCTCTCCTTTCTCAAGCATTCTGAAGGATTCGCCGAAGCTCAGCTCACCGATTGTGTCCGTCGCAAGAAAGCACCACCACTTAAAGACATCTATACAGCCCCGACTTTCAGCTTCCCTGGTCATTTGATCAATGCATAGTTTTACTTTCTGGGTTACGGCAGACTCATGCTGTCGAATTGAGGTTTCAGACATAGGCCCACCCAGTAGCCGACGTCGATATGCATGAAATTGAGGATCCGTTGAGCTGAAGAGAGTCTTGGGACTACGGTGACCAATATGTTCATAAAATCGACCTTTGTAAAATCGACTGGCCACCTTGTGAATTGCTTTTGCTGCCGCACTGTCACTGACATCAAGTTCATCGGGGCTGATGCGAACAATCGGACCTAAAAAACAATCAATTTTGTCTTCATGAAGATACTCAGTTCTAGCCAGCTGCGCCTACCATATTTTTTATGTAGGTTCTGGACATAACGTGGCCTATCCCCTGCGAACAGATGTCTTTGCAGAACCAGCCCTGTCCATTTTGAAATGGCAGGGCCAGGGAGATGTGCAAGAGGGCCAGTATAAACCCGATAGATTTTGGTCTGATTCCGGTCAGTATATGATTCAAGCCAAGAGCCATAATTGGGACTCACAAACACAATAACAACGATGAGAACTATAATGGCGGGTGTGGAAGCGGCCTGGATATACGCCATATTTTCTGTTCCCAGTCTGTTTCAAACCAAATGCATTCGAATACGAACAGCAACCTCTGCGCAAATGTTGGAATAGTATCAGACCTCAAGCAAATATCCCTTGCGTCAAGACAATGCAGTAGACCGGATTCACCCACCCCTCTATAGTATTATCAGGAGGAGGAAATGACAGGTGCCGGTAGACCCTATGGAATTACCGTTTCCGTCTACAGGGCTATTTAGCCATCGAATTAAGTAGCTTGAATTAGTTTTGTTAGTTCCAGGAGATGCTTTATCGTCGCCCCCAAATTTGAATTCACGGGTCAATTGCGGTGCAGAATGGCATGCTATTGCCAACCTATCGGAGTCTCGGAGTCTCGGAGTCGGCGCAAATTACATGCCGAAAATAACCTTTCCCAATCACTCTCATAATTGATATGGGAGAACGTGCAATATTTTTCTGCAAGGGCGCTAGTTAAATCCATTGGCCAAAGATAATACGATGCATATCATCCCCAAAATTAAACGAAACCTACCTAAGGTCTGATCTTTAACTTTGTTACTCCGGAAATACGAGCAGCCCGCTTCCTTCTGCACGAATCCTTGCACATGACAGCCAGTCATACGTTCAGCAGTTGGAGCATTCTCACGACATCACAAAATCCACCATCTAGAAAATCACGCCATCGGTTTGATCGTCGCTGGAATTAGGTGGTGGCTACACAGCGCGCAAAGTGGAACCCTAGTTTTGTCCAAAGTCCGTCATAAATCCGATTTCTGGGACATCAGGGTACATTTGTGTTGATTAAAATGTATGAATAAGTGATGCAGAATAGTCAACTGATTTGGGCAAGGTCGAGCATCGCTTCTTTTATCCGTGGTCATGGAGGTTTTGACGGTCCGAAATCTGAGGTATGACTGCATGGTCTCCTGGCAAGAAGAATTCATTACCAGCCATCTGCTAATTAGTAGTATTGTGAGCAAGAAGGCTACGGAGAGTAAATTGTAGATCAAGTTCTGATCAAAGCGCTTCTTCTATAGTCGGACTATGCGTCAATAATTTTCAATGTCATGATATCTATCTGCGTTATTGTTTCTCTATCTATTTATTGTCTTTGGATGTTATTATTGAAATCTAGACATTTCCCGTGTCTATCTGGGGGTTGAAATCATTAAACTTAGCCAAACATGTCTCCGCCAACATGTTGACCACACTTAAATCACGGAGACTAGACAACATAGAATTGAATAACGTTTCAAAGGCGGGATTCCGATTTTTCCGTCTTTGCGCAAATTCTGCACAGAAGACGAGGGGTATTGGAGTGAATGGGTGTATCTGTAGATGGAAGTCGGAGTTAGCACGGATGTACAGGCGGAAATTGTGTCTCAGTTGGCTGGTCAGGGGTCTTGTTCCTATACCTTGAAATGGCCATATTCCTCTAGTCCCTGGCATAGATGGGATATCTTTTCAGCAGCCTTCATGGCTCGCTCTTCAAATCCACTGATTAAGCTCTCATAGTTACACAGTGTGGATTGCATGGTCCTGCCTAACAGAAGTGTGGTTGCTTGCGCTGCCATATTTGTGAACAGCAGCATAGGGTCCGCGAGCTCTTCATCTAGATCAGCGGAGACGAAGTCAAACATCATCTTGCCTTTGCTCATGAGGATCGTTTCGAGCCATTGATGCCGGGTAAGAAAATCTTGAGGTATGCCCCCGTATGCATTTTCCACGATACATTGCTGCTGGTGGGACAAACATCGACCGCTAATTGTTATGAGTACAATACAGGCACTGAATGGAGAGATATTTCGAACGTCGTCCTCTCCTGCCATGAATTCGGAAAGCAATTGAGTTTTAACGGGTCGCTCACGTTGGAAGGCAACTTCTGATGCCGGCAAGCGAGTGAAAATCTGTCATGCGGGATTAATATAAGCCCACTAACCGACTCGGAGTCAAAAGAGGATTTTGTGTGCGGTTTCATACCACTTGTTCGTTGAGAGTCAGTGGCATCTCATTTATGAGATTGATGAAGCGGTCCAGGCAGTATGCCATCCAGAATGTCCTTCGGCGTTCCTCAATATCACCAAATGAAATTCCTGATTCTCCTATCCCGTTTGGCACATCAATTTCGTGAAGCTTCATCAGTTGAACCAGTCTAAAGCACCGCCCAGCACTCAACCAACCCCTCTCATAATTAACCTGCATGATTTCATATATTGCCAGGAACAACCACGCCTGGGCTAATTCAATGGGAGGGTTCCCAAGGTGCATTTCGAGCTCCGATTTTTCTAACACTCCTCGCGTGTATATGTAGAGGTCTTTCTGGATATCTTTGAACTGACTCCCGAGCCACGCTGCAAGTGTCCACATAGCGTGCTGGAGACACGTCATAGCCATTGGATCACTCGTTGGTCGCGCTGCGCGCGCGAAATATCGCCGCTTGTTGAGAATCGGGGCAAAAAGATGAACCCGATCAAAGAACAAATGACTCAAATCCGCCTTCATCAGTTCAGGCAATTGGAATTCTGGCGTGACGCCAAAATCCGAAGAAAACTCGAATTGGTTTTTTGACAACGTGCTATTTGGAATCGATGGTGGAGCCACAAAATCCCTTGCATCAAACTCAGCAGGCACAGACGCGAAATGTCCCATGTGTGAGAAGATGTCTGCAGGTTTTGATGGATCCGAGGAAATAGCGGATGAGGTAGCAAGAGTGAAGGGAAAGGGGCCGTGCAATGTCGACATCCCTTCCGATGAGACGGTCTGTTGTATAATGGGTTGATCATTCGACACCTGAGTGAGAGGTGGTTGTTCCGCGTTGGTTTGGTCTTCGAGAATCTCCGTTGATTCCAGGTTATTCGGAGGACTTTCGGGCGGTGTTTGCCTTTGTTGTCCGCTACATTGACGTTCCAGAGCCACTGTGGTGAGTGTTAGTGTTGGTCGTGGGAAAGGAGATAGATCAGACTCTTACAAATGCGGGATTGCAATGTTCTTAGGTAGCCTTTCCGAGGCCCTCGCGGTTGTCGAGCATTATTTGGGGTACAATCAATTTCGAGAGTTTCGCAAGTTCCACATATAGGCCGCACTCGATCGCATCGCAGTTTCCTTGCTCGACACTCATCACAGGCAAGGCCTTGCGCCTGTCGGTTAGGTCGTTCTGGATTGGTTTCGGCGGTAGACATGGTATCCTGGTATCCTGTTCCAAGGTATGAAATGCCCAGCCATGGGCACCGGAGAGTTCTTGATCATTATAGAATCATATTGGCCACCATCAAACCCGTCTCACTGCATACGTGGGGTCAGCTTATTTGGGGGCCGTATCAAGTAACGTAGCACCCGGTAGATTGTATCTTTGTTTTGCAAAGGATGTAAATAAGCCTCGGAGTATAGCGGATCGGCTGAATGGTGGAAACCTCCTGTGGGGACTGTCATAGGCTGAGTGGGTTCGAGGCTTCCGGGTCGGAACGCAACTCCCCTCTCCTGGAGGGGCGTGTGCATGGTCAACCATAAATAGTAGTACATAATAGGATTTGTACTGGAGGATGGTGGATCGGATGGATAGATGGATAAATGGATGTATGAATAGATGACAGGAGGAAGGACCTGAGGCTCTCTACATGCGGGCTGAGTCAGCAGCACAACCTGGCCTGACCTTTTAGAAATGCCTGAGGCCTCCCATATCATCAGTAGTTATTTAAATTCCCATTTACTACATCCCCGTCTGCCTGATTCCAAGGTTGACTCCGTACCAGGCATAGGGATTGAGTTCTGCGACTTTGTAACTTCGTGCGAATCTAAGAACGGGACAAAGTACCCCGCTTCGTATAGGTGAATTCATCTGGACCCACTACATAGCCCATGCTCCGCTGATAGCGGGAGCGGAGTATGGCCCGAGGCTATTCTCGTATTGAGTAGAGCTACTAGACTAGCCCCAAGCCCGGATAGGAATTTGCTCAACATCGTGGGCAATATCCCGCATTCTTTTGGTACCCCTAGTTCACAATCAGTACTTGCACATCTGAGTCGGATACGACGTGCTTCTACTAATACTATATGCATGTCAGATTTGGCCCCACGGGCCACCTTGGCAGCCAAGCCCCGAGGTGAAGATTACATTCAGATGAAAAAGCTTATCGCTGACGAAAACCTGCATCGGCTGATTCCGAGGTTGAACTGCCTTACCTTACAGAAAAGCGTCGCTCATCGTAAACTAGTATGAGGGGGGAGGGGATAGTGTCTTACCTAAGATTGCGCTACACTCACGATGGAGAGCCCTGTCGCGATTGAAAGACTCCCAATCTTTCTTCGTCCGTTTTCTGTACCGGTCTATCTTCCAAGGTTTGATGGTGCCATTGACTAGTACTACTAGTTGCTTTTTTCCAGTCAATGTAAGCGAACATCCATGGATGACATGTGGCAAAATTTGGTGCAACCCCTGCAGGGTCACATGACGGTGAAGCTTCTCCGTGGAAGAGAATGAGTCCTCATGATGCCTAGGTATTGATGCTGGTGCAGATCAGGAACTATGCCGAACCATCCGATTTATTGCCGAATCATGTATATGAAAAATCAAGTTGATTGGAAATTAAGTCGATCTTCTTGTTCGAGTTGGAAATAGTATAGCCTCCTGTTTCTCTCTGAAGAAACTACCCAGGTACATAATCTTCAACCTACCAGGAGAATGTCTAATCTTAATTTAGTCTAACACTAGCTAAATTATAAAAAGAGACTATATTACTACTACGATATTTCTAAATTTCCTTTGAGACTACACCGGTCCATTTTTCCACCAATAGATTCCTTGCTACTAGAAGTGTGCTTATCTCCTTCAAGTTCTTCATAGCCCATGAATATTGAATTTACTACTGAAGATCTGAGCGTTCGATCGGTCGCTTAACGTGACCTCGGAGGCTAGTCTGCCTGAAGGGAGGCTGACTACGGACTCGTTAATTTTCTGCTGTTGTGGTAGATATTAGAATAGGCGAAATATGAGGGGGAGTGGGCGGTTGGCAGCGAAAAAGATGGTATTACTAGATAGGATAGAGTAATAATAAAATCATAACAGAGATTTGTGTGCTCTGTTGGCGGTAATAGGAACTTGGACTAGCTTCTAAATATTCGGCAAAATACTTAAAATAAAATCATCCGCGCTGCTGCGCGGTCGGGCCTCATTGCTGGTAGCTAATAGTACCAAATTCTGACATAATGGCCTAAGACAGTAAGAGTAGGGTATTGGCATCCATTCGCTATCATCAATATGACTACAGTTCCTCTTCAGATTCATTGCTTAATGATACCAACTTCCCGTCTGCTATACCAGACTGCAATCTGCCAACGGTCGGTAGCCAACTCACTAGATAGAATTTAATATACTCAATGTCGCGACAGGAATAGGCATCTAGTAGTTAATTCATTAAACGGTTGGGTCTATATTACTTTCTCTATAACTGCTCTTGTTACAATGAGGGGGGGTTTCCAACCCCCGGTAGATAGCCCATCCCGTCAATGAAACTTGGTAAATGCGCTCAGGGAAACAAGCGTCGTACTCAATTGAGTCAGGTTTTTGGCCAGGTCTTTCAGGGGCACAGTTGCGCCTAGCTCCTTGGCAAACCAAGTGCGAAATTCCATCTCGATCAGCGAGTCGACTCCGTTTGCTCGAACGTTGAGATTGTCATCGAAGGAGTCTTCAGAGATGTTCAGTAAATCAGCCATCTTTCGCCTCATCGCCTTGTGGATAATTCTTGCCGCATCCTCTGGACCTGTAGCTGACTGAAGATGATCACGAATGTGAGTTGCCGATTGTGCGGATTCCACAGAGTTGGGACCAGAGACCGAAAGACCGGGTGCGAGTTGTGCAAACATGGGATATTTAAGATGAGTCGGGTGCTCTTCATTGCCAAGATCGTAGGAAGCTGGGGTTCTGAGACCACAGACTAGCTGTGCATTGTCCGGAGACATGACGGTGTGATGACGACGATCAATCAGATATTCGATAGCGGCTAGGACCTCTTCCTCAGTTTGTGGATTCGCTATCTTGAACGTGTGTTTTGCTGCATATTGTTCGTTTTCGGCGATGAAGCCAATTCCGACCACGGCACCAAGATTGATGCTAGCGCCATGCATACCTTTGGAAACACGGTGACGAGCAAGCGCGTCCTGGAAGTTGTTACCAGCATTGTAGTTGGCTTGGCTTCGATTTCCAACAATACCCGTAATGGAACTCAGCATTAAGAAGAACTCAACATCCGGCAGCAGACAGTGGAGGTTCCAAGATCCAGAAACCTTCGGGGCCAGGGCTGTTTGCCAATCTTCATGCGTCATTGAGTCGAAGGCTTTATCTTTGAGGACGAAGGAGCACTGGATGCATCCCTTGACTGGGGGTAGGGTATTCTGGATCTTGTTCATGACTTCAAGAAGACGAGATTCATCAGAAATATCACACTGGAAGACGTGGCTGGTACAGCCAAGCACCTTGAGTTTGGCAATCATTTCTTGTCCTGCTGCATGAACAGACGCAGACCGTGAAAAGAATATAATGTGCTTGGCGCCCCGACTAGCCAGCTTGTGCGCGATGCTGCGACCGATACCGCCCAAACCTCCTGCTAAGATGAAAGATGCATCCGCATCGAGCTTCAGAGGAAGCAGTGGCGCTGGTATGTTCGGTACAGGATGAGTGCCCGGTACAAGTGTGATTTTACCGATGCTTTTGCCTGATTGTAACAACCTCAACCCCTCTTTCAACTGACCATAGCGAAGGACTTGTGTTGGTCTAGCCTCATGGATGTTTTCACTCTTCCACAACTGAATGGTTTCTTGCAAGAGGTCTTGACAGATCTCCGGACGATTTTCCGCTAAGGCGTTGAGATCCACGCCAGAGAATGTGAGGTTGTGGAGGAAAGGAGTCATGTCAAGCTTTGAGCCAGCCTGGAAGTCAAGCTTCCCGATCTCAACGAATCGGCCAAATGGCGCAACGCATGCCCAGGACTGTCGCAATGCTTCGCCACTAAGCGAGTTAAGAACGACATCCACGCCAGCTGGAGCAATCTGCTTGATTCCTGCCAAAAAATTCAAATCACGGCTCGAAAAAATGTGATTCGCCGGAATCCCGAAATTCTTCATGATGAAATTCTTCTTCTCAATGCTGGAAAGCGTCACGAATATCTCGGCTCCCTTGGATTGCGCGTACTGAATTGCGGCTTGTCCGATACCACCGGCAGCAGCATGAATCAAGACCTTTTCGCCCGCGCGCAATCGAGCGATATGACCTAAGGAGTAGATCACTGTGCCATATATGATGGGGAGCCCTGCAGCAATCTCGAAGCCCATTGTGTCGGGTATTTTGATAGCAAGCCCGGAATGAACACGAGTGCGGGTGCGCATGGTACCCATTTTGCCCGGAGAAGGGTCCCCTAGGTACATCACTCGATCGCCAGTCTTGAAATGTTTGACCGATGAGCCTACGGAAACGATAAATCCTGCTGCTTCATGTCCAAAGCCTGGTTGGTCGATTTCACCCATGGCCACCAACAGGTCTTTGAAGTTTAGCCCGACAGCATGAACCTCGATCTCGATTTCAAGTGGAGATAGTGGCTTTTCCGAGATATCTTCATCGGCAACCCATGTGAGATGATCGAGTCCCGGGTTTCTACTTATCAGGCGAACAGGGTGTTTTATATTTTCCCAGGTCGAAAGTATCGGCGTAGGTGTTGAGAATTGTACTTCAATGACGGTGCTCGCCTCTGTGTTCTTGATAATACGATTTGTTTCAATCAATGACTCGCGAACACGATACTCGGAGTTTGTGCCATTGGTGTCCCTTGTGGCCTGATTCAGGAATTGGTACACAAATACACGGACCAAAGCGTCGATATCTGCATCCATAGAGGCTCCAATCTCACTGTCCAAGGAAAATGTGACCAAGTTGAGATCATTACGATCTTGTTCCCAGCGGATGGTACGAAGCAAACCTGTTGCCATTTGGAATTGCGGCTGTGTCAAGGGATCGCCAGATACCCAAAGCAGCGAATCGCACGTAGTAACCAAGTTCTGTATTTTTTGAAATGTGGTAGAGCTCATGGTGTTGAGTATGGGTTGCTCCGCCTCCAGTAAAGAGATGTACACTCTACTAGTCAGACTTTCGGAGTGAAGGTCTTCAAGTCGGCAGACCGAACAATGGACCCCTGCACTGAGTAATCTTGTTGTGAGCAAACGAGAGATCTCCGAGTGAGAGTCGACTATTATGACCACCTCCAATGGAGGAATTGTTGTCTCCAGGGCTCTATTACTTGCAGTGGAGACCATCAGCGAGAGACCGGCGAGCTCAGGGTAGATAGAGCTTGAAGTTTCAAAGTCAATTCCGGAAAATCCGACTTTGCGCAGAATTCTGTCCCATTCAAGCTTGTCGGGGAAGGTTTCAGAATAACGGGAGGCTTCAGGTGCATCCCACCACCCAGGCAAAGACCCAAATGTGATATCATCGTGGATGAAATTCGATCGGAACTCCTCAAGGATAAGTAGTCGGCCACCCGGTCGTATCATAGCGTTTAAACGCACTATAATATCTTCCACATTGGACTGGCCTCCAATATAGTCGTTGGCGATGACCAGATCAAAAGAATTAGGCAGAGGCTCCTGCTCAGACGGCGCGGCCGCCGAGTCAAGTGTTTCGTATTTGATCACATCTCGCCACGCAGCAAGGCGCTTTTTCATAATCTCAGAGTGAGCGACGGATTGAGGACTAATGACATAATGCTCAATAGAATCCTTGTTGTTATCTCCGCATAGTGTCTTCAGCACGTGTTCAGACAAGGCTCCTGTGCGACCACCCAATTCCAAGATACGAAGGCCGCGTTGACTCTTGGAAAGGAGGCTGATGTATTGGGTAAGCACAGGGAGCACGTCCCCTCGTGATAATTGAAAGTCATCCCATGCCGAGAAAAGTTTGGCGTTCCCAAATAGAAGATCTTGGCTTGTGATCTTCTGTTCCAAAATTGATGCAATATTTGATCCCATCTGGACGAGCAGGGCACCTTCGGCATTTCGGTTTTGGACCTCGTGGTAAAGTTGCTTTTTCAGTGCTGGATTCCGTGAGTAGCTGAGCCACATCTCCAGAGAGACATACGGCATGGTGTCAATTGCGACATTGGCAGTGACTCTTCGGAGAAGCTCGGTATATTGTCCGCAGTGATTTTGCAGAACAGAACTTTTCACTCCCCGAGTGGCCACAAGGCCATCAGTAGCTAAGAGAGTGGAAGCAAGCTGAAGTTGAGTAAACCATTCTAACTGGGTATCATACGTCTCCAGTGGAGTCGATGACTTTGGGCAAAGCTTCTGGATGTCTTTTAGCGTAATGAAGTTGATGTCCGGGTGCCATTCAATGGAATAACAGGTTCGATTATTAACAGCGGTAGTATCAGTAGATGCAGGCTTGAATGGAGAGAGTTTGACGCCTGTCAATGAAAAAATCTTCTCACTGGGGTTTGACGGATTCCATGCATGGATTTCACTCTCAAACCCATTGTGCAGTGCGTGAGAAGCCTCACTGCTACAACGTAAGATGGCACCAGGTTCAGATGAGAGCGCGGATGTGGATAGCCACATTTCTCGAATTGAGCTGGGAACACAACCCCGGTGCATCATTTCCTTGCCATTGAGGTCATAAATGGCCGCAAAAGAAGCATGGAAGGCGTTGTCAAGAGTGGTGGGATGAATGAGATGTTCGTGCGCGTAGCTTTTTGGCATCAGTCCCGTCACATCGGGGACAGCAATATCGCCTGTCATCGTCCCTTCCTCTCGATTGCCAATATTGACATTCTTCAGATTGCGGAAAGAAGGTCCATGATTCACACCGATCTGTCTGAGGTGGTTATAGACAGGTGTGAAGTCAATTGGCGTCTGACAGGTATTCTCTCTGTACTGCGCAAAAGCCGACAGTCGCGTCTTCTCGGTTTCCTCCGTGTGGGGACAATCAATAGGATTAGACACTCTCCTTAGATCCGGTGACACTTCGCCCGTGCAATGTTCGATCCATTCCTCAGTTCTCTGATCATAAGAAGCCACCTCAAATCTCTTCCAAGCAGTTGATGATGACGTTTTAGAATCCGGCACTGGGTAAAATGAGAGGCAGACCTCCACGCCTTGAGTGTCATCTGGAACCACGAGCATTGCTTTGAAGCTGACATCTCTAAGCAAAATACCGACCATCTCGGATTGATCTGTGATTTGTTTCATGCCTTCCACTGCCATCACCATATAACCAGCCCCGGGAAAGACAAAATTTTCGCCAATCTGAGAAGAGGTCAATATTTGTGCTCAGTTAATCTCTTTAATCAGGAAGAGGATACTCACCATGTGCTCTTTCAGCCATGGATTTTCCGAAGTGCGGAGGAAATGACGCCAACGTGGGCTGTTAGGGTTCCAGTCTGGTACAGGCGCCCCAAACAAGTCATGTCGAGGAAACGGACGAAGGCGGGTATTTCGAATCAATCGACTTTCGTACAGTCCTTTTTCCTCATGGTTGAAAGGGTAAGGGGGTAGATTGACAATTGTCTTGGGCATAACCGACGGATTTGTTGACATATTGACCTCGTCCAGATTCACAGGAGAACCGCGACTAACCAGATTTCCTATCGTGTCAAGCAGTGTATCCAGTCCTGTATCTTTACGGTTCAGAGTGCCAAAGTATGGAACTTTGGAGTCCGGACCCACGATGTCCTTCACTGCACTTTGCATCGCTGGGTGTGGGCCGACTTCGAGAATAACGTCCACCTGATTACCCTGAGCCGAGGAGACATCTCCCGGTGTTGCATTAGACAACATCGAGCAAACAGCCTCTGTGAACTTAACAGGGTGCACCATGCTGTCGCACCAATGAGTAGCCATTTCAGGCACAGAAAAATCATCCAGCAAGCGACCCGTGAGAGTGGAAAACATATGCACGGGATGCTCAAGGCGCAAGAGATGTTTTGATGGCAAGGTACCTACGAGCCCTTTGTACTCCTCCGAGAACTGCTCCATGTGAGCAGAATGAGCAGCATGTTCGACATTCAGCTTCCGGGTAAACACTCCTTGCTCGTCGAGCAACTCTTTCAACGCATCCACCATCGCATCATCGCCAGAGATGGTGTGATTTCGAGGGCTGTTGTAGCATGCTATGGACAAAGTCCCGCCCGGAAGTCTTGTATGCACTTGCTCAAGAAGATGACGCAGAGGTACTTCTTCAATTCCAGCTGCAAGCATGCCGCCTACACGAGACGTCTGCCCGTGAAGGAGAACATGGCCTCGGAAGTAAGCCACTCTCCATGCTCCCTCTCGTGATATTCTACCTGCGCAATATGCTGCTGCAATTTCTCCAGACGAGTGACCTGTCACCCGGTGTGGGATGACATTCCAACTTAGCAAAAGGTCAAGCAGTGCAATCTGAACAGCACAGGACAACGGGTGAGCGAATGCTGATTTAGATATCCTTGAGTCTTTTGAATCTTTTTTGAGCTCGTCCAGTAACGACCAATTACTACCCAGTGACGTGAAATAAGAGCTTGCCGCCTCGAGAGATTGTCTGAAAACCTTGTACACAAGAAGCTGTTGGCCCATCTGAGCATATTGAGCTCCTTGGCCTGTGAAGACAAAGCCAATTCGCGGAGCCGATCGTGATTTAATCGGCTTAGAAGGCATCTTGGATAGCTTTGTACGGAAGTCTTTGAGAGAGCTGCACAAAGCATAACTCTTCCAAGGGAGTCGGGATCTTTTTTCTGACAAAGTAAAAGCAAGGTCGTACAATACTTGATTCGCATGTTTTGAAGGCACAGATGAGACATGCTCTCTGATTTGCGCAACTACCTTTTCTAAACTCGCCTCGTCAAATGCCGACAAAAGCATTATGATTGGAGCTTGGATAATCATGGACGTCCCGTTGGATCCATTGACACCGTTCACTCCATTGGCACCGTTCACCCCATTGGTAACGTTCACTCCATTGGTAAAGTTATAATCCTCAGGGTAGGGATTGTCTGCTTCAACCTGGTATCGCCTGGTACTTTTTGCGACAATGAGTTCAGTGTCTCTCTCTGAGGGTACACTTTCCACTGTTTTGTGTCGCGCAAAGATCCCTCGTTCTTTCAAATAATGGTATGCATCGTCCAAGATGCAGTGTGCATTCGTGCCGCTGATTCCATATGAGCTGATCGATGATCTGCGGATGCCCGACGAGGGCCATGGAATGCACCGTGTGGGGAATTTAAGATTCCAAGCCCGAGAGATATTCGGGTTGATATCTTCGAGTGTCGCATTTGGCGGGATGATACCAGCCTCCAAAAGGAGAACTGATTTGATAACACTAGTGATGCCAGCGCCACCCTCGAGATGTCCGACATTCGGTTTGACAGCGCCAATGTAAAAAGGCGAGTCTCTGTTTTCCGTTTCAAATGCAGCGGCAATAGCGGTGCATTCCATCAAGTCTCCAGCTTGAGTTCCGGTTCCATGGCTTTCGGCATATATCGTATCTCTTGGGTCCAGTCCAGCAGCAATGTAGGCTTTTCGGATCAGTGACGCCTGCGCTGCTGAGCTTGGATAGGTCATTCCGGGTGTGTGGCCGTCATGATTGAGGCCAGTGCCCCGGACAATTGCTCGGATCGTGTCACCGTCACGAATAGCGGCGGATAGAGGCTTGAGAATCACAGTGCCTACACCTTCTCCAATCCCGTATCCGTCTGCTCGTTTGTCAAATGCCAATGACTTGCCTTCTGAGCCCAAGAGCCCGGAATATGACATTTTGATCAAATGAGAAAGGTGGCCGATAACGCTCACACCACTGACAATAGCCTATATTCGTGGAAACCTCTATTAATAAATTAATCAACAATCATCAATTTTGAGAGTACTCTCACCATTTCACTCTCCTTTGCTTCAAGGCTTTGTCTGGCAAGATGAAGACCCACCAAACTGCTTGAGCAGGCAGTATCTATTGTGAGGCTAGCTCCGTGAAAGTCGTAGAACCAGCTTACTCTTCCTGAAATCATGGAATTTTCAGCTCCTGTTGGTTTGTGCTTGAAAGAGAGTTCGAGGTCGCTATTTAGACGATCGGCATGGTGGTAGTTGAAACCACTAACAAACACAGATGTGTTTGAGGAAATGACTTGTTCCATTGGAAGGCCAGCTGCACAGTTTCTATATCAATGATACGTTTTCAGGTGTGGTGGACGTGAATCTTACCGTTTTCCAATGCATGGTAGACATTTTCCATCAAAATTCGTTGCTGAGGATCAAGGCTTTGAACTTCAGTCTTGCTCATTTTGAAAAAGGCAGCATCAAACCCATTTGGAGACTCCTCCAAAAAGGCAGCACCTTTAATGTAAAACTTCCAAACGGTTATTCAGGGTTATAATTAAAAGGTTCAAAGTTTTATGTCACAAACCGTTCCCCCGTGGTTGGGGTCTGGATGATAGAACCCCTTGGAGCTGAGTCTATCTTCAGGAATTGGTTGAGCGGCTTGCCGTGCTCTCAGAAGAAAGTCCCAAAACGCCTCAGCATCTGTGGCCTCATCAGCCGCACGCATAGCCAAGCCAATAATTGCTATTGGATCTGGATCGCCATGGTGCTCATTGTGATTTGTGTTCCCGTTGATAAATGAAGGCATTTTGACGTTGGGTTGTCAGGAAATTATTCTTACTGTAGTTTGTTTTGATCTTGTCTCTACCAGCCAGATTTGATCTGCAGGTATATCATGCAGAGTTTGTCTCGGAGGTGACATAATTAGACACTAACACCTAGGCATATCGGCGGACATCAGTGTGAGGCTCTCCGAGCTCAAGTCCGGAGCCTTGGAAGCAAGTCCGAGAGAGCTCCCGAACTCCGACTAATCCCAACCCGGTTCTTAGGGGTTCTGCGAATGTTGAGAACATCCGTTCGGGGCCATCTAGGTTAGCTTTCATCTCCCATGTTTGGTCAGCTTGTAAAATGTGCATAAATATCAACAGATAATGTAGAGTGGGTCGCCGCGGATCAGTTGGTCAAATGTGCGAATCTGGCTGCCAAGCCTTCAAGTTGCTAGGTCAACATTCGGAACTTCCATACCTTCGTCTCAACTTAGGTAGCAGTACATACTGTGTTTCTGCTGACAAGTAGTCATTGCCTAGTAAGGTCACCTTGGAAGCCACTTTTATAAGGGGCCTCAGACGCAAGCTCACTGAGCAAATCAGGGTGCTTCGATCAGGCTCAGTGAGTGATTAGTTTGATTACATCCATGGATCATGATCTCTGCATAGCTCAGGCATACTCAATTCTACTCAGGGAGCAAAAGCAGCGACGGGGTGAGCCCTAAAACGAAAAGAGAAAGCGAAAAGTTGCAAAACATTATCCAGTATGTATGCATAATACGCCATAGTGGATTGTCTCCGGTATATACACTTCTTGAGACCGCCACCTGTCACTCGTAGATTTTGGCTGGCGCCAAGAGACTCTATCTATCGCCTTACAAGGCGGAGAAAGAAAAAAAATTATAGACCCGAAAAAAATCTAGCCAGAATGGACTGAGACTGGTCTAAACAAAAGAAAGCGCATAGGCAACTTGGAAGGACGGTGTGTGGTCGCACCAGTTTCTGGTTGGGTCTTCTTCCGGTGTTGAAATGAATCGGGGTTTGGCCAAGGATGCGGTATGTCGATATTAGGATCGGATTCTGTGCATCTTGCAGGGCAGTCGCTCGCTTGGGTTCTTTCTTAGAACGACTAGGCCCACATCGGAGCCGAGGGCGCTGGGATGTATGTCAGAGTATGGGCTGATATGCCGAGCGGATGAGCATATAATCTATATGCTTCTGTCGGTACCCGACTCCTTCCATGATCATGAGCGCGGCTTGCGCGTGAGTGAGTCAGGGGAGCTCGAGTTAACGCTCGGTGTCATGCTTAATTGATGGCGCGAGGATGGAGACAATGCCATAGAGATATCGCGAGGCGATGGTGCAAATACTCGTTTTGGTGAACCTCGTTGGCCCGATCCGGACCTTTGTGACCTGCCAGAAGAGAATGAAGATCGTCGGGATCGGACTGGGCTGGGTGGGCCATGACTCAACTCCTCGCTATAGCAAGAAGCGTCCCAGGGAGCTCGATGCCTGGACGATGGTGGCGCAATGGAGAAGGAAAATCCGAGTAGCTCATCATCTTCTGCCTGCTGTTCTTCCTCGTCGTCGCTAGCAGATCCGGTCGCGAACAGCGCTGCGCTCCCGGAGATTGTAGATCGACGTTGATGGTGGGCCTTTGAACGGACTGGCACGGACATTGAATCGTTCGACGTTATGAAAGGTGGGTTCTCTAGAGATAGCGTGCTGTGCGCTTTTCGCAATTCTTGCGCTGGATCGCTGTGAGACAGTCTTCGTGATCTTCTGCTTTCTAACTCATGCCCATGCGAGCCCCTTCTTCGATTGCGCATACTTCCCCTTCCGGCGTTGCCATTCTCTAGGGATAATTCTGACGAGTGCCGAGTCGATTCTTGCAGCCTAAGATCGACTTGTCCCGGGCTGAAGGCCACACGGGCCCGCATCTGTTGGATGGCTCTGTCTAGTGCCAGCTCGATAGCAACCGCGTTTCGGATACGGCTTAATCTAGGCCACGCTGCCCGTTCTCCGCTCAGGCAAGCCTGTTGCATAAACTCCGTCGTCGGATTCTCCAATATCCGAGGAAAGTTTGATGAGATGAGTTCGGGGTAGATGTTGATGTCGCCGCTGTATTTCTGGTTCATGATGGAGGCGAACTTGGTCATTGAGTTGGGGAAGACCCCTAGCTCGGAAAGAACGGTCATTCGGTGAAGCATTTCGTCTTTGGCGAGGTGGGTCATCGTGCTCATCCATCGAGGGATGAGGGACGATGCCTGCTCGGCTACGCTGACTGGTCCATCTTCTTTCGGTAAAAATGGGACCACGTGAGGGTTCACCTGTGAAACGATGAAATGATTGACGTTGAACATTTCAGATAATCGTGTCATTGGAAGGTCGCCGTCGACGGATCCATCAATATACTGTTTATGAAGATCATTCCAAGGAACTGCCTCGCCTGTTAAAGGATCCTTTGCCATCAAGGTAAAGGGCCTAAATACGAGTGGTACGGAGCAGGATACCGCGCTGCAGATCGATGGTTAGTATTTTTGATCCTCCCAACAAAGGTAGTTGTCAGATTCAACTTACACTGCAGACCAGATCAACACATTGGGCGCGGAGATATAGTTGAGCAACCGAGGAAGCTCATAGATATCCGCACTAGAGACACAGATGTTCAAAATCCGCCTCGTCCGGTTATATGCTTCCTGGAAAGTGATGTCTCCGAGCCAGTTGCGCATAGTATTCGCCAGGTGGGAGATATCCAAGAAGGATCCGAACTTCAAGAACCGCGCCGTCTTCTGGAAGATGTTTTCCTCTTGCCCATGCTCGTTGAAAACAGCAAAGTTACCATGCGCATAGGTGTCCAGCAGACCAGCCAATTCCTCGTCCTTGCGGGTACAGAAAACCGCGCACACAATACTCCCTGCCGAGGCACCCGAAATAATGCGAGGAATAAGACCAGTCTCGTATAGAGCCTTGAGAACGCCGATATGGTTCATGCCAAATGTGGCACCCCCAGAAAAGAGAAGAGCACTTCGACCGAACGCCTGTCGTGCCGCTAATAACTGGTCGAGGATGTATTTCAGTTCCAAGCCATCGCAGCGATCATGCACCGAGAGATCGACCAATGTTGTTATCGTATCGAGGGCCGCGTTGATATACCGATCGATGAGGTCCTTGGTACCGATATGCGAATGTCGATAGAGCGAGGCATTGCTCATCTTCCCGAGGTCGCGGCTGAGCGCCGTTCGGACGAGGAAGAGCATGCGGCTCACATCGCAGCTGATGCGCGCGTCTTCCAGCTGTCGTAATCGCTCGAGGACTAGTTGTGGGTGGTATTCCGTGCACTCCAGGGTATGTTTCCAAGCCTTGTTGTTTTCTAGCACGTCTAGTTCGCTGGCGCATTCGCTCCATTCCTCGTACGTGACAGCCTACCGGGCGATCGCGTTAGTATCGGACTGTTCCTGTTGGGCGCAGGGGGTGGTAATAGTGAAGGAAACTAACAACACGCGTTACTTACATTCTTAATCTTCAAGTAGAAGAGTTGTTTGCGGTTTTCGACCTCCTCGCGCTGTTTCCGCTGCTCCGTGGAGAGGCCATCGCGATAGGTGTTCAAGGTCTCGCCTGCCCAATTCCACGAGTCTTTGACGAGTAATGAGACGGCCGGGATCGAGATGGCTTTGCGCAACGAGCGGTAAGGTGCAGGTCGATTCGAGGGGTGGTCATGTTCAAGATCGAGTTGATGGCATTGCGAATGGACTACTGTGGAGTCGCCCAACACCGTCATAGCAGGCCTGTGCATCGGGAGCAAGCCATCCAGGCGGGTCGGTTTTGGTTGCGACTTTCAGATCTTTTTATAAGATCGAGTGCAAGGATATATGGAAAAGGTGAAAGAATTGAGGGGACAGTAAATGTAGATCCAAAAAGAAAAGAAAAGCAAAAGAAAAGAAGAAAAGAGTCGGTCAGGCTGTCACGGGGCCAATGATGGTCCGCCCAATGACTTTCCCCCTTCAACTTCGCCCTTTTCTCTTTGGTTTCTTTTCCCGGCCCGACGGATTTAAAGTGGATTCGATTTCAGGTTTACGGCTTAGAAGAGATTCAACTTTCTGGGGTACGAGTATGGGGTAAGGAGTACGTAGATTGTGTAAGATTCTAAATTCAGTCTCAGTCACACTCACACATTTACTGCAGGCAACCCCCTGTCCTTGTGGATCGCATCAGCATCATCTGCTCAATCCAACCTTGCTGATGATCGCGTCTCTATTCATCTTCACATGCACCTGCATGTGAAAGAGCGCTAAATATGACCCTTCCGCTCATTTTCTAGAGTACTGTACAACACACAACACGCTCTGGTCACACAAGGCGGCAGTAGGGAGTATATAAATGCGATTCCGTAGAACAACGTGGCACACAGGCATAGCCTAGGACAACCAAAATCAGATCAGATCAGGTCATTATTCGATTCGATCAGATCCGATCAGCCTCAACCATTCCCTTAAGCGACCCCTCGCCTTCACCTCCACTCCATCTTCTCGCCAGAAATGCCCCGCGCCGCCGATTTCGCCGCTTTGGAACCGACTCTGCGGCACGCGCGCCATCTCGGCTGACCATCGCTGCAATTTCGGGGCTGAGGTAAATGTGTCCCCATCCCCATACAGCGCCAGACTACTGTGTGTGCTCAGCTGGTGATCGGGCCGGGTGTGGACTAACCTTCCCTGGCCTTCTTTCACCCCCACGTTCAGTGACAGGGTGGAGAAGCACGTCAGAAAGTGACTCACGGGTGGGAGGAGAGGTGACACGAGCAGATAAGCAATGGACATGGTTGGTGAAGCACGGGGCTGGGAGTCGTCAGCTGTCCCTATATCCGTATCTGTAGCTGGCCCTACGAGGACATCTGGATTTGATGGGTTGAAGTGCCGCGTGGATGCAGCAGCGATCTTCCTAGCGACTCTGCCAATCTTGTTGATTGGTGTGGACGGATCGGTGTTGGAGTCGGATCCGAATAACTCCAGTATGACATCGACATCTGGGGCATGCGAGGCAATCAGGGATCCGAACGAATATCCTCCGAGAATAAGCTGGATATCGCTGTCGCCTTCTTCTGGCAGCGCCGAAGATTCAAGAGTCAGACCAAGCAGATTGCCGCCAATGAGGCTACTGGCATTATTCAACTGCCGTAGACATAGCAGCATAAACCCGTAGAATGAGACATAATCTTCCAGTTCGGACTTGGCAGTCCAGCTGGTCTGCCCCTCAGAACCCCCCGCGCCACTGTGATCGGCGTTAGTTGGTCATCCATGAGGTCAGATAGAGGAGAGACGATGATGCACCGGAAATTGAATGTCCCCACCAGATAGCCGGCCTGCAGAAGCTCGCCACCGACGAAGCTCACTACGGGGTCATCATAGCAGCCACCGAGTCGAGTGTAGGGGTGGGCGATAATAGCTCCTCGGGGTTTCCATGATGATCTGCCAGTAGATGCAGTGGATGTCGATGCTCGTGCTGATTGTATATTTCGGAGCTCATTGGGAAGATAAACTCGACATTCCAGCTTGACGCCGTCGTGTATTGAAGGAATCGAGAATGAGAAGGTCGGGGCAGGCAGGTCCATTGTGCAAGTCTTTTAGTATAGAGCTTCGGATTACTTCATTCGACTTTGACAGCCTTTAAGTTTACCGCCATGACCGTGGAGGGAGTACCTCGGTGTTGTTGATGTTGATGTGTTGTTGGAGGAATTGGATGAGGCGGGCAGATCCACCCGCGTTCCAATTCAAATCCAACTTGAACAACACAGCACCTGTCCAGGTGGGCAACCTTGTAGTTTCAACAGCTCGTGCGCTAGTAAGCCTTTGAAACTTGACTGACTACTAGTAATTTATTGAGATAGGAAAATTGATTATATAAGTCTTGGTCATGCATCTCAACGCTAAATGGTTCTATGGTCTATGACTACTAAATAGGACCCAAGAGCATCAAGATCCCGGCAGTAACCAAGCTGGATCCGGCTCATCATCTTCAGACCGTGATGCGGTATCAGTAAGAGTGGTTTCGGCATCTTTCAGGAGATCAGCGGGGGGCTCGAGGTCATTCTCATACTCCGAGGTCTCGTTCTCCTCTTGCGTATCTACAGCCTTGGTGACAGATTCCGCATCTGGGGATGCCGACAAAGCCTGCTTGCCTTTCTCGTCGGAGACAGACAGGCCAAAAGCTGGAAGAAGTAGTTCATGCGCTGATCGGAGAGCCTCCAATTCTGCTGAAAGGCAACAAACAAGTAATTTCCAATCTTTGCTTTCGGCCAGTTCCAAATGAACCTCAAGCGCTTGGGTGACTTTTTCCAAATCCTTAGCCACGCCTGTAGCAACTTCTGCTTTGGACTCCGTAGCGCTGTCATCGTGGGAGCCGGCATCCAGTTGTATATATTGCCGCATGCTGGCTCTGAGATGTTTCTCAAAATTGGAGATATCAGCGATGGCCTGTTTCCAGACCCCGCCACCTTCCTCTAGAGCCATAATCTCCGTGTCTACCTCCTCCTGTCTCTCACGGAGATTCTCTTGCTCCGACTTCCAATGCTCTTGGGCCATCTCAAGAGTCCGGCGTTTGGGGTTCAGAGTGTAGAATGGAGACTGGCCATTATTGCGCTGCGAGATAGGTTGGACGGGAGGATCGCGAAGATAAGTTTGGACGTCTTTCTGGAGGAGAGATAGGGATTCGTTATAGGATGATAGTTTAGCCTCGACGGAATTCTCAATATGAGAAATCTGTCCGACGAGATGCCGATGCCGAGCTTTCATCTCATACAGTTTGGTTTCCAGCTCGTGGATGTCAGTTTCGAGAGTTCGGGCCTCATCTTGTAGGTGTTTAGCTCGTTGATTGTCTCGGTTGTTATGAATGTTGGAGATGGATTCTTCCAACCCACTCCTTCTCGTGGTGAATCCCTGGATTTCATGAAGGGCATTATCTCTCTCGTCTGTTTGGGAGGACAGGATCTCTCGCTCCTCTTCTCGCAGCTTTAAAAGGTCATAGATGGACTGGAAAATACCTTGCCGAGCAGCCTTGAGCCCGATCTTCTTTGGCACCGGCTGCCTAGCCGGTATAGTGGACGGAGAACGCGACCGACTAACCCTCGAGGAGGTAGGAGTGAAGCTTCCGTCAGAAGTATCATCTGGCTGTTGTTGAGCTAGACCAGCCAACAGACCCTCACTTTGAGCATCAATCAAAGTTTGAAGATTCCGCTGAATGTGTTTAGACTGGCGTTCCACATAGAGAAGGGGGTTGTGGTGGTACATCGAAGCTGTTGCTGGCACTGGTGGCATGCCTTTGTCGCGAAACGGTATCAACGTGGACATTATGGGTCGGATGCAGGTTTCAGGGGGGGAAGCGGGAGTGGTGAAGTGGCAACCCTTGCTTGGTACCTGGAAATGGAAAGGAAAGAACCCCCCTATATTTAACAATTCTCGGCCATGACCCAAAGCGCATCTGCAAGAAGAGAAGGTCTCGGGACTCCTGCAGCTGACGGCAGACGGGAGCGTCATTGCACGTGACCCGTAGTCAGCTCCTGACGTTGGAACTCGCGCCTGCGAAGCTTCTGTCTGCTTCCAGCTCCCCCATTATCACTCCGTCCTTTCCATCTCGTCTCGCCTTCTTCTAATTCGCGTTTGTTCCCCTTATCTTTCGATTCTCTGGGATTTTTGATTCCCCACTTAAACTCGCTATTGCTTGGGGCTCGCTCGTTCCCCAAGCTCCCTTCCCGTTGACGTTGCCTCGTCACACCAACAACATCCCCAATCAAGCCCCACAGCTTTCCATCAATCTCCTTGACGCACGTCGTCTATCACAATAAAGATGGTCGGACTCGTTTCGGCCGCCGGTCTGGTTGGCTTTCTTTCGGAGCCTGACCCAGAGCTCAAGGTCTTCGCCTTGAAGTCATTAGATTCCCAGATCGATCTGCTCTGGACAGAGGTTGTGAATGCCGTTCCTGAGATGTAAGTCCATCTCTTTTGTTCATCTATCAGAGCTCGATATCGTTCTACCGATGCAGGCGCGTCTTTACCAGCCGCCCACCCTATGCCAATTCCGTCGGGCACCGCTAATGCAGTCTATCCAGTGAGGCCCTTTATGAAGATGAATCATTCCCCGAACGCGGGCTAGCAGCTTTGGTTGCCTCCAAGGTATATTATCATCTGCAGGAATATAATGAGAGCATGGTCCTCGCCCTTGGTGCAGGAAAGCTGTTCCAGCTCGACAGCGGCGGCGAATACGAAGAGACAATTATCGGTAAGATGGGAGACTCCATCAGATTCATTTCCATTTGCTCGCTTTAACTGACATCGTGCGTCTCAATGCAGCCAAATGCGTCGATACATTCATCTCTCTTTCAGCCGCCCAGCGACCCAGCGGTGGTGACCAAGCCGCCAACCTCAACAACCAGTTTCCCGCGTCCGGCGACGGCGCTACAAGCACATCTGCAAGCCTCACCTCCCCCATCACACCATTCTCCAAATCCGCCTTACCTTCCAAGTCCCTTCTCTCACGCCAGGAGGTCCCCGGAATCGACGCGGCACACCCCGGTGGCGACGACACAAGCGTTCAACATGAGGAGAACTCTCTGGTTCTGAAGCGTGGTGTCCAGGGCCAACTCCAGAGTGTTATCGAGCGATTGTTCGAGGAGTGCTTCCGCCAAAAGCGCTATCGCCAAGTGATCGGTATTGCCATTGAGGCAAAGAGCTTGGACGTGCTTCGCATGGCCATCCTCCGAGCCAGCGATGATGAGAAGCAACAGCAAGGTGAATCTCGCCGAAGTGAGGAGCTGATGGAATACGTTTTGGATATCTGCATGGGAATTGTCCAGGAACGGGAATTCCGCAGCGAGGTACGTCTGCCTTGAAGGCAATTGTTTAATTTGTATTCGCTGACAAGCTACTTTTCAGATTCTCAAACTCATTCTTGAACTACTTAACGAAATTCCGGCCCCAGACTACTTCTCGATTGCCAAATGTGTCGTCTACCTGAACGAGCATTCGATGGCATCCGTCATTCTTCGCCAACTTGTCGAGAAGGGCGACGCGCGATCTCTGGCCGTTGCCTACCAAATTTCCTTCGATCTCTACGATAACAGCACTCAAGAGTTTCTTCAGAAGGTCCGCCAGGAAATCTCCGAGCTCATTCCCGAGGACGAAACCGAAGATAAAACCGAGGAAGGAGAGCCCAAGGAGTCCGATGCGTTACTCGAAGACCAAGACTCCTCGTCTCGGCCGTCGGGTGAGCAGGGAGAAGATCTTGACGATGCTCAAACCGCCTTCAAGAGTATTCTCGCTATCTTGGATGGCAAGAAAACGATTCAGTTGAACTTGGAGTTCCTCTACCGAAACAACAAGGCCGACATTTCAATTTTGAATAAGATCCGAGACAGCCTGGAGGCTCGCAATTCTATTTTCCATACCGCCGTCACCCTGTCCAATGCTTTCATGCACGCCGGAACCACCCACGACAAGTTCTTCCGTGACAACCTGGAGTGGCTTGGCAAGGCTGTCAACTGGTCCAAGTTCACGGCTACTGCTGCCCTGGGTGTCATTCACCGTGGCAACTTGAGCCAGGGCCAGAAGCTTTTGCAACCCTATCTTCCACGAGAGCACATCGCTGGTGTCGGAGGCTCAGGTTCAGTTTACAGCCAGGGTGGTTCTTTGTACGCCTTCGGTCTGATCTACGCCAACCACGGTGGTATGGCAGTCGATCTCATCCGCGACCACTTTAAGAAGGCTACCGAAGAGGTCGTTCAGCATGGTGGAGCTTTGGGTTTGGGTGTTGCTGGTATGGCCACTGGCGACGAGGGCATTTACGAGGATCTCCGCAACGTCCTGTACACAGACTCTGCTCTGAATGGTGAGGCCGTCGGTCTCTCTATGGGTCTTGTCATGTTGGGCACCGGCAACATGAAGGCGTTGGAAGACATGATTCAGTACGCCCACGACACTCAGCACGAGAAGATTGTGCGGGGTCTGGCGATGGGTATGGCCTTGATCATGTACGGACGCCAAGAAGCTGCCGATGAGCTGATTAATGGTCTCCTTGGTGACCCTGACCCAACTCTCCGCTATGGTGGTATCATGGCTATTGCCCTTGCCTACTGTGGCAGTGGCAGCAATAAGGCGGTCCGCAAGCTTCTTCACGTTGCCGTTAGTGATGTCAACGATGATGTTCGCCGCATTGCTGTTCTTAGCTTGGGTTTCATTCTCTTCCGCAAGCACCAGAGCGTTCCCCGAATGGTGGAGTTGCTGTCGGAGTCCTACAACCCTCACGTCCGTTATGGTGCCGCCATGGCCCTGGGTATTTCCTGCGCCGGAACCGGTCTGGATGAGGCAATTGATCTCCTTGAGCCTATGCTTAAGGACTCGACAGACTTTGTTCGACAGGGTGCCTTGATCGCTCTGGCCATGGTTCTTGCCCAGCAGAACGAGGCAATGAACCCCCGTGTTACTAGCCTGCGCAAGGCTATGATGAAGATGATTGGCGATCGCCACGAGGATGCCATGGCCAAGTTCGGCTGTGCCGTCGCTCTGGGTATCATCGATGCCGGTGGTCGCAACTGCACCATCAGCCTGCAGACCCAGACCGGTAACCTGAACATGCCCGGTATCGTTGGTGCTGCTGTCTTCGTCCAGTACTGGTACTGGTTCCCTCTTACTCACTTCCTTTCGCTCAGCTTTGCGCCCACATCTGTGATTGGTGTGGACCAGAAGCTGGAGGTTCCGGAGTTCAAGTTCCACAGTAACACACGGCCCAGCCTGTTCGACTACCCACCTGAGCAGCAAGTGAAGACAGAGGAGACGCCAGAGAAGGTCAAGACCGCAGTGCTTTCAACAACAGCCCAAGCTAAGCGCCGTGCTCAAAGACGAGAGAAGCAAGCCCGTCGTGAGAGCATGGACATCGACCAAACGCCAACCACTCCCAAGGTTTCCGACCAACTACCGGAGAAGATGGAAACCGATGACGCCCCCAAGGCCGAAGGAGAGGAAAGCAAGGAGGAAGAGAAAGGAGAGAAGGGCACTAGCGAAGGGCAGAAGAAGAAGTTGGAGCGGGAGAAGGTTGGCTATGAGCTGGACAACATGTCCCGCGTCCTACCCGCCCAGCTCAAGTACCTCACATTCCCCGACCCGCGATACGAGCCGGTCAAGAGGGTAAGCTTCAATAACATCTCATTATGGAAATCATATTTGCTAACTCATTCCTTCCAGCCCACTGGTGGTGTTGTTGTCGTTCTCGACAAGCAACCCGATGAGCCTCGCGAAGTCGTCGAACTCAAGGCCAGCAAGGAGACCCGCCAACCGGCTCACCCAACGGAAACACTTCAAGACCGCCTGCAAGCGGCCATCGGAACTGCAGCTCTCCAGACCCCTCAACGGGCCGACGCGCGCGCAGCCCTGGCCGGTCTGACTGGTGCTGGTGGTGCCGCTGCAGCCGCCGGTGTTCTGACCGCTGTGGATGAGGATGAGGAGGGAATCGAGGATGCGCCGTGTCCAGACGACTTTACTTATGAGTCGGAGGAGGAGGAGTAGGGGATGATGGTTCTGCGTGATTAACCTTTTGACGCTGAATGTATTACTAGACCACTCGGGTTCTCAGGCCTGATCTATTGGGAGCGCGGTTTTGCCGCTTTGTGATATGAAGCATTTGTTTGCATTGATAATACCTATCGTATTCTTTCCAACGTCGTATTCATTTCAACGTAGTTTTCAGTATCGGACTTGATTTGTTACATGCTAGACTCGGGTTTTCACAACAGGATCTGCAGGAAGTTACCATGATATGGAAGGACCACCGTCCTCTGATCTGCTTGCAGGGTATTTGATCAATTCCGAATCCAGAGACACGTACTAAATGAATGACATAGCGAAGACAAAGTACAAGATACAAAATACAAAACGAAAACTCCTAGTTGGAAATGCTCCCCATCTCCGATGCACAATGCAAGGCAAGTTCCTTGATGTCTCCCTGAAGTTGGCCAGCAACCTCTTCAAACCGACCCTTCCAGAATTCCCACCTCTCCACACAGAGCTTATTTGGCCCTTGGTAGAGTGTACCAGCACTTTGCCCTTGAATTTCTTCCCCGCTATCTGTTGACTGGACAGTTTCGTGGAGCGCAGCCCGGCTATGCACAATCCATTCCGATGCTATGGGAAGTACTTGCTCCAAGGCCAATGTCTCCTTGACTGGTTGCTCAAGTGTAGCGCGCAGTAAGTATAGCGCCTGTCGGGACGCGTTGAAAAAGCCAGTTTTCCAACAACGTGCCACGAATGATGTTACGTTGCGCCACTTTTGAGCCTCTTCGGGTGACACGGCATTTTCTGTATTTAGATGTGCTGGATATGCAAATTATTAGCATTTTTCAGAATATAACGTGATGCAAAGGAAGACCAAATGGAATCAAGTTCCTAGATCGACTGGGACGTACGTTGATAGTAATCGCGTATGCAGCTATCAAATATAGGCAGCGCTTTCCACACATCTAAATCGGCCTGGAAATCGATTGAAGAGTCTGTTAGCTATACTTGAATCTCACTATACACGCCCTTCATCAGGTTTGGTTTGATTTGACTCATACATACCCCTTCGAGTTCGACCTTGCGGCCTGTCAAGCCCTTCAGTCCCTTTATAACATCGACCAGCTTATCTTGGGCAACATGATTGTGAGGAACCTGCTCCACAATCACGATGAAAGCTATCCAAATCTCCCACAATGGCCCATAGCACCCATCAGGGTCCAATTCCACACGTTCCTTCTCTTCCTTTGGGAGTTGCTTTTCTTCTTCGAAGGCCTTCTCGTGGTAGGCATCAATCTTGCTCGCAATTTCTGAAGAAGACGCAGAGGATTCAGCCTGAAGCCAATCTCTCAAGATGACGAAGACTTGACTGTAATCATTGTCGGTGGACCTGAAATGCAACGCCATGCTCAAAGTTTGAACAACTAGGTCGGTATGAACGAATGAAAATGTATGTATTTAGGGCAAGGAAAGAAAAGAACAAACAAGAAAAAGCCAAAGGCAAAGAGATTTGATGAATAGAGAATGGAGAGTAGTAGAAAAGGACTTCAAAATAGAAAGGAAAGTATCATTCAAGTATACCGCGATGGAGACCACACTTTAGCGCCGTGACTGTCAAGATGCGCCGAAGCGGCTCCCCCCACCTTCAAATCGCCGGTACCCCCAATCAAGAGCATCGCAGCTAAAACAGTACCAAAGTATTTGAAACAGTGCGGCGCGAAAAAAACAACGTCCATGTGGGTGATAAAGGTCTATTTATGTCATTTCACCTTTGCTTTTCAGGGTCCGTCGCATGCATGAACGTGGGATCGGCCAAACGAACATGTTCTCCCGTTTCTAAGCGCCGGCCCTCAAAATGTCGCACACAGCGGCGATCGGGCACGAGGTGGGGAAATCCAATCGTGTGATTGTTTAAGCGCTTTTCTCTGAGTCGGCCGTTGGGGGATTTTTTGGGTGGATTTGTCGGTTTATTATCGGTGTTTCTGGGTGCTGCCTGTCAGAATGGGTGGAGATGGGCTGAACATCAGGGAATTTCTAATGTTCTACGGAGTATACTTATCACCCTTGTAGAAAATGGTATAGTACTTGATTACCCCATTTCAGATTGTCATGGATATTCTCCCTTTATTTTATATTTGTCATGTATTGTTCTGACTCAAGTTTGTTTACCTCATTTTCTCTCTATAAATGAAGCCGCCTTGCCCACCAAAAGGTTCTGGGAGCTGCGATGCCAAATGGCGAGTGACTCGATCTGGTCAAAATGAAATTGGTTGTAACTCCAAACTTTTGCTTTTTAGCGACTTGACTCGCTTTCTTCTATGTTGTTCATCAATGTGCATTAAGCTTTGCGCGAAAAGGCTCTGATGTTTCGGACCCATTACTTTAACTCTAAAACGCACAACTTCGATTTAACCTTTAAAGTTCTGCTCCTACGTTTCACTCTATGTTTGGAGTAGTCGATATTTACATATTTCACGTTTTGTAATATTCTAGTAAAGTACTATTAGTAGTTGGACTTTGCTTTCCAATCAATGTTGAAAATCGAACATCAAAGCCCTCCGGGGCTGGAGTGCCCACCCAGATGCAACTTAGTCTTCTCCGAGTCTTGTTCCAAATATTTTCTAAAAACCTTGAATTAGAACCCACTTACATTTCCCCTTCAATTCTCAAATTAGCTGCCATCTCCCAAAATCTGTGCGAAGACCGCCCAAGTGACTGCTAGTATGATGCCTTCAGTCTTCAGAGTTATAAATCGCGGTTCGTGCCCCCAGTACCAGCGACCAAAAAGGTATGCTTTCCTCATACAAGGCTTCCCCTAAGTCCACTGGTCGAAAATGCAGAGTTACTAATATATGAGACTCTCTGTTTTTAACACGAGGCCATTTGTTGTCAAAGTAGCGGCTAGCGATCACCTGATCGCGGGGTTGAGAGCTGAGAATCACATCAGCTCTGCGTTGGGGGCCAAGACTTTCATTCTCGTCATGAACATGACAGTATCACTGATCACACCACCCATCAACAATGGATTCCACGTCTATGTCCTTCGGAAATGCGCTCTCCTCTCTGCAAGTGGGGAGTAACAACGGCGGGACGATTAACTTCATGCCCGGTACGTCTCAGGAAAGCCCCTCTCGACTACACCATGTCGATTGACAATTGGCCTTTTGGTCTCTACGCAGGTCAACCCGAAGTTTCACAGCAGGAAAAAGACAAAAGTATGTATAAGCTCTTGCGATTCAGAGAGACTGCCGCTGACTATCGTGGTAGAGATTCTCAGGTCCCTGGCATTTCCTCAGATGTTAGATCGGAGAGAGAACATTGAGCGACGCCACGCCAACACTTGCGAATGGATCCTGAGAATGGAATCTTATAACACATGGATTGGTAATCGCCAGGGTTTACTTTGGGTCAAAGGCAAGCCGGGCGCAGGGAAATCAACTTTGATGGCATTCCTCTATGACAAACTCGATCAAATTGAGGGCATTCAACTCAACTTTTTCTTTACGGCTCGAGGCTCTGAGCTACAGAGAACCTCACTTGGTATGTTCAGGTCTTTGCTCAACCAGATATTTGTCTTGGACGACATTGTGCGCGGTGCGGTGCGCGAGACGTATGAGAAACGATGTCAGCTGTTTGGTCATTATGATGAGCACAAATGGCCACAAACTATGCTTGAAGAATTGCTGACGGGTGCTATCCTCACCTCGGCGAATCAAAAACAAGTGAGAGTTTTTGTGGATGCTCTGGACGAGACCGGCGCTGAATCCGCTCAGAAGCTGGCATCATATTTCCATCGACTCAGTACTCTTGCTGGAAAGGAGAAGTTGCCTCTTCAGATCTGCATATCATGCCGGCATTATCCCATTATATCAAGCCCCCAGGCCGTGGAAGTATGCGTCGAAGATCATAACCAGGGGGATATCGCGACGTATATTGACGACGTCCTTGCTGAGATGGAAGACGATGAAGGTATCACCCGAGATATGAAGGAGGAGCTTATGATGCAATTGAATGAACGGGCCAAGGGAGTTTTTCAATGGGTTCATATTATGGTGCCTCTTCTTCAACAGCGAGTTCTTGGTGGAGATTCTTTGGATGACGTCAGGTGCTGGTTGGATGAGGTCCCGGCTGATCTAGAGGACGTGTATTCATACATTTTGAACGACGTGATAGATCAAAGGAATCGCGGACAATCGTTTCTGTTATTTCAATGGCTCTGTTTTGCTGAGCGAGCTCTGACGTTGACTGAAATTCGATACGCCTTGGTAGCGAAGGATGCCAAAACATCACCTTTAGCAAAGAAGTGGGAAAAGATCGAGGGGTTTATCGACACCGACAATCGCATGAAGCGAAAACTGAAGGCTCTTTCTGGTGGCCTTGTCGAAGTGGTCTCTGGCGAGATGGACGATGAAAACTCACAATGGGGATTTTCAGGGCCTTGCCAGTTAGTTCAAGTGGTCCACCAATCGGTTAATGATTTTCTATCCAACAGGGGACTGGAGCTGTTACGCCTACCAGCCGGCAAGAATCCGTCACTTCAATGTGGCACGGCACTCTTCTTCCAATCCCATGCAGCCCTTTATCGGTCATCTTTGATCTACCTAACCACGGTAAAATTACCTCAAAAATTGACGACGAAAGATCTGGGTCGGAATTACCCGTTTCTTGCATATGCCACCAAGAATCTCTTCATTCATGCTGAAAAAAGCGCTGAGTATCGAACTCAAGTGCTCCACAATGAAATCGATACCCTCCAGGAGCTGTTTCACCGATGGTTCAAGATCCAGCAGTGCTTTTTATCAAACTCCATTTACGACGTATTCCCAATTGAAACCAAAATCATACACGTGACTGCATTCTACAACTTAACTGATGCCCTCGGATGTTTGGCTTTGAAGGGGGAGCCTTTGGGGGACGAAGACTTCAACGGAAATACAGCGTTTCATCTTGCAGCTCGTCGTGGTCATATAGCTGTGGCAGAAATTCTTCGACGGAATGGAGCAGACTGTGGGGCAGTAAACACAAAATCTGGAAAATCTGCAATGATTGAGGCGGCCGAAAATGGAAAGTTAGAATTTGTCGAATGGCTCCTGGATGGTGGATCAAATGTCAACAAGGCAGCACGCGACGGGGAAAGTGCGCTACAGGCAGCTTCAGAGAGGGGCCATCATGCCGTGGTGGCAATTCTAATCGAAGCGGGTGCTGATGTCAATGCCCAAGGTGGTGGATTCTTTGGCCATGCTCTAAAAGCAGCTGCTAAGAATGGATATGTTGAAGTATGTCAGCTACTCCTAGATGCACATGCGGATGTCAATGCCCAAGGTGGTTTATATGGCAATGCTCTACAAGCAGCTGCTAAGAATGGATATGTTGAAGTATGTCAGCTACTCCTAGATGCACATGCGGATGTTAATGCCCAAGGTGGTTTATATGGCAATGCTCTACAAGCAGCTGCTGAGAATGGATATGTTGAAGTATGTCAGCTACTCCTAGATGCACATGCTGATGTCAATGCCCAAGGTGGTAAATATGGCAATGCTCTACGAGCTGCTGCTAGGAGTAGACATGTTGAAGTATGTCAGCTACTGCTAGATGCGCATGCTGATGTCAATGCCCAAGGTGGTGAATATGGCAATGCTCTACAAGCTGCTGCTCAGGGTGGATATATCGAAATATGCCAGCTGCTACTAGATGCGCATGCTGATGTCAATGCCCAAGGTGGTTTATATGGCAATGCTCTACAAGCTGCTGCTTACTTTGGATATATTGAAGTATGTCAGCTACTGCTAGATGCACATGCTGATGTCAATGCCCAAGGTGGTAAATATGGCAATGCTCTACAAGCTGCTGCTTTGAGTAGAGATATTGAAATATGTCAGCTACTGCTAGATGCGCATGCTGATGTCAATGCCCAAGGTGGTAAACATGGCAATGCTCTACAAGCCGCGAGACGAAAAGGACGCACCGATATCGTGAAGCTGCTGCTATACACTGGTGCCTACTAGTTATTATGATATTCCACTGGCTGAGTCCATCAAATCTGGCAGTGATGATGTTGAGTACTGATGACCACCATCCTTCCAGCGCCCAGTATATCGTGATTCAACTTCTCTCGGGGTGAGCAGGTAGATCTCTGACATTAAGCTTACAATTGAATCGAAAGAAGAAAAAATACACAATACAGGATACGTAGGCTCGGTGTCAGTTGCTTCCGGCGCCAGGCCGCATAGATGAGTATGGAGGGTGGCGATAGGCATGGCTACGGAGTACTGGGATAGAATGAAACTGAAAATATAAAGATATATTAGAAAGGGAGTTAGAGGGAGATGGGGCTGGTTATGGAGAAGAGAGGTGGTGGCTGCCGCCTGCAGGCTGCCTTAAATGGGAAACGAACGGGATCGCCACTGGTCTCAGCACTAGTCAATTGGTAACTATAAGACCCAGGCTCCCCTCCCCGCGCCAGGCCGTCATCAACTTGCCATTTATCCACCACTGCTTGAGAATCTCAAATTCTGCTCTTTTCGTATAAGATTGAACCCTTTCAACTTTGCAATTTCGTTTCCTACTTGAGATGGAAACTTTGGACAAGAAAGATACAACACCTGAGTGAGATCGCCCCAGCCATCTCAGGCAACCAGGCTGATAATATCTCACTTTCACAGCCCCTGCATGCTCTCTAAGGTACTCTCAAAACCATCGCCACTTATACCCGAAGAAATGCTTCAAATCAGGCCCGAGCCTTGGGCCTTGACCCAGACCATCGCTTCTCTCTTTACATCGGAGCCGAGTCTGCAATCCCGGATAAATCAGACGAAAGCCTGGAAACAACATGGAGATTACCCAATGTACAATGTCTGGAGCCCCGCCTTTTTCGGAATCACTCTCCCGCAACCAGGCACTGCCCCAACCAAGTTGACACGAAATGATTTGATAGTCACGAGGTGGGGGGAAGAAGACACGGTATCCTTAGAGAAGGAAGAGACGGAAACCTTATCTTTCAGTTCGGAGGATATCATCGGCAGTATCAATGTCGATCTCCCCCCCAATGCTGTGCTGCAAATGTTGCTTCCAGTATCGGGGCTGTATCAGGCTAGCCAACGGCGAACGCTGGCGATTCACCGAGGAGTTTCAAGAATATTTTCAGTTTAGCCGAGAGCTGGGAGACGTCTCTTCAAGTATCGAGGGGCCTAGAGACTCGAATAAAATTCTCACGACTATCTCGTGGTATCGTCATCACGGTTCGATCTGGCGGGAAGGGGAGACAAAGCCAGAACTGCCGTTTTCACCCAACAAGCATACACATATTTGTCGGGTGAGCCTGGGAGTTACGCGCAGTTCTGAGAGCTTGACACCAAAGGAGCGGCTCGAAAAATTTCCTACTGTTGCGGTTATGAATGAAGATGGGTTTATTTTCCTTGATACCTTGCCACAAGGACAGGGGCTTGAAGCAGGTGATCTACGGGATTTGATTGTAATGACTGGTCTTGCTGTTGTGAATTATGAGCAGCGCTCAGGCAGAAAGAAGTAGCCCAAGAGTTAATATATGGAGACAAAGTGAGAAGAGCCCCGGGGTCTGAAGAGGATGGCGAGAATTCTTTTTCTTAATTTATTCAACCATTTACTTGAAGTTCTAAAAAGTGGTGATAGTATATGCTTTCCAGATAATTAATTTGCGCATTTTCAAGTTAATATGAAGTTCTTGACTAATCACGAATCATAATAATGTGTTACTAATACTAGTAAGTCCAAAACTAACTAGTATCTGAGTCAACAACTGTATCTCGGGTTAGGCAACTTCGGCTAGTCACTGAACATGTACCTAGATACAGTGCTGGCAACTTGGCCACAGCAAATCTTGATTCGTAGCACTCTTCCATTGGGTTCCAAAATACCATAATTAAACCCAAGCCACGCAAACCAAAATACCCACAGCATGACTCGACAGATTCAACTTGCAAACAAGTTGTTATGTTCATGTGACTAACCCAAACGGGATCCCGGCACATGACATCATCCCAAGCTGTTCCGTCTTCAACTCCAACTTCACTTCCCTCTCTCCTCATCTGCTTCCAATCTCCTCAATCACCTTCAATTTACAACTTGAGCTCTCCCATACCTACCAATTTCCCCAACCATCAAAATGTTTCGCTTCGTACGTACCCACTCTCATCCCCTCCCTCCAATTCTACCTTAACTAACCAACCCCAGAGCAAAACCCTCGACCCAATCACCCTCTTCCACAACCCCAACCTCGCCCCCTCAACCCGAACCCTAAACATCCTCAAGCAAGCCTCAGCAGCAGCAACCTCCTCCGCAACCGAAGATCAAGCCAGCGACCACACCGCCCACGCAAGGCAACAACGCGGCCAATTCGAACTGGAAGTCACAACCGACAACCCAACGACCGACCAGCTGCGCTCAATCCTGGACTACATCTCGCCGAACAGCGGCACCGGCAGTCTGGGAAATAAGGAGACCTATGCTGTTTCGGACCTGATTCGCGGCGCAAGGACTGCTGAGGATGCGATTAAGAAGTTCAAGGATGATCCCACTGGGAGCTTTGTGAAGCCTGTTACTGTTGATTGGACCAATGGGCGCGCTGTTATTGGGGATCAGGAGTCGGCTATCTTGAAGATGGTTAGTCAACTTCCTGAGAACTAGGTGGTTTATTTAGGGTGGTTCCAATCGGGCTGTTATGTTGTTCTGGTGGATGGCGGATTGAAGGACTCCATGCGATGCGTGCAATGCAATTGGAGCATCGTTGACTCACCTCCGGGTTGGGTTACTGATTATGTATTTTGTGGAAGTTTACTACGGTAACTGAGACCGTTTGTGTTTATGTATGTATCATACACTCAATTTTAAACTCCATCATAGACCCCGCGACTGCGAAAACTTGAGCTCGGGAACAGTAGTAAAGAATAGCATAAACTTCAGCTTTACATTGCTTCTGCGGGTACAATACAATAAAATGCAGAGCAGTGCCGCTGCAGGAGATAAATAATAACAATGCATGGAGGAAAGAAGTAAAAGCGCCATTAAACACATACACATCGACCAAGCCAGCTCGGATCAGATGAGATAGAACAGAAGGGCAGAAAGGTAAACAAGTCTGACTGAGTCGGCTCCTAGAAGATGGTTCCGAAGCTGCCATCCGTCGCAATCGGTTTGCGTGGTGAACTACGACCACCAGTGCTGTCGACAGCGGGCTTGCGGTGGCTGAGAACGTGCTGGTCAGTGAACGGCTCTTTAATGTCCAGTAGATTGGACCTGGGGTAAACAAAACATACCGGAAGGTAAATCCAACAAATAATCCCTTATTCATCTTATCGTCACGGTCGGCCATGTCCTCGAGTGCACGCTGCTTATCATGAACCTCCTTATACTTGGCCATGTCCGCCTCGTTGCTGAAATCGTCAAAGTAGCCTGCATCCGTCTCCGAATCCAACTCCGGCACAAATGGCGCCCGCTGCTCACGCAGTCGGTCGAAGTCTACCTCACTGAAGTAGTCGTGGGCGTGGATCTCGTTAATATTCTTGAATCGTTGCTCCTTGCCGGCGACCAATTTCGTGATAAGATCCCACGTCCGGCGCGAGAGGAAATAGTTCGGATCCTCGTATACTGGCTTGCGGAGAACCTTTTGCCATCGTTTAAGGTTTTGCCATGTTTCGTCGACGGTCGCGCCTGCGAATGGTGGATAACCGGCGAGCGCTTCGAATAACATACAGCCCAGACTCCAGTAGTCGACAGTGAAATCGTACTGCTCGCCCTTGAGCACCTCCGGCGCCATGTAATCGGGCGAACCGACAATGGACTTGGCATAGTTGACTTCGCGCTCCCGCAGGGTACGGTACCCCTGTCGGCGCTCAGCCATAGTTCGCTGTTCCATGGGTCGGCCGAAGGGTACGGAAGTATTGCCCACTTCTTCCAGCTTCACGCGCATCGACTCAATCTTTCCAGGACTCAACATACCAGCTGCCAGACCGAAATCGGTCAATTTGACATGACCGGTTGAGTCGATCAGGAAGTTCTCTGGTTTAAGGTCACGGTGAATATATCCCAGAATGTGGAGCGCATCGATACAACTGAACATCTCGGCGATGTAGAAACGCGCATGTCGGTTATGCAGAACGCCCGTGTTGTTGAGCAGAGTGCGGAAATCACCACCAGGAACATACTCCATCGCCAGGTAGATTTGACTGTCATCCTGGAAAGCGTATAAGAGCTTGACGAGCCATTCGCTTTTCGCGGCGGTCAGAATATCGCGCTCGGTGAGAATGTGTCGGATTTCGTCTAATTTGAACAGGAGCTTCTTGCTCATCACCTTCAGGGCACACACCTCGCGCGTGTCCTTCTTCTGCGCCAAGTATACCTGGCCATAACCACCCTGGCCGACCTGCGTCAGGATCTGGAAATCGCCTTGGCGGAGACGGGTGCGGCGCTTGCGAAGGTGCGCGCGCTCGCGACCCAGGTATTTCAAAAGGGCGGGTTCGTATTCGTCGTTGGGAGTGGTGGGGGGGCTCGGGGTAGGCGGCTTTAAATTGGGTATGGCGGGTTTGACGATTGTGGACGTAACTCAGGAGGTCGAAGTAGTGGTCAAGGAAATCTACGGGGATGAGTATCAGCAGGCAGTTCTGGTTTTGGCAATCTTTCGTGCAACGTACATAGTTGGGTGACATTCGCCAAGCGCTTAACCTTGGGTTGGTTCAACTTCTCCATCTCCTCCGGAGTCAGCCCGCGCAATTGAACCTGGCGCTTGGTGGTGTCATCCCGTTGCTGCTGATAAGGCTCATGTCGGGAAATGGCAGCGGGGGTCGGGTTTAATCCCAATTCTTTTTGTAGACGGGTGGTCGGAGGGGTATTTTCCTTGTTTGCGCGACGCGTCGGGCTTGTGGGACGTTGGTGGATGACACTCTCGTTGAAGTCGTCAGGGCGTTCACGTTCGCCGCGATCGGTAAACATGGGATGGTTGAAGTGGTTATGGGTGGGTTTGGAGGGGGATGTCGGTGTTAATTTCAAGGCCTTGTCGAAAACATTGGGTAAATCGAGAGCGCCAGGGGGTGCTCGGGATTTGCTGGGACTTCCTTGAGGGGTTTGTGTTGGACTGAGATAGCCACTGCCGGCGGGGGTGGAGGGGCGGTCGAAGGATTCATTGCCGGAGCGAGTGTGCAGGAGAGGCGGGGGATTGGGTAGTCGGAGACCCTCGACATCGATAGCCATTTTCAGGGGAATGAGTGTGATGTGAGATGTGTGGGAATGAAGAGTGGAGGGAGAAGAGCGAAAGTGAAGTGTAGAGGATAAGTTGTAGGAAGGAGGGGAGCCCCTTGATCAGGCAGGACTTCAGCTTGGGCGGAGGCAGTTGCGCTTTGGGCGAGACTCGACTTTACACTACACCACCATTACCACTACCATAACCACTATTCATTTATCCCACAGAGTTCAGAGAACCGGATCGGAGCTGATCCACACGATCGGATCTTGCTTCAGCTCGATTCACCTCCATCCACATCCACTCCTACACCCACTTCCCTCCCCTCCGTCTGTTGCCTGAGCAACTAACTACCCCCCACGTCATCCTAAGGCTGTGCAGTCAGGGTGAAGTTGAGTTTATTGAGGCGAGCTGAACCTAATCCACCCAGTGGATTCGGAGGTAAGCGCTGCAGGTCATCTCCTGTTCCTGACCTAGTGGAGGGGTCGGGTGGGGAGCTGTCTGCCATGATTGAGGGGATTCGGAGATGACTGGAGATGACCCTGTTTGTACTCCGAGAATCCAGTTTCAGTTTCAGTTGCCTGGCTTCAAGTTCCTGTTCATTGTCCAATTATTGAGATGACCTTGGAAATAGTAGATGATCCCATTGTCCTTGTGTGGTGCAAGGGTGCGATTGTTTAGTGTATGTATAGTGTATATTGTTATTGTATTTCGTATAGATGCTGATTCCCAATATGGACTGCATGTAAGCAAACTACCCGATTGGGACGGCCCGGAAAAAAAAAAAATCAAATCATCTCGAAGGATCTTCGCATGCTTCAACCAGGCTTTGTCAAGTTTATCTACCAAGGTTACCTATGCCATTCCTCGCCTTGATTGGCCATCTAAACCTGTCCCTCAGCTCGCTGGCCCGTCTACAGAGATCGGTTAGCACTCATCTCAACTCAACTCCACTCAACTCCACCACAGAGCCCTAGATCAGCAAAGACTCACGAAGAACGCTAATCCATATGTCTCCGTCGAAAAGGTGATCGTCACCCCCTTAGGGAAATAAAACACATCACCGGGCGACGCGGTCACCTTCTGGCCCGTCTCGTCCGAAATTTCAAATTGGCCTTCCAAAATAATCTTCATTTCGTCGTAGCTATAGGTGTACACCAATGGGGTGCCCTTTTCAAGTCGGTAGAATCCCGCCGACATGGGCTTGTCGGGATTTTCCTTCTGACTATAACCCCGGTGTTAGCATACATTGCTCGGCGCTTTCCCCCAGACTACCTAGTACACTATCCGCTTCCGCTTACCTGGTGCTAATATCGCCGAGGAAGGCATTCTCGTTCGCGATGAGCGGCGGCTTAAAGGTGGACTGGGCCTTGGCGTAATACTTGAATGCTGACATCTTGTATATTGCGAATGTGACTGTTTCTGATTGATTATTCCTAGAGAATTAGCTTCGTGCCCCTGGCTTGATTTATATGATCTTGCTTCAGATCAATTCGCAAGCCCCTCCCGAAAGAGGGGATGTTCGCCATCATGCTGAGTCTGAGTCGAGAGGCAGTTGCTTCCTGGTTGCTATGTCGTGAGCTGAGTAAATGTCTGGACTACATGCCTCATTTAGGCAGACCGGAAGAGAATCTACCAGTAACACTGGCCCAGCGATGCGAAATCGATGCGAAGAGGGGTTGAGTGAGGGGAAAGAGAGATAAGCTCTGGATACTAGTAATACCATGGTATCCGCAGTAGGGGTAGTCGGGCAAATTGAATTTGAGTTATGTTGGTTTCAAATTGCCATCATGAGAGAAATATTAGAAAACCATGAAAGTAAGTTCAATTGCTCAACTTGAAAGCTGTAGGGAGCAATGGATCTAAACTGAAGTAGCTTGCAAGTTGAAGTGTGAGCCTTGAAGTGCGACCAAATCGCCCGGGATACTTTTCCCCGAAGCGGTTAGTGCATATATTGAGTTGTACACCAACCAGAGGAACTCTGTGCCCTTTTCGATAGAATACGAATCGAGAGAAAGGCCAGATCTTCCCGGATGGAAAGGTTTTCCATCTGGAGGCTCGCATCAACAATACAAGTTGGTCTTAGCGTAGACCGGCAAAGTTCATAAAGCTCCAGGTGCCTTCAATCAAGAATCTTTGTATTCATAGTTGACTTCGAGAGCTCTGTTAACGACAGCAATTGTCGAATAACAGTCTGCAATGAAGCTTACTATAATGACAGTCCTGATCTGACTCATGTTGGGTCAAAGATTATTCCAAGGTTGTTTTTTTTCATGGTGATAGGTGTATCATTGGCACGGAAGTGGTAGTACCTGGATTTTAAAAAGTCCACAAGTATTTAACATGCTTATCTCATGGGCCCTGGGAACTGGTTTCAATTTCGGCTCTTTTGACCTGCTCTCTCCGCAAGACGGTCCGTTTCCATGGGCTTGTCCAGCTGGACCGCCGTCACGGAAAGTGACGGAATTGACTCGGAGCCAACATGCCGGTACCATAAAATATGAACAGAGCAAGAACGCAGGTCTTCCAAGAGTTGGAATTGAAGAAAATATTCACTTGGCTTTGAAAACTACCATCCCCTTTTACGGAAGTCTACGGACAATGGATGACCTGATATAATGGAACGGAATGTCAGAGATGAACCAAACCCCCGCCCGGATCAGCCTCGCAACCTTGAAGAATGCGGGGAAATCTGGACTTCCATCCGGGCATCGGATATGTACCAAGCTATGCTGGCCATCAATGCTCGAGCCGTCCTACCCCACCATCATCGTGATAGGCTAGAGCTGATGAGATAGATATTCGGCGTTCACGGCTCACGGTTCACGGCCGGTAGCTCCGTTAGCTTGATCGAAAGTGCACCTGTCCTCATGTTCTAGGGTCTCATGGCTTGATGGAGCTTGAATCTCAGAATTCATATAGGCGAAGTGCTCATATTATACGCAAGATTTGGGATAGAGTGACTCGGGGCGGCTCTAAGCTTTTATGTAGATGTCAGCTGATCGACTATATAGTATCAGGGCATTATCAATAATGAGTTGTGTGTTATTAGGGCGGAAAGAATAGCGAGAAGGCATCAGGCCTGTAAAGTCGACTTCTAGAAGAGATTAGCTGAATATTTCACTGTATGCTGGACAGATTTCAATGATTTCAAACGGATCAGCCCTAAACCACTGTGAAAATAGTGATCGGGTCGGCAGTTACAAGCCCGATACAATACAGTATGGTACATAATATACTGTATAGTAAGTAATGTACCAGTGGGTTGGTAACTATCTTTTGTACTGTACGGTATGTACCCTTCGTGCCTGGAACTTCCCTTCCCCGCATGAACCACACGACCAACAACCAACCACCAACCACCTTGCAATGTTCCACCTTCCATCTATCAGACCCAGTGCCACCTCGATCAGGCCTATACCCTGTTCCAGAGTACCTACCGCCTATCAATGATATCCTCAATATTGACAGATGGTATCAAACTCTCTCAGAGTCTGCTTGAACCAACACTGCGGTATCCTTGAAGTACATATACTCTTCGCCAACGCATCGTTGAAATTGAAATGGATTACCCTGTACCCCTCAGCGACTCCAAGATCGGCGTCCCCGCATGGGCCTTATCTCGCCGAAGGCAAAGAAACGGTAATGCATAGGCGGAGACTGGCCCGGTCCTATCTTCGTCTTCGTGTCATTCGCGTCATGCACCCCGCTCTTATCTCCCTCCAACCTTGGATTCGCCCAGTTGGATATTTCTCATCCATCATTTCCTCTCGACCCAGCGAGGTCCAACTGCTAAACTGAACGCCTTGGTATGGAAACAATCAAAATTCCATCGCCGTCCACGATTTTAGACTCGCCCGACACTCCGGCCGGGAAGCCTGCCTCGCCCCAAAAGGCGAAGCAGTCGACCCAAAAGCCCAGGCAGACCAAGAGTCGCAATGGTACGATTAGTTGATATTTGGCTTGAACAACCGAAAGACTCAGCAAGAGGCAGTTGACTGCCCTGCTGGGTGCTAGTGCTAGCAAGACAATCCGCAGAATAGAATGCTGACCCATCTATCTGCTTCGCCCAGGTTGTATTACCTGCAAGGCGAAGCGCCTAAAGTGCGATGAGACAAAGCCAACCTGCGATCAGTGCGAGCGCCGTAAGGTGACCTGTGGAGGGTATAAGAAGGATTTCAAATGGCGGCCGTTTGAGGAAACCAATCTGTCCGTTGGTCGGCCTCCCGGGAAGACAAAAAAGGGTGCGCCGCTCTACAGAGACGTGTCCATATATATCCTGTTATATCCTTCCGCTAATATTCTATCAACAGTAACACAATCGCAGCCGTCTAAGAAACCTTCATCTCGGCTCCCTGTCAACTCGGAGAACTTTCCAACGCCGCCAAGGACAGAGGAATCGACCCCGCCCACACTAGTACAGGCCAACTCAAATGGAACTCCCCCCCCGAGATAAGCTTTCAAAGCTCTCCTGACAGTTTCAAAAGCTATATCTCCATCGATGATAACTCTCTTGATGGCTTTCAAATACCGGAGGAACCATCCACCAGCGCCGAGTCTACCGCTCCCCTGGGTGTGACTGTTCCTGTCGACTCCGATCCTCTGAACTTCTTGTCCTTTCTCGAACCATTTCAACATTCTGTGCCATTCACTGATGATTTGATGCAGGATCAAGATATGGATGACAACTCTGGGTCAATATTCTTTGGCCCACAAGAATTTCAACCTCACAGCGGCCCGGGGCTTAGTTTCTCCCAGTTGCTTGAGGATGAAAATGGCGATATCGAAGAGATTATACGGCAGTCAGATCCCAACAATGGCCCGTGGAATCTGAGTTTGCCCGGGGAAGATGGAGACGCATTTGACTTCTCCCGTATCCCAGAACAGCCAAATATGGCCCCTGGGAGCCGGGAGATGTTAGCCATGCGCTTTGATAAAATGACCTGCGGGATACTCTCCATCAAGGATGGCGCAACTGAGAATCCTTGGCGCACCCTCATTTGGCCTCTTGCTAAAAGCACCCCTGCATTATACCATGCGCTGTTTGCTCTTTCGGCATTTCACTATTCCAAGGAGAATCCAGTGCTGCGAGTGCAGGGTGTCAAGCATATGCGCCAGAGCATCACATGTTTGAGACAGCAAATTCAGAGTATGCGAGCCGACACTGCTTTGGCGACTAGCCTCGCACTTGCATTTGCAGATACCTGGGACCAGAATACACGCACTTGCATTCAGCATCTACGAGGTGCCAAGGCACTGATGATGCAACTTCTCAATGCAGGACTCCAGGGTGGTCTTCAACCCGAGGAGCTCGACCGTATCCGTTTCTTGTACAATACGTGGACATACATGGACGTCATTGCCCGGTTAACGTCACTGGATGAATCTAGTCCCCAAGATCTGAATCCAGCAATTTTCCAACTCCCCGGCGATGCCATTCATGAGATCGACCCTTTAATGGGTTGCGCATCAACGCTGTTCCCTTTGATCGGTCGAGTAGCTCGACTAGTTCAACGTGTGCGAAAAACGTCGTCAAATTCTGTTTCCATCGTTGCGCAGGCCATGGAGCTGAAGAGGCTCATCGAGCAGTGGGAACCGCCAATATGGTTCGAGCCGCCTGAGGATCCTAATTCCGAGGTTCAGCACAGTATTCAAGTCGCGCACGCCTACCGCTGGGCAACTCTCCTGTACCTTCATCAAGCTGTACCAGAGATGCCATCCGAGCCCGCGGAAGAACTTGCCAAGCGAGTTCTAATTCTTCTTGCAACCGTGCCATATACCTCCCGGACCATCATTATTCAAATGTTCCCTCTCCTCGCTGCTGGGGCCGAGGTTGACATGGAAGATGACCGTAAATGGGTTCTTGACCGGTGGAACACAGTCCAGTCTCGACTTATGCTCGGTGCTGTTGACAGATGCCTGGATGTGTTGCAAGAGGTCTGGTCTCGGCGAGATGCTCTCAAGGCCGAGAGACGACAGCAGGGTAGTAATAGGAACAGCACAAGGCATGCTTCTTTCTCCAGTGATGGTAAAGGTTCTGTATTGCATGGTTGTGAAAATAATCAGCGTGGATTCCATGTTCGAGCGGGGTCTGGTGATCTCGACAGATCGACCCAATCACGGAACAGGGGCTCTACGACTACATCAAAGAGGAGAGGGTCTGCGCTCTCATCGTTGGACAATATTGAGTTTGAGAGGACGGTGCGGAGTAGATTGCACTGGGTAAATGTTATGGGTGAATGGGGATGGGAAAGTATGCAGTTCCATTGCGCATTTTGTTTCCAGGATCTGAGCTGATATTTTGAAATTGCAGTTTTTCTCGGATAATTTCCTCTCAAAACTGGGGAGTGACGTTTTGGAGAGTTACTTTACTTCTCTGCCATTTTCTGAGCATGCAGGAATAATACGTTGGGATTCTGTTTATACTATTATGACGACTAATGACCCAAGCCTTGATTTCTCAAATTGTATCTACAGATGCAGGCAGCGAGGCGTTTCAGTTTTCTTTTCCCTAGTGGATTTTGCTTCTTGCTTTTATTCTTACTGGATAGTGTTCGATCAAAGGTGTTTCATCTGACGTTGTGAATATCTAACTGCACTTTGGGAATTCTAGGTAATGCGCCCAACGTATCGAATGTTTCACCTCATATCCTGCTCAAACCCCAACACCAATACCCAAAGACTCTATCTTCAGCCCAAACACGATCCATCCGAACAACAATTCCAACGCAACCACTCCCCGCTTCCATCGAGGAGACCTACTGCCTTGAAATTTGCCAAACCACCATCCTAGTCGTCCAGAGCTACTAGAAGTAGTCCCAAGCATCCTGCATTGAATATGCCCTTAGCCCTTTCAACTCTCCAGGCCAACCCCAGCTGCGTCTCCTTGCATTACAACACAGCTTCACCTTGTGCCCAACTGACCAGCCCCAAGAGTAATCTTTATATCTCTAGACATAGTGAGCTTAGTTATAGGGTAATAGAAGAATTGATTGGTTGAGCGGGTGGATCGCGGCCGAGTTCTACCACAAATGGGACTATATCCATTGATATGATGCTACACATTATGTTCGAAATCGCATTTTCATGCCGTATAACCAGTGTCTGTAGTTTACTCAGCTTTGTAGATCCGTCTCTCACCGCCTGGAGGGGAGGCTTGATACCCCCCATCGACCCATTCTGTTCCACTTTCCGCTGCATGTCGATGATCTTGCATATTTGTCCAATCATCGCATCCATTTTTAATATTCGAGTGGATACAGAAGGCACCGCAATGCCAAAAGCCTCTCGGAGCCTGCAAGCTTGTCAGGAATGGTATGTGTCGCGTCTGTGTCCCAATCGAGCTCCGCTTTTTACTAAGTGACCTCACTTCTCAATGCCAGTCGAAAGCACAAAACTAGATGTAATGGTCTCAGGCCTGAATGCGATGTTTGCACTCGCAAACGCAGGTCATGCCAATGGTCAGAAGGGCTCGCACCTGGTGGCTACAAGCACCTCTTTTTCGACTCGCATTCGGCGTCAACTCTGGCCAGGGAACGTGACAAGCCACCCGAACTCGTTTCTATAAGGCAGCCTGCGGGAATGCATCTGCAAGCATATAATACTTGTGATCTTCCATCGCTTCCGATGCGTCGACGACTAATTGATATCTTTGCACAAACTCATCACCTGCTAGACCTTTGTGGCTGTATACAATTGGACGCACTGCAGGTTGATAGAATGACAAACGAGAATCGCTTCCTACCCGAATCAATATTTGCTCTCTCTGCATTATACTTACCTCAAAACGAGGCGAAGTCCGACTCGAAATTTAGCAGCGCAAAAGGTATGGTACGCTTTTATCGGAATAAGGCACAGGATTCATCTCGTCAATCTTCCGACCAGCCTACTAGTAACGTGACCCCTGCTTCCACATCCACTTTTTCCTGCTGACTGGCTCAGTCATCAATATACAAGCTAATCTGGTATTGGGTCTTTGTGAGCTTTTAACGATGGCGACATCAAAAGCATGGTTGCATATCGGACTAGCTGTGCGCATGGCACAAACCCTGCGCATGCGAAATGAATACAGTGGACGGCATATACCACGCAAACGCGAGATTCGGAGACGAACATTCTGGGCCTGCATCATCTTTGATCGCCTCGTTGCATACTGCACATTTCGAACGCAAACTATTGACTTAGCACTAGTCGGTCTACATCTTCCCTGCAGCGATATCACCTTTGCCTTTGGACACGACTGCCCAGGCCCCAAGGTTCATGAGCTCGGGTCTCAGCTCGATCAAGATGATGGAAAGTCGACTCTTTCTTATTTCGTCAAAACATTTCTTCTCTGGTCACCCATCGCACAAGCGTATGTCGATGGAGGCCGCCGAGTTTCTCCATCTTCTCTTTACGACCCTTCAAGCAAACACTGGCAGAACCAGGCAGCTATCAAGAGCTGGCTGGAGGGCTTACCGGAAGATTTAAAGTGGTCTGAAAATAATTTAAAAGCCTACCAGTCCCTTGGAAAGCTGTCGCATTTCACGAGCATGCACTTCCTGACTCAACACGCCTTATTCTTGGCACATCATGAGCATCTTCCGCAGCTCGAAGATTTACCTTCTGACACTTCAAGTACTGCGATAGTATCCGATGAGACCAATCCAGACACAATCGCGATTTGTATGGCCGGTGCCAACTGCGTCATCAATATGCTACAGCTGATCGATGCGGTCGTGCCAGAATTTCGAAGCACACCGCCAGGCATTTGCAGTATAATACCAATAGTGACCACCGCAAGTGTGCTGCTATGGTTTCAATATCTGAGTCCGCTTGCGTCTAGCTTCGTGCAGTCCTCACAAAGTGATGTTCACCGGGCCAGGTCAGATGTTGATTATTTGCTTTCACTGTTGGATGGCTGGTCCAGGAGTTGGGTTTTAGCAAAAGCTTTTGCAAGTTCGATCAGGCTATTGGAGGATTATTATCAGTCAAAGTATGGACGTGCGATATGCGACCTCGCAGCCCCCAACATGCACACATCACACAACCAGTCATCAAGAGATCCAGTAAATGGTACAGAGTCAGTGGCAGCATCTCCAACTCCGCTCTGCGATGGAGACGGATTCCCGGAGATTACCGGAATCCCCCAGGCAACTTACTATAAAGTCCGACTCATTACTGGTTTGGTTTTAGAGCAACCCGAGCTGTGCAAGAAATTTCTCCACATCTTTGGAGACCATGGGGTAGAGTCTACTGAACAGGAATTTCATTCTTGGGACAATGATATTGATTTTTCTTGGATAAACGATATGGATTTGCTAGCTGACTCTCCGTTTTGGCCAGATTCTGCGCTACAGTTAGAACAATAAAAGGTCCTCCCATACTTGTTGCAATGAACAGATATACCAGCTCCTACTAGTTACAGGCTCCTAGTATACGTATCTAAAGTGGTCAATCTCCTTGTCGGTTTTGTCCATCATGGCCATAATTGTGTCTGTTCGCATATCACTGGTATCCGCCGCACTTGTTGTCTCATTTTGTTGTTCGCGAATACGGTTGTTCCACATAAGATAGAAGCGGAACATTAAACATAGCATGAAGCATGCTGCTTGACATACCATGAGCGCAATGAATCCCGAATCGTAGGAGGGTGCTTCTCTTTCGAAAAACAGTTGTGGGCCGATAATGTTACCGGCGCAATAGGCTATAAAACTCTGCAAGACGATGAAAAGTTCTGATCAGCCTGATTTCCCGCCAACCCCAGGGCCAGTCGTCGTATTATCAGAGCACATACCAATGCGTTCACTGTTGTTTTCTTTGTAAATCCACCAATATTTCCAGAAACCATCGACATCATTAATGGGAAAGAAGCCGAGTTAGCCCCCATCAGACAGGTTCCAGCATATCGACCCCATTTTTCATATTCTGGTAGTTCACGAACGAGGGCTGCTCCAACCAGTGCAACTGCAAATGATAGCATCATCCAGTAGGTCCGACTATTCCGGAAGTAGCTGCTACCCCCCAGTGCAAATAATGACCAGAGCTAGCTGGACGAGATACGGAACGCACTGTAGAAGCAGAGTATCGAACGTACTGAAGCCAATCCCGGTAAGAATAATAGACCGGAACTATCAGTCATTAGCATTCGACTTGTCTGTTTTGTTATTCTGGTTCATGAAAAATGACTCACGGTTGTTACTCCACCGTTTGGAATATTGGAACTGAATTGAATAAGAACCAGGAACCACGTTTTCATATCCATAACTGCCTCTTGACATTGCTCCCACTTGAACTTGTCATTTTTGATTCCAGTCAGATTCTCCTGAACTCGCGCCACAGCCTTTTCCCGATCCGAAATATTCAAGAACCATGCATTTGATGGCGTATCTGGAAGCAGGAAGATATTGGAAATTGACCAGGCAACAGTTGCCCCTCCAAGGATCAGGAAAGATGCCTATAATTCATGATATCAGTAGTTAACTCGCCACATATAGATATTGCCACGATTCATACCTTCCACGGCGCAATAGTCTCTATATGCCCGATTCCGTAATTGAGCAACCCTCCGAATAGCCCAGCACATGTATTTCCTAGAAACCACGCTGCATGACGGAGAGGCTGTTCAGATCTCTTATAAAACATGGAAATAATGATTGTGAGTCCGGGAGCAATCGCTGCCTCGGCAACACCGAGGAAAAATCGGGTTGCAAGAAGACCACTAGAGTTGTGGCATGTGGCAGTCAACATTAGAATTGCGCCCCAAGCTAGGCTTTGGTCACATTGAATGTTAGAATAAATAGAATAAGCGAAGTATTAATTTCGGGAGCTTGCTCACATGGAAGCCGTAATGAACTTGCCAACTCTCCACCTAACCATCAGTACACCCGCTGGGTAGGATGCCACGAGATAGCCAAAGTAGTATATTCCACTTGACCAAGAATATTCTTCACCAGTAAGATTTAAGTCTTCACGAAGACCCATGATTGCAGTTGATGCAAGTGCTGACTTGTCAAGGTATTGAAAAAGATATGAGAGAGCCATGACAGGCAATAGACTGATCAAAAGTGAGTATTGCATCCAAAAGTCAGTTTGCCCTCAGGGTTCGCACCACATGTCCAATTTTCGGAGGATTCTTTTATCTTCCTCTGGGCTGAGGGGTTCATAGGAGCCGTCAATTGTTTCAATGTCGCCCGCATACCAAGACTCATCCTTTGCCTTCTCTTCGGCTTTGATTTCCTTGGTCATTATCGCGTTTTATCGTCTGGTGCTTCGAGGCAGACAAAAAGACGAATAGGAAAAAATGATATCGGCACAGAGCTAATCTGGGAGAGGACTTGAAAGAGAAGGTAGTATCTCTCAAGGAGCTAACGGGTTTATATGTTAAAGCCAAGACCAGACAGACCTTTCATCGTTATCTTTGCTCCCCACTATTGCAATCTACGACTCCAATACAACTTTGGGTTTGCGGGGAAGTCGCTCGGTCCTCCTACGGAGACTAGCCACTTGTGGGAATTCCTTTCCGTAAATTTATGCGGAAGCTAACTTTGTAGAGATGGTCGACCCGGAAAATCAGGTCTATCTCTTGTTTTTGGTCAAGTTCGGTTTATCTCAATGGGCCTATAAATATTTCTTGACTTCCGTCGGTTTGTGGGATTATTTCAAGGACATCTCAACCACGGAATGTTGGAAATTACTTGCTCTGGATCACCTTACGAAGTAATGCGAACAACCCTAAGGGCTTCTTTGACTACGTGCTAACCCGTTTTTCCAGATTGGCTTTCAACATGGAAGTCAAGCTAAGGAACTAGTGCACGGGAGCATTGAATATTACGATGATTATTTTCAGCGAATGAGCAAGATGAACTGGGCAACGGCGGAGGATGTCGCAATGAAGTTCCAGCCATTTCTGGAGCAACATGTACCTCATCTAGTCGAGGAAATGCAAGGTAGGTTGAAATTTCTCTGGCAACTTTGACTACAATTCATATTTCCATATCGATATTGCTTTACTTACTGGTCGCTTATAGGAATTGCTGATGGTGCCTGTGTCTCTTTGCCTGCTGTATTTGCTCTCAACGCTAGAACGGAAATTTCAATGGGCATGATGGATGATGGTTGCACCTCGCTGGCCTGGAAGGGTGACGGCTTTAGTGTTGCAGGCCAGAATTGGGATGTAAGTTGTCCTGAAACCTTACTGTGAATGCTCTAATCAGATGTGACAGTGGGAGGCAGCTCAAAAGGCCCGCCTAGTTATCCTACACATTAATCCCAACCAAAATGGCACTGCACCCCGAGCAAAAATTAGTTTGGCTACGGAGGCAGGACTTCTCAGCAAGAGTGGCCTGAATTCTCATGGAGTAGCTGTTTTCGTCAACGCGATAAAAGCGGCCGGTGTGAAATTCGATGCTCTGCCCATCCACATTGCTCTACGCACAGTCTTGGACTGTGAAAGTCGTCTAAAGGCAATTGCTCGATTGCTTTCACTCACATTGGGTACCTCGGGCCATATCATGATCGCGGACAAAACAGGTGGAACTTCTCTCGAATTTAGCCATCTCGACATCATTCAAATGGAGATGACCAACGGACAGATTGCGCATACCAACCATTTTCTTGTCAAGCATGACCCTGCCGTTATTGACTCTCACATCTTTCCAGACTCAATCACACGACAGAAACGCATCATGTCACTGCTGAAGGAAGCCCGTCATCAAAAGCAGCGTGTTAAGGCTCCAGCGGAGTCGTTTGAGAAGATGTTGGAAGATGAGGAGGGCTTTCCCACTGCGATCAATAGGAAGTCAAGTCCTATAAGGCAAAGTGAGACGTTATACAGCTTCGTGGTTGATCTCAATAATCGGACGGCTCGCCTAAGGCTAGGTCGGCCGAATGAGTGCGAGGGTGTTTGGGTATTCAAGCCTGTTGAACTCTAGTACCGTCCTCGGGTGACTGCAAATATCTACTACTAGTCAGTAGAATTTATCAAGAATCGATACGGAAGATTGTGAAACAATGAATTTCCAGACTTAACATGTAACCGTTGGATTCTTATGCAAGCTGGGTCTTAATATGGATGCAGGTTCGTAGAACTTAGGTCCACTCGTTTCAGCCGCATCTATACAATACGAGGCTAATCACATGACCCGATAGCTATGAGTCAACAAAATCTGACAGCATTTTCCTCTCGAACACCACCTCTCAAAGCTTCACAATAGTCGTCTAAATGATTTCAAAGGGTTTATTAAAGGTATCAGCCCTGGCAGCTGTGGCTGTGTCGGCAACGTACGCCGGCACTGTTTATAAGGCGACACGACGCACCGATCCCCGACGGATGACACGCCAAAACACCGTTCCTGATTCACTTCGGAATTCTAAATCCGTCAATGAAATTGTTGATCCTAGGGGTTACTCCACTAGTTTTGACACGCGGTCTGTCTCCATCGCCATACCACCTCATCGAAGAAATGTCTCGGATGAGGAACTACTCAGCAGACTTACGAAGGCTTTCTTTGGGGGAGCTGTGATTCGCCCGGAGAGATTCGTACTTCAAACGTTGAAACCAAATCTTGTCAATTTCTCTGGTAAATTTCTTAACTACCACGCATTCGAGGTGATGTCTTATCCAACTAATCACAAGCAACAGCCATAACTTCAAAAGTCGCGCCCCAGATATGGAGAGTGGAACAAATATCAAATTCCTCATTCTTACCTATATACACGAAAATATTTGGCACATTTCAAGTCCTCGACTCACAGGCGTATTCTGAGCCCGATTCATCCAAAATAGCGGAAAGCTATATCGATATTGGATTTGGAGTCGACCAGTCTTCTTTCGCTGGAGTTCACCGATTTTCGGCTTTCAGGCCCAATCATGAATCACAGGACGAGGTGATTCTACAGCTCGCATGCCAGGTCGCTTCTGGTCCAAGACCAAACCTTGTGGCGTCTACTTTAACATATACCGGCTTGTTTCATAGAGTTTACGCGGACTTGCTTTTTAGGGAGAGTATTGGAGAAGTTGAGAAGTGGCTGCAAAGTCATGACTAGCCGGTAGCCGGTCTCATGAATTATCAACACCCTGTATTTATACTAGTAGAGTTCAGATGTGACTTCCAAGGTTTATCTGACTCATTGGAGGAAATCACCGCTCAATTATCAAGAAATGTACATAATCACCCCCTCTCTGGATATGATATTGGAAATTATTCGCACCACTTCAAGGTCCTTCAATGTCAATACATAATAGTAAGACAGCTTTAGGCAGCGCAGTTCACTTCCAACAAGGTATCATCAACCTAAAACACAAATAAGTTAGAGAAGTCAACATCATAATGAACCTGTCAAAAGAACTCACATTTGTGCACACGAATCCATCATCACCATCCGGACTCTGAACATCAATGTTCGTAGCCTTGATATTAGAGCAAACCTAAAGAAATTAGAAAATGCATCTCCATTTACTTCTCGGAAAAACTCACAGTCTCGCTTGAGCAGACAACAGTGCCAACATTAGGGTCGTATTTGCCAGATGTTGTACCCTTAATGTTCGTGAATAGAATATCAGAAATAGTCAACTCGGAAGGATACTGGTTGCACAGAGTGAGGTTCTTCTGTCCGTAGCACTGGGTCACCTCAATGGCGTAGTCGACGTTGTCAATGGTCATAGTGTCGTAGGTAACGTTCTTCACGCTGCCAGAGCCACCTCCACCTTGGAGATCAGTCGACAGGGCAGAAGAAATGCCTGGCCAGACCTTAATACGAGCGCCGTCCTAGAATCTATCAGTATTGAAGTAAAGATCGAGTTTGCATCGGGCCCAGTCGTATTTGTACTCACAGATGCATTGAACATGGAAATGTTGTAGATGAGAAGATTCTCCACAATGTCCACTTCACCCGGGTACTGGCCAAGAGAACCGACGGAAATACCGTGAGAGCCGTTGCAGTGGAGGTTTTGAACAATGATATCCGTGGCATTAGGCTTGAAAGAAACGCAGTCTGGAAGTAATTAGCTTTTCTGTTGATTGTCAAAGCTCCGCAAATCTCCTCGTGTGTCATACCATCTCCATTGTTAATAACCGAGTCCTGAATGACAATATTCGTTGAGCGGTATAGATCCCTACCAACATTCAATCAGCTTCAACATTCCCAACTTGAAAATCGCATTGTCGGAAAAAAATCTCACCATCCATCAGTATTCTTCGCAGTATTCTTGCTCTTACTGAATCCGGAAATATCAATGCCCTCGAAAAGCACATTCGAAGAATTAGCCACAAAGTGATACCACTGCGGCGAGTAGCGCAGCTTAAGCGGACCAATAGTGCCGCCCTGTAACCCAATAACGCCCACCAGAATCGGGCGCAGGATCAACGCATCTTCGGCATAGAGATCGTACCAGACCTGTCCGTTGCCGTCAATAGTTCCGCCGCCGTAGACATTGACATCCTCGCCGCCGAGCTGGAAGAAGGTCGTTGCGTTTTGGTAGATTTGCTTGAAAGCGTTTTCTTGCCAGTAATCTGTGTCATTGGTGAATTGAATTGTACCAAGGACCTCTGTTGATAGGATTCAATTATTAGCTGGATGTCTCTCTAATTGACAGGAGGGCTTTGTGTTGGCTGCTATCAGATTCAACGTACCCAGATCCACATGCTTCAGGAAGGTCATATCCAGTGCCGTTCCAACTGTGTAGGTCTTATCTTCGTCGAAAACAACCTTGCCACCATTGTTGCATTTGTGCAATGCTTGCAGGATATTCTTCGAATCGTCGACTCCATTGCCGTGATTGGCGACATGGCAAGTGCGTGTGCGAGCTTGACTAACTGGCAATGGGCGGAAGGGGTGGTGAGGCTTGCAAGCGTCGGTTCGAGAATACTTTTGTCCTGAGGCGGATTTTCCCTCAGCTGCCATGCCAAGGGATAGGAAAAGACCCAGGGCCTGGGTTAATGTATTGGAGATCTTCATTTTGGCTCAATGCGATCCAACAGTATATGATAAGAAGGGCCGGGAAGTTCTCGGTTGACAGGATCGTCACTTTTTTTCGAGCTGCTCCTGATTTATATGTACAATCTCAGAAAAATATTAATAATTATTAAAAAAAGCGCTCTCCCTTGTCTGCAAGCCTTGGGCGACGCGCTAGCAAGGCCCGCAGTCGTCGGCTCGGCGGGGTAATCCGCAGTTCATCCGGGGAAATGGCATCGTCAGTTGTGGGGGAGGCTTTCAGGAGTATGCTCTAGCTGGCGTATACGCAGGCACGGCGTACCTTTAGCGAGGTGGTCGGAGATTAGAAGACACTCTATTCTGGGGATGGTGGGAGGTTTCTAGGGGTTGGGAATATCCGATAGGAGGAATATCTGCGAGAAGTTTCACCGATTGGGAGGAAAATCCCGGGAAAATCGTCGGGGGTGGGAGTCAGTTGTGGCGGTCGGCATTGCATACTGATCCTGGGAAGGAGCTCGAGAACCTAAGCAACCGTTTAGAGCTGACTTCCTCTCCAATACTGGCTTCGAGGGAGCTTGCTAGTGCTTATATGGGCTCTATGTGAAGATTATGGTTCAGTTACACCTTACACTACTGACTACGATACGATATACCTGCTGACTCGGTTGGAACAAAATCACTGCAATTTATATGTACAGCGGGCTTTCGAGGAAAAGGTCCGCGCGGGAATCGGTTATGAGAATTCACAGGCGAGCTTCCATGACTGAGCAGACCTCGAAGTAACATGCAACCTCGCATTCCCCGAGAATGCTCGTCCACGCACGACCCGTCCAGAAAGACCTTCTAGCACCTGCGCCATATTCCGCCTGCTTATCTATGCACCAAGCTTTTTAGTTGGACTTGACGGCACCCTCGACGGCACCCTCGACCTGCTTGGCGGCAGACTTAGCAGACTCGGCAACATCCTTCTCGATATCCTTGGCAGTCTCAACGGCGGAGCCGTCCTGGCTGCGGCGGTACATGATGATACGGGAGACCTGGACGACACCAACACATCCAAGGAAGAAGTTAACGGCGGCAAGCCTACAGGGTAATATTAGCAAATGCGTCATCGCGGACGGACCGATATATCGTAGAAGACGGGTTATTCGACATACAGAACGTTACGGGGCTTGATGATCAAGCACCAGCGGGTCCAGATGGCACCAGTGGCTGTCAGAGCACCGTTCTGGGTGAGGGAGAGCTTCTCAGCAGGACGGTTGAAGTCGGAGATACCGGCGATGACCAGACCCCACTGTCAGGAGTCAGTCAGCATTTCCATTCCATCGCGCAGTCGATATAGGAAGTTTATCTCGGGGAAATCGTAGGATATGTCGTAAGGTAAAGTCAAGGGGGAAAGGGAATATTAAAATGGGATGGTTGAATCATAATCGTACCTTCATGACGGGAGCCCTGTTGGAATGACGCGGTTAGCATTGCACCACCCTCTGAGCCCCCGGCTTGCCGTCGTACTGGTCAAGCATCGGGGCAATATGTTTGAATTGAGAAGACTCACCAGAAATGCACAGTCTTGACACCGACAGGGCTGTTCCACATGCGCTGGAAAGTGCTCTGCTGCTCCGCGGCGCCGGCGCCGGCTTCGGAGCTCTGGAAGCGCCAGCCCTGACCACCCGGCCGGCGGAATGGCGCAGAGGCATTGCGGAAGGACGCGCGAGCGTTGTTAAAGAAGCGGAATCCCACACGAGACGACATGATGGTGGAGGGGAGAGTGATGTGGTTGAGAGAAGGTCGTTGGGGCAGGAAGGACGGAAGCGTCCGGTGATCGGGGGGAGTTTTCCGAGGACGAACAATAAACCACAACGATAACCAGCTACAAAGACTGTTGAAAGTTGCCGTGAATAAAGATGTATCAACAAGAATACAATGCGATTACCGAATAAGAAGGCAATTCAATTTATTTCAAATTGGAATGTCCTTCCGGTCGTATCTCCAGTCCTTGAAGTGATGAGGTAATCCTACTCTAGTCCAGGAATGGTAATAGTTGACACCTCAGGCAAAAAGATCGGGAAAGCAGTTGATGCCTTAGTCAGCAGGCACCAATACTGTCAGCCAATCACCACCCCCGCGAATAATGCTGCATCTCCCTCACTCCGCGAGACTTGGATAACATCCACTCTTAATACTCTCTCCTCTCCCCTCCACCTCCCACCCCCACACCCACATCCATAATGTCCGGCAAATACGTCTTTACCAAGGGCCTGAAGGAGCTCCGCTTCCTTTTCTGCCAGACCTCCGAGCAGAGCGCTGCCACAAGGCAAGACTTTCCTTCGCTCCGAACCTGAACCCGACTAGCCCACTCCTGCCATTCCCAATGGCAATGGCTGTCTACTTCCCTCGCCAAAGGCTAACAAGGCTATCCGAACAGATCCTTCATTAACCGCGCCTACCCCACCATGAAGAAGCACAACCCGCACACTCCCATCATGATGCGCGAAGCCTCCGGCACCGAGCCGCGAGTCTTCGCCCGCTATGGTACGCACCGCGACACACGCATTCAAGGAGATACACGACTAATGCAGCTTCAATTCTTACAGAGCTTGGAAAGGAGAAGCAGGAGGCTCTGTCTGGTAGGTTTACCCGGAATAATGGCGTGTTGGAGGGTAGAAGTCTGTTGAAATCGACCCGCTAACTTTGGGAACAGGACTCACGGATACTCAGATCGAAGAGCGCATCACGAACCTGGTCAAGCAGTCATAACCGAATTTTCTGCCATTCCCCATCTCGCGTTTCAATATATTCCTCTACTTCCACCCTCCATCCTATGTGTATCTATAGATGAAATCGAGCCCTCATCAAAATCAACACCCAATCAATCCTTCTACCTTTCTACAATCATACCTGGCGAAGAAAAAGCAAGACTCAAAACAGAACCCGAAATCATGCTATTAACAAGCAGCACTACCGACAACTACAACGAACTACTAGAATTCAAGTCTCCAAATCGAAACTGCGCCCAACTCATACTCCCCTCAGGAAGCGTCCACAATCTCTTCCCCAGGTCATCACCCGCCGCACCCGCGCCCACATGAATAGGGAGCAAATGGTCATATGAAGGATGCGCCTGTCTCGCATCAGGCCGATTAAGCAACTTCGCCATCTTACCCTGCCGCTCCGCCGGATCGGAGACAACAGCCTCCTTCAACGCCTCGTCGAAACTAACTGCATACGGCATCGGCGGCGCATTACCACCCCTCGTGAAGCGGAGATCGCGCAGGTTGTGCACTGACATTCCCGAAACGATGATGAGTATGTTCTTCTCGCGCAGGTGCGAGACTGCTTGGCCGAGGCGGTAGTGTTGGTCTGGGTCTTCGGTGTCGAAGAGGGAGACTTGCACGATTGGCACGTTTAGGGGGTTTTTCTCTGGTTCGAAGGCTGGTGGGTGAGATTTTCGTTAGCTTTGTTTCCTTCTTTCTTTCTTTCTTTCTTTCTGTCGTTCCTTGCTGGAGGTGCATGCGTGGTGGATACATAACATACCGCACTTGAAACTAGCCCACACGCCGTGGTCCAGTCCACGCTTCACGCCCTTTGCCTCGATACCCGCGCTGCTCAGTGCGGATAGGACTTGATCTGCGACTTTTCTGCTTCCGACATTCGGGTATTTCTCTTTGTAGTAGTGATCCGGGAAACCATAGAAACTGTGCCTTGATTAGCGATGTTCTTTCTCTTATCTCCTGCCAGTGTTCAGACAACTTGAAAAGATAGAACAAAGAGACATTAGCATATCAGAAAGAATAGTCTAAACATACTCATAGATCAAATCGGTCATCTCGGCCGTATTCACATAAATCGTATCCCGACCACCCTGCCAATGCGCAGAAAAAACAACCACAGCATCGGGCTTGACTTTCGTGGTGATTTCCTTGCCGATTTCTCCTAGCTTCTTATACGCTGGGTGGCCTGTTTCATACATGACATTGGGCTGGTGAGAAGAATTCGAGGTTAGCTTGGTCCTTCTCTGCTCTGCTATTCCATCCCAAGTTCCATCCATAGCTAATTGCATGCATGCAACCCCAACCAATCAACCAACAGGGAAATAAAGGACAATGGATGGATGCACATACCCCGCCATGGCTGAGGAAATAGATAGGCGTCTTCATGATGGAAGATGATCCACTGGCAGATTTGATCTTTGAATCAACGTTCAGGTTCGATCCTGTCACTGTTACTGGCGCAGTCGCAGAAGCTGTCGTGGCTGATCGAACAACCCGCGAGGAAAAGCGGCGGAGGGTATACAGATTGGCCGGGTCGATGAGAGCTGCTATGAGTACAGCTACCACCAGAACAATCAGGGACAGTATTATTTTTCGACTGGACGTATATTGAGACGTCGCGGTATGTTCAAGTTGTTGATTCGGATGTTGAGACTGCTGTTGATGTTCCGAAGACATAAATGTATTATCAATCAATGCGGGTGCGGAATCAGAACCCAGAGCAATCAACTTGAAGTGCCCAGGTCACGGTGGCAGTGCGAGATTCACACGTTGCAGAGTTTTCAAGTAAATATAATATGTGAAAACAGGGGCTGGGACATGGAAGATGCAAGATGCAATTACTCAGGCTTAGCAAGAAAGTGGTGGTCGGGTATACGGGGATAGATGAGTGCCGATGGAAGAAGCCGATCGGAAGGGTGTGTCAGCGCGAAATGGGGCCGCTTGTTACACTGCAGTAACTAGGATTTTATAGTACAAGTTTGTTATTCTAGGTGTGCTACTAAAGTATATTCCAGGATTCTCATCCATTCTATTGATGCAAATGCAGTATTGCAGCATCGCTTTGGGGTATTTTTTTTTTTTAGCTCCCGATCATCAGGCGATCGCAATCATGGTCATCTCCTATTCGTAGAGTATACATACCCGGTTCAAACAGAAGAGGAAGTAAACAACTGGCGAAAGACGAAGAAGAGATACATCAGAATGGAATCTGCTGATGATCGTGTTGCTTGACTCAGCCAGCAGAGAAGGTGTTGAGAAGGGAAAAATCAGGGATGGAATGGAATGGTACATCAAGCGTCGTTGGTCATTAAAGTTACATGAGTCTAGTCGGGCTAGACTAGAAGAAGGTATAACGGAAAGGGTAAGGGCGGGATATTGTGAAAACTAGCCCTTTTTACATCACAACACAGTCTCCATCGCTCTGCTTGTTGACAGCCGAACGGGAGAGGCGGGTCTTCTGCATGCGCTGTCCGCCCTTCTTGAGGTCTTCAAGACGCTCACGGGCCTTGGGGAACCCTTGCGCTGGGAGAGTATTAGCATAGTTCATATCTCGGGATCATCAAAATGGAGAGTTCTGCTTCTAACTTACCAGCTGCACGCCAATACCAGCGCTTCGCATCCTCCAAATTCGCAGAAGCTCCGATTCCCACCTCAGTGAAGTATCCCATCGCGTATTCAGCCTTGGCAAGACCGGCCGTGGCGGCCTTTCGAGCCCACAGGTACGCCTCTGTATCGTTTTGTTGTAGAATCCCCTCGGAACCAGTCAGATACCAGCCACTGAGGGCCAGTTCACTCTGGTGCTCGCCCTGGGCAGCGGCACGAGTATACCAAATAATGCTCGTACGGTTATCAATCGGACAACCCAGCAAACCATACTCATAGGCGTTTCCTAAGCGGAACTGAGAGAATTTGTAGCCGAGTTCTGCGGCCTTGTGGAAGAGTTCACTGGCGTATCCCTCGTCGCGGACGATAGTATCGTTGCCGCTTGCACTCTGGTACATCAAAGCGAGTTCATGGAGTGCGTGTGGATTCTCTGCATCTGCGCGGTCGGCTGCTCGCTTCAACCACGAGACACCTTCCCGAGGGGTGCGTTGTTGGCCAAGAAGTCCCTTTAGATTAATCATGCCCATCTTATACATCGCGGGTGTATCGCCCAGAGAGGCAGCTCGCTTATACCACTGGACGGCCTTGAAAGGGTCCCGCTTGGTGCCACCACCTTCTTCTTGGCCGATCTCGCAGCACACTGCCACACGGTACGCGGACTGTGCGTGTCCTTGCTTTGCAGCAGATTGATAAAGAGAAAAGGCTTCCTTGGGATCCATTTCTAGACCCAGGAGGCCCTCGCCATAGCAGTCGGCGAGAAAGAACTGAGCCTCTGAGTATCCAGTCGACACAAGCTTTTTGACAATCTTGTGCGCATCTAGATTATACTTTTCCTTCGTTTTGGCCTTGGTCTTGGGGTCCAATCGGCTGTTGGCGTCTACAAGAACCACGGCGGCTTCGGCAAGCTTCTTAGCTAGCAGAAGCTGAGTCGCCTGATCGCCGGGGTTGGAGCGTGCCTTCGCTTGCAACGACTGTAATTCCTCAGGCGTGACTGGTGTATGCGCCACGCCCATTCCATCTGGAGGCATGGGGCGCGGGGTAGCGGCAGCCGGCGCCGGCGCCGGGGCTGAAGTTTGGGGGTTATTGTACTGGCGAACGGGGGCTGGTTTGGCAGCTTGGTCGTGGCCTGGACGGAACGGCACCGGTACAGGGTGATGCGGAAGCGCATCTGGGTTGTGCTCTTGTACTGGTGCGGGTGCGGGTGCTGGCGCGGATTGATAAGGCGGCTGGTTGGCGAAGGGGGCATGGCCATTAGGAGAATATGGGCTTGTCTGTTCGTATCCGTACCCCGAACCATCAGGCTGACGCATTCCTTGCACTGGTGGCGCATCTTGCGGAATGTCAAACTGGAAGCCCGCATTTTCAAACTGATTAGGGCCGTCACGGAGGTTAGGCTGGGACCTCATATGCGGAGTCCCTGGTCCAGAATCCGGAGAAAATGCAGCGTATTGAGCCCCTCCGGAAGGAGAGGTAGGCGTTTGAATAGTCGGCTTGGGCTTGGGGGTGTCTAGTCCCATCTCATCAATCGGGCCCATGTGATTTGACGGCATGGCATCGAAGTTGGGCATATCGGGTTCATCCTCAGCAGGCGCACCGCCAAAGTAGCTATCCAGAAAGTCTTTGGGCGCGTAGGAAACGCGATTGACGGGGTCAGGTGGAATCATCAGCCCGGGATCAATGTCATTCACGGGGCGGGCGCGCGGTGGCGGGGGTTGGCGCATTCCACCCGCGGTGTTAGGACGAGGAGGCATCATCTCGCCCATTGGACTGCCTGGATAATCGGGCTCGGGGTAGTCTGAGTGCGGTGGATATAGTACTGGCGGCTGCGCGAGAGGCATCGTGTTACTTCGCGACGGGCCCGACATTGGGCCATTTGGATCCGGGTATGCGCGATCAGGACGATCTGGCCGTGGTCGTGGAGCTCCAGGGCCCATGGGATATCCTCCTCGGCCACGGCCTGGTGGCATTCCGCGAGGAGGGGGTTGGCGCATGTCCGGGCGGCGTGAGTTGGAGGTATGCGGTCGAGGAGGGGGTCGTCCGTTGATATCCATGGCAGCCATTCCATTTTCCAGGCTACGAGAGGGAGGACCTCGTCGGTCTCTAGGGTCTCTAGGGCCTCGAGGATCTCGGGGGTCCCGGGGATCTCTCGGGGAGACAGCAGGGAAAGGGTTGTCGAATCCGGGTGGGGGGCGGCCGTTTGCTTGAAAGTGTTAATATGCCAGATCTTAAGTGATTTGAGTGATCGCACGCGGTTGACTTACTAGGTGGTCCTCTACGCTTTTGCGGGGGAGGTCTGTCGCCGGCATAACCACGACCATTTGGGGGACCCCATAGGTCGGCCCGAACCTGATGGCCCTGGCGGGCGCATGGAGCGCGGTGCATTTGACGAGCCGTAGGGACCGGGGGGGGCCAGGCGGGCCAGGCTGATAACCATATGCTGGGTCCTCGGAGCCAGGATCTGGTGGGTAGTCACCAGCGCCGTACATGTCGCCTTGGGCATAGGGCGCAGCAGCCGAGGCCGGGGATGGAGCGTACTGCCTCACGGGCGGCGGGCGCTGCGACGACGGAGGGTATGCCATGGCGCAGGCTCGCGCAGGCAGAGCGATCGCTCAAGTCGAGTGGAAAGGGTGAAGTCGAAGTCGTAATCGAAAGTTGGGGATGGGAGGATTGCGAGCGACTTTGCGAATGGCGTTGGGCGCATGCAAGGAGGGTCAAGATGGCTACGGGTTCATATCAGTGTTTGCGCACGAGACTGGCCACGTGTGATTTGAAGTGATGGGGTGCAGAGTAGGGTAGTATTATTAGTATGACTTACTGTGTGAACTTGACAGCCGAGGAGCAAGGCAAAGCCCAGAAAGTGAAGTTAACTCACGCGGGGAGTTGGAATTTGAGGGGGGGGGGACATCTGGAAGTGGAAAGCAGGTGACTTCCTTTAATCAAACCGACCCACCTCCCCGTCATCTTTGCTTTCTTGGAGTACAGACTACTTTCACTTCTCTTGTGACTCGGGTGGAGTCATCATTCTATGAATCAGTTTCAAGACATTCCACTGTACTAGGCTATGCCTCCATCTATGACGCTTTTCACTCCCTCTCAGCGTTGTGGGCAAGGCGCGCGGTTACCGACTCGGGCGCCCCCCGTGCTGTGCCTGACGATCAGGGGGGGTTGCAGAGTCAAAATGGGCTAATGCAGCCGACCAGAATGCCGTTTGTCCAGGGCATATTGGTGACAAGGGATTTGATCTTGGCCACGTTTATCCAGTACAGAGTACAGAGTACTCTAATCACTGCCCTTCTACTCCGTACCGACCTTCTAGTTCTCTCCTCTCCACTACCAACCACGGCACAGTTTGGACCCTGACTGGCCCGTGAAGAACAGGAAATTACATGTTGATCGATGGCCAAGTTAGGGCTTCCTGACACACCTGCCCACATGAACAAGTGGCCAATTCATACAGCGTCCACAATGTACAAACTAACGATTAACCACGATATAATTCGGCATTTATCAAATCAAGCCGATGATCCCGATCCGGGGTCGGCCTGCGACAGGCCCGATATTTCCGAAGTACAGTGTAATTTGGAAGCCCGTAGTCAGTGTCTGAGAGATCCATGATGGATGTCGGTGGGATCCCATTGTCTCGGATCACGGAAGAGATAGATTCAGTGGAAACTACTTCAGATTGCTATAGAGGACGAATTGGTGAGAGATCTGTTGGCCGAGGAGGCACTCCATAGAGACCGTACTACTAGTAGTACTTTGGAGCCTGTCACCATGAATCTCTGCATCCTAAGGCATCCAAGGCCCTCCCAAGTTTCAAGATGTCAGATTGACAACCTTCCCAAATTGGTTAGACTCAAATTTCGAGTTTGAAGTATTCACAGCCACAGACATAGCCACATTTAGAGCCACAGTTACCGTCATCGTCACCGCCACTTGCACCGCCATGCTCTACGCCCTGCAAGGCATCCAAGACACGGAGTGGCTGTGACCCGAACCCGTCGGCAGCTCGGAACTTGGACGGAGCACGGAGTACGGAATAACCATTGTACGGAGTATATTAATCAACCCCGATTCATCGGCTCCGTACCTTCAAGCCGAGGCACATTGGTACGGGGTTGCCAGGTCTTCTAGAAACTCCACGTGTGGGCTTGCTGGAGGGCTGTTTAAGCTTGGAACTGTGCGTTTCGGGCGGAAGTCTAATCGACAATGGCGCTGACAATGTACATCTGGGTAATGGCATCAACGTTTGGACGTGTCAGATCTTCAAGTCCCCTCTTATGATGGATCCGACTCGAATTCTCCATCTCAGAGACTCTGCAGCACTCTGCACTAAAAACAGAACCGAGCTGAGCCAGGTCCTTTTTTTACCAATCGATCACTGTCTCACACGTTCCACTTGGCCAGTGCCACGTTCAAAAGTTGTAATTTTAAAGCACCAAAGCGGTCAAAATAGTTTCACTCTGTACTGAGTAGTGTAGTGACCCAGCTACGTAGACAACCTTGGAAGGAGCAGAAAAAAGTGACCATTTAATTGGTCGCGTGCCCAGGCGACTACTCCGTACTACTAGTGACTAGTAGTCGTGTGACACACCTACTAGCCAGGATACGCCCAAGCAACAACGCACCAGCAAAATTACCGAACATGGGTTGGACACACAAAAAAGGAGTCTGTTTCAAGGGTCAAATTCCTTCTACTCTCTCCATCATCTCGGATGAGTTTCTCACCCTCTCCGTGTGCATAAACCAGTAAACCGTTATGCTAAATCTCGGTGGGACGTGATGGCGCGCCAAGAAACCCTAATTCTCGGCGCAGGAAATTTCCCCATTTGATTCAATCTCATGCCAATAATCATTCCCTAAAATTTCAGTTCCATGCATTTATATGGAGAAATTTAGCCCGATGGATTTCGAAACCCTGAAATGTTCCTATTTTAATCTCACCTAAGGCATCCCTCCCCTTTTCCTACAGGGTACGGGGGTATGTAGAGCAATCGCTTACGGCCGAGCAAGATCTCGGCGGAATGGCACTAGTAGAGATTTGGCGTACCCTGGTACCAATCGATCTGGTAATTCATGAAAAGACAGGTACCTTAACGAAGTCGAGGAGCACATCCGTGCTAGCATTGAGCATGAAAAGCCAAGATTAATCAGTCAGCGGCACTCCCATCCCTCCGCGTCCGACTCCGATCCGCTGCCCCCTTTCTCGAGCAAGGATCAATCAAGTTATCCTTTCTAGTCGCCAGCCTTATCGGATCGGGGATCCTCATACGAGTACGCTCGAGCCAGTCATATTGGGCTAGCGGCGCCATCAAACACCCGGTGGTTCCGAGATGGATCCCAATTTGGAGTCGGTAATCGTATACGTATTCGTGCCCGGCTTCCATTGGATGTAACTTCATGTCAGTCCCGCCGACTTGCTTCTTTTCCACTTCCAAGATGTCGGAGAACGGAGTTCTGGGTGAAGAATGGCCGTACTGTGCCCCCGCTCTCCCTTGGGCACTAGCCTTCATCGAGTATTCAAGGAGTAATGTCTGGGGCGGACTCTGAATCCCGACCCCCCTCCCCTAAATAATAGATGGGTGCGAGCCAATAAGACTTGTCTTGGCTTTGGACGCGTACACTGTTGAGGGGGGAAAGTGCTTAGATTTTTCTTTATTCCGCATTCGTCTTTCCTACCACCTAAAAGGCGTGTGGGCTGAGCAACAAATACATACTACATACGCCCGTACCATTCATTCAGCCTTGGTGGTGTCGATCATTTCGATGCCGGCTTTCTTTCCTTAGCAGACCTTCCTTACTTTTCTACTTTTCATCTCCTCTCAAGACCAGCCTTTTCTGGACTTGCCATCCTTTCTTCCATTCTTTTGGCTTTTTCTTTGACTTTTTCTTTGGCTTTTCTTTTGGCTATTTCGTTCCTATGTCGGAGTCAACGCCAGAGCTGGGAAAACCTCAGTTCGCGTCGCACTCATGGCTCGAGCCACTGGTACGTTTTGTATCTGCCCGTTACCCCGACAGGAGGAGGAGCAGGTGGCAGAAAGACCAAGAAGCTTCGATTCCAATCAGTATAGTTTGCTCACATCCCACAACAGGTCGTCGTGAGCATTATGGTTGGCTCATTGGTACTTAATCGACGCAAGAACTACAGCATCTTCGGAGGCAACAAGTCACAGAGTGACTACTTCAACCCTGAACATAATAATGGCCGCGACTCTTCACCCCCTTGCCCGCAGAGGCCGGAGAAATTTTGCGGCATCCCTATTCAAACCCCAGACTCGTCTCGCTGGGCGAAGCACATCCACAGCCGGATTCTGTGGAAATACCCTTTCTTAATCGAAATGTTCTACTGGGCCGTTAATTATCTCTTCTATTCCGTCACAAAGGCCATGTCCCAGTGGTTGTTGCCCGCCCAGATCGAGGTCGTGCAGGTTGCCCAACAACACGGCGAAGATATTCTTTGGTTCGAGCATGAATCTATCTTTCGTTGGATGTTCCCCATCCAGGAGTCGGCGTATCAAAGATTCTTCCTGAGACCACGCCCCGGCCATGATGACCTTCTTCAACCGCATATATTCATTGGTTCACATTCCGGGCACAGTGCTGTAAGTTGTTCCTAAATGACGATCAATCACAATTCGACAAGTTCTCCGATGCTAATGTTATACCTTCATGGTGGATAGATTTCTCGGCTGGTTCTACCACGAAGCCCCCGATGCCAACACATTCGCCATCGCCCGCCGCACCATGACCCTGGGCAACTTCCTCGCCTTCGCAACCTTCTGCGTCTACCCCTGCATGCCACCCCGCCTCCTCCCCGAATCCTACGGCTTCTTCGACACTGTCCGACAAGATCATGCGGAAAGTGTTTGGGTGAACAGCAAATCCGTCAACCAGTTCGCCGCCATGCCAAGTCTTCACTTCACCTACGCGTTCTGCATCAGCAGCACCTTTCTCTACCATTCCGGAATCCTCCACCGTCTCCGCGGGAAACGTGTGCGTAGATCGCCCGTCTCCCAGATCATCTATAGTGTACTCGCCGTGCTGTATGCCGTGTTAGTACTCAGCGTTATCGTCGCAACCGCCAATCACTATTGGCTAGACGCTGTCCTCGCGATGGTGTCGGTCACTGCGTGTTTCTTTGGGAACCGTATCCTACTGCTCCTTTTGCCAGTGGAGTACTGGATTTGCTGGGCTTTGCGGATCGCGAAGCCGACCCCCAATATTGGCAAGCAGGATGATTGGAGGGAGGCTGAGTCGCCTCGTTACCGGCCCGTCTCGAATTATGATATAGAGGTATAGTGGTACAGTGGTATACTAAATCATACTATGCTACACTTATATACGGAGAACATAGTATATACACCGTTATTGAGGTTAATTTATAGTACAAATTTTAATTTGCGGAGGAGGATCCTCTTCCTTCTGACACAAAAGTGGATTTCGGAGTTGTGCAAGGCTGTCATGCTCAACTACTCGTAGTACTGTGGACGGCGATCCAATGCTTTCGTATGATTCCCTATATGAGATCGAGTGTGGTCACCAGTACACTCCATTAAATTGGGGGAAATGGAACTATAGGCTCTGTCACCCAGTACTTTCTCCATGAAAATCCATGGACACTCGTAAATAAAGTTGTTCATAGATCGGATAGGCACAGCCACATTTATTTCCAGCCATATACCTTCACCGCCTCAGTCAGCAGCAAATGAGAGCCGCGCCGATCGCGATGATGTCTGTCTCCCCGACTCCTCCGCCCAAAAAACATCCCACCCATTCATCGCCAACATGTCTCGCGCGGGGCTATGGACCAAGGCCATTATAGGGTGAGTTTATCACAGTGATCATCCTAGGCAGGCATAACTGCTACCACAATCGCAATCTCGAAGCAGCCGCAGCCGCAGAAACAGAGGCAAGAGGAAAGAAAGTAACTGACCGCATCACCCACTACAGAGGAATTGCGGTCTCAGTCGGAGGCCCAGCCTTTGTCGAATACATCCGACCCACCGATGAGGAACTGCGCAAGCGCTATAACCCGGATCTCCAGAAGCGCGCAGCCGAGCAGGGCAGTCGGCGCGAGCAGGAGTTTGACGACTATGTGATGAAGCTGAAGGAGTGGTCCAAGTCGGATAAGTCGAGTATGCTATTTTTCCAATCCCAATCCGAATGGCGATGAGACTCTGTCCTGGCTAGGGCTGTCATGCTTTGCAAGATGCTAACCTGTGCTTTTCTAGTTTGGTACGCCGCGCAGGAAGAACAGGATCGGAGACGGGCGACCGAGGAAGCACAGCGCTCGCAAGCGAAGGATCTAGCCCAGGCACAACGTGAGGAAATGCGCAAAGAGATGCAGGGAGAGAAATAATTGTCTTTGGTGAAGCGTTCCCCGGGACGGCCTGGACCGGATAGTCCTGCTCGTTCGTCTTCCTCCCTCGCAGGGACACCAGGGATCCCGGGTCGGCGCATAGTCGACTCTAGGCATCTCCAGCCCTGGATCTGATATTTACAATCTTTACGGCGTGTATGATACCAATTGGTGTATTCGTTGAATGCCTTTCTAGTTGAGGCTTTGTATTATATTTTTTACGATCGCATCTCCGTTCAATTGAAGCGTCTAAATTCGGATTAGAAGTGTGGAAAATTTACAGATGGTTTATGTCATCTACTGAGTAACTACTAGTACTTACGTACGAGCACCTAGTCACTATACTATTCAGCCGGGTGGGTAGAGGAAATTCGATATCTACTACCTAGGTAGCTACCGAGGTAGTAGGTATGAATGTAGTATGCAGAGTATCACTAGTAATGTAGCACCACCTGAGGTATAGACCACTTGGGCACTAGTACTAATATCAACTTGAACCAGTTATAGATAGTAACAGTATAGATCCCCAACTCCCAGCCAACTCCAAGATATATGAATGCAAACTTGAAAACAACCTCAAATCAAATCAACTCACTCAGAAAAACCAACGCCCCAACCGGCGCCAGAACAAACAACACAACCAAAACCCCAGCACCAGCCTTATCACCCGTCGTCATATCCCTCGTGTTGACATTTGTATCTTTCGTGTTACCTGCAGACGGATCATTCCCCTTACTAGTACCACCCGTATCCTTCGAAACAGGCACATCCTTAACCCTAGCCAACGTACTCTGAATAACCTCAAGAGCAGACATCTGCTCCCCAATCCCCGTCGTCCCATCATATTGATCCCCATCTGTCCAGCGCAGCCCGCATTTATTATCCGAGCCACCGGAGCACTGCTTCGCGGCCGCTATGGCGGACGCATTGATCTTCGTCATGATGATTGTTTCGACGAATGGCGCAAGTGGCACCGTTGCTCCCATGAAACGAGCTAGATAGGCCTTGAAGGATTGTTCGTTTAGATTGCATGAAGCGACCTCACATGGCTGGGACATTACATGGTCGTTTTTCGGTTCGAAGAAGGCATCTAGTGCGTTCGTTATGCCGATCACGCGGGTTTCCCACTTTTTGGACCCGTTTGTCTAAGTGCGAGATTGTCCTTGGTTAGTTCAAGGTGATATGCAGGGCTCAGAGTAGATATGTTTCTTTTGTCTTCAGGTTTTCTTTCATCCCTTTTTCAAGATCTCGCTGCTGAATTTCCTGTGCTGAAATGGGCTGTCAACTTACCACGGCATACATATTGGCACTCCCATGCATGAAAACAGCGGGCAGATAGGCATGCTGTACCCGATCAAAAGTCGTACAATTGTCTTTTGAATCGGTATTATCCCAAATAGTATAATCCGAACGAATGAGACCAATATCCTCAGTCCAGTCCCAGATTTTCTCCGCCCAGTGTGAATACGTCGCATTATTCGTATAATGCGCCAACCGCGACGCAATATTGAACAACCCACCATTCGAAATCGAGTTCTTCAAATGCCACCCACCAAGAGATTCGTATGCTTGCCAGTGCAAACCACCACCACAAGTTGACGGGTCCCACCGTGCGACTTGCGAGTTGAATACGTTCTCCGCGAGCTGAAGCCATTGCGGTTCGCCGTCCGGTGGATCGGGATACTTCGTTTCGGCAGCGGACATTGCCGCAAATGCCCAGAAGATCTGGTCGTCGTTTCCCATTGTTCGGCTTTGGTTGTAGGGCATGTAATCGTCGTCTACGCCAACTTGGTGCAGTAGCGCTTGGGTGGTCCAGTCGTTCCATGTGTCGTCGCCGGTGTAATAGTAGTATTCCACCATCGAGCCGAACATCGCTCCGGCTTCCCACCAGTAGTACGGGTCTGGGATGTTTCCCGCTACGTCGCCGGGTTTATAGCCTGTGTAGTAGCTCAGCATGCCCTTGGCAGCTTCTTTGGCGGCGGATTTGATGGAGTCTGGGGGTTTTCAAAGTCTTAGTTTCGACTTTTGTTGGGTTCAATGGTGTCTCAGTAGATTCGGGATCGATGATGCGGACCTTTTGATGATAGGTCGAGCTCTATAGACAGTGCGGCTTTTGATAGCAGGAGGCTGGTTAGAAGAGAGGATTTCCATGATTGCGTTCGACTTTTCATTATGATGGCGTTATAGAAGAGTGGGTTAGGAAGATGGAAAATGGAGTATATTCGAAAATTGCCTAACCAGATAGACGAGACGACTCATCCAAAGAGCGAAAGCAAGGCTATATAGAGGATAAAAAGAAAAAGAACAGGAAAAAGCTTCACTTCGTTTAAAATTAGAGGAAAGGAACGAACCGTCAAGCTGGGCGAACTCCGCAGAGTAGACCCCAAAGAGAGAACCACCACTCATCAAGAAGCAACAGACACTAAGGGTCCTAGCAGATGGAGATCGACGCGAGATGAAACATGATTGCTCGAAAATAGTGAAAGTCCTGGCTTGGCGTGCGGTGGGAATGGAGACCAGGGTCAGAGGCATGGGGCCGACGTTGGGGCCAAAATAGGGCAGACAAATCAATTGGCGTGGTTTCTGGGGATCATCAGCAAGCATGGGGCTAGAATTTTGATCGGTACAGTGTCGCATGGTCCCTGACTCGCACATTTACGTGCTTTTAGGGAGACAGGTAGCTGTTTGGCAGTCGACTTGCCGTCGTTGGGAATATATAACTGGTTAGTTAGTTATTCCGTATGGAGTGGATGTTCGAGAAGAATGCCGAGTGGGGTCGCGGGGTCTGATGTTAGCGAAATTTCATCACCACAAGCATACACCTGGGCATATAAAGTCGAAAATCAAATATGACATGATCTGATTGGGGGTCACCCCCGGATTCACAGGGTAAGAGGTGCCGACATCCATCCGATTCCGGGCCCCGCGGCACAGGACATACTGTAGTATCCGTAAGGCTCGCAAATGGAGGCTGTGTATGCAGGAGACTTTCCATACTCCATACGCAGTGGATAATAGGGCTCTTGAAGGATCAAGCGTGGATTGAGATCAAGTAACCCAAATCCGGAGGGCAGCTAAGATCGACAGATCTCTTGCCTGTCGTGGTTATGGTGCAGCAGTAGGCCAGGGGCAATGACAACCTGGGACAGCAAGCAGTGCGACGGGGAAGTACCTTAGTCAGAAGATGTTTATGGAGTAAAGGCACAGGCACTGCACATGAAATTTAGTGGTAGAGGAGTTCAACACGGGTACTCCTCAGTACTCCGCAGTGCGAGGTGAAGGTGAAGAGTGGCGCGGCACCCACGGAGCGTGTTACTAAATTAAGAACCGCCGTTTCTCGAGCAACCAGGCAGCACTACAGAGTAGTCTGAGGATAGAGAATGATGATTTGCAATTAACAAGTAGAGATGGTATATACGTATTAATTATATAACTATATACATACTATATTTCCATATACCAGTATATACCCTACTAGTTACTAGTGCCTAGCTGTATGTTATGACACGTTGCGGCAGTGGACCTATGTTTGTCTAGATTTGCCTCCACAAGGACCCTGCGATGATGTATCGGATGACATGGGCAATTGCCTCTCGAGTACCATAGTTATAACCTACTAAACCTACCTAGGCTCATATATTAGTTAATACCCAAATAATTGACCGAGTGGAAGCCCTAGTGAAATGTTACTTAATTAATGTTTAATGTTGCCTTTGAGACAGCGCCACCGCACGTGACTCTGGGCGAAACCCGCCGTGGCCGTGTGAAAGTGGAAGTGGTCAGCTTCAGATCGATCTCCCATTCACCTCCACTCCTCATTTCCACCCTCTCTGTCACGACCTTCCCCATCCAACTCTGCAACTAAGCCCTCAGAACTCTCCATATCCCTCTCGTCGCATTCACCCACACCTTCTAAGTTGGTTCACCCCCCTCCCAGTCCCCAACCCAATCCGACCCGGGCCACCCTCCCCGAAATCGAGGCTGCCTACCTAACCATTTGCCGATCGGTTCTAACATTTCTGATTCTCAGAAACTTCTTTCACCATGTCCTCCGAAGCCCCTTACGACCCTTATATCCCCGCCGGCGGCCAGGGCGCGACAGCAACCGCAGGCGCCTCCCAAAATGGCAACCAGCGAACAGCCGCATTGCAAGCGGTTAGTCCTCCCCTTCTCCCTCGACAAACTGAATCGTGGATGAGCCCAGCGTGCGATCTCGTCATTATATCCGCAATATGGAACGGCAGAGTCGCGCGCCGGGTTTGGCCTCGGGGATTTTCATCCAGGCAACCCCAAACAATGGGATCGACCGGGACAGCGGACTGGAATAGGCTAACCCAGTTGGCTTTTTAGCAAATCGATGACACCGTCGGCGTGATGCGCGAGAATATCAACAAGGTTTCCCAGCGTGGTGAGCGCCTCGACTCTCTCCAGGATAAGACCGACAACCTGGCTGTATCAGCCCAGGGGTTCCGCCGCGGTGCCAACCGTGTGCGCAAGCAGATGTGGTGGAAGGATATGAAGATGCGCGTATGCCTGGTCATTTGCGTGATCGTCCTGCTGGTCGTGATCATTGTGCCGAGTGAGTGATACCATCGGGGGACGGGAATCCATCAGGGAACGAATCCAGCTAACAATAAGTGTACAGTTGCGGTTACCAAGGGCTAAATACCCATGGAGGTACCTAAAGTATCCGATCTCGAATCGCAGATGATTCGATCTCACGCAGCCACGCGCGTTGTGCTTCAATTGGGAACATGGGAATGATGAAATTATCTGTTTTACAGGATTTTTACTTGTCGAGGAATCATGGCCGTCGCGTTTTCCAGCCGTTATCCGTTAATACCTCCTGTTTTTGTTATTGTGTTTTTCTTTTCCTTTGTTACCTTTCCTTTGTCTCTGCCCTGTTCTGCTTTCTCAGCTGTTCTTGGGCGTGTTGAAATGACCAAATGCCTTGCCTTCCCCTGTGCCGACGAGACGAGCGACGTCCTTTTGGTTTATTTTGCATGGGATGAAGCCCCGCCCCCTCGTCCGGGGAATGTAAATGTAAATGATATTGCCGCGATTAGTTATGTCACCACTATGCGATTGCTCTTCCTATTTTAGCAGTAGGTACCTAGGTATCCATGTAGTCTGTACTCCGCCCCCGTGTATACTCCGGCTCGTGCCTGAATGCCTGATGGCTGCAAGGGACTCCACTATACTTTTGCGGTCAGGTACATCGGAAGGGTCTAGGTCAAGCAGCCGAGTACCTGCTAGGTAGAGGGAGGCTCACTTGACAATTCGATTCCAGTTTCAGTACATAGGATCTCTGGAACACCCCTGATGTCTCATTTTCCAACTTGAAGTACCTAGGTAGTTTAAAAAAAAAATACAGTAAGAGGTTCAAGTTGTCTACGCATTATCCCACTACCTACTCTTCTATATTTAAATCTCACCAGCACCTAGGGATAATACTTTTAACATTGTCCACCGGGTACCTAGATACCTAGGTACCACTAGCTACCCTAGTAGCCGACTTCAATAGGCACTGGCGTAACCGATCAAGGTAAATACTAGTACAATCACTTACCCTCTCTCGACTACTCTGTCGCTGTCGCTCCCCTTTCTCTCGTCCTCCTACTCGAAGGGGTTGCAAGGCCCGCGACCCGCTTCCTTGGCAAAGACTCTGCTCATACGAGGTGTGCAGACCCAGAAACTCGGCTGACTGCCCCGGATAGCCCATCAGAAAGGCCACCTCGAATCTGAATGGCGGGACGAAGCGAAACAGACCCGGCAAGCTCAGACTGAGTGGAGGAAGTGTGGATAGTCCGATTACGCCACGCACGAGTCACAGCGGCCCAGAGGATCAGATAACCTGGCACTAGACCCAAGTCGACATTGAAGAAGTCAGATACCCTCGGTAGACGTGGGTGATAGTGGATTGACGCCGAGAAATGGGTAAAAAAAAACCTTCGGGTGCTTTTGGTCTTTGCTGGGTCTTTTTTTGTTTTCGCTTATGATAATGCGAGGTTTGCGCCGACACCGCTGTAGCCACCAGAATTGCGCATTGTCTTCAAAATTGCGAAACTAAATCGCTCATGCACAGGACCATGCGGGTAGTAATGGGGAAGACCTTATTTGTAGAGGGAGGGGTAGAACCATGATCATAACTGGGCATTGAGGGGAGCTCATTCGTGAAATTATTTCACGCTGAGTCAAAAAGAGGTCGAAAGGGTGTGGGCGGTGGGGAAAGATCGCTCTGACGCCGCTAAAATCTCGCAGTCATTCCCATCTGCCAGTGCCAACACCCACCACCCACCACCCACATCTTCTTCCTTCCCAACACTCTCCCCTCCACCTCCCTCCACCTCCTTTCTCGCTTTTAAAAGGGGTATCCTCCCCTTGGACGAATGGTCAAGTTCCCAATTGAAGCTGCCGCATGTCCAAGATGTTGTCCCTTCGCTCCGCTGTGCGGAGAGCTTCCTCTGCGCCCCTCCGATCTTTCTCCGCACCGCACACTCCCCTCCGTGCTGGTCTCTCAGCTGGCCTCAAGGTGTCCGCCGCTCGCCCGAATGCCCGTGGCTACTCTCGTTCTGCCGACCCTCACCTAACCTCTACTCGCAACACCGTTGTCCAGCTGCTGAGCAACATCGGATCCAAGCGTGAGGTTCAGCAATACCTCTCCCACTTCACCTCCGTCTCCTCCCAGCAATTCGCCGTCATCAAGGTCGGTGGTGCCATTATTACCGAGCACCTGCAGACTCTCTCCTCCGCTCTCGCCTTCCTGAACCATGTTGGTCTCTACCCCATCGTCGTCCACGGTGCTGGACCCCAGCTCAACAAGATGCTGGAGGATGCCGGTGTTGAGCCCCAGTTTGAGGATGGTATTCGCGTGACTGACGGTAAGACTCTCTCGTTGGCCCGTAAGCTGTTCCTGGAGGAGAACATGAAGCTGGTTGAGGAGCTGGAGCGTATCGGTATTCGTGCCCGCCCTCTGACCGCGGGCGTCTTCTCCGCCGACTACCTCGACAAGCCCAAGTACAACCTCGTCGGCAAGATCAATGGCGTCAACAAGAAGCCCATTGAGTCCGCCATCGACGCTGGCTGCCTGCCCATCCTGACCTCCATGGCCGAGACCCCCGATGGCCAGGTCCTGAACGTGAACGCAGACGTCGCGGCCGGTGAGCTGGCCCGCGCTCTGCAGCCGCTGAAGATCGTCTACCTCGCTGAGAAGGGCGGTCTCTTCAACGGCGACACTGGCGAGAAGATCTCTGCCATCAACTTGGACGAGGAGTACGACCACTTGATGACTCAGTGGTGGGTTCGCCACGGTACCCGCCTCAAGATCAAGGAGATGAAGGACCTGCTCAGCGATCTCCCCCGCTCCTCCAGTGTTGCCATCATTCACCCCGCCGATCTCCAAAAGGAGCTATTCACTGACTCCGGTGCTGGTACCCTGATCCGCCGCGGTAACAAGGTCCACGTCAAGACCTCGCTCTCTGATATCGAAGATCTTCAGAAGCTGAAGGATGTCCTGGTGCGTGACCGTGAGGGTCTGGATGCTCGTGCTGTGGTCGACCGCTACGTTGAGGGCCTGAAGGAGAACGACTTCAAGGTCTACTATGATGACCCCATGGAGGCTCTTGCCGTTGTCCTGCCTCCTCAGCAGGGCTCCCTGGTCGCCCAGCTGGCTACTTTCACCATCACCAAGTCTGGCTGGCTCACCAACGTTGCCGACAATGTCTTCCAGAGCCTGAAGAAGGACTTCCCCAAGCTGGCCTGGACCGTCAAGGAGGACGACGAGAACTTGACCTGGTTCTTTGACAAGGCCGATGGCAGCCTGAGCCGCGATGGCCAGGTCCTGTTCTGGTACGGTGTCGAGAACGGTGAGGAGGTCAAGCAGCTCGTCCAGGAGTTCACCAAGCACGGCCGCCAGATGTTCGGTGACATCAACCTTGAGTCCCGCCTCCACCGCGCTCACCAGGAGGCTGCTACTAAGTTCGCCAAGGGCCACGGTGCCAGCGGTGCTTCTGCTGAGCAGAAGCGTGCTTTCTCTACGACCTCCAACGCCCTTCGCGCTTCTCGGGTGCGTCCTACCGTTGGTGTCAACTCCATGCGCACCTACGCCACCACCAACCCTAACCCCCCTCTGGGCGAGAAGAACGCTTCCAACGCTACCCCCGCCAAGGTTGCCCTCATTGGTGCCCGTGGCTACACTGGCCAGGCTCTGATCAACCTGCTGAACGCCCACCCCAACATGGATCTTCGTCATGTCTCTTCCCGTGAGCTGGCTGGCAAGAAGCTCCAGGGCTATAACAAGCGTGACATCACCTATGAGAACCTCAGCCCCGAGGACGTCCGCAAGATGTCCGAGAACGGCGACATTGACTGCTGGGTCATGGCTCTCCCCAATGGTGTCTGCAAGCCTTTCGTCGACGCTGTCAACCAGGGCTCTGAGAAGGGCAACGTCATCGTCGACCTCAGCGCTGACTACCGCTTCGATAACAAGTGGACCTACGGTCTGCCCGAGCTGATCGACCGCTCCTCGATCGCCCGTGCCACCCGCATTGCCAACCCTGGCTGCTATGCCACCGCCGCCCAGCTCGGTATTGCTCCCCTCGTTCCCTTCCTAGGTGGCCAGCCCACCACCTTCGGTGTGTCCGGTTACTCGGGTGCCGGCACCAAGCCTAGCCCCAAGAACGACGTCAACTACCTCACCAACAACCTCATTCCTTACAGCCTGACGGACCACATCCACGAGCGCGAGATCAGCTCTCAGCTGGGCACCAGCATTGCTTTCATTCCCCATGTCGCGGTCTGGTTCCAGGGTATCTCTCACACTATCAGCATCCCCCTCTCGAAGGAGATGACCTCCCGCGATATTCGCAACCTTTACCAGGAGCGCTACGCCGGCGAGAAGCTTGTCAAGATCACCGGAGAGGCGCCACTGGTCAAGGACATTGCCGGTCGTCACGGTGTTGAGATTGGTGGTTTCGCTGTCCACTCCAGCGGCAAGCGTGTTGTTGTTTGCGCTACCATCGACAACCTGCTCAAGGGTGCCGCTACCCAGTGTCTTCGTATGTTCTCACCGTCCCTATAACTTTCCAATGAGCATAAGTACTAACAATCTCACAGAGAACATGAACCTGGCCCTGGGCTTCTCCGAGTACGAGGGCATTCCCCTGGAATAAATGACCACCTCACGCACGAACCAAAAAAGCGAGAGAATAGAGAGCAGACACCGAGTCCTTTGAGTGCATAGATTTTCGATGCGCCTTTCTTCTCTCTCCTCTGCTGTGTTGTGTACCCGCCCGTCATGCCTATATCCTGTATACCGCATCCTGTGGGCATGTTGAATGATGTTGCGACATTTGTTGGGCTGTTTTATATTTCCCGTGATCTATCCAAGCTATATTGGGGTTTTCTGTCTGTCCTTTTGTTCATTTTGCCTGTGAAGAGTCTTTGCGTGGTCGGTGTTTCGCTTCTTAGATTCCATTCCATTTTTCTTGTTCCTTTCCTGATCTCCATTACGTTTTCACATTACATATTCCCTACACCTGAGTCTTCGCCTACCGGGTCTATTCTATTTCTGATACTCGGGCGAGTTCGAGCTGGGACTCTGAGGAATGAAAAGCGCCTGAAGCAGTTGTCTAGAGGTTACAGCCATTTAAGGCTTGGGCAGAGTCTGGCCAGGGTGTAAGTTGGTGTAGATGATAAAAGAATAGCTGGCAAAGTTACCTCCATAGGGAATTATGGATGAGTATGATAATCTTGAAACCTTGCAATCATTTATAGAATTCAGGGAAGCTTTGTTGGTTGTGGCCGCCAGTATCATGATACCCGCAGTCTGCGATATATGATGTTTGCCATTTCCTCCATCTCCCATCACCTCCCCATTCATTCCACCTACTCACCTTCACCCCCTCCCACAATCCTCATCTTCATACATCTCATTCCATCGAAAATTTGAATTCGAAGAAGCAAATACCTCAAGTTCCTCTGAATCCGTTGGCTCATCATGTTCTACAGCCACGAGAGTGAGTTCATCCATGCTACTCCAGAAGTAACACCAGACAGCCATACACAGACTGAACTAACGATACCAGTCCTGACCTCGCCAGAGCATGGGGTCGCCACAGTCTGGTAAGCTAGACGTCCTCCATCATTCAGGGTCTCTCGGAACTTAGTCACTAACAACCTCAGGCTGGCCGCAACTCTCGGTCCCAAGTCAACAACCCGCAAGATTAACCGCAAGGCCATCTTCGACGTGAATGTACCTGGAGCATGCAGGGTCATTACTGATCCCGAAGTCCCGATGGCATTGCGTCTGCAGGGGAGTATGCTGTATGTCTTGTCCACCCCGGCCGGCCCTTCAACGGTGGTGTTTGAAAGCTGTTCTAATGAGATGTGATCAGATATGGCGTAAGCAGGGTTTTCCACCAACAGTGTGGCTATACACTTCTGGATGCACAGTCCATGCGAGACAAGATGGCTTCAATGCTGCGACTCATGCCTGGCGCCGGCTTGGATCCGAATGCCGGGAAAGCAAAGTGAGAAGCCACCCTTCCCCGAACGACAGCCCTGCTATTTCAGAATGCCAAGTGGAGTTTAGCAAGAAGACCGAAACTAACGAGGTTCTCGCCACAGACCAAGTTCTCTCGTCCTGCCCTATGACCCGACCTTTCTCCCCGAAACTGGACTTCCGGGCTTGAACTTCGACTTTTCGCTGTTCAACTACGCAGATAACGCCTCTAATCAAGGCTCGAGTCTATGGGGAAAGTCAGCTGAGAGCCACTCAACCTTCTTTCAAGTGAGCAATGAGATCCAGATCGAGTTCCCGGTAGAAGATATGGGGACAGCGAATATTGCGGCAGGGCTCGAAGATGATATTTTCGGCTCGGTGGCGAATCGAGGACTTTTCGGACGAAGTCCACCTGTCGCGAGGGGATGCGTAGAAGGAGTTCTCCTCCAGCCTGACTTCGAGTTTGATGAGGATGGGAATATCGTTGAGTTTCATTCTACTCAACTCTCGCCGAGAAAGAGACGCAAGATTGCTTCTATGCCACGATTGAGTGAGGATACTCCTGGAAGTATACATCGAAAGGAACACGTGAGTGTTACATGCATATAACGAGACACTCAATTGAAGAGTGAAGTGCAGAACTTGGCTTTCTAACCAAATCTCATGATCGTGCAGATGAACCAAGAAGATCCATTCCGAGACGAAGTGATGGTGGATCTGGACCTGGATCCGAACGTAGCGCAAGCAGCAACGATCCTTGAAAACGATAATCAGGACCCAAACAACCACCAAAGCCAAGCGGCACGAGAAATAGAGGCAGCCCATGACCCAACAGAGATCTTCCGGGCCCCCTCTCGTAAACGTCCACATCGAGAAATCATCCTCGACGAAAAGACAACCCTCCGAAGTGCAGACCTCATCCGCTCAAACGAAGAGTACCTGGCAAATATGGCCCAAGCTACTACACAAAAGAAGCACAACAGACTGCAGAAAATTGTCAAGAAGAACGCCACTTTCTGGGTCTATGGTCAGGGACTGGGCTCTGTCGGTATGGGATTGGGAGGGAGTCGTGAACCGCACCCGTTGAATATGTTTTCTGGTGAAAGTCTGTTCAAGTCGCTCGGTGGCAAGGGGTTACACCCAGATCTCCAGACTGAGCGAGGTACGGATGATGAGAGAGAGCATACACGTGCATCATCACGCAAAGCCCGAACCCAAGATCGGGGTGCAAATGCCCATGTGGATCAGCTTGCAGATGTCGAATTCGCTCGCCAGGCTCCGTCAAGCGTACTCGACGATGCTTCTTCGCAAATGCCGTGGAATATCAGTGCCTCTTTGCACTCCTCTGGTCGAGCCCAGCGGTTCGGAAGCAGGAGTGTGAGCATCGGCGACCCGCGCTTCGAGTCGAGTACTCGGGCTGGAGTTGGAGTTGGCGTAGCGGGACGATACAAAATCACAAGTGCCAGTCCTCTCGCCGGAAGAGGTCATCTCGATCCCGGCCATTTCAATATTGCTGGTGGAAACTTCGATGATGACCTTGAGATAACCCGGTATCTGGAAAATGAACTTGCATCGGACCGTGAGAATGTGAGTCTGCTATCGAATCCGAATGCAGAGGCGCGTTTACGGAAGACGCAAAAGAGTCTGGATGAACAGGTGCAATACCTGCGGAAGATTCAGCGGGACCTTGCGACTCTTGATCGGGAGAGCTTGAATTTCTACGAATTTATTCGCGAGAATGTGGATGCTGCTGCGTTGGTGATTGACGAAGAGGGTGATGGGGGGTATGGCAGTGTTGCGTTCGCTGATATCCTTCCGCCTTCTCAGACGACTCGAGTTGTTGCTACGCAGGCTTTTATGAATGTTCTCACGCTTGCGACGGAGGGGTGGCTGGTTGTTTGCCAGGATCGATCTTCGGATGGTGATGGTTATGGTTGGGAACGGTGTCGATCTGGAGATATCTTTATGCGGGTTGTTGAGGGGGGTGGTGCAACCTAAGAGGTTCGATGATGAGTCGGAGGAAGGCTGATTTATCTCGCAACAGTTCTTTTCATCATGGGGTTCGAGAGAATATTCTTAGGATGATTTCTTATCATTCGGGGACTGCGATTTGATTTTCTCTTCAGTTATTTAGATACCATTTATATTGTCTTCGGATATGGGCGATATGCCAGGGCATTTTTGCCCCGTCTTGCAACTCGGATGTTGCTTTCTTATTCATTAGTCAAAACCAGTATATTTCGATTATCGTCTGTCACAACCCTAGGGTGCACAACATTCTGTATCGTGTGGCTACTATTTTTAGGCTGGGTGGGGATGGAAGGAGCAAGGGTGAGCCGTTGACAGTTGACAGATTTAATACGGAGTAGATAGGATGGGGGGTTTCAATTTCACGTCAATTTTACATTGGTCATTTAGACTGTAGGGCGGATCGGTATAGTACTCTAGTCTCTGTTTAGTAGTATATCCTATGGGAAGCTGGTGTTTACCGATCTAATCTAATCTTACCAGGAACCGGTACGATGAAGACGTTAGAGTATCGCGTATGAGATACAGGAACGGGGTCAACAGTAATGGGTATTAATACTCATACTTGTACTGCGAGGCTACGGTACATAGATTTCAGTATGATGATATTAGGTGGAATATACCTGGGCAGTCAAATAGGAAGAACTGCCTACCGTAAGGTACTATCTGACAGATAGTTTCTGCCTTATTTCAGCATTCTCTTGCCTAGCCCTGAGTCGTGTGTTGAGGCTGTCTAAGCGAGTGCGCCCGGTGGGATTGCTTGGCGCCAATATCGGTCGGACAAGGGTTAAGAGGGGGTATCTTTATATGCGAGAGTTGAATAATTAGTATGTATATATTTTTAAATATCAATGCCATTAGGTATAGGTTAAATTAATTATACCCTAGTGTCCCACGGGGTTAAGGTAGTCTGCTTACTGAGTGTACTGAGTGTAGCGTAGCCTATGTTATCGTGTGTATGTTATCGGTGCCTCAAGGTGGTCAGTGCTATCCTAGGATCATCTGACGCGCGTGTACAGTAGGGGAGCAGAGATGATCAAGGGTAGTATGTTAAGTACTAGTATACTTGATAAAATATTCTAGCGGATCTGTAGTATATACTATTGAGTAATGATAGTAAATACTAAATAGTATTAGAGACTTAATACTACCTCCAGGGCCTAAGGTAATCCTATACTGAGTGTACTGTATAGTACTCGTAAGTCTCAAACATACGCAGGCGCGTACCGCCGTACCGCGTACCGCGTACAATACTGCCGACCGTCTCGGTCATTTCCATTTCCAATTCTGTTCTTCTCTCCTCCCCTTCCCTTCCACCCCCGCCTCCATTTTCTTCCCTGCATCGCGCGTTGCATCGCGCAGGCTATTTTCTTTCCCGGGTCGCCTTATAAACCTTCACCATCTCTCTCTCCACCATTGCGATGGGTCGCACCGTCGACCAGGAGGTGCACGCGGCGTTCGTCGAGTTCCGCGCCAAGGAAGATGATAAGGTGCGTGACTTGTGTATTTCGTAATATTTCACCCCCATCGACACCGCGTCACTAACATACGGGTCCCTCGTTTTACATCTTTTTAGTGCCTCTCCGTCCAGTGTATCTATTGTCAACAGATCCGTGCAAAGAACACCTCCCGACAGAAGCAACACTTGCTCGAGTGTCCTGGTCTACGCGGTCATCCCAACGCCCCCCCAGCCTACTCAGCCTACTCAGACCCCCAACGGACTGCCTACCAATGGATACCCCGGTACTCCGAACGGCCCCCCCGGCCGCACCACCTGGCCCAACTGGCCCGACGGCCATTCCCACTCCAAATGGCACCATGATCACCAACGGTGTCAATCCGCATGCGACTCCCATGCAGACACCGCTGCAGAACTTGAACCGACCGCCCATGCCGACCCCAGGTCCTCCCCCGGGACCTCCGGGGTCTGCGCCCCCCATCCGCTACTCCGTCGCGTCCCACCCCCAAACCCAAGCCCAAGTCTGCTAGTTCGAACCTGCCTGCGCCGCCGCTGGACGACGTGCACGCGGCCTTTGTCGAATTCCGCGCCAAGGAGGAAGACAAGGTAAGCTGTCGCAACCGAAGATGAGTGCGGACGATCGCGAAAACTGAAATGCTAACCACGTGTGCCATCCACAGTGCTTGTCTGTGCAGTGCATCTATTGTCAACAAGTCCGCGCCAAGAACACGAGTCGCCAGCGCCAACACTTGCTAGAATGCCCCACTTACCTCAGTGTCATGAAGGACTCGATCCCCGCCAACAACCTGCTGCACACATTCCCCGAAGGCGATGTCGCGCGATCATTGCAGATCCCGGCTCCATCTCTGGAGTTGGACTTCCGCATGAGCATCAAAATGAACCCTAAGGTTGGCGTTGGTGCCAGTATCTGGGGTCACCGCGAATGGGTGTCATACCTCGGTGGCCAGTGGGCTGGTCGATGGGGCAAGGGAATTGTCCTGGTGAGTAACCCCCATCTTGAATATCTGCAGACATTAAATTCAATCTAACGTGATACAATAAATAGCCCGGTGGACAGGATACTCAAATTGTGACCAAGGATTCCACAACCAGCATCCGCGCGAATTACCTCCTCCAGACTGCCGACGAGCCCCCAGCTTTCATTATCATCAAAGCGGATGGCTGGCTCACCGGCGCCAAGGACGTTTTGGAAAAGGTCAACGACTCTGCGATGGCTGATGGAATCAACCCCGGAAGTTACAAATACCGTCTCAACCTTGGAATGGAGACTGGTGATGAACGATACACCTTTTTGAATACCCTGATGTGGATCGGCAGTGGCTGCCGCCGCGGACAAGAAGGTATGTCGACACCGTCCCCAAAGTTTTGTGATGGCCTCTCTTACTGACAAATATCTCCCAGTCATCTTCGACGCATTCCGTGTCAACTAAATGCAACCCATGACTTCTTCACTGTCTTGCCGTTCTTGAGCGATGTCTTCTTTTTGCGATGGGAAAAATGGTGTTTTGTTAACCAATCTCTTTTTTTTAACGTGGATCCGTTTGAATGATCTATTCCCACTGCGAAATATCTACGATTATATTGTACTCGGGCTTTTTCAAACCAACCTGATATCGCTGCTTGCATTTTGGCAGCTAGGGCCAGGACAGGATTTGCCTGATTGAATCCCCTTTTATACTTCTGATGTACCTCTTCCTACGACTTGTTTTTGAACTGATCTGAGCGAGGGATCCTCCAGAAATCGCTGATTTTGGTCCAGTGTGTTCAACCCTTTTTTTCCTTTCTTCCTACTTATTTTTTGGTACTTTTTTTACTCCAGTTTTACCCCTGTTTTTCCTGCGATGGTGTTTATGCCTCTTCTTGATTCGCTCCCTGCCCAATGTTTGTGTTCTGGTCACGGTTATCCCCATCTAGGCTGTCCTTAGTACTTTACTGCGACTGAATTGAGTCTGCTCCGCGCTGTTTCCACTCTTATCAGGATGTGCCATTTCAATAGGGTATAGGGTATTGCGTATACCAGATTAGGAATTTGTAGACCTAGTTCGCAATGCCCGCCTTTACTGACATGAACCGGAGACCTCTGGGTCGTAGATGGATTCAATTGACTTTCCCCCGGATTCGCTAAATACTGGCTAGTCTAGTCTGGTTCTGTTCGGTATGGTTGTGTATGTATTCCATAACTAGTACCTTACTGTCGAGGATCCACCCACCTGCATCGATCCCCATCATACTTGATTTACGCCCCTGGCTAGTATGTACCATTGATACTGTTTGCTCTGAAAGTAACGAATTTATTCTCGTAACGGACAGGGTAGTATAGTATATTACACAATACGCCTAATATTATATGACTGTATGAGATGCGGTATGTATCCAGTCCCGTGGTGCGGAAGGTTCGTGGAATTGGGATTCCCCACCCGGCAAACCGGTACTCGGGTGTATGTCGACCGTACTTTGGGCGCCATACAACGAGGTATGCGGTATGCGGTAACTTGGTATGTATTCTGTCGTACTTGTACTAGTATGGCGAATAGAAGAAAATGTTTCTTGGCCTAGATGTTTGATGGTTTGTATCTTTGGTGATTTGATTGATCCCTGCCTGCCTGATCTGACGTGGTCATCCTCGTATCCAAGCAAGCAGGCCCACGTGATGTATGCCTTACTATGAGGCTCATTGGGGGAGAAAACCATTCCATTCTATGTATCCCTCCATCTTACTTACTATTCCGGAATATCTGTATCGTCTTACTCTCCTACTACAGTGTCATCTAATATTTTAAATTTCTGTTTGGCCGACTGAGACCTGTCTCCAAGTCTCATACATCTTAACAGGAGATGTTGGTTTTCAAGATGCCTGAGCATTGTTGCCCATACTACCTAGCCCTGGAGTTATCAGTGGCAACACTATCACTCCTTCAACCTTCAGGTCAGAATTTTCAACTTCCAACCTTGGAACCTCCGAGTCCGATCTAATGTAGGGCTGCAGGACTATCTAGGTAGGTACTAGTTAGTCGATTATAAGTCAGTATCCGTTGGAACTAGTAGGACAACTGAATGGACAAATTCAGACTCTGAGGTCAGGCAATCTTTCAAGAAACCCGAGGCCAGAACATTGGACCTGGAATATCCCCCCCCCGGGATCGATTTTCCAGTGCCTGCTCATCATCTTCTTACGACCCCCTTTATCGGCTCGAATCCTCCAGGTTCCATTTGACCAGAATAATTTCATGATCCAGTACTCATAGCTGTGGGATTACTGGGATGAGGAGACTCCACCCACTGATATTATTCTTCGCTATTGCCTAAGCCCACTGGTCAGATTTGTTGCATAATTTGTGCATTCGAACTGCTTCGCTTCATATCGTAGCTTCGATCTAGCTTGCATTTTGGAAGATAAGAATACAATTCTTATGGGCAAGTTGATAAATGGAAAAAGACCAGGCATTAATTACCAAGCGACGTCCATGGATCACGAGAACGCAATGGAATTAAAGAGCTTCCAGCTATACCAACGTCTACTCAATAGAACCGCTTGAAATACTCGACGAGATAGATATTTTCATTTTAGCTAACTAGCGCGTGGACTTGTAATAACTCCAGCTTGAAGACATTCATTTGTAGAATGAACGAGAGTATACCAGTACTAAGTAGCACAAGTGAAGGTAGCAAATTCCAAGTCACAAAGTACGACCTGGACTAACAGCGCCCATTCTCATTTCATTATGCTCCTCATAAATGTTCCTCTCATATGACACCGAAATTTCCTGCGTCTGCTTGATGCCACCAGTTTTCGCCAGTATGCTTTTTTCGCTGCTGTTGTCACCCCGATCTAGAAGGGTAATGGGCTCACCAGCAAAATAGTGGTATCGATCGGTACTGTGTGTATCTCGATTCTTGCCATGAGTCTTGGCAGAGATGTTGTAATCTCCCGATATGGGTTCGTCTGTTCGGTCAAAGGTGGATCGCATTCGGACGAGGAGGATTCGGAGGGCTGGAATGGATGCGGCAAATATCGTTAAGCCTGTTTCTGCGGAAGCCCATATAATGATGCTCGAGCAGTAATCTAACTAATGTAAGGGGGTATTCTTGATACAGGAGTGGCTTTACTCACAGGTGAAATCTTGGACTTTTGAAATATTGACCAGCTTTGATGTCTTGACAAATGCAGTCGCGGCAGCACTTTCGGAAGTTAGTCAGTCTTCATTCATTTCAGGTAATAAAATCGAGAGCCTTACAAAACGCCGAGACTCATTGCGACGGCGATGCCGAACTTTTCTCGTTTCTTCATTTGGAGTTTCCAAAGCACAGCCCATGGAAGGAGGGCAAGGATGAAATCCATACACCCTGAATAGGCTCCGGCTGTCAGGGCAATGTTTTCAAAGATAAAGGTTGGCCAGCATTTGGCTGTAGCCATGAGCTTCGTATTCCACAGAGCAGCTGCTGGCTTGCACTGGGCCAGATAACAGACTGCACAAAGCCACATGATCGCATTCATAGTTATTATGATGAACCATAAGAGAGCCTTCATCCAAACGCGAGTCACGGTTCCCAAGAGCGTTATGGCGAAGGAAGTTTTGCTGAGGACACAGCCGATGATCACGATGACGAATGATATGTAGACTAGTTTCAGCGCAGGAGGTATGGTAGATGGGTCTTCGATGGCTTCGACATGTTTTCCGATTACTCCTAACTGGATGGCCTTCGTGATAAGTACTGTATAAATAAGTTGTAGTAGCTATTTCATTAGTCAGATAGTCTGTCTAGGTGGGATTAGAGAACGGAGAAGATATTGGTATATACCCATGCAAGACTGACGACTAAATCGTCCCAGCCCAGCCCTCGACTCAGTGCGGTTTTGCACCATATACGCAGAGCCAACACCAACCCCGGGATGAGTACCAAAACCCAGCAGACTGCTAGAATCGTTGGGCCTTGGTTTTGGCCGTGAAAGATTGTAGCTGGAGACATTTTTTCCGATAAAAGGTTTCGAGCCGCCAAAGCTGAAAGACCTCAAATTAATAAATTTCGCACAGGAAATCAATCTCGTAAAAAACTTTGAGTTTACTCAATGGCGGTCAAGTTAAGTATTCGTTTTGAGACTAGGCATCGCAATGATCTAGCTCGAAGAAGAGGGAGGTTTTGTATTACCTCGTGCAAGAAGCGAATGCTTTCTAGAAACTACAAATCAGAGTCAGAAAAGAAAAAGGAAAGAATTTGGTTGATTACTACGGAAATAAAATCCTAAGTTTTTGCAAATGACAGGTACGAGGATATTTGAACGAAAATATCCAAAACGGCATTCCCAAATGATGATCTTCCCCAACGTTCTTCAATGCCATGGTCAAGGCAATGTCACAGGAGGTCAAAGGTGTAGGAACCAGCAGCCATTTCACATCTACCAGACGTGACCCATCACATCCATTGATTCCAGGCCCTCAATAACGCCTTTCTTCAGGGCCCGTGACCCGAGAGCACAGGTGACATGTGGGGCTTTTGCTGAACGGAGACTAGTGAATCTTTATCTAAAACGGTCGAGCGTACTACACTGTATCAGTGGAAGTGTCCGTGCGAAGGGGCATGAAATCGGCTGGAACTGTCGTCAAATTTGGCAGTTCCTGCCTGCTTCCTTAACTTGAATGTGCTCCCTTTCTCAATACATCCCTGTTAAGGGTCAATCTTCTGATTACATCCACAGGACTATATAGCTTGGAATTGGCCTATACCCTGAGAACCAAAAATTAATATATCTACTACTTTGTACTCCGTATTCTAAAGCCAAAGCTATGTTTTCAACATTTGAAGTTGAGGCACATGCCTCAAGTATATATTGACCACCCTCAGGTAGTGGTGGTGGGATAATTGTGACACCACTCACGTGAATTATCGCATAAACCAAAAGGTTATAGCAATCATGATGACCCATGGATAATATGACTATCTGGGAGTAATCCTACCAGATGCCATACATAACAGGTGTTTCCACCACAATCCTAAGGCAGCCAAGTGCGTGCCTGTGATCACAGTAGCTTTGTTATCATGTTCATCACTTTATTCAAGTTTTTTTTTTTTTTTTTTTTTTTTTTGATACAGTCAACAGTGCACTAATTTGTTTTATGAAAACGTCTGACCGGACCTAACAATGTTCTAGTGTCACTAGTGTCACTAGTGAATAGTTATTGTCAACCACTGGTCTTGGAATATTTTTTTTGCTTGATTATTCTTGCACTAGTTCAAGTTGGACGATTTGGGACTGTACCATTGACGGGTTCCATGGCTTTCAGAGCCCATATATGGCATGGGCTTCCATGAATGGATCGGTACTTAGAAATTGTACAAGGAATACATTCTCCTCACAACCTTGGAATGCATATGCAAAAAGAAAACCACCAAAGATATATTTATCCCGAACCCTTTTTCTCAAGCCATGGCGAATCCCCACAATCCCAGTACCCCCTGTGAAGGTTCAGCGCCAAAGGATGCGAATGATTTTGATTCCTCTGATTGTTCCTGCGACTGTCCCTATGAGACTGCTTCTAAGGCTGCCACTCTTACTCAATCCGAAACAGACACTCACCATTACACTCGTCAGTTGGCCTTTCCACTATGTTGAGAGAAGCTCCGAAAAAGAAAGCGCCCAATATGCTACTCTCACTGCCACGCGGTAAATTTCAGATAAGGGATATTTCCCCGCAGGATTGAGACGAGAACTCCATATCGGCATTTTATAAGCGTCTAGTATGCTAGAGTGGAATAGATAGTATTTGACATTCTATATCGAGCCTATTAGTACTAGTGGTGACAGAACAGGCGAAGATCAAGTTGCTTAAGCTCTTCCACACTGCAAGTGATTCATTGTGGTAGTAGCTATCGAAATAAAAGTTTGTTTAATAGTAGTACATTCCACTTTGCTCAGTGACACCATCTGCCCGCACTAGACTACTCCGGCTGTTAAGCTTAATAGAGCGTTGTATGGGCATAGTACTGGCTCTCCTTGGCTCTCTTCTTGACTATTATCGAACAAAGATTCTAAGCATCAATAGTATTTACCTGATTCAAATGAAGCTCCATTGATGTTGTTATCTATTGATAAACGCAATTAAAGCACAAGTTCGGTGATAAGCATCGGCGACCGACCGAAACGCCCGATCCCCCTCACAAACTTATCAAAAGGTGGGACATGAGATGGATACGACCGCGGAAAGAGAGCGCTTTCGTGCGGGGTAATAAATAAAAGGGCCGACCAAGTTGGCACCTATCTTCTCAACTTCACCTTGAACTCCGGTAGCTTGCTTTTTGTTACCCTTTCTTTTAATTCAATCCTCACGCCATGTCAGCCCCGCCGCGTGATAGCCAAGCATGCGGCTCATCTGCTAGCTTCGATATCTCTAAAGAGCATCTGACATTTGTTTCTCAGGCTATCGATTCCGCTTCAGCAGAGTTACGAGAATTAAATCTCGAGGTGAGCTTGAAAATCTTATTTTGGGAATGCGTGCTAATAGTCAATAGATTTGGAATAATCCAGAATTGAAGTTCGAAGAGGACAAGGCTTGCAAGCTCCTCACTGAATGGCTCCAATCTCAAGGGTGGAGTGTGCAAACTGGGGTTTACGGCATCAGCACGGCATTTGAAGCGCGCTTTTCGGTGGTCGGTGGTGGTCGGACGATTTGCTACAATGCTGAATACGGTTCGCAATAATTAATCAAGAAAGTGTCTGCTCTGCACGGGATAGATGCTGATCTAGACTATGCGTTTCTAGATGCCCTTCCCGAAATCGGACATGCGTGTGGCCACAACCTTATCGCTACATCAACACTCGCGTCTGGAGTAGGTGTCGCGTCGGCAATGAAGCAATTCAATATCCCTGGAACGCTAGTTATTATCGGAACCCCGGCTGAAGAAACCGGCGGAGGAAAGTACATCATGGCCAACAATGGAGCGTGGAAAGATTGCGATATTGTGATAATGACCCACCCAATGCCAGATTTCTCCAGCTCTCAAATGCAGACGAAAGCGTCGTGGAAATTCCGAGCAAAGTTTCATGGCAGAGGGTCCCATGCAGGTGCGGCACCGTGGGATGGTGCGAATGCTTGTGATGCGATTGTCATGGCGTATAATGGTCTGGCGTTGCTTCGGCAACATGTGAAGAAGACGGAGAGTATTCAATCGATTATTTTGGAAGCTGGGAAGGCGGTCAATATTATTCCTGATTATTCGGAAGGTCATTTCTCGCTGCGTGCAGAGGATTCGGTGTCAGTTGAGAAGTTGAGAGAGCGAGTTATCCCTATTTTCCACTCAGCTGCCGCTGCGACTGGCTGTACGGTGGAGCTTTTTTGGTGAGTGAACAAAGGGGGGGGTGAGATATGAGTCGGTGAGTGTAAACTAATGGCCTCAGGGACGCTCTTTACGAAGACGTGGTGAATAATATGGCCCTCGCAAACCGATACACCGATTACATGCTGAACGGCCTCGAATTTGACCCGGCCGAATTCTTGGACCCTGCTACTCAGCCCAAGGCTGTTATAGGAGGGAGCTCGTACGTTCCTTGACTCTTTTTGTTATGTATGGAATGAACTGTCCGGATCGAATTAACTCGATGCAGTGATTTTGGCAACTGTTCATATCTGAAGCCTGGCATTCAAACACTCTTCAAGATCAATGCGACCAACATGCCGCACACACCGGAGTTTCAGCAAGCGGCAGGCAGTGAGTTCGCTCACACTGAAGCACTCCGAGCGGGCAAAGCCAATGCAATGGTAGGGATTGATGTTCTGCTGAATGATGAATTCTACCAAGCGGCACAGAAGGAGTGGGAGAGCTCGATGGAGGCCCGGGGCCGTAGATAAAGTCGGGCAGTTACCTAGGTAGGAACAACATTGTACTTGAAATCAAGATCATGACACCTCAATATCAAGTACTAGCTACATACCAGTACCCGTGTCAAAATTCACATTCACCACTAGCAAGCCCGAGCTAATCAATCATGGCAGAACGACCTTCAGTCTGGAATGATGGGTCAATCGCAAATAAACTATGGGAGGGTGTTACCATCCACGGAGCCTAGGAAACGGGAGCCATACAAGGAGACTTAAGCACTATTGGATTGAATTGAAATCTTGTGACATTGATCAAGCTATAAATGCAAAATGGGTACTAGAATAAATGCCACCGCGCCGTGTCTGTGCAACTCCATATCGAAAGCTGGAAGATAATGTTACAATCCCACACGGGGATCGACAGCGAAATAACAAAAGGACGGGGTGTGTGGGCCCCATTTCCGGACAGGAGAGACCCTTTCAAACCAGGTTTTCAGGGCATAGGCTGACAATTTCCAAAGAATAGTTTCAGCCGAATAGCATTTTGCCGTGAGAATTCCCCAAGGGAAAAGGTGGGGCGGGGGTGATGATGATGTTGTGGCAGGCCAGGAGGAGAGCCCATTCTCGATGAGATGACCAAAATAAAAGGATCGGTCAGGCCATTAAATCATTGCAATACCGCGCTATAGATGGTAGAAGGTCGAAAAGCAAGTAGGTCGTCAAACATATACACATGAGGCGTCACGCGGCGACGCTCAGTTCTCGCGAGGAATATGCAGAGTCTCGTCCTTGCTGGCAACCAGGGCAATGAGAGCTGCACCAACGCCACTTCCATCCTTGGAGATACCGATGCGGATCTTCTTGTCACCTGCAACACCAACCTGGGGAACCTCACGCATGGCCTCACGGATGTGTGCCTCGAAGTTGGGGTAGAACTCGACGAGACTACCGTCAACACCGATATCGACAACGCCCTCGGTATCGAGCTTGCCAGAGTCAATGAGGATAGCGGCAATGGGGACAGCACTGAGGCGGGCGGCACGCTTGCCGATGGCGTGGACGAGGATCTTGACAGCCTCACACTCGGCATCGCTGGGATTCTCGATCTTCAAGTGGTCCTTGAGCGCGGCCTTGACGTCGACAAAGTCCTTGGTAGTATCGGCCTCGACTTGGCTCAGAAGGCTGGTGTCCAGACCCCACTGGCGGTAAAAGAGGGAGTCAGAGGGAAGGGAAACCTTGGAGGTGGCACTGGCCTTGAAGATGGCCAGCTTAGGGTCGTTGTGAATTGCCAGGAGTGCGCGGCGCAGAATTTCGCCCAGGAACATGCCGGAAACACGCTTCTCGAACATCTGAATGCCGGGGTTGTTGCTCTCGGCATCAAGGTCCCGGTCGTAGACGGTGCTAGGGAGGACGCTGAGGTGGTTGTCGAAGCTGCCCCACTCCGCGTTGATGATCATCTCTCCCGTGGACTTGTCGTAGTGGGCGTCCTTCATGTGTTGGAGCTTGGTGATCTTATCGAGCTTCTCGACGTAGGCACCGTTGGTACCGGTACCAAAGATAGCGCCCAGGAAGGTTCCGGTATCGCCGGGGGAAGTGTAGGAGCGAGCCATCAGAGTTCCAACGGTATCGTTGACCAGCGCAGCCACGCGAACGGGGAGTTCGAGTTCATCGATGGCAGACTGGAGCAGAGCGCAAACGTCGTGACCAACGGCATCGGGAATGTTGAAGCCCTTGGTCCAGCGGATCAGGGTTCCGGAGTTGATACCAAACTGGCGCACGGGGAAACTGAAAGTGAAACCAAGATCAAACAGTTCCTGTTCGCTGGCACCGGCAAGGCGACGGCGCAAGTGTGCCTCGAAGTGCTCGTTGTGGTGGATACGCAGGAAAGACTCGATCTGGCGGGCGAGGAAGAGGAAGAGGTCCTTGGAGGTACCGGAGGCCATGAGTTCCCGGGGAATCATAATCTTGGACTGGGTGAGGGAGAAGGTGGTGTCTCCGTGCAGCTGGACGGAGCAGACGCGGAAGTTGGTACCGCCGAGATCAACGGCCAGGTAGAGACCCTGGATAGAGGTTAGTGAGGGCTTCATCATTGCGCGGAGACAGCAAAACGGGACGGACCTTTTCCGTGCCATTGGGCACTGCTGTCACAAAAGTTGGGATTTGGCTCAGAGTAGTGTTCTCCTTAGCCAGACCCTCATTTTGCTGGCGGATATACTCAGCGACACCGCGCTGGACCTGCTCAGCGGGGTAGTCAAATTCGCGCGCGATGCGCGTGGCCTCAGCCAAGAGAGACATGATGATGGATGGTAGGGGAAGAGCGAAGGAGGATTATGGAGAGGAATAACCGGAAATGAAGGAAAGGTAGAGGTTGAGAAAAGAGGGAGTAAAGAAAGGGAATCACAGAGAAGAGAGTAAGAGCAGACGAGAGTAATGGAGAAGAGGAAAAAGAAAGTTGGATGTGGGATGGCGGGGTCCATGAGGTCAGTCCCCCCCCCAGCCAAGATGGGAATCTCCGGGTTCACCGGACTCCTCTTCAATGGCTTTGACCAGGGCTTATTTCTGTCCGATAACATTGTCGCAGACGGCCATTATCTAGAAATTGTGCTCCGATATTGTCCATTCTGATTTGTAGTTGGCATTTGACTATTCTCTCTCTGTACATCTTCACGGCCGAATGCAGCCGTGTCCCTTCATTCTTGCGGGGTCACACAGCACCCTGTGAAACCTCTTATTTCCTCTTTTACTCCCTCTTCACCTGGAAGTTCGCTAGCAGAATCACCTAGCCTATTTTTAATTTTTCTACTTTTTTTTTCTTGGTTTTTTTTTCTGTTTTTCCCCCACCTCAACCTATGACGCAGGCAACTGTTCGAAACTACGGAGATGACAAGGTGTGGAGGGCTCTGCAGGCTGTGACTGGTCAATTGGCCGACACCCACGTTTCCCCCGGCTTCACCGGTGAGCGACACTGGTTAAGACGCGGGCGACACGGGGGATGCAGGGGACGGGCATTCATTTGCACAGCGTCACACCCGGGGAAACTTGGGGGATGGGGAAGTCTAGGAATTCAGGGGCGCATGGTGCTTGACTGCAGAAGATATTCTCGACTCTCCCAAGTTTAGTACAAGTTAAGCTGGTCTCTAACATTCATCCCCGGACATACCCCAGTTTCCATTGACTTTGGTTTATTGTTCTCATCGGTCTCTCGGGACGATTCGGCATGCACTCGGGAAACCTGAATAGGCTGGCCAACCCGAATAGCGGCCCGAGTGTGCAGTCACGTCCCGAGAAACACGGAATCCATCGGTTTCCGTGACTAACAGATCCAAACACTCGTAAGACACTTCCCGGTATTATTTGTATTGCAGGTATCTGCAATACTGTCCTTCGGTACTTCCCCAGATATATTGAACGTTTCAACGTATACGCTTGATAGCCCACATCTACTAACTATAGTAAGTGGACCAGTTATTACCCGCAGTTCAAAATGAAGGCTATTGTCATTCCCTCATTTTTGTACACCGAGGCCCATTTAATTTATTTATTGGCCCCTTCTCCTTCTTCTTCAAGTTCTAGTCAGCTCTTAGATGAATAAATAAGCCACATTGCCTTGTGTCTTTCAAGTTGACCTCTGCGAACTATGCAAGTCGAATGCTTAGTACTATCATATTGTTTCCAACTATAGTACCTACTAGGTATTGAATCGAACTAATCAAGTTGAGTGGAGATATTCCGAGTCCTATTTCTTGCATGCTGATTCTAGTTCCCCAGCTCATATCCAATCGCCCTCGGAGCCAACACATAGTCAACCCTCGCAAACCTTCCCACATGGGAACCATCCACTTCACCAGTCGTCTTCGGGTCAGCCCCAATCAAATTGTTTGGAAATCCGACGTCAAACTCCTTCGCCTTCTCCAAAAATTCGATTTGCTTCTTAGTCAACCTAATCTTCAAAGCCTGGATATTGTCCTGCAAATGCTCAATCTTGCGCCCGCCAATAAGCGGAAACACGTTCGGCGCCTTGCAGAGAATATAAGCCAAAGCAATAGCAGCCACAGATTCAATCCCATGCTCTGCTGCGACGGTCGAAAGAGCCTGGGAAATCTGCTTCTCCTCCTCTGTTTGTCCGTCACTGTGAACACGTCGTAGTTTCTCACCATTCTTCTCTCGTTCAGCTATCTGCTTCTCGCTTTGAAAGTGACCACCACCTAGTACTTCCCAAGGCGCAAGCGCCATACCAAAATGGCGTGCCATGGGAAGAATGTCTCGCTCAAAGTCTCGAAGCATCACATTCCACCGTCCTTGGTAGATACAAAAGGGGGTCTTCCCATGTGCACGCGCGTAGGTGTTTGCCGCCGAAGCGACCCAAGCTGGCGTATCGGAAATACCGAGATATAGCACTTTGCCCTGCTCAACCAGGATGTGTAGCGAGTCCATAATTTCTTCGATAGAAGTTGTGTGGTCCCACCAATGTAGGTAAAGGATATCGATGAAATCAGTCTGAAGTTTGCGGAGCGAATCACGGACACTATTAAACATGCTTCGCTTGTGATTGCCACAGGTATTAGGTGTGTTACCCTTTCCTAGGGCGTGAGTGCGGTAATCTGTGGTGAATTTGGTTGCGATGACCATTTGGTCTCGATTTCCGCGTGCTGCCATCCATTCTCCAATCCAGGCTTCGGATTGTTCGTTTTGGTAGTTGTTTGCTGTGTCGATGAAGTTACCGCCTGCAGCGGCGAAGGCGTCGAGAAGAGCGAATGATTGCTCTTTGTTCATGCTGCCCAAGAAATTTGACCAATTGTCTCCAATTGACATGCCGCCAAGTTGGAGAGGAGATACTCGGATTCCTGCGATGGGGGAGAGGACTCGGTAGCGGCCCAGAGGAGTGGCGGGCTCAGGTGCGAGTGCGAAGATTTCTTCCATTTTTATTATTGATAGAGTGGTTTCCAAGGTTTGAAATAATATGAAGTGTTGAATGGAAATATCCTCTCGGCGCAGGCCTCATATTTATAACAATACTGAGCCCGGTTGGAGAAGCAAGTACTCGGCATTGTTAACGGAGATAAGAATCGCCCGAAATGTAACATTGAAGGGAGAAATAGTTGAATTGAGGACTGAAAAATGAGATATCTTATTTGAATTGCCATCTATTATCTTAATGCCAATTCAGGTGTTTACAGCGGTATGGCAAAATTGAATCATGCCTCTCGTGAAATCGAGACTTGCAGGTTCTTCACGGTTCTCACAATATGTACGTCGAATAATAAATCAGTGAAATTTAACCAGAGAGCTATCTAAGTGTTATTTGCGTTTGCAATCAAGTGTACTTGCAAAGCTTGAGTTTAACTCCAAAGTCCGGTCTGGTAACCCCATATACATCTTAAAACTAGCCCACTTTAGGTTAGACTGTTGTCATCAAATGCTGAACTGTCATTACTTGGTTGCCCCTATTTCCAGGTGTCAATCAAGTGCCTCTCCATCATCACAAAGGAAGTGATATCGACTCCCTAGCTTGCAATGTGACTGATTAGCTTGGTTTTTAAGTGCGCAAATATGCCCTCTAGCTGTATTTCTTTAAAAAAAAAATTAAAGGAACCAAAAAAGAACTTGAGATTCGTTAGGGCAGTATCTAATTTTAACCTTTCAACAACTTCGCTGAATTTCTGCAAGAAATATCACTATCGCACTCCATCATCTTTTGCGATTTGATCCGGAGAAAACCCTCCATTCAGTTTATCAAGATAGTCATCAAAACGTCCCGAAACTCGAATGACCTCCTTGAGATGCTCATATGTAAGAGTTGTCCCCTTCCATTTTGCATACTGACGAGCAGTCGTGATCACATTCCTTATCTGTCTTCCATTCAACTTTTCCTCCTTGAGAATGTGCAGATTATCTCGTAAGTCAGCAATATCGATATCTTCACCCATCGAGTCAAGCCGATCAACAAATGTCTGCCAAATTCGAAACCTTTGTTGGGGTCCAAGGTTAGGATAATGGAGAGCAAGCTGGATTCGAGATCGAAAAGCTTCATCAAAAGTACCAACTCGGTTGCTTGTCAATATCAGGATGCCATCGTAGTACTCAAGAACCCGAAGAAACACCGATACCAGGGCATTCCGGGCTAGATCTTCGAGACTCCGTTGCTCAAGGAAGATGTCCGCCTCGTCCAATAGCACCACACAGCCCCAAATACGGCCGAGATATAGGACAGACTCGAGGTATTTCTCTACATCTTCGGCCTTGGTTCCCACATCTCCACAGGTAACACGGTATAGTGGCTTCTGTGCAATTTCGGCCACACTCTCCGCTGTTAGAGTTTTGCCAGTTCCAGGCCCTCCATGAAGCAAGAGTATGAGGCCATTGCCTTTGCCAGCAATCAGGTCGGTTGATTTCTCCGTCTCGATTTGATTTGTCACAAGAGCTTGGATCATATCCTTTGCGCTTCGTTCAATGACAAGGCTATGAAATGCCTCTCGATTCCATTCGACATCTGATATGCGATCGAGAGAGATCTCGTACCACTTCTTCCGCCTGAGGTTGTACCCTTTAGTCTTCTCGGGCAAAAGAAAACAAAATCTTTCATCGGGGGGGTTCATCCTGAGCCATTTCATCTTCACTAAGCCTTTTCGGTCCACTGTCACCCTGCTTCCGAATACCCACTGACGGATGAAGTTTTCTATACGTCTCCATATCTATCATGTATCTCTCATCCCCCTAAGCAATGTTAAATCCAGAAACCCAAGACAAGGGAGGAACGACTCACCATTTCTGTAGATTTCTCGTTTTCTTGCGCTTTATATGACACAAGTCTCCTGGTGCGACATTTCCAAATGGTCTCTCCTCGTCTGTGTAGAGTGTCAAATAATGTTTGGGGTGCGTATTTCAAGGGAAAAACATTAAGATCCGTTATAGGCTTTGCTGTCTTCATGAGTATGTCAAAGGACTGTGGCTTTGATGGCGCATTCTTTCCGATGGAAAGCTCTTCGTTATTAAGTGAGAAGCTTAGAACTTTGTCGTTTCGAAAAAATTGCCCATCGAACTCGAAGTTCCAAGCCTCAATCTGGAAATGAGACACGGTCCGTAGCTTGAGACGTGGCCCATTCCCCACAATACTGTCAAATATTTCACTGTGATAGCTCTCTTCGGATAATCCGAAATTCTTCGAGATCCAGGATTGTGCAAAATAGCCTGCGTACTCGCCGTCTTTCTTCTCAACCAGTATTTCTCCCGGCTTGAAGAGATAGTGGATGTATTGAGGGGCTATGAGTCCTCTTCCGAGGAGGTAATCAACACCTTTATACTCTTCGCCGTATTCTTCATCTAAGTACCTCATAAAAAGATCCATGTGATCGATTTCGACAGGAGAGAGCTGAGCTTTTATTTTGTTGATGTCTTGGCGACTATGATATGCAAATAGATACGGCGCAAGTAAATCTCTACTTTCGCCGTACCTCTTCTTGATATCACCAAATCCAGCGTTTGCGCCAAGCATAGCATTCAGTGCTGATTTCATCTCGCTCGCCACGGGGTAGATACTCTCAGAAGTGGGACATGGAAGCTGGGCTGCTTCTTCGTTCACGTCATAATAAGGTTGGAATTTCTTCTTGTAGTGACGAAACACAAGGAATGAAATATCAGGATTCAGGGCTAGGAAGAGATCGAAATTCCGAAGTGGAATGCTGCATCGAAGATGGGCAACACCGTTCTGCTCGTACACGATTTCCGGCACGTCACTAAAAGTAGTGATTCTTTTTTCAAGTTCAAGTTCACTAGAGCTATGCTCTGAATAATGGTCGTTGTCATTGCTCGAATCCGGGTCTTCAAGTTGATACAGGAATTGAAACCTTGGGGGGGTTAACTTCCGCCGATTCGTATCTCTTCAGCTTGGCTTGCAAGAGATCCACTTGCTGTCGCAAGACCTTATTCTCGACAGCGGCAAGATCGTCGCTCATATTGACATGATCGTTCATTTTAATATTGTATGGCATGGCTCGATCTTTAACAAGTGAGGAGAGTTCTGGAAAAAACCTGGGGTATTCACGGGTAAGGCTTCGGGGGAGCGCTTCGTGCTCGTCAAAGTAATATTCTGTTGGGACTCGCTCTTCAATTACATGTCCCAGTTCTGGGTTGTGATAGCCTTTTTTTCGGCTTGTCTCAGGCGGTTGGCTAGTATTTTGGGTGTTTTCTCGCTGGCGCAGGGCTGAAAGTTTCAACACCTCGGTTTGACTCTTCTGGGTCTCGTCCGTTGAGATAGTCGAGTGGTTCTGTTGGGTAGTTTGCTCGGCGTCTGTGCTCTGGGGGCTCTCTTGATCGCCAAAGACGTATTCTCTATCATCCACATCAGGCTGGGGGCTTTGTTAGATTGTTCCAAGGTTACTAGTTCAGGCGACCTTGGATGTTTGAACTTACGTCAATACTAATATTATACGTCATCAAGTGCTCAGTCGCGTTCAAAGCTGAGGTTGAAAATGAATCTGCCCATGATGTGTGGGGTGAAGTTTAGAGCGCCTAGAGGGGTAAGATGAATGGTGCAGCGACTCGGCCCCCAAAAATACACGTGATGTCTCGATCGGACATCAAAGTGAGTCCGAGTCGGTTTCAAGCTCAGATCAAATTCATACTTGCCTCTAAGAGAGGTGTTACCGTCAAACTTTTCAAGATAAATTATAATTATATACAACATGGCGAGCAGTCCGAGTCTAATGATCACTCCGGGTCGATTTTCAAATTGGTACACAGCCAGTGAGTGAGTATACAAGCGGGGTTTCTGTGACTCCTATCAATCTTTCTGACCGTCTCAAGCTCAAGCACTATTAGGCCTGCAGAGGTGGCCTTCAACGAAGCACGAGATTTATTTGAAAATAAAGGGACCTCAGACTCCAGGAAGAAACGCCGTCTAGAAACCCTCAGCGCAACTTCTCTGGAAGATATTCTCGTCGTTGTGGAAAATGCAAGGCTCCATTATCATAAGGACCAGTCTGGATCAAAAATGCGAAGGTATATGGAGCAAATTTCAGAGCGGATTGATTATTATGGAAACATCATGGATGTTTTTGTTCAACATCACCCGGAGTATGTTTCCTTGGCATGGGGAACCATGAAATTGTTATTCGGAGTAGGTCCACAGTCCCGTTACCTGGATCAACAAATTGGTTCCTTTCCTGAGGTAACTTCTTGTTAGGCAATTATCGAACACAAAAAGATCGGATCCATCATCGCGAACGGTGTCTTGGATATTGCGGATGCTCTACCACGTGTGAAGCTAGCTTCGACGTTGTACCCAACAGATACTATTCAGACACTAGCTGCTACACTTTACGCTCATGTTATCCGGTTTCTTCTGCGAGCTCTGGAATGGTATGAAGAAGGGTCGTTCAAACGAGCATATCACTCTGTCATGAAGCCCGCACCATTAAGATACAACGATATTCTTGATGACATCCACCGCGTTACCACTCAAATAGCTGCACATGCAACAGCAGGAAGCCAAGCTGAGCAGCGTGATATGCACCAAGAGCTTGTGGCGGTAAAAGAGATTGTCAAGTCCGGCAACGAAGCAAATAAAAGAGAACAGAAAGAGTTCCAGCGAAAGCTACAGGTAGTGATGAATCTTGTTACCGAACTCAAGATCGACATTCACTCCGATCAAGCCCTTGTCAAATTCGAGCGAGGCCAGATACAAAAGACTTTGACTAGCGTACATTCAACACAGTACTTGCAGGTGATTTCAAATCAATGTACCATCGACCATCAAGCTAGCTTAGAAATGGCAAGAAATTTGCGCAACCGACGGCGATTTGCAAAGGTCAAAATATCACCATTCTGGAGCTCAACCACTATGGTAAATTGGAATCGTTCATCGACGTCTTCATTGATATCCGTTAAAGTTCCATTTTCCGACCGGCAATCTTCCCAGGACTTTTGCACCAATGCAATCGAGCAGCTCTTGCATTTCAAGATTGCCAATTTCTGGGTTCTCAAGACACAGGATGATTCTCATCCGATCATTGCAACGCTGAAGAGTCTTATCAACCAGGCCGCTACATTTGTCAATCAAACACCGGTTGGGTCTGATCTCGCTCAAGGTCTTGATCGTTTTCTCCACGCACAGCTCGAGGAGCACTATCTACACCTGCTTGCTGATATACTGAGTCGTTTGAAAGTTGTTTTCATCATCGTGCAGTTGGAAGCAATCGAGGCGGTTGACAGCTCACAGGTCATACTGTGTCTTCAACAGCTACTGGAGCGACTTTCCAGTCTTGGTGCACCTACAGTGGTCAGGATTCTCGTTCTCAGTTGGAAGCCAGGTCTGAACTCTGAGGCAGGAGAGTCGATTCCTCATTCTCAACTTCGTGCTCGCAAGGCCTCCCGGCGTAAGGCGACCCGGCTACCCAGTCGGCCTCTTTCGACTCCACGACTTAGAATACTAGAATAGAAAGCTTCTACTAGTTTCAATTTCAATATCGCCTCTCCGAAAGTAGTAGAACTCCAGACATTCCAAGGTTTCCAGCCGTCAATTGAAGAATAAAGAAGCAATGACAACCGGAGTTAGAGCACTGATAATCCATCTTTTCGTTATGTTATGTGCTCCGTAGTTTTATCCATGAATATCGCATTGTCACAGATGAGATTTAATGACATCTTTCATTAACTTAATTTCCCCTAGTACATCAACCTCTGCTTATCCCCCGCATAATCTTTACACGTCAATCTCACCGCTTTCCCACACAAATTCAGCCGGTGGCGCCCTCCAGTTTTATTAGCTTTCGGCCCCTTGCGGGCGATCATCTCCCACTACACTCCTTTTTATTTATTTTCAATGCCAGATTAACGGGGTCACGGTTCCTCATCGCGATCTCCCGGTCGATCATGATGCTGTCCGGGCGAGTTATGAATTTGTTTCACTTCACTCGATATTTTCACTGGCTGAGCATTGGCTGACGTGTGTTGGTACGAACAGATCGTTCTAGACACAGTACACTGCAGTGTGTCTCGATCTAGTAAACTATTATGGAGTACTTAGTACCCAACAACAACAGTCGGCAAATTCAGCTTGTCCCCTTAACATCGAGCAAGGAGATCGCCATTATTCACTCCTTTTTGCATCCCCATTGGTACTAAGGGTGCACCCACTGGAGCCTGGGCCCGAAGGTGACACCTGCAGAAGATAGCTTGGAGATCCTTGCATCGTCTCCTGGCCGATGTGTGGCCCTTCGGCTGCGGCTGAGACGCGGTTTCAACTCTGCCTGTCGCCCACTTTGCCACAGCTCTCGGATGTCTTTCATTCCTTTCTTTTTCCTGGACCCGGATCATCGCGCGTTTAGAATTGACGTATCTTGCATGGCGAGCTAGAACAACAACAGTAACCCCGTATATGCATCCTCTCCACATGCACACAGAAATGGGGGCCAATTGACAAAATGTAAAATTGAAAACTGAGAATTGACCCCCATACCATGGCATGCACTGCACTACTGCGCCGTACTATTGACTCTACAGACCGCTACGGAATATTCACGGACCACATGGGATGAGAAGGGAGACTCCAGGATTGGTCCTCCTTCATGTCCACGTTGCTTGCATCGGCAAGGTCGCCTGGTCGGGGATGAGACCTGTACAAAGGGCCAGTTGCGTTGGCAATCCTGCGCTGACAGAACTTGCGTCGACTTTTAATGTCTCGTCCCCCACTGTTTGGTCTGGCTTTTTTTCTTGTTTTGTAGAGCTAACCCCTTCCCCTCAATCTCTTCTCCCCCCTCATCCACTCGTTTACTGTTAATTACCCTGGGTTTATACGCCCATAATGTCTTCATTTTTTAATCCACCCGATCAGCCCAAAGAGGGGATTGTGCTTGGGAACAATGCCCCATCTGACACAGATAGTCACAGTCGTCCACAGTCTAAGGGCAAAGCTTCCTCGAAAGCGGCGAGTGAGAAGAGCACTTTGATTGAGGAATCAAGAAATTCCAACGCTTCCAGGAATTCCAATATACGAGCCGAAGATACCCAGAAGGAGATTGCCAATGGTACTACCAATACGACTGCCAAGGATGAATCCTCTAAGGAGGTGAAGCCCAACGAAGACTCCAACAAGGAACCTGCATCAAAGGACAATGCAGAGAAGGAGGTCAAAGACGGAGAAAATAAATCAGACAGCGATGTTGACGGCGAGAAGACTCAAGAGCCCGAAATCGAATATCCATCGGCCTGGAAGCTCGTCCTCATTACCATTGCGCTTTGTTTCTGTGTGTTCTGCGTGGCATTGGTGAGTACAGAGGACCTCAATTGGATCACAGAAGGAGCATCTGTCTAATAAATCCCAGGACAACACCATCATTGCAACTGCCATCCCTAAGATTACCGATCAATTCAACTCCCTCGAAGACGTCGGCTGGTATGGAAGTTCCTACTTGCTCACCACTTGCGCTGTCACCTTGATGTTCGGAAAATTCTACACCTACTACTCCATCAAATGGATCTACCTCGCCGCCCTTTCCATCTTCGAGATCGGTTCCCTCGTCTGTGCCACTACACCTACCTCTGTCGGTCTGATCTGTGGTCGAGCCATTGCTGGTCTCGGTGCTGCCGGTCTTTTCTCTGGTTCTATCTTGATCATCGGCCAGACTGTTCCTCTTGACAAACGACCAATGTATACCAGTCTCATTGGTGCTATGTTCGGTATTGCAAATGTCGCTGGTCCTCTGTATGTTATCTCCCCGTCCTGAAAACCGTTCAAACTGCTAATATAGAATAGCTTGGGTGGTGCCTTCACTGATCGACTCTCCTGGCGCTGGTGTTTCTACATCAATCTGCCCATTGGAGCCGTGACTTTCCTCTTCATCATCGCCTTCCTCCCTGCCAACAAGGCATTGAAGCAAAGAGGTCACTGGAAGCAACAACTGGGCGAATTTGACCTCCTCGGCTCCCTCTTCTTCCTTCCCTCCATCATCTGTCTTCTGTTGGCACTACAGTGGGGTGGTACCAAATACGCCTGGGAAAATGGCCGCGTCATTGCGCTCTTCGTCGTTTTCGGTATTCTTTTCATCGTCTTCGCCGTGATTCAATGGTGGGGACAGGACCGCGCAACTGTTCCCCCGCGTCTCATCAAGAACCGAAACATCTGGGGTGCAGCATGGTACTCATGTGCTCTTGGTGGTGCATACTTTGTTCTGACCTACTATGTGAGTAGTCCAACACTTCTGACTGCCTTCCCTCTTCTAGACTGGATGGACTTCTAATCTCCTCACAGCTCCCAATCTGGTTCCAAGCTATCAAAGGCGCAACAGCAATCAAATCCGGCATCATGAATCTCCCCATGATCATCGCCGTGGTCGTCGTTTCTCTTCTCGCTGGCGGCCTCGTCACGGCCTGTGGCTACTACACTCCGTTCATGATCGCCTCATCAATCATCATGACTATCGGTGCCGGCCTTCTCACTACATTGGAAGTTGATTCCGGCCACCCCAAGTGGATCGGCTACCAAGCGCTCTTCGGCATTGGCCTTGGCCTAGGAATGCAACAACCGATGATGGTCATGCAAACGGCGCTGGACCCCATGGACGTCCCGAGTGGCACTGCCATTGTCATGTTCTCGCAAACCCTCGGTGGCGCCATCTTCGTCTCGGTCGGACAAAACGTGTTTCAAAACCAGCTTTTCCAGAACCTTGCGCACTATGCACCTGATGCCCCTGCCGCGCAACTAATCTCTGCTGGTGCGACCATGCTGCGTACTCTTGTCCACGGTGATGAATTGCACCGCGTGCTTGTCGCGTACAATGAGGCTATCATGCAGACTTTCTATGTGTCTGTTGCCATGGGTGCTTTGACGCTTGTCGGTCCGATCTTCGTGGAGTGGCTCTCTGTTAAGGGGAAGAAGATTGAGATGCCCGCTGCTTGAGTGATGGAGGGTGTGAAAAGTCATTCTCTCAATCCTTTATTTCTTCGTTTCTATATCTCCCCCCTCTTCGTGCATATTCTTTTATTTCCTCTTGGCTATGCGGTGATCCGATTCTGGTCTGGGATAGTATAATATAATATGGTTGTTATATACCTAGTGACTTGATTGATTAATATAGTTGTTGATTGGTGAAATTCCAAAATTTGCAGTGTATGTTGTAGACATCATGTCTAATTCTATTATGCTCAAGTGCCCAGCTGAGATTGATGCAAAGAAAAAAAAACCAAGTAAAAAACCAAGAAAAAATCCAAGAGGAAGAAAGTGTATGGGTATATGCTATTATTAAACCGCCGCGTATAAGCTGAGGTAAATCCCCCATATCACTCCACATGCACTGCCGAAGACGACACGTCGGTCCACGGGGATGACAGTATACATCAGAGTTGACACGATTGGGCGGTATTTCATCCGGGCGATCATAATCGGCCGAAAGTCCTGTTCAACCAGGTTAGTAAAAGGCATGCAAAGATGGGGGCAGAGCTAAAATCAACAAGACATACCTCAATAACCAACTCCCAGACTCTTTTAAGCGCAACCCCCTTCAAGACATTGATCAAGAAAACAAATAACACAATATTTACCACACCGGCCACAGTCTGGTCAAAAAGGAATTTCATCATAAAAGCATGCAAACCAGACTTCCTCACGCGAGGGGCCCATCGGGAAGCCTGCCCTTGAGTTTGCTCTTTGATCTCGGCCATCTTCTCCTTCTCCTTGTCCTGGTGATGCGGGAGCTGGGCATCTGGATCAGCAGACCAGGGCCAGAGGGAGATGAGAAAAGCGCGCAGAGATGCGAGGGAACACAGTGCTTTGAAGCTGCATGAGCGCGAGGAGAAAAGGGTTGAGATCTCCGCGCGTGAGGGAAAGCCTGGATACTGTGTTTCCAGGGCGCGTTGCCAGTAGAAATTCAGGGGCACGATTAGGATGCCATAAGAGACGAATTGGAGTAGAGCCAGTATGTTCAATTTGAATGGGGTCTGGAGAGTGATTAGCTGCAATTCTTGGTCATTGGGCATAGTTTTCTTTTATTTTTTTCCCTTTTGTGCTTTAGCCTCAGGGAAGATGGGGATATTACAGTGTTGTTGCGCTGGTCGATTAGCTGCGCCAGGATGTTGGAGAGGGCATTTAGGAGGGTCGACTGCACGAATGTGACTGTGAGTGCAGAAGGCATTGTATGTGCGACGCCATGTGAATTTTGTCCGTATTTTGGGGGGAATCTAACGGCGATCCAGGGTCAAGTTGACGTTGAAGTGGAGTGGCTCCAATTTGCGCAGGGGCCGCCAAGACGCGCAACCGTGTCCTGAGCCCCCGACATGATCGACATTGCATTCTTCTATTACTTCTACGGAGTACCTGGGCACGATTTAGTTGCAGATAACTTGAACATATGCTTATTAGAATAGTATACTCAGTGCCATAGTGCGTGATACAACCACTATAAGGTCATTCCCGAGTATCTGGCATCCATTCATTCTGTTGCATTTCTCATAATGACATGTACACCCAGACCCACGGAGCCCTAGTTGGCAACAGAAACAGGCACAACTTTTTGAAACTCAACATTCGGCCCATCCTTAGCACTAGTAAAATGATCCACAAGCGCCAAATGACCCTTCTCATCCTCACCCTGCCGATCCGCAAGACTCATATCGAAAAGGAAGACCAGTCGCGCAAGCGTCAGTCGCATCTCCATAAACGCCATGCTCTTCCCGATACACCCACGCGGCCCGATGCTAAATGGGCAGAATGCCCTGCGCGCGGTCTCGATGTCTTCTTTGTTGCTTTCCCAGCTTGTTCCGGATGGTGTGCTGCAGGTTGCGCCCTCGATCCAGCGCTCTGGGATGAATTGCTGCGCTTCTCGGTAGTATTTTTCTTGTCGGTGGATTGAATAGGTTGGTGTGCCGCAGTCTGTGCCGGCGGGGAGGAAGATGCCGTCGACGACGGCGCCGCCTTCCATTACTTCACGAGGTGGTGCGCCGGGGACGGCGGGGCAAAGACGGAGGGCTTCGTCGATGCAGGCTTTTAGGTAGGTTAGTTCGTTTAGGCTTGTGCCGCTGATGATATCTTCGACTTCTGTGAAGGCGGTGCGGACTTCTTTGGTGAGCTTTGACAGGGCAGATGGGGAGCGGACGAGGTAGAAGAGGGTTGCAGCGAGGGTGGTGGAGGTTGTGTCACTGCCGGCGATCATGAGGACGTTTGCTTCGCCCCAGAGTTCGGGCGTGCTGAGACCTTTGCCTGTTTCGGGATCTTTGGCGTTGAGTAGGTAGTAGAAGAAATCTTTCTTTGCTTCGCGGCCGGCAGAGGCTCGTTCTTGGGCGCGTTTGTTTGCTTCGACGCGCGAGTTCATGATGAAGTTCCATCGATCTTGGGTTAGGCGGCGGATGAGGATCTGGTCTAGGTTCCAGCGGTCTAGAGGCATCCAGAGACCACACTGTTGTCATTGTGTTAGGAGTCGATAGTTGATATCTCTTGAGCTGATAGAGTACTCACCACATAGTGCCGGTTCGCAGCACGATCAACCAGTCCAATCATGTGTCGGCGACTGTCGGTGATTAACATGTCAAAGCTCTTTCCGAAGCAGAGCTCGCCCATTACATCGTAGGAGAGATAACTGAACCAGTTGCCCATGTTGCGCACTAAGCCCTTCCGATCTTGCGACTCGTCTGCTTCGAATCCGGATCCGGCAAGGACCGCGCATAGTTGTCGCACATGTAGCAGCATGACATCTTCCATGCCTTTCAGCGCAGCATCGGAGAACGCCTGACTCAGAACGCGTCTTTTGCGGCCATGCATAGTCTTGTCAATGGCGTTGTGAGTGTTATACACGCCTTTGATCGCGGGGAAGGCATTGTAGAAGTCCGCCTTTTGGAGGCGTTTTCCGTGTCCGTAGATGTCGTGGAGACCACGATCGGTGTTTACCGAGACAAAGTTTGGTGCGACGCGCACATGGCTACCGTACTTTTGATGGCAGTCATCGAGCCAGAGGTGTCGATCGCCTTTGAGCCCGTGGTAAAGTTGGACCCAGGGAGTGATAGATGCTAAAGGTGGGCCGGGGATGTGTCGAAGTGAGTGTACAAATCGATTGTAGAGGATGTAAGCGATAGTCTAAGAATTTTAGTCTTTTGTCCGGGGGTTTCGGAGGGGCGTTCATAGGTGGAGATGGCGGGGAATGGGGATGAGGATGGAGTGACTGGAATGGATGGATTGCTCACCAGCACGACGACCACCGCGGCCAGATCGCCTAGTATCCGGTCGACGGTGAGGTGTCTGAGCACAGGTTCAGCTAACATGGTTTTTGGAGTTATTGAATCAGCATGGAGGTCAGCATGAGTTCCCAAATTCTTTCTGGAATTCAGTGAGGTGGTAATACTTTATACTCACCGCGGCCGCAGATACCCGCAACCAGCCGAGGGTCGATGACGGAGCCTATGAAGAGCTGCGTATAGCAATCTTGCTTGACTTGGTGGGTTTCACGGCTATGGCCGGATGTTTTTCTTTCTTTTTTAGGAATGTGTTAAGTGGCCCCGTGATCTTCTGACGCTTATGAAGGGGTGGTGGTAGATAGAATCAAGTCTTCTGTTTGGTTACCACTCAATTGCACATTGCGGGGAGAGGTCTTACAAAGCTTGGTTGGTCCATTCAAACAGGTAAATGTTACTACGGAGTACATAGCAAGGAAAGTGACAGTGGCTGAATGGCTTATGCATGGCTGTGAATAGTTTACCTTAGGTCTCACTCATATTATATCAGACATTTCGTATAGGTAGGCTATTAGCATAGACTAGACGGCCGTCCTGGACTTCAGCAAACATGACCCTCAATAATTGAACCCCACCACCGGCTGGGGGTGGCTTTCAATTGCGGCATACCGTTAGTATCCGTTCCTATATTTGGTGGATACCCGCTGTTTTAAGCACGTAAGGTCGGCCAAAGTTGGTGGGGTTGCTGTGGATAGTTGACTGCACGCCCTCCTTCTCGGAAATATCAGTTCACGAAAGAGGGGAAGACGTATGCTGTCTCGGGGCGGAATAAGCGCTAGGCGATTCCGTCTGCCAGGTGCGAATCGGGTGGACGGGCTTTGTTAAGCCCTATCTTTATCCAGACACAAGGTTGTATAAAGCCCACCGAGCTGCGAGTATGCGGGACTTGGCACTGGGCGCTGGTCGAGCCCACTTGGCACTAGATTAGCAAAATAAAGTACTATTATGTGCTGTGTCCATGCATTCCACCATCCAGGATCCATTGTTCGTTATCGTCATTGTCATCCTGCACCCGCCGCCATGTTTGCTTTCGCTCGGCCCTCTCGTTCGGGTCCACGGTCTTGCCTTCGGGGGCCTTCCAGACCGGGCGCATGAGTCCTCCTGCTGCTAGGAGGGGGGTTCTTGCTGAATGCATGTCCCCGAGATGGAGGCGTGTCTGTTTCAGTATCCTCTACAGGTTCCGGTTCGCTAGCTTCGAGGGTGGATTCGGCTGGAGCAGTGTGATACACTCGCCTAACTTTTCCGCCCTTGATATCGAGACTCATGAAACTCTTCTTCTTCTCCCACTCAGGCCGAGCCTTTTCCTCCATCTCACGCTGGATACGTTGCTGCTTCTTGAGTGCCAGTGCTCTCTGCGCCGGACTCATCCAGAGAGTGGAGGCGACATTTGGTGTTTCAAAGTCAGCGGCTTCGTCAACCACCTTTGTTCGACGGGCGTTCTGGGCCTGGAACTGAAGCAGCTTATCACGATGTGCCCTTGCCGCATCGAGTTTGCTAGGTGAGGCGGATCCGGATTCGGATCCAACAGGCTTTGGTCCTCCAGTATGGTGGACACCCTCATTGTGGGCGCGCATCTTTTCTTGGCCACGTTCGGCTCGCAACTCCTTGATCATGCTCTGGACTTCCTCTGCAGACAGAAGAGGCGTGTCGCAGAAGGAGCACGGTTGTAGTCCCTCCAACGAGCAGATAATTCGGCCACAATTCAAGCAATTTGGAGCGGGATCGAACAGCGAGTGAATCGAAGCGTAGCAGTTGCACTTTCGTCTTTCGCCCAAGGTCGGGTTGGTCGAGACTTCCAAAGCAGCAATGGCAGCCGTTAGGTCGGAGATATCGTTTGTTGTGAGAGCCGCACCACCTTTATTTGAATTCGTGGAGTTGGAGGGTCCCGATGATCGAGAGGTTTTGCTCGTCTTTGACCGCACATTGGGTAGCATATCTGACAGGACTGGGCCCGAGGCGGATGGGGGAGGCTTCGGCGACGAAGTGGGCATTGGCGACTGGGCACGAGAGGAACCCGATGACCCAGGAGTCAAAGACTGAGAAGGAGGGATCAATGTAGGCCTGCTGGCAGACATGTAGTCCTCCTCCTCCCTCTTCTTGTAACCACCGCCCACATCACCATAGTTGTCTGGCCGGCGGGTCGGGCCGGCGCTGTGTAGCGGTGCCTTTTGTTTCTTGCCCCTCCCTTTTGGTCGGTCACTCTTAGAGGCATATGTATCGTTGGATCGGGATGATGTAGGTGCTGCTGGTGCAGTTGGAGCAGCAGGCACAGTAGGCGCAGATGATCGGCCTCGGCGCGCGTTGAAGGAGGCGATGAACTCGAAGGCGGCGGGGGAGTCACCCAGGAAGTTTTTGAGGTGATCGGCACAAGCATCGGCGGGGAGACTGGCGGAATATTCGATGACTTGCTTCAGGGAATCCTCATCCAGCGGCAACAGCTGGCCTAGCCGAGGAATGGCCCAAGCTACAAGGTCGGACATGATTGAGGTGGTGGTGTTGGAGGTGAAGGTGGAGTTGGAGGAGAACAAAAAGGGAAAGGTTCCCCCACAAACCACTTGGGCACATTGAGGCAACCCTTTTTGTATACCTCATAGAACTACAAAGTAAGTACTATTTGCTACTAGTAGGAACCAGGAACTATAACAAAGTCCAAATCATGCATTGAAGCCTATAAGGCCCAGAAAATCTCAGAAAGCGCACCGTCTACAGCAATGCCAGCTGCAGCCCAGTGTATGGTATGAAGTAATGTACAAGACCTATCCCACCCCTCATCATCATCGTCATCTATGCAAATTCTTGTGTAGGGCAAACCAGACCCCAAGACGCCGTAAGTGAACAAAAAGTAGGGAACAGACTATTGAAAGCAAAAGACAAAAATAAGAAAACGCCGATGACACCGTATTGACCCCCCGACTGGGACTGGGGAAAGCAAAGTATAGGAAAAAGAACGACCCTCGCGTAGTATCGCAAACGCTTAGGCATCGGCATTTTCGCTCTTGATGTCATCGTCGTGTTCCTCGACTGTGAACGAGTTTTTCAGCTTGCTGGGTCCGGGTTTATTCGTCGAGCCCTTTTTATTAGAGGAATTGAGCTTCTTCTTCTTCGTTGGACTAGGGCTACCACCCTCGTCGTCATTTTCGTGTGGACGCTTCGGCGCTGAGGAGGTCGGGCTGCTGGCGCCACTAGCGCCGCTATCTGTCGGAGTCTTGTTGCGGGTACTATTACGCCCGGAAATATTCATACAGCGGTCCAGGTGTTGTGCTACTCTGTTCATGACAAAATAGCGTGGACAAATCGGACACTTGCTTGTCGGAACCTCGGGAATGGTGCTATCTTTCTGATCCTTGCGTTTCTTCGGGTTCGGCATGATGGCGAATAATTTCCCGTGGACATCGTGGCCGGGGAGGGTGATCATCGGCCCATTCTCGCAGTATTTTTTGTTCGGGTCCGGAGGAGGTCGGTATCCTGCCCCAACCGGAGGATAGGATAGACGGGGCAGCCGGCAGTCCGGACAAATGATCTCCTTCACGGTATGTAGGGGATTGCCTTTCAGGAGGACTTTTCCGTGGTCGAAGACGGCGGCGTCGGTCTCCAGATGTGTATTCGCGAGTTTGTTCGCATCGATGTTGACCTCTCTCGGCTTTCCGTCGATCAGTGTCTTGCTGGCAGTGTCTTCTGGAATGATGGCCTCTTCCTCGGCTCTTTGCCGAGCCACCACGACGGCGGAGCGCATTCGGGCCACCTTCTCCTCGCGATGGACCTTTGCAACGAGGTCATGGATGATATTGTGAAAAGTTTCGTTGAGTATATCGGTTGACTAGTCAAAAGCAGGTTAGAAACAAGCAAGTTCGTCTTTAATATGACCATGATCGCGATCGCAATCGCGATTCTGTTGTCTCATACCACTTTGGCGATAGTGCCGGCAGGATAGCTCGGCCGGTGGGCCGCGGTGTTGGAATCGGCCATGATCGGAGTCGTCCTGCGACGTCGGTCTCGACAGTCTAGTCCAATGCGCTCCGGTCTATTCCAGTGCTGAAAGTGCGATAGCTGTGTCTACCCGCGCGACACAGTCAAAACCCTTCTCGCGCCGATGCGGGCTAGTTCTCCATGTGCCGGAAATCTATGCAGAGGCGTGCCAATGGTTAGAGGAAGGTTGAGATCGGAATCGGAATCGGTCCGAGGGGACATAAATCCTCGAACATAGAAGCCAGAAGGAGGGTGATAAGCGTGTCTATTGGACCCTGTCGCAGTTGGGAGGAGTATGTCAGTGCAAGTTCACGGGTAACCATGGTGTCTCGGGTACAGAGGAGGCTCAGCCACCGATTCCGAAAGGGGGAAGAGAGAGTTGAGGACAAGACAGAGACGAAAAGACTTCGTCACAGTCGAGGTGAATAATAGAAAGAAGGAATTCAACTCACAGTACCGTGTGGGCCACCAGATCCAAAGTCTCTCAAAGAAGTGTAGGTGGTTGGCGTTGGCATTTGGCGTTGGCGTTGGCGTGGCTGGAGGTCACCTTATCCTTATCGCTTATCTTCTCATCTCCGCATTCTCCCACTTCATCACCTTCACTCCAGGTCTCTCTCTCTCTCTATCTTTACACTTCTATCTCCTCTCCTCATGGCCTACCAGTTCTTCGCCAAAGGTCAGACACAGAATTCCTCCATACAATCCCCTTCTCGTTCCTCCAATTCTGTTCCACCCATCCATCCCCCAACACCACAACCACCAAAGTCCGCAGCTGTCGCAACAACAAGACCTGCCACAAAAGAAGCAACATTTATTCCATACCCCGGTACCATCTTAGCCGGCTATAAAACCACACATCCCAATGCTACAATCGAACCCATTGGTGTAGCGCATATCCCATCTCTCACGCGCATCACGGGACTACTACTACCAATTCGCTACCCAAACTCCTTCTATACAGCGACAATCACCGATCCTGTCATCGCGTCCTTGTCGCGTGTTGCTATATACCATGACCAGCCAGGAACAGATAAAGTGATTGGGGGTATTCGGTGTCGATTGGAAAGGCTAGACACTCTCGATACACAACAACACGACCACGAACAGGGCACGAACCTCTATATCCAAACTCTGCACCTCCTCTCACCATATCGAGGTCATGGTGTGGCGGCGGCCTTATTAAATTCGCTCTTATTCGAAACCCCACCAGCCTCGAAGACTACTCAATACCGCGTTTCGAAATTGGTGAAACACTACCGTATTCGTTCCGTGACGGCTCATGTCCATGAAGCAAACGAGGATGGGTTGAGGTGGTATATTGCGCGAGGATTCAAGGTGCAGGATGGGGTTGTCGAGGGGTATTATCGGCGACTGAAACCATCTGGCGCGAGGATTGTTAAGTTGGATGTGGAATGGGAGGAGAATGATCAGGTCGAGGGGGGACCTGGCAACGGGAAGGAAGATGAGGAGGATGGTTGGGAGAAGATTGAGGCTCACGATAGTGAGGAAGAGGGTGATCATGGGGTCCAACCACTGCCTGAGTCTCAGTCTCAATCTCAATCCTTCGAGGATGCGACTACGCCGTCGCGGAAACGCAAGGCTGAAGAGGAAAAGGGCAATATACCGCAGAGGAGATAGCGCCTGTCGAATATTTACCATTATAACTTTACTTTCGATACCCGGGGTCAATTTGAGAGATCTCTATTTGTATCAGCTTGCGATGCATCACATCATACCTTTAGGAATACCAATACCTACTGTTTACTAGTATGAAAAACGGCCAGCATCAAAGAATGGGTATATGCATGATTCTCAAGTAGTAGATACCTAGGTACCTATACGTAACATATTTCCCATGCAGTGTGGGGCTTTCCTATTCTAGGTGCCGCCGCTTTAATGAGGGCGCTCAGAATCAGACTCACTGAGTAGTCTCTCCCCATCTTTAGAACGCTCAAATGCCCCGCCCCATCCAAAAAGTTACGTATCACAAACAGCTGCAAAATTGCGTGGCAACCCTAACTCCTAGGAGCAAATACACAGGGCAGCTCACCTCATTAGCTTACGCAATTCTAGCTAAGTTCTGCAAGCTCCTGGAAACAATTCGTCAAGTTATCTTAGTTTACTGCTTTCTACAGAGGCCAAAGACCAGAAAGTATAGAGAGCCAATCTTCTATCAGATCTACATATGTTCGAACCATTCAACAAAGATATAATTTTTAGTAAGATAGTTACCTTATCGTAGCTAAAGGCTACTAGCAAAGATAATCTTGTAGGTAAATTAATCCTATAACTCTCCCAATCAGAGATAAGGTAAGATTTCTTATAGTAGCCAATAAACAGGTATTTTAACTATAACACTTTACTACTTCTAGGAGCTTGAATTTTAATTATTATTGTTACTTCTTTCCCCTTCTCCCCTACTAATCATAGATCCTAGGATATAATAGCAATTACTAAGGGATAGGCTAGAGACCTGTGACTAGGTAAGACTTCAGGTGGTAATCAAAGAAGAGGAGAATCAACCAATAAGATATTAGAATAGTATAGAGACTAATTCTTGAAGAAACTTCAAGAATAAAGGAAACACTGCGTCAAGTCATTCATCCTGACTATCACGTGAATCAGGCACGAATCGGGCACGAATCCCTAGCGTAGCTGAGACAAGATCGGATTGCCAAAGGAAATACAAAGAGAGTTGATTACTCCCCCCCCCGAAGCTCACCCTCTTTGACACAAGCCCCCTGACAGTATTATAAATAAGATAGCCCTTAAGTCTATTCAGTACTGTAGAGATTTATTCGGCGGTAGTCTGGTCAAGCTGTATATTTTTTTTTATCACTATAGCCTATTCATTGATGTCACGAAGAAAGTGACGGGTAGTTCTAATTAGAACCCCTTGTTGGATGAAGAAGCCATAGTCTGGATTCTTAAGGATCAGCTGAAGGTCTAGGTAATTCTCTAAAGTCACTTGGCAAAATTTACGGAAATTAGCTTTGTAACTCTCTTCTGTCGCGCGTGATTCTAGCTATTTGTAGTATTCTCTCACAGCGGATTCACGAGGCCCGGCAATAATGAGAGGCTCGTCAGCCAAAGGCCTGGGTAGGGACGAGGTATCCATACAAGCGCTGCCATCTTTTCCTGGTAAGACGTTGATAATAGTTGAAGGATATGGTAGTCCTGTTGTTAACACATCCATTTTTTTCGACTTTCTTCCCGCCTGGCTTTCCAGGATTAGATCTCGACGAATATCACCGGGAATATCGTTATGACCGTCTAGGATGCCACCCTCATTGACATAGTCGATAAGCCGTTCTAGATACGGGGTCCTAAGTTTCTAATGTTTTTTGTCCTTCGGATCCTCCTAGCACCAGTCAGACTTATGCGGACACGAGCGGACATTATATTGTATGAGCTCGTATACGCGTTCCCAAGTCGAAGGTTGTCCAGTAACCTCTTCTTCCGCCACAATGTATGCCTCACGTTCAGCTAACATTCTGCTGGTTGTGGACACGCGTCCTCTCTTCCCAAATTTTCTTGGTGGAGGTATGGAAGGGCCATCATCATCCTCCCTATAAGTGAAGGCGATCTCGATCGTAAGCTTCTTGCCCGTTTCATTGTTCCCCGAACCCCAAATGCCACGATACACTAAGCTACTTTTGGATAAGCTGTGTCAGCCTCATTTGTTTTGGGGATATACGGTAAATTACCGGACTATTATATCTTAGCGGAGAAATATTTAAAACCTATAAGATAAGAAGCTACAACCTTATGTGCCCCACGTCAAGTTTCCCCGTCCTCGCCTAATTTCCTTGGTTGGTACTTGGTATTACCACAGAAGTATAGCTCCTAATCTAGCAATATCCACTCTTATATTGATTCGTGATATAATTAGCAGTGATAAACTAACTACCTCGCAAATGGCGGAAGCTAATAGCCACAGCAAGCGCGCTATATCAGGATTCGGTTTAACCTTGAACTATTCAGTAGTGTCAAAGCTTCTCCTATCAAAGCTAGACAGCCATAGCGTATCACTCTGATTATACTAGAAGCCCTGTGTAACTATCTACTCAAAAAGTAGGATTTATACCTTCCTGAGATAGAGGTCTACATTCTTGATAAATTTGATATATATGTACCAAAGTCTACTATCAGTGATACCCTATATCATATAGGGTAGTTCAGGAAGATAGCTCGACAGAAACCAAAAGAGCATAACCCAAATTTACGCAATAACTATTATTATCTGATCTCAAAATTTACCTTATACCCCCTTGTCTACGTCGTTAAATCTGGGTGTGATGAGCGGATAGGCATCGGACGAACTAACTGGTCTCCCCTCGATACAACACCCGTCCAAGTATTAAAATTCCATCACGATTAAAGGCTTACCTTTTCAAGCAGCTTGCTTTTTTATCCGCTCAATTAATGAACCAGGCGATCTTTTCCGGTCTATTTACCTAACGGAACGGGCGGCCAAGGACTTGATGGAGAGGATATGTGTGAAGTATCAACTTGAACAGTCAAATATTGCTCGCATGCTGCGCATCGAAGGCGACGACTTGAGAGTTGAATTCGACGATGAGACTGTTCGTGAACTTCCAAGTGGTCAAGTTATGACCTTTGATCATTGTGAAGCCGCGAATACGATTCAAGGCGAGGGGATTTGGAGGAAGTTTAGAATTAGGTTTCATTAACTATTGACTCGTAGAATCAACAGATATCTTCATTTGATATATTAACATTTCAATGAGCAAGTATCGATTCCATATCATAATGGAAGACATATGGGTATCAAGAAATTCCCGTTAGGACATTTCATATTTCTCTTAGTGCTTAACCTGCTCTGTGAAAAGTTAGCTTTCCATAATTTTGAATTATCACAGGCAATCTTACCCTTGTAAACATCGGCCTTGACATCATGAGCATGCTCGTCCTTCTTATCGACCAAAGCGTCCTTAGCAGCGGTCGCACGGGTGGTCAGCTTGGCGTCGTTATCCTTAGCGACCTGCTTGTTGGCTTCCTTGGATGCCTCGGCTCCGGTGCCTTGGATAGACTCGGAAACGTAGTTGGCGGCGCTCTATGTCTTGTAAGTAAACGCTATAAATTGCAGCAGATAAAGCCGACCAACCTTGATGGTGTCCATGGTGAATAGATTTAGAGTTCTCGAAATTGTTTTATGAGAAGGGCTTTGTAGATGAAAATCGTAGTTAGATGCAGGAACTAGGGCAGCTATATACTCCTGCTGTATGACGTCACCGCGATGATGATGTCATCTATTCGGACCATGCATTGGGGGTATTCAAGTTGGCCGTCGTCATACAAAGCAAGCCACTAAAACCAACTTCCAAGGCCGCACGATATCCAGTCAAGCCACTTACCCCAACTTTCAAGCCATCACAACGTCCAGTCAAGCCATGTGCTTATTGTTGAGATCAGAGGGTTTTCCTGCCATACGTGGCATCTAGTCGTAGATAAAATGAGTAAAGAGAGACTGTTACTGTAGCGCTACATAACAAACATAAGTCTTTGTTTTTAATTAAAATTTTTGTTGTCATAGCGCCCTTTCGATCTGCTCTAGGTTGGCCGGGCCGGGAATAGGAAAGACACCTCAAGAAGCTGAAGCTCAGTAGGCCATCAAAAAAAGATTCCGCTGAAGCACTGTTGTGGGGCTGGGTACCAATTTTGGCATAGGCCGGGTGTAGGCTGGGTGCTCAATAAAGGCCTCTGATCAGTCTCTGAGTAATCACAGAGCAATCACTGATCACTCAGAGATGCTCAGTGAGTCTGAGCCCGGACTGAGATCTTTTGTGAGGGGTACGTAGCGTGCTGCGTTTTATTGGGGTGCTTGAGTCAGACCGCTGGCTCTCATGTAAGCAATGCTCAGAGAGCAAATCAGAGTACCCAGATCAGGCTCACTGATCCGCTCAGCGCGCTCAGAGACGTGCTCAGATCTACTCAGTGAGCAAAAGCAGTGCTCACTGAGCACCAAAACGGAAAGGGAAAGCCAAGACCTTGCATGGGAAATCCGGTACGGAGGTACAGATATATGTAAAATGGATGATTATGCGCATATATACATAGGCTTGAAAAGAACCTTCAAAACGCCGCGGGTATCGAATCAACAAAAATAGCGTGAAAGCGAGCCTTAATCTTGGAACATTCCCGAGGTCGTTCCACGAGATTAGATGTTATAGTTCTCGGCATGTAGGAAAATCTCGTCCTTGGACGAGTCAAACATTACTTGCGTCTGCAACCTGGCCACCGTACTGGCCACCTCAACACGCATTGAAGGGGGGCCGCAGACAAAGACACAGGCCCGTCGGCCAAAATTCTTAGAATAGTCCATGAGAATTTGGGAGATATTCGGGCGGAAGTAGTCTGTCTTCCAATTCTCTCTTCGCAATGGAGGTTGGTAATAGGCGTAGCGTGGAGTGGTGTTCCCTCGTGACGCAAACGTAGTTTGTACTGGTGGGAGACTCTTGCCAAATCCGAAATCGAATCCCGGTGAGCTGCTGCCAGAATGTGGATCTGTTGGTGGTGGTTGGTAGTGGCGGCTGTTGGAAATGTGGGAAGCAGTGTATGCGTTTGGAAGAGCAGCTAGACCATCCTCGTTCTCGCGACGTAACTCCTTCTCGATCTCTGCGTCGCCAGCTGCCTCCTCGCGAATGAATGCTGAGTTTCGTTTATCGATTCCTTGGAGCATTCCATAGATCTTTTCTTGGACCAAGTCTCGTCCTGCTTGGTCTTCTTGACCGAGGCCTGTGAGAAAGAAATGACAGTTCACAATGTTAGGTGGCGCGTTATCCCGGCAGATTCGTAGCTCTTCTTGAAACCACTCCATCGTTTCTGCTGTTTTCAGTGCCCATATCACTTTGACGGACTTGGTGACAGCCTTGCCATCGCGTATTTTCTTGATCAAATCTAGCAATTGACTAGCGATCGCCGTGATACCACTGCCACCAGCAAAAAAGATCACGTCGTCAAAGGCGGACATTTCACGTTGCATTCCGCCGTAAGGCCCTTCTAAAAGTGCCGAGTAGACCTTAAAAGGTCCATTTTCCAGGGCCTTTTTGAACACTTTGCGTGTGAAGCCTTTGAATGGCCGGAAGACCAGGGTCAGGTCACGATAGTCCTCTCCATACTCAGACGGGAAGTCATCGCTGCAAAGAGAAGCGATTGTGAATGGGTGATTTTCGAAGAATGCCATTCTCGGCATGCGCAGAAAGACATATTGGCCAGGCCGCCAGCGCATCTTTGTGGGCACTGTCACTTTCAGGGCACCCTGTGGGAGAAGAGTTATGGCCGACTCTTCTCCAATCATGAAAGAGTCGGTTCGGAATGGATTCGACCAATTCAAATAGAAAAGCCGGAGAACGTAGGAAATAATCCAAATGACGACCGTGGCCCAGAGATAACCCCATGAAGAGAGGAAGTTCTTTGTATGCCAAAAAAGCATGGCCACAAAGATCCATGACACCGGGATATGGATCACAATGAACAGTTCATACATTTTGTGGCGCAGAAAGGGTAGCGAATGGACGCAAAGGACGATGAGAGGGACTATAGCCGCAATCCCGTTTCCGTAGACATACATCGGTAGCGTGATGAAATTGCGATAGTTCATCATTGCACCGTCCTCCCAAATGGGCGTTATATAGAACGGAACCATGTGCACCAAACTCAGGAATAGACAGATGTAGGCAGACCAACGATGTAATCCGTTCAGTCGCTCAGGTCCCAGTCCAGTGAGCATGCTAATGAAGTTGGCCTTTGTGCTCAGTGCTACAATCCAGGGCACCATTGCGACAGCCAGCATACCGGCTCGAATTGCCAGGGGTGGTGACCCCAGAGCGATAGAGTAGTAGTAAAGAGGCTGCGGAAGAAAGCAGTAGAGAGTCACAAAAATCAAAGCAATCGATACGATTGCTGTCACTGCTAAAGAAGGGAAAACGAATTCGAGTTTCCCGACCCTGATCACTGGCATCGGTCGATAGAAGACCCAGCGCATCAGCGCGATCGCCTTCTTCAGCGGCACAATTCTCTGGACGATCCATTCACGTCGTTTTGGCGGAGCAGGTTGCGACGTCGGGGGAAAAAAGTGTGCACTTGAGGCATCTGTCCCTGCACTAGGCAGTTCGTATTCTTCGACTATTTCTGATGCTGCGGGCTGTAGATGTGGCCGGTGCTCCTTGTGTTCCTTGTAGTAGGCGATTCGCATTTTGTCGCCCCAAATGTGATAAAATCGGATGAGAGAAGTGGTGACCAGCAACACTACCGCAAAGTAAACGAAGCCATATCCGTATTTTGCAGACTGAGACCATGGGTCCCGTTGCATTTCAACAAGCTCTTTGTGCGTCGTCGATGCGGTGACTGGGACTTGAACCCGCTTGACGAGGGAGGAGATTGAATTCCACATGATGGCGGATGCCCACTGGCAGGTACAAGTGAATGAACTAGGATTGAGTTGGTCGATAAGGATTTTTTTCCCGAGACCTCAGGACCTTGAAGATATTCGTGAGCTCCTGTTGCTTGCGCATGTTTGTGCATCGGCATAGAGCATAGACATACTGTTTTGTTTTCTCTTGTAGATCGCACCGCAATCTAGGAAATACACACCCTCCTGTATTTCAGACCCTCCTCGATCTCATGTCCTCGCTGGAAGCTCGAGCAGGTATCAGTACCGGTGTCATCAAAGTTCGAAGCAAAACGAAAAAGGAATCGTGAGGGGGAGATCTGGACTAGATGTATTGGGCACAGCGGTGGGGGTAGCACCAAGCACTCAATGCGCCGTCGCGCCGTGACCAGCTGCAATGATTAGCCATTTCCTCCCAAAGCGAACCAATCGAAGGCCTGAAAGAGCTCAACGAGCAACGCTTTGCCAGGGAGACCACGGTGGGCGGTGGTGCGGAGGTATCTCCCCAGTGAAATGTGATGGATTAGCGCCTTCGGGCCCGATCTGCACCAATCGAAGCAGCCAACGGGGTGACTGGGGTGATCGGGCCGCATTAGCGTGGTGGGGGGGGACTGAAGAACCAGCCATGGCGAGTCGATGATGATGGATTATTATTAGAAACCATTTCACATCATGGAGTAATGAGCTCGGGGTGGTAGAGTTCAACTGGTACTCCGTACCTGGTTTCCCCGGCGCCTAGTCTTGATTGCTCGGGAGTATCTGCTCGTCATCTTCTCGAAGAGGTAGAGAAGGTCTTTTTCAGCCGAGTTCTGTCATTGGCTGGTGTAGAGGTTCATGGTCAATGTGGCTCTCGGAGGATGTGCCGGTGTGACGAGGTGACAATGTGACGAGGGCGGGCAGGCAAGCAACAGGAACTACCAAGCCAGCCACCATTCTGGAGTAGATAAATTTAGATATGCTTGACTTGTAGAGAGCACAGAGTACAGAGTCCATATTAGCTACATACTACGGAGTATATACTAAATGTATACAGAATAGCCGATAAATACTCCGTCCAGTACTTGTGTACTAATATCTTGCATGTATAGTATGGCTTTCACATGGAACTTGATCAGAAGTATAGTTGCCCATTTATCATGCCACATACTAATTTGAATACCTACCTACCTAGGTAGTTAGGTAGCTCGGGAAATTACTACTACTAGTAGTAGTAGGTCAGGAATTTCAAGTTCCCTAAATAGACCACTCTATGTGGAACTCCTTGGTCTTTTGGTACTGGGTTGGGATATTTTTATGACCGCATCCTTCAAGTTTTGTCATACTAGTACTACTAGCCCTCCAGGGCTAGTAAGAACATGAAGCCCTCGGTCAGTAAAGAAAGAATGCTATCTTGTTTGTACTTTTGCGTGTGTCAATCTACTGTAAATAAACTTGTATGCAGTGGTATCATATTCACATCCGACTAGTCCGCTACCCATTAACATTGATCCAGTATCAACTTCATCTCATCCCACCTCTGGGCCGAGATATCCACTAATTGCCTCAAATCCTCACTATCAACCGTCCACCCGCCATGCTTCTCCATCTTCACAATAACCGTCTTACCCTCCTCCTTGTCAACAACAAAATGAACCCGCTCCTGCACCAGACCTTCCTCGTATCCATCCGGATCCGCAAGAATCCATTTTTGTGAACCGTGCTTGCTATCTTGAGCCTTTTGCTCCTCGGCATCAGGAATGACAACAGCCCGCCAGCCCGCCGCAGCATCAGCCTCGAACACGCAGAATGAGCTGGAGATAGGAAGGCCACGCAACGAGAGCTTCTGCGATTCGTTCACATCGTCTGAGCAAAGGATACTCTCATTGTCAACGTCCCACCAGGCTTTGGGTAGCTTTGTATCGCGTAGAGCGGCTAGGACAGAAGCCCAAGCGGCGTCGAACGGGTTCCCAGCGAGAGAAATCAGCATGATGTCGATGTACAGAACCCAGAATGCCTTGATCTCGGCGGGTTTGGTTTCTTCCTCGTTGGCTCCTGCGTCTAGGTCCATTTGTTCTTCGTCGTTGTGTTGCTGCGCTTCCTCGGGTCCCAGGTTCGGCGGTTGGTACCAGATGCGCAGGTCTTCGGCTTGGACGAGACGGGTAGTGTGCAAAAGAGAGAGGATTTGATGAGAGAGCGATTGGGCAAGAGCGGAGGGTGGTGCGCTGGGAATGAAGCCTGGTGCGCAGCCCGTGCTCAATGAGATGTTCGGGACGAGCAGGTTCAAATCCTCGATGTGTGCGCGATCTTCTTCATCCGCGGTTTCGGATTCCTTCTCGGTCTCGCCGATGCGTCGGCGCTTGTTCGCGTTTGTCGACTGCGATACACTCCACGAGGCGATGTCGTCGGTGTGAAGAATTTCGGCCCGGACACCACATACGGCAGTTGTGTCACCGAGACGAACCACGGCACTACCATTAGTATGGGTCAGAGAGCCCGCATTGGCGGATGTGACTCGGAATTGAGAGGGGGCGCGGCCATTGGCACGGATTGAGGGCTGGTTGCTGGATGATGGAGGGGAGAGGTGGGCGAGAAGGTATGCGTGGGGTTGGAGGCGCGCAAATTGGGAAGGGGGAAGAGAGAGCGAGTTAGGAGCTGCAGGGGCAGCCGTCGAAGCGGAAGCCATGATTTGAGCTTCACGAGGGTGAGTTTATCTTGCAATCGGAGATTGAAGATCGGCAGGTTCTTCATCAAAAACGCCGTCTTCCAGTCCGGCAGAATAATTTCACTATCGGAGGCGGTGGGTGGACACCTTACGCATCAGGCCACAAGTATGACAACTAATAGTCTACACGAATCGAACATTTAGGAACTTTATACAAGATGGTTGGGTTTACTAGTGAATATTCATGATGATTCCATTTCAATCGTGATTATTTAGTGCACCACCATTGAATAAAGGGGGGGGGGAATTGCACGAGTTTACAGCGTGGAGATATTCGCTTCATTCAATCCCAAGTTGTTATGCGTAGCTTCAAGCACCAACTTTAGCTCTTTCGAGGAGTTCCTCGCCTTCTCTTGGTCGGCGGCTCCTCATCACATTGATCAACCCTTGGAATGAAGACCATGCCATCCTCAGGCTTGGGGTTCTCATTTTGGGAGTCCTTCTTGGTAGCAGACTTGCGCGGGAAGGAGATTGAGAAAGATACCAGATCCAAGTTCTCTTCTTCCTTCTCTTTCTCAGTCTCCTTCTTCTTTTCCCCTTCCTTTTCGGAATCGGATTCCTTGGAATTTTCATCCTCGGAAACTTCGTCTCTCTGCTCTTTGGAATCTTTTCCTTTGGGATCAGAAACCTTGTTTGATGAAGACCCCCCAGTTAGGGCTTTCAGATCCCCGGAGAGAATTCGACTGAACAGACTCTTGTGTTCAGGAGTCGATTCATCCTTGTCTTTCTTAGCATCTTCGGTAGATTCTCCATCTGTATCCTTCTCTTCCTCTACCTCTTCCCCGTTCGGAGAACTCCCACATGTCACGGATTTCACCTCTGAAGAACGCAGTGCTCCACAGGGAAATCAGAACGCCAGGAACCAGGTAGAGAAGAGCTGGCTGAGCATGATTGGAATACTGCATGGCCAGCAACGTGGAAATCATCCCAAGGACGTATCCGACAACGCTGGCTTTGAAGTATGGCTTAGGGAAAGATCGAGCATCATGGTAGGGAGGCTGAAGTTCGGGCTCTCGCGATGGGATTGTCGGCGCCCAAAAGCGTTCGCCCCATGAACCAACTGCGGCTTGATATTGCGGCTTCACAATCGACTCGCTCTTCTCAGCTTGTGCCTTTTGAATGCCCTTCTTATGATAGTAGATAAAAAGATCGAATCGCAACGCCAATCCTACCATCATTCCAGGAATGGCAATGTCTCCAAGTCCCAGCATTGCCAGGGCTTGAACAGCAGGGTCATCATTCGGTCCCGCCGGTCGAGGGAACAACAGCTTGATGGGCACATCCAACTTCGTCGCGACCGTAACCATCAGGGGTGTGAAAAAGACAAAGTATATGTCATAGAAAAACAAGGATCCGAGAATCAGAGAACCAGTCCAGAATGTGGATGGAGACATGAATTGCAAAGCGCCGTAGCTGAAACTGAACCCAAGGAAGTTAGTCAACCACCATGGTTTGGTAATGAATGCAAAGTATCCGACAGCACCCAGAGCAAAGATGCCACTGAAGAGATCGAGAAGGCCGACAAGGCCCTTGCCGTCAATGATACCTCGAACGAGAAGACGCATCTTCAGTCGCTGGTAGGAGACATTCCGAGTGGCCCAAAGCAAAGCCATAACTTTTCCTGGAAGCGGGATCCTTCCAAAGAAGCCAGGGAGTGGTGATTGTCGAACTTGATCACCGGCTTGGAAAACGCGCTTAGATTGGTTCACTCGCCACAGCCTCCCCCCGGAAGAATAGTATTTCGGAAAGATGATTGATCGAAAGATCAACAGGATATCCTTCAGGAATGCGACAGCGAAGAAGAGGCCCATTTGAGAGAAGTAGAAGCTAAGGATCTTGTTCAAGATGGCGGGGTCTTCCAGCCATTTGATCACCAAGTACAAGCCACCAAGAGTGAGTCCAGCAGTCAAAGGAAACATCAAGGCATCCGATGGCTCCAGGCCCTCCATTTTTTGTACCGTGCCTTCATCTTCGTCATCTTCGTCATCGGTGTCATCTTCTTTATCTTCGTCTTTCTTGGGTGGTTTTGCGGCGGAGGAAGGTCGTGATAGGGAAGCATGTGCGCCGATCCAAATAGGGAAAATAGCGGCAACAAGGAGGTGACCATATGTTGGAAGAAGTGGCCTCATGCGGTCAAAATGGTAGAGAGCTTGTCCCAAGACCTCGGCGAGGGGGCTCACATCGTGAACGTCCGACATTGTACGTCACACGAGCGATAGCTCTATTCCCCTGGAGTAAATTGGTAGAGATAGTCGAAGTGAATGTGAGGAAATGAATGAATGATGAATCAAAGCATGGCAAAATGAGGATAGAGAGGAAAGTGAAAGGGAAAGCAAGAGTGGAAGGAGAAGTGGAAGTGGAAGTGTCGAGGTTGACAAGGTGGACAAAGACAAAAGTAAACTGCCCGCACCGCCCAAAGCTCCGTGGACAACCTTGAAGGTCCCGCATTTCTTCTTCCTTTCTTCCCCTCCCGCGAACTTCTACGCAAAGAAAAAGACCAAAGCCCTTCACACCTTAATATCCTCGAAAATGGCGACCGAAGTGGCATTCGACACCTCCATGGTACGCACTGCAGGCATTGGAGTCACAATCCCATCCAATCCCAATGAATAGAGGCTGACTCCACGCAGGGTTCCTTCACGGTTGAGCTCTACAATACCCATGCGCCCAAGGTAAGCTAATCTCTAAGCTATAAGCTCCGTCATGACGGGAATCATCATGTTCATTAATGATACTCAAATATCTAGACTTGCAACAACTTCTCTACTCTCGCGCAGAGAGGTTACTACAACAACGTCGTCTTCCACCGCATCATCCCAAACTTCATGGTCCAGACTGGTGATCCTACCGGCACCGGTCGAGGAGGAAGCTCTATCTACGGCGAGAAATTCGAAGACGAGATTCGCGACGACCTCAAGCACACCGGTGCTGGCGTTCTCAGCATGGCGAATAGCGGCCCCAACACGAACGGTAGTCAATTCTTCGTCACCCTTGCGCCCACCCCATGGCTCGATGGCAAGCACACTATCTTCGGTCGGGTTAAGAGCGGCATGCGAGTGATTCAACGGATGGGACTGGTGAAGACGAATGGCGAGGATCGGCCAATGGACGAATTGAAGATCATTCGGGCGCGCGTGGTGGAGGGTAATGAGGAGTGAAGCAGGACGCAGCTTTGCAACCAATGGCTTGCACACATCGGCATATTCTCTACAGGGTGACCTTCTGGGCTATTGCCATCAAGACATGTACAGTTGCCTTCCGATCAGGCTACAGAGAATCGGCCCACGAGCAGGCACGTTTGAGGCTCTTGTCTTTGGCTCACCCGCTTTCGCATCCACACCCAGCGCAACTCAAAGCTGGGCAGAAGGCTTTCTGCCCACCCTCGAATGCATCAAACATGGAGCATGCAACCGCGCAGCAACATGACTCGGGGCTTGCGCCCATGACTATACTATAGCTACGAGGTCTATCAAACTAGAGCAGATGGATATACACCAACACCAGAGTAGACAAATGAATGTATCACTACAAAACGAACCGCTTCTATCAAATGAAACCATCTAGAGCAGCAGATACAGAGTGAGATTCTCATCTGCCACCCCCCACGACGTCGGCCAGTGAAGGCCTTCGTCATGACACCCGAGATAGTCATGAGAGAACAATCGGGCTGTGCAAGCACTGGGGGTGGCGTGGAGAAAGGAAAAGGAAATGTGGGAGGAAAAAACCACTTTTAAAGTGGGCTCCGTTCGACTTGATGAGTCATCACATCACGTGTAGTGTATAGATCGACAATATGAATTCAAGATCTATCGTGGATTTCTATTTTTGGGGCAAGATGCTCGGTTTGAGACAATTGATATTTGTTATGTGAAAAGAAAAAGCGCCCCGAGTATCATTAAATCATAATAAGCCCATTAAAAATCTCGAGCCAGCCGATCACAAAGTAGAATGAAGAATTAAGAGGATCCAGTAATGCTTTCTGCGGTTGGATACTGTGCAGCCATGTCGCCCGCGTCAAAGTTTTGACAAAATGAAGATAATATCTCATCAAAGTCGTCCACTCCCGTCAAGGAATTTCCATCGGCATCCGATGTTGAAACAATGTTGATAGGAACGGTTTCCTCTTTCGTTTTCATGCTCATGTTCATCGCGAGCCCGTTCTTGACTTCCAATGTTCGGAATTTCCAGACTTCCTTATATCTTCATGTCTGTTGTATTAGTTGTTTCGTCTTTTGAAGAAAGCCTGTTGGGATAGAAACATACACAACGCGCTTCCATGTCTCAATGGAGTTATGAGCCTGGTTAAAGGACCAATCGAACGTTTCCTTGACGACTGGCTCATCGGCCGGGTCATGGTATAATTTCAGATATGGGTGTGAAAGTGCATCCCTGGCGTTAATCCTCTCGTTCACGTCAAATACTAGCATTCTTTCGAGTAAATCATTTGCTGTTGTGATATTAGATTGCCGTCTTCGCTTTCTTTCCGGGGAAGAGACATACCTTGCTGGGAAAAGCTGGGGAAAGCATCTGCAAAGTCCCTCCGCTGACACTTTGGCAAAGAATCAACAAATCCTCTTGTCTATTGATTTGTTAGCTCTCTTTCCATAGTGTGGTATCTTCCATAACATCAATGTCCAAACTTACATTGGAATTCGTAATCATATCCACGATCCACACGGGCGGATTGCCCAAAAGTTTCACAATTTGATTGAACTGATCGGCATGATTACTAGCGGGGAAAAGTGGCTTTCCTTGTAGCATTTCAGCGAATATGCAGGCTGAGCTCCAGACATCTACCTTGGCTGAGTACTTCTGCCAGGTGAGCATGATCTCGGGCGCTCGGTAAAGTCTGGTCACAACATAGCCGGTCATCTGGGGCCCCTGTAGTCGTGCATGTTCAAAACCACTTATTTTCAAGTCACAGTTTTCATTAATTAAAATACTGCTTGGCTTAAGATCACGATGGATGATGCCTGCAGAATGGACATATTTGAGTCCTCGCTAGAGAAGTTCATTAGTAACTTGGGATCTTGAGTTTGCTGATGGCAAGGTGTTCCTACCAGTATTTGGTACAAAAAGTATTTTGCAAAGGCATCTTCCATTGGGCCTCGGTCAATAAGCCTTTGCAAGTTTGTCCACATGAGTTCTGTGACAATGTACCTGCGGAAGTTAGAAATCGACAAACTAAGTAGATCGTTGATCTGAACGTACAGGTCCTCTGCTGGAGATATAAAAAGATCATTCAAGCCAACAATCTGGGTTTTTTTGGAGGAGGTTAGTTAAAATTCTGGTGGTTTGACGGGTTGAATTGGGTCCGAACATTTTCGTGTCGCAGATATCGAAGTAACTTAATTTCACGAAGCGCCCGCTTTGCCAGGATAGATGAACCAAAGGGCTTTGTCACTTTCCTCACCGCGACCACGCTATGCAAGATTTGGTCCTCTGCGGAGCTAAGAGGGACCATGTTAATCGTATTATCTTCTTGCTTTTTTCAAGAAGAAAAAAAGCGATATCACTCTGGACATACCATATAAGACCAGCGGCATCCAGTTCAACCGCCTGCGGTTCCGTATACCTGCGACCGTGTTAATAATCTAGGGTTTGGAATCAAAGAGTCACCAATACGCAACGGAACTCACCTGGTCGTAATTTCGAATGTTACACCCATCACTTGGGAAGTGTTGAAATCAGCCATTTTTGAAAGGATAGGCAGCTTCATAGGAGAGATAGAGACTAAAGCTCCCGACTTGAAGACTACAAAAACTCAGAGTAACGATAGAAGTGAAAAGAAGTTGGAAGCGGGGATCAGGAAGCAAAGAGCAAAGAGCAAAGAATCCAAGTAGCACAGCAAAGAAGAAGCAGGGAGAACAGAAGGAGAGAGAGGAAGGGAAGAGAGAGAGAGGGGCGGTGGATCTAGGCAGGACACCGGGGAGCCCAGACCGCGGACTGTTGGAACAGACAGCTTTTTGGTCTCAGAGCAGCCCCATTGTTTGCCCCAGACCCTAAATATCCCGGTCCAATGGACTGGAATGAGAACCAGCTAGTGAGGATCCATATTACTTGTTTGTCGTTGAGGACTTTAAATAGGAGCATATCGCCTCTCTTAGCACATGAATCCTATCTATACGAGTCCAGCTTGAAAACCACGACCATGGGCGTGTCTCATGGGGTTTACTAGCAATTGCCAGTGGTGAAAAAAAATGCTTCCTTTTACCTGGCGCTACTTTGAGTTGTTGTCAAGTATTTTTATCACAACCATCATACGCTTTCACAGGCAGTGGCATTCTACATCATCTGCATGGTCTGTTGGTCTTCAGCTGCCCGCCACCATCTATCTCTCCTTGCTCTCCTTGCTCTCTGCTGGTACGGAGAACTTATCCAGGTTTACTGCAATTATTAGCATAGCCAAGTTCCGGCAAAATATCTCCCTAAACAATTTGCAGTCAACTGACTCAACTCACCATATCGCTTGCAGAGGCTACCTATGAAGTCAGGCCATATGATCGGCATGTCGCAAAGAAAGCTCATGATCTTAGTGGGTCAAGGATCTTCTATGGCTATGCCAATGAGGTTAACTAGAACAGATGAATATCGTATTTATGGAAAATTACTAATTAGAAACAAGCTACTACTTGTAGCTTGTTTTTGAAATATTTCCAAAGTAGAGGCAATATTTCTGCGATGTTCTATTATGCTGTTTGGGGATTCTTAGATCGTTCTTTGTATTCTGATTGGCGGAATGCCGTGCCGGACCGGAAGAGGCTCCCTTGACAAAGCGCAGGCGTGGAGACGTGGAGATCGCCGATGCAACACGACATCGAATCTCCACGGGTTTCGTCATGTTCCTTGGTTCTGTCCTTGGTATCCCTTTCCCATGGGTCGCTTTGCAATCGGCCCCCTTGATATGACATTCTTGTTTGTTGAGTTGATCCCGCGAATCACAGTTGTTGATTCGGCTTGTCACTTATACATCCCCTACTGTAAAAAAAATTCCTATTCACGAAGCTCCTACTAGCAGGCACCTGGGCACAAAAGTCTTCGTATACGCAGCAGAGTACAATATTCCAAGCAAACTTTGAACCCTCTTCCTCAGCCACATGCCCCAGTGGCTGGAACGCCACCCGTGAATTTGCAGGTTTGACCTTCCATGAATGATCTCAGTGCGACCCCCCCCTCCCAATACGAGACTTCACGTCTACTTTCTCCGGAATTTTCTAATTTCCTTCAAGATCGGGTCTGCCCCTCCAGTCTAGCCCTTCCCCCTCATCTCTTTCTAGAAAAAAAAATCGTTCTATTTCTGGGTGATGTCAATCTAAACGCCCCATGAGATCGACAAAACATCTTTCTAATTTCGAAATACCAACTTTCTCAACATCTCTTCCTCTCTACACCTCTCTGCACCTTAGCTTCCTCTTATTCTGGCATGGTCAAAGCATAGTGGAGTTTCCTTCACAGTCAAATCTAGTTAATCGATCGCATCCCCGCGATCCTCGTCATGGAAGAAAAATCACCCCCAACGGCGGTGATGGAGGCGTATCACAGTGCAGGCCGTCGCGCCCGAGAGGTGTATCGATACTTCCGGCCAGAGCGCCTAGGAACAATCTCTGAGAATGCTTCTTTATCCAGCGGCATTTCTTCCCAGAGAGGTCGAGTATCTCGCGATGATCAATCTATCCATCAAAGCCGTGATCCATCAGTGTTAACGGAGCGAAGCACCACGCAAAGCTCACAAGATTCATGGGCTGCATTGGGGTCTTTGCCCGAATCTATGGTACTGGGAGAACCCAGTACTACGTTAAAATCCTTTGCGCAATTGGCTGCATTCCGCTTGAATGTGGACCGGGTATTTATCAGGTGAGAAGGGGAAAATGTGAGCTCAGATGTTGGCAGTCTAGACTAACCGACCTGTTCTGAAGCGTATCCAACCGAGACTCGCAATTCATCATCGCTCAAGCTGCTCAAACTACGAAAGGCGATGGCAAATACGATTTCCTTGGCGACGGCGTGTATACCGGCTGCTCGACACTCGACGCTAGCTCATGGAAAATATGCAAGGTGAATACTATTCGCATATCTTCCTTTGCGCCGCTGTGCAATTCCGTCGAAAATAGCTTCTAATTATCATTAGGATACCATTGCATTGGCCCCATCCAATCGACTAACTGGAGAATACAACTTCCTGGTATCAAACGATCTCAGCCAAGATGACCGCTACAAAACTCTCCCTTTTGTAAAAGAGGAGCCAAACTTTCGATTTTATGCCGGAACACCACTCACGACTGAAAGTAATATCAACATAGGCTGCTTTTTTGTCCTGGATACGAAAACTCATGCTGAATTTACCCATCTTGAGAAAGAGACCATGGCACATATGGGCATGCTCATTATGGACTTTCTCAAGGTCAGCCGTCAGGCATCCGAGGGTCTTCGAGCTTCCCGCTTGTCTCACGGTTTAAGTTGCTTCGTTGAGGGGCAGTCGAGTCTTACGAGTAACGAACAAGACACGGCTGCGGGAGATGACTATCGAAAACCTGGCAGATCATCCGGAATTAGCACCAATCGCACCTCAAACGACCAGTTGGATGGTCGCAGCCTCTCATCTGGACGTTCTGGATCTCGCAGCAATAGTGCATACTCTCTCGACTCTGCCTCTGAACTATCGGTCGAGAAATCCATTCCATCCAGCTTTGATTCAAACTATGGCCATAACTGGTCCCAGAACAAGGCGAAAGATGAAGGGGAGACTCATCGAGGGAATTCATGGACATTCCGACGCGCAGCCAACTTGATTCGTGAAAGCCTCGAGCTGAATGGAAATGATGGTGTTGTTTTTGTCGAATCTGACAACGATCCAATGCACAACAGTGGGTCTGACAGTGAGCTTTCGAGCTCAGTGGACAACAGCAAGGCCGTCACCGTCCTGGCATTATCCACAGAAGACGGTGGTACGGAAAGGAGAACGCCTTTGTCCTGCTCAATTTCAAATTTAGACGAAGACTTTCTGCGTCGGTTGCTTAATCGATATAGCAGAGGAAATATCTGGTCCTTCCATCGGGATGGCCTGTTATCCAGCTCCGATAGTGAGGAATCAGAAGGATCACCTGAACCCCGTGGGAGGAAGAACCCATCTTTAAAACGAATGAAGGCACAAAAGAGGAAAACCACAGAGAATTCGATTCTAAACAAGTGCTTCCCTGGGGCATCCCAGATTATTTTTGTGCCCTTGTGGAACCCGGCCCATTCGCAATGGTTTGGTGGCTTCTTCTGTTGGAACACAATCGAAAGCAATGTTTTCAATCCATTAGTGGAGCTCAGCTCTCTTTTGGGATTTGGAACCTCGATCATGTCAGAATGCAATCGGGTTGATTCACTTATAGCTGACCGACAAAAAGGGGACTTCTTGGGCAGTATCTCGTACGTTTATCCCTATGATTAAAACCATGAGGATACTAACCATCATTTACTGCAGTCATGAGCTTCGCAGCCCTCTCCACGGTGTACTAGCAGCAGCAGAGATGATGCAAAGCACAGAACTAACGACATACCAAAGCTCACTGATGGAAACTATCGATGCTTGTGGCCGAACTCTGCTTGACACGATGAACCAAGTTTTGGATTACAGCAAGATCGTGTCCCTTGAGAGACAGCTACGACATTTGAAGAAACGAGGGGACCAGTCGCCCAATCTTCGAATGAAACATCGCTCTGCGGCTCACCTGGACATATACACAGTGACTGATGTGTCTGCTCTGGCCGAAGAGGTGGTGGAAGGTGTGAGTCTTGGTCATCAGTATAGCCAGCGACATCAATCTCCTGGTTATGATTCAATGAATTCAATCACAGGTGGCGTCCCTGAGCCACATGTTCTCGTGGATCTGGATATCGCGAATCACAATTGGGTATATCACACTGCACCCGGAGCCCTTCGACGAATCATCATGAATATCTTCAGCAACGCAATGAAATACACCTCTGAAGGCCGCGTTTTGGTGCGCCTTGAGGTAAAGGAAAGCTCTGAAAACACCCATCAACAGGCACAAAGACCAGATCTAGTGACATTGACAGTATCCGACACTGGCAAGGGCATTTCTGATGACTTCCTCCGTGGGCGATTGTTTGTACCATTCGCGCAGGAAGACACTCTAGCAAGCGGATCGGGCCTCGGTCTTTCCATTGTTCGCAGTTTACTCAAATCACTCGACGGAAATATCAATGTCCAAACTCAAGTTGGTAAAGGAACCACTGTCAAAGTAACCGTGCCACTCTATCGTTCAGAGCCAGATAACTGTGTGAATGACATGCGCTCCATGTCCCAATTAATGCAGCGACAAGAGATTACAAGTGATCTGAGTCACATTCGAAGGGACTTTTCTGGACGCAAGGTTGCCATTTGGGGATTGCAGCTTGACAGCGTTTCCAAGCACCCATTCTGGTCAATGGTTTCCCATTATCTAACCGAATGGTTTGGTCTGGAACTGGTCTCACCATCGTCAGGGGAAACCATCGATATCCTCTTGGTCGAAGAAATTCCTTCGCAGTCCGAGATTAATGAGAAGGTCACTGGCGATCCTGCATTCTTGCAAATAGATACCAAAGGTGTCGGTCATGATTCGATAAAGGTCAATTCGCTTCCAGCCACCAAATTTGTCGATATCATTCACCGTCCCTGCGGTCCCCACAAGCTTGGGAGAATTATTCGAAAATGCTTACAACATCCACTTTCGCTTCCTTCTATCGCTGATCTCAACATTGTGCCTGAAAACTTGAAGCCACCAATCAAGAAACAACTCGAATCGAAACCTAACAATACGTTGAGCGCCATCAGTGACACATCGACCGAATCACCTCAAATTTCCAGCAAGAAAGACGTGGCCCGCATTCTAGTCGTCGAAGATAACAAGATCAACCTCAATTTAATGCTCACATTCTTGAAGCAACGAGAAATACCGACTCTGGACTCGGCTGAAAATGGCCAACTAGCCGTGGCCGCCGTGCAAGAAGAAACGCAAGGCTACGATATCATATTCATGGGTAAGAAACATTTCAACGTGCATAGTAAGAGAAACCATGAACAATGAGCTAATTATCATTTGAATAGACATCTCGATGCCGGTCATGGACGGATTCGAGGCAGCACGGAATATCCGCGCAATTGAGAAAGAGCGCAATGCCAGTGAAAAGCCAGCCATAATTATCGCTCTTACTGGACTGAGCAGTCAGAAAGACGAATCGGAGGCCATTGAGTCTGGAATGGATTTCTTCTTGACAAAGCCGGTCGCATTCAAGCAAGTTGCGAAGATCCTTGATGGGTGGGGAGAGGCAGGCTTATTGGAGCAGACCCAACCGACTCAACACGGGGTCTCTTCATAAGGTATTTTCTTACGGAATTACCTATATCATATCCTTTGTAAATTTATAGATCTATATACCCATAATTTCACGTCCATTACATGATGACCTTCAAAATTGGTGTGTGCCGCTGTAGTACTTCATACTACAATACTCCTGATAGATCTTGCACATCTGCACCGGCACTACTCACATTCAATTTGAGATAACCTTGGTTGTCTTAAGTAATTTCAAGCGATCAATCATCATCAATTAATTAATTGACCAATTAATAGCCCAAATACCAAATCACTCAAGTTCCATGTTGTTGACTAACTGACTGTACTCCACTGCGCTTGTCCTCACCGCCTTCACGCACAAAATAGCTCCACCTCGATTTTTCTTCTCTTTTTTCTTTTCCCCCTCCTCTCAGTTCCGACAGCTCCTCTTTTTTCCGGGACTCGGGGATGCTTGTTTGGGCTAGGAAATTACCTGTCTGATGCCTTGAGACTCGCAGTTTTTTCTGCTTAATTCCCCGAACTTACCTGGTACAGCTCAAACCTCAATCGTGACACTGGACGCCATGGAGTCTCTCGCCGATACGACGTGGGATGTCATCATTGCAGGTACTGGGCTGTCCCAGTCTCTGCTGGCATTGTGAGTATTCTATCCTTTTCCAAAGGCGTCTATCGTAAGTCTTCAGTCACTGACTGCTATCTCAGGGCACTTTCAAGATCCGGCAAAAAGGTTCTTCACTTGGACCAAAATCCACACTATGGAGGACCAGATGCGGCCTTCAGTCTGGAGGAAGCTCATGAATGGGTGACGAGTGTCAACCAACGTGGGTAGCTGCCGAATCTGCCCTGCGTCTCGGCCTATCGCTGATTTCTGTCCTCTGATAGATCCTGGCCGGTCCCCGTTTGAAGATGCCAAGATATTCACATACCAACATCCCCCAGAGTCACCGCGCTCGCCCCCCCTCGCAGAATGACTCCGAGGGGAGCGAGCGCATGGCAGGCACCCCGGATATCCGTCCCAAACTGGCTGCCAGTCGAGCCTATACACTTTCTTTATCCCCTTACTTCCTCTACACCCGCTCGGCACTAATCTCTATCCTAATCTCTTCCAAGGTCTATCGCCAGCTCGAGTTCGTCGCGCTTGGGAGCTGGTGGATCCACACTGGCGTACCGACCGCTGAGTCGGATGACCTCGCTGCTACTAACATCTTCCATCGCGTGCCTGGCAACCGGGAAGATGTCTTCGCTGATAACCATATCAGTATGAAGTCCAAGAGGACGTTGATGCGGTTCTTGCGACACATAAGCAAATCCGAAGACGACAATGGAAGCGACACAGCTGAGGAATTGTCAGCACCATTTGGCAAATATTTGTCTACTAAGTTCAGTGTTCCAGATGACCTGCTCCACGCTCTTCACTCGCTCTCGCTGTCTCAAGGCTCTGCACAAGATACCCTCGCGGAATACGCTGTTCCCAGAGTCCAGCGACATCTGTCATCTATCGGATCCATGGGACCTGGATTTGGTGGCGTGGTTTCGAAATACGGCGGTGCTTCCGAGATTCTTCAGGTTGCCTGTCGCGCTTGCGCTGTAGGCGGAGGTGCAGTCGCTCTCGCTATCGGGGTTCAGTCCCTGAAAGAGATTGAAGCGACGGCGGAAAAAGAAGAATATCCGGTCGAGTTGGAGCTCACCAGCGGAGAGTCAGTCCGAAGCAAGTTCGTGATTGGCTCCCTTTGGGATCTCCCTAGCCAAAGTCAACCTCTTCCCAGTGCTCGAGTGGCCCGTTCGATTACTGTTGTCTCTTCGAGCTTCACTTCACTGTTCCCCATCACCACTGAAGGTGCTCCTCTCCCCGCCAGTACCGTTCTTATGTTCCCTGGCGACACTCTCAGCCATCCACAGTCGCCCCCGGTGTACCTCCAGATCCACTCGAGTGACACTGGCGACTGTCCCCGACAGCAGAGTAAGTTCACCTTGTTCTTTCGCGATTTCTCAACCCACCCCTCTATATTCAGCTCGTATGATGAATATCTTACTTATCTACATTGTCTGTAACTACATTGATGAAAACATACTATCATCTACTGATCACGAGCACAACAATCATCTTGTCATTTTATTTGATTTGTCTTGGGTTCATATGGCTAACTGAATCCACTAGGTGTTATCTACGGCAGTGTCGCCCTTTCTGGGCCAGAAGGCCACACTCTGCTTGAATGTGCTGTCGACCGGCTTCTCCACGCCGAAGGTCCTCAGGCCATGGTACTCTGGTCCATGAGATATACCCAGTCGGGTCGACTCAGTAATGACGGGTCCTCGGCTACCATTCACAAGCACTCGCCCCATGTCTATAGCTTCCCACCTTCCAGTCTTGATCTGACATGGGAAGATGAGGTCATTGACATGGTCAAGCAGGCTTGGACTAAGATCGTAGGAGATGAAGTGGACCATGATGACTTTATGATCTTTGACGATCGCGAAGGTACATCTGACGATTAATTCTAGAATAGCTCCGTTTCCACCGTAGCGGATTGTACAGACACGATACCTACATATGATGATATACAATTTGATGATATACAATTTGATGATATACAATTTAAATTTTCTCCTTAAGCTGCTGAGTGAATAAGGCCGGTAACAATCAAATTGGCCCCTCTTTCTCTCGATCCAGTCTAGTGCGAGTATACTGCATAATCTGCATAACCTGCATGTGCATCGGCATGTGGAAGCGGAGGTGATTATTCATAGAAGATCAACTTGAAGCTCGGTCCGGTCGGATGTGAGGCAAATAGACATTGCCTCGGTGAGGATTTGATCTAGTGCCTAAGAATGGAATAACTTATGGATGATACCATAGTGCTACCAGACAGGGTATCTTGAAGTAGTAGTAAGTTCCTTCCATCTCAGCCACAACCTCACAACTTCAACTTCAACTTCCATTTTTACTTCTACTTCTACCACACTACCACAAACCCAATCCTCCCCTCATCAACATGGGTTTTAGCACCGTAAAGGAATTTGACCAAGCAAGTTTTTTTGATAATTTCTAATGACCAAAACTGCTAACTAACCCCAATAGGCCTACAAAAGTGTGCACGATGCATTTGCAATCGGGACGACAAAGGACAAACGCTGGAGACGCCAGCAGCTCAAGCGTGCATGGTGGATGATCGAAGACAACAAAGACCAAATTTGCAATGCTCTCTACGTCGACCTCCACCGACATCGACAAGAAAGCTTCCTCTCGGACATCGCCATGGTCCAATCTGATATCCTGCGAACCCTCGACCAACTCGACGAATGGACCAAAGATGAAAAACCAACAAGGCGAGATCTGGTCAATTTCATGGGTGGCACCGTTATTCGCAAAGAGCCAAAGGGCGTAGCGCTCATCATTGGTGCCTGGAATTTTCCTATATTGCTACTTCTTCAGCCGATGGTCGCTGCCCTGGCCGCGGGATGTGCTGTGGTACTCAAACCATCAGATATGGCGCCTGCCACTCAAGATCTACTGATGGAAATTATTCCAAAATTCCTGGACCAGTCCGCTATTCGCTGTGTCAGTGCTGGTCCGCAGGAAATGCAGTACATACTGGAGCAGCGATACGACCACATCTTCTATACGGGCTCTCCCAACGTGGGCAAGATCGTGCATGCTGCAGCTGCAAAACACCTAACACCCACTACTCTAGAGTTGGGTGGTCTTGCACCAGCAATTGTTACAGCATCTGCCAATATCGAATTATCGGCGAAGCATATCGCTGCCACCAAATTTCAAAATGCCGGACAGGTATGGTAGTGAAAATTTCCACGTTCATGAACATGCTCAGGTGTATTTGAATTGGCTCACTAACTATTCACAGATCTGCCTGAATGTCAACCACGTTCTCGTCGACCCGTCCGTCAAAGAGGCCTTGATAACTAGCTTGATCAAACATTTCAGCACCTTCATGGGTAGCAAAGCCCAACCTGAATACTACACCCACATAATCAACGCACGAAACTTCGACCGCCTCGACACTCTCCTCGAAAATACAAGTGGCCAAATAGTCTACGGAGGAACCCGTAACCCTGAAACTCGCTTTTTCGCCCCGACAATAGTCACAAACCTCCAACCCAATGACCCTCTCTTAACAACTGAACTATTTGGTCCAATCCTCCCAATATTAGACCTGAATCTGGACCATGCTCTTGCATTCACAAGGGCAACAGGCAATCCACTCGCAATATACGGCTTCACAGAAGACGAATCAGAGAAAGATCGCATCCTCTCCGAAACCCAATCTGGCGGCGTGACATTCAACGACTGCGCTCTACACGTTATTGCCAAGGATGCGCCTTTTGGTGGAATAGGAGGTAGCGGACATGGATACTATCACGGCCCGTACGGTATTCGGGAATTCTCATATCTGAGATCGTGTACGAATGCCTTCCCTGCTTGGATGGAGGGTGTGATGGGAGCGAGATACCCGCCTTATTCGAATAAGAAGTTAGAGAAACTTGTCCCAGCCGTCAAGCCCGGCTTTGACCGGGATGGCAATGATGCTTCTCATGGTACTTGGAGAAAATGGGGGTTTGTGCTGGGCATAGGGCTTTCAATTGGGGTTGGAGTGAGCGATCAGGGCCGGGCATTTGTTCTGGGAGTTCTGGCAAATGTGCTGCAGGCCCTATGATTAATGATTTATTTGTTAGACACTATGTGGGCAAATTAGCAAGTTGACTATACACTCAAGTCCACTCCTTGATTCTGAAATTTCCAAGGTTCATATCTATAGAATAATCCAACCTTTGGCTGGACTACTGATTTTGCGTGTACGTTCCTGGCGCAATAAGCACCTCGGCAGAGTCTAGCCATGGAATATATTCGATTGCTTGATCTATCAGAGAATAAGAGGACACTACATAATTTGTCTCGAACCTTCCGCGGAGTCTGTTTGACGCTCTGGAATTATCTTGTAGAGCTGCCATCGCCCAGACTTGGCAAGGCAGCTTCCAGATATCATTCTTGCAGTGCGGCAGCCTTTGCCTGTCGATGAAATGAAGATAGCTATAGGTCTTGCGGGCGATTTAGAATACCATTTCTATGACTAGACCTCATGCGAAAGCTGGGAAGATTTTGAACTCACGATCAAAGATATTTGTGGTGCCTTGGTGACGATAGAAAGGGGCTTTGTGATTCTCATTCATCAAGCAATAAAGGACTTCTTGATACAGACCGAAAAGAACATAGATCTTGAAGGCATACTTTCAAGTCACATTGTCCGCATGAGAAATTTGCAATTGTCTGTATATCTATACTTTCGCTCACTTTCTTTTGCAAGCATTATCTTGTGATTCAAGATGATGATAATGTTGGCGATGCTGATATGGTTGAATATCTCATCCATCGCGAAGCTATCGTCGATTTCCCTTTGCAGGCCGCAGTTGCGCCATTAATCGTATCCATTTTCAATATCATGTTCAGTCTGAATTCGAAAAAACAATACGAAATTGAGATGCATATGTTCAAGTTGCCAACTGCTTCGCCATGGGGCGAATATGTCACGGTCTTTTGATACCATTGGATACCGCCACTACTTCAATTACGAACGATTGGAGAGTCGCACCGCTCTTCATCTTACAACCGGCATAGGAATTCTCAATTTTACGCGTATTTGTCGAATCGGAAACTGCCAATCTGAACTTTCCCACACAAAGGATGATGAATCCTTGGAACAGCACACCATCGGAGAGATGTGACTGATTCCACGAATTTTGAAGCTGCATTCTTAGATAGAGAATTTAGGCGCAACGCCGATCGGCGGTTTCCAACAAGTTGAAAAGCTGGAGGTTCTTCAAGCCGCCCACTGGCAAGGGAAGTTCTTTTTACCATCCATCGGGCCTCCGTTAACTAGTAGTAGTGATTTCAAGTTAATATAACCTTGGAAGTGAACTTGGTAGTACTAGTAGTAGCAGTAGTATCAACTGATCTGTTTATAATACTACTACCTAGATATAGTACCCATATACCTATTCACACCTTAGATTTTCCAAGGTTGTCAGTGACTACGGAATACTAGTAGTTACCCCGTCCTGCTCATACAAACCACCTGGGCACCATACTCCCCACCGTTGAACTTCTTTCCCAGTCCAGCCCAGCTCAACCGAGTCCAAGACTGAAACAATCGCCAGGGCCAACCGACCAGGATGGATACAGTTGCCACAGTAGCAGACTCCGCCGCGGGGTGGGACAAACGAAAAAAAGCTTCATTTCCGTAGCAGGGTCAGCACCAATGACGATGGCGGGTTCTGTCACCCATGCCCGCTCCGTGGTGGGACTGACGAACCCTGATAGTTCCTCGACATTTCAAAATGGGGGCGGAGAGTGTTTCATAAGCTGCAGACCGGACTCATGGACCCGGGGGCTGCTGGTTTAGGGCATCTGTCCAGCCTCATCTCTTCCGAGTCCATGCTTTTGCATCTAGGTGCTCCGTACATAACATGTCCTTTGTATTTCGTACAGAGTACTCTGTATAGTGTATATTATTCTTCGGATAACCCGTACTCGGTACTCGGTACTCGCTAGACCTGCATCGAACAGAGTCCACGAACCACGAGTACGTAGACAGGCAGGCACCTACATATTGCATAGTACTAAGTGGGGGTGGGCGGGCGAGAGGCTGAACGGGGCACGCCGATAGAGGTGGCCAATGGACGAACGGATATGCGCGATTGGGGAGAATGGCGACAAATGGCATCATCTATTGGACACTTTCTCATTTGCCAGCTGCGATTTGCCGCCTGGCCCATAGCCATAGCCATAGCCCATCCCTTAGTCTAGTTACCAGTGCCGACAGAACGGGACGTCACGGTATATTCAGCCGAGCATCGCATGAGACTACATACTCCGTAGTACATAGTACTGCGGATACTAGTACTCCGGATACACACAATCTTTGAATCCGAACAGACTCGACAGGTCCACATGGAACCAGACTCGGTTCCGACTCAGCCCTGGAATGTTCCATGGGCAATAGGAAAGGGACTGATGATCAGGGGTCAGGGCTCCACTTGGTCGTGGGACTTTTTTCAGGGTCTGACCAAATCTTCTGAACCGTTTCGAGCGGGTAGTCGCCGCTAAGCCCCTTAATTCCCTTTCTCTTTTTGTTCTCCCGCCTTTTCGTCGTTGACAGCATCGCCAAGACCGCGGCGCGTCGAGCTTAAACCCTCGCACCGTGCAGCCTGTGGCCCGAGAGATTACGCGAGAAGTGGTATGAATGGATAAAATGATGTACAGAATACTTCGTACACAAGTCTGACCCCAAGACAGTGTCATTCTATGACTACATAGCCCCTGCCAAGTTCCGTTTATTCCTTGGCCACTTGGCCGCTCTGCGTCGATTTGAACAACCCCATCGTGCGCTCGTTGTTAAGGTTAAACGTCGCTTAGACGACTCTTAGCTTCGAAAGCGGACTAGTTCTGGGCCTCGACGAAGCTCCGGCCCTTTTAATCAGTT